CCTGAACCAACGTCTTGCACTTCGACATCATCTTTAAGTCGGTTAAAAACCCACGGTCTCGTCAATCATCACCCATCGAGCACTCCAAAGCAGTGTGTGCCGGACATCATTCCTCTCTCATCATAATCGACATGCCCACTCGGATAAGTGGCGCCTGCAACGGGTGCCGTACAAAGAAACAAAAGGTGCGTAATCATCACAGCTCCAGCCCTATATTCAACCGTTGAGATCCAGACCTACCTCTGCCTCTGCTGTAAAAGGTAGCATAAGGTCATGGATTATCATGTTCAACACCATCATATCCAAAGACGTGTGTTAACATGGTTTGGGTTAACAGTGCAGCGGTGATCGGTGAGTGCCGACCTTCATTTTTCTTCCACCAAATGGGATCAGGAAGCATTTCAACGGGAATGGAGGACGACACCTCCCTTTTATACCCAGGAATCCAATTAAAAGTCCCTTCTTACCCCAGGATCTTATCTCCAGTCCGCTGTTCGTGGGGACATCTTTGTTGGCTAAATCGTTTTGGCACAATGATTTGAAGCCAGGGTCTAGCTCTGATACCACCTCCTCCAATTGTCTATCAGTCTGACCATGTCGACCAACCAAACAAAGCATTCCATATGGGCGCGCGGCTGGAGAATCGGCTCTTTGTTTATGTACTTCACTTTGCGCAGTCATCAGACGATGCTTTGAGGGCAAGGGAACTGACTGTGTGCCCTTTGACAGGTCCGGCTGCTCACAATGTCATGCTGCAGGCATTCAGTGTACATGGCCTGAACAAAGAAAAAGGTAAGCCCAGCCCAGCCCAGCCCAGCCCAGCCTAGTCCCTTGTCTTCTCTTGCAAGCACCTTTCCACTGCTCTCATTTCAGCTCACCGTATGGTACTAACGCTTCACCTTAGAGGTCCGGCTAAGGGCTATATCGAAGGCCTTGAGCATCGTCTTCATGAAGCCGAATCACTTCTTCTCGCCCTTCTGCCCATTATCTCAACTGAACAGCTAAAATGCGCCACCGATTCTCTCAGTTCAAGCCCCTCAACAACTAACCTCAACATCCTTGGCCTGAAAACCCGTGATTCACCATCTCCTGGGCCTCACGCCATGAGAAGTAGTCCCCCTGTCTTAAACAAGAAGACAGGGATTGAATACTGGGAATCGTTCCCTCTTGATACCGTCGAAAACATCCGCAAATGGCAGGAAGACTGCGCGTTACATTCCGGGACCAATGGACAAGCCCAATCCTCTTTCCGAAATTCCATTGACGAAAGTCACTCGCATAACCCCCTCCACGCTTTGAATGCAGCGAGTCACTCGCGTCCTGGGTCAGTTGATCTCTCTCGCCATGGCCACGGCCATTCTCAGTCCGGTCCTTTCCGTTCTATGAGCCACGACACATACCGCAGTGGCGCAAGCACTCCGGTCAATGTACCTCAACATTCTCTCTCGCAGCCAACCATCCCCACAACCTCAAGCACACAGCAACAACACACGGGTCCCAGCCAAACATCGACGCCCAATTGGCAATCACTGTCCTCTTTTTTGTCCAACAACAGCTCGCCCAACAACAATACCTCAAGTCCGAACGTCAATGGCGTGGGTATTGGCGCGGAAGCCATGCTGCTGCAGAGTTTCGCCGATTCAAGCTGGGCGCAGGCGCAGACCTTGAATAATGGCCTGGGCATGACCGGTATGGGCACTGCGATGGGCATGGAGAGTGGACCAATGGAGGTCGATACAGGCTTTTTCACGAATGATATGCAGAGGCGGTTATTCTGGTAGACTGTGTCGGCTTTGTGAAATCAATGGGATGGCGCATTTGGGGGTGACCTTCGAGATATGGTCCTCATTAGATGGGGTTGGAGAAGGGCGTTCGGGGGCAAAAGATCAACGACATGAGTGGACGACTGTTTTAGCTAACCCAAAAGAACCGTTGGATCGGTTACAGCACACTTCGGCTCGGCGGTGCCGAGCTGTAATGAAATCGAAGCCTCGTGGGATCGAGAAGCACGAATACTAGGTACCTAGGGTCGGTCAGTCGGTTGGTGTTGGGACCTAGATTACCTCGCTGGAGGTTTTGTACGGGTAGGGCGATCGCAGTGTGTTTATCTTGTACGTTACGGAAACGATCGATACCCATTACAACGAGGATATTCCAAACCAGTCAATCTCTCAGATGAACAGTTTAGAGCAGCCTTTATTCGCGTTCGCAATCCGCTCCCATTTCGACCAAGGCGTCCCACTAGCTGTGAGGATATCACGAGACGCCGTGTCAGGACGCACTTGGACGCGTAACGACGACCCATCAGTAGCATGCGAGTATAAATTCGCCATGGCATTAACCTTCGGCAATGCCCAATATTTTTGGAATCCTAATCCTAAGGGTTCCGATCCGTCGTCCATCGGTCCTGGACGCTCGTTCCTTATAGCGTATACGCTCCTTGTAGTCGTTGCCGTGGCCGTGACCGTACTCGTATCCTTTTTCGGCAACTTTGGGTGAATCTGCATCCGGTGAAAGAATGGGTTTTCATCTTTCCTCAGACCAAGAGGAACCTGCATCGCGATGTCAGCCCCTCTGGTGACTTTTGAGTGTCGAATTTATGCGGCCGAGGTGACGGTCGATTGGAAAGACTATCATGAACGTCGCTCAGTTTTTTTCCATGTTGATATTCCACCAGAGTTGTAACAGCAGAAATCTTCAAGACCATGGGTGAGGCTGAAAGTGCTAAGCCACTGACAAGGCTAAGACTAAGACTAATTGGGCTGCTGCCTGAGGGCGCAACGTAGACGTAGACGTCCGCAATTTGAAGGCTTACAGTACTGTAGACCCAGACTCGTCTAGATTAGATGGCGAGGTATCCGTACGTTCATCACAGCCACATACCATCTTAAGCGAGGATACGCCTTGCAAGTGCTGTGCATTTTGGCTTCCCTCACGGAGCAAATTGTTGTCTGCGCACTGAACTCTGCATCGATCTTTGCTGATTTGCTTAGGACGAGGAACTGTTGTTTTCTCTCAAGCACGAACTACCAACAGCTTATTTGGTGACTTAACCTATGGCGACCCTACCATCAGAGAGGAATTACTGGCTCAGTGGCTTAGCATGTGAAAAAGGTAGACCCGAACGCCGTACCCTGAGGCAGTCGGTCACTCTGGCAGCAAGCGCGAGACACGATCATTGTCAAGAGTTAGGCTCATCTCACCTCTTTGCGAGTTCCTCTCAGCAGCGCCCGCTGTTGTTGTGGTTTGCATGTATCTGTTCTGTTCACTCATTATTCCATGCAGCATGAAGGCAAGCGGACTTCAGAGCGGTGACCTTGGGCAGCGTCTCGTTCGGAGCAGCAGACGTATCGCTCGGAGCAAGTACTCGCTAGGGTTCAACCGGTGGAGCCGTGTAAGCGATGTTCAGCAGGCACCGTGGAGACTAGGTTCGGCAAAGTTGCCATTCCTATCGCCAGCCCTAAATCCGACTAGACCCAAAGCAGTGAGTGAACAAGAAAGTCCCATCCGCCGTCCCTTTTTCCTCGTACCTGTCAACCGCACATCATGCCTTCATTTCTTCGAGCCTCCTCATTCTGCTCGCTCGGAGATGAATAACGTAGAGACATGGTCTCCACCATCTGGACACTCTGATGGTGCTACATTTTATCCTTCTAGCACCTCCCCCTGCCAAGACTCCTCGCCAAAACCCAAACTTGTGATCCGTCGAACGCGAACGGGATGTCGCACATGCAGATTTAGGAGGGTAAGCCATTATATTCACATTCTACTGTGCGCCCGGCTTGACAGAACTGGATGACTGCTGTAGGTGAAATGTGATGAGACGAAGCCCGAGTGTACTCAGTGTCTCAAAGGCCAGAGGGTCTGTGTTTGGCCTGGCCCCGACGACAAGAGAGCAAAAATCTCAAGGAGGCCTAATGCCACAGCTTGTGAAAATTGTAGAGACAAAAAGGTATTCATGTCTCCGCTTTTCCCCAGCTCGTGAACATTGAGGCTTGTCCATCCAATCCATCTAACAATGTCCGAACGCAGCTCAAGTGCGTCGGGGATATACGAGATGCATGCGTCAAGTGCAGCGACATGGCTATTGAATGCGTGCGATCCCAGAAAGACGTTGAAACAGTCCTATCAGGGCCTCTTCCCCTGTCGTCAAACGACAATAGCAGGTCAACAGTCTTTTCTGCCCGCCCATTGTTGCCCTCCACGTCTACTCTTCGATCGCACGTCAGTGGCTCTGACACGGAGCACGAGCACCATTCACCACTTACCCAACAACGCCATGGCCCAGAGCACATGCTGCCGGCTAGCAATGGGCCATCGGATTCAGCCCCTATGGGACAGCTGCCGACCGGAACAGAACTCAAGGATCTCATCCAGCTCTACTTTTCCTCTGTTCACCGTGAGTAGCTTGGTGCCGTCGTCATCTCTTTTTATGGGAAACTAGTCCCTGATCTTCCGTCCCTCAGATTTCGGGTTCTTTGCATTTATCCACCAGATCCATTTCAATCGCCTTCTCGTCAAGGGCAAAGCCCCTCGCGAGTTGACCCTTATGATGATTGCCAGCGCGATGCGGTGAGTTGCTAACTTTTCATGGTACGATACTCGCTCATAATCCACCCACAGCTTTGCCGCGAAGCCCACTCCAGAGAACCTGGCGAGAGCAGATGCTTGGGCAAGCACGGCGATTGAGAGTCTTCTTCCCCGTATTTATAAGGGGTTTGGAGCAATCCAGCTAATGGTACGTGGCTACGCGATGGCTACTCTTTGCTTGCTATTCGAATAGATAGGAGCTCGACCTACTTCTTGTCTTGTGCTTGAAGGAGAATCGCTAATCCTGAAATAGGCTCTCCTCCTTGCCCAACACTACGATCTAAATCGTGGCAACTTTACGTCTGCCTGGTTGTTAGGTGCTAACTGCACAAGGTGAGCGGCCAAAGAGCAAATTTTTGCTGGCGGCGCAACTGCTCCTCGGATGTGTCGAAATTGATAATCCATCCAGAATGATGCAAATGATGTCCTTGCAAACGTTCGACCGGACCTACCCGGTAAAGTTCGCCTCAAATCTGCGACTATCACCTCTTCTCTCCTGCGAAGCCCTCCGACGCGTTGCCTGGTCTACCTTTTATGTCGATACCATCGTCGACGGGGGTCGATACGGTTTTCACATTGTCGATGAGAAGGCTTATCGTCTCCAGCTTCCCTGCGACCAAGCGAGCTTCTTAGCCGACGAGACGACCATAACTGAGCCGCTTTTCTACAACTCTGCCAACGCTAATGCTGATAATCCCGAGCGTGCGCCTCTTGATATGTCAGCATACCTCCTTCGAACAGCAGCCGCTCGTCGTCGGGCATTACACTTTGCCTTTCGCGCCTCTCATAGTGAACAGACCGTTGAACGGCTAATGGAGGAGCTGGCTGCCATTGAGGCTGATGTAGAAGAGGTTATTGCCGCGTTGCCCAAGCGGTTTCATTTCAACACCGACAATATGTTTCTGCATCGTGATCGACTAATTACATTTATTCTCCTGCACATTTTACGCCATAACCTTTTCATCGTCATTGGTCGAGCTGCTTTACAAATATACCAGCGGGATTCGGCCAAATCAGAGCTCATAGCCGGCGTGCGGCGGAACAGGATTTCTCATGCTCTACCAATAGCTGGCCTCGTCGCAGAGGGTCTAAAGGCGGGTATCAGCTTTGATCCACAGGTTGGGGTCCAGGCATATGTCGCCCTAGAGAGTACCAATTTCTCTCATCCTACTCATTGCACAAACTTTGCTAACTGGAGTGCGACAGTCCTTCTGTTCGAGCCACGTCGCTTAGCCGAGACAGATCCTTTCGTCGATCCCAAAGCGCCCGAGCTGATGGAAGCGATCCCTCACCTGCTCGCTGTGGTTCGGAACATTGCAGATCGATCCGAGTTTGTTAAGCAGCTGGTAAGTGCGACGGCCGCCTCGAGACACAAGAGCTGACACTTCAAATGAAGCATATCGAAGCCGTTCTTCGGCTTCTACGATGTGACTTTACCCACCTCCTCAACCAAATCGACTTTGTCGCATTTCGAAAGTCTGTGGCCTGTGCCCTGAGCTCTAGAGTGAGCGGATCCTCGCTAACTCAATCGATAGCGAGTATCGACTAGTTGGACAAGATGCTGCTGAGTACGATTTCCGCGACTTCCGATGGGCGAAGCTCGAACGGATTCGTCAAGGCGCTGAGTCGTCCACCAACGCGGCGTGCGACGAGGCTTTACTTGAGTACAAGGTAGGTGAAGAGACAGCTCCACCCTCGACGGCGCCTTCTCCACGCCTCGATGCGATGGACGTCCGGCACGCCATTAGGGGAGCTTCGGTGGCCCATTCGCTACCATACTCCGCCTCAAATGCGCTCAATCTGTCTGAAGCGCAGAGTATTGAAGGGGCTGGCGTAGCACAGACCGTGCAGCCCTGGTGGGGACTCGCCCAACCCGAAAACGCCGATCAAGCGTTTTCGCTCGACTATTCGTGGCTCTTGGATGAATCAGGGCTCCCATGGGATCAGGCTGGTGACTTTACGAGGTCCCTATCCCAATTTTAATCAGAATTGACAATATGCGCGCAGGATGCGATCCTGCCCCGAATTTACCTGTACAGTGTCTGCTACATTGTATGATCAAGATGTCTATTTCCAGTGCCCCATCTCATGATTGGGCTTCGAGCCTCTGATCGCTACCAAAGTGTTGCGAACAATTGACTCTGTGAATAATGTCAGTCTATACATGGGCGAGCTGAGCGAACATTATACATAAAACGTGCGCACGAGAACTGTCGCGTAAGCCTCCTAGGGGTAATGGCGTTGAAATGCCATTGCTGCAAGGGATCTATCCGCTATTCGTTCCTCCCTAAGCCCGAAAGGCCATCTCCCTCATTGACAAGGCACAGGACATTCTCCTCCTCTAGCTCCCATCCACGACTTTTGCAATTCTAGCTCATCTTCCCACAGCTCTGGAGCATCGTCCTTCCCCAACCCTGGAGCCAATGCGACTGGTCCCCATACGATGCCACACTCACTTACATACTCATCCCAACAAGCCAGCAGCTCTTGCAGTTTTTTGGGCTCAGTCTCGGCCAGGTCTTTCGTTTCTCCCGGGTCGTCAACCACGTTGAAAAGCTCCCAGCCCTCATCGCCTTCGCCTGCACCTCCCCGTTCCTTAGAGAAGTGGACAATCTTCCAATCCCCTTTCCGCAATGCGCCACGCGCAAAGAGCTCCCACCCAACAGGCTCAGAAGACGAGTGAATTGCCCACATCTCATTGTCCTCCACTCTTTCGTCCCGGGAGAAAAATGGCACCCACGAGATTCCGCGGATGACGTGCACGTTTCTCCCTCGAAAAGTCGTCATTTTGCGTGGAGCAGTGCTTCTGCCCAGGCATGTCCGGTTTCTTCTCTCCGAAGCAGAGGGTAGGCCCACACCGGCCAGCTCGAGAAACGTGGGGGCGAAATCCATGACGGTTGCAAAAGAACGATTAAAGGAGCCGGGAGAGAATGAAGGCAGAAAGGTTCTGGCAGGAGGCTTCACGATGCAGGGCACCAGGATCCCACCTTGGGACGGGTAGCATTTGAACAACCTCGATGGAGCGGTTGACGCCTGAGCCCAAAGCGGACCAAGCCTGGAGTTGCAATGTCAGCTCATGTCTTGCCCTGGAGCGGACTGACCGTACCAGGTGAACGAGTTCCAGGAGCCAATATTCTCGTAAGAGTTGTCATAGTATTGATGGATGGCGCGTTTTATGTTGTCACCCATGACCGCTGCGAGATGACAGTCAGCTTGTGTGTCCTCTATGCAGTAACTAGGGGAGGATGTCTCAACTCACGGACAGCTTCCAGTCTGCATGCCCAAAGTCAGAATGGTCGGCTCAAAAACAACTTCTAAAGGTAAATCGAGTACTCACGCAGCGCCCTCCGCCCCATTGTCACTCATAAATACGATAAACGTGTTGTCATACTCTCCCGTCTTCTTCAAGTAATCTATCACTTCGCCAACATTGACGTCGATCGAGTCCACCATGCCAGCGTATGCTTCCATAGCCCTGCTTGAGAGCTTCTTCTCCTCTGGCGTGAGATCATCCCATTCCCCAACGCCTTGCGTAGTTGTCTCTACTTTGTGCGGGACAACGGACTTGTCTATGATTCCCATCTCAGCAAGCTTTCTCAGTCGGCGACCCCTCAAGGCGTGTGGGCCATCATCGTACATCCCCGCGTATCTTTGAGGCCAAAATCAGTTCGGCCTTGACTAGGAAAACATGGTGGTAGAACTGGCAACAGAGGTTCGCCTTGGATCCAAACTCACTTGTCACGTTGCGCCTTGGGGCATTGCAATGGCCAATGTGGTGCGGTGTACGGTAAGAAAGCAAAGAAAGGTTTCGAAGCCTCGACCTCAGACCGGGTTTCGAGGAAATTAATTAACCGATTAGTGTAGTAGTTGGTCGAGTAGAAGCCTTCGGGATCTTCTGTCTTGTTGGGTGGTCTTGAGGAAAAGGACACGGTCAGTTCAGCTCAGTATACATGTTCACGGATATCATCATGCCAGAATGATGACAATAATCTGTGGCATCTCTAACTCACATTTCAACCCTTTTCCCCTCTTCAGCATGAACGGGCCGACCACCAACCGGGAAGGATTCCTGCACTGGCTCCCAACCGTAATGGTTACAACACCCAGGAAGCATGGCGAAGGCCTTCTGGAAACCTCGTTCCCAAGGCCCCTGACACGCACGCAACCCCAGATGCCACTAGTGGTTGGTCAGCCCGGAGGAAAATTCGGCCAAACATTCAGATCATCCAGCTGGAAAGCAGAACGAACAACACAGACCAAGGAGAGGACTGACCTTGCCTGACATGACGGTGAAATAGCCATGATCCGTCAGGATCTCAGGCAACGTCGCCACGTCATTGTTCAGATATCCCTCGTACCCTGCTTTACCGGACCATCGTCTCGCCCCTTTCTCGCTATTCTTGTATTCTATCAACACGCCAAGCCCACCGAGGTGCGCGTCAGTCCCGCTAAGGAGCATTGCGCGTGTGGGCGAACAAGCCGCCGCGGCATGGACATTTAGCATACGGATGCCCTCGGCAGCCAGGCGGTCGATATGGGGAGTTTGAATCTCGGCGCCATAGCAGCCTATGTCGGAGAAACCCTGGCAGCACCATATGGTCAGCTGAATTCAGCCTGAGGGAGGGAGAGAACCTGCAAGGTCGTCGGCCAGGATAAAGAGAAAGTTGGGCCGCTTGGGCATCCCATTAGGACCACCGTTCATATTGGAAACTTCAAGGAGAGCGGTCTCGCGACGTTCTACTGTCAGAACTTGGGCGATACTGGACTGAAGATGTCACCAGAATGGGCTTGTGACGAGAATCTATAAAGCACGATCGAGCTGCCCTTGTCTAACTGCACAACGCAGGAGGTATCTTCTCAAAGTCTTGCTCGGAAAGTTTGAACTTGAAGAAAAGACGGACGTGAGACCAGTTATCAGGGTCGAGGATCTTTGGACTTGGTCACCTGGACTCTCGGACTGCATGCCGGAGAGTACGCTAGGAGCAGTGTGCGAGCGCCGCGTTTGCTCTAATTAGACGAGAGAAGGTAAGATTTGAGATAGTAAATGAAAGGGTGGAAAGGTCGGAAAGGCCATTTCGCTCGGAAGGCTCTGCCCCCTTTTTCGGATCCACTCCGCTCCGAACGAGATGTCGCTCTGAGAGTCCAGACTTCCAGACTTCCTTCTCGCTCGGAATCCTCACTTGCTCCCTTGCTCACTTCCTCGCCTCCTCACCTCATCCAGGGACCCCATGGGGGCTCCTGCAGATATCGTGTCTAGCTGCCTGCTCTGGATATAAGACAAGCGAGTTCCCCGCCGCAGCGTTCCAGATGCACCAATTCAGATCTGCACCGTTACCAGTCTGTGTCTGCCTCCAAAAGGAACGCCCACCGCTCAGGCCTCTAGTTACTCTTGCTACGATGGCGACGTCGCCATCGGCGTGGTCCATGGTGACCCCAATGCTTTTGTTCTCCTGCTTCTGTCTGCTCGTGGGGGACATGCTCTTTGGGTACGACACAGGCAGCTTTGGTGGTATCCTCGCCAATCCTGTGAGTGTCCTACTATTTGATGCGCCTGATAGACCAGCCGCGCAGCACTGAACACCATCCACCCAGGGCTTTGTCCGACAATTCGGTGTGTACCATCCCTCGACCGGTAAATACGCCATCGATTCTCTCCATACGTCGCTACTGTCCTCTCTCGCTTTCATCGGCAAGTTTGTCGGGTGCTTGGTCGCTGGTCCGGCCATTGAGTGGGTTGGCCACCGCGCTGTGTTCTTTGGTCTGTCGGCCGTCTCATTCGTTGGTATCATCAGTGAGTTTCTTCGTTCCCTTGGGCTAGCTACTTCCTCCAGGCTCATTGGCATTCCCTCTAGTCGAAATCACCGCAGCCGGCACGGACGCCGGGTCCGGGCGTTTCGCACAATTCATCGTTGGGCGTATCATTGTCTACATCTCGGTCGGTCTAGTTGAAGTCGACGTGACGTAAGCTGCCGGCCTCCAACGATGCCGTTTGAGCGAGACTGACAGGTTTGTCGCAGCACCTACCAGTCTGAGATTGTCCCGGCACCATTCCGAGGCCTTGTCGTCGTCTCCCTGCAACTCTTTCTCAACGCCGGAAGCGTCATTGCCACTGGCGTCAACAAGGCCTTCTCCACCAGAACCGACGGGTTAGGTTGGAAAGCAGTCACTGGGATCCAGTTTATCTTCCCCGTCTGTAAGTGGCCACAACCCCTTCTCTTACCCTGTTGGGACGGTTCAGTATCGTTGACACAAGGCTTCAGTGATAATTCTCTTCACGCTGTTCATTCCGAGCTCTCCCCGTTGGCTCTTGTCGAAGGACCGTGACCACGAGGCCATCACGGCCCTCCGCCGCATCAGACCGAAGGGTGATGGTTCTGATGACAAGTGCGCAGCCGAGATCCAGGCCATCAAAGAAGCTCTCCAGGAACAAGTGCATAAAGCCCCATGGCTCGACCTCGTGCGTGGGACCAACCTCCGCCGAACGGCACTAATCATTGTTTACTACTTTTTCCAGCAGGTGAGTAACATCCATCCGTGAAGTGATCAATAATTTGGATTAACCATGCGTGTTAAAGACTACCGGCCAAGCCTTTGTCTCGACTTATCAAACAACGTTCTACAAGACAAATGGCTATGCTGACCAGGCTTTTACCTATCCTGTCATTAACAGCTGTCTCAGCTTTCTCTCCGTCATCCCGGGCATGTACTTGGTCGATAAGCTTGGGTGTGTTAAATCCCCGGAGTTCTATTTCCTATTGCGCAGGCCGTGCTCGAGCTGACAGTTATGTTCCGCAGTCGTCGATACAGCCTCATGATCACTTACTTCTTCCAGGCCTTTTGGATATACTTGTTAGCCGGGCTCGGTGGGATGAGCCACAAGAGCGTAACTGATAAGAACACGATTGTGGCTGCCTTCATGCTCTACGCATTTAGTTACAATGTGAGTTACAGACGCCAGCGGCATGTGTTCGACAAATTCACAAGGTCAATTGTACTAATATGCCTCCTCTTTGCAGATGGGCGGCGCCTCGATCCCGTACCTGCTCGGCTCTGAGATCCCCAACGCCGCCGTCCGTGAAAAGACGCAGGCGCTGGGGACGTCGTGGAATGTGATCTGGGCCTTTGTGACCAACTTTGTCATCCCGTACATGATCAACAACATCCACTTCGGAGTCGGATGGGTGTTTGGCAGCATCTCCGTGCTCGCTTTTGTCTTCACCTTCCTCTTCCTTCCCGAGACCAAGGTGAGTTTGAGTCGTCTCGCGCCCAGTCCCAAGGGAATGACAAAAGTTAACGCACCGTCCCTCGTTCCAGGGCCGCGCTCTCGAGGAGATTGACGCCATATTCGCAGTCCCGTTCAACCCCTTCCGACCAGCCGAAATCCACTACACTGACGCCGAGCGCCGGGTTGGCCAGCTTGAAGGGGAGAAAGCGGCGGCCGTCACGTCTGTTTCCGAGAACATTGACAACTTTACCCACGAGGGCCAGAAAGAAGATTTCTAACCCCTTACTGGTTAGACCTATCGAACATAGCATGTTCTGAGCAGCATTTGCGACCAAATTCGCTCTGCTTGTTGTATGTACTGTACATATAAACCCGTCAATTTTAGCTAGCGCCTCAAAAATCTACTACCCAGTTAACTCCTGCACATAGGCGGTGCGTCCCTATCTGCCTACAAGCATATTGTGTCCAGGTGCCTACTGGAAGTGCTTGTGCTGTGAACCCGAGCCCCGGCCTCGGGGTGGGACTGTACTACCCTGGGTACATCCCTCTTGAAGATGTTTCGCAGTCAGTTCGATCCGAGACTCTGCCGGGCCGCAGGCAGTGTTTAAGCCCCGTGAACTTGGTTCTTATAAATGAACCGGTGCTGTCTACATGTGTATACTTTCGATGCAAATTCTCGTTTAATATTCCACCCGAAATCTTGCCCCATGCATGTAATGTAGCAACTCTGGTTGCCTTGCTTTCCAAGTTGGAAAAGTCCGAATCCTTCTCTCGGTTCGTTCAAATCGTGTAAAGTCACCCCTTTCCTTTCGCTCTGGCATCACTCGTTTTACCATCGATTATAACGATTCGTTTTGTGGATGCCTTCTACCCTTTTTGCCCGAGGACAAGACAGCGTACCGAAGTAGGACAGTTTTCCCCAAAACTGGCCGGCTGTTGCCTCGATGCAGGGTGCGGCTCGGCTCGGCTCCAAGTGACAGGTTGTCATCTGCAATGATGCTTCACGTGAATGAACTCGCAATCTTGCTCCTGGCCCTAATCTTTGGTCCGTAAAGGACGAGGACCCAGGGGACAAGAGTCAAGGCGAGCCCGATGGCGCCCAGTAAGCTGCTTGCAGCTTGGAAACCCAGGTTGGTGAAAAGCTGGTTTGTTACCAGTGGGAAAGATCCACCCAGTAGGTTTCGACAAAGGCCCGAAGCTGCAAGAGCCGAGCTCGCATAGATGTGATAGCAATCCGCTGTGTAGTTGAAGGTTCCCAGGAAGATGCTGAAGATGCCCATTGTCGCGACCCCGACGGCAATTGTAGGGACGATCCAGTGGACGGAGGAGTAGCATGTCCAGCCAAACCAAAACAAACCGATTGGCATGAAGGCCGACTCGATGCATGTGAACAGCAGTCTCCCTTCTGGGCTGCCGTTGATCTTGACAGGGTAGTGTTTAGCAGCCCATTTCTCTTGCCAGATGCTGAGGACCGTGGAGATAATAGCCCCGACACACATCGCAGTAAATACCACCCCGGTCTGTTCTAGGCTGAAGCCGTGATTGACCTGGAACACCAGAGGGATTGATCCGAACTGCAGATACAGCACTGCCCAGGAGAATGCGATCCAGAGACTAAACCAAAAGACCACAGGCTCGGTCACGAGCATGTGAACAGGTCGGTAAAGGGAGACCGCGATCATCCGGCTTATCGACAGTCTTTCTTCGTCCGCTTTCACTTTCCACCGGATCCGGCAACACCTCTTCGAGCCCTTTTCCTGACCGATTCTATCACCATCGACTTCCATTCCTAGGGCTCCTGCGGCCTCTAGTTGCTCGTACCATTTGTTCAGCAATTTGGCCTTGCGACTGAGAATAATGCTACCTCGCGTTTCTTTGAAGAAGACAGTGACAAGAGAGACCAAGGTGCCGCTGGTGATAACTTGTATCCAGAATACCCAACGCCATGTGGTCCGCTGTGCAACGAAGCCAGAGACTAGAGGCCCTAGCCCGGTGCCAAACAGAGTCGCTCCAGTGAAAAGGACCATGGGACCGTTCCGGTCAGCCGTGACCCAAACGTCTGCCAGAATGCCGCCGACCATGGTAGAAAAGGTAGATCCTCCAACGCCAAGGAAGAATCGAGCCAGCAGCATTCCTGCAAATGAGTCGGTTACCGCGCAGCCAATTTGACATATGACGAAAAGAATTCCGGTAAAAATAAAGACAGGTCTCCTTCCATTGATCTCTGAGAAGGGCGCCAGCACCATGGGAGCAATTCCAAATCCAGCCGTAAAGATAGTAATGCCAGTCTTGTACGCCACAGCAGAGATTCCCCACTTTTCAGTCAGCTGAGCCGTTGGTGATGCATAAGAGCCGGCGGAGTAGGCGGCTGTGATATTGACCGAGCAGGAAAGGTAGGTCATGAGCTTTTTCCGGGTCAGCGACCAGGTAAATGGGTTGTCGAAGTCGCGCAGGTTGGGACACGGCGGAAGCTCATTTTTCGCCCCAGATGGGAGTATCGGGTTTAGCGGAATGTCCGTTTCAAAGGTCAAGTATCGATATTCAATGTCATTGGCATCGAGAGGTCCCGGTATTGGTGGATATCTTGGATCGTTTTGGAGGGGCACATTCTGAGCTGTCACGTCGTCCGCGCCACCTACGGATATAGGGATCATAACATCGTCAATCGAAGCTTCATCATATTTTCTTGAGCCATCCTGGTCCAGCATAGCAGAGACTACCGAGGTATGGCCCTGGGTGTACGAGTATTTTCGAGAGAAAGAATACTATAGAGATCTGTAATAGTTAGTTCGGGGGTTGACTGGTACCTTTAACAAGATTTCTGGGCGCCCGCTATGTCATGGAGAGATCTGGAGATAAAGGAAAGATCGACACCGGCGTCAGTAGCATAACCGGTGCACCAACGAGGTGAGTAGAAATGGTGGAGGCATACCCCGTACATCTCCCCGCGGCCTCTATCCGCATCCCCGGATACATTGCCGAGGTGCAACTGCCGGGGAGGAAGGGTAGACTCCGTTGAGACATACTCCGTCGACATGCAGAGATATTGATCCATCGTGCTTCTGTTGGATCCACGAAGGTGCTGTATTTATATGCATGTTATGCTGGTGAAGCGGAGAAAGAACACACTGTATAATGCATAGTATGTCAGGCGTCCAAGCCCCCTGCCGAACACGAAATGTCTGACGGACATTGTTTCCGTTTCTTGTTGGCATACGTCTTGCTTTGTATAATGCCCTTGGCCAGACTTTCCAGCTCCAGGGGCATTTGCCGTGGTGTCTTTCACGGATGAGGCAGTGCAAAATTGAAGATATACATGTTATATTCTGTTTCCTTCTTTCTGAAAGGCCTCCAAGGCGTCAATATATGCTGTCATCGGTGAGTCATGGCCCGTGCCGACTGGGAACACTTAGATCTCAGTGATGTAAACGCATTGGAAAACGTCATGACTTCAGAGCCACCACCAGGTATCGTAGGCTTGACCATTTAGCCCAGACTGAAAAATTAGTGACCGCCTCCGGATTTATCCTAGTTTTCCTTACCTCAATTCCTCTCTTGACGAGATCGCAATATCTGGGCCTTGATTGAATACAGTAGGAACTGTCCGAGATACACTATCCGGTATTGGAGCGAATCATCCAAGATGGCGACGACTCCTCAGAGCTCAAGCAAGGAAATGATGAAGAATAAGAATGGTGCGCTCTCTCTTTGGTTCGAGTTTCGCGAAGAGGCACTAACAAGCTAGCTCTCAGTCGCCGGGGGCCAGCTCGCAATGCACTCTAAAGATCCTCCGACCGGCTTCTTTCGCGATGGATACTGCAGGACTGGACCTGAAGACAAAGGCAATCATTCGGTCGCAGCCACAGTGAACCAAGAGTTTCTGGACTTTACAAATTCAAGAGGAAACAACCTGAGAGAGGCGGGAGTCAAGGATGGAATGAAGTGGTGTCTCTGTGCACACCGGTGGAAGGAAGCATTCGACGCCGCGCAAAAGGGACAAATATCACAATCGGCAGTGCCACGAGTGCATCTCCACGCCTCTCACGAGAGTGCCCTGAACACTGTCAAGTATGGAGATTTGAGCAAGTATGCCATGAGCGGAGAAGCTCCGAAGGAATCGACCAGAAACCGACAGAGCGCCCACAGTGATCCGGAGCAGCCTTCACACGGGGTCGCCAGGGAGACGACAGAGCTGAGTGGTAGGGCGGAGCCAGGGAGAGTCGGGGGATAGAGCTGAGAGGTGTACTGGTGATACGGTGTGTGGAAGGAGGGAGTAGAGAGGACAATTTGGCTGAAGGTGAGAATGGCGGATTGCGGCTTGAGATAAATGCTCCGCCGTGATAGTGATGAAACTATGCTCCGCCGTAATCGCAGGCCGAGGCGTTGGAATCCCGAAAAGCCAGAGATGATCAAATAATTGCTACTCCATACTCAATGGCAAATGCGATACTGTCCTCGTCAACTTCGGCAGTCGTTCAGCTATACAACCCACCCTTGTTATACATCCTCTTTTCGGCTTATCCTTAGGGTCCATACTTGATCCGTTGGCTCATGTTCACAGCTGCTTCATCTTTCGTCTCTCCCGTCTTCTAGATTCCTCTCAGCCTTCTCACGCGACTTCTGGATCTCCCGCTTTCTCCGCCTGCTGTCTTCGGCCCGGGTATTTGAATGACACCCACGATTTGACATTGAATTCACCCTCTTCGACACTGCTGCTTTAGTGAGGCAAGCAGTCCTCGGGCGCAGTGGGCGCCATGTCGGACTCTGTGGGTATGTTTTATCCTCATCTCCGTTATCCTGATGGTACGTTGTCGGAGTCTCACTTCTCCCGATCCAGATCGCGTGTTTGTCCATGCCCTTGCCACAGTGCGCCGGCTCCCTCGAACTGGCTCCTCACGACCACCTCCGTCCGCCCGGCTACGTCTCTATGGCCTCTATAAACAATCCATGGAGGGTGACGTTGAATCTATCCTCCCGCGTCCGACCGTGCCCTCTGTTTCCCCAGACCCCAACAACTCCAAGTCAAACAACGTTCACCGCTACGCGTCTCGAGACCTAAGGATGCGAGAGGCTGAAGCCGAGATTGAGAAATGGGATGCGTGGCATGCCTGCGCCGGCATGTCCCGCACTGAAGCCAAACGACGGTACATCAGTACACTAATAGATACCATGAAGGAATATGCCTCCGGGACACAGGAATCTCGTGAGCTGGTAGCAGAACTGGAATTCGTTTGGAACCAGATCAAAAGTCAAAGCGGGAGCTCAGAGGACGACGATGCAGAGTCGTCCACCAGACGGTTGGAGCGGGCTGGTCTGAAACAAACAACAAGTTTCGGGAGTCTACCTCCCGGCCAAAGCACACGAGGCGAAGGGGAAAGTCTGGGCAGATTAAATTCGGACCCAAGTCGGATGCGAGTCCTGTCGCCAGTTTCACAGAGAGGGAGCGATGATATTGTGGAGAGTGAAGAGGTGGATCCGATAACCCATGCAGTTATTGGTCCTTTATCATCTTCGCGGCGAGCTCACTCTGATCCAGACTGGCGAAGTCGCATTGAGTCTCACTTAAGGCATCTTTCAACCGAGGTCGCCGCACTGCGAGAACAGTTATCCGCAAATCACTTGCTCTCCTCTTCGTCTTTCTCCCCCGAGTTGACATCTAGGCGGAGAAGGATATTCTACAGAATATCGACGTGGGTTAAGTGGTTAGCGTGGGCACTTGTGCGGCAAATTTTGGTTGATGCAAGTTTGGTGTTTCTCTTCGTGGTGTGGGCGAGATGGAAGGGGTACAAAGATCGCCGAGTTGAAGATTGGGTAAAGCGTCGCTGGAAAGATGTTACAAGGACGCTTGCTGATATGAAGAGGTGGCTGATGGGGTCGATATCGGCGGTACGGATCCCTGTGGTGCGGAAGGTCACCTGAACCGCACCAAGTGTGATGGAAAGCAGCATTTTCTGACTGCTTCTGCCAGGAACTTCTTCGAATTCTCGGCGGTCGCTTCCTGGCGCGCTACAAGACGGAAATCGCTGACCAATTCGGCGCCGGGGCTGTGCTGGGCGATGAGACATGAGCACAGGAAACACAAGTCAGACTCGGGATGATGCTCACCAGCTGACAGGCTAACCTGAGTCTGGACATTCTGGCTGTTGGAGTTGCAGCCACGGGTTTATACGCACGTTGCCCGACCGTTCCTAATTCTGTCTCCTTACATGGTCAGTTCAGCAGGTCCAATCTGTTGCTCCGGCGGATGAGATCGAAGACATTTGGCAGGTCTTGGATATCCGATTGCAGCGGATATGTCGACAGGCAGCAGACGGATAATCATGAGATTTTATGACCCGGTAAGGGAGGTCTGGATGTAACTGACATAAAAAGTGACGACGACCATGGCACATTCATCTTTGGACAATCCACTGCAAAAAAAACCTTTACCTAGAGGGCTAGACCTATCACAAAAGCGGGAATTGCTCGAACAATGATCCAGACACAGAAGAAGATACCACATCTTATTTCATCCTGCTTGCTCGCTCACTCGCTCATTAGCTAACTCACTGTTTCTGGAACTCCCGACGGCAATCAATATTATTCTTCCCTGAGTTTGAACCCGCCTTTGACCCGCGTCGCCATTACGCCTTTCGGATCGTACGCGTCCCTCACTTTCCTCGCCTCCTCCATCATCCTACCCTTGTTCTTCTTCTCCAGAAGGGCCCAGACGTCCTGCCCGGTGTTTGCGTAGTTGATGTACCGGAACGGATGCAGTGCGCCGTCGTCCCTGTCCCCGTTCCCGGTCCGGTCCGTTCTGAGCAGCGCAGACGTGGAGGAGGAGGTGGTGGTGGTGGTGGTGGAGGAGGAGGAGGAGCGGCCGTGGCGGCGCGCGAGGGTTTCGGCCTCGGCTAGGATGCGAGTTATTGTGGCGACGGAGTTTGCGTCGTGGGTGGGGTGGAGGTGGTGGGATTCGAAGGAGAGGACTTGGGTTGTAGGGATTAGTTTTGATGATTGGGTTCGGGAGCTCGAGAGGAAGGAAGCCGGCTGAGAGAGGAGGGGCGGTGGAGGTTGGGAAGGGGGAGAAAGAAATGGGGTGGGTTTATATGTCAGGGCGTGGGAGATGTCATGGCGGGAGGGATGAGTCCTGGTCCTCGGTCGGGGGAAATCCTTTGTGACGGGAATATAATGGGATGGGATGGGATGGGATGGGATGGGACGATGGTGGTGAGAAGCAATACTTGTCTGGCAAGGAATGAAGAACAACACCTACGCATCAATGGCTCGGCTTCGTCGTCTAGCCCCATCAGATTCCTCGCTCCTTGACGCCTGGAGTAATGTAGGTGCGGTAGTGTAAGTGGCTGAAGCAGCATTCCGGCCCGAAAGAGGGGATCGCGCGCATCAGAGCCATGCTGTTCTGTGTCTAGCGTGCGGTTGTGAACAACGTTTGCAGTGAAGAGGTCTGTGATTTTCGACAGGAGGTTAGGGTCGTTGTGGACTGTGAGAGTCGTTTTGTACACCCTAGATCGAGCGTCGTCAGGGATGCCAATGAGAGATGACGTGAGGTGGACGCTAGCAAAGAAGCAGAGGGAGGGCTAAGAGGCATACCGGAAGCCGTAGGGATTGTTCATCTCAACCATCTCGGCCACTTCGGTCATCCCAGCCCTGAACATGGTGGTCTCAAGGGTCGGGATCTCCAGAAACGGTTCCCACAACGGGGACTCGTCCTTCTTGTTCGAGCCCGAGCCCGAGTTGACGCGGGTCAGCGTGAGAACATACACCGTCTGGCTACTTAGCGCGTCGAAACCAACCGAAAGCTCCGCCGATGAGGAGGGGTCGAGACGTGCATTCTGTGTAAAGACTGCAAGGGCACTTATCACCCGAGAGAGGTGTCCGTGCGAGTACTGTAGGAGAGCGACGTGCAGTGGCTCTTGAAGTGGGAATGTCCTCAGGCGGAATCTCGTTGCTATGCCGAAGTTGTTGCTACCCCCTTTGAGTACGGAGAAGAGATTGCAATGGCTTGACGAAGAAGTGTTGACTACTGTACCGTTTGCGAGGATCACCTTTGCGAGGAAAGACCTCAAGTGTTAGTGATTGCTCGAGTGCTTTTGTAGTCAGTCAGGTCAAACATATTCCGTACCTCGATTGACAGAAGGGTATCCGCGGACCAGCCATATAGGCTCGACAAAATGGATATGCCGCCTACCCAGGCAGCTTTGTAAGCAGCGTGATCTCATTGGGCTCAGGGGGTGACAGACCACCCAGCAGGTATCCTCCTATGCCCACAGACGCAGCTCTGCCTCCAGAAACCGCCAGTCCAAGAGGGTCAAGAATCTGATAAATGTCTAGCCAGCGGGCCCCGGTGCCCACTTCGACATATGAATAGTCATGTGCAACGGAGACCGACGACAATGCGGACAAATCCAGCGTGATGCCGTCGTTTAGATTCGAGGCGCCATGAGCGGTCGAGTGGCCGCCGCTCGTGATGGCGAACTGGACGTTATCTCCCAAGGCAACAAGCTGGGAGACGAGGCTGCTGACTTGTTCCGGCGTCTCCGGAGATAAGCGGCATGTTGGAGCGAAATCTGCCTGGTTGAAGGCCCAGTACTGAGCTTGCTGAGATCGGTACTGTCTATCGTTCGGGAACGAGACTAGCTCTGGAAATAATTCGACAAGGATATTGCACTTTTGGGAGGTCAGTTAAGGAGAGCCGTTTTGGCGAAGAGGCCTCGGGGGAAGAAACTTACAGCCCGCAAGGCTGCTTGGTCGGTGGGGCTTGTCAGAGGTGATTGTCCCGCTTTCACTGTACTGGAGATACTCGCAGTCAGGACTAGTACACTAATTGCCACCAGAAGGTATGGTTCCATGGGATATTCAGAGAAGCCAAGTTTAAAGAGAGGGCCGAAGATACAGGCAATGATCAAGTAGTAGATTTATGCCTCGCCGTAGCTCGAGCATCAAAAGATAAATGACGGTCAGACCGTGGCAAGACCGTGGGAAGACCGTGGGCAAAAGACGCCCACGGGGTGAATTTAGCGTGTGGGTTAGGGAAAGCTTTCCGTCAGAGTAAAGCAAGCTCAAAACAAGTCTACTTCTCTGTACCTAGATTACTCGCGAAAGAAGAACCTAATTGCGAACTACGGTTTGATCCTAGAGGGCAGCGAAGGCCGCTTCAACCTGAGCTTTTCACTAAGATGTCTGCCACAGCATCCACCTTCTGATGCTGCCTGTCGAGTATTGTCACACTGTAGGGAGGTACCCGGAACGGCTCTATATGTCTCTATACAACTACTACAATTTTTCCGTGACTTCCCAATCAATTTCTGTTCAGTCGGCAAAGGCTCGACAAGCTCATCCCAGGGTGGGCGGTACCAATCCCCTTACTCGCGTGATGCGCCTCCTTCTGCTAGAGGATCGGGCTACAGAAATATTCCCCCGGTCCGCCATTCAGTTTGCGATTCTTGAGCTTGATGCTTAGGGATCAGAGAGGACTGCCATACCTAATTAGGCAAGCTGCTAATCCAGTAATGATACAGATTGTCACAGCGGGGCGGAGAGTTGAAAAGAGTGTCCACCCGGTAAGGCAGGCCCTGCAACAGACCTTGCCCGGTCCAGGTAAGAGATGGAATACTGGAGTAAAAGAGAAGGAAAAACGCTTTCCGGGTGTGCAAACCGGATGGGCATCCCATATCGCAATCTCTCTGAGTCCACCGAGTATAATCGCTGTCTTGACTGGCGACTCAAAGCCTCCATGCAGAAAACGGTTCAGCTGTGACTAGAAGGAAAGCATTCTGAACTCAGTTTCCAAGGACCTATGGAGAACGACTTTTCTCAGACTCCGTTACCTTTCCAAGTCGCTCGGATCCCAGTCTAACGCCTATTTTTAGAGCTACTCGAGTGTCTAGGATGTGCTCTCTTCGTATAACATTAAAAGTGCGTTGTTGTTGCTTAAACCTGGCAGTTTAAGTTTGGTGCTTCCTAAGCTAGGGGCCCTCTCGCGCAGCAGAAATTGAATCCGAAGACAACGGTTGACATAGTTGGGGCTAATAATGGAGTGATTGAACTAGGTACTCATTACAGCGATGAATCCATACCTGGCTACGGTTCATCATCAATGTTGTAGCCGGGATGACTCCCAAGAATGGGTAATTGTCGAAGTTCCTCACGTCGGAGTGAAGCTAAATTAAGATATACGAGGTCGGCGCAGCTCCTGGGTGAAGGGCGGAGGCAACACTCCGCTACAACACGAGACCACAAACTCTAACCCCTCCAAAGTTTCTTGCTTTGAAACAGCCCCATGTCACACGAGAAAGCTCGTGTCTCGTTCTGCGACCTAATGCTACTTTCCCCCTGGGGGATCGGTTGTCGGATGGCAATGCTACTATATATACGCTGCAGTGCAGGGGTCGACTGAAATACGGCCTCCTAAAGTCTCTTCCCATGCAAATTTGTATGTGAAAAGGTCCGTGGGTTGAAGTTCCGTTGCATTAGCTTTCACTCCATGTGGTCCGCAACATCTGGGAGATGCAAACGCGAAAGGGTTGTTAACTTCCATCCATCTAGCTTCTAGATTTAGTCAACCTTACCGTGTTCCTCTAGTGTCAGGATAATCGATTAAAAGCGTGATCAAAAACGATTGAGTATCTCGGCCGTTGCTGTACACTGCGTTCATCTGCATAGTAGATTTTGAAAGAAACCATGGCAGTATATTCGTTCGTTGCTCTCGTATTGATCGTGCTTGGACTGGTTATCTGGCGCTCACTTATCAGCAAGCCACGTCGCCCTGCGGGAACTCGAGAGATTCCAGGGCCAAAAGGTATTACATCGGCCATCCTCACCTCCAAAATCTACTAGCTGATGATAATGAGGTCTTCCATGGATTGGCCGTGTCCACGACATTCCCAGCGAGAAGACTTGGATGAAATTTGCCGAATGGTCAGCCAAGTATGGTCCCATTTACCAGCAAACCATGATGGGTAGGCTCGTTTGTTTGATAGAAGTAGAGGTCGAGTACCTGATTGCCTTTGGACAGGAATCGTGCACATTTGGGTTTCGAAGGAGCACATGGTCCTTGACATCCTCGCCAAACAAGGTTCCATTTGTTCTGACAGACCAGCTGCATTCCCCAATGTCCCGGGAACAAAAGATTGGAAGTATCTACCTCTCCAAGGTTTCCATGATACCTGGCGTCGACAACGAAAATTTACTCATCTCATCTTCGGCACGGCCCATGAGAACAACTACTATGACCATCAGACCGTCGAAGTACCTCGCACGCTGGTGCGCTTGCTTCAGAACCCTGAAAGATGGAGTACACACCTCGATCAGCATCAGGCACGCTTTTTGAGTCGATGTGCCTTTGGAACTCCACACCACGCATCTGCGCTGTGTACAAACGCCTGGAGATTGCTCATTAATATTTCACCATCTGGGCGTTTTTCAAATATTCTACCAGGATGCATGAGAGTGCCCAAATGTATCGCCTGGTGGAGAGTCGACGAGGAAGACCGGCAAGAGAAGGAAACTAGACTTTACCAGAATTGCCAAAATGAGGTGCGGGAGCAGTGGGAGAAGGGCCAGGCACCTCCTTGCTTCACGCGCACATACCTCGAACACGGCCACCGCTTTGGCTTTCCGACCGATATTGAAGCCGCGTTCAATGTCGGGATGGTCTCAATGGCAGGAATTCATACCACATCATCTCCGCTCCATACCTTCTTCCTAGCCATGACACTGCATCCAGAATGGATGACGAGACTACAAAAGGACATCGATGCCCTTTGTGGTGACAGAATGCCGGTACTCTCGGACATGTCGGATCTGCCAATTATGCGGGCAATTGTAAAGGAGGGTTTAAGATGGAGGCCGGCGGTACCCACTGGTTTGTCCATTTGCTTTTTTTTTTCTCTCGTTTTTTTTATGTTTCTTTTAAGTAGTTCCTGCTGACGCGTTTGCTGAAAAGGTATTCCACACGAGCTTCAGGACGATTGCATCTACGACGGATATTTCTTACCCAAGGGCTCCTGGGTGCATCCGATGGAATGGTCCCTGTCTCGCGATCCCGAGGTCTACCCGGACCCGGAGACATTCAACCCTGACCGCTGGCTCTTGCCGGGCTACCCAACTTACAAGGAGCCTCTCACCCAGTTCCCGACCCTCCATGGCTACCACCAATTTGGGTTTGGTCGACGGATCTGCCAAGGCGTCAACATCGTGCAGACGCAGACCTTCTGCCTGTTGGCCGCTGTCGCGTGGGGATTCGACATCAAGCGGAAGAAGGACAAGCTGGGGCAGGAGCTGCCCATTCCGGTGAATGACTACCACCCACTCCTGATCACCAAACCTAACCCATTCCAATTCGACCTGGTCCCACGATCGGAAATGAAAAGACAACAAATCATGGAGGCATTCGTACAGGCTCAAGAGAAAGACCAGCTTTTGCAGAAAGGGGAGTAAGATTTGCTCGAATAAGAACCTGGGTTGCTAGGCCTCGGCGTTTGTGTTAGGAACCAGGGTGCCGATACATGCACATACGACGTAATTTGGACTGCGGAGTCGTATGCACGTATGCACGAAGGCGTTCTGCTGGCGCAGGAGCGAAAATAGCTTATTTTTATTATAAATGACCAGTATTTATACTTCAAGCAGACACAAATGCTTATTTCTAGTCATGATGCTCGACAATTATTCTCTTAATTTTTCAAGGAGCTCTACAAAGTATGCCTTTAAGATAGATTGGTGCATATTAAATGCCTATGCCGTTTTGAAGCACGTGCGGTAAAGTTGGATACAGGACGAAATTGTGCCCCTCCTCCTCGGAGATCCAGTCATCAAAAGCTATGCATTTCTTGCGATTATCTGGTCATCTCACGGTAATCCATACTACATACAATCCTCTCCCTCTCCACCATCTCAATCCCACTTCACAACGCAGTCCGATTGCTCTTTCAAAGCTAGACCTATCAGCTCCACTGGAAAACAACCACAGGAAAACAACCACAAGAAATACTAGTAGGGTTCCCTCTCTATTAGAGCCACACCGGGTCTGGACAGGTACGTGCCTTCCGAATGTTAGTATTTGAGTAAAACAAGCATACTACGGCCCCAGGCCAAAAACTTCCTCGTGATACCACACATGCCATCCATCACGCATGACATGCTTGCCCACCTCCTTGCGCAGCGCCCGCGTCATGCTTGGGGGACCGCAAGCCAGAACACTGACTTTTGCAACGCTGTTCTTGGCAATCGAGCTTTTCTCCAGCGCTCCTCTAGTCGGCGAGAAGACATCGTCGACCACTGCCTTCATTTCCGGCCGTCTGCCGTAGCCGAACACTCTCAACCCACGCTTCGTGGTAACCGTCTCACGAAGCTTCTCGGCGCTCGGCTTTGTGATGTACACGGCCACGTTCAGCTCCGCTACAGCTGCTGTTAGCAGCATTTCCAGGCCCCATTCTGCGTCCCGGAGCGACTTCACGAACCAGGTGTAATAGATGTTCTGCGTCGACTTCCGTGTCGCCAGGAGGGATAAGTATATCGGCATGGTGAAGGTCGCACCCACTCCGCCGGCAACAAGCATGATCGCTCCGTCACTCTCGCCGGCCCGAAGTAGAGTGGGCACGTATGTCCGAGCTTGTCCGTAGGGTCCCTCGACGAACAGTTTTGCATTTTGAGCCACAAGCCCTGTCTCCGTCGGCTGGGCGGCTAGCCAGCTGGTCATTGGACCATTCGTGACGCGAAGCACCAGATCGATATTTGAGCTCTCGTCTCCGCCGTCCTGGGCTTCCCGCGGTGGAAGGGACACTACAGTCAATGGGCTGCGGGGCATTGCCGGGCTGATACTCCGCTTGACGTAGACGTGCTGTCCTGGCACCCACCCAGGCGTACCGGCGCCTAGAAGAGGTGGAACACCCCATGCCGGACCCGTAATTTGAAGTTTGGCGAGATTTGTGCCGCAGATTAGTGACAGGGTTGACGCAATCGGCACGCTGGTCGAGTTGGAACGAGCGGCTCCATTGAAGATGTAACATGCAGCCATCTGGTAGACGTACTTACGGGCAGTGGACACATGCATGAACAGGGCAGGCATGAGAAGACCTGACAAGACGACATGTGGCCTGTAAAAATGTTTGTGGTAAGCGGCCCTGCGGACTGTCGGGAGCGCTGCGATCGCGAGACCGTTGAAGATGCAGAATGCAGTCAAGCCTAGGCAGACATCCCAGTTTCTAAGTCGTTGAGACAAGATTTTCTCCATGACAAAAAAATTCATGTACAGGACGGCATGTGCGGCTAAGAAGAGGTGGATGATCCGGCCAAAGAGCCGATGATAAGGATTTAAGGTCTCGTGGCTCAGGCCTGTAGCGAACTGGACCGGGTTTCGAGGGGATTTTATGGCCATCATGTACTGAAATGGTAGCTGAGATACTGCGATATGGCCTAACAGCTTGGTGAGGTGCAGGTAATCATCTCCGGATTGTCGGAGTGTGAGGAACAGCAGCCAGCACGCGTAGGCAACTCCAAGGATGTGCACTTTTCTAGCACCGAACTCCGAAGTCATGGGTTGGTCTAGCCACCAGGCAATGCGCCGTTGTTGGACTTGCAGAGTCGATGGAGGCTGCTCCAGGGAGTCCTTAGAAAGAGGAACAATACGGTCTTTGTAGAAAGTTCCAGCGAGACGAATGGCGAAAACGATTGCGAGGAGGACGATAGGCGAGAGCCAGGCGTAGAAGCCGTGTCGGTCGAGTGACGTCCGGCGTTCGTCCAGTTGGATCGCCGTCAAGGTAACAAAATGGTAGGGTATAGCTCGATTCATGGCTGGAGGTGATATTTGACAGGCAGGGGTAGCGACAGCGACGGAGCACGTAATGTTGAGATCGATGGAAGGAAATCTCCGTACTTGCAGATGCTCAATGATGGTCACAAAAGCCTCATACACCGCCGATTACCACGAATACTGCCAACAAACAAAGAGAACTCAAAGCCTTGAAAAGCTGGAGCTGCAACGGAAACTATTCAGTCACCCACGGAAGCCATGAGAGATAGCCTCCTCCTTTGGATCCCCCACAACTTCCCTTGATTGGCGGGGGCATTCATCGCCAGCTTCGAAAACACTGCAGAAAATCTATATTCGCACCTAGGGAAGATTGTTGCTTTGCAACAAACAGTACGTTCGTTGTCCACTTTTGCCGAATGCAGCCAGTGCAGTAGCGCCTATTGACACGGCTCACACCATGCATCGGCTTTGCTCTAAGAAGAAGGTGGAGTGGGTCTGGAGGCTTGGCGCCAGATTGAGCACGGCAGTGCCCCTGTAAGGGACTCGAAATGTCCGTATACTAAAATAAGACACTGGATCGAAACAATTTCTCTCCAATCATGTCTATATTTAATTATCGTTTTTATGGTTATAATCACAATCGTCCCTGAAGGTCCGCCCGGCTGACGAATCCAATTGAAGCTTTATGATTTGGTGTCAGCTTCCAGCGAGGAAGAAACCGAAGTGGACACGGAGTCGTGTTACAGAGCTTGAAACTAACATCGATACTTTTGACGGCCTCTTTGTATGCGCGCAAAGTCAAGAGAATGGTGGCAACTTAGATGTTCCACAAATGGTGCGATACTGTCTGCTGGCCTGGCATGACCGATACTGTGGTTATGATGCAAGTGATGAGCTACGCTTCTTAAAAGCTGGTTCATATCCACGATATTTGATAAATTCCACTAGTCGCTCTTGCACTCTGAGTATAGAGATGGACACAAATAGTTGTCGTGCACTGCCTGGGAGACGACACAGTCCACCCTTCATGAAAATATGGTATCAGAAAATTGTCATTGTATTGCCGTTGCAAGCATCCATAAGCACAAGATTCACAGCAAATCCTTTCCAATTTCCCCTCGCCGGTGCCGACCCTCCAGATGTATCCGAGTACTTGACTGAGCACAAGAGGATACCGTGCGACTCAAAGGTCAGAGTGAGATATGCACAGCGTTGCCGAACGCCGATTCTAGCACGTTTGCTAGAGCCTTGGAAGAGCAAAAAGTTAGTAAGAGTCTTGCGGACGGAAAGCTCATGTATCTACATGTAGGGCGACCTTGGCCGCAGTGTTCTTGTTCTCTCCACCACACAATTTGGAATACTGTTCGCTGACGTATATTGCCTTGAATGTTGGAGGAATCGTGATAGAATCGTTGTTGGGATTGCCGAACCTTGATATCAGGTGGTCTTTTAGCAGCTGTGCATGGTGCAAGAAATAGAACCTAGCCTCTTCCAGAGGCAGCGGGATATCGTCGTGCTCGTCCTCCAATAAGTTCCAGATTGGGAGAATGTTGAGAGTCCCAGAGTGTCTCTTAGCCGCAGCTTCCTCCATTGCCTTGATAGATTCCCACTCTTCGACGTCTCCGACTCCGAAGAGATCTGTATGCTGACCTGAGCAATGTAACTCAACGTTTGGGTCTTGTGTGCATACCGTTGTGAATGAGCCCGTCCATGACCACATCGACTCGAGCGCCAGGGCTGTAGATCGTGGATATATGCTTGCAGAGTTCATCGAAGCGGGTTAGGTTGGATTCTGGCTCGAATTTCCTGCCCCGAGGGACGCCCTCATACTGTGATAGTTGGGACGCTAGAACAACGAGACGGATTGGTTCGTTCTCTGCGACATGCCTGAGGACTTTGCCAAACATGATAGGAGCTATATTCTTCGCATAGTGTGCATAGTCTTCACGGCTTTGCACTTTGTAAAGATTCGCCACCGTGTTTGCAATCGCAAGAGAAATGCTCTCCCTCTCTCCCACCTGCTGTAGGTCGTCAATCTTTGGGATGGTAGTCAGTCCACCATGATAAGCCTGAACATGTTTTGTCTGTAAAAATTTCGAGACGCAAACAGGAGTTAAAATTGACGTTGTCGGCATTGTTCAAGACTGCAAGACAGTAGATTTATCCATTCAATTGTGATATCACGTCTTTCCTAGAAGGCGACAGCATATGAAATATCAACAACGGCTCAAACTCAACGCTAAAAAGCGAATGTAGCTAGTTGCCGTCAACGAATCGTAGGGGTGTAGCTATTCTAAGGAATTGTATAGGTTGTCGGTATCGGAGTCCCTTATTTCTTGACTCCTAAAGTGGGTAGTACATCCCATAGAAACCCCCGGAACAGTTTGAATAGGCTGCGACTTGTCGTACACTGGTCAGTAAGGAGTGGCTGCCCAATGCCAGAGCAGATGTCGGATCCAGTCACACCATTCCATGCAATGGTTGGATTTTGATCGTCCTCGGAACTGCCAAGATATCATCTAGGGCATTTCAACGTAACGGACGACTTGTCGAGCCGGCAATGCGTCAACTGAGACCGTGAAGCCGAACGAAGTTTGAGACGCAGTCCTTGTCCGTGGGCGATAACTTGCCACCCTTGCAATGAATGCATGTGCTATGGCATCCTCCCATGTCCAAACCAAAACAAAATTAGAATCCCTGCAACCTTTCACATATCACGAATCTCCGCGAGAGGGGTGGGCTATGACGGGCACTGTCGGCTAAATCCAGGGCGACAGTACTTGCTCCTATCTTGCCAATCACAAAGCTGGTTTATTACCTGTGTGAATCTGGAAGCCAACGGCGGCAGATGTGTAGGGCGCAGTATCTGGAAACTCAGAGCTTCTCCCAAGAAAGAAAGCTGTTGTGGCATCCACAGGCTTGGTCTTGGGGCCGCAGTGCGGAAGAACCGAATTCCGGTTTCAGTCCCTCCGAAGCATTTGAACAATGCTCTAGAATCCAGCAGGTTTTGTATATAGATAAAGAGGATCTCACTGAAATGCGAGAAGGCAGACAGAATCATACAGAGATTGTGTCAAATCACAGAATTGCACAAGTGCGCAACAAAAGCGACCATTGCCACTCGACACAAAAAACAACCTAACAAATTAGCAAGGAATCAACTTTGGGGCATTTATGTCCGTGGTGGCTTCTCACCCACCTCAACGTTGAGCCTCGTTTGCCTCCAGTATGCATTGGCCCGTGTGCATCACATGCCAATTGTTCCATACTTAACTTCGTGATTGCACGCCCAACTGAAGGAAGTGTCTGCTTCTCGGCCCGATGCCAAGTTACTTAACTAATCCAAACGGGCGCACCCCGCACAGGACTATCTTAGACTAGGTACTTCCGATTGGCAGGGTACTTCGTCAGGGGGGAAGAAGGGAGGAGGAGCGGCGGAAATTGACCGGTCTCCACAGCCGCTAAAGCCACGACCATTGCAACTACAAGCAGTGAATCTTCAGGGGCCACGAGATCCTTACCACGGAGCAGATACGTGCGGGGTATTGTTTCCACGCGATAATTCAGTCACTTGGAAGATATTTGTAGTTGTGACCTCTCAGCATGTCGGCTTCACTATGAAGCCTTACTTCATATCTCAGCATTGAGAATGGAAGCCCCGACCAGAGACTGCTGGCCCAGTCCTGGGGGACGTAACTGCAAGTTGCAGGCCATGCTCCAGCTGCTACTATAAAATCTGTGGCTGTATTTTGTAGCTCCGGGCAGAGCCATCAGACCTATTCCGTAACACCATTCGCAGAAAATGCACGTTGGAGCTTGCCGCCATTAGCTGACATTCCCCCCTCAGAAGATACATATCAAGGCAAAGTTTGGATGACACAGCGATCAAGTGACTCGTTAGCCGGGTCGAGGGGAGCCTGCTTCGAGGAGCAGAACTGAAAGTCGTCCGATATTGTATGGACCTCGACACACGGTCGATCGACAAGCGAAAGAACATTGGACTTCGGGTACAATCGTCTATCTTGCCACTACAAGGTAACCAGCTGGACCGAACACGAATCGCCATTCCTGGACTGCATTCACCTTCTACATACAAGTTTCACAAAACCTTTAGAGCTCCTATTTGTCCTCAACAGGGCAGCCTCTAGCTTGGTGGCGGTAAATGTTCTATACTTCAGCCGCAAGATATACACCGTTACTTAACTCTTCTAATACAGCCACATACAAGGAAAGTGCACCGAGGCAAGGCGTAGCATGGCTCGGCTGCTTAGCCTCGCCTATCCACTCTTCCCCTCTTTTTTCTCAGCGGCAGCCCACTAAATAATAGCTAAATAGCTTGCTAACTCCTTGTCTTACTGAAGCTAATGTCCACCATCACGGTGGCTCTTCTATTTCTTTTCCTTACCTTCGCCCCCTCTCGAGATACGATATCCAGACTGTCTCGAAGAGTAGTTTAATGTCAGGGATGGCTTGGCAGCGAGCTATCTAAGAAGTATATTGCCTATCTATAGGCGCAGTGCGACAGCGACTTCGAAGCTGAAGAGCTTCAAAGAGATGATCTACGACCCCGTGCTATATACATGTGGTCTTCTAGTGCCTTGGCGTCTTGGCATCCGTTACATTTAAGGCCACCTAGAGTCATAACTGTATCTATGCACAGAGCTTTACGAAGCAGCAGCAGGTGAGCCGAAGGTAAGTACAGCGACGAGCGGCTAATTATAAAGAGAAGATTAGGATAGGATTTCGTGCGACAATGCCTACGTAATGAAACTTGATCCCCAAATCAGAAACGACTCGTCCCTCTTCTTCACCACTCTCCCCTTCGATTGCCAAGATGCAGCTTTTCAGCATATAGTACCCGCAACGATCTCGAAACCTATAGGTCTGTGTAGGGATGTCGTCAGAGGCAGGAACTACACAAGATGCTAGAGTCTTCGAGAGAAGACCGCAGGGGAGATTCAGGAATCGAGTTACTGTCTCTTGCTTCCAGCTGTAGACATTTCAGAGCTAGAGATGATCGAAGAAAACCCGTCTGCTCAACTCGCGAGCACAGAGGACGAAGTTGCATGTACACGCAGCAAGGCATCTCCGGGGGTGCAAACAATAGGGTGGTTGTGGAACAAGAGTAACCAACTAGATTGCTACAGCCAAAGGATCATGCAGATACTGCCAAAATTGGAGTTACCTACTGTAACAAGGCAAGGTGGCTGTGCAGTGCTGGGTTGGTGGAGTGGCAGGGCAGAGGCCTGTCAGGTCACATGTCGAACCAAAATGGGCTGAGAGAGCAGGACAGTTTATAGTGCTGGCAGTGTGCCATTCTTTACAGTTTGAACAGAGTAACAGTTGTCATGATTCTTTTGATGCGGTTTATCTATTCTTAAGTGTTTTATCGGTCCTGTCTCCCTCGCTCAATGATACCGACATGCTAGGCGTTCGTTGCCCTAGCCGCCGCCCTTCTGGGTTGTGTTGGTGGTGCTGCTCTGTCAGCTTCAGCCGGAAAGGCGTTCTCGATTCCAGACCTGCTGGACAGGCCTCTGTGCGTTGTTGCACGTGCATGCCGATCCCTGAAGTGCTCTGTTACACTACAAGCGCTTGAGCAATGGAATTGAGCTCTAGAAAGCAGATCTTTAACTAATACTGAATGCCCTTCATGGTCATGATCCGATCGAATGAGTGCTCTGTGGATAACGAATATATTCAGAGAGCCCCTACGCCGAGACCGCCTTCGGCTATGTCATTCTTTTTATCGAGGTCATCAAGCTGTACCGTATCATCAAGGCGTTCAAGTCCCGTGTTAATAATGAAGTCGGCAATGGCAGGGAGGGAGTGGAGTTGGTTATGTCGCTTGATTCACAATATCACAAGTGGCAACAGTCACTACCATTTCACCTGATCCTCGACCTTGCGGCTTCGAAAAAACAGCCTTAAATCCTAGCGCGGCGCGGGAACATGGTCAAAATCTTGATGCACTAGCAAGCTCTCATGGTGACATTGCGCGGTAGTTTAGGACACTAGGATGTGGAGGGCTCGGTTGTAAGCCATGCTTTGCAGTTCAGCCCCTTTATTATTAAGCTCCTCCCGTTCAAGGCATTCTATATCAATATTCTACTCTTACAGTAGTACGGTAGCAGTGTCTTGTATCAGCGGTTCGGACACGACCTTCAAAGCTCACAAATGCTGCACGGATTGATTGTTCACACTCTGACTCAATCTCAGACGATGTCCTATCAAGGCTAAGGGCTTTGCATCTCACAGTCCCTGGGGATGCCATTCAAACTATCCTGAAACATTAAATGACGCTGTTAGCGAACACAAGTGGTGATCGACTTTTACTCCGACAGTGTTTGAGGATCCACAGTTTTTGAATGCCACGCTCTGGCCCAGTATTATCAATTCAGACCCGAGAAATCCAGTTGGCTACTGTTCCGGGCATACACTGGATGGAAGCAAAACTAACCGACATTATCTCATCGCCTTCGCATTCCCCTTCAATCCATGAAATCCTTCAAATACCCAACCGCCTCTTCATACATCTCATCCATTTTCGGATTACCCCTGTGGAAGGTCGGCAGCCTATCCCAGGCATGAATAGTCTCCTTAATAACTCTTCCGCCAATCTTCTTGCCACCCAGGCTTAGCAATCTCTCGCGGAACGTCTCGCCTTCGTTCCTCAGTCGATCCCACTCACATGTGAACATCGCAATCTTGTCGGGCAAACAATCCCTTAGTAATCCATCGGATGCGAGACCTGGTGACAGGAAAGGGGAGTTGAGGTCCAAGTGCTCTCGATCCGACCCGCAGATGTATGCCTTCGCGAAGAGATTCAGCAAGGGTCTGGGTATATATTGCTCTTTTTTCCTCGCGAGTGGATCCACAGTATATCTCTCTTCGTCCGTCAAAGTCCGATTAACGAGGGGGTAGAAGGAGATTATCGCCCTCAGGCTCGATTCTGTTCGCTCAGCATTTGTACCCATATCACCCCCGACGTCTAAATCCTTCTTGCTCGATCTCAACCTCAACTCCTCACAAAGCCGAAACGCCGCTGCAAATACCATATTCCCACCAGCGCTGAACCCACTCAACGCAATTCTCTGCCTGTCGATTCCATACTCTTCTGCATGGGCATGTACCCAAAGTATGGCATCGACGCAGTCTTCAAGAGGCGTTGGATACGGATGATTTGGTGCCAGCCGATAATCTACGCTGATGAAATGGTAGCCATGTTGGGTGATGCGGTGGGCCCATCGCGCGTCCATACGCGGTGTGCCGAAGATCCAGCCCCCACCATGAAAGTTGATCACTGCAGGACGAAGGTAGGATGCCTCAGAGGCTGCCGGATAGATATTATCGGGCTGGGTTATCTCTGAAGGTTGAGTTACAGTTGGAGTCGAAGTAGGTGTATAAAACACCAACCTAATCACTCCCTTCTGCCGCGAGATTGTGGCAGGAATACTTCTTTCAAAGGACGGTTTTGGTGGGATCGGCGAGGAAAAGCGAAGATCGAGGAATTCGCTGAGCCATGCGACGAGGCATGCGACGACGAGAGCTATCCGGTCACCCAGGGACAGGGACGGTGATGCAGATGACGATGATGATGGAGATGAGGCCGCCATCAATAAGGCTTGTTACAAGTGGAATCTTGACGATGGGAACTCAACCTGAATACTGATGCTACTCGTACGACCTACTCTCAAATCTTCTCATTATATATAATGGCATCTTTCGGCACTCCAGGCGAATTGCGACAACTTGAGGCTGGACCGAGGCATTCCATCTCGAGGTATGTATGCATCAGCTTCGTACTTTTCAACTTGAGACCAATGCGAAACCCTTGTTGTATGTCCATCGACGATCTATTGTGCCGATATGAATTTTGAACAATGAAACCCTCCTAATTCGGTATCACCTTGCGACACGGGCTCGCAATCTCCTCCACTTCTTCGTAGATAACAGTTCAACTTTCACACAGGAGATAGGGTCAATAGGTTATCTCCGACGACCAAAATCTGGGGAGCAATATGCTTGCCCATTTTTCGTTCCAATCACACAAGAGCCCTTTGTCGTTGTATGACAGGACTCAGAATGGTAATCGAGACTAACAGCATAGGCAATCAATACAGCTATGGTAGAGCTAATCTACAAGAATCAGGGACTTTGACGGAAAACCATACCTTCCGGTTTTCGAGATTCTAGCACCCAAGTCCTGCCACAATCTTTCCTCTACCAGCAGAACATATACCATCCTCCTTCCTAACGCAACGATGCCTCCAATCCGCGTAGGCATCATCGGCCTCTCTCAACATAGCTGGGCAGCGAGAGCTCACCTCCCCTATTTAACAATAAGCCCGGACTACCAGATCGTGGCGTTATGCAATTCCTCAACACAACAAGCCAAAGCCGCAAGGAAGTGTTTCAATTTGCCTGGGGAGACGAGGATTTATGGTGATCCTGCAGGTACACACATCCCATCCACGACCACACTCTCAATTCCACATAGAATGCTCCATTCTCTTCTTTTCCCATCCAAATCCTCGCAGAACAGAATGGAGCCGAAGCTAAAGACGGTGCTTTTTGGCCTCGGGAAGACCTCGCCAAAGACCCCTCTGTCGACCTAGTAATCTGCTCCGTCCGAGTCGACAAACACTTCGCCGCCATAGCCCCAGCGCTTCTTGCCGGCAAATCCGTACTCGTGGAATGGCCGCTCGCGCGCAATCTCTCTGAAGCAGAGGAGCTTGTGCGGCTGAAGAATCAATATGCCACGCCTCCAACCAAGGAGAACGGTCGGCTGGCGGTGGTGAACCTTCAGGGCCGCCAAGCGCCCTTCCTCCACCAAGTGAAGCAGCTATTAGCAGAGGGGAGAATTGGACGAGTATTGAGTAGTTCTTTCATCGGACACACTGGGGGTGGAGCGGGTGATGGCGTTATCACCATAGATGAAGAGCATGAGTATTTCACGAGAAAGGAAGTCGGCGGGAATATGGTGTCGATTCATTTTGGACATTCGATTGATTCGGTTATGCAAGGCAAGCTGTTCCTGCTTCATGTTTTTGCAATGTCTTTGGCCACGAATCGTCTTGTCTCCGTCCCCATCCCTCCCTGGCATATGCTGTTTTCGTCCCCTAGAACATCAGCCTTCTTCACATCAGTGAGCTGTGATAGCTAGCTTACTCCTTGCCGCCTTTCCAGGCCTAGCCTACAGTTTCCTCTCCCCTCCAAAAACCATCCTCGCAAATCGCCAACAAGCAGTAAGACTCATTTCTCGCACCTCCGGCGCCATCATCTCCTCAACCTACCCAAAAGATACCGAAGATACAATCTCCCTCCACGGCACCTTAGCAAGCGGCGTCCCGCTAAGCTACACGATGCGTGCCGGACCCGCATTCAAAGACACACCTGGTCTAGATTGGCGCATCTACGGTTCAAAGGGGGAAATTCGAATCACGGCTCCAACGCCATTCATGCAGATGGGATATGATGGGACGAAAATTGAGGTGTATGGCTTTGCGAGTGATAGAGTTGAGGAGGTTGCCGTGGGGAAAGGTGAGTTTGAAGACTTGTTGCCGAGTGCCGCCAGGAATGTGGCTATTGTTTACCGTGAATTGGCCCAGAATAGGGAGAGTTGTACATTTGAGGAGGCGTTGGAGTTGCACAAGTTGATTGATGGGATGTATCGAGAGAATGATGAGGGAGCTCGTAATGTTAAACTCTGATCCTGTTGGATTGTGTCCTTCTGGCCAGCGCTAAGACCCGAAAAGAGCAGTGACCGATGTATGCACCTTTATTGTGAATGAAAGCAGCGATAAATCCTATTCTTCCAATACTCTAATAAAGTCAAAGTCGGTGCGCAGCATCTTAGTTTCGGGACTGCGCTGAAATCGTAGTAGTAAGATCCCGGTGGTGCCTCGAGGGTACAGCTTGCGTTGCCTTGATAGCAATAGGCCCTGGGACTTTGTATTTTGATGACCGAGAGCTCTGGCTCTAAGTCTTCTGCAGCATGCCGAATCCTCTCATCAAGCAGATTGAACATCGCCTCTTACACATGACCGAGCGCGGCGAGGGTTTACGATCAATTACATGACACCTCCTATTCCGGAGAAAGTGCTCCACGACCGTTTCACAAACTAACTTCATTGGTCATTTACCCTGCTATTTTGCACAGGGAAAATACCTTCAGTCGCTGCCCTGGGAACGAGGCAACATGATGCTAGTAAATGACTGAAGGTACAACAATGTCAGCTAACCCGGTAGTTAGGGCGGGCGGGTGGATCTCACTCGGCTGTTCATGGTCACTAGGTTGTATGCCCTCGCGTCAAATCCATATCACTCGAGAGTCTCTGGTTACCACTTGTCCCAGGACGACCGCCTACCATATGGAGGAATGGCTGTCTAACAACGGGTACCGTGCCCAACGTGGTTGAATTCGTTGTCACACCTTCGTAGCAGCCGGGAGAGGTGAAGGAGGAGCTGGACACTTCACGGCAACCACACAGATGTCCAACAGGAATACAAGGACATTGATTCCATCGTTGAGAACGAAGCAGCATGGACTGAGTTGCTACTTGACGTGAATCGATCGAGCAGAAGTAAAACACGGATTGAATGTACGCAAATGGGTTCAGAACTAGATGTGTCGACAGAGCTCCTAAAGAAATCATCGATACAGACCGTTCGTACACACAGATACTGACACTGGAACGTAGTACTAGACAAGGCGCAAGGGGGGTATGCTAGGGGTATACTTGGTACAGTGGAAGAGTCAAGACTGGGTAACCAAGAATGAAGATAGTCCGGCGATCTGCTTCACGCCCTACAGAGCCGGACTACCCATCCATCCTCCACCCATCCAAGTAAGTCGGACATGCACAATCCAAAAAAAAAAGAGAAACATAAGCACACAACAAGTCGAAACCCGCTCAAAGTTTTTGGATGTCATTCGTCGTCATCATCATCACTATCGAGCACCCTCCTCGTCCTCTTCCTGTGTGCCGGACTAGTAAGTCTCTGTTTCGCCAATGGCGAGATCCGTGTCGCAGCACTCTGGACCTTCGCCTTCTCTGGGCTGAGATTGCTTGTCTTTTTGGTAGAAACCAAGATGTCTAGGTCTGGTAGGTCGTCGTCCATCGCGTCGTAATCTATGCTTTGCTGCGAGATGTAGAAGCGTTTCGCAGCCCGCATTTCTACCTCGTTGGTAGGTGATGAACTCGGCATCTTTCGTAGAGGGGGAAACAGATCGTCGTCGTCGTCGTCGTTGTCGTTGTCGTCGTCATTATCAGCGAACACTGCCTTATCTTTTCGTCTGGATCCCGCCGACCGAGCCGCACTGAGATCTTCTTCCCCATCATCGATGAAACTGTCTTTGTCATCGTATTGCGAAATAGTGCTGTCCCCAATGGTGTCACTAGAAACATCTGTGTGGCGAAGTGTTTGAGGCTTTCGCTTCTTTTTGGACGTCTTGCTTGCACGTGTCGGTTCTTCCACTTCCGACACCTCAGGCAAGGCTTCATCCCCCTCTGAGAACGTCTCATAGTCCGACGGACGGGACCACTTTTGTCTTGGATTCTGCATCGCTTCGAAGGCTTTCACTAACGTCTTGGTCGCTCTTGAATGCTTGACGGCATCTGTTTTCCCGAGCCGTCGCTGTTGTTCTGGGTAAGCATCAAATCGCACGAACTGAATATATTCGTCTTCGGCCCCCACGAGTCGAACGTAGCGGTCTTCAAGTTCTCGTTCCTCAGTCTCGGACAGCAGAGCGTCCTTCAACGGAGGTAGTGCAGCAACCTCGTGGTCTTTTCTTGACTTCGATTGTTTTGATGCCTTCTCTTTTGTTCGGGCCTTCGTCTTCTTGTTCCCAGTGCCCAAGAACGTGAAGCCCGTCTCCACCCCGTCTGGCATGTGGAACTTCTTTGGTGGCTTTTTGGCATTCTTCGGGTTTCGTCGGCTTGGCTCGACCGAGCCAGGCTGCGTGTTCTCGATTGGAATATCTACTACGCGCTTGTCAACCGCGGGCACGATGTCTCTCGGGATGATTCTCATCGACAGTTCTTCATGGAAATTGAACTCCCTGCCACTGGCAATCTTTTCTTGCATCTTTTGATAATTGTCCTCTGACTGGGCGAAGTCAGATTCTTCCTTGCCACGCATCATGAGCAAGACAATGCTCCCAGCCCGTTTCCGCCCTGTCCGGCCCATGCGTTGAAGCATCCTAATAGGCGATTTCGAGCAATCATAACAGACGATCAAATCGACTTCACCGATATCTAGACCTTCTTCTCCAATTGATGTCGCGACGATTGTATTGTATTTTCCCGCCTTGAATTGCTTGATAACGCTCAGCTGAGTCTTTTGATCCATCCCTTCCGAGCCACCCTTCGTGCCTGACTGCCCAACGAAGACATGCGCTCGGATCATAGGGCCATGGCGATTGAGGACTCTCACAATTTCCTCCGCACTGTCTCGATAGTGCGTGAAGACCATGATTCTTGTACTTGAAGAGCCCGTGCTGTGGTTATCACTAGTCCTCTCACCAATGTCCATGAAATGGTTGAGCACCACAGTCTTCAGGTAAGATAATTTCGGATGTCCAATAAAATCTGGGTTGTTGATCCATATGCTCAACCTCGTCATCAATTTCTTGAAGTTCTCGTCATCCGCGATTTGTTTCGCGTATTTGCCACCGCCTGAGGCTCCATCCGCGAAAATTTTCATCTTGTGGTAGAAAGGCCCGATGCCGTGATATTTCAGAAGCTCAATGTTATGAGCCAGACTCATTAGTGTAGTAGATATCGCCTTCACCATGCCTTTCACAGAATGCTGTGCTCTTCTGCCAGCTTCCGACGACTGCCACCTTTCCCAGGCTTTCTTCAACCCAAACAGGGTTATCATTCGTGGATCTCTTCCCCAAGAAGCACCCTGGGAGTGCAACTTATTTAGGAGCGGTTGCAGTGTTGCCGACAGCATCTCTAATGACATGGTGATCTCATCAGAGTTGTCAAATGTCTGGGTTTCGACATTCCGCTTGTGGACGAAGTCGCGTATATCAAGAGATTCCTCCGTCCTGATTTCGACTCTAGCGATTCCAAGCCCGTCGATCACCTCTTGCACTTTCTCCACATCCTTTCCAGGAGTTGCTGTAAGAGCAAGAACTCGAAAGCTCGAATTGAATCTCCTCAAGAATTTAACCACTTCCACATACGCGTAACTTCCAGTGGCTTTGTGTGCTTCGTCTACCACAATCAGAACGATCTTCTTTGGATCACAATAGCCATGCTTCAGATCGTTGATCAAGGTCTGGGGTGTCATAAAGAAGACCCTTTTCTCTCGCCACTCCTCTGCTCTGATTGCTGGTGAGACCTCTCCTGTCAGCATCGTGGTCTGAGATCGTGGGATGCCGGCAATGTTGAAGCAGGCGTCAACCTGTTGTGATACAAGTGGTTTGGTCGGCGCCACAAAGACAATCTGCGCACTTTTCGTCCATCGGAACCAGTTCAGCATGATAGTAGCAGCGATGAATGTCTTCCCCAAGCCCGTGGGCAACGCGACCAATACATTGTGGAAAAGCCCCTTGTGCACAATGTTATATTGGTAGTCTCGAATTCGGCCAAGATTCGTTGGGTATACCCACGTGGCCATGGCATCACGATCTAGCTCATGATGGGTTGGAGGCTCATTTCGGCTTGCCAGTGGCCAATTGTGTATCCTGGATTGGGATTGCGTTGTGGGAGGCTCTTGCTGAGTCGTGTGAATCCCGTGCAGTGTCGTCTGGCGGAACGAGCTGGATTTCTGTAGAGGACGACGAGGAGCAGAGTTGCCATCGGGCTTGCCTTGTATGGCTTCTAGGCCTGTGTTTCTATGCACAAGTGCTGGGTTGCCACAATCACCCAAAGCTTTTAAAAGCTCAAGATCATCCTCGTCCACTTCAAACTCATCGCTAGGCGCAGCGGCTTGAAAAGAATGGCCTATGGTAGTAGTTTGACGTTTCAGAATGGAAGATGAGGGTGAGGGACTCTTCCGAGGCTTCATCCATCTTGGCCCTCTAATTCTGGATGGACTGGAGTGTTGTTGAGTCAATTGGGTGACGAAGGTATCCAGCGGACGGTCTCCATACTGAGGAACATGTATGCGATCTTCATACTTTGATTTTTTGATGTCTTTTCCGTTTTCATCTTCGTTCGGCGGCAGATCGTATTCGTCATCTTGTGTGGGTGAAGAGCCGCTGAGATGGGAGTTAAGGCGGCGACGCTTGCGAGCACGCGCGTTCAAATCAGGTTGAGAACTGGGAACAAGGACATCTGAGTTGGCTTCGGCCGCATCATCTAGGAAGTCCATGTCTTTTTCAGCTCAGCCCATTCTTGTAGGGGTGATGTCTTTGCGCATCGTCATCGAGCTTTGACGAAGTGGTGGGTGAAGAAAGTGAGTGACGCGGACGCGCCAAGTTTGACACACGAAAACACGTGATGGTATTTGCCCAGAACCGCACTCGCCTAACCTGCCTAATCTCATTTGGCGGTTTGTTTTGGCTCACCACCTATCTCGGACTACACTCTTCGTCACTGCATAATTGAACGATGCCATGGTGCGCTGTATTTGAAATCTATGATTAGTGGTAAGGAAAGCTGGCCTTTCCCGGCATCGAGAAGTATCGAACGAGCTCTAACTTTTCAGCCATCAAGTGAAAATGATCGCGGTCCGAAGAACCCTATCCTGCTCGACGGTGAAAGCTCAGCCTCCTAAGTGGCAATGCTTCCATGAGTGCAGACTTCCATTGATAATAAATAGCCGACATATGCTGCGTTGGATTGTGGGTTTTCTATTTCAGTCCGCATGGCTATTGTAGTCACCCTGGAAGCTCTAGCCTACTCGGGTGCTTGCAAACAACGCTGTGGTGAGGTTGGTGGTGAAGTATAATGAGGGGGTGGTGTTTGGCTCTACCTGCGCCGTTCAACTATTTCTCAATTCGGGTTAGGAGCTCTCTCCATAACATAATGCCTACCTGCGTTCCCTTCACAACTCGCCCCGCCGCCACAGATTTTTTGCTTACGATGGCGGATGATTCATGGACGCTAATTATTGATGGCGAAGCGTTGGACGTGATTGAAAGTGAGGCAGAGCCTCCTCTTCCCAGGGATCACCTTTCCCAGTGAGAGAGGTGGCGCTTTGTTGGATTTAGGTGTTGCCTAAGGGAGAAAATCCGAAAACTATTACTACAGACTGGGAAGAAAGCCAGGACGTTCCGCTTTTTTCTCCTTCTGACAACAAAAGTTTAAGGACATAATTTAGAGGTGTCACGATTGGCACAATGGTAGGGTTATTAGAGCATAGATTGGACGCGTACGTTCTCCTCTTCGGATCGATACAAAATTCCTTAAGACGATGCATGTTGTCCTCCGGCTTGCATCGAAAAGAGGCCAGCAGAAGTAAAGGGATATAGACAGGGACAGCCAATAGTCCCAGGATATATTTGAGAAGAACGAAGAAGTAGTGGCGTACTCTCTGCTGACATCCCACAAACATTACCAAAACCGTGGAGATGGGAAACGTGCAGATTTCAATTGTTCCCTCCAGTCGGGGTGAGGACAAAATCTCTGTTGGTTAGCGAATGCTAATATATATTTCATTTGGCATGCCACCTGGAAACATACCCATAATTAATCTCAGTGGTATCTGGAGTTTCAGACGGAATTGCAGTAGGTTCGTCCTCCACGAATGCTCAAATAGATCTCATTTCGAAGGCACAGTCATAAAATCTCCAGTTCACTTGTTGAGACTATCAAACTGTCTTCATTTAGAATGCGCTCGAGCCCCAGGGTTGCCGCTGGTCCAGATCTGTAGCTTGTAGAGATAGTACTATTGCCAAAGCAGGACTTCCACGATCTGTCAGAGAAGCAGATTCAGTGAGAGTTTCCTTGCTGGAGGTAGCATATTGTATGCACGTGAAGAAGACGACAGAGAATCAGTGGTTCAAGAGCCTCTCGTATTCCGCCGGTATGCCCAATGGTCGGCAACCGCTTGTTTAAGGGCTAATCCGCCAGTACAGAAACCAGCAATTTGGAGAGGACGATCGGATCGAGCAAAGCTCGAGTCGCCGAGTATATCTAGAAGCTCGCTCGACTAGACGGATACTTCACCGGTTCTATTCTCGATGGTTAGAGGGACTTGGATTTGTAGAGCTATATGTCTGCCCCTGGAAGCCTACGAAGAAGCTCTCATCCCGATCGAATGGCCTTTATGCATTCCATGTCAGATAAAGGTCATCGCCAATTGCAGGTATGGCTAAGACGCTATAAGACATTAGGGAAGACCTACTAAAGATGCGACAAAGCTCACTCGAATTTTAGATAACAGTATTCGGGCAACGGGCTGTCTTTGACCGGTTCCCAATTTCTTCAGTGGCATCTTTGCGCCGATCGTGACTTGTTGACTCTGAACCTATGTGCTGTGTCAGGATTAAGGAAGAGTAACTCGAACTCTCAGTTCTGCTCAATATAGATGAAAAGGAGCACCGCTCTAGCGCAAATTATCTCAGAGTTGGGTGGCCATACGTGCGTCGACACCTGATACAGTCCGTTAGAGGGTTTGCTGGTCAATTGGAGTATTGACAATGCTCATCTAGCCGGGTGCTCGTTCTGGTCGATAAGGAACCGCAGCTGCGAAGGATCATTGGATTGGAGATCCCGTACCTAGTGGTGTAAGTTGACTAGGATGTCTCCATCCAGTTCGCCGTCAAGCTCTGCCTTTGTCTGATTGAACGAGAACATCTAAGGATGTCAACATGCTCAATGGTAAAGGTGTCCGAAGTGCGAGAGTCTCTGTAGCGCTTTCGGTTCGGGCAGTCTTCGGATTGAGGATGAGAGTTTGATCTGGTCTTCAGCTGGTGTAATCTGATGGTGCTTCATAGATTCCTTTGTGTCATGTCTCAGTCGCAAGACCTTGAAAGTTTGATTCTTGCTCCTTGGCGTATGCAGCGACTTTCTCACGTAAATCGACGTTGCAGGAAAACTTCAAGATGCACCTGTGCGTCTCACGACGGGCGACTTGAGTCACTCATCATGGCGGAGGAGCCAGTATTGAATCCCCCCCCCCCCCCACCATGCTCTCCCAGTTGCATGAGAGAGGTGAAATGCCTTAATAGATGCTGGGGCTGTATCAGCCGGCGAGCAGAGACACCGTCAGTTGCAGCACCTTATCGTCCGAGACGAGGATCATTGCCGGGAGATATCAGAGAAGATGCAAAGTCAGTGGGACGAGTGCCACTTGGTACAACCACGGGGGTGACAGAGAGATACTTTCTCTGGAGCCAAAACACTGTGTGTTCAGCGTTGGTGGTCATAGTTAGACAATGAGAAGAGGTTATGTGGATGATCGACAATGAAGTCATGTTTCTCAGAAGATCCTTCCTGCCCAACCAAGGGGACGACTGCATCAGCTACATACTACTTCCATGTGAATGTGAAACTCCCCCGGGAATTATCGTATCAGAACGTCGTTCAGAAAGGTGAAGGTGGGCCCTTGAAATAAAGCAAAGTGATGCAAGCATTTTCCAGAAGTGAAGTAAGAATCCCTCAGTTTCCAAGTGATCGGGGACTCTACAGAGCCAGTCCGACCATGACGAGGGCGAGGAATCCAAGTCCTACGCTGCCGACGTGAAGGTTGTCGGCGCCATTGCCAGATTGTGTGGGCGAGGCTGAAGCTGATGCGCCAGTTGCGGAGCTGCCTTCTACAAAGGTCGTCAGTAACTCAGCAGATCTTGCGGTCATATGGAACCCCTACCTGTCGCCGATGCCGAACCGTCTGTTGTGGCAGCGTTGGTCTGCCCAAAAGTGGCTGTGGCAGAAGAGCTGCCGTCGGTCTGGCTGGCAGTAGGAACAGCAGTGGAGGAGGCAGTCAAGAAGTAAGAGCTGATGCACGCCGCCTGGCAGGAGGCGTACTGTTGAGTCTCGCCAGCCGTGCCATTACCTTGCGGGCATTGCGCCGCGCATTCCGTTGTCGCATTCGCCTGGAGTTGAGACGGGCACGGAACACCGACGCATTTGGCCTGGCAGCACACGTCGGCGGAGCCGCCTAGATAATTCACTATCTCAGTATTCATCCATACCCTGTTCCTTGAAAGCCTGACTTACAGGACTGCAGACACTTCACTTGCGGACTGAGGGACGCGGTGGCGGCGGCAGAGGAAGAGCCAGTCGACGTGGCCACGCTGGATTCGGTCGTCTCAGCGGAAGCAGTAGTAGTTGCGTTTTGAGCGGCAACGAAGGCGATAAGCCCGAAGGTGGTGAAGGCGGTGAAGAAGCGCATCTTGATGGGGAATGCGCTCGCGGGAAAAGTACCACGGGAATTGTCACAGGGGAATATAGAAAGTGAGGCTGAAGTCGGCGGCGTAAAGCGCGGGTTGAAGAGAAGTGGAAGCGAATGTGAATGTGAATCAATTGAGAACGAGCGTAGAAACGAATGTCGCGGCGCAAAGTGCCAGCACAGGAGGATGTGGATGTATACAAACAACCGGTGGACTCGCGAACACGATCAGATGTGGGCGCGACAGGGAGTAAAGAGTTTATAAAAGACTGGACCGGGGAGCGCACACATTCGCCTTCCCAGTTTCCACCCCCAAGCACCAATCCGCGAGTCAAATCTCCCCAGGATTTCCTCATTTGCAAGGCCCATCCCGCCCATCTTTGGTCCATCCAAGGCTCAAGTGTTTCGGATTGCGTGAAGCGAGTTTTCTTCTGTGTGGAGACTGGACGGAGCCTTGCAAGGGGGCCCCCCCTGGGCTCCGCTGCAACGGAGCTGAAATTGAGGCTAGTCCTTCCCAATCGGACTTTTTCGAGTCTTGGGCTCTTGGGCTGATGCAGACTGATGCTCGTGGGCCGATCCGACCGTCACGGCTGATTCGACGGGCTTCGAGCCCCGGTGAGACAACCAAAGTTGCACCCGGGCGACTGTCCGCAGGATTTGTTTGTGGCGAGTGCTGCATGTTTCAGACTGTGCGGTGTTCGTGTTCTCAACAATTCGACGAGGATGCAACAAAGACGGGGTCCGGTGAACCCAAACATACTTACTGGGTACTTGTAGGTATTTACAGTACTCGGTATGGTGCACATGGCAGACAGACAGCTACCGAAAGACCTGTGACGGAGTTTTCGCCGCCCGTCGATCGGGGATTTTCATCTTCCCATCATTGTGGGCCAAATTTCCCCCAAAACACAGTCCATCGGAAATTGCCCTCGTGTTCTGTCGAACTTCGGCTGCCCGTTCCATTTCCCCAGGCGCTGGCCCCGGCATGGTTCTTGGATCCATCGGCCATCACATCACGTACGAGCACTGAGTGCCTTGTAAAAGGGTAACAACAAGGCTGCCACACTGTCGCGACAACCGAATGCTGGTTTGTGCAGAGCGTCGCTCGCGTTAGGAGGGTGCAGTTGACCAGATCACTACTTCTGACTTGGCGCGGCGACACCATCGACGCCATCTCCGGGAAGCACTCTGCGATTCTTCCCTACCTGTGCTTTGTACTGGGGCGGATCATAATATCCGCCTGCCGTGCCTCGAACGCCATTTACGAAAAGCAATGAATGACAGATGTCACAGCGAATTTTAGCTAATGAGCTGTCAATCACGGAGAGCTACCCCCGGGCAGCCCGGGGTTGATCAGTGGCTTCTCAGTACTCGGTACGAATGCGAAAATTGACTGATACGTCCAGCAAACTTGTCTTCGAGCAGTGAAGCTGCTCTATCTTCGAGTCAAAAAGAATAAGCTATGTTTGGCGAACCGCAGCCTACCTCTAATTGATCGCCGACCTCGTTGTCGATGCTCTCTTCGGCTGGTCGGCTCTATGCTGTTGAAGAACAAAACAATGAGGCTGGGGAACAGCGACCTCGAAAACAAACTAGACGTCCTAAGACAACAGGGGCGTTCGTCGATGATGCCCTCCCTCAATGCCCGGCGGGCCAGCAATGCAAGTAAGGCTCGATTTTAGTTTCGCAATGGCTCAACTACTCGTTGACAGCGATAGCACCCCTGAAAGAACCTCTGTACCAAATTCGCCCAAACGAAATCGCTGATCGTCTTGCTCCTTTCACCTCTTCAAGGACGTCGTCTCAGTCGACCACTCGTTCCTTTACCGAGCAACCCTCTGCATATTGTCTCCCAAGGGTAACAGGGAGCGCCGAATCTCTCGAAACAGCAATTTGGCCAATATGTTCACCATTCCTGGCACCAAAATTTCGACTAAGTAATGGAAGACAGGAATGGAACAGTAAGGGCGCACTTTCGAGCTTCTGAGCCCCATCACAGTTCCTTCCATGATATTTGGAACGGGTTGCACCATTACTGCATCACGATGCACTTGGCCCTTTGCGCGTGACGTTGCTATACGTGGCTCCCGTTGATGCAGGCAAGGTAGCCCGCGTCTTGATGGCCTCTAATTGCGTACATGTTGGGCATGGCCGTGTAGACTTTTCTGGGAGTATTTGACTTCGGCTGGCCGCGGACATAATCTTTCTAACCGTCAGCTGCACCTTGCCCATTGCTATCTCACTCATCGGTGGGTGATCCCATGTGAAACTGGATAAGTTCTTCTACTTTGGGCGGCTCGGAGCATCTTGCAATGTTGATGCACCCGGTAAGTCTTATAATCTGCGTTCGTTTTTGCTGATATGCTGACAGTTCGTTCTTGGTTGGTCCTGCCTGGCGGTTCCCTTCTTCTGCATGCCCTCGTATCTCCTACCTCGGTGTCCACAGTCAACTATGGGAGCGCTGTCTTCGTAGGGTCCATGTTCCTGTCGTCAAGATGGTATGGGATCTTGGTTCCAAAGAACTACAAATGGCCGCCAACTCAAATATGTTCTAGATGCGCGTGGTGTCAGTTTGCTCTGAACGATTCAAACGAGGGTGTGTGTCACCAGCTTCAGAACCACCTGTTCCAAAAGCCTCGTCACAGGGATGTTAGAGACCGAACGATATAGATACCGGCAACATCTAGCAGCCTTTGCGTTTTGCGACCGCTGTCACTGGCACAATATTGTAATCCATGGTTGCCGTCTTTATACAGCAACGGTTCCTGACGGCTGTGCTTCGGCCAAGCTCCATATCCCGTTCTGTGCAGACAAAGTTGTGGGAGGGGAAAGTTTGATCCGCACCATTACCGACGATAGTGGCGAAAAGACCAACGCCGCAGTGATTCCCCGCTGAGGTCTGTCTATTCGTCTGGGTTCTTGATTTGGGCGAAATTTTTAAGTGTAGTCGGGGCCTGAATATGTCCGTTGTTATCCGATGAACTCCTTTGGTCCTCCGACCTAACTCCTCATTCCTTAGAAATGCTTACTAGAATCCAGACTGATCACTTCACAGTTGATTAGCAGGTCTCTCTGTTCTCGAATGATTCCTTTCGCTACGACTGAGGCCGGTTTGGCAACACCCGTCCCCATGGACGATGGAGTCATCGGTCCCTAGGATATCCTCCAAACCACAACGATGCACGTCGTCTAAGACCCCTTTAAATTTCAAACCAAGGTCAAGCACGCTGGCGCCTAAACCACGGCGAAGAAATGTGCAGAAATCATCCACCGGTTGTGCCAAATGTAAATCTCGAAAGGTATTTTGATATTGGTGTTTTTCTAGGTAGATTCGAGCATGTGCTCATGATGTTTTAGATCAAATGTGACGAGACCAAGCCAACTTGCTTACGCTGCAGCGATAAGGGGATTTTGTGTCCTGGCTTCCCGACGGGACTCACACTGCGCTGGGCTAAGCAGCATGAAGTATACAAAATTGATCCATCCTCAAGAACAGACGACCAAATGTCATCGCCGGACATACGAACGCCGACAACTACTGTCTATCAAGCGGACGCAACAATTTCAGCAGCCACTAAGGTCAGTTTAGATACGATCGCGAGGGCCAACGCTCAAGGATCCAATATATCAATCCCCGTCACACCAAATGGCGCGTATGAGCAGGTGGGATATGCATACTCATTTCGTGTGTTGGGCCCTCCGTCGCCCATTCAGAGTGATGCTGGTGCAACACCAGGTGAAATCTGGTACAGCACTTTAGCCCTTGATGACGGAATCGTCTTTAACAGTGACCGAAATCCAGACCCCGGGATAAGATCGATGTCCACCGCGGACATGGAGCGTGGTCAGGAGCTGTCAGGGTGGTCGAGCCATTCGCAAGCAAGAAACATGCACTTTATGTTCATGGATGATTCCTTCTCTACTGCTCAGCTCGAATTTTCCTCCTCTCCAGGGTCATGTCGGGCCACGAATATCGATGCTCAAGAGGCAGATCTTCTATCTTCAGAATGCTCCGCTTATCCGGGTGCACCACAAATTCTCCAATTGAACCATTACAATCAGTTGCCGGCTCGACTAGAGGACATTTCTAGCGAGCTTGTTGAGGCATACTTCACCATTGTCTGCCCTCTCTTCTCGACATTCGATTCACAGCAAAATACGTTTCGGTCATTCGTCATGAGAAAGTGGCAAGACTCGGGCTCCATATTCTATGCCATGCTGAGTATGGCTGCGGCCAAATTAAGCCGTCAAAGCTTGGCCTTCAGGCGTCATGCTCTCGAGTATCAATCACTCGCGCTCCAAAGCCTCCGTACCCGTGTTTCAAAGGCGTCCAGCTGGACCACCGAGCTTTTGTTCGTCGTCCTCATGCTCGGACTCAGCACTTCATGGCATGACGTCAAAGATTTGGGTATTGCTCATCTCCAAGCTGTCCAAAATGCCATTCTCAACTGTGCAGTGGAGTCCCCAGATGGATCCCCACCACTGGACTTCTTCAAGGAAGCACTGATATACTGGGAAATGATTACGTGTTTCTTGAACGAGGATGTCACCCTGAACGGCTATTCCGTTCAATACGAACCTGAACCATCTCGAGTTGCCACGAGCCAAACCCTTGCGCTTGAACTGGCATTGCCTCCGTGCCTCAAACCATGTTTACTCGAGTCGTGCGTCTAATCCAGGAAGTCCGAGTATTCGAACGAGGGCAGATGACGAATCGCAGGTCAGGGTCATTTCTGAATCGCCCCGAAGACTTTCTGCTCTCAGTCCGCATGTTGGAAGAGGAGCTCTGGAGCTTGGAACTTCCGGGCCTGCATGAAATAGCCAGTACAGGAGACGAGAATACTCCAGCCATCCACCACCTGCTACTCGCAGAGACGTACATGTTCGCAAACCTGTATCAACTTTACTATACGTTTCCTAACCTATGCCGAAGGAGAGCAAAAGAGATTGCAGAAACATCCGAAGCTGAGGGGACGAGGGTTTTCTCTTGGGCACACAGTCAAGCAGGGTTATGCTCGGCTCTGTCGCGTTCCAATAGAAACACAGAAAAATGGCTTATGTTTATCGGACGGAGCATTCTTACCCGACTGGAACAGATCCATGTCAGCTCCGGGACGTCTTGCGTTCAGCCACTCTTGCTTCTTGTGGGATCGGCATGCTTATCGATTGCTCCTGAACTGGAGAGCAACGAAGAAGAGGAAGAGATTCTCCGGATGCGTAGATTCGTCCTCGACCGACTTTCCTATCTTTCTATCGCCTACCTTTCTGAACCGATGGATTGTGTGAGGCTGATAGTCTTGGAGATTTTCAAGCGTCTGGACGTTGGAGTCAATGTGTTCTGGATGGATGTTTTGCACTCCATGGGTCTGGTCACGGTTATAGGCTGATCCAGAAACTCCCAGACAGGTTTCTTGAACTCGGAACATGACACATTCTTTCATCTCTTTAATTCACGAATCATGAATCATAGAACACATCCCCAACCTAAGAGAAATTCTGGTGAGTTGAATACACCGACCCTTCTCAGAGACATCCAATGCAAAGATAACGGTTCACCGGCAACGCGAGAGCGAAGATAAGGTGTGCATACAATATTGGAAAAGGTCCAACGCGATCACTGAAAGAGCGTGCGGCATGGCGAGATTCGTCGAATAAGGTCTTTTGCGCGGTGCATTACTTGATTTGGTAAACAATGCCGAGCCCTGTGATCTGTAGAGCGTGATATATCTGCGCTTAAAAGACGACTTCTTCAAGGCTTCTGACAGAACAAGGTCATCCTAAGTCCTCTCCTTCCTGTCGAACAAGCTGTCATCGTGCCTGCTCTACGGATGATTTTTAACCATGTCGCAGGCGTTGCATGACAGCATTGCTGACCCCAATGCAACCGATTTCACGAATGGTGTCAAGATGACCAAACCCATTCTGGAGGGCAACTTGCCGGCTTCATGGTATACTCAGCCTCAGTTCTATGAGTTCGAGCGCCGCGCAATATTCTCAAAGCAATGGTTGCTCACTACTCACCGCCTCCGACTGCCGGAACCCGGCAGCTATGTACGGTTCGAGATGGCCGGCTTTGATCTCATCTTGGTCAAAACCAAGGAAGGGCAGATTAACGCCTTCCACAACATTTGCCGTCATCGAGCATACCCGCTCATTACCAAAGACGATGCAAACCAAGGCAAAAAGTCAATTCTGAGCTGCGGATATCATGGTTTGTATCGCACGATTGGCTTCTTCGACGACGCTCATCTCTGCTTCAGGCTGGTCTTACCGTCTAAACGGCAAATTGACCAAAGCTCCCAAGTTTGAGGAGCTGGAAGATTTCAATCGAGAAGACTACAGCCTGTTCGAAATCTATACGCATATCAGCAAGGTCGGATTTGTGTGGATCAACCTTGATGCCTCCGACGACCCTATTCCATGGGATGAAATGAACGCTGGAACGGATGAGCAACCACGGCTAAAAGACTTCCCTCTTGACTCCTATGTGTACCACCGGACATGGACCACGAATGGGAAATACAACTGGAAATTGGTCGGTGACAACTATAATGAAGTAAGCCAGCTCTCTCTTCCCTGTCTGCGACGCATCTATTGACTTGGGGTTCTTCAGTGTTACCATTGCAAAGCAAGCCATCCGGGCATCACCAAGATAACCAACCTAGACAGGTACTCGATAGAGCGCCATTCAGGGCGTCTGGAGCATTTCCCTCCGAACAGAGATGATATCAAGCCTGAAGACTTTGAGTACTTCGGCAACGGCGCCTTCACTTACAACTACCCCAACTCTTCGGCCAACTTGTCTACCCCGTACTTTTTCATCATGCGCGTCATCCCGACTGGTCCTAACAGGTCATAACTGAGTATCAAACGTTCCGAAATCCTACCTCGACCCAGGACGCCTTTCAACGCGCCGCCGACTTCTTCGAAGGAATCGAGCTGAAGGACTACGACCTGATGAACGGGGTCCAGGGAAATCTCAATTCTGGAGTCTATGTTCACGGGCCGTTGCACACCAAACGGGAGGGAGGCGTGCTTTATTTCAAAAAATTGGTCCTACAGCAGCTGAAAGACCACATGAAATTGGAGGCCGAGCCAGGCCGCGAAATTTGGCCCGCGCAGCGCAATCAGCAGGTGCATGCTGCTGTTGGCGAGGAAGAAAATTTCTGCTCTGCTGTTTGTGAATGTGCAAGGAGGAAGAATGGCTAAGAAGAAGAATCGAGGATCTATCTCCGAGTTACTGTAGAAGCTGAGTTGTGCGAGCTGGCCAATCAGTTCACGTTCGCCATGGCTGGCCCCTTCCGGACTAGACCCATCTGCGTAGCGTTTTCGAAAAGACCTTCGACAAAGGCAAAACCAGTGATTCAAATGGCTCAAGGGGTGGATACTATCGCAAGTGTCATACCGAGGGCATATCCCAACTTGCCAGACTCCCTCATGAAGATCTGCTACCCTCTTGGCCCTAAGGCCCAAGACCAGGTTTAGATTTCCTCGTTTTGTTTTGTGCCCACGACAGAGGAAAGTTCAGTTGACTCTCAAGTTCTTTCAACATGTCGATGACAATTGAAGAATGCATGGCCACTCGGCCTGGTCGACCAGTACCTGAGATTCCGAGTAATGTCATGGATCAATTCAGTATGAAGGGCAAAGTCTGTGTCATCACAGGGGCAAGCCGGGGGATTGGATACGCGGTTGCAGAGGCCTTCGCAGAAGCCGGTGCACATATCGTCATGGTATTTTCTTCCGAGAACCCGGCCATGGATCAGAAAGCAGCGGCATTAGCTGAGCGGTGTGGAGTCAACGTCGTGACTCGGCGATGCGATGTTGGCCATGCCACAAAGGTCGAAAGCCTGATATCGGATATCTGCACCGAGTTTGGCAGAATCGATGTTTTCGTTGCAAACGCTGGTATCTGCATCCCGGGATCCATTCTGGAGCAGACCTTGGAAGAGTACCACGCCCAGATGAACGTCAATGTGCACGGAGTATTCTATTGCGCAAAATACGTTGGTACTGTGTTCAAGAAGCAAGGAAACGGCAACCTCATCATCACGAGCAGCATTAGTGGACGGGTTGTCACAGTCCCAGTCGACCACACCACATACAACGCAACCAAAGCAGCGGTCACGCATCTCGGCAAGAGTCTAGCTCGCGAGTGGCGCGAATTCTGTCGAGTAAATATTGTTTCCCCTGGCTGGATCGACACAGATATGAGTTCCGATCAAGCAGGCATCAACGAAGCCCGCCGCATGGCTGTGATGGGCCGCCAAGGTACGAAATGACTACTCAGCTACCTTGATGTCTTGTTCCTGACAGAGAATAGGCCACGTTAAAGAATTGAAAGCAATCTATCTTTATCTAGCAAGCGATGCAAGTTCATTCGTTACTGGGGCAGACTTCACAATTGACGGCGGTTACACTTTGCCCTGAGGTGTCTGAATCCAGGTCATCATGACCGGGGCGGCCTTGCTGATGAATGTGCTGCGTTAAGAAACTCAAGTGCATGAAAAGGGGGGACGGGGGGGTTCCCTAGCATCTCTTGCATCTCAAAGCGATCCTATAATGAAAGTGACAAGATGGAAGTCCAAACATGCTCAGCCTTCTCAGGTAGACTCTGGAGCGGCCAGGGGTTGCTCCCGAAGCAGTACTTGGTAGGTGAGCCGAGGTGGAGTAAAGCGGCGAGCAGCTAGTTACGTCACGATAAGAATAGGAGGATTGGATTTCTTCTTAGCTCGGTAGGTACATACTAGATACACAGCACTGTTGGTCCATTTTTCCTTCACCGCAAGAGGTAGGCGATAGAAGACTCTTGAACCCCATCTCCAATATCCTGCAAAATTGATTGTGTGAACCATGACCTGTTGCTAGCACCACGATCTTGTCCTGTCGAGCGAAATCTTGCGATGCCGATGTCGAGAGCACCTTGTTGTAGCCTGGGAAAGAGACGGACCTTGTGAGCCTGGAGACAAGACAAATGGCCAATGCAAAGCTTCCTATATCACGCTCGGGGGCTATCTTGGGGTCGCAAAATATCGGCCCTGACTCGTCCAGGCCCTCATCTCTGATCGACAATGGCATCCTGCGATGTCTCGAGGCTTTTGCCAGCAAATCGGTTACTCTCATCAGGGCCCCAAAATTCAGAAGACTAGTGATTGTGGTCGCTGTCCTTACAACCTGTTCGATTATTCTGTGGATTAAGGTCATAGTCCCTATCATCGAAGAAGGGAGGTCTGCATGGTCTGCACTCAAGTCAAGCTCCGCAGCTGCAGGCGTGAACGGCGGTGACAGTCATCCCAACTTTCCTGGTATGGTGTTCATGAAGACAATGGATCCTACATTGATTCCACAGCCCTTCACAAACCATGTTGGCCCCCTTTCCAAAAAGAAGAGATTGGTGTTTGTTGGCGATATCCATGGTTGCAGAAAGGAGTTGGAAGCCTTGTTGAAGAAGGTACATTTTCATCCTTCAACAGACCATCTGATCTCTGTTGGAGATATTGTCTCCAAAGGGCCTGACTCACTCGGGGTGATCGATGTCTTACGTCGTTACAACGCTTCATGTGTCCGCGGAAACCATGACGACCGCCTTCTCTTGGTTGCGCAACAACTTCGGCCAAGAGCGTTCGAGACCTCCATGGATCACAAAGCAAGACTAGATCCAACTGACGAGTTTGCCAAAGCGCGAGATCCTGTACAGAAACTGGCAATGTCGCTGAATGCCGAGCAACTTGAATACCTACAATCTTGTCCTGTCATTCTTCGTCTAGGCGCAGTGAAAGCTTTCAATGGTGATGCCGTCGTAGTCCACGGTGGACTCATTCCAGGACTGGCTTTGGAATCCCAGGATCCTAGTTCGGCCATGAATATGAGGATTATTGACCTAGCCACACACGCACCATCCAAGAAGCACAGGCAAAAAGGAAGTGTTGCTTGGTACAGATTGTGGAACAGATACCAACAGCTCCTTCCCGTGCGGCAGCGATTCGGAGGATCAAAAGGCGACAGAGGCCGAGAATATGAAACACATATGACTGTTATTTACGGTCACGACGCTAAAGCAGGCTTGCAAATTCACAAATACACCAAAGGACTCGACAGCAGCTGCGTCAACGGAGGTAGACTTACGGCTTTGGTTGTCGATGACAACGGAAAACAGGAGATTATCCAAGTAGACGGCAAGAATTACAGAGAGGGGGCATCACTCCCAGTTGACGTTCTCCGAGACGGCATACCACAACAACCTACAGGCGAGAAAGTGGCCTGAAATTTAGAGACATGCCGGCCGCGAAATATCCCCTTCGGGCGTAGATATCGGCGATCATGCTTTGACTTGTTACTGAGGGACCTCACCGCGAGACTTTATGGGATTGCAAAAGAATATATGGACAAGGCAATACACTTTTGCCACGATCAAGGGAAGTCTCACCACTAAATCTAGGGAAATAGGGAGGAACGAGGTGACTTCGACCAAGTTGAGAATGGGCCGCTCTTAGAAAAAGCGACGGTCTTCGACCAGGCATCTCTCTTGTGCTGCGGCTGAAGGTATCGCTGGAGACAGGACTGCTACCCGGCAATCTCCAAGTCGTTGAATCTGGCGTTCTCGAGGCTATCAAATTTGCGTCTCGCTTCGAGAAGGCGGGTTCTTGGTCGATTATTCTAACCGTCAACGGCGTCGCTTTGAAGGCAGGGCGGCTCTTACTTGATTTTCCCAATTGGTTATGATGGCTCTCATTGGAATGTGGAATGGTCCGTGTGTGCTTTTAAATTTTTCTGTCCAAATTTGCACTTTGCTCATCCCTGACTGACTTCTGAAAGCGGATAATTCTTCTTTGTCTCACTTGTCACTCTCGACTTATTTTTGACTTCACATTGCTCTTTCTCCGCCTCATCCGGCATTCAGCTTTCCTTGTTCTTCGGCTCTAAGCTCCCTTTATGACAACAAATGGACCATCCAACTTGCTCCTCGTAACCCGAGGACTGATGATAATAGGGGTCTAAGAGTCGGGGTCGTCATCGCGATAATCACTACTCATTGAGATGGGAAATGACCAAAGACCCAGTATATACTCGGAAATTTTAGACAAACGTTGATCATTCGACGATGGATCCGCCTCATGATCTCTCTGGAGCTGATCGAAAAGACGACAACGCGAGGCCGACCACTCCAGACGAAACGCAAAATCTCCAACATTTCTCAGATGTAGGTCTCGGTACCATTACATCACCCAAAGCGCGAAGACCAGCATCAGCAGCAAGTCGGCGGTCGGCATTCTCCAGTCCCAGGAGCAACGCTTCTGGACGGAGTGACCGAGAAGGCGACTATGCGGATCTGAATCATCAAGCTAATTTGGACGCCATAGCCTCGAGCGCACACAGTGCCGCCCAACAGGCTGAGTTACCAGGACAGACCAGTGCCGAGTCGCAATATACGCCAGCAATTACCGACATTGAAAATAAAGCACCAGCCGTTAACGAGAGAGGGTTGACTCGACATCACAACCTTAATAACAAAGAACAGGACTCAGAGGAGGGACGCGCGAAGGTCGACTATGAGAAAATCTTACTGGAGAACGAAAAGCTTCGCATTAACAACACCGCACTTGATAAGGGGATAAGGGCACTTGACGGACTTTGCGAAAATCAACAAAAAGAGATCGAGGTCTGTCAAGAGAAGCAGGTCGCAGCCGAGCGGCTTGCCGAAAGTCGCCAACACGAAGTCATCGAGATAAGAAGATCGAAGGAAAAAGTCGATAAAGATCTGGCTGAATCACAAGCACAGATTCGGGAGCTGGAGAGAGAGAATTCAAAGCTCCGGTTGCTGGAGGATGAAAAGCAGAGGCGAGTTAAAGCCGAGTGGCAGTTAGGAGATCTCTATGGTGAGCTCGAGCAAAAGAAAGCAGAGGTCAGCTCCCTATTGTGCGAAGCGCAAGAGCTTCGTGAGTCAAAACAGCAGTCCGAAGAAGCGCAAAGGAAAAGCGAAGAAGAGCGCAAGAAGCTGTCCGAGCAAATCAAGCGATCGCTTGTATGGGTACAGGAGGCACACAGACAACAAGCCCAGAGAGATATGGAACAATTCCGCCTCCATGACAGACACTTATTCAATGCTGACAGGCGACGACCTTCAACGACCCGCGATTTTGATCGGACATCGGCCGAACAGCAGGAGATTCTTGGGGACTGTTGGTTCTCCCGGCCCCAAAGTGTGGCCAGCCAGTCGCAGGTTTCCGAAAAGGCCTTCTGGAGATCGCACACTTTCCTTAATGAGCCGACAAGCTCACCTGTTTTGGACTCTCTTTCCCGAGATGCACGTGGCTCCATAACTTTACAGTCCCCATCCATGGAGTCTGAGAACACCGCAGAAAAAAGGCCGCCGTCAAGCAAGAGGGTTTCATTTCTAGAAAACGATTCACTTATATTCCAGCCAACACCAAATCGTTCTGGTCATTACCGGTTGGGTTCCTCACTTCGTCGTCAATCTGATCCTTCTTCTAAGAAGAGCAGACCCGCAAGGCCATCAGTGTTGCGAAACTCATCGGTTCCTGATGGGCCTTATCAACGCGAACCCGCGCAGGCAAACAATGGCCGACGAGTGAAAATCCCCATAGAGGATGATGAGGCGAGAGCGGAAAAAGCTCTGCGAGGCCGTGCGCTGTCCATGCCGACTACACAGAAAGAGCATACAGAATTCCGTGAGGCGTTGCAAAGAACGGCTCCGATGTGCATTAGATGGGACGCTTCCAGAAATCGCGCCGTCTTCGAGCCCGAGCCCACCCCAACTACCATCGGAGTGATTCATGCTCCGGAGGGTGGTCCCTCGGGCGCAATCATCGGCAATTTCGAAGCAGGTTCTAGAGGGCCGCTAGACCGAGAGATGCTTGGAGGGACTGGCGAATCTGGATTTTGGAACGCTCTAGAGTTCGTTTGGTCTGGATTTTCCATATCCGCAACTCTGGAGAAGTATGGGATCATGAAAAGCACCGAAGCTGGAGGATCAAGGACTGAATCAACAAAACCAAGCAACGTACCGATAGGGGAGTCTGCATTTGCAGACTTTATCAGCAAATCCTCGATCGCTGATGGAAGTCGATGTCGGACACCCCCAGACAAAGTGTCAACCATCGCAAAGGCTTTCACAATCACAAAAAGCATTGCTCTCTCCGCTCTGACGCTGCTGGCATTATATACAAGCATTTTGCCATCCACGACGCCATCTCTCTTCTGTAAAGAGACGCCGGGCATCCCAGCCTCACCTCAACCACTACTCACATGTCAACCTTGTCCAATTATCTCCGAGGATTCCGCCAACAAGGCGTATCAACCACGCACCGAAGTGGTGGCAAACATGGAGACTATGAAAATGCCAGTCGGGCCTACCGAACCCTTGATACTGGCGTCTACCGAGACGGAAACTGTGACTGAATTGCTTATTGAGACAATGATGCAGACTCAGATTCACATACACACGGAGATGGAAACCAAGACTCGAATAGAAATGAAGACAGAGACAGTGACTATTTTTACTGACTCGCCATCCCCTCTCTCCCCGACCCGATCTTTCAGACGTAAGATCCGGATATCGAATTCTGAACGAAGCAGCACCATCCCCAGCGCCGCTGGCCCTATTCCAGTTCCACGCCCGTTCCCAAAAAGCGCCTCTCTAGCGCTGGACGACGACAGATATTGGGCCTGTTCCTGTCCAGACACATCAAGCAACCTATGTGGCAAGCCTTGTGCCACATCCTTGTCTTCATCGCGACTTTCGCCCCCGCGAAGGAGTATCGACCCTACAGCATCTGAGACCGACGAGCGCGCCCAAAATGCTCGACAGCGAAACTTGCAGCTGCAACGGCTATACACCGGTCCGACATATTGGGGCCTGTTGCCTGAAATCCAGCAACAATTGGATATCTGGCAGTACTGTGTTATACAACTGTTGCTAGGTGGAACACGGGGGGCAGGAGTATACTGAAGCTTGCCCCAGCTCGATTTCGGCCCGGGAAATAAAAACCGAACGGGAGAAGAAACCGGCACTATCCAGGCAGACAGGCAAGACACCATGGAGAACTTGAGATTTCCACGCCCTTCGGAAACGAAATTCCGGACTGGATTGGCTCCGGCCAGCAGAAGTTCTCGAAGAGCGTGATACCGATAAGCTGGGCAGTGCAGGCCCAGGACGATATGTACCTCCAGCTGCATGCGTGGTTCTTGGTTAGCCGGCCTGCTGGTGAGCTGGACACCTAGCCAGATGGCGCGTTGGTTCCCAGACATAACGGCAAACATGAGACATACGTACATAAATAGGTATCAACGTATGTACATACACATACACATATAAAGACAAATAGATGTAGAGAGGCAGACAAATACAGATGCGGAGTACAGATGCCTGTTAAATCGGGAAGCTCCCGAGAACCAGACGAAGTTGAGAGGCCGGACGACGATAGCTTACAGAATACTTCGCAGATTCAAGTAGAGAGACAAGTACACGAAGTTCGCTCATTAGTTAGAAGTATCATAGCATAGTATGTATAATAATGCACTACTCTCTCCTCCCCCATCCCGTCGCATCCTATCCTGCCCATCCTGCCCATCCTATCTTATCCGATGATCAGCTTCCCTATCCTGTGTGAACGCCACGCACTCAAGCCGGAAACAAAACCCCCGGCATAGAGTCGTATTAGGCCAAAAAAAATCAATGCCTCCGTCATCTATCCGAGACGACGGGGAGTGCGTGGTGAGTGGGCTGTCTTGAATGCGAATCTCGTCATGTACACCGGAGGGGGGGGGGGGGAGAACTTCCTCGAGGACCGACACCGGACAAATCCTCCGTATAGAGCAGGGATAACTTCGATGCTAGACTGCGCAGTGATCCTCCTCTTTACGCTCCAACATTAACACCTGCAATGCTCTGGGGTATCTCGTAAAATGTATATATGTGACTTTTGACTTTTTCGTCTTGTTGTTATTGGCCTTTCCAAATCGTCCCCAACTTTGGTCTGGCGTGCGGTTTTGCTCGTGGGGCTTGTTGTTCCTGCTTGAATTTACTGTTTTTCTTCCTGCGGCCCAGCTTCGACGTCCCTATAGTCCGGCGGAGGGAGCTCACTTTGAATCTGTTCACCCACCATCAAGGCATCCTTCTCTTCCTCGTCAATCACAATCTCAACGACGCGGATATCACGACTGGCGTTACCGCGTTGGCTATTGCGGTGGAATCTGATCCACAGGTAGGAAACCATTTGGCCGACAAGCATACCGATGGCACTGGCCATGAGACCACCAATGACCCCCAGCAGGGCGGGGATGACGAAGAAGCGTAGCGTTTGGTGCAACATGTGACCAAAGCGGTGGAAGCGGTGATGATGCTGATGATGATGATGATGGTGGTGGTGGTTGTTGCCGTGGTGATGATCGCCCTTGTGATGACCACCTTTGTGATGACCGTGATGATGATCTTCACCACCCATCGGGGCGAATGTTTTTGGCCCCTTGCGACCATGACAGCCCTTGCTGCCACTGTTCACCCAGCCCTTGGTGGCTGCAGAGGCACGTGCGGTGGCCGCTTCCATAATTGCTTGGAGACGGGCGGCGATGATGGCCCGCAGACGGCAGAGAGACCATTTTGAAGTTGTGTCGCAAGTTGTGGCACCGGGTGTATCCTCGAAAGGGATTGTGGTTATGCGAGCGATCGCAGTTTGGTCGGGGGTCTGAAGAAGGTCAATGGCGATGGTGTCGACTTTTACAGGGTAACCTTGCAGGCCGAGGATCGTAAATCGAATTGGGAGGATAGATTTGTCGGGTTCTTCGGTGGAGGTTATGGGCGTCAAGCTCTCCCAGGCAAAGTCCAGCTGGACAGGGTCTGTTTGTTGACCGTCTTCGACTCGTATCTGAGGAGCTGAGACGATGAAGGGGATGGAGGCGGCGTTAGGGTCGGAGGAGAAGATGGGGAGGTCGTTGATGGTCAGGCCCAGCTCGGAGTCGACGTCGAATTCGAGATGCTGTCAAGATGTGGTCGTCAGCATGGTGGTCTTACTCTTTCACCATCGGCACGCGCTTACGATCTTGTTCTCGACATCTTCCTGCAGTTCGGTATCTCCAGTGCCAAAGTATGGACATCCAGGGCAATCAAGGTCGACAGTATGACCAGTGGTAGCGAGGAGTGAGGCGAGTTCCGACTTTGCCTGCTTAGCAGCAGTTGCAACCTCGAGAGGCACCAGAAAGGCGGATGCCTCCAGGGTGAGACAAGCGGCGACCAGCGCAGGCGTGATGTGCATGATTGTTGTGGTTGAATCTGATACGATTAAGGGAGCAACGAGAGGAGATAAGATAGCAAGGTCGAGAGGAAGACGAGGGTTACAACAGAGCAACAGAGCAACAGAGAAAAAGGGAAGATGAGGTGTTGAAAGAGAACAAGTCGAACAGGATGGTCTGAGAGATTCCGTTTCGGGCGTGTTGCGGATGTGGCCGGATGTACTGGGTACTGAATACTCTGTACGTTTTGTGCAAGAGGCAAGAATAGATCAGCGCAGACAAGGCGTTGGGACGCTGCGTGTTACTGGGCCGATGGCTGGCTCGGTGACTGGCGCCACTGTCGGATGCTTATCATCCCTGACCATGACAAGGCCCGCTATGTACAGTAGTAGCCAGTAGCGCTAACGGAGTTCAAAAGCAGCCGAGCCCGAGACTGAACATTCAGCCCCCAGTACTGGGTACCGGGGTATTATGTCAGCGGGGCTCTGTCACGTGCGCCTGCTGTGGTCCCCGATGTCACGTGAATTTCTGTTGTCTCCCTCGCTCCGCTCCTTCATCGAACCTCCTTGCGGCGCAGAGGCTTTGCAGAGCTCTGTCTTCCCGAGGCAAATGATCCGCCAAGGAAGACCCATTTTACGCCGCAAGGCATCAGAACTCGTTCACCTCCTGCAAAGTAGCCCAGGCCTTGTGCGTGAGGTAAATGATTGGGGTCATTCACCCCTGCACCTTTCTTTCATGTGGCCCACTAGTCATTGTGCTTCTTCTCAAATATGGAGGAGCTTCACTAATCAATCAGGTCGACGGCAATGAAGATATTCCTCTGCTCCATGCCTCTCGAGATTCTTTGTTTGTGCCAGTCAAGGTGCTTTTGGCGGCAGGAAGCAGCATTCCCGACCCTGGAGAGTGCCTGGGTAGGTTTGTGGCTACACCCCTCTTATGGGCAAATTTTCATTTCTGCCCCTGACGATGTTCATTCCTCGGTCCAGTCCCGGAGGTGGCTAAGCTGGGTACTTTCTCGTGCGAGCCACCCACTCCCCCTACAGATAATTAACACATACATGTTGTCGCCACGGCCCCTGGGGTGGCCTAGATCGACGGTGGTATAAGTAGTGTCCCTTCTCTATCCCCACAAATGACGAGATTCGAGACATCAAAACGCTCAGGAAGATGGACACCAAGCTAAAGAACATGTGGAGACTCTCCTCCGGGCGGAGAGATGATCGAGGGACTTGATGATACCGAAGTGGCAGATATCTTGAGAGAAGCCATACGGATCAATGGCCTGGACAATTGCGATGTCTGGTTCAAGGTGATTGGGAAGGCCAGCCCTCGTCCCAGCCGAGGACGTACATGAGCATTCCAGGAATGCAGACGACGGCGGTCTGCGAGGAGAGCCAAGGAAACAGATGGTTGGATTTTCTGAATTTCCTACAAGCGATAAGCTGACATCCAAGAGAAGGATAAATAGGACCTGATACAGTTTCTCCTCTTCCGCTTTTCCATCTTGTTCGATCCGCCGAGCTTGAACGGAGCAGAACTTGTGTATCGAACGTTAGCTCAATTATTCATCCTGCCGAATCCATATCCTTGACAATTGAATCCTACCGTACCCATTGAGACAATTTCATTTCTTCCTTCGATCTTTGAATGGAAACGTCGGCCCTCCAGCATTATTATGAAGCATCCTTTCGGTATTGTCGCATCTAATGGAGCACACTCAGAAGCCACCGTTCAAAAATTTTCGGTGTTACTTGGAAATTCTGCACCGAATTGCCGGCTTGGTTTCCTCCATTGTCCACTCATTCGATGGCTCTCCTCAAACTAACCCGCCCTTGTCACGAGGCTTCCGAATTGTCGCCGCCGTCAGTGCTTTCTTCCATTTGATCAATCATGAACAATGGATGTCGTGGGACCGGGGCTGTCTTTACCGCGGTCATCTTGTGACCTTGAACCGTGCCTCTCTCGGCCTCAATACCAATCTCATCTTCGACCACCAATCGTCGCGCACCAGCCCTACTGGTATCCGCAATCCACGGCACCGCGAAGTGACACCACAAAGCATGATCCGGCCTCATCCACTCATTCACCAGGTCCTCGCGATCCAACGTGCCAAGCCATATATCAAACATTTTCGGCCAATGCCAGTCCTTGGGCAACGAACCTTCGGAGACGCTATATGCCAGGGGTGTGCCGCAGTTGGCACAGAACCAGCGGTTTCGACCAGGCGACGAGACGTAATGTCCCAGTGTTGATGGCGTTGTGAATGGTATCGTGGACAGCGATTCATGACAAGTGAGAACCGGTTCGATGGGCGACCAGTGACGACTTTCATCGTTGAGATCTTTGTCCCTTCTGGCCTGTATCCTGTCGGCCACTCCTTCCCTGGGTAAACATGATATCTCCACCGTGCGTGTCTCGGTTACTATGCACATTGGCAACGCCGCAGATGTGGCTCGCCGGCAATCATTGCAGTGGTCAATCAGCACGAATGGCACGCGTGTGTCGTTGTCGTCAACTCCAACACTAGCGGCTCCTCCTGTGTGCGAGCTGCGATACGGAGCAAGAGGTCTGTCTGCGAAGCCGGGAACAGAGATGCGGAATCGGATAGCGCGACAGTTGCAACCGCCGTGGAGGATAAGGGGACGTTTTGGCAACGGCATTATTCTTTTCTGCCCTGGAAATACTGGAAGAATGACGGAAACACAGTTTGTATTTTTTTTTTTCCAACGGTTATATTTGTCACGAACACAGACGAAGAAAATAAAAAGAGCGGCTTTGGGGGATACCTTTCCCGCAACATCCCATTCCTCCACGGCGTATTTCTGTTCTCGCATCGGCCTGCTGTTGGTTCTGTAAGGCGGACAATCGCCGGTCGCCTGATCAGAGATGACTCAGCTCGCGAGAATGTGCCCCATCCTGTCAAAAGTGTTTTTGAAGAGCTCTATCTACTTCAGAAGGCTAGTTTGGAAATATGTCTGGTTGCCGAGCGTGTGTGCTAACTAGCGATATATGTCTGCCGTTCCTCCTGACATACCAAAAATTTACCCGAAGCTTGGAGCGAAAGCTGTGGGAATGAGCGTTGGGTAGGATAAACTAGAGAAGGAAGTCTCGCTGCGAGCGCAGACGGCCGCCGAGAGATGCTATAAGGGAGTTCAATGCCACTCACTCCGGTAGTGGATGCTGGGTACCGCCCCGCCGCGCCGCTCCACCCCCGCTAAGTCTCGGAGCCGCAAAATCTCTCCCATCGAAGCGTTCGTCTTTGCCTTTGCCCTTCTCATCTTCCCCCATCTGCAGACTTGAAAAAGATTGGAGAGTAACCTTTTGTGCTGGGACCACTGGATCTAACTCCTCTTTTGTGGTACACAGAAGCGCCAGAGAGCAACGAGATCGCTATCACCATATAAAACCGCCAGAACAGGACGAAAGAGATGTCTCTTACAACACGGTTGACAGAGGCGCGTCCAGGGTGAAGGAGCCTGGGCTGAAGTGGAGGTGGGAGCCTCAAAAGATTGGGACTCCAGCATGAGAGGGACGAAGTATGTATCGGTACGACAACGAGAGCCATCACTGTCTGCTCTGTCCAAACCTTTTATCAACTCCATTGGCCTAGTTGCCATTGGAAATCAAGGGGCCATGTCAGGGCCGCAATTTCAAAGGCGGCTTTGTGCAACAATGGCTTTAGATAATCAGTATTGCGAGCAAACCGTATTGTAAAATATAGTTTACATTGCCTCTCTCGATATTCTATTCCAACGCGACAACCCATTACGTTGCCGCTAATGGTATAGTTCTCTAACGGGACTTTAGGATGTCGACTTTCTTGTGACAAGTGACGGGGTCCCCAAATTCCTCAAACAGACGTTGCTCGACCCTCCCGATTAGTCGATTTGGACAACGCGCTCAAAACCTTTTCTACCGGTATCCAAGCGGAAAGGATACCCAGATTGACGTGGTTCCCGAATTTCGGGTATTTGCCACTCCCATCTGGCGTTTGTGGATCCCGTACTGACTGCCGCTTCAATTTATTGTCGTCACATTCCTCCTGTTGCCAGGACCGTCGCATCAGCATGCCCCGACGAACTTTCCTACGCCAGTGCTCTGGATATTCTTGTTCTGAAAATAGATTCATGTGGTCTTCGTGGCGACAGGGCGAAGAGGAAGCGAGACGCTGATGATGCAGAACAACTTACGAAAGCGCTCGCAGGTGGTAGACGCGCTGCTTTCGATCCCAACCAGAAACAACTAGTCCAGGAAGAACTTGGATCAGTCATCGAAGAAACTGGACTTACGCAGGAACGGTGGAATGAGAGACTAGCTATGTAATGCTGATATCAAGAATCCCGCGGAGCGGATCACTCCGTCAAATCTGTGCTCTGTCTGAGAGAGATATAGGCTCTTTATGTCAGGATTTGGTGGAAATATATTCGTGAAGGAAATCGGTATGCAGGGAATGGGATTTGACTCCGGGGTTGGAATAGACTAGGATCGGATAGAACCCATTATTATGATAGAACAAACTGAACTGGAGATCTTCATCCCGAGACCGGTTCTCGCCGTAAACTCTGTTAGTGCATGTCCTTACTACAGCCTAGTCCCTATAGGGAAGGTTAGACGACAAACCCGTGATAGCACGGGTGCTATTGTCTGCCCGCTAAGCCGCCCAAGCCGCCAAGCCGTAAACACAGCTCTGCTTGGTTAGTGCCACTACTGCGTTCTACCTGTAGTGCTCCTTGTTTCTCTGGAGTAACCGCCACTCAAGGGGAAACGAAACAAGCCCATCCCTTGGTAATATGAGGCATCCGAATGTGGAAAATCCTCGATGATATAATATTCGCGACCTGACCTCGTTTCCAATGTCCAAACCACTATCCTTCCCCAAGCCGAGGACACGGCCAAGGGGTACTCGGTTTCTCAGCCTCCTCTCTTAGCAATGTACCTCACCATGGCGCGATTCCAGATCATGTCCGACCTGCACCTTGAAGCACCATCCGCGTATGATGTCTTCTCCATCACCCCGAAGGCTTCCTGCCTTGCTCTCCTCGGCGACATCGGCAACATCAGGGACAAGGGCTTCTTCAAATTTCTCGAGGCACAGCTTTAGAAGTTCGACCATGTCTTCTTCTTCCAGCTCGGCAACCACGAACCGTACCACTCCAGCTGGTTGAAAGTTAAAGCGAGGCTGCGGAACTTCGCAAAGAAGATGGACGAGCGGCGTTCACCCGGTAAGGACGACGACTTCCGCCTGGGCAAGTTCGCGCTTCTTGACCAGACCAGGTACGACCTGTCCCCTGAGGTGACAATCCTAGGTTGCACATTGTACTCTCAAGTCCTCCCCTCCCAGGAGGACCGAGTGAGTTTTGGCCTCAACGACTTCTACCACATTGACGACTGGACCATCGAAGCCTGCTGCGCCGCGCACAAGGCAGACTTGGAGTGGCTCAACGCCCAAGTGACCGAGATGTCTAGCCGCGAACCTGGTCGCAAAATCGTGATCTTCACCCACCACAGTCCCAGCACGGCCGACGGCACCTTCGACCCTGCGCACACGGGCAGCCCCGTCTCTTCTGGCTTCTCGACCGACCTGTCCAAGGAAGAGTGCTGGGTGAACCCGAGTGTCAAGTTCTGGGCGTTTGGACACACGCACTACAACTGCGACTTCGAGGACGCTGCGACTAAGAAGAGACTGGTGAGCAACCAACGCGGCTACTACTTCTCCCAGGCGAATGTCTTCGATCCGGACAGGGTCTACGAGTTGAAATAGAATTAGAGTGAACGTAGCCGGAGGTCACACTCTGCTACCATAGTCCATGGTAGTCCAATTCAATTCCACCCGACGGATTGATGAAGAACACTTCGTCGACGATCGTTCTCATAACCAGCAGAGTAAGATATTGAAAGGGAGGCAGGGAAGGAGTCAAGAAAAACCAAAAAAACAACAACAAAAGGGATAAGAACAGGTGACAATTTTGAGTGTTGCAATTCCATGAATCTTTAGATTGAATTTCACACAATTACTTCAGAGCCTACTTCCACAATGTTCAGTGTCTGTCATTGATTCGCCATTTTTGTACATGTTTCCGGCGACGCTGGTCCCCGTGGATAGATTTGTCCAAGAGTGACCGCCTCGGATGAAGAGTGGATATAATTCGTTCTTTTGTTATTCTACAACCTCAAAATCTCTCCATTCGCATTTATCCCGCCGCGGAACAAGTCCCCAATCACCTTCCCCCTCACGACCGTCTGCTCGACAATGCCTTCTATATGTCTCGGCTCGACTCGGCCGTACCAGATCCCCATCCCTCTCAGCGGGTGTGGTGGTGGCACACCAGAAGCGCGCTGAGACATGTCAGATGATGGATATTGGTGATCGGAGGTCGTGCCGCGGAAAGCGGTAAACGTCGGAGGAATGTAGACGATCACATTCCCCGCCCATTTATGTCCTCCGACGTGGGATATCATGCCCACATTTACGTGGGCTTGCATCGAGCTTGAGGTCGAAGCATTTGTATTGGAGAAGGAAGAGAGGGTGGTGTCACTGAGTGATTGGCCTTGGGATTCCAGGATGCTTCCCTGTACTCCTGGTTCGGATCCGGTTGAACCGTCATTTTCGGAGGCAATAAAGTTCCCCGGTGACTGCGGAGTGACAAGCTTCCCCCCTTGCTCGTCTGGCTTTCGTTGATTAATGTATCTTCTAAACTCGTCATGCAGTAACGGGCCTAACGTTCCACATCGGCTGTCCCTCTGGTGGTGACTGCAAATCAATATCGTCGGATTCGCGATCGGCCAGCTGTAAAAGTTTGAAGCTGCGGTGGCATCTCTGATTTTCGCTGCTCGCTCATGTTCAGGGATGTCTTTGTAGATGGGGTGTAATCTGTCAGGCTCCGGGAGGAGGTAGCCGCGAACAAATTCCTTCAACCCGGCTGACCCGGAGCCTGCTCGGGACGTCGAGACAGTCGACTTGGCGGTCGCTTCTCCGTCTCGAGCAAGGGGCGACAACTGTCTAAACCGTCGAAACGCTGGGAAAATGAGGGCTTCAACGCCTTCGACCAGGTCTCGAACATGTCTTGGCGCCGGTTCTGACGAGGGTGTGAATGACGAAGTATTAATGAGGATGTTGTTGAAGGGCTAAATCTCAGTGCTTGTGTAAGTCAGCCGGATCTCGTTTCGTCTTGCCTTCTTTGTACCACGAGACACTTCTCTCTTCAAGCGTCTTATCATGTCCCGACTCGTTTCCACAATATGAACAAAAAACCACAAGAGCATCCTCACAAATACGACTTACATCGTGGAACTCTCCATGCCTTCCCAAAAGCCTCTTGAAATCCCCGACCACCTTGCCCCATGAAGTATCATTGTCATGTTCGTCTTCTATCCTGGAAGTCCAATCCGATTGGCCCGTGGAGACGATGAGGTGCTGCGCATATGGGGACATGGAACCATTGAGGTTCTGCTTTCTATCGATTTCGAGACCCAGCTTCGGAGTCGAGCGGCACGGACATGTTGGTTCGGGGCATGTCTCGAGGACGGGGAACGGAGGATGTCTGGCTGTGCTAATGCTACGCCGGGAAGTTGACAGGGTTAAGCAGTCAAGACATGGACGTGCAGCCGTCGCAGGCGCGGAGGGACCGGAGAGGAAAAAAAGCGATGGCCTCAATCGAGGCATACGATCGAAGGATATCGGAGTATATAGAAAGAATCTATTAATTTGGGAATGTGAAAGACAGAAGGGTAGGCCTCTATTTCACTCCGCGATTGTATTGGCAAAACGCATCTATATACATAGAGACCAACTTGCCAGGTGTATCGGGATCTGGGAAGGAGATTCATGCCAAGGCCTTCTTGGGCGTTGGAAGACTGCTCCCGTCTGAGTCCTTTGGGAATTCGGGTGACGCCGCTCTATGCTCCGCCCTAGCGTGCGCATAAGGGGGGCATCCCGGCGACCCGGAGCAACCCCCTAGGATATCTACCGAGTACTCGGCCCAGGGTACTCGGTAGACTTCGGCCTACGAGCCCCTCCTACCAAGCCGGGTATTTTGTACCCAGTAGTACGGGTTGTATGGGCTAGCGAAGGGAGTGTTCTGAATGTGCCTTGCATCTTTTAAGCCGTCCCCAACCCTTGGGTCTTCTCGGCTGATATTGTGATTTTCCCCATATGGAGTGCATGGCTAGCGTACGCCCTATAGCTACCTCGCAGGAGGGCAACAACCGGATGTCGTCCTCGCAGCGTGCATCAAGAGCATGTTCGGTCTGCCACAAAAGAAAAGTAGTGGTATCTCCTCCTACCTCATTTAACAAGACTTCTAATGCCTACAGATACGCTGCGACGCGGGAACTCGCCCTTCTGGAATTCCTTGCACAAATTGCATTAGTTCCGGAACATCTTGCGAGCTATTGCCTGGTCGGAAAGGAAGGCAAGTGGTCTCAAATATGTACAGACACACCACAATTGCTTATTCTTCTCTCATAGCACCTACAAGAAGCGGAAGATTACCCATGGCCAGCAATCATGTCCAGATGAGCGCCACGCTGCGTCAAGTGGTCCTCAAGATGGCATGGAAACATGCGGCGTCAACGGCTCACACGTTGGGGCTGCAACTTCCACTGCGGGAGCAGCCCTCTCTGATTCTGCTTCCGTTCTCATAGGATCAGATCCAAGTCCAGCCTCGGACGCCGTTGCATGGAGTGAGAATGTGTGGATTGAACCCCTGGAATCTGGCATGACGGCGACTGGTCAACCGAAATCCTTGAACCACAGGCACGCCTTACGGTCGCCAACCACTGCTACCACCGCTAACAGCCAATGGCGTGCTGGTGAACGAGTTGTCTACGGAGGAGAGAGCCACAATCACTCCATATTGCCACATATGACAGGCCACAGAAGATTTTTCTCCCGCAAGCCTGTCAATTCACCGCCCTTAGCCTGCAATTTGCTGAATGGCAATCAACATTGTCTCGCCGCTAAGATCCCATCAGACACCTGGTGCGAAAAGGCGCTAGTAGACGATGACAATAATCCGTTCGCCCATCTTGCTTCGGAGGACCTATTCTTCTTGTGTCGAATGAAGAACGTTCTTCATTTCCCACCAACGCCTATCATGGACAGGTTCATGATGGCATTCATACAACACGTGCTTCCCGAGTTCCCGATCATCGACAGGAACAAGCTGCGGGACATGTATGATGCGTTCGTCAAAGGGTTCGTGTTGTCTCCTCTTCTCTTCCATTCGATCCTTTACGCTGCTGCCTTGTATGTGGACGAGACAGTCATAAGTGAAGGCGGCTTTTCGTCTCGAGCTGCCGCAAAGGACTTTTTCTACACACGAGCCACGATATTATACGGCATGGACTGTGAAAGACAGCAAATCGTCATTATACAAGCTCTCCTTCTGATCAGCCCTTGGTGGCGTGACTATGCCGAAGAAAAAGATACAAGGTACTGGATTGGGTGTGCTTGCAAGATCGCTCAAACTATGGGTATGCACACACGTGTTGCCCCAACATGCAAACTATCATTCGAAGAGAGGAGCATTTGGCGGAGGATATTTTGGACAATATTTGTGAGAACAGTTGAGCCATCTTGCCACCCGCTCAATATCACCACTGACGCTCTGTTTTCTGTAGGCTCGCGATCGAAACGCATCGGTCGGATTGGCTCGGCCGTTTCTCATCAACAGTGACGATGTTGATGTCGAGCCACTTACTATCGAGGATTTCTTTGAGACACCTGTGGACAAGTCCCGCCATACCACCTTTAATGATGGGTCGTCACTGTCTGAGGTAGACTTCAATGCTTCGTCGCCCGTGCACATCTTGTTCGCCGTGGAACTGGTCCGTTTCTCGACCCTTTGTAAGTCCAGGCTTTTAATAGCAAGTACCAATGTCATGAAAGAACCTAACATCGTCAGTGGATCGAATCGCGAAGGCGAATGTGGGGCAGCGCCTGGAACCAACCCGATCATTGGAGACTCTCACCACTTGCTACAACGAGCTTGTCCGTGAACCTCCCCGTACTCTTTCCCAATTCTTCAGCGGCCGCGCCGATATCAAGACGAGGTCTGAAGTCGATAACATGTGGCTTACATTCCTTCATATTAACTACGAACGCATTGTTGCACTAAATTGTCGGTATCTTCATAAAATACTGTCGGAAACCGCCATCACTCATGCCGACACGCCTCGCCTTCAAGATATTCGAACTTCGATTGTTCGGTCTGCTGCGAGGTCGATCAATCTGTATGAAGATCTGCTGGTCGTAGGCACGCTCAGGTATTCCCATGGGTTCATGTAAGTTTTGCCTCGTGGGTGGCTTTGAGTCAGTCGTTTGCATGATTTACTGATTTCTGTTACTAGGAATACTGCCATTTTCATTGCTCTCCTGACCTATGCGGAAGAGATCAAATTGGCACCCAAGGAAAGTCACCGTTTCAAGTCTGCGGCCAGCAAATTCTCCATGGGCCTCATCATTCTCGAAGAAATGGGCAAAAACTGGTCCGTCCCCGTCTGGGCAAACAGCCTCTTCCAGTACCTGAGCTGTAACGATTTCGCAAGACTACGACAGCTCCCGCAACGGCCTTCTCGATGGTCTTCGCCTAGCTTACTCGATCCACATGGCGGCGGTCCTCCCTTCAGTGAACGAAGAGAAGGACCTTTTGACAATTGTGGGGATGCGAGTGTAGAAAGTGTGGTTGATGAGTCATGGCTAATGGACTGTTTCACGCTACAAGATATCAACTCGTGGTTCCAGTTTGATGACCACGAGATCCAACAGTCTGTCATGCAAAGCCATGAATGATCTTTTAGGATTATATTGCGAGTATTCAAACACGAAAAAGGCGTTGAGAAAACACAAATTCGAGAGAGTCAAGAATACAAAAGTCCATGTTCGCTATATCTCTCATCGTTCCTTGCAAGATATGTAGACTAGGATGCGGCTGCCTCTACAACAGGGTATCTATTTCCTGTACAAGCTGAAGCGTTCTTTTCATGTGCGTCACGATGCTCATATGGTCAGTGAGCATTTTGCTTAGCGGCAGGCATTGTCCGAATGGAAGCCGCCAAAGCGATAGACTGGAGATTTTGCCATAGAGTACCTTCGTCGTAGTCATCAAGATTGATATCTGTATACCCTTCAGACACTATTGAGCGCGGAATAATTCCAAAGGAACGTCCTAAGTCAAGTTGCGTCAGTAAAAACGTTCATGTAGTGAACCGTTTGAGGAAATAAGCACTTTGTAACCTACCGTTAATGCTTCTGTCACAAGTTATTCGAAGTGCAGCAGTGGTGCAATCTTCAATCTCTGCAAATTCCACGCCCTTTGAAATCAACGTGGCAATGACCTGGGGTTTCAAGATGGTCGTCTTTGTGTACCTTTTTCTCGGCCCCGCGAGGTCAGCTTTGCTTGTTCCCGGATCGAAGTTATCAGGCTCTACCTACCATGGCGCTATGTAATTAATCCGTATGTCTTGTTGCCAGAGTGTACGCCTGGCGCTTCTCATGAGCCCGCGAAGGCCGAATTTGGACGCAGAGTACTGGAAAGAACCTGGCTGATCCAGGATGCCGGCAATGCTGCCCATGAAGATGAAACACCGGTCACTCTGTGCTGACTCTGGGGCAAACCGAAGGTAATGTTGTCCCAATTTGAGTGTATAGAAGGATCCAATCATGTTGACTTGAAGAATCCGAAGTTCCGGTTTCGTCGGCTCCGTGGTTGGATCTGAGACAATCGTCAGTGGATGAGGCTGTGGGACGCGAGGCAAAGGCCCAGACATGCCTTCAAGGGTAAAAACTGGATCGGGGCCTGTGATTCCAGCATTCGCGATGACAATGTCACAAGACTTGGCTGGCGATTCTGTAACAGCCTTTTTGAACAAAGCAAGCTGATCATCCCATGAGGTTATATCACACCGCACGAATCGGACGTTGCTGCCGAGGAGCTGTCAGTGGAAGGAGGTTGGGCCGGAGCCATTTCTCAAAATACCTTCCCAGTTCTGCGGCGAGACTCTCGCCTTTCTTGACATCGATGTCGCCGAATGTCACGAATGCCCTACCACTCGTAAGACTCGCGCCGCATGGTCGTGGGACAAACAACTTTTACCCTGCAGCCGCAAACGCTCTAGTAAACGCCTCACCGAACCCATTCGCTCCTTGAGAAGCACTGTTAAAAATACATTCGTTTCGATTAAGATATACTGACCTCCGGTAATTACGACGCTTCTCCCCTTCAAAACATTTGTGTCGGGCTTAATTGAGCAGTCCACCGGACCATTATTGGCATACGCTGGGAGAGGCATGACTGTCGTGATTTTCTTCCGATGATCGCGACTCTTGAGGAATTTCTGAGTATAGGTGGCAACTGAAGTCCCAGATAAGTTCACTTATGAGCTGAAGCACTTGTTGAGAAGTTCTTTATGCTAAGTAGAGTAGCCGAGAGCCGCCTGTTGAAACGAAGTTCAGCCGCGGGATTCGCGCTCTTCGGCTGAAATGTGAGCAGAGCTTGGATCATCCTGAACGACAAGCATCATAACGTCTCGTACGGGCTAGCTGAGTGGTGTTGAATTGTTCTGGAGGCTTTTTTGGTTATGGATAGACAATGTCTTTATTTTGTGTCTATTATCTATGGGGGAAAGCCACCAGAATTCGCACTAGAGAAGCTAACCGCCTTTCTCTAGATCAAGTATTTCGGTCGTAAATACTCTCAATGTCGGTAAATGACGGCCTTAGGATAATCAGCCTGCCATTTACTAGGAGGTACCTTCGGACCAGCTCATTTGTGTAGGATAGAAAGTGCACGAAATGATGGCTAACATTGTCCTTCATCGCTTGAAACTGATGTTGGAAGCGGAAGCGGCCAATTCGTACACAAAGCCTTGCCATTGAGGCTGCAGCTCTGCCAACTTGCCTTCGACTTCGAGCGCTCGAAAGTTCATCAAATTGAGACCGTATCCATTCGTCAGTTGCCCATTGCTAGCCAAGAATAAGGCACCTAGAGCGACATAGTCCGATGACTGGACCTGTATACCCAATCTCTCGTATGCAGCTCGAGCAGTGACATCAAGAATTCCCGTAGCTACGTGGCCATCAGTTAGGAACCATTCGAGAGTGGACGAAATTACCCGTAGCACTTGGGGCAATCAAACTAGTGCTGTTGTTGTACTTAGGCCCATCTGCCGCGAGAGCTCGCATCAGTCCAAGAACCTGTTAGAAGATTAGCTTGTCAATTCGTGTTCCAGTCTGCATCAGCGCGCACTCCATGCTTCGCTGCCGAGTATACTCGAATGTTTGGTCTTGCATTATAGCTGGAAGTAGAGCCGGTTATGACGAGACTGCCACCCGGAGGACTGTTTCGTCTGAAATGATGCCACGCAAGTCGCGATGCTGTCAGATCTTAGTGGTGGTCTTTGTTTACGTCCAAGGCGGTTCGTAGATCGTTACCTACTCTTGATCACGGCAGTGAGGTCGACGTCAACAGTCGGAAGGCCGACATCGGCCAGCTCTCCGTCCTCATCGAGTATGTCTTCGTCGAAGACTTCGGCCTGATTTATACCTGCGTTGGCGAAGACGAAATCAACTCTACCATGCGCCTCTCGGGCAGCTGAAAAGAGACCCCGTAACTCTTTCCAACTGAGAACGTCGACTCTCATAAAGGTAGCTCCCCTTGAAATTTGTATGACTTAGTTGGGCCTCGTTTTTAGAAAAATTGACAGGATTTGGCTTACCCGCCCAACTCACTGGAGATGCTCTGTCCTGCTGTTGCGTTGACGTCGCCGAAGAAGACGAACCCGCCCTTCTTGTGGATTAGCCGGACGATAGCCTCTCCAATTCCGCTCGCACCGCCTGGCAATAGCTGGTGTCAGCGTCGCTATCGCTGACTTTGCATTGTGATTGCCGCCTTACCTGTAACAACAGCAACTTTGCCCTTGACATCTCCCAATTTCTGCTCGTCTAGTTGAATTTCGGACATTGTAGGGTTGTGGCTGAGTTTTGGATCTGCTGATACTAAGCAAGACTTCTGACCTTATGGAAAAAATGACTGTGGCCGCCTCGACACGCTCTCAAAACCCAGAAGATACAGAGACATAACGCGACAGTTAAGGGCCAAGGTCAGCACGATTGCGGTTGCTCGGCCTCGGCTGAAAATCGCGGATCCTTTTTGCTTTATCCCGCTCGGCCCAAATCATGATCGGTCCACCTCGATATCCCACAAATGGACCGTTGAGGACGTTACCCCAAGATCTTGTAATCTTATATTTGTGTGATTTATGGAGTGACAAGTCTTTCCCAGCTTTAGGAGTGGCCTGATCATTGATTCTGAATCCTGATACGGCTCTGTGGATTCCAGTGCTCATGCCGAGGAGTCGTTAGGATTAAGCCGTTGCTAACAGACACGGGTAGAGGCGACTTTTGAACCGAATATGGAACGCAAACATTTGGAGTCCCCGGGTGCTGAAAATTATAAGAGCATCAATCCAGACATCATAGACCTTGAAGTTGCTCAAAGGATTTGTGCTATCCCATCAATTTAGGTGTGGCTGCTAGCATTTGCCATCAACCAAGTGTTGCTTCCAATCACAATACTATCAACCCCTTCCCGTTTGCTTAACTACCTTTCGTTGCCGCTAGTGGTCTAAGTGAGGTGAACATGTCAGCCATAGAAAAGGGCTACGCCGCTGCCTCGCTCAGTCCAGACCCAGCTGCAGTCCCTGCATCCGAAGCACCTCACGACAATGAGTGGTACAATCAGGACTTTGACGGCTACCGCATCAAGGAGCAACTGCTCTACACAAAACGTCGCGTTCGCATGGTTATCGTAGGGGGTGGCGCCTCGGGATTGATGATTGCACACAAGGCCGAACATTTCCTTCAGAACGTCGAGTGGCAGATCTACGAGAAGAATGACGACATCGGTGGTACCTGGTTAGAGAACAGGTAATTTCCTCTTCTCAACTTGCGTTTATGGCGAGGGGCTGACGAGATCTTCATTTGCCAGGTATCCCGGCTGTCAGTGCGATATTCCTTCCCACAGCTAGTAGGTGACACTGGAAAATTCGGCAGCTCCGCATTTTCAACACAAAGGCACAATCATCGAGCTGACACCTTGTTAATAGTCAGTTTTCCTGGTTCAGGAATCCCAAGTGGTCGCAGTTCTACTCGGATTCGCCAGAGATATGGCAGTATTTCAAGGATATGGCAACCCATTTTGATTTGGAAAAGTACGTCAAGTTCAATCACAAGGTCGAAGAAGCAAGGTGGGATGAAGAAGCTGGGCAGTGGATCCTTACGATAGCGGGTCCAAACGGTGAGAAGCTTGAGGACCGTTGCGAGATCCTGGCGAACAATTCTGGTATCTTAAAGTAAGGTCATTCTCATAAAAATAAGATCCCCGTGTTTTACTGCTGACCGAACGATGCGTAGTGAGTGGAAATATCCCGATATTCCAGGTCTAGACACCTTCAAGGGAAAGCTCTTGCATACGGCTCGATGGGACGATTCATATGACATGAAGGGCAAAGTTGTAGCTGTCATTGGGGGTGGTTCTTCTGCGGTGCAAGTCATTCCTGCACTCCAAAAGCGTATGGTTTGATGTTCCACATACCTTGCTGATGTGCAACAGCTAATGCTAATCATGGTTCTGCAGAGTGTAAACATCTGGTTGCATTTTTGCGGTCGCCGGTGTGGATTACAACAGGATTTGGTGCCAAGTTTGCTGGACCGGGAGGAACGAATTTCAAATGTACGTGTCTCTTCAGAATCGGTCTCGTATGATTTGCTAACGAGCCGTGACTATAGACTCAACAGAACAAATCAAAAAGTTTGACGAAGACCCAGCAGCCTATAACGAATATTGTCGTGCGCTCGAAGGCGAACTCAACAAGCGGTTTACTCTGGTGAGTCTGGGATAGAAAGGATCATATTCCAAATCCTCAGAGCCTTTCCATGTTTTCATGTTTGACGACCCGTTCATCGTGACCCGCACTTACACAATATCTCAACCCTCAGAATCACACCGCGAGCGCCGATCAAAAGGCCTCCCGAGAATTCATCGCAAACATGATGCGAGACAAGCTCAAATCTGACACACTGGCCGACCACCTTGTTCCGGGCTTCGCACTGGGCTGCCGGCGAATGACGCCCGGGACCGGCTATCTCGAGTCTCTCACCGCTTCCAACATGACGGTTGTCAAAGAAGCTGCAATCCGCCTGACCGAAGACGGCATCGTGGACAAGTCGGGCAACGAGTACAAGGTCGATGCCGTAGTCTGCGCGACTGGATTCACCACAGACTTTGCGCCACACTTCAAGGTCGTGGGTCGCCAGGGCCGCGAAATTCACAAGGACTTTGGTGACTTTCCGAAGGCATACATGGCCGTCATGGCTGAAGGTTTTCCTAACCTGTTTCTGTTCTTGGGACCAAACGCCCCGGCTAGTCACTCCAGTATCCTTCCCATCCTGGAGTGGCATGCGCGCTACATGTTCCAAATGATCACAAAAATGCAAGAGGAGGGCATCAAAGCATACGATCCAAAGAAGGAGTGCATCAAAGATTTTTACAATCACACGCATGAGCTCATGAAACGCCTGACGTGGTCTGCTCCATGTAGCAGCTGGTTTAAAGTGAGTGTCTGTCCCACAACCTTTGAAATTTGCCATTTCTATAAACTCCTAAAAAAAAAAAAAATAATCCCTGCTAACCCGAAGATTGCTTGCAGAACGGGAAGATTCACGGTCCAGTAACTGCCATATGGCCTGGCTCCCGATTGCACTACTTCGAGTGTATGAAGACTCCACGGTATGAGGACTATAACATCACCTACCAGGGGAGGAATCGCTACGAGTACATGGGCAACGGATACACCCAGGTGGAGACTGACCCCAACGGCAATGCCGTGTGGTATTATGATGACCCCTTCTCTTTGGTCTGACTTTTTCATGGAAACCTTTTCATCATGGCTGCTGCGTGAAGAACAACGTACAGAGCTGGCGCGTAGATACCGGCCTCTCGAAGAAGCGGAGAAGATGTGTAACATATATACACGCCGATTAAAGCTTCAATCCCCATTTCAAACTACTAGGAAGAGCTGCGAGATTTCCCCTGTTTCGGATTGCTCTTCGTGCGTGTCGGGTCGACTGTCCCCAAATTCAGGAAGATATGGGCAAGGATGACACCAAAGTGGTGATACCGACTTTTTTTCTTTTCTCCTTTTTCTTTCCCCCCCAAAAAAGAAAGAAAAGCCCCCGCCAAAGAACCTCCCCAATACCCAAGATATTTTCAGAGCAACGAGGAAGCGCCGACTGAGGGATAAGCAGTCCTGACCCCGTTAAATATCCTGTTTCGATTTACCTTTCTGGCTTAAGAGCTCTCGAAATGAAAAGAACTGCGGCGGAACTGGGTGATATATGTCGTATCGGGGAAGAGAAGAAAATGAGGAAAAGCACCAAGAGGGACCCACCGCAATAGTGGGTTGGCTGCAATAGCACATTCTTCCCATCCTCTCAGGCTAACAGCAGGGTCCTCCTTGGCGTACCTTCTTAATCTAACCACGCATATTACATTTTCAAGTTGGTCGTTGTTAATCGACGTGTTGATGATGAGACCTTGACAAGGAAGCGTCCTCAAATCTGGACGGCCTGCCCCTAGCGAGCCTCCCGAAGACACCGGACAATGTTCTCAATTTGTGCATTCAAGATCATCTCCTGGCAGTGATGTCAACCGCAGCCATCAAGGACTTTAACGGACAGGTAGACAAACGTCTCGCAGGACTGACAAATGCTATCAACCAGCTGGACACTTCTTTGTCTCTCACCCCCAGACCGCAAGAAAAACGATGGAGGAGTCGATTACGCCTTTTGTCAAGGGTGAGGCACAAGATCGCCTGCACCACCGTCCATATGATCAAGTGCAAGAGGCGGAACGTCGCGATTCGACCGCCGCTAAAGGCGATGACAGTCTAATTGAAGAGATGAACGACCACATCCAGACTGACGCGTCGGTGGTCGCAAAGGCCTAAGCGGAAAATGATCGCTCGAAAGTGCCTGCTTCTTGGACAAGGTTGGCATCGCTTCCATTCAACTGAAGTTGTAGATTGAGTATGACGAGGAAAGCGCTAGAGGATACCGGTGAGCGATACAATCAAAGGTAAAGCAATTTCGCATCTCCAAAGCTACCAACAGGATATGCCTTTCAAAGTTCAAACTGAGACAACAGCATCTAATAATCGTCTCCCCACTGGCCGTGGCCTTGGTGTTGATGTTGATCTTGGTGCTCATGCTCATGCTGATACTCATGCTGATGCTCATGCTGATGCTCATGCTGATGCCCTTCGTCCCCATAATCGCCTCCGTCGTGGTGGCTATATTGACCGTCTTCGCCCTGATCATTCCAATCGTTATTTTGGTCGTAATCTCCGTTGTCCTGGGCGTCGTGACCTCCGTTTCCATCCCACCCCTCGTGGCCATCGTCTTCCCCCTTGCTATTCCAGCCATCTTGATGTCCGTGGTGACGTCGACCATGATGTCCTCCGCAGCAACAGTCATCCTCAGGATGCTTGTCATGATAACCATCGTCGTAGTGCTGATCGTGCTGATCATCACCGTTGCCCTGATCATCCCCATGACCACCGTCATATTCATCGTCACTGTCGTCCATTAGGTCTGGATCCATGTCGGACATATTTTCTTCATCATCCTGGCCGACGGCCACGTCTCGATGGTACGGCTTGTGCTGCTCTGGCTGTAGGTTGTGATGGCCAGGAAATAGGCCTCGGATGGTCTGACCGAACCACCTGTACAACTTACGGATGCCTGCGTGACTGGGATCGTAGCTGAGATACTCTTTTGTTAGGCCGTAGATATACTTTGAGTGCTGGTGGAGAGTAGGTTGGTGTTCGTTTTCGTCCATGCCTAAGGTTATCGATCAGGTCTTTTTCCTCCTTGGTCCAAGACGACCAACTTGATAGAGTGCGCGAAGAGAGACTACGCACCTTGAGCGCGATGTACTTCGCCATACTCGTAGACTGCTTGTTTGATTTCTTCGAGCAATTGGCCGATCCGGTCGGCCGACGGGTCTTGCTCTGCCCAATCCGTCATGATGTTGTTCACTCTTTGTCGATCTATAATATGAGAGTTCTTGTCAGGTGCAGAAAGTGGGCTTAGGGTATTTGTGTCAGGAGAGTCGTGTCGCACTAAACTGGTGCAGAGTTGAGAGCATATATAGATAACACTTTTCGTGTCAGAAACGCAATCAATATAGCGGGGACTACCAGTTTTGTGACATTCAAGGATCAGACCCATCTTTCAGTGGCCGAGGCTGTAAGAAATTAGCGGGTACTATTTGTATCGTCTCCTTTGCAAATCCTATCGAGCTTGAAAAGGCTTGGTGTGAGATAAGCAATCGTACAGTCTCCGAGAATCTCGTATAAAAGAGAGGCAGACTTGGAAGTGCCAAGAGAATTACTCAGAATACTAGTAGGGTGCGAATGGCGAAGGGCAAGAATGGCAAAGGGTAGCCCTAATTACAGAGATATTGGTTACGCGGGGCTGGTACAAGGCGCTGTTACCCCTTCGAATCCTGCAGGCTATACTCGGTTCAGTAACAGGGCAATGATTAGAGGTCATTTTAAGGCTGATAGTGCTCGAACTTTAGGCCCAAGTCCATTGCTGAATTCTTGAAAGGGTGCCACTTATCACCCCATCAGGTAAAAATAGATATCAGCTTACCTAGAGCGGTGATATCGGACACTCGGAGAAGCTATACCGTTCTCATGGTTTCGCTGGAAGAGGCCGGCATGGTAATGTTGATTGCCTAAACCTGGGGGCGGAGTGGAATGTTCCGCTTGTCACAGCTGAACCTGGATCCTCATTTATCGCGAAATGTTTAGTGAAGCTACTATTCATGTGCCCTGGCATAAGCTTACATTGATATCAACCGAAGCATGCGCTTCGAATTGGTGCCGTGTTCAAGATACATCGAATATAGAATACGGGGGAAATCGCATCGGCAGCGCGAGCTCGAATAATTCACGGTTGTTATATATTGCCTATCATTTCCTCGGTTCCAACCTCATTTTCCAGAATTTGATCTTTCACTAAAATGGCTATCTAACCCTCTACGCAAATACCACTTTCGTTTTCGAAAAGACTGGCTCTGAGAATTCGAGGTGTCGGAGTTTTGAATTTACCATATTCGAATTGCATTGAGTCAGGATGCCTACAAAAGGGCACGTCAGTACGAGTGGTCACGGCATTGAACCACCAGTAGCCCATGCACCACCTCCAGCAGCCCATGCGCCGCCTCCGGCAGAGCACCCAATCGCAGCACCCACACCGAAACCACCAATTCCACCACCAAACGGGCCAGGATTCGTGTTTCCTCCTGAAGGGCACGACGCCCCTGCGCCAGGAGAGCTTTTCTGGGGAGGAGGAGGAAGAAGAGATCCTCTAGCGAACGAACGTCCGACGGGAAGGACACCACCTCCAAGTTCGGTTTTCGGGAACTTACAACCACACTCGGGCGGCCCAGGCCAAGCAGGCTACCCTTTCTTCGGGTCGGGACTAGCAGACGTGCCGGGGGTAAAACTAACCCCGGCACAGAAGGCGATGCTTGCTCGACCACCTCCAGCTCTAGGGACGGGACCAGCTGTTGAACCGCCTGGAGGTCACCCCGAGATCCGAGGGCCAGCAGGCGACTTTCACGGGGCGCCGACGCGCTCCTTCAATCCAGAAGAGCCTTTACAGCCTCCCGTGCACAATCAATTTGATACCTTAAGGGATGAGGATGGGAGAGACAGCGTCAACAATGCTCTAAGGCACGCTTCCGGTCCACTTCAAGTAGGGTCGAGCGGATTCGGCGCGTCCACTGGACAGTTGCCAATCAGAACGACCGACGGGTTTCATACGTCTGTGGATCCTCGGGGAGAACATGCGACATTCGAGGTCGATCCGAACATAAATCCAGATGGCACAACTCACTTATATCCAGGAGGGGCAAGCAGTTCCGTTGCGCCACGTCTACCCGGGGAGACCGGTAACCGACCACTTCATGATTTCCCTAACCAGCAAGGCGCACCGCCACCCGTGGTACCAGGGCTTCCCCATCCATTTCCTCTGCAACAGGTTCAAGAGACGAACCCGACAGGGAGAGGGTCGTTCTATCCGGATCCCGACCTGGCGGCGGCGGCGGCTGCAGGTCCAGGAGGCGCAGATCCGGGAGATGCAGGTGCAGGGGGTCCAGGGGGTGCAGGAACACAGTAGCTTTTGCTTTGGGATTGCGAATTTGCATTCAAAATCGAATCAAATCTGATGATGCGGAGATCCAATGGCAGAGAGTTCAGGAGTCCAAGTTCTCGGTAGGAGACGACCGGCTTGCCCCAGAAGAGGAAAACGCAAGTCCACAAATTCTTTAAAATGCTCCTGGAACGTTGATTTGAGGAGTTTAACGCAATAAAATACTCTGAAGTCCAAGTGATGCTCAAACTGGTCTTTTCAATCAAAAGAGCTGCCTAGGAGAGTAAGCTATCTTCCTTGAATATTGATCACAATCTGACCTTTCGGCTTCGCATTCGGTGGCCGTATCCTACAGATCAAATTTGAAGAAATGGCTTCTGGTGAAGAGTATTCACTTATCCCTCAAAAAGCACGCCCTGCAGCAGACAAATGAAAGAGCTGTGTGAAGGAACTGTAAAAGAACCAGGGTAACTTTTGATTGAATTGATTGCAGAAGAGAAATCTGTCTAGTGTCTATTATGGACCTCTACATGGAGAATTCGGCAGTGCCAAGACGCTTGCACATGCTGGATACAGCAAACGTGATCGGGTAACCTTCCATACAGGGTAACGCTGTGTCCAACACCAACTCCTTCTCTACTACGGTCGAGTATATATACTTGGTATGTGCAAACTACGGAGTCCGACGACCGGAGGACGAAATGACGCACTCCTCATGCACCAGGAAGTTCAAATCTCAATTGGCTGTCCATCGTTGCGGTCTAAAGCCCTTAAAACAGCTTCGCACACCTTGACAGCGGCGAGACCGTCTTCTCCAGAACAGATTGGCTCTTCTTTGCCCGCCACCAGCCGGGCAAGATGTTCCGTCTGTTGTTGGAAAGGAATGAGATCCATGGTCGCAAGGGTCTCGCGGCTCATGGGAACGTTCCATCCAATCTCCAGATTTCTACGGTCCGCTTCTTCCTGTTGATATGTCCATAGGTTTCCGTCAGGGACCGTTACGGTCCCCTGGCTGCCGAAGATACGATAGCAATCCACCGCTCTCTCAGCCTGCGAGTAGAGCGGGTTGTCACCGGTTGCTGACTCCCACCCATACGGGCTGGATACATTGTCGCTGATGACAAAGGTGCCCACAACACCATTCGCAAATTGGAACATCATTGCCGCCCCTTCCTCCACTTGATCGCCCTTACTCACTCCCGCATGTTGTCGTTGAGTCAACGTGCTGGTGACCCACACGCGCGTGACCCTGGAGCCAACAAGGTAATGCATCACGTCAATGTCGTGGACGAAGTTTGTCCACACTGGCCCGCCCCCGGCGGCCCGAGACCCTCTCCATTGAGCAGCAGTGAAGTATCCTTCATTCTTCTTGCAAGTCCAGACACCCGAGATGGCGATAAGCCGACCCAACTTTCCGGACAAGATGACCTGTTTGGCAGCGCCGACGGCAGCGTGAAACCGTCGGTGATGGCCTACTGCGACCTTGCACCCTTGGGCATTCGCCAACGCAAGTAGTTGTTCCCCCGACGCCGATTCCGTGGCAAATGGCTTCTCCACCAAGATGGCCTTGGGCTTGGCCGTCTTCAATATCTCGGTGGCGACTTGGACGTGCAGAGCTGAAGGCACGCAGATGATGTATAGCTCAACAGCTAGCAGCTTCGTGGATGGTGACGAAACCAAATCCACCACATTTTGATAATGAACCACTTTCAAGCTGTCCGCCAGAGTTTTACCTGGGGGAAACGGATCAATGATAGCAACAAGCTCGCACGACGGCGAAGCGAGGAGATATTTTGCATGCAATGGAGCAATCGTTCCACCTCCAACGAGTGCGACTCGAACTTTCGACGGACCGAGCATTTCTTGGTAAGAGACTGTTTAGGCAGATATGAGGATTTGGTAGGTACGCAAGCTACCCGTTTCCGCCATCAAGATCAATTAATGTCTCGCTTCTCTTCATTACTTCTGCTTTTTCAGTCGCTTGGAATGGAATCGCTTGTTCTCGCCCTGCTTTCCTTTTTTCCGGCCTATTAAATTGATCACCGGGCTTTGTATGATAACCGCCATCCCGTCGCTCGGATGACCCGTCTTTTCGGATGTTGATGTCACCCATTGGGATGCATGTGGTCGGTCTTCGATAATGAGGACTGATTAACAGCGATTTAAACAGGAGAAGAATATTATACAGGGTTCCACTCTGTAGATTTGTGGAAAAGCAGTGGCCGCAGAACTTTTGCGGCATATACTCTAAGACTCTTCCCTCCGGTACTGCGCTTCCATGGATTCGGTTGCAATTACATCACGCAACCAGATGAACATGCTGGATCAATCCTATGCCTATGGAAGATCACCTCTCACACCAGACTCGAAATCCAAAAGACTTCGCACGTATCTGTTCGGCGGCCGGATCTCTCATTCTCACTCACCGGCCATCAATTCGAGATTGTTCGCTTCCGCTGGCGCATCATGGACCTACGAGCTCTGCGAGACCACCGACCCTCAACGCTTCTTGGATGTTTTGCATCAACCCGACTGCATCGGGGCGTCGGTCACCATGCCCAACAAGGTCACGTTCATGGCCGCATTGGATGACCTCACGGAAGAGGCCCGGGCCATCGGGGCCGTGAACACCGTCTTCATCCGGCTGGACAAGCAAGGACGACGCCGATACATTGGGACGAACACAGACTGTGTCGGCATCCGGGAGACCTTGTTGCATAATTCCCCGGCTATCCTCGACAGTGCGTATGGCCGAGCTGCACTGGTCATCGGCGCGGGTGGGGCCGCTCGAAGTGCCCTTTTCGCCCTCTGGACGTGGTTCCAGCCGTGTGAGATCTATCTGACAAACCGGCTGAAATCAGAGGCTGACGACCTAATTGGAGGAATCCAGAAATCCATCCCTGGCATCAAGGTGCGCTATCTCGACAGTGTGGCGGAAGCACAGCGACTGCCGGCCCCAGGGATCGTGATTGGAACTGTTCCGGATCACGAGCCTCGCGAGGCGGGCGAGCTCTTGTCATGGAAAATCTGCGAAGTCTTTCTGCGCAGCAGAGATGGTGGTGGCAAAGGAGCCGTACTGGATATGTGCTACCAGCCGGCACGAACAAGACTGATAAAACTAGCAGAGCAGTGCGGCTGGGCTATTATGCTGGGGACTGAAGTCTTGGTCCGTGTGGGAGTTGCACAACAGACTCTCTGGCTCGAACGAGGGCCTGACTCGTGTGGTGTCCGTCAGGCCCTGCGTTTCATGCAGCGAACGTCTCGGCTGTGAATTCCTAGAGGGACTTTGATGTGTATGGTTGTATACCTATTGCATCGGATACACGCATCAGAGGCATCCTTAACACAGGAGGTTCTGGCGAGGGTTGGATGAATCCACGGGACGCACAGCTTCGAGGACATCGGCCAAATCTGCGCCTGCGCCTTCTCTCTGCTTCGGCTTCTAGGAGTTCATCACCTCAGGAGGAGGAGGAGGAGGAGGAGGAGGAGGAAGAGAAAGAGTCAAGTTGTCTCCTTGTCGAGGAAACAGATATCAGTCACCAAAACACCTAGCATGTACCTAAAAACGAAGTCCGTGGTTAGTGTGTATATCTCCTTCGCTCGTCCAAGCAATGTACATTAAAGCAGCCTGATGAGCCTCCGCCGATTCGGCGACGTTCCCTTTTGTTTCACCGGCGTCCAGATTTAACCACCGACCCCGCCACTCCCTCGGCTCCACCCCAAACACTTCTCCACAATTTGCAAGCGACGATGAAGACGGAGGCGAAGGCGAAACCGGTCTTTGCACTTCCGCGAGTGGTGCGCGCGGAAAAACGAAGGTCCTCTCATGTATCTCTTTGGGGGAAGACGCTTTCGTAATTCCAGAATTCCGACTTCTCTCGCCGGCTCTACCCGCCATAGGTTGGCGCCCCTGATTGCAGCCAATATAAGGATCCAAGACGAACACACAGCGTGCATGGAAGGGGGATAGAAGAGTCGAGTTCCTGATTTTGTTCACCGCTAGAGCCATCCACCCTCGCTTCCCTCTCGTCACTTTCATTGAAGTCTGCATCGTCGGTTGATCTTGAGCGTAGAAGTGCGAGCGGCGGGATCCAGAGGAAAAGAATAGAAAACTTAGGCCCCCTTAGCCATGTCTCTATCAGCCTTAGCACAAGTATGTATTGCATCTATATTGTCTGAAGAATTACTTATTTCCACCATCCTGGATGGAGGGGGGACGGACGGCCGGCCCTTTTCAAGTGCAACCTACCAAAATACAGAGAGAAGAATAAGATATTGGCATCTGATCTTTCATGTACATTCACATCTATTCCTGGACTTGGCGCTGACATGCATAGCCCATCACCCTGAAACTTTCGGGCAAGGTCATCAAGAACCGAATATATAGGACGCCTCTGAGCGAGTACGCGTCGACGTACGATGAGAAGGATATCGAGAAGACGGGCATCCCGAAGGCTCGATACGCAGAATTATATCAAGGTTAGTCTCAACCAACAGCCAGCATACACGCATACCCCGGTTTTCCAAGCATATCCATCATTACTGCTATCACCACCACCACCAGAAAGAATACTTTGGTCTCTCTGAATCAATGAATCTCTCTGTGCCATTCCCCTACTTCAGTCCCGGATACTCAAGTCCCGTTGTTTAATTCGTCCACAGAACTCGCTGACGGCGGCGCGGGCCTCATCTGCTTTGGCAACATTCCAATCGATCGCAACAACCTGGAAAATTACAACAATGCGGTTCTGGACCCGCGCAACCCCTGGGACCCCGTCGCGGCATTCGCCCCCGCCATCCGCGCCGCCCGGTCTCGCGGCGCCCTGTGTCTCCCCCAACTGCAATTCCCAGGCCGGCAGGTGCCTGAGTTTCTGAATCCGCAGCCCAAGTCGGCATCCGACGTGCAGCTCGGCCCATGTCTGAACAAGACCTACGGAAAGCCTGTCGCTTTGACCAAGACCGAGATCGCGGAGCTCGTGGGCCGCTATGTCTGGGCATCTGAGGTGCTGGCACAAGCTGGTGCCGATGGAATCATTGTCAGTCATCACTCCCTCCTCTGTTACATCAGAAAATTCAAAAGCTGGTCGTTGCTCTCTGTGGCCAAGCGAGGCGTTATTCACAAATGCTGATCGTATTTGACCCAGCTCCACGGCGCACATGGATATATTCTGAATCAATTTCTCTCACCTTTGACCAACCGGCGGACAGATGAGGTAAGTGCGCGTGCGCGTGTCTGGATTTGTCAATCAACTGATCTGATTCCCCTTCTTTCCCTTCTTGTTCCTTTCCAGCGTAATATTTTGTTCTGGATCATACCCCAACATATCAAGGTGGCAAGAAGGCTAACCCTTGCTGCGTATATACATATACATAGTACGGAGGGAGTCTTGAAAATCGCGCGCGATTCATCCTGGAGATCGTCAATGCCATAAAAGCAAAGCTGCCGTCAGATCAATTCGTTATTGCTGTCAAGTTCAACTGCCAGGATTGTGAGTATGCTCCTAAAAATTTCGAGAATTTCGTCATATCGAGCAAAGTTTCTTTGGCCGTTGCACGCATTCTTCTTCTCACCTCTCCCTGGACTCCCAAATTCCTTCTAGGTCTAATGTGTCTTGTGCAGTCATCCAAGGCGGCCAATCCTTTGCCGAGCAATGTGTGGTGATCAAATGGCTCGAGGAGGCCGGGGTCGACTTCTTTGACATCTCGGGCGGTACGTATGAGTCGCCGGCCTGGCGCGGAAACATCATGACAGAGTTGGCCGACCGGCCCTCGCAGAAGGCCCGGGGTAGTTATTTCGTTGAGTGGGCGCAAGAGTTGAAGAAGGTTCTGTCGCGCGCTGTCATCGGTACTACAGGCGGCTGGCGTGACAGCCATCGTATGGCCGAAGCCGTGGAAAACGGTGACGTTGATATGATCGGGCTCGGTAGGACGTTGAGGGAGGACCCGTTCTTCGTCACCAAAGCCATCAAAGGTGAGGTCAGGTTGAGCAAATTGTAGAGAGAATCACAGGAAATTCGAAAGCTCCTTGCTCAAAGGATGGGTGAACCAACTCCTGTTCAGGTTGCAAAGTAGTTATCAAACCTTGTTTCTCGCTGGCATGAAGGATGCCGGTGAAAAGCAATCAAATCTTTTGTTCCCAATCTTCTTCTTTCTCATCCTATGCCGACAAAACCATGGCCAACCCAGTCCCAAAGGACATCCGGGAAGCCTTCAACAGAATCATCGTCTTCGTCGCCTCCAGGCAGGAAAGGTAGAGTGAGAAATGGATCAGAGTTCGAGAGAAACGGGTCGAAATGTTGTGCATCGGATTGAGAGGTCTGATGGCCGAGCCCCTGACTTTCGAACCCGGGACTCGGTGCCGGAAGTGAATGAGAGGCACCGACTTGGGCCACTCGGATCAACACATTCGCTCTGGTCCGCAGGATCTTAAACAGATGCTGTCCGAGAAGGGCTGCGATTCCGAAGCGGTGAGATGGGGTGGTGCCGGCTCGCTCAAGTTGAAGCGCGACCTGGGATAGAAGGGAGAGAAGTTCGACTTCATTGCCTGGTTGCTTACCGCCGTACAAGAGCGGAAAGAGTCGTAGCGCCAAAACGGCCGAGTAGGAGATCATTGCCCACGTTGGGGCCAGCATGCAATAGATGGGTTCACCTATCTCGAGCAGGTCATGTACCGCCATCTCGCAGCAATTTACCGCGGCTTCGAAGCAGTCGGCTTTGATCGCTGCCGCGTCCTGACCTCCATCGACAATTCCATGAAGAGCTAACGACAAGGTCCACAGTCTTCCATGCATATACACAAAGCGAAGGAAGGTGTTGGATACGTGCGGAGCAGAAGGCGGCGCGGGTCCATCGGGGGTCTCAAGCCACGTGCGACACCAGGGCTCCAATATGGAATCTAGAAGCTCTCTCACCCAGTGCCGAGAGGCGTGCTGGCAGCCTATCTGTCGCTTGAGTTCATTCTGGAGCGTGCCAAGGTGTTGACGCAGTACGATAAATGCACAAGTATACTTGTCCACAGGGTTAGCCAATGTGTGAAGGTGCCAGGTCTCGATCTTCCGGGTCAGTTCCGTCTCCGGGAATGCGCTGACACGGCCCCGGGCGGCACTGTGCGCTCGCTCCCAAAGTAGAATTCGTAGCCAGGTCCGCTCTCGGTTGCGTGCCAGTCTTTCCGCATACATCGCATCTGCATCTTGGGGATAGTCCTCTCGATGATGAGGGTCGTCTCTGTCATCGAACGCTTCAACCGCCGAATGATGATGCGACAAGGCTTGATAATTCTTCTCTATTCCGGCTACGTGGTTGAAGTGTCTATGGGCTTGGGCTTCACGATCCAGGCCCAGTTCTGCTGCGACGCCAAAGGCGTAAATGGTGTATAGCCATGATCGTTCTTCGGCCATCGTGTTAGCAGGCACCGCAGAGAGCAGGGAAATATAGTAGCCTTGTGCAATTTCAACAGATTTATATCCATTGGCGTACACTTGTTTCGACAAGTGTTCGCCGTGAATGCGTAGCCGTTTGGAAATAGACCCCGAGTGATGATCGAACTGTGCTGAGATGGCCAAGATCCAGGTGAATAATAGGGCAGACCGAGATTGTACGAATTCTGGAGTATGCAACAGAGGATCGAGGATACCGTTGATGGGATGCAATCTCTCAAAAAACCTAGGGAAGTTCAGTCAGTCAGTCAATCAGTCAGCCCACCATCTAGGTACAGATAATCCCTCCGGGGTTAGAAGCCACATACAGAGGGAAGAGGTAATTGACTTCTTCCACAGAGACCAAACCCAACTCAACTGGGTCTAAGTCTGGACCCGTATCCCGATGCTTGGCCGCATCAGAAGGTTTGAAATAGTCTGAGTACTTGCAAATGGGAGCAGTCTGGGAGAACAGGGCGTCCAGACCATCTTCTAGCGTCTTCCTATTGAGCTTCAGGCCCAGGGAAACATAACCAGGGCGCCTCAAAAGATAGCGGGGTAGAGTCCGAGGCTCGGCCTCGCCTGATGTTGCGATGAAACTAGATCCCGGCTCGGATGTGAGAGACGGAATGCTGTCGTTTGATTGCTGATCGAAGTCGTGAGTCTCTCCGCATGCGTCAGCCACGAGGCCCAGCGGATTGCTGACCGATGCGCTCGTATCATCGGGTGATGCATTTCCTGGTGGGCTCTGCGAGGTGCTCACGGTATCCAAGCGAGGAGGTTCGTGAGGATATGTTGTGCTGGTTGCAGGCACTCCGGACACCGCCGGGGCAATTCCCTCCTCGGGATCATGAAGGGGCACGGGAACATCATTCTGCGGTTCGGAGTGACTCTGAGTGCCATTCCTCGACAGCATGAGATGCAAAATCTCCTCTTTGCCTTCAGGAAGGCCTAGAAGTCCAAGGATATTTGCCTGGTCAGGCCAATCTGACGAGGTCGTCGGTGGCTTTGCTTTCCTCAGCTCGGTCTGAATCTTGCGCAAAGCCTTTTCAACACCGTGATAGCGTCCCCGAGACCCTGGCTTTCGTCCCGAAGGACGAGGAGTGGGCACTTTGCATGGACGACGATGGTGTTTGCATCTGTCGCATGGGTCCTGCGTGTCGGTCGACCCCTCTGGCAGTGCCGACCTCGAACAGCGCATCTGTATCGGGCCAAGTCAGGTCTCATCTTCAAGGGCGGGAGCTGCGGCGTTTCGTACCTTCAGGCTTCGACATGCCTCACACGCGGCGACCATGTTGAGAGGGCACCTGGGTGGTTTGGTTGGGAATTCAGCTTACGCGGTCAGCTCGACATACGGCGTACGGTCGGATGTGATAATCGAGGCTTGAACACGGCGTTATAAGTTCGGACAAAGGGAAACGTCCAAGGCTCATTCCATGGTTTCTGGTGGTAGCGAACTCGGGGGGGTGGAGGTGGAGAGAGGAGAAAGGGAAGAAAGATTGACCAGGAAAGAATCCCTATTCTTCACAATTGGTGCTCGGGCCGTGGGAGTTTGAGCGAGATGGGAGTTGGCGGGGCCCCGGAAGGTGTTTTGGAGGTTCTTGGGGGTCTAAGCACGCATCGACATCCCCTGGGACAAGCTTTTCGGGTGAGACCCCAGGGGTCCTGCACCTAAATAGGCACCTATCAGCCCGGAGCCACTAGGCCAACTTCCTCTCATAAGGGCCCCTGCTCTAATTGCTAGTCACGCACTAACGGAAAACCATGTGCAGTGCCCATCGGCACCGCTTAGAAATTGTTTCTACTCAATTGACAGAGTACAAAGCACTTCTCGAAGGTACTACCTAGCAACCCGGGAGAAAGACAAACCTGGGCTACACTCCTCGACCACCATCTACCTCGATCGTGGTACCTGTGATGAACGAACTTTGATCCGACCCTAAGAACCATGCTGCATTGGCAATGTCTTCCGGCTCCGTCACTCTTCTCATTGGCAACATCTCTTCTAGTTGGCGTAATTTTGCCTGTGCTTCTGTTCCATCCCCAATGCTCGCTTGGAGCCTAGAGTGCGTTCTCAGGTCAGGACTTGTTGGAAGCGCTAGAGAGAAAGGCTAGGAAGCTCACATGGACGTATTTCCTACGGCTGGACAAATGCAGTTGAATCGAATGGTAGGAGCATACTCGAGGGCCATTGTTTTGGATGCAATCTTGTGGCCCTTGTTAGCACTAACTAGAGATGTCTTTTGTTATCAAACGCTCACATTAACCGCGGCCTTCGAAGCGTTATAGAAGGCGAATCCTGGTCGAGGTCGGGTACAACCCGTGCTGGAGGTCCCATACGGTGAGTGGCTCCCTCCGTCCAGATGTCTTCATCCTCTGGTGACAGAACGTACCTCGTGATATTGATGAAAGCCCCGCTTCCCTGCTCAAGCATGAATGGACAGATCACTTGGGCACTGAGGAATACAGGCTGCAATTTGACCATGGGTTAGGCTTGACACAAGTCCTGTTGAGGCTGCTGTACCTTGAGATTTATATTGAAGATCTTGTCGTATTGTTCAATGGGCTTGGTGTGTACGGGCTAGAGGAGATACGTCAACCCTGTATGTTGGAAAACGGAAAATAGGGCCCTGTCCGCTCATACTGATGGGCTGTATGTGATGCCTGACGCCCAAAAAGTCAGACCTTTTTCGAACGGGCGACCACGGCCTCCCTCTCCCTATGTCCACTCACCGGCGTTATTGACGACAATATCAACTCTTCCAAATGATTCTCTCCCACAGCGAAGGGCCTCTTCCCAAGTCTCGCGGCAGGTCACATCGCCGCAGATGAAGTGGAGGCCGGCGTTTTTCTCGACCTTCTTCTCACCCTTGTCTCTATTCAGGTCAATGAAAATCACCTTGCAGCCCTCCTTGCTGAATCGATCGACAATTGCTGCCCCGAAGCCATCTGCGCCGCCTGCGGTCGTGGCAATCCACACAATCAGCTTCTGTCCTTTTGAAGGGGAAGCACTGTGTTACCGGTGACAATCACAACCCGTGAGCCGGAGTGGACGTTGGGAGAAGTAGCCTGATTCTCGCCTATCGACATGGTCATCGTTTCCTGTATCTGCGTGATGTCACCCCAAAATCTAGAAAGACCACAAATGACAGTAACATGGTCGACAACGGAGGCGTTTTAGGCACCTTTACTGGTCAAAAGGGGGTTTCCCGGCCGATTAATTTAGGACCCGGTAAGGCACCGTGACGGTTCAACTTATCAAGACAATATCATCGCACTGGGAACGAATGATACATCTTGGACATCATCAACTTTATCATCATCACCGTCATGGTGCCTGATACAGTACGCGTGGCGATTGCCACCAACGCACTGGGAAAGTCGGTCGCGGGTCACGACATCTATTCGAAACTCGTTGCTGCCCACGCACATGGCTTCGATGGGGTCGAATTGGCATTTGAATGCCTCGAGGTTCATGCTTCCACGTCACAATTTGCCGAAAAAGACAGCCGGGAAGGGAAACTGCGGCTTGCAGCTAAGGACATAGAACGCAAGGCATCGGCTCTGTCGTTGGAAATCATTGCCTTGAATCCCTTCGGCGCATACGATGGACTAAGGGACCAAGGGGACATTGAGTCACGCCTGCGGGAAGCTGATCTCTGGCTGCAACTTTGCGAGATCCTCGGTGCTCCGATACTCCAAGTGCGCGCGCACATCCTTCATTTGGTTCCGGAGTACTTCAGTTGACTCCATTCTCTAGATGTGCTCCTGCATTTACCCGTTGCAGAAACCCCTGACATCTAACGCCCATGACATAGCGAAGAACATCCGAAGGCTAGGTCTTCTGGCCAAGAAGTACAACAAGATAGTCGCCTACGAAGCGACTGCGTGGGGGATCCATATTGACACCTGGCAGCAAACTCGAGACATTGTCGCCCTGGTCGGACTTTCCAATGTCCGTCTCTGCCTGGATACTTTCCATATCGCGGCCAGAGAAGCTGGAGATCCTTTCAACCAGGCTGCCCCGGTTCGAGTAGACGGACGGCGCAGATTAGAGGAGAGTCTAGCCGAGATGCGCCATACCGTGACGCCTAGCGACATTGGATATTTTCAGCTGAGCGACGCCACTGTAGCCGATCCAAATCAGACTGGGTACCCACGACGCGATCTTGATCAGCCGCCATTCATGACGCAATCAAGAAATTGTCGAATATTTCCCTGTGAGCCGCAGCATGGAGGCACGCTTCCCGTAGTGGAGGTGGCTAGGGCAGTCTTCGACCTGGGATACCGAGGGTGGGTTTCCATGGAAGTATTTCATACAGACCTGTGGACACAAGATCGCTCGTGAGTGTTCTATTCTCTCTTTTGTCTCACTCTTCCGATCCGACTGACACTGGAATCGATCGAGAAGAATACCGGATCAGTGGGCACGGCGTGGAATGGCTTCCTGGCGTCAAGTCTCCGCTCAGTGCGGTCTGAAGGCTCCAGCTGAAGGTGAGTGTGGCAAATGCGGTTGTCTCCAGGTCATGGTGAAGCCGGCAGTAGTGCTGACGGTCAGTTTCATTAGGCGCGAAGCTATGAACTGCGGTGGTTTTATAAAAGAAGCTTTGATGTTCGCGGACGCGTCACGCCAGGAAAGCATTTTGAGGAAGATACCGCCTACATAATTACAGATCCTAGGGAGTGTAGTTGCAGTGACTGTCATCGTTGTGGAAGCGCAGGCACTACACACTGCGCTCTAAATATGACAAAATAGGGAACAACGATTGCGGTACAGTATTAACTCTGACCTAGACAACCTCCAAGGAACCTGAAGGCGTCTCTTATTCTCCTCACCTTGCTGGCTACTTCTTAGTCCCCATCGAGTCTTAACGTATTGCGATCACGTCACCTTCTGAAAAACTCCATCGAGGCCTTGAAATGGCAACGTTTGGACTTTCACAATTCGGACTTGACGCATCGGAAACCCACTAAAAGATGTCTTCTACTGGTATTACCACCTTGTGTCTGCTGATCGATCACTGCAATCTACGAGGGACTCTTTCGCGTCGCATGTACGCGCAGTCGCCTTTTGCGCGACAATTGGGAGTGCGGTTTAGGAAGGCACCTGCCGCCCGGGTCCCAGATAAACAGGCCGGAGACTGAGGCTGCACTGCTTGGCCGCCCACGGCGTGGATACTGTGTACCTACAAAAGTCCGTGTGCCGTGGCTATGAAATTCGATGTACTATATTCCGTGAGATAGGCCGCGTTGCTTTCCCTGCCAAACAAAGCAAACCTGACGGGGGCGAATAAATATGCACAGCATGGAGATGATTGTGGTTGATGTCCTTGTTTGCGGAGGCGGCATGTCCGGGTTGGCGTGCGCTGCGTTCCTGGCCGAGGCCGGAGCAAAGGTTCTGGTTGTCGAGAAGCAGCCTCATCTTGGCGGCTCTTCAGCCTATTCTGCTGGCATGTTGTATGTGCTACTCCGATGTCCTCTAGTACCCGATGATCTTTTGCTGACACGCCCTAGCTGGGGTCCTCGAAACTACGACAGCCTGAGATCTTGGGTACCGGATGGGGATCCAGACCTCCAGCGTTCCTGGCTGTCTGACTATTTGCCTGCTGTTCAATGGATGAGGGAAATGGGCGTGCCCACGTTGGACCGGTTCGGGCCTATCATGACAATAGGTTCGTGACATGGCGGCCGGGGTCTGGGCTTTTTGCTAATCGAGGTTAGGCATCGGGTATCCCATCAAGATCCCATATCTTCTTGATCTGCACCAATCACGTATCAAGAACAGCGGGACGGGCTCTGATATCCTCACAAACACGCAGGTGGTGAAGTTGATCCAAGAAGAACCTGGGGTTCCCGGTTCCCAGGTCATCGGGGCCATTCTGCAGCGGTCAGACCCCCGATCCTCGACGTCCACGTATGTTGAGGTGAGGGCTAAACGAGTGGTTTTAGCCACTGGTGGATTCCAAGGATCGCCCGATCTGACGTCAAAGCATTTCGGGCCCGGAGCGGACAATATCTTCGTCCGCTCGAATAGAGGATCTGTGGGGGATGGCCTGAATGTGGCATCGGCCGTTGGAGCGAGCACTAGTCGTGGTATGGGGACGTACTATGGACATTTGCTGGCCGCCCCGCTTCGATGTGAAGGTGTCGATCCGCGCGACTACCTTCCGCTGGCACAATATCGTAAGTCCCTAAGGAAGTAACTCCTCTTATCCATTGGCGCGGACTGATGCGGTCAAAAGAAAGCCGATACTGCATCCTAATCAACGAATCTGGTCGACGATTCGCGGACGAAACGCTCGGGGACGAAATCGTCAATCAGTATTTAGCAAGGCAAGAAAAGCGTCGAGGCTTCCTTTTGTTCGAGTAAGTCAATCACACTTCATCCGCAAGCAGACAGGAACCGAACGATCTTCTCACTGTCAGTGTTCTCTTAGTGAGCGAACAAGACGAAAACATTGCGTCTCAGCCCTCTTCCCGAACGCGGGCGACGTTGACCGCCTGGAAAAGGCGCGGGCACACGGATGCAATGTCGGTAGTGCGTCTACGTTGGAAGGGTTGGTGAGGCTTCTCCAAGACTGGGGAGTGGACGGCATTCAAGCTCGGCGCACAATTGAGCAATATCACCGCGCCGTTGCACAAGCCGAATCCGACATCGCTCTCGATGCGCCAATTGGAAAGGGCGGGGAGCCCCCAGAGTCTCTCCTTGATGGCGAAGGCGGATTCTATGCCATGGAAGTTCAGCCATCGTGAGTGCTTGGTGATTCCACATCCCCAGAGGAACTAACGAGGTGCAGCATTACGTTTTCATATGGCGGGATCGCTATCGACAAGTACGGTCATGCGCTGACTGCCGATAAGGCGCCGATTCTAGGCCTGCTTGTGGCTGGCGTGGACGCCGGTGGATTTAGTAATCTGGGATATGCTGGTGGTCTGGCCCTTGCCTTTGTGACGGGATTCTGGGCCGCACGGACGGCTGCCCGGGAATTGAGTTTGAAGGAGCCCAAACTGCCTCCGACAGCAGCTCAAGACAGGGACTTAATTACGGTCGCTCATCTATAGAGACGGCGGGACCAGAGTCCAAGTGGAAACTAGCCTGGAACGGCGCTCGTTCCAAGAAAGCATTAGATCTTGAAGAGGGAGATCGATAGACAGCTACAGCACTGTAAAGAGTATGGACAGTGCCGAGGAGCTGCGAATACCTTTTCTGACCTACTGTGAATTCTGATGGACGAAAGGTCCTCGATAACTTGATTAATTGAATACAGAAGAGAAATATATCTAGTACATAACAGAAGACTTAGATGTGGAGAGAATTCTAGAGTGCCAAGACATATGCGCAAACATTGCAAACAGTGTAAACAATGCAAACGGTGCAAACAGTGCAAACAGCAAAAGTGGTCGGGAAACCTGCCCCCTAGGGTTATGCTTTGGCCAAGAAGTTTCTACCTTACTCTTGCTCACCCTTGCTCACCTTTGCTCACCGACGCTTCGCCTTTTAGCGCACTACCGACGACCGGCATCCAGAAAAACGCACCGGATTTCGAGCGTTACCGGTTTCATCCCAGCGCTGCCAGTCTCAGTATGGGAGGCAGCCGTACGCACCAACTCCGGCTGATGTTACATCTTGCGCATGGCCTGAAAATTCCTCTGCCCCGGAATTGGGGCCCCAAGTCTCACACAGAGGTTATCGAATGCTTGGTATACCCAGTACATTTCCCCGGTCTGCCACCCCTTCCTCCTCACTATTCAAATCCGCGGGGCCCCTCCCATACAGAGCCAGCCATCCATCCGCTGTTCAAATCTGAAACGCCGACCAGGACTCGGCGGACGCGAGTAGCCACCGTTCTATAATCCCAAGCCTGTTGTTATGCGAACCCCTGAAGATACATAGAGATATATGAACCTCAGCCATCGGACTGCAGAGTCCGTTTGGCATTTCCCAAATTGCTTCCCCAGCATCTTACATTTGAAATTGGCTATCCCACGATCTTTGATTGATCACCTTGGCCGTGCGTCTTTGTTTCCAGATAATGGATCCTGCCGCGGAGAAGTCGACCAATGCTCAAGAGGTCGAGGCTGTCGACCACGAGACCGGAGTACACAAAGGGGGTGTGACTACCCTCGCGGCTGACGACTTGGACGTCGGAGCCAGTATCGTGCAGGCTCAAGAAGATACCCACTATACCGAGGAAGGTGAGGATGTCCGAGACTCAGGCCCCTGCCAAAACGAAAAAGACTGTACTGATGGCATTGGCCTCCCTTTAGAAAAATCCATTGTCTTGAGAAAGATCGACTGGCGCATCATCCCGCTGGCAGCTTGGGCTTGTGGTCTTCAATTTGTCGACAAGGTTGGGCTCCTCCTACATCTCAAAGTCACGGGCTGAGTTCAGTTTGCTCACCTCCTCCTGTCTCACAGTCTGGACTGGGAGCAGCAGCAACATATGGTCTGCGTGAAGATCTAGGCCTCAAGGGCCAAGAGTATTCATGGTGTGTTTCGGTGAGCAGCATAGCCAATACTTCATCAATGTCCAGGATTCCCATTCTAAACACCGCGATGGCCAGATCTTCTACTTTGGCTATCTGGCTGGCTCCTTCGTCTCCGGACGCGGCCTCCAGTACTTCCATGCGGGAAAATTCATTGGCTGTGCATATTTCATCTGGGGTGGCACCCTGCTGGGATGTATTGGGGCGCAGAACTATGCCACGCTGCTAGCCCTCCGCTTTTTCCTAGGGTACAATGCAAATCCCCCATGTCCTTCCTATCGGCCGGAAGCCTGCTGACATCATCAATTATGCTAGGGTGTTTGAGTCGTCCTTGGTTCCTGGCCTCCTCCTCATGTGAGACCCCATTTTTGCTTTATCATTTGCTTGGGAGAGTACAATGTAGACTGACTCATCCGAATAGCACAACGATGTGGTATCGGCAACAGGAACAGTCCCTACGATTTGGCTTGTGGACGGTGACAAACGGCGTTCTTCCCGTTCCTTTTCTCATCATCTACTGGGGTAGGGCCTCTGATTCTATACTTTGGGCTAAATCGGTTCAGCGACTGATGGAGACCCTTTCTAGGTCTGGGACATGTTGAGTCGGGTCCTTTGGTAAGAAGACTCCGGAATGGATTCTAAGTCGCCGCTTTGATGCTGACATGTCTTCTTTTATCAACAGGCGAGCTGGCGACTAATCTTTCTGCTCTTGGGCTTGCTGAGTTGTATCACTGGCATTCTATTGGTAAAGGAACTCTGGGCACAGTTCAGAGCATTTTTTTCGCTAAATCCCATCACTCACAGTACTTCTTCATGCCGGACTCACCTGTGTCGGTCAAGTGGTTGACCGAGAGAGAAAAGGCCATCGCGATCAAGCGTCTTGTTGATGATCAACTGGGTGTCAAGAACAGTAAGAACACCACCCACTATGTTGTAAACCGCAGAAGATAAGCAGATCAGGGGAACTGACTTTGACGCTACCAAACACTCTAGCTCATTTCAAATGGGAGCAGTTGAGGGAGACTGTGCTCGACTACCGCTTCTGGATGATGGTGCTGCAAATGTTCTTTTCGCAGGCGGCGGGAAATGTCACCACGAACTTTCTGGGAATCATCATTAAGGTAACCAAAGGACCATCACGGATAAGGACTGGAGCATAGCTGCTGATCTATGTTCTTTCTTCGATCCAGGGATTTGGCTACACTGCTTTGAAAGCGCAGCTATATACGGCGCCGAACTTTGCGGTCCAGGTAAGCGACAGCGACCACAGGCAGCATGTCATATGAAGGCACCATTGATCTCCTAGTTTTTGTTGTCTTATTACTGACATACAACGTTGTCCAGGCTGTAACTCAAATGATAGTCTCCGCTCCTCCGACGCTGTTGCCACGATTTCGCAATTTTAAGCAACCTTTGGTGGCCATCGCCAGCGTCATCGCTTTGATTGGCATTGTCATACTCTATGTCACCCCTGCAGAGACACAATATCAAGGACGACGACTGGCCTCGGTGATCATCATTTCCTGCTCCGGAGCAAACTACACCGTCATCATGGCTGTCATTGGCACGAACACCGCTGGGTTTACCAGGAAACAGATCTCGACCTCGACAGCCTTCTTCCTCTACTGTGTGGTCAACATTATAACGCCCCAGACCTTCCTGGGTACGGAGAGCCCTCGATATCACACGGGTCTTGCTTTCGTTCTAAGGTACGTATTACCGAATCGAGCGTTACGGATATCTTCATCACTCCCTTCATATTCACAGAATCATAACGAAGTTGAAAACTGACCTGCTTTTGTCCTCTAGCTTCCTTTCAATCTACATTATCTTGTCCTTCTCCACCTGGCTCATGATGAGACTTGTCAACCGTGCTCGTGACAAGAAGGCTCTGACGAACCCGGCATACACTACTGGTGAAGCAAACCTGGACGAGATGTCCGGTCTAAGGTACGCGAACCAACTCTCCGTGGATTGGACTCGGGCTGGTGATAGATGCTGAATACTGACAAACTACTTGGCACAGAGATGAGACCGATTTGAAGAACAAGCACTTCCGTTACTCTGGCTGAAACAGCAAAGAGAGAAAGAGAGTTCATCATAGCAAGGTACGGAGCTCTCTAGGAGAGTTCAGAATGTCATGGCACGGCGATTAGTCATGTAAAACCGAAACCGAAATTGGCTGTTTGCTAAGGATGGGGTTGAAATGCACCACCCTCGTGCTCGTTCCCTGGAAGGCACCTTGATTATCTGATGGGAACCGGTATGAATGCTGGCAGATGTGACGTCCTTTGTCATTCAACAATCAATTAATTTCTGCTTTGAAATCCACCGCCGTTTTCTTTCTTTTCCTACCATCCTATGATTCTAGATTAAGTCAAAGTCCCCAAAAGTGACCAGGTCTTCTCGAAAACCCTCTGTCAGCACAGAATTAGACTAAAAAGAAGGAAACGGCCCTTGTTCCTTGAGGCAACGTTTGTGTTTTGTTCTCGTAGATACGGTCCCCATACTAAGGAAAGCGACTCTGCAGTGGAACTCCAGCGATTAGGGAAGAAGACCGGATCTGACCCTGATGAAATAGGCTCATGTCTCTTATGGTAGTCTAGGGGCGCATCCTCTGAGAAGAGGCTGGTCGAGAGGATATCTTCCCTTACTCTTCAACATCACATCTTTCCCTTCAATTGCCCACCAGCACTCTCTCCCCGCTCCTGCTCATCTCTCAACTGTCTTCTCAACAGCTTCCCGGTCGGGTTCCTTGGCAGGCTATCTACAAACCGCACACCGCCCCGCAACCTCTTGTACCCGGCCACTTGATCCGCGACGAGCTTGCAGATTTCGTCGGCGAGGCGCGGGAACGCGCTCACGGCCACTTCGGGATCCGCGACCACAAATGCCCGTGGGAGCTCGGTGGCCTCGGAGTCGGCCCAGGTCGCGACGACCCCGACGTCGTGGACATGCGGGTGGCGGCCGATGATTTCTTCGAGCTCGCTCGGAGAGACTTGGAATCTGGAGATTAGAAAGGTTACATTTAGATTAGAACAAAGAAGACCTCATCGTTTTTAATTTTCTCGTTGCGAACATGGTTCATGGGGAGTTTGAATAGAGCGTAGGAGGGAAGGGGGTCCGGAAAGGGGAGAAGCACAAGCACTGTACGTACCCTTTGTATTTGATTACATCCTTGATCCGGTCGACGATGATGAGATATCCATTCTTATCCAAATAGCCAATATCGCCAGTCCGGTACCAGCCGGGCTCTAGGAAGCTCTCTTGAGTTGCCTTTTCGTTGTCCTTGTAGCCCCTACATGGAATCATGCGGAATTCGCAATGTCAGCCCATTTGCATCTACCTCTTTTCCTTGAAGGAGTGAATAGGGCTTTTAAAGCAATTGAATTGATCATATATGTCTCGATAGGGGAAAGGTTCGACATACATCATGATAGTGGGGCAAGAGACACAAATCTCGCCCGGCGTGCCTGGGGCCACTTCTTGAAGGCTGTCATCGACAAATCGAATGGCCATGTTGGCTACCAGAGTTCCCGTTGCAACTAGCGGAGCATCCCGGTCTCGAACGCCGCTTTGGGTGATGCATGAAGACGTCTCGGTACATCCGTACGCTATACCATGGTGTGTCAGCATTGAAGACGTATGCACGTGTAAAGCAAGCAATCAGTTCCCGCCTCTTTGTTCACCCCGATCTTCTCTAAGGGTGATTAATGAAATTACTTACTTTGACAGAGGCTGACGCCGGGAAACCTCTCGCGGAGTTTGGAGGCAACATGGGGCTAACCGTAAGACGCGAATGGTCAGCAACCGTCGTTCATTAATTTGTATTTCCGTTTTGTGCTTGATGCAAGACTTCTGGAGGCCAAAGACTGGAGAGGAGGTAGATAGAAAGTAGCAACCTTTAGCACGGCTCCGGCACAAGAAAAGTATTCCAGGTCCGGATATTTGTACTTTGACACAATAGGAGACTCAGACAGTGCTAGAGCCACTGTTGGCACCAGTCTGGCCAATGTGGCTTTCTTTGTATGCAGTAACTAGAATAATAAGCATACAGATCCCGAGTGAGGTACAGAGAGAAATATTAAATTAGCCGGGGGCTTTTTAATTTCCACTTACCTGGCAGAAAGTTCCCATGTCAAATGCATGCATCAATTGGATGTAGCATCCTAGCCACGGCCCGAGCAGGGCGCAGACGTACATTCCGTAGATATGAGAAACTAGAAAAGTTTTGTGAGACTGATTCAATGACAGAAGGCAATATCATAATCAGACACTCAGACACTGTTACGTACGGGGCTGGAAGACCCGTCAATTCAGCAGGTTAGCCACCTTTGCACATCATGAGAAGAAGGTGAACTATCCATAAGTGCTTACCGGGAAGAACACCTCTCTCATATCTCCTCTCCAGTTGTCCCGGTCATGGAGCCGAAGCATCTCGCAGATGGCCGTCAGGTTGTAGTGAGAGAGCATCACGGCCTTGGGAAGACCGGTGGTGCCGCTTGAAAGCACGATGGCACCACAACACTTGTGAGCGTCTTGCCCATCAAGTACGTACGCTTCGGGGGAGATCCTAGCACCGGACTGGAGAAGAAGATCGTCTGGAAACTGTTACATCACCGGCGGTGCGAGAGTCAGTAACAAAAGCAGAAAACAGGGGATGAGAGAGTGAAGGAGGAGATCCGCAAGGAGTTACATACCAGAGCGTGGCCAGGTACACGGGACAGGAGAGTCATGATCGAGACCCGAGATCGATCACGCTGTACGGCGTCATCCACTTTCTTCTTGACGGCCGCGTCAACGATTATAATTTTGGGCTTCACGATCCCGATGGCGAATGCAATGTCTTTTGCCGTGTTCGAGTGATTGATGGTGCTATTTTTGTGTGTCAAGACTCAGATGGCCCTCCTATATCACCAAGATTCACTCTTTGATGCGAGTCTAAACTCACCTCACTGTGGCACCCGCGGCCCAAACAGCATGAGTGGCAAGGATATAGTCGACCTATCGCTCTCAACCACCCACCACACCAAAGATTCAGCAAGATGACCTCACGAACAAAACCGAGAGTCTGGAGAGAGCAGGTTTCAGGAACTCACACAGCTTCTTGAGATAATAGACACCACGTCGCCGGGTTGAAGTCCATACACCCTCCTCAAGGATTCCGCCACCCGGAAGGCATCCTCGCGCACACCTCCGTAAGTCAAACGCTTGTTTGACAAAGTGTCCTCGCAAATTACTTTGCCAGGATCCGTGTTGCAGACATTTTCCAGCATGAATTGGGTGATAGAGCGGTCACGCCGGAAGTGTACCTTGAGGGGTGAAGTGATTGGGGCCATGATGGGAATTTCGACAGATCGGTGTTTTGGCTGACCAAGAAAACTTCAATTGATCTACGAGATGCAATAAGTATTTTGATATGACTTGTGTTCTTTCCCCTTCCCATATAACATATCGAGCCAAGGTTATTAGGTACAGATGTTAAAGCGGCCTCCAGTGATGGAATTAGACATTTCCGAGCCGGAAAAGGGGTTAATTCCGGAGACGTGTAGGCGCGGGAAACAGGAGTTGTGGAACTGGCGTATCCAGAGGAGCATAGAACAGACAGCCAGGCCAGGTTTCTCCATCAACTGTTAATAAGTCTTGTATGTCGATCAAGCGAGAGGATTAAGGCTAGTTTAGAGCGCAGTAATAGCCAAACTTTGCGGGTCTGGAACCACTGTATATATATTGCACTATATTTCGATACAGCACCCTAGTTGCATTGCCTCATCTAGATGAACGAGGCCTTATCCATGGTGGAGCGACAGGCCTCTGACCACTCCAGTGAAAATAGCTCGTCAAAAGGCCCAGGGCCACCACTATCACCGCCGCCCTTTGCGGTGCCTTGGAAGAGCAGCGTGTAATAGTCAAGTTCCGGCTCACTGTTTGACCTAAATACCCCGAGCCACCCTCTGTCGACGATCTCTCCAAGGGCGTCTAACGCTCTGCGCGCCGCCCCCAGGGTTGTAGACAGGTTCTGGAGAAATTCAATCGCTCGCGTCAGCGAGGACATGGGCACGTCATCTCCGCTGCTCCAGTTCCTGCTGCTGCTGGTAATAGTGACATGCGGCACCAGATGGCAAATGCACTCCACCACGCATTCCACAGCGTTTAGGCCGAACGGAATTGGGTTGGTTCTTGAGGCCATGTAGGCCAGAATAGCCTCGATGGTATCACTAGCAAGCTCAATGCATACTCGAGACTCTCGAGCGTCGATTGCAGTTGTGTGTTTCCATGATTGTCGGATCAAGAGACGGAGCAGGTTGATTCGCTATGGGCCATACGATTCCGGATTCTTTTAGCCATCTGAACTTAACGAAAGAAGGTATGAGATCTGCTATCAGAGTCTCCGGTGAAGAATAAGCTTACCACGTATGTTACGAGTCTTGCCCGGACCTGTGCCTCAGGCTCTCCAGCTGCCAGATAGTTCGGGAGAATGGAGGTATCCCAGCGCAAACTTTCATGCGTTTTTCTTTGGGAGTGAAGGATCCTTGCATCCAAGATTTCGATCTCTTCCTGTTTGTCACGGCCTGTGGATGTCGGCCGCACGGCAAACAGAGAATCCCAAACCAGTGCCCATAGTCGAGCCCAGTTGATCTTGGTCTGGACGTACTGGGAAGACAAGACTCTATTTGTCGTCCGCACGTGGGACTCGGTGTCACTGCCATTATCACAGTTCGCTGTCCGGATTGACGCTGCTGTTTCAGTCGTGTTGGCAAAGTCGTCGACCCGGAACTCACTCTCCCGGATGAGGTACGGCCTCCAACATTTCTGGGCGATCCTGCGATCCATGTAGAACAGGGTCCACCATAGCCGTCTCCGCGCATCGGTCGTTGCCTCGGAACGACAGTCGTTCCAGGTTGATTCATCATTGAGAGACAAGGCGAAAGCTAAATGAACAGCCGTGCCGATGGCATGAGATGCCGCAGTCAACTTCTCGGTATGGATCATGTACATGGCCTTCAGGACATAATAACGCATTAGATCCACGTCGGGTGTCAAAAGCCACGGGGAATGACCACGGTCGCTTTCGGCAATGTGTTCGGCCATCAAAACGTATTTCCAACCTGGTAGCGTGGACGGTTGGTCTTCTCCATGGCTGCAAGGGTCGAGGTATGTGGCGACAGCGAGGACCAGGCACATGGACATCAGGAACGTCCGTGATGAGGGTCGCACAAGCAGGCAGAGGCTGTTGCCATCATGGATGAGATCATTCTCAATTTGTGCCCAGCGTTGCATGAATTCCCCTTCGTCAAGACACGGAAAGAAGGGGCTTAAGTGTTCAAAATATAACCCGACGAGGAATTTAAGCCGGGTCAAGGAGGGACAATTGCGGAGATATTGCTTTGTTACTAGTTGCTCGCTGCATTGCCGATCTCCTTCAGCAGAGTGTGGAGCCTGTTGCGTAAGAGGCAAAGCGGGAAGCAGTAGCTTCTTCAAAGCATTGATGTGAGAGCTCAACGAGGCGGCGCGGGAGTGATCAGGAGGAGACGGGGCGAATATCTCAGTATCCAGGGGTGCTTCAGCGTCGTCAGGCTGAGCAGCAGAGCCTGCGTGGAAAGCCTTGTCCATACGATCGACATGCTGCTCAAGACTCTTGAGACGATCCAACATTGAACCAGTATTGTGACTAATTGGCTCGTCGGGGGTGATGTCAACGGTCTCTGGCAAGGGCAATCTTGCCATTAACATGGGATATGTCAGTGGGATTGTCGAGAAGACTACGACTGCGCAGAATAACTCACCTGTCCGTCGTAGCACGGGCACCGAGGCCGGGAACTGGACCTCTCTTGAGTTTCCGAACTCTGGCACGGGCAGTATAGGTGCATGTTTTGTCTTGACGCCGGCAATTTTCGCAAACGGTGCCTCCAGCACACTTCGATAGTGTGTCAGCACGTGTTCGTGGGCCGACCATCCACTGCGCGGAGAGATAAAGGAGATTCGTTCACGTACCTTAGTCTTGCTCTGACGACATGGAATGCTAATTGGTGTTAGTCTACGCCCACAAAAAATACGAGCTCTGTGGAAATGAGCATATACCATGCCTTGCTAATGTATTTCCCCCGAGTCTTGGGCTTTGGCGATGCAGATTGTGGCCCGCCTCGAGCTACAAGAGCTGCCTGATCCATTTTTTTGCGTAGGACTTCCGGAAAGGAAAAAAAGGAGCACTACTGCCTTGGATTGGTGTGGATAGCGACTGCGATTGTAATGTCGAAGTTCCCCTCCATTCCCCCTTTTCGAGCGAGCCTCGGCAACCCCTCTCGACCCCCGACTCCCGGAGCCGGAGGCCAGATTTAGACACCGGACGCCTCGCACCCTTTTTCAGGCATGAGCTCTGGAGCTATTACTGCTTACCTGATATTGGCTGCTTGAATTCTGAGATAGCCGCTTCCTCCGTATTTCCGAATGCTTTGTCGGCCGCCCAAATCAGGATAGACAGATAGTATCCTCGCTGTTCGATTATTTTTTGGTCGTCATAAGCTGAAGTATGACTATACCACCACCCACGAGTGTTTGGAATCTCTTTTCTGTTCGATGTTGTGCGACAGAAGGCTTGCTTGAGAGGTGTGCATCGAACCTCACCAGCGGGCCAGTGACCGCACCGCCAATCCAATCCAATCCGGCCACTCCCCATGGAGGACAGCGACAACATTCACACTGCTGGATTGAAATCGAAGTCACTGATTGAACAATTGCTGCAAGTGCAACGGCTGCAGCCTGCAAAGAACGGTGGCAGTGATATCTTCACCAACGCAGGGCCACTCTGGCATCCGCCAGGGGCCAAGGGCATATACGGTGGAATCTGCATTGCCCAGAGCCTTCAGGCCGCTCAGGCCACGGTGCCATTATCCTTCTTTGTACATTCCCTTCACGGGCAGTTCGTTCTGGCCGGAAGGGCAGACGAACAGCTTGTCTATCAGGTCTCGCGCGTCAGTGACGGGAAATCATTCGCCACACGAACGGTCAAGGTAGTTCAACAAAAGGGAGAGAGGATAATCTTCACGGCGATCATCAATTTCACCCGAAATGACACATCATCGAGACAACAGAGACAAATCCGGCACTCCGAGTCGATGCCCAGGGGCATACCAGAGCCAACATCTGAGCAAGAATGCGGGACAGACTGGAACAACGCCTCCTCTGACAGGCCAGAACTTCCTCCGTACCTGACGAATAAGGTCGGCATTATCAATATCGACACCCAAAGCCCGCACGAGAAACGCATCCATCATTGGAGCAAAGCCAGCCAAAAGATATCCTCGTCCTCCTCCGGCAGAAGCCGCGGAGTCCACACACATCTCGCGGCACTAGCCTACATTTGCGATAACTATTTCATCGGCACCGTCCCTCACGTACACAGCATATGGGATTTTGTCAAGCCGCCGCTTACCGAATTTGAGGTCGGGAGCCGTGACCCGTCGCAACACCAGCACGAGACCGTGCGGCATTTCCTAGTTCCCGGTTCGGACGAAGAGGTGACCTTTCAGAAAATGGGCCAATCAACGTTCGACCCCCAGGATAATGAACACCAGTCCCGGCCGCGTGTGGGAATGATGGTCACCTTGAGCCACACCATGTTCTTCCATGCTCCGAAGGCCGTCCGCGCAGACGAATGGATGCTCATGGAGTTGGCCAGTCATTGGGCCGGCGATGGTCGAGGCGTAGCGACGCAAAAGATCTGGTCGAGAGAAGGCACTCTGCTGGCGAGCTGTGTACAGGAGGGCGTGGTTCGGCTGTTGGATCAGAAAGAGGATCGTGCTACTGCTGTAGAAAAGGGCCCAACAAGCCGACTGTGATACGCATGAAATACCTAAATATACATATATATCAAGTTTCTACAAATAATCTTTCAAATTGGCCAAATAATTTTCTTCGGCCCGATGGTAGGGTAATCAAAGGCGCGGAAACCTCGAGATTCAATGATTTGCTCTCGGTTTCCTTCTCATGCACTCGGAATTAGAATTCTATAATTCCGAAATCCCCCAGGGCCTGTAGCCGGTGGTATTCGCGGAGGACGCTTGGTGACTGTGAAATCGGATCCTTATAGCAACAGACATCGCCTCAAAACGTTGAATGACGAACATCTCCCCCCGACCTGGTATCGGTGCTTAAATGGGAGTCTGTTCACCTCCTTCAGCTCACCTCAGGAAAAGGCAGTGAAAGAGAGAGGCGACATATAGGAGAGAATCTTCTACAAAAACAACCTCGAGCGCCACATCACCTCTAGATTCCTCGCGGTAGACAACAGCGGTCTCAAGAAGGAAGCACGCACAGGTCGAAATGTCCAGTCTCTCCGGCATCCGAGTCGTTGAACTCGCCGGTCTCGCACCAGGGCCATTTGCGGGACTCATGCTCTCCGACTACGGCGCCAGCGTCCTCCGCATCGACCGGGTGACACCGCCGGCAACACCGAGTCCTGACGTCCTTGTCCGTGGTAAATCATCCATCAAACTGGACCTGAAATCCGCGGCCGGACGACGGGTATTGCTCCGACTGCTCCGCGACGGCGGCGTGGACGTCCTGATCGACCCTTTCCGACCAGGCGTGCTGGAGAAACTGGGGTTGGATCCATACAATGTCCTGCTAAAGACGAACCCGCGGCTCATCGTGGCCCGGTTGACCGGGTTTCGCAGGGACGGCAAGTACGCAACTATGGCGGGCCACGATATCAACTACCTGGCCGTATCCGGGGTGCTCGCGATGCTAGGTCCCACGGATACCAACAGTCACAACGACGAAGACGACGACGACGCTGCGCCTGAAGCCTCCAGGGGAACCCGGCGACGACCGCTTCCTCCCAGTCCGCCGGGGAACCTGCTGGCAGACTTTGCTGGCGGCGGCCACATGTGTGTGACGGGCATCCTGATGGCGTTGATCCACCGCAGCCGCACAGGCAAGGGTCAAATCGTCGAAGCGAATATGGTCGACGGCGTCTCGTACCTGGCGACGGCGCCGCGGCTGTCGCAGAAGATCCCGGGCCAGTGGGACCGACCGCGTGGGGAGAATCTCGTCGACGGCGGTTGTCCCTACTACAACGTCTACGAATGCAAGGAACCGGGAACATACATGTCGGTGGCGGCGCTAGAGCCTCAGTTCTTCGCTGCCTTATGTCGGGGTCTCCAGTTACGGCTGAACGAAGACGGCGAGTCCAGCGAGTGGGGTGGGAGACGGGAGGACCGCCAGACGTGGCCGCGACTGAAGGCGGTACTGAGGGAGAGATTCCGAAGTAAGACGCGCAAGGAGTGGGAAGATATCTTTGACGGGACTGATGCGTGTTGTCTCCCGGTGTTGTCGCACCAGGAGCTGGAGGCGTCGGGATACCAACAGCGGGCAGCGGTCGCTTTGTCTTACAGTCCCCCGAGAGAGCCCGCGGGTGGTGGCTGGGAGATCAGAACTCTGGCGCCAGGCGAAGGGGGGGAGACTTTGCTCCGCGACTGGGCAGGCTGGAGACAGGGTCGAGATTATGAGATCGAACACGGCGGCGGCGTCGTCCTTCGCAGCACGGCGAATCTGTGAAAACACATCTCAGCAAATCGAACTTGCCCGTAAGTGGGTCCATTCAGGAGTCAAGTATTTTCGATCCGCAAAATCAATAGTGATCGCCCGTCACTTAACCAGGTTCCACATATTGGTAGTCACACATATCCATCCCGCGGCGGCGAAGAATTAATGGTCAGTTTGAGAGGACGGAGTGATTTCCTCCAGCGACTTAACCATAATTATATATTAGGCTTTACCTGCCGATTGGAGTGATATAGTAGCACCAAGTCCTCGATCGATACCTCTTGTGAAGGATCCCAGAACGGCGGCACCTGTTGCACTGCCTCCAGAACTTTTCGAAGCCCGGCCATACCGCGGGTTGCGTGCTCAGGGGGCACGGTCCCACCTGCCACGTTAAGTGAGTTGTTGAAAACTTCCAGTGACATGGGTCCTCGATATCCTGTTGCGAGGACGGCGGCAGCAACGAGCTCCACCGGCATGTAAGCGCCTCTGGCAGTCTCGAATGGAAAAAGGCGATGGCCTCGCGACCAAGGCAGCAATGCTGGGGTCTCGGGGTCCAGAGGCTCTTTGTAAAGGCGTCGCGGGTTGACCAGCTCGGCATCCCCCACCTGAAAGAAGAAAATCCTGTCGCCGGGGACAGACGCCACGAGAGATGCGAGTGACAGGCACAGCAGAGTGATCGACTCCTCAATGGTTCCGTAGACGCGCCCATGCCCAGCCGGGCTGGGGGGATCAGCCCATTCCACAGCCAAAACGTTGAAGGCATCGACCACCAGACCAACGTTCGGCCGGTTCGCCGCCCGGACGGCCTCCCAGGACGCAGACCAAGTGTTTCTCGTGGCCCATGAAAGGCCCTCGTAACCTATCTTTAACATTCGACCGCCGTCTGCATGAGAAAACGCGGCAGCCATGTCGCCCATCTCGGCCAAGTCTTGGGCCACCGTTTTCAAATCCGAAGTCACCCCACTATCTGAGCGGATGCTGGCACACATGAAAACCAGATCAGTGTCAAACGCTCGCATGAAGGGAAATCGCTTCGCCACCAGGTCGAGGGTGGCACGCCTTTCTACTGAGTCTTTGATCCCCTCGATCTTTCGAAGCGGTTGGGTGCAGGAAATCCGCATTCCTAGCGATTTGACCAGCTCTCCAAGCTTGCGAGCCACCTGGAGATTTTCTGTGGTGGCCTCCCACAGCTTCTCCCCATCCAGACCGTGTTCCTCCAAGTACGCTGCCCAGCATTCGTCAAACAAGTCAATCCATTGGTACCCAGCTTTGGCGGCCGCCTCCAGGCGAGGGCCAAGCTTATGCTCTCTCCAATTACCCAGAGACAACGTTGCTATTCCCAGTTGGTTGTCAATGGTCCGAGGAGGCCAGGACCTTGGTCGAGGAATTGGTAAAGGGCCTTTCATGGTTGTGCTCAACAAAATTTGGGAAAATTGGCTGAGTGACAGTCGTCCTATGTACGGGTGGTACGTTGGGGGCCGATGAGGAGATGGTCGGGAAAGTGCTGCTTCGGTCACACGTTTGACTTATTATTAGCCAAATCGTGGTCCTTGCGGGTCCATATCTGCGGCGAACCCAAACACCTTGTCGGAGGTCAAATTAATAGACCGTCACTGAGCCAACTGGTCACGTGTGTCGACTTGCAGAGGGAGGGACTCTACTTCCTCCTTTTTGAGAGAACCGCACTTACTTGTGCCGCTAAGCGGTCAAGAGTTGACGACAATGTCAAAGATCCTCATTTCATATTCGGCGCTCAAGCAAGGCCACAGCAGGATTCGACCTGCCATTATGGCGACCTTGCAGGCCATAGCTCGTCGGCCTCCGTGACCAAGTCGAAATCTTTGACGGGTCAACTTATCCGTTGAGGTTGGAGTCCGACCAGCCTACGTACTACAAGTACGCACTTCGTGTGCTGTACAAAGACAGTTTAAAAGCGGCGTAGTTTGGGTGGGCGAGCACCTCGTGGAGCCTCACCAGGGGCCACTGCAGCCTTACCCTCCATCCAGAACATGGGGGTGTGCACCGCCCCATTTGTGGCCTATCTATGGGAAACTTCGATTGCACAGTTCAGAGACGGAGATTTCACACCTGGTCGGAACGACTGTCTGATACACTCCGCGTCTGCCTGTCGCCTGGTGTAGATTCGCTGCCCGAAACACAGCAGGAGGTCCCTCTCGCAGCTTGTCGCTAGGGGATGGTGTGAAGCACCAAGCAAATGCCGAAAGACGTGGTAAGCCACGGCGAAATAGTTGATCAATTTCTGCATTGAGTGGCTCTCGAAATATTGGCCCTCACATCGCAACTTGAACTCCCGCCTTTTCCGTGAGGGATCACTTTTCATACAAATGCAAACGTACAAGTCCATAAACCATGTAGCTTCCACGCCTACACCTTCTCGGCACGGCTAATATCTCTGGTCTTCTCGCCTTCCCTGTCACCATCGAGCCCTCTTTCCGTCTCTCCGCTGTATATGCCCCTTGACTCCACGTCTGACGGAGCGACCTCAGTTCCCGCCTGCTTTCTGATTCGAGCCATCTCTGCCGCCGGGGGTGCTTCCCACTTGGAAGATTTCATGGGAGACACATGTTCAATGTACATCGTGTCAATCTCCTCCAGCGTTCGGCCTTGGCCTTCAATGACGAAAAAGTACACAAGCAGTCCTGCAGCCAAGTTGCATCCGGCAAACACATAGCCATAACGGAAATCGATCGCGCTGATGATAAATGGAGTGAAGAATGCGAGGAGGAAATTCCAAGTCCAATTGCTTGCGGTTGAAATGGCCATACCCTTGGCCCTATATCGTGACGGGAAGAGTTCGGCAATCAACGTCCTGTGTCACGAACGGTCAGCAGGTCTCAACGGCAATTAGATGCGTCAAATTTTTCTCACCAAACCATGGGGCCCCATGTCGTAGCAAAACCCAGAATGAAGAGACACGCAAAGACAATCATGGCGATGCCGGCATTGGGTGTTCTGGATGGGTCCTGGTTGTCCAACGAGAAGTGGCCGACTGATGCAAAAATCATGAAACAGGCGAACATCCATAGACTCCCAGCGATCAGGGACTTCCTTCGTCCATAGTGTTCAACAAGATAGAGGCCAATGAATGTGACCCCGAAATTGACACCGTTGAGGATCATTTGAGTGACGAAAGAGCTGATCTGGACGGACTTGAAAATCGTGGTGCCGTAGTAAAAGAAGAAATTGGCTCCCGTAAGTTGTTGGAACATCTGTAGCATCACACCGAGCGCAATTCGATATCTATGGTCAATAAGTCAACCAAGTATTTCTTCATAGTTGCCGATATCACTACTCACCCCATTCTTGGTGCTCTAAGCATAACTCCGAATTCGTGGATCGGGTTACCTTTTACCTGATCCTCGGCACGGAATTTACTCTCAATCTCCTCCATTTGCGTGTAGATAGAGTAGTGGTTAGCAGGAGCACCGTACACCTTCATGAGAGTTTGTTTGGCTTCTTCGGTTCTCCCTCTGCGGAAGGCATATCGTGGAGTTTCGTCGAACAAAAGCACGCCCAAGCCCAGGATAAGTGTCCATAACCAGCCGAGGCCAATGACAATCCTCCAAGATGCCGAATTGTTCTGTTGGCCTTTGTAAGTTCCGTAGTTGAAACATGCGGCTAGGAAAATCCCGAGAGTGATGAAGAGCTGGTAGGTGCACACGAGGGCGCCACGGATCCACGGTGGAGCAGTCTCGGCTTGGAACATGGGGACAAGAACTGACAGCGCCCCGACTCCGAAGCCAGTGACTAGTCGACCGATCACAACTTGGATCCATGAGTCGACAGACGCGATCTGAATGACAAATCCGACCGAGACAATGACGGACCAAAAGCTGATGGAGAATCGACGACCAATCCTGTCCGCCAGTGGAGCAGCCATCAAAGCCCCAATCAGCGTTCCAATGGATAGCTGAAGAGCGTTAGTAGGTCGTTTCCAAAGTATGGCGAGGAGCAGCTCGTCCATACCATTGCGACTATCAGCCCGGACCTGACATCGCTGAATTTATACTTCCCATCTCCCTGAGATTGTGCAAAACGTCTTTGGAAGTCTGGCATTTCCAAAAAGCCTGAGATCTGGCCAGTATCGTAGCCAAAGCTGGATGGTGCATCAGCATATGTGCAGCCATTCTGTGAGTTCAACTTACATCAAACCGCCCATGGAGACCAAGCAACCCATGGCCAACGAGCGAAGTGTCACCCGTGGCAGGGGCGAATAGTCAAGGCCAGCCAGAGAGCGCCTGACATCCTCGCCCTTATCGGAATTGGGGTTGTACTTGTCAAAGTACACATTTGTACTCAAGCCCTTCATGTTGGGTAGTGGTGATGGGAATGGATATTTTACGAGTTCGACAGAGCTCGGACGACGGCACCAGCGGGGAAGAGAAGGGTTTTAATACAACAGGGCAATCTTGTGTAATCCATCTTGGGGCACTGATGTCATTCTGCAAGGGAGTATTCCTACTTGCAAGGGTCAAAGCCGAAGAAAACCTGGGGATGGCCTATTGGAATGCTACCATGGAAGGTGGCGACGTTTGCAGCCCACAAAGCCTACCGAGCGACAGCTCGGCACGCGGCGAGTGGATTCAAAGGCCATCAGCGGAGAGATCGTTCTCGCTTGGGAAGAGGCAAGAGCGAAAATGATAGATGCAAGCCGTGGTGGGCACCATGGGCACCATGGGAAGGCTGTTGCACAAAGGATAGCCTGGTCTGGCTGGGTCCAAGCCTGGTGGGTGTTGACTTTCTCTCATTCGAAGATCGACGTCACATTTGCGTTTAGCGTGTCTTGGCAGCACCGCATGACATCACGGCTGCTTCTCCGCCGCGGCATCTTTCTTCGATTTCCTGTTGACAATGTCTCGCCAAACAACGAGACTCTTCGACACCACCAACTCCATGCTGGCAGCACAAGATGATCATTGCGTCAGTCGATTCACAACCCGCACATCCCCTCCATGCGATTGGGGGAATTTCAGCGACACCACGTGTCTGATCAAACGTTGTCCGGATGCGATCTTCGATGTGCTTCTAGCTACCTTGCGTCCGAGGACCGAGCTCTGGATTGTACTTCGCAATGTGATCATGATGCTCTAGACACGAGGGCAACGAACAGAGTGTGGGGCGTATGGTGTAGATGAGGTATTGGCTAGCATTATGAAGATCTTCGCACAGGATTTCAGAAGGCAAAAACAAAGCCGTCAATATTTGCATTGTGCGGTCTATTCATCTCGAGATCCAACATCTCTTGACCAACCCGTTGCGAGCAGGTGATTCAGCTGAATGCAATCGTTCCAACAGGCTAAGGTCACCAATATTCCCAGCTGGACGACAATATGCCCCGCTATTGACCCCCTCCATTTCCACAGCCTCGTCAGCCTTGGAACCCCTAGTTGGCCCGAGCTGATGATACATAGCTTTACCGATCAGCCTCCTAGTCCACGTTAAGTACCAATGTCGAGGTCGTCTCAAGACTCAGCGCACCTTCTCAGCGACTTTTAAGTTGTCTAGACAAGCTTAGGCAGTCGCCCAATTGCACCACTTTTGCCCAGCACAGAGGTTCATATACAAGCTATATCATTCTGATGTTCAATGTCGCTTCTATATTCCAATTGGTTTCCCCGCTGGCCTATGTGGTGTGAATTGTCACCGCCAGCCCATGACCCTCTCCTGTCTTCTCCGCCGTGGCTCGGGTTCTTGCTCATGCTCCATGGCTTGGAAATCATCTTCCTCCAGCTCGTCCGAGTCCCATTCATCCTCTTGGTCTTGCTGTGCAAGCTGCAGAAATCGTTCTAGTCCCATTGCACGCACAGGACCCGCATGCACGCCGTGCGCAGCGGCCGGATGATTTCCTTGACCGGGAGCAGCAAGCGGAAGCTGTACTGGAGGATTCGCGGCATTGGCATGGCCATCAGCGTTGCCGTTGGGCAGAGCAGCTACATTATCGCCATGAACCCGGTTGAGGCCATTCTGGCGATCTTCGGCTACTCGAATATCCCGTCCAGGCAGTGCGACATGAAGATGAACCCGACCCCGTGCTTGCCCTTGAGCTTGCCCTTGAGCCTGGCCTGCGCGTGCAGGCTCGTTCGCCATCGCACGCTGGCGGTTCGCTTGGTGGCCACCACCTCTTCGTCTCCGTCTCCGTCTGGGTGGATTTGGTACTTGAGGGGGAACAGGGGCTTCGACACGAGCTGGAGCTCGAGGTCGTTCCGGAAGTTCGATTCGGTGAGCATTTTGTGCTCCGGGTCGCGCAAAGTTCACGATTTCAATGTGCATTTGGCGATTGCGCCGCTGGTCAGGCGCCGGCTCTTCATTATCGGTATCCTCTTCATCGGCAAACGGTCGTCCATGGTCGTCTTGAAATGCGGCAAAGTTCTCGGGCGGGAGCCCTTCTTCATCGTCCGACTCATCGTCGGCATCGTCAATCTCATCCCATTCTGCAAGGTCCGGATTACGATCTGCATCCACGCCTTCGCCATCCCCTTCTTCCATCACCCACAGACGCATATAACATGGGCTCTTGGTATCGTTGTAGTGACTGTAAGGATTGTCGGGCATAAGATATGCCGCACACAGGTAGCAGAAATGGCACTTGCACCTGAAGCAAGTCATGTGGTTACATCCCATAGTCTTCTGCGCTGGTGCGCTGCAGGTCGGACAAGGGGTAGAGTGCTTCTTCAGATACGCCATTGAGGCCGCTTCTTCTTCGTTGATTTCCTTTTCTCGTCGAGGATTGCATCTCACCAGCACCCCATGCCATCCCCTCCGGCAAACACTGCAGAATGCGAAATCGCAGTCCTCGCACACAGCGAGACGTTCTGAAACAGGAACATCTTCTGGCTCGGGTTGCTTGTGCTTTGCAGACGCCGACTCGGGTTCTTCTTCATCCTCTGATTCTGCGCTTTCCTCAACATCATTCATCGGGTCAGTGGGTTTGGGGTGTTTCTTCGACTTTGCGGCTCCTTGGCACCATTGTCGAGGACAGTAGATGGTATTCTTGTCCGATTCAAGCCGCTTCTTTCGTTTGAGACGCACATACCGCTGGACGAGTTCTTGTTCGATGGGAATCTGCAACAGTTCACTGGGGTTGAGTGTTTGATCTTGTTTCCGCCTCTTCGAGGGTCGACCATTCACGCCCATCCTTACAGGCTCATCTTTGCCGCAACCCGGGTCGAGACACTTGACATTATCAACATCTCCTTCCGTTATGCAACTCTTGTAGAACTCCTGTAAGCACGGGACGCAAAAGACGTGCCCGCACATCATGAGCTTGTGGCAAAAGTTCCCCTTCTTCGGCTCTAGACAAACCCCGCAATCAAAGGTTCCTTTCTCGAAATGTTCACGCTTGGTCTTGAGGTCGAAATCTAGCAATGCCAGTTTCAGGTCACTAGACAGTTCAACGTCCGTTTCCCCCGCAAGACCAAAAGCTTGTTCCGCCTCTTGTTGAACATGGTCTATATATGCATAGACAACCTGATCTTTCCCCAGCTCTTCCCACAGCCTAGCACAATCGTTCTTGAGGCGTTTCAAAACAGGTCGAGACAGCCATTGAGGTGTGACGGAGACTGAAATGACTGGAGGTTTGGTGGCTGGATAACCCACCGGCAGCGAGATTCGGAGCGACAGTGGGGGCAAATGAGTGAGCTCGTGGGCGTCGAGAGGAAGGATAGGTTGTTGTAACGCAAGCTTCGCGCCGCTGTCATTCTGGCTTTGCTCAGGAGAGGTAGGTGGTGTGGGAAGAATGGGTGGCGCGCTGTCAGTCGAGGGTTGAAAGAGAATCCGCAGTGGCCGGACGGGCGTCACAGCGAGGTCGAGAGTGGCAGTATACGGGTCTTGTTCGTCAACCACAAGTTCAGGATAAATGGCAGCGATGGTCGAAAGTTCAATGGCTCTTTCGTCTTCACTTGTATTTTGGTTAGTATCGTCCATCTTTTTTACACAGAGATCGAGGGTCGATGGCAATGATGCGGGGAAAAGAGGGCCTGTGGGCGGAACGCAGAGGAAAATTAGAATATTTATTAGGGAGCCATGGGAGATGCCCGACAGGTCAACAAAGATACAATGCCTTTGAAAGGATGTCGCTCTTTGTAGAGAAGAAGGAACACCAAGTTACAAGGGGCGCATTATCAATCTCGGACTCGGTAAAGAGGCACGACTCATTCACGACATGCTAAACAACCAAACAATGACGCACAGGGCGCCGTAGGGAGAGGAAAAAGAAAAAAAAAAAGGTCGCTTCTGATTGCAGGGAAAGAATCGACGAGGCACCAGGACTTCAACTGGCAAACAAAGCGAGGCTTGTGGTGGCGTGGTGGCTTTGATCTCGCCACAGTTAGTTCAGCCTCGCTTGTCATCTCCAACATCTCCTTGTGACCTTTTTTTCTGACCTTGATTCAATCCTCCCGCTGTTTGAGTCATCCGTTCTCCGCCTTCTTTGATAGATACATAGGTATCTGTCAAGGATGGACGATCAGCCGCTCGCTTCGTTGTCGCTCACCCACGTCCGCTATGTACGTAGCGTCCATTAATAGCCCGCACTGAAAGGTTCCCTTGCCCTTTGGCACGGCTAACGTTCCCAGACGCCCGGAGACCCCATATCCTATGCGTCAGCATGGCTAGCTCTGGTGCCACAAGGACTCTGTGTGGTCTACGTGACGCTGATATGGGCATCGCGGGAAGCCGAAGTCTTGCTCATGTTCGCTGGCCAAATGGCATGTGAAGTGGTGAATTTTGCACTGAAACGATTGATTCGAGAAGAACGCCCTAAACGTACGTCCCTTCTTTCACTCACCTTCGGACACACGATTGTTTGGAGGCTACAGGAGGTCCAAGTTCGATTAATTCTTTGTGGGCGGACAGAAATGACGGGCAAAGGCTATGGCATGCCCTCGTCACACTCTCAATTTGTGGCCTTTTTCGCCATCTCGTTAAGTCTATTCTTAATTTTCCGGCACGTCTGCGATCCTTCAGAAAATTATTCGCCTACCACACGCACCGAGCGCCTCGTTTTATCTTTCCTCGCGTGTATGGGCGCTGGGGCGGTCGCTGCTAGCCGCGTTTACTTGAACTACCACACGCCAAAGCAAGTTTGGGTTGGGGTTGCTGCTGGGGCTATCTTTGCGGTCATCTGGTTTTTATTCACGTCCTATCTACGGCATTATGGGTGGCTTGATTGGGCTTTGGATCGTTGGATATGTAGGAGGCTGAGGGTCAGGGATTTGATTGTCACAGAAGATATCCAGGACGCTGGTTGGGGTAGATGGGAAGAAAGGAGGAAGGAGAGGAAGGGGAGGAATGCAACAGCCCAGCGCCGGAAAGCTAGGTAGCGGTAGGACTGATTCATTCCCCATCAGTATACAGACACTGGCTCCTCCTTCCGTAAGCACAGTCCAAAAGGTCTCTTCTTCATGGGCTGGGCTTCTTGTTATCCCTGCCCTTTCCCACAAAACAGATCTAGAGCTTTATGTCTTGCGTTTATTTCTTGCAAACTCGGACAAAGCCGCCTCGGATGTCGTCAATGGCCACAGCCCTCGATAAAATGCAAATGCACCCGCCACTAGAAGTAGATAATATGCCACCGTCCACCTCAACCCCAATTTCTCGCCCTTTCCTTGCGCCTGGACGGCGTCTGTATCGTCTTTTCCGCGGATAGCAAGTGGGGAGATAGGATATTCCTCCCGCCTTCTTACGCGGCCCCAGAAGCGAGGAAGACCAGCCCAGTTGCAGAATGAGTGAATGATGATACAGGCGTAGACCGAGCCCGTACGCAGGTAGATGAACGCTGCAAACCACCCAAAGAGTGTAGTATAGGTGAACTGGAATAGCGACCTTAGCAGCACTGGCAAGATTGAGACGTGAGGGTGCGTCAAGTGGAACTCATAAAAGTGGTGGATATGTGCGATGCCGAAGTAGAGTGGTGTCAGGAAGACGACTTTGCTGGGTGCGACTTTAGCGAGTAGGTGTATGGGAACGAGAACAGAGCGAAAGATTATTTCCTCCGTCACGGGTCCAGCGACGAAGTTCCTGTAACCTTGCCAACTGCTGAGAGTTTCACTAGTCGCAGCGATACCACGATGGAGCAGATCGTCGAGATCTCTTTCGATGAAGATCTTCTCAAAAAGCGGTCCAATATATAACAGGAATGTCAGGGTCAAGGACTTGAACAGGTCCAAAGGTCGAACTGGCCAACAACCCAGCATGTGCAAAGCCTCGGACAGGGAGAGCTTCGCTGTTCTGGTCAACACATAGAGAGTGGCGGCGCTGGCGATGATACAGGCCAAAGTGACGGCCCGAATGCGTGCACGGATGACGCTGGGGGCGTCGCGATTTAGGGTGGGCGATGGTCGGGTTGATGAGGACAGATAGAAAGGGACCACGTATATTAGCGTGCAAGTGACCTGGTGCAGGGCTGATCAGAGTTGTACATATGGAGTACGGGCCACATTTTTCGTACCGATAGAACGGCTGCCGTGGTAGGCGAAATAACTGGCCTGTCCTTGTCTGTTTGGTCATTCGGATCAGCAACGATCAATAGGCATCAGCCATGATCCATCACCCATGGCCTATCGCGGCCGTTTACGACATTATCGATATGTAACCGCATCGGTCGGGGTCAAGACCAGCAATCCATGGACAACGCAACGATTGGGATCATGGGTTGATCAGTGGGTGGATTGGGGGAGGGGGAGAATCTTAGATTGACAGCCGTTCATGGGCCATGAAGCACCAGAAGCCTGAAGGTCTGTGTGCGGCATGTGGGAGGACTAGTTTCAGAAGAGCGGAGAGCAGACATGGCGACAACTGCCAACCAATGAAGCGTCCAACGCACCTGCATGGCCAAAATAGGTGTTTCTCAGCTTGACGAAGAAGTCCATGGGAGCCATGGTTTGAAGCCGGGCGCTGGCAGCCAGCTAGTGAACACGGAGTGGTAGAAAGGACGTTGCAAAGGGAGCGTTTGGTGCTGTGAGGTTGAATAGGGAGTCGGGGAGTCTGGAGTCTGGAGTCTGGATAATAATAAAGGGGCCTTTGACGTTCCCCAAGAGGAAATCGTGGCGTTTTCGATCAGAGATGCAAGAGTCGGTGAATGTGTGTGTGTCTTTCCCGCCGTCACTATCATGTCACCGTGTGTCTCGTCCAAATCATCGCCGTGGCCTGAGTGGCGACGCTATTGACTTGGTGCCTCTGATATTCGATCCGGAAAATTGGAATTACCTGTGCGGGTGTGCCGCTTGCTGGCGCCTCATTGTGTATGCTCTCCACTTCCTCCCCCCTGTCGCAGCCAGATTGTCGCGTTAATTTCGCGACACCCTTCTCTCCAATCGGTGAATTTCAAGAGCTGCAGTATGCCACGCGACCGAGATGCAGGAAGACAAAGCGTGAGACGCGACTTTCCCACCATTAGCCGAAGACAGACTCCTTGACACAAAAGCAATCCACACCACCAGCTGCGCAGTTGGTCCTTCCGCAATACTGGCACCACTGTGACCATCGCAGCCACTCCAATTTTACATGCGTACAAGCCTCTCAAAAGAGGAGGAAACTTGGATCTCAACGCCGTTTAATTCTGCTCCCCTGATCTCGAAAAATCGCAAGGCGGGTAACAAGCAGTGTCTCCCAAAAAGAGCCCTCGGTGCCTGCGACTCTCCTACCCGACCGAGTACAGAGACAACATCCAACATTCTTTTCCCATGTACATACACACCCAGTTCTGCACATACCAGACCGCCTCTCCGATATCAGACGCTCAATTGCACGCCGCCAGTCCATAAGCCGATCAGATCTCAATTTAACTCGCCCTGCAGCATGCATATGCAGCTCGGCCCCATCATCATCCTAACCCAAGCTACGAGTACATTGCAGTCCACTGTTTCTCCGAATCCCACGGCCATGAGGCTCGCATTGAGACATCAATAAGACACTCACTATCCTGCACCTTGGGCGCCCACCCAGCGTTCTTTCGAATTGCAGACCTCACCTTTAGTCGTTCGTTACACTATCAACTCTCCTAACCACTACACCCTCGAGAATCAACGTTAAACCCACCGAGTCACCGAATGCATCACTGGTTGCTCCTCATGACGATGAGATAGCTATGTCCTCCCCCCCTTCGCCGGTTCAGCAAAGATCGCCGAAGCGGACTTCTCCCAAACGCACCCCGTTACAAGAACGAACATCTTCAGAGACAAATGAGATTTCCGCTCGTGTGAGTAAAGAGCCCAGATCAGATCAAGAGGGTTTGAACATATACAATACCACACCGTTCCCCACAAAACCAGCACATGTTCTCCTCCCCAGTACCATCCGCAAGCAGAGGAGCTTCGGGCTAAGCCCGCTCAGCGACACTTCTGGGTTTCACTATGAGAATGAATCGGGTAGAAGCAGCGATGCTTCACGAGGCTCGCGGGGGGGCCTACAGCCTACCGTTAGACTGAAGCGATCGGTAAAGGCACTAAGGGATCTGTATGAATCTCAAGCCGAAGAATCGTCCCGTCCTTCGACCGCCACTTCACCACCGCTCCGCCCAAGCACTGCGAGCTCGTTTCGGCTAAGGAGTATCAGCTCTAGTGAAAGCCTGTCTAACGCATACGCTTGGGACTCTCTGCAAAAGATATCCTCGGATGACTTGGCCTTGCTACCGTCTTTGCCCACCGGAAGTCGTGCTCTTAAGAGGATTTCGTCGCGTACCTCATTTACCTCGATCCCGGAGAAGGATATTGTGACCTCAACTCCGAACTACAAAGTATTGGGAGTAACATCGAGTCCGAGACCGCTAGCTTTCAAAGACCTGAACAATCCTTTGCTGGAAGCATTTGAAGACATTCCAAGTGCAAACTCTGGGAAAGATGGTTCTTCGAGTCCCAACATCGTTCGTCTCGCACATACGTCAAGTACGGAACAGTTTCAGAGCACCGATCAATCGTCCAGTCCAAATGTGGTCCGTCTGGCCCACACCTCGAGCACAGAGGAGTTTCAAAGCAGCGACCAATCCTCCAGTCCCAACGTCGTCCGCCTCACGCACACCTCCAGTACCGAAAATTTTCAAAGCAGCGACCCGTTTTCAAGTCCAAATGTGGTAAAGTTGGGAATGTCTCCGACGTCAACAGCCCGACCAGACCTCCCGAAATATTCTACACATTCGCGGTCTTCGTCAAGTTCTTCGAGGAAGAGGAAAAGGTCTCAGTCTGGAGGAGGGAGGTCTTTTGCCGAACGAGTTGGAGCAAAGATTCCCCTTGCATCTAGTCCTCCCGTTCATCGTCACATTCCATCTTCTACTGCCGCAAGCACGAGTTCTCCTGTTGACCCAGGAATACCATCGTCAGCGCCACAGAGCATCCAACAGACTAACGAATCTATCGACGAATCAAGCCCAGTGGTTCGAATTTTGGCAAGAGACGATCCCACTTCCGACGGCAGTTCTGTCGCCGACACTCATGCCAGTCTTCAGGCCGCTCTAAGCTCAAGTCCACCACGCATTCAATACCCGGTTGTTCGGGCTCCTGCTGTAAGCCAACATGCCGGCCTCGCTGTGCCCAAACGTCATTCCAGATCCATGTCCACCGAAGGGTCCACGTCGAAATTCTCATCGAGGTTATCAGCCGTGCCCTCCGAAGGCTCGTGGACCAGAACACGAGCAACCAGTGAGGCATCATCTATACCTGACGATCTCGACGAATATCTCCATTCTGATGAACTAGCCCCGGCCTCCACCTACATCATCAATGAAGACGCAAATCTAACACAAATCCGACTTATTCCGGAAATTGAACGAAGATCTGGGTCCCAGTGCGCATGTGAATGCGAATGCAATCACCAAGAGGTGGACCCTCACCACAACGAAGCCACGGACGAAGTCTCAGCATTACCCTCTGCATATAGATCACCGCCTCTTCGACCAACCAGGAGCGGCGGCTACCTTAACTCGTCTTCTAATACTTCACAGCAGTCCATCACGCGACTTAATTCCATGAAATCATTTACGCAGTCACGACACAACAGTTTCTTTTCCAATTCCTTGCGTCCAGGTTCTTCCAGCAGCATTACGAGCATCGTCCCTGTACCCACATGGGCCCGAAGATATTATTCAGGCTTCTACAGGGACTCCTTTCAGTATCTCTATTCCAGCGGCTCATATTTAAATTTGAGAGAGTTGGCGGCAAATCAAGCACCGATTCCAGTACATTTAGAGCTGCCTTCACGACCCGAGACGTCCAAATCGAGCGCCAGCCCCAGCATGCGCAACATCCACCAGGCAATGACCGACCACGTTGGTGGCCTTTTTCGACCAAAGAAAAGACCAAAACTCGAGGCCCGGAAATCCCACCGTCTACCTGGTGTTGGACCACTGGTCTCGAATCCAGTGCGCCCTCCCGCAACAGCGGCTCTAGTCTCAGGCGGCCGGCGACAATCTTATCCCCAAACTCAATCCTATCCTAATACTCACTCTCGCTCAGTTTCCTTACCATTACACCCCGCCGACCCTCGTGCTCATTGGGCCGGCATAGTTGAGATCCATCAACAACCACACGAAGATGGACGCGGCTCAAGCTACATGATTCACCATCACAGCTATACCTATAGCGGCACTGGCTCTCAGTCCGACTCGAACCAGTCCGTGATACATCACCCTCGAGGAAGCGGAAGTGGAAATGTATTCCGCCGTTCCTGGCATCGCTGGTCTTCTTCTCCGCACCTTCATCATGACGCCCGCCTCGACACGGGCTCGTCCGTTTCTCGTGGCTTTGGGCACCCATTCAACGCAAAATCCCGCTGGACGACCGGTGTGCCTGATCTCGTCACCAGCGGCCAGTCCCAACATCCGCTGCAGATTGATCTCCGCTCCATCCAGGTGATTTGCTTTACCACCGGTTTCCTCATGCCCCTGGCGTGGTTCATTGCTGCTTTTTTGCCGCTTCCGACGAGGCCGGCGAGCTTTGGGGACATTGAAAAGCAAGTCGTGCAAGAACAGCGTCAAAGACATCGACAATCATATCCTCAACCACAACCAGAGTCGCGAACGCAATCAATGCGTAATTCTCTGTCTCAGCAGCGCAGTTCCAATTACTCCCAAGCAGAACAAGAGTGGGAGTCGACGGACATCATAGCGAGACTCCGCTATGAACGGCACACTGCGGGCGTGGCGGAGCTGAAATTCCATAACGCACGGTGGTGGAGAAATCTGAATCGATGGATGAGCGCCGTCGGTGTCGTCGTATGTGCACTCGTGGTTGTGTTGGCCGTACTGGGAACGAAACACAATTGGGGAGAGAATTAGCTGGATGTTAACAGGACAACCAGTTTTTAAAAATAAAAAAACCCCTCAATACCTACGGCGCGAGGCGGGAATAGTGAGCCCGAAGATGGTACGAAATGGAGAAGCTAGCCGGAGCCTGGAGGAAGCAAGTGCAGCCGAATCTTGGACATAGATCCATATATTGATATACAGTGTACATTCCTTTATTTACCTACGCAGCTAGAGAGTCGCCGGCGTCCGGAACCTCTCAACCAGACAGATTTCTTGGAGTCGATCAAATGGCACAATACCAAATTCACACTTGTTAATAACCCGATCCTCTTCACTATATACATACTCATATGTACTCTGTCCTGGGTCCTGGGTCCTGGGGTCCTGGGTCCTGGGGTCCTGGGGTCCTGGGGTCCTCAGGACCACTGAATATTGAGTTCTAAGTTCGGAGTAGGTGGCGCGCCCTCAAGTCCCGAGTGAGTACTAATATCGGAGATTGAGATTGAGATTGAGCATTGCGGTCGGGCGGGAAGATATCTACAGGTCCTCCACACCTAGCGAGCTATTAGGTGCGTAGGGTATTGAATATTTCGACGCACTTCGCCTTTTGTTCCTTGTCCGTGGTATTCATTCATACCTACATTACTTCACTGCTCCACTTTGCTTATCGTTTTGATTTTGGTTTGATTGATTACAGCACGAGTACTTCTCGGGCTTTTTCTCTGTGTTTCCCCGGCGGCGCATGCTGGTGCATGAGCCTCTGTACGTCATCCTTTTGCAGCCATTGAAAGGTATGTAGGCCGCGCAACAAAACAGTTGGCATTCCGGCTGCCCTTGGTCTTGGGTGTCTGGCTCTCAAGCACCGTGGACGAAAGTTGAGAACGGGCCCTCCTGGATGGTCATGAAATTTCCTTCCACATGGCACGTTTTAAAATATACAACTGGGTTTCATTCTCGAAAACAAGGCCCTTCTTTTTCTATCCCATTCCGTGCTTCCCCAAACGCCTGGTGTCGCTCTTGAACATCCGCTCGACACCCGAGATCAAAGGCAAGCTCAAAAGGAGTAATTTGCAGGGCCGGATCGGAATGGTCCGGATCTTCATACAAGCATCGCTCTTAAACTGGCAACTTGAAGCTCTTCCCTTTGAGAACCCTACCAGGTGCACACAAATTAGTATCAACTTTCTCAGCCTCCGTGCTCACCTTCCAACCTTTCCAAGATCGGTTGCCTGGGCAAGAAAATGTAAAAACTCACTTTGTATAATAAACCCAGAAAAAGTCCGAATACAAAACCGTCTGGATCACACCGGCGACCACGGCAATCGGATCAAAATGCCCCTCTGCAAACCACCGATAGATCCAATTCGGGATGTACAAAGCCCGGTATATCCCCAATGCAAACAGATAATGCGTGGTGATTGTCTCAGCCTCGCCTGTCCTTTGAAGCATGAACAACTGCGGCAAGATTGCGACACTCTCGAGCCAGATGGAAAACGCCCACAGCACTTCGGGGATCGTGTAGCGGTAGGGGAAAAGCAGGGCGAGGACGGCCGAACCACCGGTAAGGTAGGAGACGCGGAATGTGTCCAGGTTGGGATCGTGGGTTGGTTTGTAGTCGTTTAACATTACATAGAGGGTGTAAAGGGAGGAGGAGAGGAAGATGAGTTTGAAGATGGTGTTCCATGCGCTATCGGTGAAGGTCCAGAAGAGATCTAAGCATCAACGCCTATGTTAGACAAGAAGCTTTCGTGTGGTTGAGGATTGGGAGTTGCACGGACCAAGGTACCTCGTCACGTAGACGAGGAAATATAACGCTTGTGTTTTGAAGGAGATGCCTGAACATGACTGTTTGAGTTAGAAGGATGAGCGGTCAGCGATGGCCCTGTATTTTCTCGCCGACATTGGCTCGTGGTGCTTGGGTTCGACATACATTCGAGATCTTCATCTTGTGAAGGAGGATGAAGATTGAGACTAGATGCGACAGGTCCGCTGTGCAGAGGAACAGTTCAATTAGCATGGCGCCGCATCTTCTAGAATAGTCCGTGTGCGCATACCGAGTAACCTGAAGAGATTCATGGTGGGCAAGATTCAATCGGAAAATGAGCAGCTGGACAAGTGCCAACAATGGGATCGGGATCAGAGAGTAGATTCCAGAGGGTAGTCCGCAACGCGCGGGAACGCCTTCTGCGGTTCAACTGGATGGTTGAAGAACTGAAGAAGCCGAAAAGAATCTGGATCTGGAGCTGAGACTGGAACTGAGGTGACACTGGAATTGGAATTGGATCGCGCGGTGAATGATAAAGGAGAGACGACTGCGTCCGAGTGAGATGGTGGTGGAGAGGGCGAAGATGCGCAGGTAATTCTGGTAATAATAATTCTGCCAGCCTGTTCAGATGCAGACGAAGCCGCCGACGCGCATGTGCAGCGCAGTCTGTGATTGGCAAGTAATTCGCTAACAAGCCAAGAAAGCTCTAGTCGTGCCAAGGCAACTCTCCCGGTGTCCGCTAGGGGCTGCTTAGGGAGAAGGGCGCCATAAGGGGCAAGAAGGGGCACCCAAGGCACCCCTAAAGAACACCTTAAGCCCTACGGCTATTCTATTATTTGTTGAGCGCTAATCTAGTTATTAGGTAGAGGTGATGATTAAAGAGCTCTATATATATTTACAGCGTCTCCATAGGTACCTATAGCATCGCGCGAAAAACCTGTCGCCCGTCTTCTCCTTTTATTTTATCTCTGAGGTACCTACAGTACCAGCAGGTAGTGAACCTTGATACGGGCTGAAGCTCTCACCTATGATCGGGAGAACTAGATGAGGCGGGGAAGAGCGGATACCGTTAGCTGAAGTGATACGGAGCCTTTTGGCTACCAGGTACTAAAGTACGGAATACATCGCTAGTATCACGCGAAAACCAAGGGCCCCAGCCTCCTCCAGAGCCTTGATCTTCCTCCAAGACCAACTTCGGTCAACTTTAGACGATGGAATCCATCTGAGATACGGGTGGATCCTAGTCTGCACCATTCCAATGTGCTCGGGCTGGATAATTTGGCTGCTTCTAGGTGCTCTCTTGTATAGTAAAGATGGCTTTCCGCTGTCTTTGTTCGAGGACCTGGTGGAGACCGACTTAGTCCTTCTACATGAATACTCCGTCCCTCGATTGCAACATATTCCCCTTCTCCTTGCTAACTGTAGTCTAGAGGATTGCCAGAAGATAACTTATCGCACTCACTGCATCGGCAAATTTTCCCGCGCGACCCTGAGAGCCCTGGGCTGCCCTGGGCTGTCAAGGTAAGTCTGCGTCTTACGCAGCCCATGAGACCGCTGGGCTCGCTGGGCTACTCTAAGAGAGCTCATGGGCTACTCTAAGAGGGCCCTGGGCTAATATAATAATTTATAACTTTACGAATATATAATTATACTAGTCGGTTAAACTAGTACTAATAAAGATTACTATATTATACTAAAATTAAAGTAGATATATATAAAATATAAGGTTTCGAACTAAATCTTAAATTATTAGCTTAATAGCGTTAGTATTCACTAAGATAAAGACTTAGCGAGTTATCCGCTTTTAGTGTAAACCTTATTTCCGAAATAGGAAAGACCTTTTTAAATTTAATAATATTATATAATAAGTATATTATAAAAGTTACTAAAAATAGATAGTCTATAAGAGCTCATAGCCTAGATATAAGAGCTGTGAGCGACTGTGGGCTCCCTGGGCTCCCTGGGCATATAAGAATGCTGTGAGTCGCGGGAAAAATTGCTGATGTGCGGCATTAGGACCCTGCTACTTTCCAACCCTAGGCTCTCATCGATTGTTATTCCTCCTAAGCTCGGTTGCCCTCACAAGCCCCTCTCTACTCTCGGCGGTTGTCAGGAACGGTTCTAGCGCAAAAGGTTACTAATATGTCCTGCCTCGAGCTTTTATCGCATTCACTTAACGCGGCATTGGTCCTTAAAGCTATATGCCTTCACGTCTATACGGATGACCGGTGATGGGTAGACGTCATGATTCAGCTAACAGCAGTAATGATATGACTGGTTTCGAGCGGCCTGAGCGGATCTTTTTCAAAAGCTTGTTCTTTACTGGGTACAGGTCCACTGTCACTGCCATGCGGCAGATGACAACTTCGGAGTAGAAGGCTACAGTAAACAGCTGAGGACTGAACCGAGTGGTTAGAAAGCCAGAGAGGTGTTGAACCAATCTGGGGGTTCAGTAAGTTGATTGATTGAGGAAAAGAGCTCGATCCGTGACGGAAGAGGCTTAAATACCAGCCTGTGCAACATCGCCAAGAGGTATCTTCCATAGCCTAATCGGGCTAGGTCCAACAGGCAGAAGCAGGCAGCTCCCGATTCCATTTTCCCGCACAGCCTATACATAGACGTCTCTCTCGTCAACAAGACCTCCAACAGCAACAATCACACCGCATATCTCACTACCCATCATAAATCAACACAATGCCCTCTTCATGGCCTCCCATCACCACCCATACCACCCGTCTAAGCAACTAGCCCTCATAACGCCCCTCCCCTCCTTCTCCCGCACCCACTCCCCCGTAACCTCAATCCTTTCTATCCCCCAAACCTCCACAGGCCCAAACGTCTCAGTCTCTACTATTGAGATTGTCAAGATAACGCCGCTCAATGACTCGAGTGGGAGCACTTGGCTCTCTGAATGGTCGACTCCTCCTGGCTCGACGACCGCGCTTCTTCGGAGGTCTGCCTTTCTCTGTCGTTGACTGGAGGAAGAGCATGCAACGCGAGGTCGTAAAATGTGCTTTCTGGTATCTGCTAGGCTCAGTGATGATAATACGGAGAGATTACCACTCCCGTCCTTCAGGCTGTCGACCGTTTCAGATATTTTTCATCATCGAGCGGCCAGGGTCCATCGGTGATTCCCTTCCAATAGGCCATGAAAAATAGTGGTTGATGATGCTATTTCTACGGTAACATGGTGTGAATTAACTAATATCGTAAACCACCGTGTTATGAGGTTCTACAGGAGAAAGAAAAGAAACAACACCTAGCCCTTTTTAAGGGTTCTTGCACCACCTAGGAGCCTAGTCAGATGACGAAGTCCAGAGAAGGCGCGAAATAGTATTGTGAACCACTATCTCGGGAGGCTCGGCAGACTATACCGCCAACGATTCCGGTAATCAATACCGTAGGATGTCTGAAATACAGTTTTACAGCACTGTCCAGTATCGTCATTAATTGAGGTTGGTTGCTTGTAGGTCACATTCTTCAAGCTCAAGTCATTGGACATCACAATTCTCTGTACACAACTAATATCACCGGGCATGGATGCCAGTTCAGTTAATGTTTTTGATCCTTTAATCGAGGATCGGGTTGTGCTAGAAGGTTTCGATGGAGAACATGCGCTAGATCTTCAGAATTCATCCGTCAATCCTCAAACGATGTGGAACCATGGCGGTATCTCACAGGGTAAAAATTTCGGCAATGTAGGACTCAGCCAGCAGGCCACTTAGAGTACGGGTCCGACATCGATATAACATAGTCATTGTATCGCAAATTCTTCGCAGAGAATCACGCAGGAGCAACTACGGTCCTCCCTAATTAGAAACACGTTAAGCTCAGGAGAAAAATCCATGTTAGTACCGAGCACAGATGTCGGAGATACGCCATGCAGAGATGACGTCCTCTGATACAATCTTTACAAAATGATGGAATCTCATTTTACGGTGGATTTTGACGTCGTATTCGGCGAGCATCGCCCAACTTTGCTATGCGAAGAAGAAAATTTTATAATTCCGTAGATAATGCCGCGGGCTTCTGTTTCTCGCCAATATTGCTCACGCTGAAACTCCGAATCCAAACTTCCTAGGTGAGTTATATAACCGCGAGCACGACTCTCTACTCACCGTGACAAGATAGCCAAGCATGAAAACTCATTGGTTCTCCTCCGTCCGCATCTTGAATCTTGACACAGGTCTTCCTGTCCTTCCTGTCGTTCTCATCATGGCCCTCCTTCCCGAGCCCACTGTCTCCGACGACGACGACGCCCCCCAGCGAGTCAAGGACTCCTCCCGACGCATGTCCTGGATCCGATCTCTTCTCCTCTGCACGTACCTCGACGACGATGTCTACAACCAGAATTACGCCGGCAACGGCACAGACGACGACCCCTACATTGTCGATTACCTGCACAACGGCCGCCAAGACGCCATGGATTTTTCCGAGGGGCGAAAATGGGCCATTGCCATTCTCCAGTCCCTGTCCACGTTTGCGGTGACCTTTGCCAGCTCGGTGTACGTCAGCGGCATCGAAGGCGTCATGCAGCGCTTTGACGTGTCCGAGGAGGTGGCAACACTGGGCTTGCCGCTCTTCGTGTTGGGATTCGCCCTGGGACCGCTGATCGGGGCACCTCTGTCGGAGGTGTACGGGCGCCAGTCCATCTTTGTGATTTCGTACACGACGTACACGACGTACACGGCGTTCAGCGTGGCGGCAGCGTGCGCGCCCAACATCACGGCCTTGCTGGTTCTTCGCTTCTTTGCGAGCGCGTTTGGCTCGTCGTCGATGGCGAATGTCGGGGGCGTCATTGCCGACATGTTCAGCAAGGCGGAGCGCGGACTGGCGACGGGATTGTTTGCCACGGCTCCCTTTCTGGGGCCTGCACTTGGTAGGCGGTGGATGTCCTTGTTCCATGCCGCCCATTTTGCCGTTGTTGCCCTTGTACACTTGCTGATTCTTATCAAAATTCTTTTGTTCAGGGCCCGTTGCCGGTGGTTTTCTTGGCGAGACCCAGGGCTGGCGCTAGATTCTCGGTTTGATCGCCATACTGGGCGGTGTGATCTGGATTGCCACGATGCTGGCCAGCCGCGAAACACGCGATGTCGAGCCAAGGCCCTCTCCCGGATGACACGAAGCGTATATGTGTCAAGGCTCGATGCGGGACAGCTGCCCAAGACACTCTCGCAGGAGCTCCCGGTCGCTTTCACGCGCCCCTGGATCCTTCTGTTCCGCGAACCCATTGTCTTGCTGGCGTCGCTGTACATCTCTATCGTCTACGGCACACTGTACATGTTCTTTGCCGGGTTTCCCATCGTCTTCCATGTTGCTCGAGGCTGGAGCCAGGGCACCGCCGGACTTCCATTTGTCGGCGTCGCCATTGGCGTCTGTCTTGCCACGCTGGCGACCGGCGTGGACAACAAGCGCTACGTGCGCCTGTGCGCGGCGGCCGAGGCAGAGGGATGCGCAGTCGAGCCAGAAGCTAGACTGGGTACGGCCATGGCAGGCTCTATTGTCTTGCCGATTGGTCTGTTTCTGTTTGCGTGGACGACGTATCCGTCGGTGCACTGGATCGTGCCCATTATCGGCGCCATGTTTTTCTCATGTGGACTTGTCATGGTCTTCATCTCGCTGATGAGCTATCTGGTCGACTCTTGTACGTTTTGATCCTTGCCTCGTGATCCTCTGCAACAATGCACATGCTCACCCGTGCACAGATGTCGTCTATGCTGCTTCTGTGCTGGCGGCCAACTCAGCGCTTCGGTCCTTGTTCGGCACCGCGTTTCCGCTGTTTACCACCCAAATGTACGAGAACCTCGGGAATCAATGGGCGAGCTCCATTCCTGCGTTCCTGGTGCTTGGGTGCCTGCCTTTCCCGTTTCTGTTCCACAAGTACGGGCCGCAGATACGCTCCCAGTGCAAGTATGCTTCCGAAGCAGCTAAGGTGCTAGAGACGATGCGTCGTCGGCACGTCGTCGTGATTGGAAATGAGCCAAATGGGCCAGCGAAGGAGGCTGAATAGGTTGTTTAGTGGAGGCTGGTCCCAACCGTATTATTGGCCCTCCGTAATACGTAATGGGGCTGTCGTATCTCAAATGAAAGGAACAGGCGAGAAAGGGACGCCGCAATGGAAAGGAATTGGCTGTGATAGCTCAATCAATAACTAGCTAGGGTAGCTATCTGTTTGTTGGTAAGCTGTCTCTGAGGGAGAGAAAAGAGGAGGGCAATGAGTGGGTAGAGTTGTCTTTTGTCTTGTCTCAGCTCTCAGACCCATTGGCTCAGTTGCCTTAAGCGGGCAGGGCCCACTGTTTTGCTCCGCAGAACACCTTCGTGAGATTCTTTGAATCTTTTGTGATTGGCCGGCGCTTTAGCACGCAGCCTAGCCAATCAGGGCGCAGCCCCGATATCGGGTCTGAGGACTCAAATAAGATATAGACGAAATAGCCCTCGGCACACCTTCCCATCCAGTAACGTCTTAAGTGGGACAGGGGCGCCAGCGTGGGAGTTTAAGAGATGGATGGAAAGTATTATGCAAAGTGTGGATTCAATATTATAGTACTCGGTATAGGTAGGCTGCTTTCTTTTTACTATTGTTATTCTCTTTTTAATTCCTTATAGTGTAACAAGGCAAAGTGGCTGTGCTGTGCTGGGCTGGTAGAGCGGTAGCAGGGGGGGAGAGTTGTCAGTCACATGTCAAACCAAAATGGGCTGGCAGGAGGAGTGCGGAACAGTTCACAGTGCTGGCAGTGTGCCATTCAACAGAGGGAACAGAGTATTATGAATTCCATGGCTTTTTGGTGCCATCTACCTATTCCTGAGTGTGTGCACTGCAGCACAACGTAAACACCGTCACAATCACTAGTTACAAGAAGCACCCGAGGGGGGCTACAGGGAAATCTAAGCAGAAACGCAAGGGCAGGGAATCTATTACACTCCCGTTTGAAATAGATGCCCGGCCGAGAGGCAGGTACATTCGATTTCTAGAGAGCTTGATGTAGCCCCCGGTGTCTTGTTTAGGAAGTGCTCGAGGAGCGCTCAGTGATGTTCAGCAAAAGGCTCAGTGGGACCTCAGGCTAAGGCAGCCTTCGCCCACCTCCTGGAATCAAACAGTATATGGCAATGAAGGTTTTTCGTTCTTGAGTAATATAGGTATGTATTCAGTATTAACCCCAGACGTCAACATGCCGGAACGTCTTCAGCACTTTGACTCGCCCCGGCGTCTGGCTGCTTAGATCGCGTACAACATTCTCGAACTGAAAAGGAGAACCATCACCTCCTATTTGCACAAGTTCGTCCCGGTCTGTGTCGAAGCAGATCCCCTGGCGATGACGGTGGTCGCAGACACGATAAAGCCTTCTCGTTGTCGTGTCACAGTAAAGTCCCTCGGCAAGACTCACGAAATGCGGTCCCTTGGTGTGCTCTGCCTCGCACATGCGTACTGCACTTGAAAGGTCCAAGTTGCTCTTGACAAGCGCCATATCAAAGGAGCGTTCGAACTCAGCCGTGACATCAGTGTAAGTGACGTTGAGCGTCGGTATTATCAGTTGCCGCCGTGATAGAGCAGGTTGGGCATCCTGTAACATGATGAATGGAATTCGGCACAAGTCTTCCACTGACGTAAGATTGGAGGATTCCAGCTCCTGCTCGTCGGTCTGCAGGTTGAAGCTGATGCCTGCTAGGCGAAGACCGTTCGATTTGTGCCGGTCGATCCAGACACAGGACGCCGCTTTCCCTTCAGCGTTGGCGATGACCGTCACGGCTGATTCGTAGTAATCTGCACCACAGATTCTCCCCAGGTTACCAGTCATGGTGATTTCGGATCCATCGGGCGCCGTCAACCGTACGCCTGCTATGCACATGGGCGCCTTGCCGGCGTTGGTGATATAGATCCAGTCTGGCAGACTGGAACCCGGAATCGTGATGGTGAGCTCATCCTCGCCCTTGTCGAGCAAATGTAATACTTCTCCGTCGACATTATTACCGTTGTAGATGCTGACTCCGGGGACCTCGCCGTAGTCGTAGTCATAGCCAAAGCCCCTCATGCCATTTATCACTGTGACCGTCGTACCTCCTCCGTCCCTTCTTCTTAGAGGCAACATATCTTCTCCGCCATGTTCCCACATGTCGCAAGCCGGTTTACCGAAAGGACTTTTCTTGTTGGGCGTTCCACAAGGATCGTCGTCACATGCGCGAAAGACGCCGCATGCCATCGCGGCCGAAAACGAGCCGGTGAGACCCACAACGCTACCGGTGACTGCAGCATGATACCAATGCTCCTTCGCCCAGGCAATCGCCCGGATCCAAGAATATGCGTTGCCCATGGTGTCTTGTAACCTGGATGGCAGACTTGGAGGGAATTTAATGTCGGAACTTGTCGTTCTGTGAAGAGGAGCAAATATCTTCGGGGGCACCACTGTTATATAGTGTTTCCACTGGCATGAAGACCTGGTTCGGAATTAAAGTTTTGGACGAACAATGCTTCTACTGGCACGGGGACCCGGTTGAGAGTAAACTTCGGGCGACAAGGCTGAGAAGAAATGGTTCGCCAGCTGGCGGATGGTTCGCCCGGACCAGAGCTCCATCACTAATACAACCAAGCTTGCATCACTCCTTAGTGTCTCACTAAGAGATTCTAGTATTCCTACTTGCTTAACATTTTCAAATAGCCGTGGTCGTCAGCTGCCTCGCGTGTTTGATTGAGGTACACGAGGGGTCGACAGATGAATTTCGATGCTCTTTGGCCAGAAGTGAGCGGAGTGTTTGGTTTTGCTTCCAACATTCGGGAGAGAAATAGCCTGCCTGAGAAATCACGACTAGGCTCCAGAGGCTCGATTTATATCAACTTGATTCATGGTGCAGAGCACCAGTTTGGTCTTAATCCTCTGTCGAATGAACTACGTTATACCCAGTCCATAAAGATCGCCGTCGACAGAGCTCCGGCCCAGTCAAACAAAGATGATCAGGCACCTGGCGACCATAGAAGTCACCTTCTCTTTTCTATCTAATTCTCTCCTCATCTATTCGGCACATTCTCTTCCCAGAGCATCGCGTTTGTGCTTCATGGGCCGCTGTAGGAAAGGGGCATAGGAATGAGAGCCCGAAAAATGTCAGCACCTGAAGGGTCTTAGGACAATAGATATCCCGATCGTCCCGCAAAGCTTGAAGTGCTGCTCGTTCATCGTTATATAAGTGGCAAGACTTTTCTGTAACTGTCATTCCTGCCGACCCAAACCGGACGGATGAAAATGAAACTGTAAAATCAACCAGTAAGTTTGCGCAAACCGAGCCTAAGAAAATGGGCGCCTCGAGCCCTGTGGCAGCCAAAGAGTAATATTGAGTCCAGGTGAATTTCGGGGAGGAACACATTCGTGAGACGTGTCGTGTTGTCGTATCGTTGCGCAAAGCCACACGCCATATGCTCTGCATGAATCCTTGTATATTGTAAAGAACACAGGCGAATATGCTGGCTTTCCGGTCAGATTATTAGTGCACAGCACAGTCGAGGGGTCAAATATAATGTTCAACCTTGATTCCATATGCTGTTTCTGTTGGTGCATTGCCAAGCACAGATTGAGGCAGCAGGGATGAAGTATAGGCAGGTGGATTTCCAGTAGCATTTCCGAAATTATTGACAGCCGAGAAAGTCAGACCCGGTGAGCTGGCATTGTTACAGTTCAACGACATAGGTGGAGCTGTGTTGTAGGAGTCGTGACGATTGAGAGAGGTATGTGTCATGGCCGGTGAGACGTGATTGGTCTCTGAATGAGATTGCAACGGCGTCATCCAGCGGTTCTGCTGTTGAAAGGTTGAGCTCGTTTTGAAGCCCGCTGTTTGCAAAGGCAAGCCCGCGCTCACTGTGGTCTGCCGACTCACTGTAGAACTCTTCCTTGAACCAGCTGCTGAGAGTGCCTCCGGCGAGTATGGTTCCGTGTTCGTCTCGGGGCTTTTTACTGACTCTGGAGGCGAGTTGCGACTGGTCCCTCGTCTGACTTGACATGTGGGACATAGTTTGACGAATCTTGAGATGAGTTCTTTGGGTACCCTAGGCCATATTGATCAGTCTCCCTTTAATCATGAACGGAGCTGGTGAGTCGAACCATGAATACACTTTCCTGACCTGAGCGGATGTCTTGTCCCTGCCACCGTGCTGGCATTGCTTGTGTGCTTTGGTCAGGATCTTGAACAACTTTTCCCGCACCGCCACTGGTTTTCCTTCATGACAAATCTTTTTCAAATGCTGAGCTGTGTTAGAAGCGGCTGTTGAAACAGGCGCACTGGCTCACCTCTGGAACTTTCGTGTCATTCGGTTGTAATGTAAACATTTTCTTCACCCAAAACCTGATGTGCTGTCAGCTTCCTATCGAGCTTGAAACACAGCAAGCCCCTCCGAGCAGAATGGTGACCGACCTGAATTGTGCCGACTCGATGGCAGTTGTTTTCTTGTCAATGAGTACGTGCTTGATGTTGGCAGCCCTTCGGGCATGAATAAGAGCTTTGTCTTGCTTCTTGGGTGACAAGTCTTGGACATAACTACAGATAGCAGATTAGCGACACTCGCTAGCAGGGAAGTTTGTATTTACCGTTTCATCAGCGCGTCAAACTCGTGGACATCCGGATAGCCTTCTAGGGGTGGTAGAACAGGTTCTGAGAGCATTGTGTCTTCATTTGGGGAGTCCTGACATTCTGTGCCGTCCATTGAGATGTAGTCTCGTGGAGGAGCGAGTCGCTGATGATGTGAAGTGGTGCGATGGGCCGCGGATGGAGCGTAGTAGGAATTCGGTGGGAACGCGCGAGACTGAGAAGGAAGTGTAGGAACCCGCGGGCTCACAAATGAATAATGGGGGTGCGGTCCAGAGGTGGGAGGCATATAGAGAGGAGCTGTCGACGTTCCTTGGCCTGGTGCATAGGTTGGTGAGTACGTTGAACATGGCGCGTTGACGGTCTGATACTGAACTTGACCATGGCTGTAGAGGTGGTAGTTGAGACCGTTCGCGTTGGAATAATGCGACATGGCGACGTGCGGACTTTGAAAGAAGGAATTGTAATCCTGACTGCTTCGTGGCGCATAGTCGGTCATTCTCGGAAGTGCGACAATTGATAAAAGGCCAGTCAAACGAGATCGCAACGGATGAATACAGACCCAGCTTTCAGACCACAAAATCTGTCACGGCTGTCAAAAAGGAAGGAATATGACAAGTTCGATGCTCGTCGACGCTGCTGTTGGCTTTCCCTTGTTGTTAAGTACGTTCTGGATACCTTGAGCGACTGGATGCGAGAGAAAGAGCGTGGAAGAATGTAGTTAGACGAGCACAAAAGCTACGTCAGCCTGCTGATGGGCAGAAAAGAGAGAAGCAGCCGACAGAAGGTGATTGACAGTTCAAGAATTTAAGACAAAATGCTTGTCTGGTTTCTCATATGGGCTCCAAAATAAAGCAAAAGGTGAGATAAGATGTTGAAGGAAGACCACGGCAAGATGCGTAGTTGATATTCGAGACAGAGGACAACCTAGAAGAAGTTAGCGGCAAAAGCAATGTGTTGGACACCTACCCGCCTAACTGGGATAAGAGGCCCATCATCGTGCTGGTGTGGAGATAGGAGGAGAAGGAAGCAAGGGCAGACAAAGACTTAGGTCTGGCTGGAAAACGAGAAGGATCAAGGAGCAGGGCGGGGGGGTGGGCAGGGCGAAGATGGCAAAACAGAGAAGGCAAGGAAAAGGGTCTCGAGTAGGACGCATATGGGAGAGAACGAGGCGCTGGCAGCAGCAAAAGTGGCATGCTTGGTCACTCGCCTGCAGACCTGATTGGGTTCCGTTGCGTTCCCACTCGTCTTCCCACTCGTCTCGGCCTCCTCCTCCTTCTCGAGGTTTTTTATCTCCCAGTCCATCTTCGGATCGTGCCGTGATCGTTTCCCTGGTACCCGTGGCTGGCTATATGCACATCATAGGTGCGTTTGAGAGGTTGAGAGATGTGAGTGGTTTTGGAAGAGCCATAGGGCAGCCAGAGGAATGTCTTTTGTTCCATTTAGTGGCAATTCGAGGAAAGGGCTTCCTGGTACAAAAACAACGCTGAATGAGAGTGTCTGGACTCCGGAAACAGCAGGTGTGTGTTGACCGGAGTGTCGGACTCTGAGGCGACATCCCCTTCAGTTGCTCGAACCGAATTTCGCTATTTCTCTTGAGTGGATAGGAGCATGCAGATATGCATAAATTCAACGGTTTGCTCCCTGAGGGGATCAGGCGCATGAGAAGGATGCCCCTGTTCTCGTCGAGGTACCTGTAGGTCAACGAGACGCCCGGACCGTCGAGTTCGATCTCTGGGTTCCCAGGTTCTCTTTCCGAGACATGGTGATCGCACCGGACAGGGGTGTCCACTGGTCTGTGAGACCTTGAAAGAGGCGAAGTCCCAGGCAACCTCAGGATCGCATCCCGGGCAATCTGAAGCCACAACCTAGCCGACACCATTGAGCAGGAGCGGGCACAAGCAACAGAAGCAGCAGCAAACACGAAGCAATTGGGACAGGTCCATGGAACGGGCTGGTGTGTAGGCAGACGATGGCACCGAATATTTGTTTGCTATTTGCAGGGTCTGAGGGAGTAAGGTAGTGAGGGACTGACCGAGAGGAAGAGGACCCTACGAAGAGCCTGGTTCACGTGATTGAGTATGTCACGTGCTATGCTAACTGGTGTGAACGCCTTGTCTCTCTTCCCTTCCCACCTACCAAGTACACCTTCTCCTGAACACAACACACAACGGCCCCTCTGTCAACATCTCATGTCGCCCTGCATTCAGCCGAAGTACATTATCTGCTCAGTCCCGTATGAGGACTGCAGCCGTGCTGAGATATGCCCTGCCCATCTGATCCACACCACCCCCCAACTTGAACAGCCAAAAGCCGCTGTGCCTGCCCCCAAATTCGTGTCTAGACCAAACAAGGCGGACTGCAGTAATAGAAAGTCAGTCCTGATCATCTCCGATGATTGACGCATTCCCTTCAGCCTCTGCATGCATGCATGCCGGCTCTCACCCCCAACTAGCTACACGCTGATCCCCTGTCTTTGGAGCTGGCTCGCTGGGTCTGGGTCTGGGTTCCCCATGTCCGGCCAATGGCCTGATCGCTTTTGTTTGCTGCTCAAACCATCAACCACTGGTTGAGTCAGAGACAAGCAACCTCCGCTTCTGCAATTTGCAGCACACCTGATGATGCCTTCGGATCTTGGGTCGACCCACACAAGAATGCATCAAAATAACTCCTTTCAACGCACACGAGGTGGCAAGCCTTGCATTCAGCACGCCAAATGTCGATAGCAAACAAGAATTTCCATGGGCTACTAATTGCAAGCAGTGGTCTTGTGGTTTTTCACCCAATCGATAGACCGACCCGGCATCGCTACTGATGCCTGCCACGTGGATATCACCCGCGGCGAGAGTATCGCCAGCAGTGAACCGAAATCTTGTTACACAGTTGGCCCGCTTTCCCTCTCCTGGTGGGAAATGATCATCAGGATTGGTTGGCTCTGCGCGAATCAGGCCATTGACATCCGTAAGTGCCAGTGGCTTGATTTGGTACAGCACGCTTCGGGGCTCTCCTCGTCACGCAGCGTGGCCATTTCAAGGATCTCTCCTCCCGGATCTCCAAACCTCAGCCCGTCAGGCAAGCCACCGTCTCAGCCTGATACTATATTTCTTCCCCTACTCTTTCAGTCTTTGCAAACACGACCTCCGCGCCTGTTGCTTGCTTGCAGCCCTGAGGAAAGTAACCACGAGTCCGTCAATGAAATGCTGTTGTAGCCACCTCTTTTTGCGTTCGCTAATCGGAAGTTGATCCGTGCTTGCGGAGAGGGGAGGTAATCCACAGACACCTTCCCAGCAGACATGGTTGTTCCACAGTCAGTACAACGACTCAATCACTGCCCCAGCAACCTTTGCACTGTGTCCCCAACGGACGGATTACGACGATCCAATGGTTGGATCCATCGAGCTTCCTTTTTATTGGCCCTTGGCGCTGCCAGCAGACTCGTTATCCTCCTTCCCCGAAAAAGAGTCTGAAAAGGCGTATCCACATGACTGTAGACATTTACATCTTCAGAGACTGCCGAAAAAAAGCACCAGAGAACCGACAATGCTGATTGGTGCATCGATGCAAGTTCCAACTGAATGATCCTGGCCTGTTTCCGGGCATATGCCACAAAGTCTCTGCGATGAATCCACCTCCTCGATATCTTGGAACTGTCGGGGCTCAGATTGCAACAGTTGACTATATCTCAGCTGGACTTCGGCGACGTCATTAAAGAGGGGAAGTCTCGCATGACTCAAGCCGTGGGTCCTGCACATTCATCGCTGCTGTCGTGTCATTTGCCGCGGAAGGCGGTGTGCTAGCCACCTCGCCCCAAATGGAAGTATGCACACAATCCCCGTCATCTGCTTCATTCGTCCTAAACATGCTGCATTACGACCAGCGTGGCTCCACGCATGGCTTTTCTACCTAAGGAATTCCATTTTGGAGCGGGGCCTGTTTGTTTTGGTGGTGCCCTGGTGTTGCGGAACTGATAGCCAATTTTGTTCTAGGCGAGCCCGAACAGTTTTTGAGACTCTCACCGTCGAAAGGGCCAGTCCACAGCCTTCTGCCACGTTGATTTTGGAACTCTCTGCCCAGCTTTGGCGCCAATTGGATCTCGTAGATCACCCTACCTCGGGCTGGATGTGGGCGCCCTTTCTTTGTGGGAGTGTAATCCACCCCGGGGGAGGAGTGAGTTGTACACTGGATGGCCAAAGCGAAGATTGACACCAATACAAAAGTCTTTCACAGCATATACCGGCCTTCAACGTGTGCCAATGAGGTGGCTCGATGCTCCGCCAGTTCAACGCTGAGGAAGCAGCGCATGTGAGCAACTGCAACTCAGAGGGCAACGGAGCGAGACTGAAGCCTGGAGCAGCAGTACGACATATGCAAAGCCAAGCCTCTAAGAAGCAGAGGATTTTGGTAATGTGCCATTCTTATATGTCAAGTTCGATATGACAGCCGTCAAATCAGATGCGGTGCTAGTGTCAATGCAATAAACTGTGCGTCTGATCGCTGGCAAAGTCACTCATCAACCCAGACGCTATGTCTTCGGCCTAAGATATGAACGTCTCATCTCCATGCTAAGCCAAATGCCTTAGCTGTGAAGCGCCTTTCCAACCGAGACTTTCTATACAGCGTTGAGGATCTCTGCTGGAGGCCGGTACAATATCAGAGTCCGAATACTTTCGTCGACCATTCGACGTGACCCCATCCCAGAAACGAATGCACCGTGTATGTCTCTTGTGGTCATCAATAACCAGCTTTGATCTTTCGGATGTCCTCGATGCAGTCGCAGAGCCGATGAACTGCTCTTGCTAATCATCAAGGCCATGAAGCTGTGACGCCACAAGCCGTTCATGCTCCTGGAAACATCAATTTATTCCTCGTCAACAGACCGGTGTTATCGACTCGCAACCTCCTCCGTCCCCGACAAAGATTGAGTTTCCCTGCCTTCGGGCATCTACTCAGTACTGAGCCTTCCCCTTTGTGCGAACGATGAAACTCTACGTAACGCACATTCATACATGCATACATTCCGTCTAGAGCTAGGTCGTGATTTGTCGCAAAGCCATGTGTCTGACAGAGGGTTGCCGGTAGATCATGTCGAAAAGAGAGGGGCTTTCAGATACAGCGCCCTTTTTGCCCGCCAGAGTCGACTATACAAACGACATTCGAAACAATGAGGCGGTAGACCCCGCCGAAACACACTAACTAGGTGACTAAGTGTACCTATCGCTATCCAGGAATGCCACAGTTCTGAGGGATATATAAGCACCGTGTGAGTATTGAACCAGGGACATTCAAGTTAGGGGCGTCATCATAGAGTTTGAATGTTGAGATTGGACACTACCTAGGTAAGCTTACGAGACCACCGCATGTATCACACTTGACCGGGAGGTATACCCGGTACGAAGGCCACCCAACAATGCCGACCGAAATACTCGGTAAAATGCAACGGCAAGATGAGAAAATTTCATTTTGCTTCAGACGGAACTGCAAACCCTACTCAACACAAGTTGCAGAGGTCAGATCTTATCTTCCCCCCCAAAGAGAGCGTAAAGGGAATAGAGCTTTGTGGCCCAACTCCGGCAAGGCTGGTACGTAGCCTTACTTGCTTGGCAAGGCTCTGAGGCCTCGAGGTCTTCCCCACTCATATGCGGGGTTCATACAAACACGACTTTGTAGCTCATGCCGTATTTTACTACAATTTACTACATCAGAAGATGCACATGCGCTTCCTGCAGATCAAATAGGGAGCCTCCCAAAATAATCCCCTCTCTGCAAATTCTAGACCAGATATTGTTTGGTAATAGCTGGCAAAATACGACCATGTCGACATCCTCCCCTCCCTTATCCCACCACGGCACCCTCGCCGATCTCCTGCCCTCCCACTTCATCACCCAAGTCACCACCTGGCTGGCCGAAGATGCCCCCTCATTCGACTACGGCGGCTTCGTCGTGGGATCAGAACCACGTAGCGCGCAACTACTGTGTAAGTCCGCCGGGGTACTCGCCGGCGTGCCCTTTTTCGACGAGGTGTTTCGACAACTCGACTGTGCCGTGGAATGGCATTACGACGAGGGAACATATCTCGACCCCAAACAGGCCGGCGGAAAGATCAAGGTCGCCACCGTCAAGGGACCCACCAGGAAACTTCTCCTGGGAGAAAGAGTCGCGCTGAACACACTGGCACGATGCAGCGGCGTGGCGACCCGGTCGCAAAAAATGCTCCAACTGGTGCGTGGAGCGGGCTACACAGGCATCTTAGCAGGCACGCGGAAAACCACACCGGGATTCCGGCTCGTGGAGAAGTATGGCATGTTGGTCGGCGGCATCGACGGCCACCGTCACGACCTGTCGAGCATGATCATGCTCAAGGACAATCACATCTGGTCGAAAGGATCCATCACCAACGCGGTCAAGGCGGCTCGTGCGGTGGGAGGCTTCGCGCTGAAGATCGAAGTCGAGGTGCAGAGCGAGGCAGAGGCGGATGAAGCCATCGAAGCGGGTGCGGACGTGGTCATGTTGGACAACTTTGACGGCGAAGGCTTGAAGATAGCCGCGAGCAATCTGAAAGAGAGATGGAGGTCCAGAGGCCGGGCAGATGTGCTCCTGGAGAGCAGTGGTGGTTTGACTGAGGCCAACGTCAAAGAATATATCAACAACGGTGAGTTCGATCTTTTTGCGTCAAGCAAGCCCCAGTCTTTTCTTTTCCTGTCCCATGGGGTGAGGGGAGATGATTCCATTCAGTCCTTACGATGATTGCCCTTCTGCCGCTCACATCTTGGCTAACGCAAAGCCCCTATCGTTTCATCGCAGATATCGACATAATATCAACGAGCGCCGTCCACCAGGGGGTGCCACATATAGATTTCTCCCTGAAAGTCGATCATTAAACGATTTCCGGCCTCTCACCCACCCTTGTCCCCTTCCTTCATTTACTTCAATTGGGCAAATGTGGCAATCCTTGTCCTCTTTCAGCTCCCCTCTCGCGCCTCTTGCTTTCTCCTATGTTTGAAGGGTCTCTCATCCAGCTCAGATCGACGCCCTCTACATACATCATCCATGTCCAAGTGTCTGTTTCCCCCCGCTCTTTCATAGTGCCGCCTCTGCACGACTTTCCCTCTCTTCCCTTCTCTCTCCTCTTCACTCCACATACACTCCTCCATCACTTAATCTACGCCAGCCCAGGCTTGGCCCAGCCGCCTCATCTCCAATCCCCAGCCGCACCAAGCGAGGACAGCTAGGCCCACGAGAAGCGGCACCTGCGGTGCCCCTTCGCCAAACTCGGGATCGACCCATTTCGTGCCGGGGTACAGGATCCCACTGAGGCCGGTGATCCAGTACAGAGTCCCCAGCACTGCAGAGATTGTGACGCTCTCCTTCTCACCTATACCTCCAATACTACCTCTGCCTCTCCCGCTCCGTGCTGTCTCTACTATCCTCGTGCCCTCCCTACCAGTCTTAGTAGTAGTTCGCCCATCATCCGCGTTGTAGCGGTCCAGAACAGGTCTCCAGGCGAAATAGGCCGTGAGCACGCCCAGACACAAGCCCATGGACATGGTCTGGCCGTTGTGGAAGCGCGCGTGCGGCGGCCACCGCGGGTTCTTGACGTGTGTCTCGTTCCAGTCCGCCATGTAGCAGCCGACGCTGGTGGCGAGGGCGACGATGCTCAGACACAGTCGCCCCGAGGTGAACACGGGCGTGGAGGACATTCTTTTGAATTTGCTTTGTTGATGTCTGTGGGCGGGGTGCGTGTGGCGAGTCGTGTGCGTCCGCAAGTACATATATGATCAAGTATACGGCTGTATGTAGTCAACAGGCAGTCGAAGGCTGCGTCGGTTGGTTGGCCTGAGTCAGTCACCTCTCCAAAACGCATTAACTGCAACAAATAAATAGGCCAAGGGCGCCCGGTCCTCCGTCTAGAGTAGTGCTGTATGTTGTATGCCGCAGGATGTCATACCCTGAGTACATATGTCATATGTATGTAATAGGCTGCAGTTCGTCTCCCCGTTTCGTCCAGTTGTTTGTCCACCTTTATCAAGTTACCACCCACCACCATCGGCCGGACCCAGATCGTCCCGGTTCCGGGGATCGAAAATCCCACCCAGCTTGCTTCCTTTCCTCTTGGGTTGATAATGTGGCCTAGATTTCTTTTCCCCCGAAGTACTCGAGCTCCGCAACTCGTCCACTCTGTCGTCAGGCGTCAGGAGTTCGCTTTCAATTCCTCTATGATTCTGTCTGCTAAGCGTGAGGTGGCATGTCCGTTGCAGAGAGAGAGAAGGATTCGTCTTGTCCAGGTGCTACTGCAACATGGAACTTTCAATGTCATAGCGAAAACATGCAGGGTCAAATAAATTTACAATTCCTGTTGGGACCATCGAAGAGCCCCAATCCGTGCCATCGCTCAGGAGAACTATGCCACTCGTACCATTGCCACCATAGGGTATTCCCTGTATGGGACGCCTCTTGCTCTCCTCAGCCTCATCTCAAAAAGCAGTCTATTCCAGCCCGATATCAAGCTTGGAGAACGCAGCAATACCCATATGCCATCCAGACTAGTTTCAAGCCATCAGCATACCATGCATTTCCTCCCATTGAGCAGCTTCCAAAATTCTGTTCTTGTCAGTAAGACACCCCAACGCCGCCGTTTCTGTCTTCAGCCACCACAGTCTTGCACGGTTGTCATTGTTCGTTTCCCGCCGGTCTCCTCGTTGCGTGTGCCTCGTCCTTCCTTAAGGGTAATGCCAATTTCTCCTTGTCTCACCGTTCACGCACTTGGAACTGAAACCATTGCTCGGGAATTGGACCATTCGACGTGCTGAGCAGATGCAGACATCCTTCCTCGTCGCCGAGCAACAAGGATGAATGATCCGGTGAGAGACGCCCACACATGATTTCACAGCCAGTATTTGCAAGGTCCTCGACTAGGACATCAGCAGGTGAACGGCGTGTGTCCCAGTATTTGAGAATGCCGTCACTTGACCCAGTATACAAGCGTCCGGGAATATGGCTCCACTCGATGTATCTGACTCCCACGTCCTCAATCTCACGATCTGCTCCACGAGCAAGCCAAAGGGAGGGCCGGCCGTGAGCTAGCCTATGTAATGGCTTTTGAGGCTGACGTTGGTCCCAAACATAAGTCGATCCATCGGTACACGATGCTGTGACGAGACCGTAGTTGATCGTTACATCGTTGATGTCCTTTGCACGACAACCATATCTCGCGATTGAATCTGGCTGGTTGGGGGAGTATAGCTGGACCACTGAATGCTCTGCTGTATTTGCTCTTGACAATGGGTCACTTGCGCTTGCGATGACGAAATGTTCGCCCGACGAGGACCAAGCACAATCAAACACAAACCTGTCTGCCGTGTGGAAAAATACCTCTTCACAGGAGGCCTGGTGAAATTTCCACACTGTTGTACAGCCAGCACCAAACCTTGGATCATTACTATCGGTACCGAAGCCCGCAATTAACCAATCCCGGCTTTGCAGGTGTCCGAACCTAAGACATGTGGGAGAAAATGGGAATGATTTCCTTCCTGTTTCCCGGAGGGGTCTGATTTCCAGAGGGCGGCCGTCCAGGTCCGACTCGGCCAAAAAGACTCGGATAGATCTGATCCCATTTGCTGTGCCAGTCGCGAATAATGAGCTCTGCTCCCTAGCCACATCCATAACTTCTACTTTTTGCGAATATTGTATTTCTGTCTTGACTTGGATGGAAGCCTCGTTTTCAGCGTCCCAGACTCGGACCTTGTTGTCAAACCCAGCGCTGTAAATCATGTGGCCGGTTGGAGCGAATCGAACCGCACTGACAGTCTGGTACACATATTTTGGTTCCCCAGCGTGGACATTGCCCGCCACGCGATGTTCGGGAAGTTCTCGGATGGTCTTGGAAGGCAGTGAACCATGAACTAGATTCATGGGTTGGTTATCCCTGAAATTTGTCAAGGGGTCCATTACCGAGCTGCTAGCAGCCACAAAGTACTTCGAATCTTGAGACCAATCCACTTGCACCATGCCGCTCGAGGTACGAGCCCAAATAGCCCGAAGACGCAAGTGGTTTTCCGATGTTGTAGGTATGGAATCGACCTTGGTATTAAACCCTTCTTGATGAGAAAATGCTGATTGAAGGGCCGTATCACTTCGAGATTGTTTCATTGGCTTCTGCGTCTTGGCCTTGCCGTTCAGCCTTGGCTGGGACCAGTAGACGTGACTGTTGGCTGAAGATGGCGGTCGATTGGAGGTTGGCGTTTGAGAGTTGACAACTTTACGAGACTGGACCCTGGTTCTTTTAGCGGTTGACTGTCCATCTGGCGTCGAGTGCAACTCTCCTTCTCGAGCATTGCCTGATGATGCGTTTCGCTTACGCGCCATGTGTGGGAGTTTGGCCATGACGGAAGATGCCCAGTCCAAGCCACGAGCTTCACACTTGTAACGAGTCCCGAAAGACCACTTCGCCATCATCTGTGGGCCCGTGCGATCGTAGCCGCGGGTTTTGAGAATCTCGGACGCACGTTGCCACATGTTAGATTTAGTTGATCCCGGGTCTTCTCCCTGCATCAAATCATGGATGATCTCAATCATGAAGTCTTCCTCCTCTTCCTTCCATCGACGCGATACCTCGTTAAGCAATTGGGAGCTCTTTCTAGGTTGAGCCACGGGTTCTTGTCGAGTTCGTGCTTCAGCTTGTTGCGGGATGACGGCTGGCCGCGGTTCCGCAACGCTAGTTCGACTAGTCTCGTCCCGGGTGAGCGACTCCTCATGGATAATATCCTTGTCAAAACCACCTTCGTAGGTGGAATGAGATGAAGCATTGTCATCGTCGACGTCATCAAGACCGAATTCATGTCGATGTTGTGCTTCAGCTTGTTGCGGGATGACGACTGGCCGCCTGTCCGCAGCGCCAGTCCGACTAGTCTCGTCCCGGGTGGGCGACTCCTCGTGGATAATATCCTTGTCAAAATCACTTTCATCGGTGGAATAAGATGAAGCATTGTCGTCGTCGATGTCATCAGGACCAAATTTCCGATGCTCTGTGATATTTGGACCTTCTAAGCGGGAAGGCTGGTCCATTTGGTTGAGGTTGCTACTGGGCGGAAGGTCGCTCGCACTAGGCTGTAATGCCGTCTGGGAGGGAGCTGCGGGCGCGGCATGCGCCATGCCCTGGAGGTTTGTAATAATCGTCCGCTGCTCGGATGTTTCGTTTACGACGGGGGACTCCGTGGCTTCCTCCCCTTCTTGCGCAGCAACCCGGATAGATTCTTCGATCGTCCGTTTCAGAGCTGTTGGAGGTAGTGGGGCTTGACTGTAATTCTGACTGCCGGCAGCGGACTCCATGCACGCTTTTCTCAAGCGCCGGATAGATCTTGCATGATCCTTGGCCAGACTCTTCGCCATCTTAGTAAAGACGTAGAGCTTGTCTCTGAATTCTTTCTCGTGTTTGTTGAGGTAGCGTAGTATGCGCTGATTATCAATGGGATCAGATTCAATATCTGACTCGATTTCTGAGTCGCTGCTGGACAGCGCGGCATGGCTTGGAAAAAGCCCCGCCCCAAAAGAGGCCGGTGTCCGCAAATTCTCCGCCATGGCTAAAGGTTGTTTAGTGACACATTGGCTGCTAAGAAGACTTGAGGTGGAGGTCCTTAAGTTGAGATTGGAGTGGAAAGAAGGGCCAAGAACATCGGTTGTGAACTACTGAGATATGTTTGAGGTTGAAGGAAGCGCGAGGCAAACGCGAGACAAGCGCGCACAAAAGCTCGGACTAGGGATTCGTAAGTGACTCTGATTGGCTGCTGCAAGGTTGCACGAGGCTGCACGAGGCTGCACGAGGCTGCACGAGGCTACCAAGCAGCAAAGCGACTTCGGAACACAGTTTAGGGCAATGGCACGAAGTTGGCCGCCCAGAATCGCCCCGGCAGCCTACATGCAAGCTGACAGCCAAATGTCCTCTCCTTTGCTTCATATCCTATCCCGGTCGAGATCGAGGACCTCCGCACTGGACACCGCTGACCCCATTGATACCTACTGAATCTTTTGGCTGCGACAATGCCGAAGTTGGACCGCACCACCTCCAACGACGGAAACAATTTCGACACTGCCACCACTGCTCCTGTTTACATGTCCTCGTCGTCCAGCGAACCACTTTCTCTACCATACTCCAGGCAATGGCCAACCAGGATGCCTACCAACAGACCAGTCCTCCCCCTCAACCAGATCTAGAGGCCATCTATACTCACCTGTCCCGCTATCCTTTCTCCACCGATACAGAGTATCAAGCTGGCCTCGCAACTATCCTCGGCCATCAGGACATGGCTGCGACCTCAGAGGAACTGCGTGAGAAATCGGATTTGGTTCTCCAGGCGCAGTGCTTCTATTTCTCAAGAAGATTTAATGTCACGCCGCCCGTATCTCCCCGCGCGTATTCGACATGGCTTCAATCACAACCACATCCACATCCTCACCTGCAAATATTCCTTCCTCCTTCTCAGCCTGAAGCTTCAGCGTCGCCACCGCCCCCATCATCATCATCAGCAGCGGCGGCAGCAGCACTGTCTTCAACGCCCCAAATCCCCGCCCAAACAGCCGCTTCTACCTCCCCCTCCGCAAGCACTACCGCCGCAGCTCCTTCGGGACCATCTCAAGACCCACCCTACCCCACCTCCTTTGCCGCAATTGTGGACCTAATAACACGAAATCTCCCCGTCCCAGGGATAGAAGAGATCCCGCCGACTGTGCTTGAGCCGGGATCGAGTAAAATCGATAAGACGCCAAGAAGGAAGAAGCCCTGGGAGAAAGATGTCGACGTGACACCGTCGGAAAGGCAACAATCGGAAGTGAAAGAAGGAACGCCTCTGGAGGCTGGTGACGCGCACACCACGAACAGCAGTGAGCAGACCGATGAAGCTGGACCTGAGTCCGGAGGAATCGACATCAACGGACACAGATCGGCCGGCGAAGGTTTGGTAAAGATTCTTCAACCCAACGCCATTCCAGACAGCGGACTGCTCAACAGGGATTGAACTGTGACACAGGAAATAGAATGCAAGACACACACTCGCTCTATCACTGAGGCAGATTGAGACCACGCAATCAATGACTCTGCATAGTCCTGCCGCGCCTTGTGGTCAGAGGTGCGGATACCCAGAATATAGGGCCTATGGCCCTCTGCCCAATGAGACTAATTGTCTCGTCGGAGGAATCCTATTATTTCCGCAAACAGAGAGATGAGATGGGTTTGGATTGCCCCATGCTTATTGAACGGCCCCGTATGACATATGCTAGATGATGGACGTGGAAGTCCGCAATGCATTTCTCGCCATCCATGGGCAAAGAGGGCTTGCACGGCTTAACGACCTACACCTGCTGCATTTTTAGGCTCGAGTTTGGACGTACAGCCGAGTTAAGCAAAGCATATGGGTTGTAGAAACGTAGGTTGTTTTGATTGGGACTCTTTGCATCATGATATACACCACATTGCTGACGCCCGTTATCTCTGCACTGCATATTGGAGTTATGCGACCAAGCTGACAGGAAGAGGCCTGGACGTCGCTTATGGTTTTAGTATGCGAGCTCGCGTTTCTAACGCCCGATGGGTAGGTTCTGCTGGAAAGTAAGAATAGGAACGAGGTTTGGTATGCTTCTCCAGCTACGATGTTCATTATCTGCTACATTGTCTTCATCATTTTTGATGTTTCATCATGCCACTGGTAAATACATGCTTGGTCAATTTTCCCCTTCATTTCTTCTGGCGGGCAAGGACAATTGTCAAAGACATGATATGATACAGAGTCGTCCGCTATGACTGATGAACATTGACGCCGATAATGCTGCTAGCTCTGAAATATTGCCGCCAACAAGTTATCATTCCCAAAGCAAACATCCACACGGCCGATGCTGGTTGGGTTGTTCGTATCATCGGCAGATATGAAACCTTGTCGATATGAAAAGACACATACAATTGAATATTCTTGTCCGATAAGAGTTCGATGGAAATGAACAGCCAAGAAGCGCGAGCCAAGATAAGAGACTGACTTCAAAGGCTCGAGTAGTATCCTCTCCCCATCGGTCATGGCAGTATTGGTCGGTATTCCAAGTTTCAGGGTAGGTGCCCCTTGCTGTACTGACAAACTTGTAGAATACCCTCATCTTCAAGAAGATGACACGTAAGTAGATGAGATGACAAAGCGTGAGACCAGACCTCTGTCCATGGAGACGTGTCGAGATCTTGACTTAGCGAAAGCGAGGCCATTGGTTGCGTGGCTGACCAGGAGCACCGAAAGGGTTGACAACTGCTCCTGGGCCAGGGCGAGTGACCGAGTTCGGGTTGCAGCAAAGCATGGCAACACGCGATCCAAACTTGGACCCACGTAAGGAGACCATGTGTTTTCGAATATGGATGGCCACCTGCTCTCGCTGATGATGGTGAGTGTTCATCAAGATCCACTGAATCAGATAGTTTCCATATTGGTCGCCAGCAATGTCGATGAGGGGGATGCGTGGACGATCCGGGTGAGCAGTGGTAATGACTCCAAGATAGCGGTCCAAGAATTCCGGTCCTCCGATCTTGAGGCATTTCTCAACAACTTTAGATGCAAATTGATCAATGCTGTAGCTGTAGGAGTTGGCGAGGATGTGGTCAATTACTCGGCGCTTGTCTGGTGGGGAGCCATGCTCACACAAGTGCTGAATGCACCAGTTACCGAACTGACCGTGGGCAATGAGGTCGATGTTGGCAATCACTTCTTCAATCGCGGGTCTTTTCTCTTCCTCAATGCAATTCTCAAAGATGTTCTGAACCACCAAGCTCCCCGTTTCGCCCAACGCAACTTCATGCCACATGCCGCGAAGAGCTTTGTTGACCTCCAGCATGATCTGTGGTGGCTCCCCACTCCATCTGAGCTCGAACAGCTTCTGCCAGACATGGCAAGCATAGCGGTGAATGACCGTATCCGGAATGCGGCGAAGCAATTCTCGAACCATGTCGGCCTTGTGGTCTTCTGGAACAGAATCAAAGGCCTTCTGAATGACGTGGCAGCCGAAGGGATCCATGCTTAAGGATAGGACGTTGCCATGAATGGCATTGGCAATGGCAACAACTTGGTCCGGGGTTCCATGTTCAAAGCATCGCTGGACAAGGAAGTTGCCAAAGCGATTGATCATGAGTGGATAAGCTTGATTGACAATGGCCTCAACAATCTCAAATTTTTGTTCAGCCGTACCGACCTTGAGCTTCTGCTGGAGGAAGATGCTGGCTTGCTGGTCATTGTTGCAGACAATCTTGTCAACAATGTACTTCCAGTCACATGACACGGACTTGTCGAGGAGGCGGCGATAGTTCATCGGCTCAAGCGGAGTGACATAGGTTTGGCCATTCACGCCACCAGCAGAGAGCGGCCATGGATTGCCAGCACCTTGCACACCGGCAGTATTGAAGTCGGTTGCAGGAGTGATTGGGGTTGTGATCCCTCGTTGATAATTGTATTGGCCTGGGAAACCGACAGGGCTGATTGGTGGCGGTGTCAACGTGGTTGTAGCAGGCGGAAAGCTACCAAGTTGTGACATTGGATCGGTGAGGCCTGGATTGATTCTCAATTGTCCACCGTTGCGTCTCATACCCAGGGTAGGGTTCAATGGCATGAGGTCATTGTTGGGCCTCATGTCGTAGCCAAGGGGAGCACCTGTTCCTGAGAAGTTCCGAGGCTGGAAATTGGTTTCTGCTGGAGAGAAGGGGGCGCCATAGACTCCATTGTAGGCCTGACCAGAAAGTCGTGCATCACGAGGGTGGTTGTATGCTGGGGCGGTAGGATTAGTAGCCAAAAGATTCGTCATGGATGTCGAAGGATTGTTCCAGATGCCCCTGCCGCGGGCGAAGTCAGTGCGGTGTTCGTCCGGGCCAGCCCAAGCGTCGGTTTGTGATGTGAATGGACGGGCAGACGCATTGAAAGCACTCTGCAAATGACCAATGGTCTGCTCGGAGATATCATTGGAAGCACCAAAGTCGGCTTCGGATGGGGGACCCATGGCCTGGTCTATGGTTTGTTTGAGTGTGCGAGTCTCCGCAAGCTCCTGTTCCTGGCGTGAAATGACGGATCTGGCAGCCTCAAGCTCTTGCTTGACACGCATCATTTCAGCCACGTCGACCTTATTGGCAGCTGTAGTATGGTGAACCGGCTTGCCAGCATCGAGGCTGTCATTGCTCGGGGTGTTGGCCTTGTGATTCTCGGGTTGCATTTCGTTTCTGAGTTCCTGCTCTTGCTTCTTCAAGGCCTTGCTTGAATCTTGGAGATGGTTCAGAAGTTTGTCCAGGTTGCCAAAATCATCAGGCTTGCGTGACTTGACCTCGCCAGAAGGAGCAGGAGCAGGTTTACGCGAGTCATTGAGCTTCAGGCGAGAAAGAATGTCCTCCATGCCACCTCCTCCTATCGCACTAGGCTCGGAAGGTTTGGCAGTATTCTGTCCAAGAAAGAGTCAGCTGACCCCAGAAGATAAGAAAAGGTGCAGAGGCCAATGAGTTAACCAACCTTGTCCTTCTGTTTGGGAGGCTGGATATTGCTGAGCTTGTCAGTGTGCAAGACGCTGTAGGAAGGGCGGGTGGAGGTTGTGGAGTGAGAATTAGTCGCTGTCTGGGGGCGCCTGTCAGTAACAAAGTGAAGCTAGAAACAGACAAACCCACCGTGAGCGTGTTTACCACCGCAGCAGAGCCATCATCACTTTCCTCTCTGACCTTGACAGTTGGCGTTGACTTGCGACTCATCTTGCCAGTTGGAGATCCCGTGGAGACGAGCATGGCCATGCGGTTGTTGAAATCCGAAAGCCAAAGAGCCTTGATTGACTGAGGTCGTTACAACATGCAGAGATATCCAGGTAATAGATCAAGGGAAGTCAGGGAGAGAAGCACACCGTCAGAGCGGCGACAGTGACAAGAGACTGCCTGCAAAATGGGGAAGACTTGCAAAATGCTGAACAGGTTGAGGGTGCAGAGGGGAGAAAGAAAAGAATGAAGTGCAAGATGAAAAAGGGAGGATGTGAGCGGAAAGTCAAGCAAGCACTGGTGGCAGTTGCAGGCAGGACAGGAAGTTGAGCATCAGTGAAGTAACCACAGTGGCTGCAGGCGCGTTCTTTCCATTTCACACTCCACTGCACGCACTGACACACCAACGACTAAAAATCACTTACAGAAAGCTCTCAGAACTTCTTCATCCTCCAGCCAGCCGCCTGAGCGCCAACATTCCTCGTTCCCAGCCATTCCCCCATTCGCAACAGCATCCAGCTCTGCCCACAGGGATGTCTTCAAGGCAGGTATGAAGCAAAGGATATCTTCCAATTGCGATCAAAGAAGCCCATTGCGATGGCACCTCCGTGACCCTTCCATCTTGCCTCATTACCCAGAATCACAAAGTCAGGCTGACCAGCTCCAGTGATCGTGGGCACCAGCCTCGCCGCTTGTCGCAAACCAACCTCGTCAAATCCCCATACAACAAGCTCCAACCGTTCTCCCGGAAGAGGTCGAAGCCAGACCCCGCCCATACCTTCTTCCAAATGCAATGAGATCAGTCTGGAGTCTGGTGCAGTAAGGAAAATTTGTTCACTGACAAGCCGAATTGGGAATCCCGGGAGGGAAGCATCGGGCACAAAAGTTCTAAGGCATATTGTGATAACATTTGCTCCCTTGTCCAATGCTTGCTCATACCTGGAAGAAGCAACAATGTTTGTGTCACCGCCGAAATACTGCAAGAAGTTTCGGCTAGTCTGTACTGCTATGGACAGAGTTTCATCGGAGTCGTAGACGACTTCAAAAGGTCCAGTACTTCGAAGAATCGCATCAAGGGCGCCTCTTTGACGACCGTGTCTTTCACCCAGCGTCTTCCAGTCAAGGGCAACATCCCTGCCCCAAACATTGGAAACAGACTTGACAAAAGAAGCCGCTCCCGGTCCGACATCGAATACATGTGGCAGATCATCAATGAGAACTTGGTTGGGAGCATTGGCGAGCCGTACGCTAGGGTCCAGATGAAATCGATAGATATTTTCTGTCCGCAGGTGCCATTGGACCAGAGAGTCATGTAATTGGATGGTTACCCTCATTTTGCCGAGTCTATCAGGGGTTGACAGCTGGTCGACAACAACGCCATACCTAGGCCCCATGTCGTGTGAGTTCGGAACGACGAAAGTAAAAGAAGTGGGGACTGTGGTCTCGGAATGACAAACTTTCAGGAGTCGCAAATAGAATTCCAGCATTGATTTGGTAGTCATCGAGCCGTCGAACCAGTGTCCCTTGTCCAGCATCTCTGAGTATTCGGCCATTTCACCCACTTGCGCCAGCAGAGTGTTCATCAGACGAGAATGATAAGGCGGAACATTATCGTCTGCTGATCCATGCTGTTGAAATATAGGAAAGCCCACTAGATTGTCAGTCAGGATTTCATGACGAAAGCTGCTTCTGGAGGTTTGAAGGATGGCGTCTCGGAGAGGGTCAGCCTCATTCCACAAAATGTATGGAACGTAACTTTCAATTGACGAATATCCCGAAGCAACAGCAGCACCCAGAACGCGGTCAGGTTGATGGGAAGCAAAATACCATGTCCCCTGGCCCCCGTTGGAATGACCCGCAACCAGAATTTTGTCGGAATACACACTTGGACCATTCCAGCCCGTGCTGTTAATCCAATCTGGAATTGCGGCCACTGCGTATTGAGCATCAGCAAAGCCCCAGGTGTGCCAATCATCACTGCTCCAAGGGCTCATGCCTGTGGGAGTGAGTATCCAGGCCGGAAGATAAGGAGTGTCATCAAACATATGGCGAGCCAAGGGGCCATCTGCCTCCACACCAGCACCGTGAAGGTTCAGAAGCACAGGCAGTCTTTCGTTTTTCGTGGCATTTGCCGTGGGCGGCGGTTTCAGCAACGCATAAGACACAGAGCCGCTCGGATGAAGGAATGTTATCCTTTGCAGAGATGACATACTTGCAGGTTCCAGCTGAGTATCGAAGCCAATATCGTGTAGGATCGAGTCCTGCCTTGAATATGTCAGAACGAGCTTCAGCGATTCGTCCCATCTGGAGGCGGCGTCGAATATCAACTTCAACGGGCGCGATTGGCCAGGCGCAAGTCGTACTCTCTGATTCGCCACAATACAACTGCTCTGCCCAGAAATGGCTACAACTTGGTGTACAGAGATCCATGTAGCAGCTTGGTTTTGGACCGTTATGCTACCATATCGCGTGCAAAATTTTCCGTTGACCACATTTGGCATGACCACGCGCCTGGCAACAACTGCAGGCTGTTCAGGAATGGGTTGAGTTCTCAAGCCTGCTTGTATAGTCGGAGGAAATATACCGCCCATGGAGCGAACCTCACGCACGAGTCGAACGCTGATGTTGTTGGCGCCAGGGAGGAGCTCCACCAGAACAGGAGCTCGCCCGAACCCAAAGAAATCTCCACCAAAGACATGCATATCATTGATCCAGATCTCAAGGATATTGTCAGTGAAGATATTGACACGCTGACTCACGACACCTTGGTTCAAGATCTCGCCCTTCGCCCATGCTTGGTACTGAAATGCCGACCAGCCGTAGATTTTTTGGGCAAATTCCCAGTCAACATCAATGAAGTCGAGCAGAAAATCAACTGACTGTTCACCGTTCGATGTCGAAGTGTTGTATTCCTTCCGATCCCATTGCACAGTCGCGTTCCTCGCTAACGGACTCCGGAAGCAGCCTGGCTCATTTGGACTGATGTTCTGGATTCCTCCATAAAACTCAACTGGGTCCGCGCCCCAGACAGCTTCTGTTCAGACGTAAATGATCTAAGCGATTCCTGATTTTGGTTGTTTCAAATACCTCGAGTTCCTATTCTGAACGGGCCGAGCACGTCCCAGAAGGGAAGGATGATGATCGGATTTTGGCTGACGGTATCTTCAACCGAGAGCACATTTTGGGACGTGCCGGCGGAGAGGCGAATGAGCTGGCAGGGGATGACAAAGGACAAGACCCTTCGCAATTGCCCAAGCTTCATTCTACCACATATCCCTAGATTGCCTCTAAAGCACAAGAGACCATGTGAGTTGAAACAACGAGGCTACCAAGGTCTCACTAGCCGGAGCTCCAGTTAATCCGGCGCCGACATCCGGTGCGCAATTTATCCGAAGGTGGGCTTGCGTTATCTAGCCGCGCAATGGCGCACTGGCGAACGAGAGGATTACCATCCCTGCCCATGCTTGTCCGAGATTGACATTGACGATTCTATGCATCATGAACTACCAATCTTGCACCAAACACTGAACAATCCCTCCAACACACGACAAACCACACTCGCTTCAAACAGATGGCGGACACTGCGAGGACACCTTGAAGCAGCACACTCGCAGATGCGGCGCAGGAAGGTGGATTTTCTTTCAATCCAATCCCTCTCGCCACCACCGCTGCAACGAATATGACCACCACAATGACCCAGACTCCTGAACCCCGGATATTCACCCACCGGTCTGTGTCCCCATTGAAAAGCGCAAACGACACATCCGGTCATGAAAGATTCCCTTCTTTTGATCACAGCACCCCCCCAAACCTCCACCTCAACTCCTCCGTGGTCGCAGAAAGCCCTCAAGAGATCACTCCGGCACCGCACCTCAATGGCGAGTTTAAATGGCCAGTCAGAAAGATGAGTCAGAGGCTGCGTGATGCTCGGCCTGCAGGAGTATACACCCATAGATCCAAACGAAGTGTCAGCGATGCAATTCACAGAATCCGAACAAGACAAGGGAGTGTCAGTGAAAATGCGCAAGAACTAGCTGAGGCGCTGAAAGCTCCAGTTTCCTACAAACTGATAGTGAGTGACCCGTGGTGCCATTCTCAACAGGTCTAACACACGACAGGCACTATGCATCATCTGGTACATGACCTCTGCATTGACAAACACGTCCTCGAAGTCGATATTGAACGCCTTTCCCAAACCAGCCACCCTCACAATCCTCCAGTTCGCCTCAGTCTCCATCTGGTGCTTGATACTGACAGGAATGTCATCTATTTTTCCATCAATAAAAAGAACCATACCTGCGCTGAGGAATGGCCTCCGCCGGCCCTCATGGGACGTCATGTACACGGCATTTCCTCTTTCGATTTTTCAGTTGCTCGGCCACCTCTTAAGTTCCTATGCAACCTCCAAAATCCCAGTCTCTCTGGTCCACACAATTAAAGGGCTCTCACCACTATTCACCGTGCTGGCGTATCGATTGGTGTTCCGCATACGTTACAAGCGAGCCACCTATCTGTCACTTGTCCCACTCACCGTTGGGGTCATGTTGGCGTGTTCCACCGACTTTTCCACAAATTTTTGGGGGATCAGTGCTTCCTTGGTGGCAGCCATTGTCTTTGTGACCCAGAATATATTTTCGAAGAAGCTATTCACCGAATCAGCCCGCGCGGAAGCCGAAGGCCAAATACATCTCCCCCGCAAATTGGACAAGCTCAATCTCTTGTGCTATTGCTCCGTCGGGGCTTTCATGCTCTCGGCGCCAGTCTGGATATACACAGAAGGATTGGAGATTATTCGAGATGTATGGAAGGATGGCTCGATTGATCTTACGGAAAAGAGAGGAGCAATGGATCACGGGCAACTAGCTCTGGAATTTGTCTTCAATGGAGTCTTTCATTTTTTCCAGAACATCATGGCATTTGTCCTCCTCTCAATGTTGTCACCAGTCTCGTACTCGGTGGCCTCATTGATCAAAAGGGTATGGGTTATCGTTGTCGCGATTATTTGGTTCCGGAGTTCGACCACGTCCATCCAAGTCGTTGGCATTGCGCTCACGTGTTTTGGTCTTTATCTGTATGATCGGACTAGTATGGAGGACGCTGCGGAAAGAAGGACTCGGGCCGATCATTTCCGTCACAAGCACACACCACTTCTACCTGTTGCCGAAGTGAAGACCCCAGGTCACCATGACGGATCCCAAATGAACGAGGACTATGTGAACGAGATGTCAGACTCGCATCCGAAGAGGGATGATAGCCAGGGTCGGCAACAAGACCCCAACTTCATCTCTGGATGGCTCCCACCTGGAACGAAACAAGAAAGTACTTGGGCCGCCGGGGATAAAGGAGAAAAACAATAACTAAAATAGATAGTTGTACCAATACCGGAACGACATAGCGAAGGTGTTTTGGAGTCGGCCGGCACTCTGTTAGTGGATTATCTAGGATCCTTGCTGGGCGGGAAACATTTTCTTGGGCAACTGAAGGAGAAACTGGGTGGGATGGCTATTGACGAGCATTGGTAGAAAAACAAGTGCCACATCAAACAGAAATTAGGATAACATCCACTTCATGGCTATTATCGTGACTCGATAAAAACGGTTAATGTAGCGGCCGTCGGTAAGGGAACCGAAGCATCATGGAAATTTCTTTCATAGCGTGCTCCAGCTACGGCGCGATGATTCATGATCTTTGCTCTAGGACCACGTAGCAGAGGAGAAAGAGATTTGTGCATGCAAAAAGTGTGCAACCCTGGCTCCTACAATAATCATGTCCGGTGAATGAGTTATGTGGGAGAGGAAAAAGGAAAGAAGAGGGAGCTAGAAGGGAGGGAGAATTGATATGAGAATCAAATGACGAGGGATCGACCAGGGGCTGTGACGAGGTCATTAGTCCTAAAATGGTTTAGTCGGAAGGATGACCCGGAATGGCGCATGCAGCGCCCAGATGCTGAGTGCGCAGCCACCCAGTCGTGCCTTAACGGTTTCAAAGGAGATCTCGACGCCGTCCCCTCTTCTCCATCTCTCTTCTCTGTATCGAGCGGAAAGAGCAGAGCCAAGATGACGCGGACCGAACTCCAGCACGCCGATTCCATCCATGAGGAAGACCCTCACAACGAACTTCCAAAGAAACAGAAGAGCAGACGCCCCGCGAGTACGTTTCAGTGAGGACTATTGCGATGCGCAGCTTTGCTGACGAGGATTCATCTATGCAGACACCGCGTTTCGGCAACAGAGACTGAAGGCATGGCAGTGAGTCCGCTACGTTTCTGATGGTACCGCGCGACATGCTGACCTCGTAGGCCTATTCTGACACCCAAGACCGTCCTGCCACTCTTCTTTGCCGTCGGAATCATCTTCGCCCCTCTCGGCGGTCTCCTGCTATGGGCGAGTGCAAGTGTGAGTGCAACTGGGCATTAAAGACGGACCGAATAGATACTAAGGCGATTCTCAGGTGCAAGAACTGAGGATTGATTACACCGACTGCATTTCAACCGCAGGGAACGATTTCACCCAGATACCCGAAGCCAAAGTCCATTCGTCCTTCAAAAACTCAAACAACACAGTAAGAGCGCAATGGAAGCAAGAAACGAGGAGAACGACCCCTCCTTTCAGCGTCCCGATCGACGACACCGCTGTCTGCACCCTTCAGTTCTCTATCCCCAACGACATTGGTCCTCCGGTTTACCTCTACTATCGCCTAACCAACTTCTATCAAAATCACCGGAGATATGTTAAATCGCTCGATACGGATCAACTGAAAGGGCAAGCTCTGAGCAACCACACGATCAGCAACAGCGCCTGCAACCCGCTCAAGTTGAACCATGAAGGGAAGGCTTACTACCCGTGCGGGCTCATCGCAAACTCCATCTTCAATGACACGCTGAATTCTCCGAGACTTGTAAATGCCGCCGGGGGGAATGCCCCCCCACAAAACTACACCATGACAAACCGAAACATCGCTTGGGGCTCCGATGCCTCGCTTTACAGGAAGACGAAGTACACCAACGATCAAGTCGCTCCACCTCCCAATTGGATCAAACGATATCCAAATTATACCGATGAACACCCTATCCCGGATTTGTCGCAGTATGAAGAGTTCCAGGTCTGGATGAGAACAGCTGGTCTGCCCACGTTCAGCAAATTGGCCTTGCGCAACGACAATGAAACCATGACTGCCGGCATCTATCAAATGGACATATATGACTGTGAGTAGGATGGACAGCGAATTGTCATTTCCGTTCTAACATCTCGCAAAGTCTTCCCAGTCACAGTGTATGACGGTACCAAGAGCATCCTGATATCCACACGGACGGTGGTCGGCGGCAAGAACTCCTTCTTAGGTATTGCTTACGTTGCTATTGGCGGTTTGTGTATCGTGCTCGGCGCGTTGTTCACTCTCGCACATTTGATCAGGCCCAGGTAAGCGACTTGTCCGGTCCTAGCAAATCTGAAAATCGCTAACGGGACCAACAGAAAACTTGGCGACCATACGTATCTGTCCTGGAACAACGATGCTCCGGCTACCGGAATCCTTGCAACTGGTCGCGATATTCAGCCAGGAGGATCCTGAAACGTTATGACAAGATTGTATGATTCTTCTCACATGGGCGATATAGTGTTTCTGTCAGATCACGGAGCCGGCGTTGAATGGAATTTGGGATGGTTTACTGGGAGAGGAGCTACTGGTGCAGCTTTACAAAGACACAGGCATCCTTCATCCTTATCTCAGCATTGCACACGTGCGTTTTCGAAGTTATTGTTTCGCAAGCCTCTTTCCGACGAACCGAACTGAAAAGTGATACAGTCTGATACAAAATGCATGCCACATCCAATGTAGCCAAAAGGGGTCAACAACGACGAAGTGGTGGCTATATCGAACGTAGCTAACAGCGCAGGTAGAGGGCAGAAGACCTCTGTTTCCAAAGTAAACGGAATACTTGTTATCAACGAAGCCCACTTCCGTTCTCACAGCGAATGACTATGACTTGGTGGGTATTTGACCCAAGGTACACATTCCAAGGGATCCCCGTGGCGCATTCGGCATGGTGATCCGTGCTTTTGTTATGCGCTTTTCGATTCTGCATTCTGACATCCAGGTCTCCCTGGCCGCATCGCGACTTCCCTTGTTGTTTCAACTATGTTTTCCTCCACTGGGAAACTGCCCACTGGTTCGACCTACTTGTCGTTGTTTATAGCCATGATAGGGAATTTTGGCTCATTCAGCTTCGCCGCCGTCCCTAGATACCGACCGATCCATCGTTCCTGCGGTGTGGCTGCTCCCTCCGAAGGCCTCATTTCCACACATGAATATCTCCAGGAACACGAGCCCCTCGAAAACGAGCTCTGGAACAGCTCTCTCCTTGTGGCTCGTCATTCATCCAGCCATGAACGCCGTCAAACCCTGACTCCGCTGTACATGATTGATACATATATGCATATTGTATCCGACACAGCCAGCTCGTCCCCTTCTTCAGCGAACTATGTCACCGACAGCATGATTCAGAACCAGTTCATCTATCTCGCGCGGTCTTACACAAACGCGTCCATCGGATTCCGCTTGGTGGGCGTCACAAGAGCAACGAACGATACCTGGGCGAGTAACGGCGACGACCTGGGCATGAAGCGGGCGCTTCGACAGGGGACGTACTCCAGTCTAAATATCTACTATCAATCTCTCTTACAGGCTGGCAGTAATACCCCTGGGGTGCCCGCCGGCAGCACGCTACTTGGTTTCTGCTCCTTGCCAGCGGGCGGCGTTACTTCAACGACACCGCGGAACGAGTACGTCGTCGATGGATGTAATGTCCTGAGTGGGACAATGCCTGGGGGGGATATGCAGGGGTACAACCTGGGAGGCACGACGGCGCATGAGGTGGGCCACTGGAACGGGCTGCTGCATACCTTTAATGGCAATAGTTGTGATGCTGGAAATTGGGGGGATTACGTGGCGGACACGCCGCAAGAGATGACCAGCACGAGTAAGTCCTCTCCTTTTTCCTGTTTTCGCTTCAGCCTCGTGGTTGTTGGGCTATACGGTGTACTCGTTGGTACCCTACCACTGATGTCCGCTCCTTTCTCATCTCTAGGCGGCTGTCCAGTCTACAAAGACTCCTGCCCCAATTCCGGCGTCTCGTCCACCGCTTATACCGGGCTGGCCGGTCAAGGCGCGAACCCTTACGGAGCCCAGGGATTTTCAGGAGTCGATCCGATACACAATGTACGTTTGTTCTATACCCCCCTTTTTCCCCTCTTCAGCCCTAAATGCGACAAACTGTCATATTTCTAGTCCTCTGTCCGCTAACAAGGATACAATTCATTAGTTTATGGACTACTCGAGCGACGCTTGTTATACGGGCTTTACCCAGGGCCAGGGGGCGAGGATGCTCAACGTGTGGAACATCTATCGCGCCGGGCTGTGAGATGGAGCCGGGAAGGAGGTGGCGGCGGCGGTGGTGGTGGTGGCGGAAATGGGAGACGGACAATATAGAGATGGGGATATCGGAGCGGTTCTTTGCCGCGTTTTGCGTTCAAATCTTGATTTCATTGAATAGCATCGGATATGGCCATGTAGTTGGGTCTCATGGCCTATCTATGTGGGAGTTTGTGAGATGCACAGTCACGGCGCAGATGAATGGGACGTGGTTGATTGTCAAACGCGAACCTCATTTCTGTTTCTGAACCTACCTACCAAGTAAACCAGCTGCCGTGTAACCTGAGGCGTGTGTTAGGAGGTCGGAGCTGTGGCTGTGCAGACCTGCACTCGACTTAAGGCCTGTCCTGGCCGGAGCGCGTACAGCCGTGAGCGTTAATAGGCGCTGCCAGGCCATAACTTCACGTCCCTGTAAAAGTTGCTGCCTGGCTGTATTCTTTATTATACACTCTTCAACCCAACTTAGCGAGAACTCTGTTCCCCACTGCTTTCACACTGTCTCTACTTATACTGCTTGAACTATCCACAGTGAGGGCTAAGCTCTTAGTTTCCTATGTCTATCTACTCAGGGACGATGGCAATGCACGGCACCTGATGGAAATCCAAGGCGGCTGCTAAGCGGGCGAGCACGCTGTCAAAAATCCCGCCGCAGTGGAGACTGAGACCACAAGATATCGAGCGAGCTGCGAGGGAGAGAGATTTGACAGGCGCCTTTATACAGCAATTCCTGAGCGCCGAGGAGATGTCCATCATATCGATGGACAGCGTGCTTCTCGTGGATGCCATCAGAAAAGGAACCCTCACAGCAGTTCAAGTCACCACCGCGTTTTGCAAGACTGCAGCAATTGCACATCAAATAGTAAGTTCAGCTCTCCCAACGTCTTGATGTCAACCTTTGACGTACCGTTCTGACATGAGCTGGACCTCCAGAACAACTGCCTTCACGAAATCTTCTTCGACCAGTCGCTGGAGCGTGCGACATTCCTTGATGATTATTATTCGAAGCACACCGCAACCATTGGACCTCTACACGGCCTCCCCGTAAGTTTGAAGGATCAATTTCACGTCAAGGGCAATGATACTACCATGGGCTATGTCGAATGGATTGGCAGCAACCTTGGTATCAAAGATCCCAATGAGAAACATCAGGTGCAAAGTCAAATCGTAAGTGAGTTCGTAGGGCTGGGAGTAGTGCTCTATTGCAAAACAAGTCTTCCTCAAACTCTTCTCTTTGGTGAGACCAAGAATAATATCATTAGCCAGACTCTCAACCCAAACAACCAAAATCTTTCCTGCGGCGGCTCTTCAGGCGGAGAGGGCGCTCTACAAGCACTTCGCGGCAGCTCTCTCGGCCTGGGTACGGATATTGGCGGCTCTGTTCGCATTCCAGCTGCATTCAACGGGATATTCTCTCTGAAGCCGACCCCTGAGAGGATATCCTACCGAGAAGTGGCAAACACCAATCCTGGGCAGAACACCTATCGCTCGACAGTAGGTTTTATGAGCACCTCTCTCGGAGGTTTAGAGCTGGCACTCAAATCGGTGCTTTCGACACGGCCATGGCTGCGTGATCCAGCAGTGGTTCCCATTCCTTTCCGTCAGGATATAGTCGATGAGTACCTCTCTCGAGCGGACTGGGATGGAACAGCAAAAGCGTCTGGATTGGCCCTTAAACTTGGAGTCTTCTGGACCGACGGTGTTGTGACACCTCAGCCTCCTATCACTCGCGGTCTTCAAATGGTTGTTGATGCTGTCAGAAATGCAGGACACAAGGTACAAATCAGGCCCACCTATTCTTTTGAGACCTCATACAGGGGCTCAGGGCCTCACGGACCGTACTTAGGTAGTCAATTAGGAGCCCCCAAACCAAGCGACCGCCAAAATAGTTCATGTATGTCATGCAAAATTTCTTTACCTACCAAGCGTATTGCGCCGGTCTATGCTAAACAAAGTTCTTCACAGGTATCTTTCCTCAAGGCTGACGGGGCCAACGATATCCACGCTCAGCTTGATCTGTCTGGCGAACCACTTATTCCCGACCTTGCCGCTGCATTCCGTCTCAAACAGCCCATTGGACTGCTAGAGTACCAAGATTTGACCTTTCAAGGCCTCGAGTACGAGAGCCAGTACTCCGACTACTGGAATGCAACTGCTGAAGAAGACGGTGAATGTGTCCATCTATGACCTGGAGATCAAATTCACTAAGATGGTATAGGCCAGATTGTCGACGCAGTCATCATGCCTGTGGCACCACACGCGGCCGTCATCCCTGGAAAGTTCTACCACACTGGTATGACGCTAAAATCTGTTTACTAGCTTCTGAACCTAACTACGCGGGCTAGCTTATACCGAAGCTGAACCTGTTTAAATATAGCGCTGTAGTCATTCCTATTGCAAAAGCCGACAAAAATCTTAATGTATTCGACGACGGTTACCAACCTTTGAACGCGACTGACAGATTGAACTGGGAAGCATGTAGGTTCCACTTGTGGTCCGTCTTAGCTGTCATCCAAGTAACATTCAATGCAGATGACCCTGAGATCTATGACGGAGCGCCTATTGGTGTTCAGCTGGTAGCGAGAAAATTCGAAGAGGAGAAAATATGGGCCATTGCGAAAATCGTCCATGCCTCACTGCAGAAGGAGCAACAAAAGCCAAAAATTTGAGCTGAACGCAGAAACGAGATAGAAGCGCTCACAACCATTCGCTTTCCATCGCACTCGATAGTGTGAATTGGGCTGGCTGAGTAGGGGACTTTAACGAAGTGAAATGGCTGTGCTGTGGATAGTCACCTTGTCTATACAGAGGGGCTTTACTTCATTATGGCTGTGCATGGCAGGGTCTCTGAGAATAGGCAACTCAGCGTCCCTTGATATCACTTGACACTGACCGTGCGAGCCAAGTTGATAGTGCTGGCATATTCGAGCCATTCGTTTGCAGATTGAGCAGAGGAGTCATGGTCCTGAGATGCCGCCTACGTCGTCCTGAGCGTCTCTACAGTCTCCCTCTGTCGCGGTATACTGCCGCCGCCGCCGCCGCCGTCGTCGTGCTAGGCGCCACCTAGCATAGCCATCGCCTCTGTGGTAATGGTGGTGGTGTTCTGTCCTGGCGTCAACCAGAAAGGCCTTCTCGATTACTGATCTTCTGGACAGGCCACTGTGCGTTGTTGCACATGCACGTCGAACCCTTAAGTGGTGCTCTGTTCCAATATAAGGCGTATTGCCTTTACTATCTGGCCTTCAATCTTCTACCAAGGTATTCTACAACATCTACTCTGCCATTCTCTTTCGCAATTTCCAGAGCCGTCTTAAACAAAGGGCTTTTGGGGGCCGGGTTCGCCCCTGCATTCATCAGCATGGTGACAACCTCCAGATGTCCCATCTGACACGCCACCATCAACGGCGTCCAACCCACTTTGTATGCTCTCCCAATTCGCTGCTGCTGAGGTCGAGTCTCACTTTCTTCGGTGAGCACTGCATCCTCATCTAGGACCTCCAATTCGCTACCTTCCTCTGTATCACATGAGGAAGGCCCACCACCCTCGCTGCCCAGGAAGGTCCTGACTGAGGCGAAGTCTCCTTCGAATGCGGCTCTGCTGAAAGCACTGAGGGCTGACGGATTAACCTGGGACAGTGGAGCGACTTCTTTGAGAACCCTTGTCATCTCACCAGCGTATTCTCGGTCGCTGGAGAAGATTTTCTGGAAAACATATGATCTGGAAGTGTCCGCTCCCCCATTCACGAGCTGCCGGGCCATCAAGAAATTACCCCTGCCAGTGGCGAGGTCCAACGCAGTCTGGTCCCCAGGCCCTGTAGCGTTAGGGTCTGCCCCAAGATCAAGGAGAAGCTTGACGACGCGATCTTGACTTTGCGCAGCTGAGATCATGAGCAAGCTTTCGCCATCGGCGCTTCTTGAATTCGCCAAAATGCTCATTTCATTGACGGATTGAGTGGCTTTCAGGCGCAATAGAAGCGTCTCCATTGCCCTAGGCATGTCCTCTTTCGCAAAATTTGCAAGCTGACGATCGATGAAGGCGTCATTGCTTATTAGTTCAGGCTTTGATCCTAGCATTCTGTCCAGCTCTTCAAGATCATTTGCGAGAGACGGCTCATTCGACACGGATACTCTGCTGGTATGAATATGCACATTTTGAGGTGCAGTGCCCCCTCGAACTGCTTCTGTCCTGCTCCGCACAATGTCTGCATGCTCCTGCCGGTGCTGGTGAGTATTTATGTTGTGGGTGTAGAGAACGGGATCCTTACCTGCAGCCAATGCCGATACCAGTTCCATCCTCGCTTTGTCTTTTTCAAGACCTTCCATTTTTCCGCAAGCCTCGCAAAAGCCTTCCCACACGCCAAACAGTCCTTGGACTGGCTGAATAGTCGATGGTCGCGGCAATGGAACTCCTGAGTCAGGAACTCCGTGGAAATAAGTCAAGCGGAAGCCGTAGCTGCCATCTGGAATATTGACCCAGTGTCCAACGGGGCAACGAGCGCAATAGCCTTCTTTCCTGGCGCCGAATCCCCTCGCCCAGCCTGCTGTATGAAGATCGCCGCCAAAGATAGACTCTTGTCGTAGTGGAAGAAGATCTGCGTCTTCGGTATCAAAGTATTCATTGGGGGGTGTAAAGTCCTGTGGAGGTTGCCATCGCATGGCCAAATCAAGTAGATCCGACAAGATTCCCGGCGGTGTCAACTGCAGATCTGCCTCAACAAAGAGCTTATGGACGAGGTCTGGCTCTGAGAGAATTTGGACGGTGGGTTCGTTTTCGGCTTCGTCTGGATTGCTCTCGCGATGCTCCAGGGACCCAGCTTCAGACACAGCTTCGTGTACATACGCCAGATCAGTAGGTGGAAGGACAAATAATGCGAGTTGCTCTAAATGACGGCCCAAGTGTCTGCCAAGTTTCTCTGCTCTGACGTGGGCCACCTCGTCGTCCGTGTAGCCTCGACATCTGAGCACAGCGGAATAGTCACACAAAGGGCATTCGGACGCGGCAAGATGGGTAAGCGGCCTTCCGGATTGGTGGGCAACACTCTCGACCTGTTCGGGGGAGACTTGTTCACAGTGCTCCATCTGCACATGCGTCATGGTGCTGGCTAAGGAGGGTTGGTGAAAGCCACATATGAAGCAAGTCCATTGTTTCCTGTGGACTTCCATTTCGTGCATCCACCATTTGCGCCTGGATTCGAAGAACATCTCATTACAACTTCCAAACACGCAAGTGTAGGAAGGCAGATCGGTGTGAACATGTTTCCTTGGTGGCGTTAGCTTTGGGGGGTATATCAAGTTCCAACATCACCGGGCTTCTACTTACTGCCAGGCGTCTTTGTTTGGTATTTCTACGATATTACAACAGTAAGGGCATTGGAATGGCCCATCCATGAGCGGGTCCCGCAGTGGTTGCAGGACCCGCAACTTTTGCTCATCTAAGGTTGCCCTTGAAGATCAGCCGAAGAAGGTCTCTGGGACATCTGACTGCGAGAACGTGTCCAGGGTCATGGAAACCCTTGATCTGAATGTCGTGGCTCTAGTAAGGCTGAGGCTCGGTATCGAGTTTAATTCGTGCTCATCAACCGAAACCATAGCTATGGAATCAGTATTGCTGCGTTCCATAGCCTCGAACCAGGGAAGACGCTCCTCTTTTTCGCCAGAAAGGTTGACAGAGAGCTTTTCTCTTTAGTCCACGTTGTTTGCTCGCGGCTGCCATTAACAATTGCTTGCACTTGATTCTCCGTCAGTAATGCTTTCAAGGTCTCAGTGTCGCCTCAAAACACTCGACTCACACTCTGAGGTGGAAAATCCAGCTGATGTAGTAGTCGTAAGACCTCTTGGGCAAGGACCCCTCCTGCTATGCGGAAATCCAACGAAGCTTCGCCTCGCTGAAATACACCTAAACTCCCTGCCCAGATGTTGAATCGATCAAGGCAGTCTGTGAGGTCTTGAGGGGCAATTTCCACGCGATCAAGGAGAGCGCCTGACCGCGCTCTTGCAGCAATGTCGAGACACAGGTCCTGTAGATGACGCCTTGTTTTCGATGCCTCCACAGCTACGGACCCGAGATTAGCAGCCATCGTATCGGCCTCGAGTCTTTTACTTCGATATTAAACCCCGTTCATCGTCTCTGCTCTCAGGCCGACTGGCATTGACGACTAGGCTCTATTGATGGATATGGCGGAGTGTCTTGGCTTGGAGAAGATGTAGCCAAAAAAGGGGTTAATGACACTGGGAATTCCATGTGTCAGGAAACCTCGTTTTGTTTTTGTTTTGCAACTCGAACGGCTATCGGCCGTGACTGCTCGCAGTTGTTGCATGGACGAAATGACTTTTCTTTGGCGGACTGCATTAGTTCAGGTGAATACGGGCTGTTATGTTATGCTGGTTGTACGTTTGGAGCAAGCTGATTTGCAAGACGCCCACACCGGTTTGTGCCCGAAACGCCTCAGAGCGCCAACCTCTTTTAACTGCCAGTAACACAGCCCAGTGTGGTGACACAGCTTCTTAAGTAGACAGCCACATCCCGGAGTAATGATGGCCGGTAGGGTAAAATCACCTCTGGGGAGTCATGCAGCTTTTGGTGCTGGAAATGGGCTGTTGGCCTTATTGAAATTGAGGCATTAAATTCCGCTCCTTATTGCTGGGGTTCGATGTCCAGCACACAATGGATACCCAGGACAACAAGTTGGCATATCCAAAAGGTCTACACAAACTTTCAAGCTCTCACACTGAACCCCCAGACTAGTGATCCATGATGTCCGGTGTCGAAGTAGTGAGCCTCGTGCTGGGGGCATTTCCACTGGTCATCAGCCTGCTCGAGCACTACCAAGAAGGCTGTGAAACGCTCAGAGACTGGGTTCTTTTTCGACGCGAACTTACTCACCTTGTCAATCAGCTGAACAGGGAGCAGATTCTTTTCAGGCAGCACATAGAAGGCATGCTGTTGTCTATAAACGACTCGGATTTCGAGACGAAGGTGATGATGGAGGACTTGCAGTGCGATCAATGGAAGAACGCAGAGCTCACTGCAAGGCTCAAGAGGAAGCTCTGTGGCGAAGGCGAATTCGAAAACTACCAATCCTCTGTCTATTCCATTCATGAGAACCTTAACAAGATGGCTCAAAAATTGAAGAGCTGTGAACCGTTGGTAGGTTTATGATCTCGGTATACCTCAGCCTCGACGCTCTCTGACCGTGTTAAAGGATGAACCAGCAGATGGGACGTCCCACAAAGGCCTCCGACTTCAAAAACAGCTGCGCAAGCTCCAGTTCTCTCTCCGCAAGAAGAGGTGGCAAGAACAAGTGGTTGACCTGGGCAGACAAATCGACCGCATTGGCAAGCTTCTCGGCGAGGCTGAAGCACTTGCACCGGCGAGACAATCGCGCAGCTCAACTATATCTCAATATTTTGAGCAGGCAAAGAAACAAGCCTTAAGTTTACATAAAGCCATCACTAAAGGTTGGACGTGCGGCTGCAGGAATGACCATACATTTAAGTTGGTATTGGCCAGACGGTCCAAGGGGAGCCATCAATTAGAGTCCGGCTCCCCCATGCTCATCGTGTTGTCCTTCTCCTTACGCCCAGGCATGTGGACGAGATCCGAGACCCTGTAGTACGAAACGGATAAGTGGTACACGTCCGATGCTACAATGTTCTCCTCAAGCGAGAGCGACCCCTTGCAGAACAAAGGTGAACATTTGGACACCTACAGCAACGTCGATGAATTGGGGTCGAATTCAACCCCAAGTCTGTCAACCAGGTGCGACCACGGTGCCGACAACGTCGACGACATTGTCGTCCGGCCTGCGCAGTCGGAAGATCTCATTCCAAGGAAACGCACAACATTGGAAGCACTCCGATCTACTGGCGCTCACGATTCCGGACAAGCCTCTTCCGATAAGCGATATTTGCCAAAGTCTCCAGAGTATAGGCGAGAAGACCTGTCTTGGGTATTTGGAGGACGGCCAAGGCGCGTACCACGTCTTCCACACCTCACCATCCTTCTGCTTCACTTCGGCTGATGTCGACCGAGTGATCAGCCTGGGGGCTATTCTCGACAAGACAGCACAAGTCAGTAGCAAACGGATTGGTCCGCAGCTTTCTAGACACGACAGATTGTCAATCGCCTTGACCATGTCTTATGCTTTTCTCGAGTTGTATCCCACGCCTTGGCTCCCTAAAGGGTGGGACAAGACGGACGTGTACTTCTTCCAGCGCAAGAATGGCGACATCATAACTGAGCATCCCTTTGTAGTTTGCGAGACTGCGCCAGCGGCGCCGAGAAAGGAACAATGCTCGGTTCAGACCCTAGCAGGAGAAGAGAAACTACCATTCTGACGCGCTACTCAGCCTTGGGATTTTGATCATGGAACTGTGGTTCGGAGAGGCCATTGAGTCTCAAAATTTTTTTTGGAAAGAACATGGCGACAAGAACGGTAAAGGAATAGCGTTGAGCTACCTTATCGCCGCGATGGAGTGGCAAACGAAAGCGAAGGATGAAGGTGGTATTGTTGACAGGGTCGCGAGAGCACCACTGTGGCAAACCACCTGAGACGCTAGGCGTGTCACCAACTGCGCAATCTGTCTCAACCTACCTCGTTGCTCTTGCAGACCTGTGATAGGATGGCAACGGAATAGGAGGTTTCAGGAATGCTCTTCCACTCTCATTCTGTGTGCAACAGGTATGCCCCTGCACGGCATAACCCATCGATGCATTCGCGGAAACTTTGGAATGACATTGATGGATTTCGACGATGACAGGTGTATTGGGGCCGTGTATGATGGAGTTGTGAAACCGCTTGAAGGTCTACTGGGATAATTTTGGCCAGCCAAAGGACGAGGCTGACAATCCAAACTAACAAGGGTGGTGAAATATACCAAGACGCTAGTAATTATGGCTATAAAAGCAGCCTCCCAGGCCACATAGATTTAGCTAGTTCCAATACAGTTTTACGTCTCATTTCACACGGGTAACCAAGGGCAGCTAGGAAGCTCTGATCAAGTTGAGTTGATTGGAGGTCTTGTTTGCAGTAGCCCTTATAGATGCTTGTATACGTAAGCCCCATGTTCTGGTACTCCTTACATGTTCTATACAGCATCTAGTGTCGTAGCGGATGGAAAGCCCAGAGATGTGGAATCCTAGTCCGGTTTACCGGCCTGCGGATCCAGTCCGAACTTTGTATTATGTATTATGCACACTAATTGGAGGCCCGTGTGACGGCGACCTTACAGACGGCAGTTCGAATTCTCTCGCATCAGGAGATGTTCGGGAGAAGGCCCATACCAGTTTTCCACTTTCTCCGGGAGATGGGAACGTTGCATTGTATTTCATTGTATTCCGTTTCATTTTGAAGAGAACGACAAGGCGAAACGGCAACAAAAGGCCAAAAGGTATGAATAAATGAGTGTTAAGATATCCATCCATCAACACTTTGTGTATCCAGCTCGCAGCGTTGAATGTTTTTTATATGCATTCTCAACCCTCCCCTCGCTACAGCCTTTTGTCTCGTTTCTGACTACATAGAACGTGGTATCGACAAGCCCATCACGCAAGTCTGAACTATCAACATTATACTATATCTCCAGCCACCCAGCGACCCAAAAAAAGGCCATCCACTCTGAGGACCAAAAAAAAAAAGAAGAAAACAATGTCAGAGAGCTCAGCAACCCAATATGACCACATCGGGCAGGCATACGAGTCGATGAAAAAGATCCCCGGCGCCATTCTCGAGCGCAATAACCTTCGCGCCGTCATCACGCCCTATCTCACCCTCCCGGACAGCCAGGGCGCATCAGTCCTCGACCTCGCGTGCGGCACGGGTTACTACTCGCGCCTGCTCCTGCAATGGGCCGCCCCGCGCTGCGTCGTGGGCATCGACATCTCGCCGACCATGGTGGAGGCGGCGGAGCGCGCGGCCGCAGAGCTTGACGAGTTCAAGCAAGGCCGGCTCAAGTTCGTCGTCGGCGACGCCACGAAGCCGCTGCCCGCGGCCGTTGTCACCTCCTCCGATGAGGCCGAGGGCCCCTTCGACGTGGTCTTAGGCGCCTGGCTGCTGAACTACGCACCCTCGACGCAGGACATGGCGGGCATGTTCGCCAACGTGGCCTCCGCGCTGCGTCCCGGCGGGCACTTTGTGGGCATCACGCCACACCCGGCCGAGGACCTGGACGCCTTCGCGGCCTTCCACGCCACGCCCGCTGCGCAGGCTGAAATGCGCCGCTTCGGCGTTTCCATCGCGTACCTGGACCCGCCAGTCGCCTCGGGCGAGGGCTACCACACCCGCATCACGGCCCACATGCAGCCCGTCGAGATCTCGTTCGAGAACTTTCACCTCCGCAGGCACGTCTACGAGGACGCTGCCCGGCGCGGCGGCATGACTGGCGAGTTAAAGTGGGAGAAGGTCAGGTTGCCGCGGGACGAGGACGAGAGCCGTCGCGACTACGGCGTGGGGATCGAGTACTGGGAGGGATGCGAGGAGAGGCCGCATTTTGGGATCATGGTCGTTGAGAAGTGAGTGTAATAAAAGTAATGAAACGGTAGGATCTTGGAAGGTAATAGGACAAAGGGGGACAAACCACCTGAAGTGTAAGAGGAAAAGGGAAACGGACACACCAAGTTCGACACAGGCGGAATGATGAGAGAATGAGGACGGGAATATAAATTTCATTCTTCGTCTGATAGCAGAACTTTCCTGCTCGAGATCCCGTCCTGCCCAACGCTGACATCCTTTTTGCTGCAAGTACGCAAAGCAAACGCCCAGCATCCTCCGGCGGCAATTTCTAGTCATCATCAACTCTTGCCCTTTTCCTCTGCCGTTCTCTCTCCTCCCGATCCCTATCTTCAGCCTGCTCAAGCCCATATCTCTTCTTGCCTTCTCCACCCGCTCGGGCTGACGCCTCTCCAATTAGAGAGTCGATTCCGAAAGGGTCGTCTTTGTCTTTCTCGAATTGAACAGGCCCAGCCTCTCGCTCCGCCACATCAGCACCCTTGAATCCTTCCTTGGCCCTGCCCAAGACCTCAAATCTGTTGGATTTTTGAATCTTGCCCATTGCGCTCTCCGCTGCTTCTTCCCCATATTCTTCGTCATCCATGTTACCAGCTGACGGGCGATAAATACTATTAATTGCGTCGTGCGCCGCGAAGAGGGGTTTATCGTAATGCTGATCTTCATTGAATCCCGAGTCAAACCCGGAGGTTTGATTGAATAACCGCGAGTCGTACATGGTCTCTTTATTCTGCGTCGGTTTCGCCAATCCCAAGGCCACTTTCTCCGAGATATCACGATTCTGTTCCCTCGCCATCATCTGGATTCTCTTTTCGGCACCCATCCTTGACTGGCGAAGTTGCCGTTCATTTTCTTGTCTGCGCTCCCGTCTGGCCTGTTCTCGCTCTCGGGCGGCTTCGTCTTCGCTCTCACTTCGCGAAGCATATGGCGAGCCCGAGTAAGATCGCGACCGTGACCGCCTTGTGCGTGATTCTGCGGCACGCTGCCTCTCTTCTCTCGCCTTCTTCGCCATCTCTCGCAAATGCTCTTCTTTCGCCAGTTTCTCCTTCTCCGCCAACTTCTGCTGCATCTGAGCTCGGAGCCTCACTTCTTCTCTTGCATGCCGATCGGCCGTAAAGAGAGCTTCCGCAAACTGAGCGAATTTGTCGTTGATTGTCACGTCTTGTAACCCTCGTCCATCTGCTGCCAATCGCTTATCCAGAGGAACTGTATATCCCTTTGGATTCTTCCAATTTGATATTGGGGGTGGAATCCTCCACGCCTCTTGATCTTCTGCGGTCAGTTTCCGCGGCGGTGAGTGCATGACCGGGGGCGGAGGAGATGGTGGTCCACGGGGTATCTTTTTGTGCTTAAATTTTGGCGGCTCCATAGGATCCTCCTGCCTCTTGACAATCTTGAATATTCGATCGTTCTTCTTCGAGTTATCCCCCATCTGGTCCGCAGGCGTGTATCGGACGTAAGTCGGCTCTTCTCGATTCACGCCCTTCACATTCTTGGGCTTCTGTGCAGCAACCGCACCGGAAACCAACTTCTCCAGCGCAAGTTTGGTCTTCTCGGCCGTGGCTTGCGCCTCCTCTGCGGTCGGCCTGTCCAGACTCAAATCACCTGCATCAGCTCTCTGCCTCAGCGGGATCAAGTCCTTGAAACTGGAATGGATGATGCGATTCTCGCTATGACCCTGTCTCGCAATGGCGTCGTATTTCACTTTCCCTTCGGCGTCGACTTGGATAGCAAGTGCATTCGAGGACGACGCTGTCCCCTTTCGACCCATATCAAGCGGATACTGCGCCACAGGGATTTCGGGGAATGCACCGCCGTCGCCGAAGTCTTCTGCGGCGCGGGGTCGCCATCCTGATCGTTGGCCGTAAGGAGGTGGACCGGGACGCTGCCAGAGGAAGACAGATGTCAGTATGTCAACGGGGACAGAGGGTGCGGGCGCCTGTGGAAGGTCATGACCGACCTTTAAAACAATCTGGGATTCATCGATCACGCCGGGTCCGACGACTCGAGGACCTCTTGGTTGGGCGTGGAGAGGCACCTCTTCGTGTTCGCCGGTATATTTCGGTTTTGGCAACGAGGCGAATAGACCTGTCGCCATGGTGGTGAGGTTTTAGAAAGGGAGGAACGAGGAGTGCGAAATAGTCAAACGCTGGGGGAAAGTTTGAAATAAATGCCAAATGATGCAAATTCCCCATACTGCGGGATAAGGTCCTGTGATCTGCCAGAGTGGCCATGAGTCTTTATACGGTGAACTATCTCGAGCAGAATAGCAGTTGACGTCGACTGATCTCCAACTTCTCGGTACTCCGAAATGCATTTTGTATTTCTCATCCAAGCCCAACACACCAGAGCTTCCCTTCTGCAGAATTAGCTCCTACACAGTGCGTCGAGAAAAGATGGGCTGGTTCTCCTCTTCGCCTGCGCCTGCGCCCGCATTTTCCGCTGCAGGTACGTATGCTTTCCTATATCCTCAAATCTATGACTACGCGGAGACGGAGCCAGAGACAGACAGAGAACAGAGGGACAAAGATGCGGACGGCAGGGGAAGAAGAATCAAAAAGCTAACCTATATGCTTTGCCGCAGTAGTAGCGCAGCAACCTTCGACACTCGATGATCTCGCCTGCGAGCTCAAACCAGCGTCGTCGACAGCGGAAAAGACGGAGAAAGTAAAGGTACAGAACGAAAAGGCCCAATAGCCTAGTTTGCCACACACCTCCCCTTCCTCGTCCTCCTCCTCTAGCACATCTCTCTTGCGCGGCACTGCAATCACCATTGTCGCCTCTTCCCAAGATCCATGGAACCCTTTGGTCCGCTAGCTAACAAGCGATTGTTGTCAAATTATTCTAGCCATGCTGCGTGTGCAAGGACGAGAAATCGCGCCGCGACGAGTGCATGCTCTTCTCCCGCGCCGATGATCCGCAGGAGGACTGCAAGAGTCTGGTCATGCAGTACAAGGACTGCATGGCCGGGTACGGGTTCAAGATATGAAACCCTCAAAGAGAGAGGGCGAGAGAGGGAGAAAGAGAGAAGGGACAAAGGAAATCAGGCCCGGGGGCACAGAGCATTGCGATTGAGTTTCGGTTGGGCCGCCGCCATGCATGGCATGTCTGATCATACGCCTGGCCTGGCTCGGGCTCTGAGCGGGACTGTGTTCTATTTACATAGAATGAGCTCCAGCCCCTCTTCCTCCGCCTCCTCCGCCTCCGCCTCCGACAACAGCGACAACTGGCTGACCGACCGACTGACGAGGTGGTTGTATGCCTGTACATTATTCTGGGAAAATGTCCTCCGAACAGCCGGATAGACAGGAGTCATCGCATAGGGGCGTTGCATTGTATTGCATTGCTGTATAGATGGACGCAGAAGACATTCGGTTTCGGCGTCCAAGACTCTCGCAAAAGAAGTCAGGCATAGCCGGCGCCATGCACTGCATTGGGTCGCAACAGCATAGACTAGGACTGGGGTGGGGATCATTGCCTTTGCAGGAAGTCGGTTCTCTGTATGTCCGCAACACAGATCTCTCTCCTCACTCAAAAGAAAGATCGGGAGATGGGGAGATCGAGCAATCGATCGCTCTACATATCTCTCTCTGCGTTTCCCCTCAACCGCAACCGGGATTAAAGCACAATCGTTGGTTGGTCTTGGATGCATTAATCCTGGCACCGATACCCCTACCCATCCACGGTGCTCTGTTGTCCAATAACCGATAAAAACCAGCGCCTCCTCGACGCTGGATGTCTCCCTCAGCTCCTTCCATGTCACAAAGACGCCAGGAGACTCTGCATGCCCACCTCTAGATAGTCATCCCTCTTGAGCAGATACGGTCTGAGATTCTCCTTGCCCAGATTTCCCAGGACGGGGCCCCTCAGCCTCTCCTTCAAGGCGTCCGGATGCAGCACAAACACGCTGGCAAGCTCACTCAGCACCTCGAGACTGTTCTTGAAAGAAGCTCCCCCACCACTGACGGCGTCGGCGTCAACGTTGGCGCCGCTCTCGCCGCTAGCGCCCCCACCCAACTCCCAAGACCTGAGAAGCTGGACATAGCGGGACATGTCTCTCGCAAGCATGACGCCGCCAATCCTGTTGACTTGGTACTTGGTGAAGTGCTGCAGAAGTTGACCACGAAATCCGACAGCAACTTCCATCAGCAACACTCCGAAATTTGCACCGTCAAAACTCTGCGCAGCAGTATCATGGAACAAGCCCAAAAATCTACACACACTCTCACAAGTCGGCGTCTGAGGTTGTTCCAAGCTCGGCGCCTCCGTTTCTTGCCGCGGGCGGAAATCCGCGCGGTTCTGGTTGGAAAGCAGTCGGGACGTCCAGTTAAGCACGCCATCAATGGTGGCTTGTTCAATGTTATTGATTTGGTCCTCAATGCGTGCAGTGGCGGCGCGGGCAGATTTCTCCATCTCCCGGCGCGTGGTTAATGATGAGCTAGCCAAGGGAATGAGAAGGGTGTTGATGCATGACTGCACCAGATGCGCGATGTGCACTGCTGTGCGGAGGTTGGACAGATAAGAGAGGTCGGGTTCTCTGCGCGTATTCTCAAATGAGGAGGCCAGATCCGCACAGGCTTCGAGGGAGACTTCGACGTAAGATTCCAACAGGTTTTTCAAAACAAGATTGAGGAGGGCAGCGACGTCCTTCGGCGTTTCAGAACCGCCGCCGAGTTCGAGACCACGTCTCACTCCCTCGGCGAGCCACTTGAGCATCCTCTTCGCGAATGCAACGTTCAACCTCCCATCCTGCTCATCGAGGTCCACGTCCGGCTGTGACTTGTCGTCGGCGCCCGTGCTCTGAAGACCGGCAACGCTCAACAGAATCCTCTTTTGCGTAGGCGACATCTTCTCCAAGTCTAAGCTCTTAACGTAGGCGTCAGTGGCTTCTCTGGCCGATGCGAGGAGCTCTTGACCTCGATTGCGGATCGCTGCGAGGTAAGTCTTGGGTTCTTTTTGGCGTCGAGAGTGGAAGAGCTCGAACTTGAAAAGAAGGGATTTGTAAAGTTCTTGAAGATTGTGTTTTTCCTTGTCGATGTATGCTGAACCGCCAAAGTAGGGGGTGAATAGTTCATCGAGTTGCTGATCAAGCAGCTGACTTGTCTGGGAAGTCACCGGTTCAGGATGTTCTGTCAATCCATGTGCCTTTAGGTCTTCGACGAGAACGCTGATGTAGCTTCTTGCAGCTTGTAGAGACCTCAGATATGCGAGTGTGGATTCTGACTCTGCCTTCTCCAGCACCAATTCCAACCTTTGCTGTATAGATTGTTGAAACACTCTCTGAACGAATTTCCCCAGCACTTGTTCTGGGTAAGGAAATGCCCTTTTTATGATGGCCGATTCTTCTTGGACCACGACTTTTACTTCGTCAATCAATGACTGTAAGCCGGGTTCAACGCCCGGTAACTCGGCATCCGGGTCAGAGAGTCGAATCCAGGTCTCCTGATCCCCACCAATCTCCTCGGTCATCAGATTACTGCGGTCGATGAAGAACTGGTGTTGGTTGACAAAAGCTGCCTGTACAGACGCGCCGCCATTGAAGTCCTGCAGCACAATCGCGCAGTTCTTCATTTCTTCGAAGTTCTGTCGCCGGTAGAAGTCGTCGAACAGCTTCAGCATGTCGTTCTCTAGTGTCTCGATGAACTTCTCAATGACCTCTCTAGTGTTGAAATTCTTGCTTCCCGTCACACCGTTTGTAATGCCACCTTGTTTGTTCGTCGCCACCCCATTGGCCTGGCCATGACTTTTGGGATCGAGTCTTTGACTGATCCTCAGGAGCTGGCGGGCAATATTGGCCGACCTGATCTTGCCTTCCCCGGTACCGGATCTTCGTAGATTCTCCAACAGTGTGACCTCGCCTCGGTTACTGACCTCATCCCAGCACTCAATCAGAAAGTGAGCGTCCAAGGCTTTCCTTCTTTGTCGATCCAGCTCTTCGATCCGCCGCCCAGTTTCCACTGCGACATTCCCACCCCATCTCTCTCCTCTGTCGCTCTTCAAGGACGTATCTAGTTTCTGAAAGCTCTCGATCGTGGAATTGAGCTTCCTGCCCAATGTCTCTGTGTTGCTCGCATGTTGCGCCTCGGCTCGTCTCACTGCGGTGGACAGTTCATTCTCGCGCTGCTCCAGTTCGCCGGACAGTTCATCAAGTCGTCGCGAGGCCTGCTCGAAGGCGCGGATCAAGGGCTTAGGGTCGAAAGGTGCGTTGGCGGTTCCATGGGAACGGCGATGGGCGGACTGTACGCTCTCGGTCAAGGATTCAATGAAGTCTTTGGCTATGAAATCCCGGCTGGAGAAGTCGTCAAGGTTGAACAAGGGCCCTTTGGGGAAGATGGTGCGGGCGGTTGGTTGGTCGGAGGGGTGAGAGGACCCGAAGTATTGCTGGGGATCCATGGTCTCGTCACTTGGAGACGGTCATGGTGCATTTAGATGGAATGCCACGGTTCAAGGGCAGTGGCGTCTGCTGTATTTGCTTCACTTGTACATATGCCTAGGTAAGAACTGGCTCATGCTGGAGGAGTCGAGTTGTTGGATTGCGAAACGCGATCACGGTGCTGGCTCCATCTGCATTCGCAGAAAGATTCCTCCGAGCCCGACGTCAGCCTTGGTCAGCCTTGGTCAGCCTTGGTCAGCCTTGGTCCAGCCTCGCCTTGCCTTGCCTAAGTACTATATACATCTATGGGCGTTTACCCCTTGGAAAATTACGCGCATATGCCCAAGCTATGAGAATGGTAGATGCACTTCTCTTTGTATAAATATATTCCTTGAATGTTCTCTCAGTTTTGCTTCTCGATCACCGGATGATCTTTGCTTATTGCGATCACGGCGACAACTCGCTATTTGTCGGGCACTGTGCTTCCACCTGGCGACCTGCTCTCAATGTGACAGTCGATAGATTCTCTCTTGTCTTGCTTTAGGCCGTAGCTCATGGTTCATCTAATCATTGTTGGGCGTCTGATCATTTAAAACACGCTCAAAGTCTCCTTCGCTCCACCAAAGTGGAGGGCAATTATCATCAAGCCTGCCCCTTTTTGCCACTAATATCACAGCATCGCTTTTACCTCCTATTGTATCTTTCTGGGCTCGCCAAAACAGCAAGCGCGGTACTCTAATCAGAAGTATTGCTCACATGAATATCGTGCCCACAAGGTCGAGAAGCGATGAGTACACTCCCAAGTCGCAAAAACACGTCAAACTCACCTTTTGTGTGCCTGTTGTTACATGGTCATCTTGACATCCTCGACTGCCCTCCCACCTTCACTCGGTGGGAGCGTATCGCTTCTTCTCTCAGCCATGCTGCCGCCCGCGCTCTCCTCAATCTCCATCTTCTCGTCAACAAGGGCGAGCTGGGGAGGTTGCTCCTGCTGCCGGTCCACCCTCCTCCCCAACTTCTCACACCAGCCCTCTGCACTGACAAGGGTATCGTTGACAACTCGGCTAACTTGGGTCATCATATCCAAACCTTCTTGTGCCAAGACCATGACTCTCCTTCCACTTCTGACCGCTTCGGAGCTCCCTGCTCCCGCGGCATTGGCTGGGTCCTCTTCACCGCCTACCCTGTTCGCAAGGCTAAAGCGTTGAGGTAGACTGATCAGGTGTCTGTGCACCAGATCTCGTGCATTCTGCGGTAATGCGCCGCCTGCGTAATTTGAGACGATGCCCACCACGTGCTTGAGTGTTTGCAGGACATCAGCTTTCAAAGCAGCGATGCGGGCAGACAGAGCAGCCTGTCTTCTCTCCTCTTGAGTTTGAGTCATGTTCGCCACTGACATGGTGGGCGGCTGCTCGCCCGGAGTGACTCCTTCATCCCATCTCTCAAGCAGGTTCTTGAGATTCTGAATGGCTTCCCCGAGTCGGCCGTTAGCCCAGCGCAACCAGCTGAGACAGTATCGTAGACTTCGGATGGATTCTTCACTCATGGCGATCCCCAGGCCACTTGTGGAGACCATGAGTTGTTGGCGCCAACCCGGTGGCGGCTGACGTTCATCATGGGGTTTGAGAAGAGCCTGCTGTTCAGTGTAAGGCGGTGAGCGGTCGCCCGGGTTGTAGGCAGGTAGAGAATCGGGATAACCCATCTCGGAGCTGGTTCGGTTGGTGCCATCAGAGGCGACGTCCGAGTAACCCTTCTCAACATCGGAGGGTTTACTCGAGGATCTTCCGTCGCGCTTGGGTTGTAGTGCCCAGCGCAGACCCCCTTCAACACCCGATATTCTGGCCACAGTCCCTGCGATCGGCAAACCAACATTCCTCTCGGTCCATTCTGCGCCCGGAATGTAAGATTGAGTGGTCTTGTAGGCGGACAAAGAGCCGTTGATCAGAGGCCTTGTCCAGGGATATTGGCTTGTGAACAGTCGAAGGAGGGGTTCAGGCTGGTCGGAGTCGAAGGTGGTGTGAGACTGTACGAGTGTGGGAGGTTGTGGCTGCCGCTGCTGCTGTTGGGATTGCCTCGGAGAATGGTATTCTGAGGGGATCACATGTCAGATGCCGGCGCAGGCGCAGGGGAGGCCTTTCCGGGAGGGAACTTCTTACTCTGAGAGAGATTGTTGAGGGTCTCGGCAGCCTCCATGTCTTCAATCGACATGCCCGAGAGCACACTGCCCGCCCTTGTAGACCGATCGTCGGATCTCATCATGTCAATGTCGATGGAGGCGCGCATGTGAGAGTCGGCGGAGGAACGGTGGGCCGACAGCGGAGGAGAGAAGGGCGGAGGGACAGCGTAGGGCGGGTTTGGCAATTGTGAGTCCATTGGGGCCGAGGGCGGGAACAGTGAGGTATGTTGAAAGGATTTGGGGATGGTAGTCGGTGAGCCGGTGAAGTTGGGGGCAGCAAGGTGAAGGACTCCTACATGGTCGGAGAGGGTGAAGGTGGCTGCGGTGAGATGTCAAGTGGTATGTAGCAGTGGCTCAGGAGGAGTTGAGTTTCAGGTGAGTTGAGTGTGAGAGAGAGAGAGAGAGGGAGGGAGAGAGAGAGGAAGGGAGAGAGAGAGGAAGGGAGAGAGAGAGGGAGAGTGAGTGAGTGAGTGAGTGTGGCAGCAGAACACTGGGTTCTCAGACTGCGGTCAGTCGGTCGGTCGGTGGGAGGAAGAGTACTGGGGTACCCAGTAACTCGGTCCTGGGAAGGAGGAGAGTGCAGTGAATGGCGATGATGATCTGCTACGGCGCTGCTTGGAATCGAAATCGATCACATGCTCCCATGTTTTTTGCTGCTTGCAACAGCCGAATTCCCACTCGTCCTTTCATTCCCCCGATTGGCTGACAAACTGTTGAATTCGTGCTAGGTACCTCGTGCTACCCCGACTTGCCCGACTAGAGGGTGACCCTGTGCTTGCCCTGTGCCCTTGGATTCTTCCTTTTCCCTTTTGTTACTCCTGTCTGACTGGCTGCTCGTACTCCGTTGGTACTACAGTACCCAGTACCATACCACCACTACCATGAAAACCTCTTATTAATCACGCTTAGGTAGGGTCCCCAACCCTTACGGTAGTGGTAGAGGGAGAGGGTTGTCCCTGTTTCTCTTATCTGTAGCATGTGCTTCGATCCCGATCGCCACATGCTTGCTCCTTGCGTGATCTGCTATCCGTTCTTATGTCATCTCCACTCACTGCAAATCGGTCGTCTGGGGCAAACATGTGCTCTTTTTCTTTCCTGATGCATTTGGTCCCCCGTCGAGATCTCTTTGGTGCGCAGCTCTACGGAGCCCTCGGAGATGGTCGGAGGCTGAGTTCGTTGGTCCGTTTCGGCAAATTGTTGATCCGAAATAACCACGAGTCACGAGCTACGAGCGGTGACGAGTTACAAAAGTAGAGTAGCTCCTACTAATAATAATGATGTTGCTTTCGATTGTTTTGTCCGTCTTAATCTTGTTAACAACCTGAACGAAACTTATATGCCCCGGAAACAATGACACTCTGCCTTGGCGTTATAGGCTTCATCCTTTGTTGAGGTAGTCTTGTTTCCCTCTCAAACAGATTCTGGCGTGTTCCCTAGCCTCGGACAAGGTGCGCTGCTGGGTCGACTTGTGATGTCTTCTCTAGAGCAAGCCACCTCGTCAGCCTCGTTTTCTCAAAGCTGTAGGCTGAGCCGCAGGGACAGATGCCAGGTGGAGATCCTGGAGATCCTGGAGATCTGTACCCGGTACTATGTATCTCTCTCGGACCAATCTACGAGCTATCAACAGTCGATAAATGCCACGCACGGCTACGCCCCCTTCCCGGGCTTTTTCGATCTTGAAAATATGCAGGGTTCAATCCGGCTTGAGTATAGCGTGTTTTGATCAATGAATCCGAATCAGAGTAACCTTTCATTTGCTCCGTTCATGATCACCCAAGGTAGAGTGGGAGCCGGGTTATACATGGCCCGGAAGACTAGAGCCGATACCCCAAGCTGATCTCCCTGTCTGTCTGTCTTTCCAGGGTCCAGCTTCCATCCACGCAGACACTGCCATGGATACCGAGCAAGGAGTGAACGAGCTATTTGTATGCATGGGGGAATGAATGTGAGAAATTCGGTCATCTGTTGGGACGACACTATGATAAGAGCACCAATCCGGAATCACGGCACCCTGTATCACCGATGATGGTGCTGACAAAGGCCAGCACAATGAGGTATACATATTTTCACACCAAATGCAGCAGCTTGGGCATCTTCCACAAGATCCCCCAGCCGCCAAACACGGTAGAAAGGCCAGTGAAGATAATGAGGGGACCATAGGATGTCTCGTACCCGGCTCCACTCGCCGAGGACGAGGCCGCGCTTCCGGCCTTGAGGAGTGACACACCAGCCAGACCACCGCTCACGTATCCGATCCCTCTCGCGCCGTTAAGGAGGCCATACAGCATTCCCGTGTCGACGGCCTCATTCCGCTGCGCGGCCTCGTGCTCCAGCTCGTTGATGATGCCTCCCCATGTGGCGCTGTAGCCGCCGGCGAAGAAGCCAAACGTCATGGAGAACAGGACCAGCAGCGCCATCGCCCCTTGCGACGTCAAGCCCCAGAACAGGAAGGCCGACAAGGCCGAACTGACAGCTGATATCGCAGTCACGGTTGTCGCCGACAGCGGGCAGCACTTGTTGTCGCTGAGGTAGCCAAAAAAAGACGATGAGACTATTCCCGGGAGATTGAACAGTGTCAGCAACAGTGTGGCCGAGGTCTGGGACAGCAGCGTGACTTCGTGAGCATAGGTGCTCAGGTATGTCTGCGGTATGCCGTATCCGGAGCTCTGTAGGATGGTGGCAATGCTGTAGATGTAGAAAGTCTGGTGTCTGAGGAAGTGCCACGGAATCTTGCGCGAATGATGCGCGCTCGAGGTTATGGTTGACGGAGGAGTCGGGATCAGGAAGATCGCAAGCACACTTGTCCCGGCCGCAACGGCGCTCCATATTCTCAGTGTGGATCGAAAGCCGTATCGATCGAGCAAGGCGCGCAGCAGAAATGGACAAGCAGAGCCCACAATGTTTTTGCAGGACAAGACAACTCCATACGCGACGGCCCGATTGCCCGTGTTGAACCATTCCCCCAGGGACAGAGTGGTCGGGCTGTAGATAAGCGCACATCCCAGCGCTGCTGTGACTCCTTGTGTCGCGACCAGATGCCAGACATCGGTGCTAAAGGAGGACAAGAGAAACGAGACACAAGTGAGGGCCGCGCCGCAAAGCGCTGCGATCTGCCGTCTCCGCGCCCATCGTCTTGTGAAGAGAGCAAACAGGAAAGGCATCGAGAGGTACACGACGCCGTTGGAGGTCGTGCCGATGATACCGGTGGTTTCACTACTGCCTGCAAGCGTCCAGTTGCCCGAATAATATTCTTGGAACACGCCATAGTTCATGGCAAACCCTGGCGTTTCCTTTTGTCAGTAGAATCCTCAATCAGCGTATACCCTCTAGCCCGTACCCCATATCGGCAGCTGCAGTATCGAGGAACCCGCGAGAACACAGGCCTTCTGCCTACTTGACGCCCACTGTCGTGAGCGGGCATGGTCGAGGTTCGCTGCGTCGTCACCGATGGCGATATCTTGAGGCCCTGCATCACCGCCGTCTGATGGCAGCGACTCGCGTAGTAGAATGCTTTCGTTCGGTGCCATGGTGAATAACCTAACTGTGAGTCCGTGGAGAGTAGACTGTCGATAATAACCGGGCACGCGACATGTTGCCTTTTAAAGGAATGGCCTGCCAGAATGGGTACATGATTTGCGAGGGATTTTGTTGATGATCCTTACCGACAGCGGGACACTGGCGGTAGCCGAAGGCCTAATTCTCCATTGTTCGGCTTGGTTTCCTGCGCCCTATGAGCAAGGAATGGAAGACGGCTTGACGGATATCTCCATTGGAAGTCGATCAGTCGTGGGCATGGCAGCAACCCGAAGTGTGCTTGATTCTATCCCGCTGGCCAGCCACTCTTCGGTGTCATCCTCGGTCGTATTTCCGACTCAAGGGTGGTTTAGATGCTGGCGAAAGCAACGATGAGGCAGTCTCCCTATTATCACCGACTCCTTACCGTGTAGCAAGCGGTCAGCCGTATGATTTTGTACCAGCCTCTAAGTGCATCCCGCGGACGTCTCCTTTGAGATGTCTCGCGACCAAGGGGCGAAGATAGGGAAGCAGCAATATGGACCACGAGCAGGATGAGCTGCAAGTAATCTTTATTCTGCTCGGCATTGCGGTAGATCAGCTACATAGCGACGGGTCCCAGCTGCTTGATACCGCCGCTAAGCAGGCTGTAGCTGTGCACAATTTAAATCAACTTGACACGGGTCATGATACCCGCTGATTCGAAGTTGAGAAATGTGACTGAGCAGGCAAGCCCTCCTAGGGTGAGTCGTGCCGAAAGACATCGAATACCCGTGGAGCTGAACAGCAAGCTCACTTCGATCTGATCGGGTCCTCGTCACCTTGGTGAGCAAAGAGTTTTTGCAGCGTTGCGTCCTGAAGCCCAGGACAGTATAGATACTGCTCTTCCACTTCTGAGCTGCGCAAAGTCATCAAACTCAAGTTCCTTCGCCAGCTTCGCGAACTGCGTCACAAAGTGATACGTCACCGGCGCAGGGTCTGTGCCCACAATGAACCTCTACTGCATGAATATGCCTTCGAAATATGCACCTAGGGAAGAGATCCAAAGCAAGTCGAACCTCCGAGTGGAGATAGCAGTGTCGGGGGACCTTGCGCGAACTTCGTCTAAGCCTTTGAGAAGCTGCGTGTATTTGCCCTTGCTCAGCGGAAAGGGACCCTTTGTGTCAATGGTGTTCTTCAAAAATACATCTGTCAAAGAGCTGCATGGCATGGATCAGGCAGGTATCGAAGCTCTCCTCCACAGGACCGCTGGCTGGCGGAGAGTCTTCGTTGGCATATCCATCTTTCCCTCAACCAGGTCGCACCAGTGGTAGACAATCCTCGCGCGAACGGCAAACTTGCGGAAATGGGACCATCAAAAGACCTGTTCCACTTCGTCAGACTTTGATAAATCGTTCTTGACCTTGTGCTCTTCCACCCATAACAGCTCTCTATCTCAGCGAAGATGGTCCTCTGCGTTACTGATGATGTTGTAGGTCTTCATATATATTAAAGGGGAATGCGGATGGTGGCAACGACAAGGTTTCCCCAGAATCAATTCTAGCATCCGTCAGTACCAATGCAAACCTCTGCTTAAACCATGGCCTAGGGTCAAACTCCGCCGATTCAATTAACGACTGGGTCCGCAACATCATGGCCAGGCCAATAAGGGCGTGGGTCATCATCCCGGACTCTGCATCCGGAAGAGGTTTCAATCCTCCCATCATATCAACGAGTTTCATCGCCGCAGAGAAGTGCATATGAGCGTCCCCGAGATTGCCCCGGTAGATGTTACTGGCGGTGAGCCATACAGCTGCACTCCTCACGTTCGCTAGACCCTGGCGGGGCTGCGAGGTGTTCTGTGCTTTGACTAGCTCTTGAAGGTCTCTTAGAGCGGAAGCGGAGTGCTTCTAGCAAGGGTGATCAGCTTCGGGTCAAGCGAAGCGGATTGGTTCTGTCGACCTATCGAGTACCACTGGAAGCATGAATACATAGCTGATGAAGGCATGAATGGTCGCGGCGGCGTCGATAACATTCCCGATCGCCGGCGCCCGGCGCCTGGCTTCCAGCATTTTTGCATGTTCTGACGCATGGTCACGTCCGAGGGCCACGTCGTGACGACTTGCATAGCTCGACTCCACTTGACAAGGGAGTATTCCAGGGGAGTAATCGGCACCGCGCTGCTGTTAAACGGATCAGAGTTTCCCTTGTGCTTCAGGATATACATTTGACCTTGAGAGCGGTGCGAGTCCCCATGTCGTCTGACTCGGCTTCTTCTACCTCCCTGAGCTCCCGCCTGATCCCCTGGGGACGATCCGTACTAGCTTGACCCCTGACCTTGTTGACATCTTGACCTCCGGTTGTTTGTGTGTGACACGTGCGCAGCATGAGAGCGAGGTTTGCTTCTGAGCAATTCCTGTGCACGTAAGCTGGATTGTCTTGGATTGCTATCCACAAACGTTACGTTGGTGTACTCCTGTTGCATGTTTAGGAATCATGAGTCAAAGTAGCATGTATAAATGTCAGGGATGGATGCAGGGAGGTGTGTGGAAAGTGCCCCGGAAGGAGGACCAGGGATAAGCGTCGAGCATTTGTGCGCTCTGACAGCTTTTGGAACACGTTTTTCATGGCGAGATCTAGATGCAAAAGCAATCATGCCAGTTGTATGTAAGACCTAATTGCACATCCCCGGTCGCTTCGTGCAGCCATCCCGACCGTCATCACGAATTCGGTTCATTGCGGACGGAGAGAGGTACCCTGGTCATCATCAGAGGCACTGTAGTGGATTCGGCGCGTTAGAGGCGTGCAGTTCCGCCTGAGATGTTTGCATTTTGGTTTTTCTGAATTCAGACGCTGCATGACCCTTGCGATTGCAAGGCGACGACACCCTGACTCGGACAAAGACCAAAAGACAGCGGAGGTGTCTAAGGTGTCTATTGCACTATCATCAAGCATTCACTTAATCAGCGTCGGCAAAAGGACCGGCCACCGAGCGGCTGGGTTCCGGTCAGGCTTTCTCAAATGAGGGGCCGCTTTGTGGCTTGCAGACCACTAGCATTGGCTAGAATATTTGCCATGCCTGGAACGTGTTAACGCACCTTTTGTGGAAACGGAGATAGCCTCCCAAAAGTGCACAATCTAGGCATCCGACCTAAAACTGGTCTGCTGGAGCAATAATTGGTGCTGGCGGCGCAGGCGAGCATCGGAAGTTGACGGAAAAGGTACCGTTCATGGTGACGGCGACGAGTTTGGCGTCAGCTGTTCGCTCCTCCAGGTCCTGGTGACTTGTTCTTCCATTGACACAAAATCGTCCTCTTTCAAATCCTGTCTCTCCATGTTGATGTCGACGCTGATATCGATCAACAACCAAGCCCGTAACGCCGTCGTCAGACGGATTCGCAGATCAGTGTCCAGTAACGCAAAGATCTTGAGACTATTCATCTCATAGGAGCAAATATCGACTTCCTTGAAGACAGCCTCGTCCTTCTTGAAGCACTCACTATAGCATTGCTCGCGGACCCAGTCCACAATAGACAGTGCGGAGGTTCCCCCAAGGGATTTTGCGGAGCTGGCATCTAAAACAGATTTGAGCTTTTCCAGGAATAAGATCTTGTCGGCCAGATTGCTCCTTCCAAAGCTTGCCAACGTCATATTCATATCGTAAAATAGCGCAAAGAGCCCTGCTTGATAAGTGAATCTCCATTTGGGATCACACGTGGCGTTCGTCGTCTCACAAGCATAAGTCGAGAAAAGCGTTGACTTCTTGATTGTGATGTAACGGTCAAGGAGAGAGTGCTGTGATGCAGATTCTGTAACATGCTCCTGGGGAAGAGTTTGACCCTTGTGGCTCCCTTCGGTCCTGATGAGATAAGTCGCGCAGGCGTGACGGATCAGGTCAGCATGGTTTTGCTTCGACAATGCCTGTAAGCGCCGCAAGCTGAGGAAGACCATGGTTTTGATGGTTTCAAAATCGCTGAAAGACCTTATCTTGCAAGGCACAGACACGTACATTCTCTTGAGGGTCGAGAGTGACAGCGCAGTCTTGCCGATATTGACGACGAAATGTTCTAGGGCCCCGGATCGTTGCAATAAAGCATCCAATGCCTTCAGATGTTCCATAGCAGCTTCTTTGTGATTCATGTAGCATTCAGCCGATATGGCATATCGCAAAGCCATCACGGCTCCCTCGAGATCAAAATCGGCATTGTTTAACAGCGATCTGAGCATCCCATAACCGCTTGCTCTACGTTTCAAAATTGAATGGCTGAGAATGAGCGAGTTTGGGGGATCGTTTACTCGTTTGGCCATTTGCTCTTCAGCTATAATGAGAATCCAATGCAGTGCCGTGCGAGATTTCTGTATTGACCGAGCCGCGGGTACTCTTTGCGGGCAGTACAGGGCGTCCTTATGGAACCCGAACATCTCAGTTTGTAGGTCGGTAAAGTCTTCACCAACTTCCAGTTAGCAAAGCAATGAAAAAGGAAAGAAAATCAACGAAGAGTGCACAACGGTTTGGCAAAAAAAAAAAAAAAATAATAGGAGACGCACAATAATTGAGAAGATACTTCTCATACATGTCAATAGAATCACCGAGTTCGAAGATTGAACCCAGAAACCCTATTTCAGGTGATGAGCAGAAGGGGTGATGCTCTCCATCCGAATGTCTTCTAACGATTTCATTGGAACTAATTTCATCCTCTTTCTTGAAACGACGAAGGTCGACAGGATCAGATCGGTGCCTTGTCAATTTGTTGCTCTTATGCGTCCCGGACTCCGTTGACCCAGTACTGCGGCGGCGCCCTGGCAACTCCACATGAAAAAGGTTGTTCGATTTTGCGGCTTGATTGGCATTTCGCGATGGATATGAAGTGGCATGCCCGGGAATGTCGCTGGATGGGCGAGACCCTTCCGTCTGGGGCCCTTCTAAGACAAAGTCGACTTGCAATGGTGACGGCTGTTCGAATTCATTTATCAGCGATAATGTATAGTGATAGAGCTGAGCGGACAGCTTTCAAAGGTGTAGTGGCACTCACAGTCCTACTCACGATAGCAGAGTTGTTGTTGTTTTTTCGACGTTGATGTGAAAACCGCGCGACGTGAGAGTTGATTCGGGACAACCTTTTCTTGCTCGGACCGCCATTCTCGCCCTGACCCGTCTCGTTCACGAAATGGATAATTCCAGACGGCATTTATTTGGCGCTGGACTGTATGGAGGTCATGGCGAATTTGGCAAAGAGGCTGAATATCAAATTCAGGATTCGTAGAAGGGATCGGACGATGGAGAGGGCCAATTTTTAGAGTAACCACGTGCGGATGGACAATGCTGTCCACGGCCAGCCAACAGGAAAGAAGGGGTCAAGATTCACAAACACTTACAAACATTACCCCTTTCGGGTTCTACACAGCTGGAAAATTAACGGCAGACTTAGTAATCCAGGTTTCTCCCCGTTGAACCAATTGACCGCTTCTGCGACTATGCTCTTAGCTGCGTGTATTGATCCTTCGCCGGGTCGGTCGAAGAGTTCCTCGTTCTCTGCTTGCAGAAGACTCGTTGATGCCCCTCCGCATCGATTACCATAGCCTATGAGGCAAGGTTTCATCGGAAGAGTGCGGTGGACATCAACAGGGTCGTCGGGTGAGGTTCAAAAGCTGCAGACAACTACATGCAACAGACAGAGGTTATCAGTGCTGCTGATCCCACATCTTTCTGCAGGTGAGACAAGTTTGGTCGGCTTTCGGCTCGTTTCGATCTGACTCGCGTTGAAAAGATGGAGGTTCCCCCGGGGGGGAAAGGTCTCCAGTCTAATATGTGAATTCCCTCAGCACGCATCTGGGCGGCCACATCCCCTGCCGAACTCCATAAATGCCGAGCGAGGACCCTTCAGCGTTTTCGGGCATAGAGAATTACCTAAGGAGGCGAAGAAGATGAGGAAGCGAAAGCCAAAGCGGAGGAAGGATTCAAGAGTTGCTGCAAATGTTCAAATTTGAGTGTGCCAAGCCTCACGTGGCGGTAACCGCTTTGGGCAGTTCGGCACCCATTCGTCAAACTGGGTCAGATTCCACGAGGTGCAATTTACTAGATATTTGTACTACGTGTGTACAGAATACACATGGGCAATATCATTTTGCCTTACTGTCTGTGCTGTCCTATCACAGTACCTGGGGAAGCCAAGAGAAAGGAGGTGACGGACTGTCTGCCTGATCCTTCCGTCGCCTTCAGATTTCCGGAGCTTGTTGTGTTGCACATTATTGATTGGCACCCTGCACCGCCTCGTAAACAACTCCAAGGCTGCTATATCCTACCTTCCTACCAGACCTTAGGCATAAGAGCGCCTCCTTTAACAAGGAGGTAATTTGCATACAATATAATACAATAACTTCGGCAATCTGAGTTGTGCTATGCCGGTTCTTTGTAGTCGTAGATGGTTAGCTCATTAAGGACATAGGCATTCGATTTGTTTGGCTATCGAATCGAAGTCTCTCCTCCTCCCCTACCCGGAATTCGTCGACGTCGCCCTGCTTCAGCACATAAAATTGTCTTCTTTAGCAAGTTTCCGCTACATTGCTGGAGCTATCGCTATCGAGATGCCAGCGTTCTGGTATTACATTGGTTAATCAGTCTATTTGTCTTCTCTCTGAGAGAGATCCTTACCATTTATACATGATTTTCACTGTAAGTAGAAGAGTTCTCTGACGCGTTCCATCTATATTCTAGATCGTCTCACCGATACAGGGGTAAAGACATTATCTCGGATTGGTGTTTTGGAACACTCATGTTGACGGCCTGGACTCGGACGAGCCATTAGGTCACTGTGCTCACTCTCTGAAAAAAGAGCGAAGCGACGAGATTTAAATAAATTGATGGATGGAGTTGTTGAGCGTCTACGAATGAGTACCGGACACCGGCTAATAGGTTGATAACGCGCCAGACGTTCCTTCCGTATGTCACTCCCCGAGCCAAGTGACTTTCATTCAGAACTGGTACATTCAACTTGTCCCCAGGTCTTCTTCTCATTCTCAATGTTATCGACTCTCTCGATCCGAGATTGTTCCACCTCATCCTCATGCTTCTTAGTGGCGTCCGCGCCCTGTCCATGGCTATAGATTTGACGAGGAACGTGACTGTTCAGTAAATGATCATAGTCGCGCAGGCACAAAGCAGCAGCAACACCGCAGAAGTTGACTGGAATCGAGGCGTAATAAATGTATGAATAGGAAACTGAGCGGGCGTGGAGAAGAGCGTCGATAGCCGCTTGCTGAATCTCGGGTGTCATTCCTGGAACAGCGCTGAAAGCTGCCACGGTGCCGGCCGCAGCGGCCTTGAGCAAGTCAGCAAGTGATGACTTTGGGAGACCCGCCGCAAGAGCAGCTGCCGGCACCTTCGACGCAATCTCCGCCGGCAGTTTGTTGTTCAAGATGGCAAGGTATATTGTCGCAAAAATGGAGCCCAACGTCGTTCTGGCCAAGAAAAGAATTGCAAAGACGGTCCCAAGATCGGCATCATTGGCTTCCATTTGGACGAGGGAGACCGGAATCAGCTCGAGGATACCGCCGGGAAGCGTTGTTAGGAACGAGAACGCCGCACTCTGTCCTCGATTGTACTGATTGCTTGAAGCCAATGCCCCGGAAAAGGCCATTACCATGGCGGCCAGCACCACTGTCTGCCACTTGACATGTTTGACAATTGCAATCATGGGACCCCACAGATAAATGCCTCCAATGATGCCAAAAGCAATGGTGGTCGACAACCACGCATTTTCCTGCCAGCCGGTCGCATTCAAGCCGTAGATTTCAGCTACTTGTGTGGGCCAAATGATACTTGGAGCGACATAGGATATTCCAGAGATACCACAGATAATGACCAAGCACGTAAATCCACGTAGGTCCTTGAAAAAATACATGGGGATGAGGGGATTGGCAACTCCAGAGTATATTTCTGAGGTTGTGAGCACGTGTTGATGGCGGAGGACAACTGATCTTACCGTAAAAGACAAATACGACCAATGTGACTCCTCCGACGATAAGGAGACTGAGAATCCGAGCTGAGGTCCAAGGGAGAGGAGAACCGCCTGCAAGGACACTGGTCAGAAACTAAGCCAACAAAATAGCAAAGTATTCATACCCCAAGAAACGCCTAGCAGAAACATGGAAAGCCCTGCAGTCATCAAGAAAATGCCAACAAAGTCAATCCGCTTTACTTCCTCCGTGATTGTACGTTTCCCGCCGTGAAGTTGCTGGAAGGTCGGGGGGTGGTAGAAGAAGATCTGCAAACCGGCCGCGGCTCCCATCATCATCAGGTAGGTGTAATAGCACCACCGCCAGCCAGCGCCAGTGTTGACAAGTCGCAAGGCTGCCTCGGGGTCAATCAAAAGCCCGTGGCAAAGGCGAACGGGAACTTGGTAAAAACACTCACAGATATAGGCCCCAAAGCCTGTTGTCAAGATGCTGGGGATGACGCAAAAGGTGATACCCAGAAATTTGTACCTGTTGGGACAGATTTCCCCTACTGTCAGGCCGTAGCAGGTGTGGACACCGCCCGAGAGACCCAGCAACACATTTGCTCCGATGAGGACGTTCATTGTTTTGGCCGTGCAGGCGATGATACCTCCAACAACGCCTATCACAGAAGCTCCGATCATGAAGTACCGGCGTCCAAATTTATCGGAGAGCCTGCCAAACAAGATAATGGAGACAGCACAAGCTGCAGTCCAAACGATACTAAATAGGCTGGCGTTTTCAGCATTACCTATTCGAAAAGTTAGCATCCGAGGGAGGCTGCAGTGAGAGAAGGATCCGGAGTTGGGCAGACCAAGGTCTTCACTGATATAGGTAAGGACAGCAGCAGGGGGACTAAACCCCCAATATGCTGCCACGGTACCAAGAGAGATCCCAGCCACCGCCGACACAAGCCTTAGCAGATACCTGGTATTGAATTTGGATTGATCCGTCGTCAGGGCTTTCGAGTTCTGGTAGTCGGCGATGGTGCCGGCATCACGCTGCGCGTGCTCCAGTTCGAGCCGCTGCAGGTTGGTTATTGCCTCCTCTCCAGACTCCATGGCCGCTGATGGTGGTATGAAGCTCGAGCTTGGGCAACAAGTCCAGAAAGCCACAAACAGCGTACCGAAAAGCTGGTGGACAAGCAGAAGGGTCCCTCAAAGGGATGAGAATTGCGCGAGCTTCGACATGGGCATAGAAATGATTGCTTTATACGGTGCAAGGCGGAGACGCTCCTTGCCTTGCGGGGCCCCGCAGCCTTGAGATAGCCGGAAAGGCTAGTTACCTGTAAATGGACTTTTGCGGTGTGTCAGCGACCCATGATAAATATTCGGCTTACAGGACTTGTTGGTGGTTGGGGTCAGGATACCTAGGATTGGTCGAGCACAACCTCGGCACGCCAAATGGATCCACCTGGGCTGTAAATACTCGCTATGTGTTGAGCATTTGATGAGTTGATATCGGTGTCCAGCGGCTGCGTGGGTGAAGAGTGTCTTTCCTGACAGTCCGAGATTTGAGTCAGTAAAGTGCATCCAGCCTCCTTGGGGGCCCAATGCCGGCCACCGTTCCTTTACAGCCGCGTATAGTGGTTAAATCCGCCCACTTTTGTGGCCATCCGAGCAGGCAGACTCATCTACACTTGTGGATCGCTCGGTCTTCTTTGTGCTTTGTTGAGATATTCATGAACTAATGAACAATGCTTGAAGCTCCAGCGCAAGTTCCATGAGACCTCTGGCAGCGAGCTTCTGGATCGTGTGTATGAAAAGCCCCCCTTAATATTGATGTCTTGCCTCGCATATAGAAGTGCCTCAGAAACGGCTTCGATCTCCTACACCGAGATATGCTCCTCTTCATTCAACATTGCCAAAAGACATCCTCGATTAGACTTGGGGATCGATTAGGACTGACATCGTTAAAATGACAGCAGTAACAAATTTTCCTGCACCAATCCCCCAGTCTTTCCCCGGCTCCAAACATCTCAATGATGTGCACGTCACGGACACAGAGGTCCAGCCAGCCCACCAAGAGGTGAATGGGTGCGGAACGGATTACATGATCAAGGAGCAGTGGCATTCGCAGCTTCGTCACCTTCGCGTAATCCATGTCGGGGCAGGAGCTGCGGGATTGTTGATGGCATACAAAATGAAAAAGGATTTTGAAAACTACAGCCTCGTCTGCTACGAAAAGTACACTTGGCCTTGAATTGCGAAGTGGTGCGGTTGAACTGGCTAAGTCCCGATTTTAGGAACCCGGCAGTTGGCGGCACGTGGTTTGAAAATCGCTACCCAGGCTGTGCTTGCGACGTGTGAGTGCTACCGTGTTCATTTCTTTGCCTGCGTAGCTGATGGAGAGAAAGACCAGCACATGCATATACGTACTCATTCGAGCCAAATCCGAATTGGTCAAGTTTCTATGCCTATGCACCGGAAATACGGCAATATTTCCAGGAATTTGCCAGCAAATACGATCTGATGCCCTTTGTCAAATTGAATTCCAGAGTTTTGAACGCGGTCTGGCAGGAAGACAGGGGCATTTGTGAGTGTTATGGTCCCTTGTGTAGAGTACATGTGAATCTAACTCATCAAGACGAGGTCAAGATCGATGTTGAAGGCCAAATTGTGCGAGACTGGTGTCACGTCTTCGTCAACGGGACCGGGTTTCTCAATAGTTGGAAATGTGAGGAATTTGTCCGCCAGGAGCTGGACAACTTCTTTAGCGGCGAAACTGACTGAGGTCCTTTGGCAGGGCCGAAAATACCAGGTCTGCACGACTTTGGGGGCAAGCTAATGCACAGCGCCTCTTGGGACTCATGTTCGTTGATGCCAATACCTGTTTTGGTACTACCGGCTCTGCTGACTTGCCATAAGCATACGACTGGACTGGAAAAAGAGTCGCAGTCATTGGCACTGGCTCTAGTGCAATCCAAATCGTCCCTCGGATTCAGAAAAGCGAGCCTTTCCTTCCTTTTCGCTATTACGTGCTGACCCTTAGTAGCTGCCAAACACCTGGTCTCATTTATGCGATCGGTCACATGGATCTCACCAATGGTTGGCCAGGCGGCGCTTGACGAACAGAGAGAGCTGGGGAAGGGTAACGTGCCACCTAACGCGCAGTACTTCTTCTCGGAGGACGAGAAGGAAAGGTTCCGTGACGATCCCGAATTCCACCTTGCCTATCGCAAGAAGCTGGAGGCGGCGGTGAATAATCTATTTGAGATGTTCTTGAAAGATACCGAAACCAATCGCGAGGCGGAAAGAATGATGAGAGCTGAAATGCACCGACGAATTGGTTCTGGCCATGAAGAGCTGAAGGAGAAGCTGATTCCGAGTTGGCCTCCGGGATGTCGTCGCATCACGCCCGGAGATGGATACTTGGAGGCATTAGTGCAATCCAGTAAGAAATGCAGACAACCCCTCGGATGAGATGGACGGCTGTTGTTGACTACATGGCAGACGTCACGACTGTGCACAAAGAAATTGCAAAAGTGGTTCCCGAGGGCATCGTGGACGAGTCGGGCCATCTCCACGAAGTCGATCTTCTTGTGTGTGCCACCGGATTTAACTTGGCATTTGTCCCACCCTTGTATGTGTGCCTTCACAAAGTGACAAGAGCTCTGCTAAGTCGAATGCAGCGAGATCAAAGGCGTCAAGGGTGTGAGCATGGCCGACGACTTTAACCCTGAACCGCAAGTGTATCTCGCTACCAGCGTGCCCAAGTTCCCCAATTACTTCGTCATCAACGGTGTGCGCGGCAATTGGGCGGCTGGAACGGCGCTTCCCTCCCACGAGGTCTGCGTCGAGTATGTCCTCCAGTGTGCGAAGCGGATCCAGGCCGAGAACATCAAAGCTATGGAAGTCCGCCAGGAGCCGATTGATCAGCTGTACCAGCACATTGACCTCTGGCACGCACGGTCCGTTTGGGGCGCGGACTGCAAGAGCTGGTATAAGAACAACATCGTCGGGGGAAAGCTATGGATTTGGGGTGGTTCAGCACTACATTTTATGAAAACCATAAAAGAGGTCAAGTACGAGCATTATGAGTTTCGCTATTTCACCAACATGTGGGAGTATTTGGGCAATGGACAGGTCGAGGCAGAGATCAAGCATGACTTGCCAAACTTGACGCCATACATGAGGAACAGTGATGTCGCCTGGACCATCAAATAGCGAGAAAGGTGTTCCAAGAAAGATGGCCTCGCCATATAAAAGACCTGCGTCAGAGCCTCTAGGTCACATGTCCTATCCGATTTGATCGGATTTTTTGTAAGGGAGCGAAAGCTGCTTGCTCCTTGCCGACATCATCTAGGGGTACTTTGCAAACGATTCGAAAGAACTTCGTCTTGAGAATCAAAGTCTGACTAAATCAAATGATGCAATCGAGAACCCGACAGGAGAGAGACGGCCACTCTCTCCAACCTAGGTAAACTCCGTCCATGATTTCTTCTCACTGGGGATCTGCATCACGATGTTCCTTTCTCGTCTCCGAACGAGACGTCAAAGTACCACCTGGCCATCTCGCTATATTTCGTCAAGGTCTTGGGGTCCAGAGGCTTCAAAAGAGGGGTTGGTTTCATGTGTCCATTGTGTGACGGGCTGATAGCAATGCCGCGTGCAATTACGCCTTCCGACCTGCTGTCGTAAAGTTCCGGGTGTCTTTCAAAGAACGCCGGATGCAGCTTCATCGCTCCCGGGCCACGATCCATCTCGAGCATTAGCAAAGCTTGGAGAGCCAATGTTTTGGAGCCGAATATTGCAGCCACAGAGGGAGCAGGGAGGCTCTCGGACCATGTGGGACTCGCATCGCTCGAGAAAGCACCCTGCGAGAATTCCTTTGACGTCGTTGGGGCCAAGAATTCTAGATCAGAGGCAAAGCCGTCTTGTTGGGTCAGAGGAACCGGATGACCCTCGTGAAAGGTAGTCCTAGACTCTTCTGTGCTTGAAATTGCCGCAATGAGGTCAAGGGCCCGCACATACACCAAGCATGGCTCGACTCCCGACACCAATCTTGAAAAGTCAATCTCCATCACGTAGGAGTCCGCAATCTCGCAGATGATCTCATCGAGTCGCGGATTGCAGGAGTGAAGGAGGATCAGCCTGTCACGCAGAGATGGAAATGGTACCCAGTCGATAACGGCCGGATGCGGCACGGCGAGCTGGACGTGCGTGGGTCGGTACCACGAGGCGAGTTTGACATAAGTCTCGTGGCAAGGGCTTAATCGCCAAGACGTAACATTAATCACTGGAAGGTGTGCTTTTGTGTATATCCAAAAAGGCCGCATCGACTCCCAAGACACGCTTGTAAATGTCGATAACATGAACGAGATACTGTTTTGCAGGCTAAAAGGCCAACCTGATCAGCGGGGCACCTTTCCATCACCTTGCTCGATCGGACGTACCTTGAAGAATGTTCTCCACCCCCACGCGCTGCAAATTTGCACCATTCTTGCCGTATCAAGTACTCAACTAGGCTGATGTGGTCAGAGAAGGGGGAATTGGTGTTACGAACTCGGGATCCGTTGGCGTCAAGTACTACAGGGCTTAGGTCAGTGAGAGACGGGAAACCCTTGTAGCTCATTTGAGAGAGATCGAATGTTAACTGAGGAGGCATGTGCGAAAATTTGCCATTAGTCTGGCTGCTTGAAGGAAAGAATTCATCCATTAACGGGACTTGCTCGGGGGCTTGGTGCGGTTCGTGCTCCAGCACCAACCCTTCGACATCCTTTGTGCCCTGGTTTCGAATGTCAAAGATCTCGGTGGTCATCAAAGGATTGCTGGCCGGTTCATCTAGACCGTCGATTCCCGGAGGCATATCAAGCAGTGCAAAATCATCGGGCGAGCTTAGGGAGGGGCCCTCGACAGGAGGCCCCAGAAAAGTGGTTGACGGTTCAACAGACAGTACATTCAAATCGTGGGGCTGAAAAGTATTTGGATCAGCATCGCTCGACGGCGTTTCGACGTGGCCTCCAGGTGTGTCTTCACATTTTTGGTGTCTTTGAGATTTGTTCTGCATGCGTTCCATGAGCGTGGAGACATTGTCTAGCCAGTCTGTCAACTTACTTGCATCCCAATGGCACCAGCGACGGAATGCAGGACGCTCTCCAAGCTGATGCGCGTGCTCTCCAGCCGCTTGTAAGCCTCAAGTAGATGATGACGATAATACCTGTTGCTGTTTTCCAGCTCCTGGAATCGTTCATTATCCGACTTGGACGCACTGCGCAGCTTCTCTTCGAGCTCTCTGACATAGAGTGTCTGCCGTTGCCTGTATGCTTTTTGTGCAGCGCAGTTTCGTTGTCTTCTGTTCGCGCTTGGACAAGTCAGAGGTTGACAAAGAACTTTGCCACCCATGTTTCTCATCTGTCGTCTCGATGATACTCACCTTCCTTGGTTCAACGACTCAGCCTTTCTCTTTCGCTTCAAATCAAGGCCCATGACTTCAAGCTCTTGCTCTGAACACAGTCAGTAGATTTTTCCCCAGATGTCGTTAAGCAGGTGGTGTGGGTAACAACTCAATAGTAAGGCATCGGCAATCAAGGCAAACGAGGCCAACGGGTGAAATGGTGCCGCATGGGTATTTTTGGGGGAGACAGCAATTCGGAACACATCGCCAGCGCGGTGATTGGAAAAATGCTCCGCTCATAAGGGTACTCTGTGGGGTAATTAATACTATTGGCCGCGCAACCTAGGCCGCCACTGCGATGGAGCGTCTATTTGGAGCGTGGAGTATTTGGCTAGTTGGGGGAGAACTTGATTGTGCCCGGATGGTACTCCTTGGAGCTGGTGGCCGTTCTTGTCAGAGGAACCTGAGTCAGGGATGCTTGGAAACACAAATCGACCTCGGGCCCCCAGTTAGATATTTCCCATGACAAGGGCGCCGGAGTTTTTTTCTGATACTTACTGTCCCCGGAAAGACCGGAGAAAGCATAGCCCGCTTTGAGATTGACCCCCTTACTGCCAGTTGTCTCCGCTTTCTAAGCCTTTTCTTAATGTGTTGAGCGAAAGCTCAACAAAGAGGCATCTGAGGGCCCAGCAGGCGACTGATTGCCACTGAGAGTAGTGACGACTATCCATAGAGCAAGCTGTCGGTAAATTTGACCAACTGAGTCTTCCATCTTTGCCTTTGAGAAGCACACTATTTGAAAGGCGCAAAGCTCGGAGGTAAGATTTCACGTCCTTGTCCTAGCATTAACTCTCCGACCGAAAGATTTGGGCCATCCCTAGGAACCCAGTAAGCATAAGTCGACTGTCGTCTGAACCCTCCCCAGTGCTTTTGCCTATATAATAATGCCTGAAAATTTTGCTTCCGTCACGGAGGTGAGCAACACTGAACACCCCGTGATATCGGGTTCAACAACATCTACCAACGGAGGCGTCAAGGCGCTCAAGAGAGCAGGCCCAAATGCTCCAGGCGTAGCATTCGTAACCGGAGGAGCACGAGGGTTGGGAAACGCAATTGCCGTGTCGTATGCAAGAGAGGGCGCCAGAGCTGTCGTTATCGTCGACATTCAGGATGAGAAGACTTGTGAAGCAGGGAAGAACGCTGTCGAGTCTTATGGAACCGAGGTCAGTGGTTCTTGGTCCACCTCTTTCCTCCAAACCGGCGCCTAACTATTAAGTGATGTCGACCATTTGCTGAACCAGGTCTGCTATACAGTGTCTAGTCATCAGAGCGGATGTGACGCAGGAGAAAGAGGTAGAAAGAGCCGTGAAAGAAGCAGTCGCAAGATTTGGGCGGATCGATTATGCAGCGTATGTTTTCAACATTGACGTGATGATGCAGCTGGCTCCCTAGTGTGGTGCAAGCGATCATCTAACTGACGATTGATTATTCACCAGAAACTTTGCTGGAGTAATCGGTCCCGGCGAAAGAATCAGCGAGATCGAGTTACAGGATTGGGAGAAGGTGATGGCAGTCAACTCAACCGGGGTCTTCCTCTGTAACAAACATGAGATGAGGCAGATGGCTCGGCAGGAGTCAATCGAGGTGTCCGTCATCCCATCCAGTTCCTTCGTTCAGACGACTAACCCAGTCATCTTGCAGTGAGCCTGGGCGGCCCTTGCAAAGAGGCGCGATCGTAAACTGCTGCTCGGTCAATTCGATGTTGTCCATGCCAGGCACCGGTGGCTATACAGCATCCAAACACGCTGTGCTGGGCATAACTAAGGCGGTCTGTCTTCTCGCAGTCTCTCTGTTCTCCTGGTTGGGCTCTGGTGACTAATGAGGCTTCATCAGGCAGCACTAGAAGGGCGACAGCACAATATTCGCGTCAACGCTATCTCGCCAGGTTTCTTATTGACACCAATGGTTGAATCTAGCGTAATGGATGAGGACGGTCGTCTAGGAAATGCACTGTGGGCTTACTTTGAAGCTCGACAAGGACGGAAAGCACACTTTGCTGAGATTGGTGACGCAGTAGTGCTCATGAGCCTACCCAGAATGAGCCTGGTCAACGGGCAGAACCTGTTCTGCGACGGGTAAGTGTCATTCCACTAAGCCACAACAGGGTTCTCTCGTCAAAACTGCGTTAACTGACTTGTTGAGCAGGGGTTTCACCATCAATGAGGGAAACTTTTGACAAGATCTTTTGAGGAAACGTCTCGTGAAGTCAAGTCATGGACAGATGGCTAAAATAACAGGATAGCGTCGCCGTCCTTTCTCCGAGGATGTTCGACATGTCTATAACTCACAGGAGGACTGCAAGACTAGTCAAACAAGATGAAAGACATTCGAGCCACCATCCTTAATCCAGCCCTTGTAGTAACTAATTACTCCGATACAGCTGCGACTGGAAGCCAGAATTATCGTTTGATGCCTCGATTGTATCCGGTGTATTCGCTCAAAGTCCGGCGCATCCTAACAGACACCTGTAGTTAGAGGCTCTCGCAGCAAGTTAAAGTCGTCCAAAATTAACCTATTCGACTGTATAGTAACAGAGCAGCCTGTCCATCTCCACTTTGTCCCACCGCTGCGCGGAAATCAGTCGGCCTAGGACACGAACGCCTGGTCAACGATCCCTCTTTGTCAGATTGATCGATTGAGGGAAAGGCGCTTACCTGAGGTCCCATGTATTTGAGAAAGTTAGGGCCACCACTATGGGCGCTCCATCCACCATCCGCAATCAGAGCTGTTTGTTTTCGAGGAAAACATGAGTTAGCAGGCGACAGATCAATTCTGGATTGCAATAAATCCGGCAAGCGGGACCCATCCGGGATAGACTTACCTTGTCCAGTGATGTAAGAAGCGTCACTTGATGCCAGAAACAGCACCGCACGGCTTACCTCCTTCGGATCAGAGCCTCTGTGTAGAGGAATGCTCTCCAGCAGGGCTTGATGGACAACCTCATTTTCTCGAAAAGCCGCTGTCATTGGTGTGACCATGTACCCAGGACATACACAGTTCACACGAATGCCTTCCCGCGCATGATCCAGCGCCATGACCCGGGTCAAGTTGACCAATCCAGCCTTGGCTGCACTGTAAGAGCATAACCCGTAGTCGCCTGCCAACCCAGAGGTGCTGGCCGTACTGACAATGGCGCCTTTGCCTTGCTTCTGCATTTGAGGTATCGCAACCCGAGCCAAGTAGAACAGTCCACACAAGTTGGTGTTGATGACTTGTTGAAAGAGCGTCACGTCATGGTCAACGACGGTCGATACTCCGGCCAGTCGTGCTCCATTGTGGAACAAAACATCAAGCCGACCAAATCGCTCCACACATGCGTTAATGGCCTTCTCACAGTCTTCGGGGTTCGAAACATCGCACAACTGAAAAACAGCACTGCTCGATCCTAGGCGCTGGAGGATGTCGCGTTCAGCTATATCCGTCACGAACACTCTGGCTCCTTCTTGGATGAATAGTTCGCATGTGTCCGCTCCGAGACCAGAGGTGCCGCCAGTCACAAAAACCACCTGATTCTCGAATCGTCGGAGACTCATTGCTGGGTTCCAAGAACTGATGCAGACCAATGTCGAGTACTTGATGGAGTCCGATGGAGCTAAGGTACTTATTAAACCGACAATGGAGGACCGAGTGTACAACTACTAAGTAGTAATCGCAATCTCTTGAGGAGAATCCGTCACAACTGGATCCTTATTTGTGTGTTTAATAAACTTTCTCCGCTCGCGCTCTGCTCATAAACGCCACTTGAGCTGTTGAGCTGCAGAGCTGCATAGTTCGTTCTCAGAACTTAGTCAACAATCACTTACGAGCAGTTTTTAGTTGGAGCCGATCTGACTAACGGAGCTCTCTGTAGAGTAGGGTAGATAGAGGCGAGCAGGAAATAGTCCAGTCAATTCAGGCATGCCTCTTGCTGCCATTCATCGTTAGCCTGAACACAAGTCCAGTAGGTGGCAGAAATTCTCAGTCTCGTTCCAATCTTCCGACTCGCCTTGTTCTGAGCCATACTTGGCTGCTGCGAAAGTGTCTGCTGTTTTGGGACCACATCTATGGCGTGATTGGCTTCTGAAAAATAGGCGCTAGGACGCTTGATCTAGTCATTGCCCCCCTGGTGGGGTATTGATAAACCATCCTTCGAGGGGTTTACATCTTCAAAATGTAGAAATACTTGGTTGTGATGTTGTCCCGGAAGTGGTCTACTGGGGCCGAGTTGCCTACAATGTGGAGCTTACTCCTCTTCCAGTACGTAAAATTCGCATGGTCATAGCACGTTTAGGGCAGTTCCAAACTCGCCACAACAGGCAGTATGGCTCTGAACACTGAGCAGCAAGCCAACCCACTTCATATTTAGCAGTAGTAGGATACCTCTACCTCCTCCTCGCACGGTTCCTGTCCTCGAGAAGGCGATATAATATCTTGCCGCTGGGGATTTAGGCAATGTGTCCATAAATTCAAGACGCCCCTGTGATACTTGTAGCAGGCATTTTTCTTATTCCGTTCTCTTGCACATCGTGTTTCAATTTGCCACCGATGTCCTGCCAGCATATCTAGTCAAGGGAGCCTTCACCAAGGAGGCTTTGGGTACTTCGCCTGCAGTCTCGTCTGGCACTGGTTTGACGGCATGGTCGCCGATGTTGAACCAATCTAGAGGGCCATGCTTGATTGATTAGATTGATTCATTGAATAGGAAGGTACTGTAAGCTCTAGCCGCGACACCAAAAGCCAGTCCTACACCCCTTCTCGGGGGGGAGGGGGGGAGGGTTGGGGTTGGCGGGGTAATCAAGCAGACAACCTTTGATCTCTGCTAGCGCAAGATGTGATCGTTTCCAATCGGTGCTTTGCGAGTCACGACCTGGTTCACTGATACGCATATACGTCCATCTGGGCATTCAAAGAATGCCTCCTAAATGGCATACTCGTTGTCGAGATATCCCGATGTGGTGCTTGGACTTCGAACAGACAACTCACACTTTCATGCTTGGTGGTCTCGTTGCCCTCAGGGGACATAACCCTATCTACATACTCCGTAAGGAGGCTGCCGGAGCTACCAGATCAGACATCGTCCGGAGCCGAGCTACAGAACACGGTGCATGTCTCCATAGTCCGGTAGCCCTGACGTATTGCCCAGCATGGAGATTGTTTATGAATGGCCTCCGATTACCATGTGTATGTTGGGCTCAAAGGCGGAAACTTGGATGATATTTGCAATAATACATTCTGGTGAGAATCATGACTCCTTTCGGCAAACCACTTGTCCCACTGTTGTAGCACACGAACGCTGTTTGACAAGTACCTTGGCCTGTGCTCCATTTGATAGATGCTCTTCAGGTTCAAAGGATAGCACGCCACCTTATTGCCAGGCATCTCGACGATAAACCCTTTTGAAAGCGGGATTCCCATGACGCAACTAGCTTTCGGAGCCGCATCCAAGACTGGCAGTACTGTCAAGAGAGCTTGCGCACCGGAGCTTTTCAATTGATGTGCTAATACCCTGTATTGTGCACGGCATTTGCAGAAGACGAAACTCCGTGGAATTGCAGAATCGTTCAATTCACCGTCCGAGTCGACGATATGATTAAGAAGAGAACACACCGGCCACCTTGAAGAATTTCGGCTCCCATTGTGGTCGAGATATATAGTGACGAAGTCAGTGTCCTTGACAAAGAATTGTGCGATGACTTCCTAGGTCGTGGGTTCGTGCTGAAACCTATCCTGCTGTCCCAGTTGAGTCAGTCAACCCTGACACCTGGAATTTCAACCTCCACTGGCCTTGAAGGTTGTCCATCCTTATTCAATCTTATTGGTAGACTCAACTAGGGATTCTGGTGCTCAAACCCAGAAAGGCAAGGCTCATCCAGATGGCCAACGAATAATTGTGGAGGCCTGATCCAGGGTTCTTTAGTAAGTGATTGGATTGGGAAAGCTCCCTCCCCCCGGCTCTGGAGAATCTCCCCCACAAACTTTAGATCACCAGGGAGCCTAGGGGCAAAGATGGCGAAGCCACTAATTAAATTGCCCAGTTATCTAGTTAGTTCAAGAAATCGCTCCCGGGGTAAAATGGCGGGGACGCTGACTCGAGACTTTCTTTGAGCAGAGAAAACTTACAACAAGCATCAGCTGCCCTTAAGCAAGATAGTGACTTGACATCATATCACGACTTTGCCATTTGAAATCCTGCAGAACCCTTGGAAGCAATGGCGAAGAGGACCAAACCTCGAGACTTCCCGGCTTCTGAGCTCCGAGAGCATAGCGGAAACTCCGAGGTCAGAAAATTGCGCAATCGCATCTCCCAAAAAGCGTTTCGTGCCCGGCAGGCAATGCGAGTAAAAGTGCTCGAGGAGCGAGTGTACAATGGAGCCCGCCCGGACGCCGAATGGGTGACACGTCTCCAAGACCAGAACGCCGCGCTACGTGAGCACCTACTTGAGTGTCACAAGAAGTTCACTAGCCTGCAAGTGTCGATGAAGGCTCTTGCCGATGCCAGTGCTCTTGCTCTCGGCATTGAAAGTCTTGATAGTGGCAGCAAGGTATGTTGATTTGATCATATTGTCATTCAGCGGACTAATCCTCAATCTTGAGTCAACTGCTGGTAATCTGTGTGCACGATGTAAGCGCGCTCAAGTCGAAGAAGACGAAGACTCCACCGGTACTGCACCTTCTCTAAACTCGGAGAAAGGGCAAAGTGGCACGATATCCCCCGATTTTGGTGACAGCTTAGTTGAGGAGCTGCGGACTAGGAACGGTGATAGTAATGATGGCGGAGGCCTTCATGCTCACCATCAGCCTGGTGGTCAGAATCACGAAGTTTGGCCTAGTTCGACCGTTCAACCCAGTGGCGCTATCGAAACGGACGTCGGAGAGCCATCAGACAACCAGTCAATCCCAATTATCAACCTGGATTATTTCACCTCTACGGAGTCCTCAGGGCTGCATGATGGTGTCGACACTAATCAAATGCTCCAACTTGATGATAAAAATTGGGGCGAACCCCTATCTCTGGGTCTCGTCTTCTCCGAAGATCTCGGACCGCTGAAGTACAAGAGTATATGGAAAGCATCTTTGACAGCGTGCCAAACATATGGTTTGAAAAGAACAAACTCGCCATTCTCAGATCATATTGATGCATTGGAATATTGTCTTTGTTGGAGCTGGTCTCGCTTCAGCACATCATTGATGCCCAGCGAACAGTGCGTTCCATCACCTAACTCCACTTCTAAGGATTCCTTCCAAATCACTAGGAGTAGCTAACCAACCTCCAGGATTACCAGCTCGATTGAATCTATGTTGTTGACCTTTGTGAATATGTCGTGGCAGTCGATGACGGCATGGCACACTTATACCAAAGCGCACATCCCTCTAAAAGATTTGATGGCATGGCGAATCTATAAGACACCAGACAGGTATCTCAGGATCACGCCAGCCTATCAACCGACAAAACTACAGATGAGTGTGCCACATCCGAGCATTATCGACTGGATTCCGTGGCCACAGCTACGCGACAAGCTTATAATTCATCACTCCGCGAACCCTTGCTTGGACAGCCTCATCTGCGACATTGGCAACTCTTATGTCGTGCCCGGAGACCTCTCCTTGCTGGTAAAATGTCCCCAACCTGTTGCAGGCTATATTGGTGTTTGGGATTTAGTGCGAGCTATTGCTCCCGAGGCCACGAGGCCCTACGAGCATCCGCCAACGTGTGAAAGCGGACAATCGAGGCTAGCCGAAGACCAGGGCTTCCCCCAAAATCCTGCGGCAATCCACAACCTAGTTGACAGCATGCACAAAGACACTTTCAAGGACGTGAATCTTCCTGCTAATGATGCGATGACCTTGTTCTCCTCAAGAGCATTGGCTGCACAGGCTTTCAAGATCTTGGGTTTGGATAAGGGCGCATTTAATTTCCGCCTGGATCCAGCCTTTTTCGGAAGGCACCCAGAATTGTACGACAGCAGTTCCGACCTTATGGCACAGGGAGTGGCGTTACGACCCTACAATCAGGTTGCCATTTCAGCTCCTCGGGAACTGGACATATCAGTCCTTGGTCAATATCAGGAGATGTCCAGGTACCTAACAGATACGGCTCTGGAGCCTCACCGAGCCTCGCAAATGCTCTAACCTCTCGCCGGATTTTACTGAAAGAGGATTACGTTTCTTCAAATATTTTATGTGACCGCCCCAATTGGATTTCTTTGAGGAGAAAGCTTGGAAGTTTGAGCTTTATGTGCTTTCTGGGAGGGAGGGAACGCAATCATGTGGTTGTGTAAATGGAAATTGCTGGTGACGGGCTTTGTTCCTGTTGAAACACTCATAAAATGCCATTGTGTTACATGGATGCTTGTTTTATCATTGCAGAAGAAGAACGCAAATCGATCTATACGCCAACTTGAACTTCTTGAAGCACCCCCGCCCCCCGGAAACATTAGAATTCAGGCGTAGTGAGCATTGAGACCATATTTTGATTATGAAATAAACTCGCGAACGTGTAGAGCAATGAGCTGCCCATGATTTTCCATGACGACAAAACACGTATAAGCACTTCTATTCGGTGATAAATCATGATGTAGAACTGATCTCAGTCGCTGTATCGGAAGCAATGCATGAGTGGGCAAGGAGATATCGGCACTTAGGATCACAGGTCAGATGTTTCGGGCAGTGGAAGGTATTTCTCCCTCTGACCCCAGAAAAAGCAAGCGATCGTCCTTACTATGAAGAGTGGACTTTCTTGTTTGTGACAAGGGTCATGTATATTATTGTTATCAAGACCAAGTCAGCTGAGGAAAGGGACGCTGACAGATACCAGATCTTCATTCCCTCCGTAGAGGTAGCTCGATATCGCCAGGCCAGGCACCGTATCCACGATGTTCCATACTGGTCAAGTTGCTATTCAGCTGCCGTCGTGGGATATTTTCTACATTTTCAACATTATGTGGTTCTTAGCCGCTACTTCTCGCGAGAATGGAGGCACTCGAATCTCCCCAGGAAGCCGTATGGGGTATGTTGCACTAGACGCTCCTTTCAACATCGACGGAACTCTTGCTGCTGATGGCCTTACCTGCTCTGCTTTATTATTCAAATGTCGTCTACGGTATGCCGAAGCCGAATGAGATGACATCAGGCGATTGCCCTGTTATCCTCGTGTTTTTGGTGAGTCCTTTCATTCGGCAGGAAGAGAATACCTTCCTGTCTGTTAGGCCTGAGGTAGAAGCCACAATGTCAGATCGAGGCAGAGACTCTTAGGCCACAGTACTACTGGTGCTCTAGGGAGTGTAGAAGGGAAGTCCGATAGGAATCTACGTGGAAAGAGTCGAGAATCTGGTCGGGTCTTTCGAGGCCGCACACAAACACACACCCTACCTTCAAGGTTTGCAGACATCATCGACCTTGTCTCGAATTATGAGACGCCTGAACCGACAGTGGGTGTTGGACATTACATTTTCAAAGTCCTACAAAGAGAATGGTCGTACTCAGTTCCTTACGATACTATAAATCGGAGGGAGAACGGGCTCTGCTACGACACTTGTTGGTCTAGTGACACAGGAAAGCCGGTTCTAGTCACGGTACTTCCACGTTCATAAGAAGACAATCTCTATGTATATAATATCATTCTCAGATTCGAGTTCTTGCATCTATCTCGAATGGTTTCTAGGTGGAAGGAGGAACCACTAGCCTCGGACCTCGGAATTATTATGAAATCGGATCCAATAATCTTCAAGCTGATAAAAGAAGCAGTTACAGCACGAAAGAAGTATACAATGAATGACAATACGTCAAGTCCTCCGAGAATATGACTTTTGCTATCCCTTCAAAGTGGCCGGACCCTCCCCTGGGACAACCAATGGAAAGGGTCTGCCAAAACGCTGGCTGATGGACCGGTAGTGCGGACGAGAAATTCGTTGGTGCCATCTGAAAGGGCAGTGCGAACTTTAGAGTGTCAGCATATGCTGACTCCAGTTTTCATGATCGACTCGAGTCTCCACTTGTCGCCTTCGGAATTTCTCGAGCAAGTCATTGCGACAATCTTCAAAGCGAACCGATCCGTAATATGGCAGAAATCATGACTTTTCTGCGAAGAGTGTTTGTATGGTACATACTTCATGCCCCCCTATTGGACATGGCCCGCGTTCTGCGCAGCTTGATAAAGAGGGGGCCGCTTGCCCCGACCCGAAATACTCATTCTCCTCATCCAGCTCTGTTTCACAGGAGGAATGATGCTTCAAGATACAAGATCATTATACGACCGTCCGATTGACGCCAACCGGAGGATCAAGGTTGTCTGTATTGGGGCTGGCTACTCTGGCATTTTGACGGCGATTCGTTTTCCCCAACACATCCCGAATCTCGACCTTGTCATCTACGAAAAGAATGATGATATAGGAGGGACCTGGTATGAAAATCGGTAGAACTGCTCGATCTCAACGACCATGGGACACGACTAGGCACTGACTTCTCATAGATACCCTGGAGTGGCATGCGGTATAGCATAAACATATGAACAATGGTCGTGGAGAACCTCGCTAACCCTTCTACCTTTTCAGATATTCCGTCTCACGTGTATCAATTCACCTTTAGCGGCAACCCAAACTGGTCGCGCTTCTACGCCGCCGGTGGCGAGATTCAAGAGTATTTGAAGGATGTTGCTTGGAAGTATAACGTGGAACAATACGTCCGCTTCCGGCATTACTTCCAGAGAGCCGAATGGGACGAGATAACGCAACAATGGCGCCTCACACTGACTAACCTGGCGACAAACGAAGTAAGTGAAGCTATTTCTTCTGTCCAGTTTGAGAATATCTCAGACACTGATGGTGCCACCAGACTCTCGCCGACAGTGCCGACGTCCTTTTGAAGGGCACTGGCATTCTCAACACCTGGAAATGGCCCGACATTCCAGGCATCCACGACTTCAAAGGTCCCTACATGCATTCTGCCCAATGGGACCCCGGATTTGACTGGACTGGCAAGCGCGTGGCTCTAATAGGGGCGGGATCAAGCGGTATTCAGATACTGCCTCAAATTCAGCCCAGAGCCGGACGCGTCGTCCATTTCATGAAAGGCAAAACATGGATCTCTCCGGTGGGCTATGGCGCGGAAGAAGGGGGTGACGCTAACGGAGGTACCTACAACATGACGTTCTTTTGGCTCATCATGCTCACAACTTATTGAGTGGACATCTCGGTCGTACAACGTAAGCTCTACAGTGAAAATCCGTCCTTATATCGAGAGTATCGACATAGAATCGAGGGGGGCATGAACAAAAGTCAACTCGTGACTTTCCGCGACACCGAGATCCAAAAAATGTTCTGGAAGATGAGTGACGACTCGATGAAGGAGAAGCTCAAGAAGAAGCCTTGGATCTATGAGTCAATGAGGCCAGACTACCCTCCCGGCTGCCGAAGACTGACCCCAGGTCCTGGATACCTTGAGGCATTGACCGAAGACAACGTTGAATTCGTCGGCGTAGGTATCCAAAAGGTGACAGCAAACGGTCTTTACGACGCCAACGGCAAATTTCACGAGGTGGATGCCATCATATATGCCACGGGATTTGACTAGTGAGGAGAGCCTGGATGCCGCACTGATCAGAAAAGCTAATTTTCCGCAAAGTTCCTGGAGCTCAGCTTCTACGCCCTTTATCGGCCGCGGCGGCGTGACTTTAGACGAGGTCTGGACACCACAGCCGGAAGCATATCTTTCCTTGTGCGCCCCACGAATGCCCAATCTCTTTTTCTATCTCGGCCCCAATGGAGGCCCGGGTGCCGGATCTTTCATTGCAATGCTCGAGAGCGTGGTCGACTATATCATCCAGTGTGTCAAGAAAATGCAGAGAGAATACATTGCCTCGATGGAAGTTTCGTGAGTCGTTCTTGCCACCACACTTTTGCCCTCAGGCTGACGCCACCGATTGTTCAGCGAAAGCGCACATAGAGCATTTTCGGAACATGTAGATCGTTATTTTACCAAAACCATCTTTACATATAAGGTGACACTAACTCTTCTCATTTTCGATCATTTCCAGGCTGACATTTCATACCTCTCAGTGCAAGTCCTGGTTCAAGCGGAATTCGGAGGAAGGTCGCATCGTCGGCCTCTGGCCGGGCTCCTCCGTCCACGCTCAGGAGGCTCTCAAGAGACCAAGATTTGAGGACTTCTCGTTTGTCCCGATGCCCGAGACCCGACACAACATTATGTCTTGGCTGGGAAATGGATTGACCGCTGCCCAGGAGAACGACGAGAAGACCACTGGCTACCTCGACACGGTGGACATCCCGCCAGTAATCAACAAGGGTCCGCGACCCGGGAAGAAAAGCTTTACCGTCGGTGGCGCAAATGGCTTGCCTACGCAAGGAGACTCGGAATTCAAAGTAGCGCATGCTCACTTGGAAGAATTGTCGGCGCCGATTGCAACTGTGCCGCAGTAGTTAGAACGCAGCTCTTATCTCTTTAAATACTTGACCATGTGAGTTTTTCTGGCCACATTGTCCCTAGAATGCCATGCAGTGTTGAACGCAGTAGGAGGAACGATCTCTATGATACTCTTCAGAAAGTACGTCATCAATACTGCCTTGCGTTCCAGGGCTGTGTCGCCCGCTGCAGCCTTGTCGCTCACACGAGCTATTCAAACAAGACACCCTATGTACAAAAGAAACCAAGGACCCGTGAATACCCCGCTCCCAATAGGCTTTTCCAAAGCCTCATTTTCAATGCAACCCGTTTCTACTTGCCCAATATAGCACCCGAGCCACATGCTCAGTCAAGTAGTCTGCCCAGTCCTCAATCTCCTCCTCACGTCTGCTTGGTATTGACGTCAGAATGCCTTGCATCGGGGTTACTATCTCCATGGCGTTCTCTTCGGTCGTTACTCTGATTCGTATATCTGATGGTGGAAAGGGTTCGAGATGTCGGGGGAGTTCTGGTCGGGGTTGACGCCGTGCGTGTCGTCGACGCTGCGGCCAGGCCCTATGGGTGTATTCCGCCTCTGCAACGACGGGGATAACTAGCCTCCTACGCTCGAAGGGGGCACCGCCCAAGCCGGTGGCGGAGGCGAACGTACGCCAGAGGACTTCCCCTTCAGCGTGAATGTTAAGTTCGCTGACCGGAGCTGGTGGGAACGCGCTGTCCAAGTCGAAGTTAGGTACCATCGCTGTACTTTGGTCGGGAACCGGTCTAATTATCGGTGTTGGTGGTGATGTGGACGACATAGGCTGTGTTGGGTATTGAATTAAGTTCTCGATCCGTCCGATCGCTGGTACCAGAGGTACTAGAATGTCTTCGATCCCGTTCTCGTCGATTTCGAGCACGGGAATTCGGCGTCGTTGATTGCGGCCTTCAGTTGTTGGGGCTGGAGGAGATATTGGGCGCTCGGGGGTTTCTGTGGCGTGGGTCTCGTCGAAAGAGACGGCGATGAAGGAAGTGGTAGCGTTATTGTTGGAGGGTTGGAATGCCGCCATCTCGAAAGGTATCGATGAGAATATGTGGAAGGCGGTTATCTGAAAGGGAAGTAGTGTAGAGTAGATGGTAGTCTGGTGTGGATGTGTGAAGTTCGCTGGTAGTATCGGGTGAATGTGCAGTTGATCTGAGAGAACGTCCTACTTGCAGAAGCGAAGCTGTGAAGGGAGTATATGTATATTCTTACACTGAGGTCCTAGTCCCCGTACCGAACAACAGTTCATACTTGTTGTTTGGTTAGAGATCCACCCTTGAGACAGCATCCGAATAGAAGATGTCCACAACAGCAGGACCCGGAGCATCAACCGTGGTACACGCACGAAGATCCTTAGGAACCAATTTGTTCCCTTGAAGGGTGTCGTCTGGAGTCATTTCTTGAACCGTTGGATGGCGTGTTACGACTTGGGTCTCAGAGTACCTACTTATCGTGGAGATCCTGCGGGAAATGCACAGCGGCTTGGTTGTAAGTACACCAGGATGACCATGACCATCACACAGGGAGGAAGAGCTGCTCTGTGTCATGTAGCACCTGAAGATCATCTGTGTAGGCCGACTTTGTAGCCAAGCAGCTTGCGGGGGACCTCTATTTCCGACGTCGCAGAAAACCGTCATTTCCTGTTTCCTTTTGCAAGGTTGAAATTTGCTATAGTCTCTGCCTGGATAGAGTTTGGTTGTACCATTGGATGAGTCCAGGGATCGACACATAATTTGGCCAAATTTGAAGATTTCTTTCATGATAAGCTTGGTAGGCATCGTAGATGAACTAACCAATATTTCCCCTTTCACTTTGCAATGATTTCTATGGATCGCTTGGTTCCGAGTGAGGGACAGATTAAGTTCTGCACATGTTGGCCAACAAAAAGCCGTGTCGAGCGGGGAGTACTGATGTTTCCAATACACTCGCAGACACAGATAGGCGAAGGACTCGCTTGCAAACTCTGCGTTCACACTTCTCGGGCCTGGGTCCCGCATATGTTAGAAAGGGGCAGGGTTGTTCCTTAATCGACCGAGGAGTTGACCGTTTTAGTGGAATCACTTGTTCAGGTATGAAATAGACCCGAGTTGCTTGCAATGTTGGCAAGACATGTATTGCGTAATACCTTGCAGATTCGAGACAATACCTACAGGTATGGAACAAGCCAAAGTTTGACCAAGCGGGCTGTATGTGCCTGAGCAAGTCTGGTTGGTCTGAGCTGGTCCGAGTCGGGTTGGTCATGATATTTCACCACTGATTCTCGTTCTGTGGCACCGTACTTTCTACGGTCAACCACAAATACAGATGGCGAGATGGCGAGATGGGTGACAGATGCAGTCCAACCATTCTCTAGCCTTCCAACCTAGAAATCCTTGTCGCCCTTTCAACCACATTGCAACAAACAGCGACATTGGCGAATTCCGATCCATAACAACTACTCACAGCGAGATTTTCTGCCTCCACGCCACGGATTCAGACGTGAGGTTGGTCGTCAGTTTGGGACTGGAGGAGGGTCGGGGAGTGGATTCATCGGCCTCGGCCTTGGGCGAAGGAGCGTAAAAATATCGTGGATCGGGCTCTCGTCCTTGGAAAATGTCAGTGCTCTAAAGGGACACCGTGGTTGTGGTGATTGACCTACGGCCACGATGGACTGACTCTCTGGTCGAGGTATTGCTTGCGTTTGTTGCATGAGAACTGGTTAAGAAGGAATCAAGTATGCCAAACTGGTGATGAGCATACGAGAGGAACGGGCTCGCTGCTCAGACTCTCACGAGGCTGGGAGCAATTTGATCTTCGTTTACTAAGCTTTAGCCAGTCAGATCGATCACTGCGGAGCGGAAGAGTTTGATATGGTCGACGCTGGCCAGAAAGGTGACACAGAATGACCCAACCAGCCTCCTTCATTTCCCTGCTGTTCGAGCTCGATACACTTCCGCTAGAGCGTCACACTGTCCAACAGATCATGCATCTTGCACGCTAGCATCCAAGGCCACTAGCATTGTGCCTCTTCTTTTTTCCCCATGCGCTCTTAGTGCCGGTGTGGTTGGATGGAGATGCTAACAACACTCCTTCCTTGCACCAGTTGTGATTATTTCCCATACTCCCCAAATTGTCACCAGTTCGAAATGCCTTATTGACATGGATAGTGATATATTGTCGGCGGGAGTGGCTACTTCCCTACGATTCGCAGCTTCCATCGAGGAAACTGCTATGCCTACCTCTGCTCGATTGATAGGGGGCGCCCTTGCCAGTGTATAAAACCACAAGTTTGATGGTCAGCTGGTATTTACTGCTCGACTGTTCGCATTCCCGCTGTCCTTGATAGTTGGATACTTCCACTCACCTCACTAGCCCCAATCTTTGGCTGCCTTTCCCACTCTTTTGTCGAGCAAATACTCTTTTCCACACCGTTGCCACGGAATCCACTCATTGATAAGAGGGGATCTATTCCAGATCACCACCACTGGCCACCAGGCGCTGCATTATCTTTCATCCTTCCGGTTCAAGCGCATCTATCAGAATGTCCTTTATGCTCGATCCACGTGGAGACTTGCCTCCTCCCACCATACAGCCGAGCTCGTACTATTACACCCACAATCACAGACGAGCCACCTCTTATGGTCTCCCCAGCAAAAAGCCCAAGAGCAAGCAGTGTTACGATTGGATCTTCTCGACGGCGTCCAACGTCCACATTGCCATCGATCGTGCTGCCTTCAAAACATACGTCCCCTTCAAGTCATACGTTCTCACAGTCTCCGATCAACGCCAGGTACCGGTTCGAGGCATTGGGACAGTCGAACTGAAGCTGCGGCGAGAGCCGGGCAGTCGAGAAAACCACACCATTGTCCTGGAGAGCGTCTTGCATGTCCCCGACTGGCTTTGCAATGTTATATCCGACATATATTTTGTGCCCGCCAGCCACTATGAGCACACTTGGACCGAGTTGGGCGTCAACTTCTTCGTCCGAGACAAAGACATCTTTAAGCCTTGGGGTTACACGGGGAATTTCTGCGGTCTGGATCGACTGGTGCTGTCCAAAACCCGTCAAGGACGCAGTCCCATGCTCGAAGATCCTGATCGAGAAGTGTTTTCCGTGAGCTTGACCTGGCCACAGAGTCAGAAGGACAAGTGGGACAACCTCAGCACCGAAGAGATGAAACAAGAGGCCAAACGCGTCGAAAAGGCTTTCAAAAAGAAACACGCCGAAGACGAGACGAAAGGCCTGAAACGAGAGGTCAAGAGTAACTTAGAGAGCACCAAATCGAAGTTGGTCCCGGATGCCATAAAGAGGCCACCAAAACAGAACAGCTGCGAGTCTGGTGAAATCAACGGCGAACTGGAGACACTTCCACGAGGGTCAAGCCTGATGTTCGATAGGGTCAGACTCTAAAGCAAAGGCACGCGGTTCTCGAGGTCCGCACGTCAAAACACAGGGCAATGGCGAACTTCGGAGTGTTGCACTTCTCATCGGCACATCAATAGTGAAAGGGGAGCCATTAATTAACCGGGTTAGATCCAGTACTGATACGCCACAGGGGCCTCATGCACAGTAAATTGGGTATGTGCAAACCGCATAGCAAATCAATCGCATCCATCCTCTCCGCTTCATCAGTCTTCCTGCTCGTATATCTTCCTTTTACCCCAGTAAACTAATGCACCAACCTTACCTGCTTGCCTGGCTCCCACTCATGCAATGCTGAATGCAGGCTCCGCCAGTAATTCAGGTTGATGCATTCCCTTTTCGCACTGTCGACGTCGTCGCTTTCAAAAGCCTCCCTCAGCGCTTTCTCCGTCTCCCTGATCCTCTCGATGTTCTCTCTCATTAAGCTCTCAATCTCATCATGGCTCGTGGCCTCCTCCAGCATCTCCTGCGCTTCCATGACTTCCAGCAACGTGCTCTGATCCGTCACACCCGCGTGGGTGGCGTTATCCTCGTGCGTGATGTCGATTCCATGATTATGCTGTAAGAGGTATCTCGCGCGCAGGAGCGGGTCGGAGAGGGTCTTGTAGGCATTATTTAACAGGGACGAGAGGGCGCGGGATTTCTGGTGCGAGGGCGTCCCCGGAGGGAGTTTGTCCGGGTGGTATTGCGACTGTAGCCGCAGGAATTCGCGGCGCAGGTGCGGGAGCGAGATCTCGAACGGCCCACCCGGCGGTGGGCCCGATGGGAGGGTCGAAGGGAAGAGGGTGTAGTAGTTTGTCACGTCAAGAGGAGAGGGCGAAATCGTTGGATCCTCTTGTGTGGAATTAGCTGTCGCCAGCTGCGCTTGAGCTGGTGCCTCCGCTCGAGGCCCCTGGTGACAGATCACGGTCGTGCTGAATGCTCGTCGAGGATGGTGGGTTAATATTGGTCGCGAGCATTGCAGGGGGCTTTGTCTCCCTCTTGCAGTTGTTGTTGTTGTTGTGGCAGAGGGTGATTCAACGAAGCAGAGACGTCGGAGGTGCCGAAGCGTCTCTCGCGTAGGCGCTGCTCGAGACATGATTGCGCTGACTCCAAAGAAAAGGGATGATTGCGAATAACTTGCTGTGGAGGCGATTAAAGGTTGGTGAGGTCAATTGCGAAAGGGTCGTACAGATTGTAGGTATATGGAAAGGATAAACCTCAACACCAGAGAGGGATGGTTTTGTGTTGGAACGCCTCGAAAACGGTATGGCCGACGTCATGCTCCGGAATCGGAGCATGTTGGGCCGAAGAACCAAACGACAAATTTTGCCATTTTCATTCTTCCCAACTTCTATGTCGCCATTAAGAATTTTCATGAAGAATTTTTAGTTCTTGCGATTCGTACAGGCTCATGGTCCATAGTGCTAATGACTGTGATTTTACATCGACCAGGATAGCGGTTTAAAAATGAGAGTTTTCGCGCTCCTGAGGCAACCTCTCTCGCAAGACACATTCCAAGGTTTCAATTATAAGCCGCCGAAGCAGCCTTTTACTATTGAGATTGTAGCATCCCACCTCAGAGGATTCGTCTAAATCAATGATGCTGGAGAGCATCTCTCTCTCTCCCGCCCACATGTGCCATGCGACATCCCTGCGGCACTCCGGGTCAATAGAGCTGACCCTGAGATTTGCCTCCCAAGCATTCTCAGGTGCATTGTTATCAAGGGATGGCCATCGTGCTCTGCCAGATCGATTCCAAATGGCATGTGTTACGCCCCATTTACCACATTACGCTTGTACCAGGCATTCATTGGCATTCTGGTTGGATTACCGTCCTGGAATCAGTCCTTTTCGCATTTCGGCCTGGGACAAGAAGCGCTGGAAGCCGGCATTTCACCCGGACCCTCGTAGAAGATATTATGAATGTCGGCCTATGCACTAGTAGCCATCTTCGACACGCAGGTGGGGGCAGTCAATTAGTGGCGTGTAGGCGTCTTTTTGGCCGATGATTGATGTCCTCTCGCAGGGAGCAGTCAATTATTGACGAATATCGGGGTTGGCTTTGGGATTCCTTCTGTTGCTCTCGCCGGAAGCGCCTGCTAGCGAGCCTGAGTGGTATAAGGTGAAGGAAGATGTCCTTTGAATACGGAGTGCCATTTAGTTGCTCGTTGAAGGATTTTAGAGGGGACAAGGCTGGACAAGGCTAGCATTGGAGAACGACCAGCGTCAGTCACTGACGTCATCGGCCGACGCGGCAAGCTCCACCTTTAACTCGTGGCTGTTTCGGACCTCCAACTTGATCAATTAAGTTGAACTCGTTGTATCACAAATAGTGACGGCTGTACTGCCAATCAGGCGATATAAGCTAGAGCTAGAGCTTTAAGACCGTCTCTGCCCCCCCTGCCCCCCCAAGATCTCTGCAAGTCTTTCCACAAAACCTTAACTTCATCACAATCTGCAAAATTACCCCTCATTTCAGGATTAACCTCTGATCATGTCGGACTACTACAACCGCCAAGGAGGAGACCCTCGCGAGTATGGCGGTGGTGGCCGCGGTGGAGATAACTACTATGACCAGAGCCAACGCTTTGACGATAGCGAGCAAAGCGGAGGCCGCAGGGACGACTATGGCGAACGTCGTCAACAAGGAGGATACGGAGGAGGGGATGGTTATGGCCGACAGGAAGGGCGTTATGGAGGAGGTGATGGCTATGGTGATGGTGGGACGAGTGGAGGTTACGGAGATGAGCCACCTCGCCATCATGGTCGTCGCGATGATGAAGGCTATGGTCGTCAGGAAGAAGGTCATCACAGACGCCACGACGCTGAAGGATATAGTGGCAGCTCCGGTGCAGGAGGAGGAGGAGGAGGGTATGGGGGCGATGGCAGCTATGGAAGACCCTCCGGTGGAGGATATGGAGGAGGTGGATCTGCCGACTATGACCAAGACGAAGTGATGCGACACAGCCAACAACACGGTAACCCGGAAGACTCTAGTCTTTTTTCTCAAGCCATGTCGTTCCTCAACCAAAACAAGCACAGCGCTCAATCCGAGGACGTGGACGAAGGTCGGATGCAGCAAAGCCATCAGATGCTTTACCAGCAAGGTGGTGGCGGCCAGCAACATGATGCTTCTAGCTTAGGCGCAGGGGCTGCAATGCAGGCCTTGAAGATGTTCTCTGGTTCTAGCGGAGGCGGATCCCAGTCTCAGATGATTTCCATGGCTATGCAAGAAGCCTCGAAACTGTTCGACAAGCAGAGCAACATGGGCAATGTTCAGGGCGGAACAGACAAGCAGTCGGCAGTCAACATGGCTGCAAAAATGGCCCTTCAAATGTACACGAAGAGCCAAGGAGGTGGTGGTGGCGGTGGTGCCTCTGGGCTGATGAGCCTTGCCAGCAAATTCTTCTCTTGAATGGAGGGGGACGCGGCTACCGGCTTCCATATGAAGAATTCCATATATCCACTATCCTACGGCTGCAGGCGAAGGAATCCCGACAAGGCTCCGTGCTATGGAGAAACGACTACAACACATAGCTGGATGAAGAAGGTATAGCGATGAATTTAGTCCATTTATGGTAAGGCGCGGACCAGTCACGACGCAGGCGTCATTCTCGCATCCTCCACAGTCTGCGCATCCACAGCACCGAGAAGCTTTGGAGAAAAAGTCCCCTGACCATCCCATCCTCTATTTCCCCATCTCATTCCTGTCAACGACGAAGTATTGCTTTTGTCCAAGTCGAGCTACTTACGTCGAGCGCCTATCCTGTCCACGTTCTGTCCGCTTTCCGGAGCTAGACATCCTCTCATTCGTCGCCCTTTTGTCGTACACGTGTCTGTGCGTGAGCGAACATCGGCTTCTATCGACCTGACCCAGCTAGACGACAAACATGCGATGTGCGAGAAGGCTAGAATCCTGCCAAGTTTGAGACAATAATCCATCCATAATGAACCAGAATCCGGGAGACCACTGGCGCGGGCCTGGAGGGCCCCCTCAGAGTGAGGCTCAGCCACAGGGAAGACCTTTTGCCAGCTTTGGGTACGTGTGAACTCGCACATCATTTCACCGCACCCTCACGCGAAACACTGAATCGTGCTCAAGTCGACCTCACTATGCTTGCTGCCGCTATTCTTTCTGCTAACATGTGTCGTATGTCAATAGTGCCAATGGTCCCGCGCAACCACCTCCCCACTTACCACCGCCGCCCTCGTCTTATCATCAACACCACTCGCAGCCTTCAGGAAGTCACAGCCTGTCCATCGCAGACTTGACTCAGGGCCCTCCCAGTCATCAGCAGCAACATCAGTATAATACTCAACCACCGCCTCCACAGCCCCAAGGTCTCCCAATAGGTGGGCCTATGGGACATACCATGCCTCAGCACTCACCCCAATACCTCGGCCGCGATAGAGAAATTAGAGAGCTCCGGGAGCGAGAAATGAGGGAACATGAGATGAGGGAAAGAGAGATGCGCGAGCGTAACAACCTCGAGATGCAAAGACAAAGAGACGAAATGATAATGCGTGAACGAGAGCGTGAGGCTCAAGAGAGGGAGCAAATGGAGCGCATGCACCGAGAACAACAGCAGCATCAGCAGCAATCGCAACAGCAGTCACAGCAACAACAGCAGCCGCAGCAGCCGCAGCAACAGCGTCCTGTCCAGAGCCATGCTGGCTCCATTCCGATCCATCAACCCGTAGCCTCAAAGGTTCAAAACTCCATACATGGTCCCAATGGCCTTCTGGCGAACGGCGGGCCAGGTCCTTCCACCGGCGGGGGTCTGTTTGCAGGACCTGGACAACATGAACCGCAGAGATCATCCCAATACATGCAACAGCCGGTGCCGACGGTGCCTCCACAACCGGGTCAGCCTTTTATGCCTGGTCCATCTCCCATGCCTGCCCCGGCACAACTAGCCCACGGCCAACAACCTATTCTGAATGACGCTTTGAGCTATCTTGACCAAGTCAAAGTGCGCTTCAGCGATCATCCGGATGTCTATAACAGGTTCTTAGACATTATGAAGGACTTCAAGAGCCAAGCAATTGATACGCCGGGAGTCATTGAGCGTGTATCAAATCTGTTCAACGGTCACCCCGCTCTGATTCAAGGGTTTAACACCTTCCTTCCGCCAGGGTACCGCATAGAGTGCGGGACCGAAGAGAATCCAGACGCCATCAGGGTCACAACTCCTAGTGGTACAATGACCCAGTCCCTCCAGAGCAGAGGCCGCGCGCAATTCGAGCCTGCCCCGCAACCTCCAGTTGCTCGACAAGATGCATTCGAAAGCAGACATGGATGGGGCCAGCCTCTTGGTGCTTCGCCAGGCGTGAGACCGGCAGAACTGCCTGGATATAAGCCGGGAGCTGGTGAAAGACCCATGGATGAAGTTTCCAGTGCCGTTATTCAGCAAGAACAACGTGGCGTCTCGACTCTCCAAAGTGCAGTCACTGCGGTGACTAACGGAGCCTCAAGGCCGGCTCTTGCTGTATCACCTGGACCAGGTCAAGGAGGCACATATCCTCAGCAGGCCGCCGCGTTCAGTGGTAATGCGGGCATCGGTGAATTGAAACGTGGGGGACCGGTCGAATTCAACCATGCTATCAGCTACGTGAATAAGATAAAGGTATGTTTGATTTTCCCCAAGTTGCACACCTCACTTGTTGACCTGCATACAGAACCGATTTGCGCAACAACCTGAGATTTACAAGCAGTTTCTTGAGATCCTGCAGACTTACCAGCGAGAGTCGAAACCGATCCAGGACGTATATGCTCAAGTCACACAATTATTCATATCTGCTCCGGATCTGCTCGAAGATTTCAAACAATTTCTGCCCGAATCTGCAGCTCAAGGCAAGGCACAGGCTGCTCGCGCTATGAATCAACAAGAAGAGACCAGCAATGTTCGCGGCGAACCTGGATATGCAAGCAGCGCCGTTCCCCAAGCTCAAACTCCGAGGCCTGCCTCGAAAATGCCACCCATGGGCCAGTTCGACCCTCCTAGCACAAGCAAAGACAACAAAAAGCGCCGCGGAGGACCTGGAACCACTCTTTCCAACCAACCAGCGGCACAGCCAGTTGTTGACACCAGCGTCAACCAAGGTCCACGAGCTGCTCCCGTTCAGGTTGGGAATGTTAGCAAAGTAAGTTCACTTCACTCTCCCTTCAAGCTGTCCCGTTCCTGAGAAGAGCGTTCCTTTCTTGCCAAATTCTAGGAGTTTAACCTTTTACTAATGTCAAGTGGCAGCGCCCCAAACTTGCCACTCAACGTCAGCCACAACCTGATTTGGTGGTCACTTCACCAACCCTCGTGCCGCAACTGCCTGAACCCCTTCCACCCTTTCCTAACTCATCTACCACTCAAGAAGAGCTTGCATTCTTTGACCGCGCAAAAAAACAGATCGGCAACCGGGCCAGTTATGCTGAGTTTCTCAAACTCATAAATTTATATTCTCAAGATCTTATCGACAAGTATACCTTGGGAGACAGAGTTGGCGCTTTCATTGGTGGCAATCCCGACCTTATGAGTTGGTTCAAAACCTTCCTCGGTATTGAGGATCAAGAGGAGGTGATCGAGGCTCGTATACGACCCGATCCGGGTCGCGTCAATCTCTCTCATTGCCGTGCCCTTGGACCCAGCTACCGTCACCTCCCCAAGCGTGATCAGGACAAACCTTGCAAGGGACGAGATGGGATGTGTTATGAAGTTCTGAATGATGTTTGGGCTTCTCACCCTACCTGGGCTTCCGAGGATTCTGGCTTTGTCGCACACCGCAAGAATCAATATGAGGAAGCTTTGCATCGAATCGAAGAAGAGCGGCATGACTATGACTTCCACATCGAGTCATGTCAGCGGACCATTCAACTCATGGAGCCCATTGTCCAGCAGATTGGAGTTATGAACGATGCGGATCGAGCCGCCTTCATTCTAGCACCGGGCTTGGGTGGCGCAAGCGAAGCCATCCCTAAACGCATCATCATGAAGATCTACGGCCGCGAGGCCGGCGCTACGGTCATGAGAGAGATGTTCGCCCGTCCCACCGCGGTCCTGCCGATTGTTCTTGCGAGACTTAAACAGAAGCTCGAAGAGTGGAAGCAAGTGCAACGAGAATGGGAAAAGGTCTGGCGCGACCAGATTCACAAGCAATTCTGGAGAAGCCTCGACCACCAGGGAATCAACGCGAAGAATCTCGACAAGAAGAACTTTCAGCAAAAAGCACTAACGAGCGAGATCCAGGCGAAATACGAAGAAGCGAAGAAGAACCGCGACAACGGCATTGTCGGGAAGCGGCATCAGCTCCAGTACACTTTCAATGACTTGGACGTCATCACCGATGCGACCCGGTTGATCCTGGTGTCCTTGGACTCCGACCGGCAACAGACCTTTAACAGTGGGGAGCAAGAGCGCATTAGGGGATGGTTGGTCGACTTCCTCGTCCGTTTTTATGGTCTCGATGGCGAAAAATTCCTGGAACAAACCGAGATTGTATCAATCAGACACCATCACGAGCATGACGAAGCTGCTGATGGTCATGATAGCGATGCTCACCCCCCGGCCAAGGGTAAGGCCCAGCGGAAGTCGGACTGGCTTAGGAGGATGGCACTTGAACGGAGACATGGCAAGGAGGACAGCGTTGCTTCTGCAAGCAAAGAGTCTACCCCAGCTCCAGGTGCTAGCAGCGAGATGGAAGTTGACGAAGACGCTCCAGTGTCAGATGTGCCTGATGAGCCTCAACAGCCGTGGATCAATGTGGCCAACGGCGATACATCTGCCCGTCATCTGGCTATGGACGAGACATATCCTCACACGACGTTCAACCTGTATGCGAACGCCAACATCTACTGCTTCTTCAGACTGCTTGAGATGCTGTACAGCAGATTACTTGCGATCAAGCTCAACGAACCTAATGTCCAAGAAGCTGTGACGAGACACAAGGGTATAAAGGGAAGAATTAAGCCTGCCATCGAGCTCCGCATGATTGACAAAGGACCGGACTACTTCTTCTATAACATTGAAGGAAAGCAGAACTACTATCAACAAATATTGCAACTGTGCCAGGAGGTTTTGGTGGGCACTGTCGATCTCGCTCACCTCGAAGAGACACTGAGGCGTTACTACAACAAGAGCGGCTGGCAGCTTTACACGATCGACAGACTTGTCTCAGCTATTCTTCGATTTATTATGAACATCCTGGGTGGCGATGCTAAGGACAAGAGCGTTGAGATCACGAACCTCTTCTTGCGAGATCGAGAGCGCCCAGACACCACCAGAAAGCAGGAAATTCAGTATCGCAAGCAGGTTGAGCGATTGTCCAAGGACGCCGAGGTGTATCGTATCAGCTATGTAAGTTGAGCACATGCGTGACTCCAAGCTGAAGACGTGACTAATCTCTCGCAGACTCCTGAAGATCGGCTTTGCACCATACGCTTATTCCCATCGGAAGATGCCACTTTTGACAGCGACTCTCTCTCAGATGAAGCTCGGTGGCAGTACTACATCGCGTCTTACACAATGACCGACGCAACCGAAGGCGTAGACCAGTCGCGGATGCACTCTCCCTATCTGCGACGAAACATTGCTCCCCAGAACGCGAACATTGACGCCGCATATCAGGAGGTGTACGGCAACCTTGATAACGTCGATGAGCAGACTGCCTTCATCAGTCCTGACTCCTACAAGCTTCTGCTTCAGGGTGATTTCGGGTTCCTTCGACGAAGCGCGGTTGAGAAGCCGCTGAGAAAAGCATACGAAAGGGGTAGAATTGAGGAAAGCGAGAGATTTCGAGAGAAGTTTGTGCGCAACACGGCGTGGATGAGGGACCAGAGAGCCGAGGATGTCGAGCGCAAGAAGGCTGTGTGGGAGAGAGGTGTGAGAGATGGCTTTAGCGGCTTCGACATTTTGAGGTAGTCCCAATTGTTGTGGTACGTGGAGGATGTACACATATGCGCGGCCCGACGATATGGTCTTGTGCACAGGTTTCAAAGAACGTCGACGAAAAGGATTGGGTTGGGAAGGATCAGAGTGGCCAGTCCGTCCTTGGCGAAAGGCAGGACAAATAAAATGGGCCCCGCGAGCGTTCCTAAAGCATGGAGCATCCGATGGCACCATTCATTTCGAAGGCCAAGCGACTTTCGAAAGGCATGGATCGGGGAATTATGCTGTAACATCTTGATCGTACGAGGGACGAACTCAAGGAAGAATACCTAGTAGAGATTACGAATTGGCAATTCTGACATTGTGAGCCCCCGAGGCCAGTGACACCATAAGCAAGACAACCGGCAAAATATCAAGCTTCAGGGGATCACTTGCTAATACACTGCAACTCCTTTTTCTACATGGGTAAGTAGGTGACACCAACTCGTAGGTGGAAGGCGATAAACCTCCTTTGTGGTTGGCATCTTCATATACCTAAACATGTGTTCGTGTCTTTGACCATATCATTCAACGGACTATATGGTACTCTGATGACACCACGTCGTACCCCATGGTCCCTGGCACTTTCTATATCAATACTGAGGCAGTTGATATGGTTTGCCAATCCATCAACGCAGACTTGAGAAGTGGCAGGTCTGTGGTAGATGTGGCGACAGGGAGATTGCGGCGTAACCTCGTCTCAACACCTCGAGTCGATGACTTTCCCTCGAAGACGAAGCACATGTCGATAGGGAGGAGTATTAGTCGAGCAGGGCTTTACGTACTCGGTATTCCAGATCCAAAAAGCTGCCCACGCCCTCGACCAGTGGATCGTTGTACTTAGAGGGAGCCAGAAAAAGTCAATCTCGGTGCCCAAGGGGACCCTGAGCAAAAAGGCACCGGTTGGATCTGGTGGCAGGTCGTGGTTGCTGCGGTGAGGACCACGCAATTGACACGCAAAGCACGAAATTTGAGGTTGAGAATCGAGCCAAAGAAAAGTGGCCAAGGAGACCCGGGGTGTAAATGGAGCAAACCGTCTTGACCGTCTTGACCGCCAACCGGGGCAATCTTAATGGCGTTCAACCAAGCTTTGGCGCTAGTCCCAATCAGGCTTGGCAAGGGCGCGATAAATCTCCGCAATCGCCCTCCTCGCCCCCTTTTCCGCCCCCTTCACCACCGTCCTCAACCAGTGCAGCCAGTCAGTTCGTGACAGTCGTTTTCACCTTGGGAATTGCTTGCATATCCCCACACCACAATGGCGCCCCCTCCACCTCGCAAAGCCTCCTGCTCGAGGATCATCCTCCTCCGCTCCCAAGTATCCAGCCTCCTCCCATAGGTCAGAAACCTTATCACCTCATCTTGCAGCACCGAGAAGCCACCCAAACAGCCAGTGACATCGCGTGTTTCAGACCGCCCAATCTCCCCTTAGCCCCTGTCGGCGACCCTGGCTGGGGTGAAGAAATGTCTTTCTTGCGAATCTCTGCCATATCAATGGCCAAATCGCCAACACAAGCTGATCTTCCGCCGTCACAAACGTGATGCATAGTTGGAACCCACGTTTTCACTGGCGAAAGCTCTAGAAGCGTACTCCGTAGAGGACACGAGGTCTCAGATGCCTGCAGACAAACGGGAGCATCAACATGTCTGCATTGTCACTATCGTCTCTTGTTTGATCAGCATTCTGTTCGGTTGGCTTTTTTCCAACCAATCCTGCTCTGAAGAGTTGCTTAAGAACCCCCGGAGAGTTAACCATGCCAGTTCGAGGTCACCGAGCTTAATATCCAAGCAACCAGACCCGAAATCGCTAAGCTCGGTGCGCTGCGTTGCCTGCTTATGGGCCAAACACACACCAAGTTCCCACAGGAGGGCGCTAAACGAAATTCGCAGATTTGGCGCTATCCCCGTAAGTCGAACCTCCGGCTGGCGTTGCACCGTGCTGCACACCTATATGCACCTTATCATGTCCCTCAACACAACTTTCTCTTCCTCTCTACAAGGCTCTGCTCATGGTCTCTTGAGGTGCTTCACAAGAGCTCCGCGTTTGTGTTTGTTTTTCAGCGTTTCCAACTACCGCGTCCACTCGTTTACGCGGGCATTCTTTTATCGAGCAAGGAAAAACTTTGAGTAGGACAATCACCAGTAATCTCAGCCAACAACCAACCGAAAGAAAAGGTACTACCTTTAACATGAAGGCTGTCACTATTGCCGCTGCTGGTGCAGCGGTCGTGACAACTGTTTCCGCCGCCAGCCATGTCAAGCACATGCATGCGAAACTCCACGGAAATGTCGCACGCGACACCTGGGTCGACTGGAATGCGACCGCTTCTACTTCTGTGACGCCTGTAAATGGAGATACAGCGAAGACCACCACCACCACGAAGGCTCCTGTCAAGGCTGCTACCACTACAGCTAGCTCTTCAAGCTCATTCCTCTGGGAGGACTGGACTTCTTCCTCCCTCGCAGTTGACCCAGCAAAGACCTCGAGCACCACTTCTAGCACGACCACCGTTGCTGAAACATGGGCGGATTGGTCAAGCACCAGCGCCTCATCAACCCCCGTCGAGGGCGTGAAAATTAGCACAACCACGGCTACCGTCGAGCATACTTGGGCCGATTGGACTAGCGCCTCGTCGATCCCGGTCGACCCTGCGACTACCACCAGCACGGAGGAGCACACCTGGGGAGACTGGACCACGAGTGATCCGGTTGACCCAACAACAACCGTCACCGAGACCTGGGGCGACTGGACAACCGTCGACCAAACCACAACCATCACTTTGGCTTCTACCGTTACGGCGACCAAATACGTCGAGCCCGTCAGCGCTGAGTCGACGGACTCGTCTACATGGGCGGAGTGGACCTCCACTTCAGCCTCCTCAGTTGCGGCGGCCGTCACCAGTGTCATTACCTCGACGGTTACCCCAGGCTGGTCTTCCTCGGGCTGGTTCGGTCCTTCCGTGGCCGTTGAAGCCGACAGCTGCGCCATCTCCGTCATTACTTCTTATGGCCTCCCAACTTGTAAGTAGTCTCAATACCACCGAACGGAATTTATTTCTAATCCGGAAATCCAGGGTATCCCACGCCTGTCCTCGCTGTGAGCACGACAAGCAGCACTACTTCCAGTGCCACATGGGCCGATTGGACTTCGTCAAGCTCCAACACGCCAGCAGCAGCAGCAACGACAACAACCAGCAGCACCTCATCCTACGTCTGGGCTGATTGGACCTCAAGTTCTATCCCCGTAGAGGGCGCGCAAACTACGACTAGCGCTTCCTATGTCTGGGGCGACTGGACTTCGACTTCCACCTACAGCCCAGCGGCTGTGGCTACCTCGAGCGAGACATGGGCCGATTGGTCATCTACGACTGAAACTGCGTCTGTGTCTGTGAGCACTGCAAGCAGCTCTGCCTCTTCAGGTTCTTGGTCAAAGCCAAGCGGTGGTTCGCAGGGTGGCAGCCCTGGCATCTCATCGAATGGTGATTCGTGGGGCATGACTTATTCTCCCTACACTGCGCAGGGTGGTTGCAAGGACGCTGGTACCATTGCCGCTGACATGGCCGTCATCGCACAGAAAGGATTCTCCTCTGTTCGCGTCTACAGCACTGACTGCAGCACGCTCGAGAACATTGGCGGTTCTGCCCGCAACAATGGCCTGAAACTGATTTTGGGTGTCTGGATTTCATCGACAGGCATCTCAGGTGCTCAAGGCCAGGTCCACGATATTGTTGCCTGGGCACAGTGGGATATTGTTGAACTCATTGTCGTCGGTAACGAGGCCGTCTTTAACGGCTACTGCTCTGCCAGCGAGCTGGCTGGATTTATCTCTAGCAGCGCCGCTGCTTTCAAGGGTGCCGGCTATACCGGTGCGGTAACCACGACCGAGCCTCTGTCTGTCTGGGAAGACACTAGCAATGCGTCCGCCTTCTGCAGCGTCGTTGATGTTGTCGGTGCCAACTTGTACGCCTTTTTCAATGCTCAAGTGACTGCCGACAAAGCCGGTAGCTTCATTCAGTCAGAGATCAATATCTTGGATGCGGTTTGCTCTGGAAAGCCGGTCTATGTCTTGGAATCTGGATGGCCTCACGCTGGCAACTGCAACGGTGCCGCTTGCCCCAGCCCTCAAAACCAGGCAACTGCTCTTAAGGGCATTCAGGCAACCGTGGGTGCTCAAGTCGTCTTCTTGAGCTACGAGGATGAGCCGTGGAAGGAGCCGGGCCAGTTCGGCGTGGAGCAATTCTGGGGTTGCGCCGGTGTCTTCTAACCGAAATGGTAACATCTTCGGTTCCAACCCTTTCTCAGGTTGGTGCCTGTTGGAAGTAGTGCAAGATAAGAGAGGCCGAGGAGCGAAGAGAAAGCCCACGCAGCAAGCGAGTCAGCGTCATGTATGAAATTGCACAGTCAGCATTGCCACAAGTGTACAGTTGTGAGAGTGGCGTGTTACGATGTCTGCTTTGATCCTTGTTTGAGTTCATTTTTATATTCGTGTAGATTATTTGAACACTGTCTACCCGACGTTGGGGTGTAGAGAAGACTGGTCTCAGATTGATGAACAGGATGCGAAATGTACTCCGGGCGTGCATAGAGATTGATTCGCGAAGGCCACAGAAGGGAGCCCTCGTAGAGAAGCCCTCCAAATAGCACGATACCTCGTAGAGCGGAGCCTTATGCCGTTCCTGCTGTTGTTTCGCAAGGCTGGGACCTAAAGGGGTCACGGAAGGTGCCGACGCCAGACGTTGGACTGAGTTTCTCAAGATTCTATTTTGACTTCTTGTCTTTCTTTCCTTCACTTCCATCCTTTGTCATTTTCTCCCGAGTCCATGGTGAATGACAACACTCCAAGAATGCGCGGTCTTCCTTGCGAACCCCCTCACGGCTGGGCTTGTTAGGATCTGGCTCCATGCACAAAACAACCACTACATTGCCCTTCACTCGCAGGGGACCGAGTTTCTCTCAGGTCAGTTGCTGTTGTGAGAGAGGCAGGTGGTCAAGTATGATCAGGGATTTATCATTCCACATATCCCCCTTCCGGTCATGACCAAAATTGTTTTGGAGACGATATGATAGAGAGAGCATCCTTCATCATCGTCACCTCCGATTAGGCAAGGACAACCCATCTTCCAGGGACAAATTCGTAGGTTGGCACCCGTGGCAGCTCAGATTCGATACAAATATAGCTTTGATTGCTATTTGCCATATCAATTTGGCCAAAATTGGACCCAGAGACGCGCGAACCATCGGCCGTGGTTGACCACAGCTCGACCCAAGGCAAGCGTTCATTGTTAGCACCTGTCCCTACCAACGGCGCTGGAACACAAGACACTGCGTCGGTCATCGCCAGCGCATCTCTGCTCCAACCGCTGATGTTGGGGACTGCCGACAAGCACTGAATATCCCTCACCAAAACCGGGCGCAGAGCAAAAAGGCGAACAAGGCAACCGCTAATGCCACGCCAATGCAACTTATTGGAATATAATAGGCGAACTGCAGCAACATGGCCTGCTGAGCTGTGCAAGGTTTGTTGAAGCACCAGCATATAAGGAACACCATTTCCACGACCAGAAACACACCGGTCTCGTCTCGTCCTGATCGATTCTGCACTGAAGGATTTTGCCATCCAGCTTCAGCGGCGTCAGAGCCGCCCTGCCTTATCCACGGCTTCGCACAAGTGTCTTCCTTTCTCATTGGCTCGCCTAACTCTCTTCGCAGCGGAGTTACTAATCTCCAGAGATAGGGAATCAAAATTGCCGAGCGAGAGCGAGGGAACACCGCTCGCCCGAAGACAAGCGCAGGTGCCAACTTGCACCCGCAAGAAGCAGCCGATTCCTGCCGCAGAGCCGCATCGGATCAATGGTCTTCCGATCATTGTGGGTGGAACTGACTCTCTCTCCCTTTCTCGCCATCGCCCCGGCTTGTGCACCAACCAGCCAGGCATGTCCGTCCTTTGAGACTTCAGGAGCGGAAATGCCTCCCCATGCGCCACACCACCCCTGCTCGTTCGCATCCAACCGAGTCCATCGCCAGACTATTTGTGCCGCTTCACATACCACTTCGAAGACGAAGCCGTGGATCTCATTGTCAGACCGGAGAATCAGCGGGCCCCCTGAGTGCCTCGAGAGTCTCCAGTCTCATATTGAAGCAGATCTCGAAGGGTACAGAGGAATCCAAATTCCTTCCACGGAGCATGCCATTGGCCGACAGCGTCATTCCTGTCGCCCAAGTGTTGCACCGGCTAAAGCTGGGGCTCCAGCATCCTCTGGTTTTGACGCCATCCTCGGCGCTAAGACTGCCATCGCGGCCGGCAACGGGCTGTTGATTCGGCGGCAGCTATCTTGCCTCACTGGTAAGTTCACCTGGTGCATGTGCTAAGTGCCCATCCATTCCGGTTTCGCATGCTGGTGTATCTACTTGCCCAAGGACTATCATTTATGTCTTACCGTGACCACTTTTTCACACTGTCTCAGCCCTGGTTCACAAGTATCTTTCAGACCATACTCCAGGTTTTCTGTTTCCCCTTTTTCCTCTTTCCTTCCTTTTCGTGCTTCGTTCAATTCTTGTGGAAAATCTCGACCCCGCCATTTCTGCGATGGATCAGGGTGGCCCTCCGTACGCCTCCCCTTTTTTCCTGCGCATTCAACACGTCCAATATCAAGAACATCCCACTGTACCGCCTCTCGTCCAAAGTCCAGACTTCTATTGGCGACCCTCCCCAGCAGGTCTGTTTATAAATCCAAGTTCAACAGGATGGTGGATCTGGGATCCCGGCCAGTTTGCAGTAGGGGTTGACAACTTGGCGCGCCTACGTCGGCCAACGGTCGACGAATTGGCAAGGCGTGAATTGTATAGGACTAGCACTCTGATCTGGGATCCAGAGCGTCACGGTTACATACACGCGCCCATCGATTGCATTGCCAAGTACCCTTCTGACCCCAGCGTATGGAGGCGACTCTCCTTTGGGCGCAGGACCCCTGATTTGGCAATCATTGGCCATTTCAGGGAGAGCTACCGGCTTCATCTTCCAGGGCCAGATTACTGGTTTGAGCAACTGCTTCCCGATGTCTGCAGGGCGCAGATGACCGGGGAACCAAGATGTAAGCTGGCTGGTCACCTAAGCATCCTCGTCGGCCTTCTTGCGTTTTGGGTTGAACCAGCTCTGGACTATTGCGCAGTCGACTGGTCTTTTAGATATGACACGTCCTCTACGCTGTTCCAGAGACATAATTACGACCAAAATCCAAGTAAGTTCACTCCTACATCATCAGCATGCTTCGTCTTCAGACTCTTACTTGTCGGCGACAAAATGTCAGGACATGAGAAACGCACAATGGTCATCGAGATCGGATACGATCCAGTGAAAGTGACCCGAGAAGACCTTCATGCTTGGGAGGAAGGTCAACTGGGCGAAATATTTAGCTAAATGAAGCTACATACGTTATCAACGCCGTTAGCTGATTGCAAAGAAGACACACATGGAGATGCAGAATAAGAACGCAAGAATTGGAAAACGGTTATGGTGCAAGATCTCGTTTCTCGAGACAAGAGGAGGACTCACATGGTCGAAAGGCTCATCACCCAGCTCATGCTGCTTCTGACAACAACTACGACCTTTTCCTGTTGTGCCGCCTGGTCGATAATGGACGCAACTTGCTTGGGAGATTGCTGCTTCGCCACTTTACGACCGTACAAACTTATGACTTACGACAGAAATGTCGACGGCCTACGACTACGTTCTGACGCTGACTGTTACGGATCGCCAGTGGAAGGATGAATGCGTGTCTCAGTATACGAGGGAGGCACTGCAGTCTGGATCTTGATTCTTTTGTTTAGCGTTGCACTTTTGGATTGCTTGATATTCCTCTCCAGTTCACGCTCGTTGGCTTCTCCTGCTGTCGCTGTTGTTTAATGTTGAGTCACATTGTTCGCTTGTCTGCTCAAGTATATGAATAGAGCACTGCACGTCCTATGCGTGGGATGGATGGCCCAGCCTGTCTCTATAGAGCTATTTATCGTTCGACATTATGTTACTTGTTTTTCTCAATTTCTATGATGCTATACGATGTGACGTTGACGATTGAATGAAGGAATGAATGAATGAAATTGTCTCCCTGCATACCACCTAAACATCTATATCTTCATTCCATACAGAGTTCATTTCCAGCTAGGGAGCTAGCTAGCTATCCCGCGCTGGGGATCTTCCCTACGAGGAGGGAGAAGAGGTATAGAAATGATGTATGTAGCTCGTTTCCCTCTTTCGCTCTCATGTATCTTTACGTTTATCTCGCTCTCTTCCCCCACCTCTGTCCTTTTCTTTTAGTCTCTTTTAAAGTTTCATCTCCTTAGTTCTTTTTCCTTTTCGGGGAGGCTGGTCTCAATTTGGGTTTCCCATTTGAGAGATTCGATTCGATTCGGCAGAATCAAAGAGGAAAAAAGTAACTGGAATGGAGAATAAGGATTAGATCGAGGAATTTGGAGACGAAGGGATGGGAAAAGAGAAGAGAAGAAAAAGAAGGGTGAAAGAATCCCTGGGGATTTCGAGTTCGAGCATCTGTGTCGCGTGGACCGTCGTCGACCGGTTCGTTCGGTTCTCCCTTTTCTTCACAGTCACGGTGTTCACCCCCCTTCTTATTGTTTTTGAATGTAATCCTTTGCAATGGGATTGCTTGACAAACTCCCTTTTCTTTTCCCCAGAGTCCCATTCCGTCGCCAGCCTTGTGGCATGTTTTGTCCCGCGCTTCGCCTGTTATCTTGGGCCTGACAGAGGAGGAAGAAGGAGAGTAAGGAGAAGAAGAAGAAAGTTCAGAGGGCGGTGAATAACGGGCGGGCCGCCTGTCTGGGGCACGATAAGGTGGTCGTGGCGGAAGTGGCCATGGTTGTGTCTGTGCTCGGAGAGGAGAAGGGTTTGAGGATGTATCGCTTGGAGGTTTTAAGAACTTTATGGTAAGAAGCGGTGAACCAGTCAGTCTCTGTCACATCATGGCTGGCACAGAACTATAAGCAAACATGGAAAACATGGAAAACACAAGGAGGGCGAGAAGGGGATGTGCCAGCGATGGCTCTGCCAAAACATCTCAGTCCAAATGCACGATGAAGAACACTCACGACCCAACAGTATAGAGGGCTCCTTTGCCTCATAGATTCATCTACTAGACCAGTGATCCTGGCGACGTTGTAGTAGATTGTGCCGTTGACGGCGGCTATCGTGACATCTTTGCCCTAGGGAGCGCAGTCCGAGACAGCCGATGAGATCGGTCGAGTAGTTGACATGGCCTTCCAGAATGTGGTATAATCGAGGGGTATTGCTTGCTTTGCTTCCAGCTTTCAACGACGACGAGGTGCCGCTCGAACCAAAGTCAAGAATAACATATCTATGAGAACAAGGAGGATGACGAGGTTGGGGAAAAGAGTGAGCTGACGCAGGCTGTCTAGGTGGGCTGCCAGGGCTGGTCGAATACCTACAAATGTCCAATCGCTTTCACCCGTGATTTGTGTATTAAGTCGCAGTCCACGGTGCCATGATCAAGTCCTTGGGCTAACCCTTTGTGACGGTGCCTTGGAGATTGTGGCAGAAAAGGTGACTGGGATATTCCATGGCTCATCTATAGTATGCAAGTATGAGGACGCTCTGGAATAGTGGCCAGCCTGCGGCGACTTGGATTAGTTGAGCAGTAGCCCAAGTAGGGAAACAAATGGGTATTTCCAGGGCCATCCCTTGGTGACATCGGGCTCGCGGCCTACTACCCAACAAAAGAAGATCTGGTCTACGGCTGATCGTGCCTCCAGCACTTGTGCGCCAATGATGTTGATATTGCTAAGATTGTGATCCCGCGTCGGAATGATTTCTTTCAGGCTCCAGGATTGGGATTTGCTTTAGTTTCCTTGAGAGGGAAGATAGAAAACCCGTGGACTTGACATGGTGGACAACAACATCGTTGGGAGGCGCCGGGAGTGGATGGCGTCTTGTCCATCGGATTCGCCTGAGCGATTGCTTCCCTTGGAAACTTCCTAGTCAACCCCGGTCCCGAAAAGAAGATTTGACGGGTGATATTTCCGAGGATAGTCTGAGTGAAAAGTTTTAGGCCCAGGGTATTGCGTCAATATAACACGAACTTTATCAATTGTAGATGCTAAGATAAAGCGTAGATGGGGATGTACAGGCTCTCTGCCGCGGACCGGGCGACATACCAGAAAGGCTTGACAACAACGCTTGCAAAGTCTGATGCAACATTGTCACAGCTCCGTCGGCCGAAAATCATCGCAGAGCCTCTCAGACTCCCTGAGGCTGTCGGGGAAGGGAAGCCGCCTGCAGGGCAAGATTCAAGTCGTCGAGGCTCCCAAAAAGCTCCCCATCAGGTATTCCGGTCACCGGCAATACGGCAAGCCAAATACGAGAATGGTGCGAGACCCTGGCCTAGGGAACACGAGAAAAAGAAAAGGAAACATAAGAGCCCCAGGTCTGTCGCGCCCAGCTGGGTGTCAGAAGCAAGCCTGATGCCGGATGACGCTTTGTGTGGGTAGCAGTGGCGCCTCGGCGCTCGTTCAAGCATTGGGTTCGGCTTGGTGCAGAAAACGCTTCAACTGCCCAAATAGTCCTCGTTCATATCTGGCCATTTCTAGACTACGAGATCGTAAGTTCTGGATAGGCAGCCACGGTGTTCTGGGTGGCGTTCGGGTGACAGCTGGTGACATGGGCAAGCATGGGATTTGATTGATGCGATGGGATCGGTTGGTTGGAGTCGTTTTTGGGGTGAGATGGCGCCAAGCTTTGTCTAGCCATATGTGGCTTAAGGCGGAATCGATGGTTGTGGACCCTTCTTTCTCTCCAACTTCCTGCTTCACTCTCTCGTCAGCTCTCAAACTCTCCCTCGTCTCCTCCTTCCCCCATCCGCCTTACTTACCTCGTACTCTCTACTAGGCTACGCCACACGCACACTTCGGGCGCCAATGATGTCCTAAGCAGCAGCCACCGGGTAGACGAGCTCCTGCGATGGAACTCAGATCGGCTCTCCGCACGGATCTCTACTCGGTACAAACCTCATGACTGGAGAACGGGCTGGTGGGCTTAGCCACGTGACCTGCCAGTTCAGCCTGGACGTGCGACTGGCGAAGATGGACTGGGCTGAGCAAACCCTTCGGCGAAGCTCGAAAAGAGAGAAGTCGACCTCGTTTTCTAGGCATATGATTGTTTGTATGAGGTCTGCATACATCTTACCAGCTTCAACTGGAGTAAAGGTGCTTTACCTCGTGCCGAGTAGAGAGGAATGCCGTGGTATTGAGGATACGCTACACATGTCTAGCCAGAAAAGGAAGATGAGGAGGCTGAGCGTGAGCAACGCTTTCGCGGAGCCAAGGGGCTTGTCGCGGCCCCAAATGGCTGTGGCGGCTCGAAGCCGTCCTTGGAGAATCCTTCGAGGCGCTAATTAATTGGCACCGCGGAGTTAACATATTGATCAACTACTAGGGATAATGCCATCGCATGCAGTGTCTCCTGCCGTCCTTAGGCTCAGACAGACGCGCAGACATTCCTCCACTCTCCTGTCCAAGCCACCATGCCTGATAGGCGGACTCTTTCCAATAGACATCCATTGAGCAAGCATTTTCGTGGAAGTTGCAATATCAAAGCCAACAGCAAAGTCCAGCGTCAACTAACTCTTGATACGCTATCATCGCCCAACACTTGTAGGGATCCGGAAGAGCTGCTGCTGCTCATGGCAAGTTGAGATGCATGAAAAATATCCCCAGCGGCTTCAGTGTGCAGACGTGTTCGAAGCTCTTACAGATATCAATGACCGCCTCTACTTGTTCTTGTCGGCGATTTGTCAATATCTCATGCGGAAAGCAGTGCTGCATCACGGTCGAGACAAGAATATACAGTTTCCACACATTGCAGAACGTCTCGCAGACTTGCGCTCGGCAGAACTGATAGCACTTTTCAAATGGGCCGTCGATGTGCTTGGAGTCCACTTCGGCGACGGTGTCTGCGCTTTGCATATGGATCTTGATCTCTTCGTTCAACTCTGAGACCTGACTGCCCAGGCCTGCAATCAACTCGGCCGTCTCATGCGACCTTTCTCCTGGAGACACCTTCAACAAGCGAACTATGGTGGCTAGTCTCGCACAGCTTTTAGGGTATGGAAAGTTGATGCGGTCACAAGCCGTGATCCAAGGTCAGCAAACGGCTCGAACACGACTGTCAGTTCCGGGAATTCCAGGAAAAATTCCTCGCCGGTTCGAAATCGATGCTGCAATCTGTCAAACCTAGGTGAGCTTTCAGCATTTCCCAGATGACGAGAAAACTATCATGAACCGTTGCAGCTGCCATCACATCCACCAAGCCGAAGGCCCACGCTGACTGAATCTTGTCCGGACCCCAAGCCTTGGGAATAGCTTCGACACCCCTTGCTTGGTTCATGAGATTCTCAGTGCGACGGCCGAGTCCAAAGCCTTGCTGTTGCCGATGTGTAAGGGTAACTGGACCAAATGCTTGCCAACCAGTTGTAACGTGAATCCTGTGGTGTTGGTACTTTCAATGGCGTAAAACAGCCGTACCCAAAGACTTTGACCGTCGCTCAAGCCGGGTGAAACGATTAGGTACGCTGATTTTTGGCCACGTTCGATGATACAACGAATCTCTCAGAGAGCGGTACGCTACTGACCGTGGCGATCGTTGATGGTTCCAAGGCCGCTGCCCCCGTAGGTGACGGTTTTTGGGCACTGCCCAGGGATGATGAGCGGTGTGAAGGACACCTCCTCGGAATTGATCGAGATATACTCTCATTCGTGTGCCTGGCAAGCTGGACTGGTGCCAGAGCACTCGCGGCTGGACTTTTGGCAAATGAGGCACACTGGCTCGTGCTTGTCGCACTATGTGATTTTATTGACTTGAGCATATATCGTCCTATACTTCGGCACAACCGAGGGTCTAGCTCACTTTGATGATATGTTTTCTGCAATTCCTGTAGCCGAGTGATCAAATTTCCCTCATATTCTGGGTGACTTGCTCTGTCTTATTTAACAAGAACGGAGAAAACCCAGATTTGAGTGTTTGAAGATGGAGGGCCAGTGCCGTTATGCGATGAGGAACAACAGGACTCTGTTGTGATAGAGGATCAGCCAAGCCGTTGATATTTGCACGTCAGGCCGGCGACTCAAAACTATAAGACAGACATACCGATGTGATCAGTGGACAAGAATATCTCAAACAAGGGGCACGAAGTCTTCCCTTAAATGCACGAGGGAAACGGGGCACTGCTCCAACCGAGGCTGGTCGAGAATTAGACAACGTTGCCAAAATTGCGCTTCTATAGCGAAGTGATCAGTTTTTCAAGTTTCAGCTGGGACGCTAACCGATCAGCGTCGTGGCTGATGAATTATTTGGGAAGGGGTTGGATTTCTATCACGGATATGCTACCAAGAAGCATCGTAAAATGTAGTATGTGCCGGAATGTAAGGCGCTTCTTGAAAAATGCGTATCTGGGTAGTAAGGCTCGTGTAATTTCTTCGCCCAGTTCGAGCAAACAAGGCAGAGGACAGGATGGCTCTTCTCTACCTCGTTTGCTTACCAGGTTGTTTGTTGATCCAGCAGTCAAGTGCGCTCAAATTCACCTCCCAAATGTCCTCAATATAGTATTCACCAAGTCATCCGGCCCGTCACAAAACATCAACTTCAGTGGACGGTCACCATCCAGCTGATTCTTCGCCCTCCTCACCACTTCCTCGACAGCCAAACGTACGATCTTTTCGAATAGAACGGTACATTGCTTGTTGCCTCTGGTACACCAGCCCACAATCACGCCATCCCATGCTTGCTCCTGCAACTTGTCGGTCAGCGCTGCCAATGTTGCTTTGTTGGACACAGAATGAGAGTGGATTCATCTGATTGATTGTGTTCTGTCCTCTGGCTTTTCAGAGAGACTCTGCCTGTCTATATACTATTTGCCCTGTGGCAAGAAGCGATCCACTGAATAGATCTGGACCTGGCCAGATCTGTCCAGACCTCGTTGTCGATCAACGGTGGCACCGAGGCTATTATAGAGAGGCCTCGGTTGAAGCATTGGTGGATGGTTTGCCACAGTGGCGCTCTCTGTCAACATGCTTCCTCATGGAGAGGATCTAGGTTGCATCCCTGGTTGTTAAATCTTCGTTGCTGCTCAGGCGTAGCTTTTGAACTCCAGTCCTCTTCAATGACTTCGGAGATGTCATGACCAGCGAGGTATTTGGCAAGGGAGATGGTGAGGATGGATTTGCTGGAGACCTCGCTTTCGCTGTCGACGAAATGAGCTTGCGTATCCATCGGTGCTTGTCTCTCAATAGTGGCAACGCTGCTTTGATACTGCTTGTGGTTTCAAGCCTGCGATACCGAGAAGTTGGAAGATAGCCATTTGTTCGACTTTGAGAAATGGGCCTGAGCTGAGGTTATGTACGACATTCGGAGTTGTCAGGTCGATGTACGACATCTAGGTGCCTCCTATACTCAGAGGTACAATCTAGACCCTTTGTTGGGCCTTTCCAAGACCTTCGATACGTCGATCTCGAACATGCAGCTCACTTGTGTCTAGGTAAGTAGATTTGCACAGTCGATACAATCACAGAGGCTCTCGAAGAGGCGAGAGGAAACAGCGGCTGCAGGTTACTTGGTGCGCCGTTGGAAGTTGGTACGGTGGACCGTGGGCGCCCCGATGTGCTGTTCCGAAGCATGCTGGTTATGTTGGTGTCTCCAATGTCAACTCTTCACAGAACTGTCCACCATCCTCATTGACGAGCCCACTTCGCTTCTTCCATCTTCGATACTTCACGCTTGTATCATTCGAGAACAGCCACTCACACAATCATGGCTCTCGCTCTACGAAGAGCTGCCCCTTTGAAACCCGAAATCAGGCTGGCTCAGGCTCTTTCCAAATTTGAAGCCATTCTCAAGGACAACGATAAGAAAATGTTTTGATATTGGCGCGCAGGAAAACCTCCATTGGTCTCCGACGTCATGAAGCTTACGGCTGAGATTGACAAGAACAACAATCATCGCATGGGGGCTCTGATGCATGCAATTGATTATGAACATGAAGAGATGGTGAAGATGTTACTCACTCGAGACGATCTCGACGTAAATGTAAGGGACAGGCACGGACGCACTGCGTCACATCGTGCCAGTATGTATGGAGGGGTCTCGATTTTGGTGGAACTATTGCTTCAACAGGATGATATTGATACGGAGATCAGAGATGGGGTTGGTCGGACGCCGCTGGACCGGGCCATTGAGGGCAAGAATCAGTTGGCTATTAAGGCATTGAAGAATTGGCGCGGCGACCGTGATATCGAGCATTAGATGAAATCAAAGACAAAGCTCCTTTTCGTCTCACTTTAACAGCAGATAATCTGAGTTGCTCCCTCTCTTGAGCTCTTGTCCGTCCGGAATGCAATTTTTTCCAGTCGCACTGGGTCGTTCTTTTCAAGAAGCAACCGACACGCGAGCTGGCGACCTGTGGAGGCTCTTCGCGAGCGAGGCGTCCTCCACATCCTCGAGTTCAATAACTGGAAGCGGCTTTGTGAGGTCAGGAGAGTATGAGGTCGGCCGAAAATGCTTGATCGGCTTGACCAGCTGCTTGTCCGGGCAGCTGGAGGACTTTGTGGTCGTCCGTCTTGCCGCCACAATATCTTGCCACATCTCCTGAATGAAGTTGAAGTTTATCGACAGGGGGTCGAAGAACTCGGCCAACAGCTGCCAGACGGTGTCGAGGTGCTGGATGTCCGGGTAGAGCCAGACGATCTGCTGTACAAACCACCATCTTTCAGGCTGATTTCGAGATGCCATCGTGCCCGCCAATAATACGTTGAAGAGCGTGGTGTGGCAGGTCGAACCCATGGTAGGGAGATCCATGTTTGAAAGCCGGTACTGCAATTCGAGCAGATTCGAGCGCACGATGAGTGCCGAGGTGTTGAAGCTGATGCAGTTCAGATACATCCAGAAGAACAGCGCAATCTGATAGCACCGCTGCATTTCGAGATGCTCTGGCTCTCCCAGAAACCTACAGCTTTCGGGGTCCATCCGCGAGATGGCCGTCGCACTCTCTGGCATTAAACTCGAGCTCGGACTCTCCGGGCGCCAGGCTAGCATGCGCCCAGCGAGATGCGCTCGATGTGAATACCATTCGCGGTCAGACCTCCAGAATTTCCTGTCGATCTCGACTACTTCATTTCGGCGCCCTTGAGCTTTGCTGTGGGCCTTGCGAAGTAGCACAACCGAGCGACTATGGAGGAATGCGCCGATGATGTTGACTTTGGATCTAAGAAGCACAATCAGCCCGACTACCATATTCAGAGACGGCGCAAAATATTACTCACACAGCCAGTTCTGTTTCGAGCAAATTTTCATCCGTGTCAAGAAGTAGCGACATCCGTTTGAGCGCTTGGAGGTGCATTCGGCCGCTCTCGCCGTCTGCCAGGAGCACCTAGAACGGATCAGATTTCTTCAAGTCCACCAACGGCCTGGTCCACCCCATCTTTCTGACTTACCGAAAGCCGGTACAGGAACAAGATGGCTTGATAGCATGATTGATCGACAACTTGGTTTGGATCACTCAGAACGGCATTCAGCTCGGCCAGGCATCTTGTATGGAGGCGTAACCACGACGGGATCTGCCACGTGGACTTCTGGCCCTTTTCGGTGGGCGGCGGCAGCACCACACCCGGGCCCCTGAGCAGATAATATGAACGTTAGTCATTGGAATCGGAGACAGATGCAGGAACCACGCCCATCTCGTGCAGGATGTGCGATACGCATATGTTTCGCCTAAGGAATTAGAACGCTGGGCAGGGCCGGCTCACCCTCTGAGCATTCCGGAGAGGAATACCGAAGCATATGTCGCAACGGCATAAGTCAGACAGGGCGATGCCTGAATCTGGGACAGGTTGTCCAACCACTTCCACGACTGCAGCAAATGGGTCGCAAACGGCCTGATGGTCCAGAAATAGAAGTAGAGATTTGCCTTGATTTCGACGTCGTACCTCATGGCCGCGGAGGGGGTGAAGATGTCGAAGAATTGACATCCCAGCATGGTCAAGGGCGAGGCTGCCCATGCTTCGTATTCTGTCAGATCGCGCTCCCAGGGCTTGATGGCCACGCGTGGTTTCTGTGATGTTGGCGTGCAGTGCTGGCCCATGCGTATGAGGGCGCCACTTTCTCCGTCGGTGGGTTCATCCCTGTGAATCCGGTGATGCTGGTGATGCTGCTCAGCTCCGTCGTCATTGTTTGGAGGGCCTGCAGGCGTCTTGGGGTAATTAGCGGTGGGCAATCTCTGGAGATAGGACGATGTCCCGTGCAAGATGGCCTTGGTTGTCGAATCGAGGGCGAGGTCCCGGTGGTTCGCCTTGCTCCAGTACCGGTAGCGCGAAGAGATGTGCGATGTCTTTGCCGACTTGATCGCTTTCGTTGTCCTGGAGGGATTCTGCGCATCGCCCACGATGAACATCAACGGTGGAGGTTTTCGGCTTCGACTCATGATACTGCGCGGGGTCCTTGTGGCTGGGTTACAAGGGGCATTGATGGCTCTTAGAGGCCGCTGCTGAGTTTGACAGGCATCACCCCGCTCTTGGGCCCTCGGCTTGTGAGTGGTGTTGATGTTGTTGTCGCTGTTCCTTCTGCTTCGCACATCACAACTTTCTTCATCCTCAGTCTCTCTCGTGTTCCGTGCTAATCTTCAGCTCTGAGATCGGCCCTGCGGAAGCCCGACCGAATAATTTAAGCGTCAAGGCCTAGGCTATTGGGTCGGAAACGGCCCCTGGTCCAGCATGTGCTGTTGTATGCGATTACTCAGGTTCGCTTAAGTGCTACCAGAGCTGGCCAATACAAGAGAGATGGGCCACTAAAGCTCCTTTTACAGTTGGGCTAGTGAGGCGCCCGGATGGAGTCGCCCGCACCAGAGCGGCCCAGATTTGGGGACCGAGCCCGGACCTTGTCGTTCTAGGTACTTATGTACCTACTTAGATCGGTCCGTCAGTGGGAGACTTCTTTTGGCATCCAGTCGCCTATTTTGTGTCGCACATAAATACGAGATCCGGCTGCTGCAACGGGTGCTGGTTCTGGAAAAGCGCTTGCAAGCGATTATTCAGACTTTGCTACACTCAGGCACGGCGACTTGAAAACCAACAGTCTGTCTGAGGGGCCGAGTATGTCGTCCTCTACATCTTCTTACAGGACGGACATGTCCTTCATTATACGAGCATGATCTGCTTGACTAGGCGACATGGCCGCCAGCATCACCTCCAAGCCAGCTCTCGACAGCAATGTCTCTACCGTCGAAGTCCATCCGGTTAAGGCGTCACCGAGTCGTGAGGGAAGTGGTCCGTCGCCATCGGGATCCATACGCAAGTATATATGGGCTGTGATCTGGTGCCTCTATATGCTGTGGTGTGTCCTAGCCAACAATTATGCGAAGACGGCCGGGCAATCAGTCCTCGGCATCCCTCAATTTCGAAAGGACTTTGGCAGCGCTTACGAGGGTAACTACGTCCTGTCGGCCAAATGGCAGTCGGCATACTACGGCGCTCCTCAGGCAGCGTAAGATATGGTTCTCTTTCAAGTCCAACTGGGGGCTTCGGCTGATTCTTCCACTCCAGCGCTGTCATGGGTGCATTGAGTGCGGCGTGGATCGCGGACAAGATAGGTCGCAGGTTTGCACTTGGATTCATCTTTGGCGTCAGACTCGCATCCATCACTCTGGAATTCGTCTCTACCACGAACTATATCTTCTTCGCGGGGCGCTTCTTGGGTGGCTTCTCCACGGGCGGTACCAACTCGATATGCATGGCTTACATCGGGGAGATCACGCCCTTACCACTACGCGGAGTTCTCACAGCTGCCGTCCCCATCTCTCTCATCATCGGAGCGCTGTCATCTGCACTCGTGGTCAACTTCACCGGCGACCAGTCCACCCGCTGGGCTTATCGGATTGCTTTCGTGTCCGGCTACGGCTTCATGGCCATTGCGGCGCTGGTGCTTCCGTTCATGCCAGAATCACCCTGGTGGCTCGTCAGCCATGGAAAGGACGAAAAAGCAATCAAAGCTCTGAAGAAGATTGGTTATTCCACCGACGTCGATACCGACCTCAAGATGGCAGAAATCAAGAGGGTGTTGGCCAAGACTAAGGAGGAAACGTCTGGTGCGACGTACATCGAATGCTTCCGCCGGTCGAACTTGCGCCGCACCATCATTGCGGCTATGCCTTTGACCATCCAAACCTTCTCGGGCGTGGCGTTCGTCGGATCTTACACGACTTATTATCAACAACTCGCGGGCTACAGCACCGCAGCCAGTTTCCATTTGTTCATTGTCCAGCAGGTTCTATCCGGTGCGGGCAACGTCTGCTCATGGTTCTTGGTGGATAGAGTCGGAAGGCGACCTCTAACGCTATGGGGCATGGTCATGCTGACTCTGATTCTTTTGATCACTGGAGGTATGTGCGGACTCCGTTGGTGGTGTCGTTGCCATCTCGCTGGATAGACAAAATGTCCCTTGCTGTTGGATGAATCGAGCAGACTCGAGCGTCATCACACAGCTGCTGACGGGATGGTGATGCTCTCTCTAGGCCTTGCCGCTTCAGGCACGCCGCCGGCCATCAAAGGCACGATCACCCTCCTCCTGCTCTTCTCCTTCGTCTACAATGCCACCATTGGCGCCACCGCTTTCACCATTCTCACTGAGATTCCAACAGCCCGACTACGGGCCAAGACGGCATCCATATCAGTGGGATTGCAGAGCGCTCTCTTTGTAAGTGTAACCCAACCGTACCCGCAACTGCAACTCCAACGGCATCTGCACCTTGTGCCCCTCTACATCCTTCCTTTCTCTTCTCATCTCTCGCCGAGCCCCCTTCCATTCTGGCAAAAGCCACGCGTAAGACACACGCACACACTAACCGAGAGTCGAACGTGCGCCAGACCATGTGGGGCTTCGTCCTACCATATCTCTTCAACCCGGACAAAGCGAACCTGGGCGCCAAAGTGACCTTCATATTCGGCGCGCTGTCCGTGCTCTCGATCGTCTATCTGTGGCTGTGCCAACCCGAGTCGGCGGGCCTGAGCTACGAGCGCCTGGACGAGCTGTTCATCGCGCGCGTCAAGGCGACGCGGTTTGAGGAGCTGGGCCGCGGAGAGCTTGGACGGAGTGAAAGCGAGGGAAGCGAGGATGGCATGGGAGTAGGAGCCGGAAAAGGGAGGGTGGATGAGAAGGCCGAGACGGCTGTTTAAGTAACGAAGTCGTGGGAAGGATGTAGGTAGTATATTTTATCTCGCGTCTAGCACTTAGTGTTTGGTATCTTCCTAGAGGCTAGTATTCCCGTCCAGTCCGAATCGATCCACCGTATGCAGGTAAGGGCTATGACTACAAGCAGATAATGCCCGAGTGTTCAATGCCAGAATGAAGAGTTAAAAGGTTGTAAAAGTGTGCACAAGTATGTCGACGCTAAACCAACAAGGTGGACCGTGAAAGCGAGCGCATTTTCTCCTTGCGGGAGTTTCGTAGACTGTGCTGTGATGAGATCGTCTCCCGCGTTAGCAAAGTACCGGTTCCCCAATCCACCCCAGCCCAGCCCAGTCCGGAACAGCCAAGTCCATGCACACACACTTGCCCAGACGCCGAGAACGCCGCCTCATGTCATGTCTTCAAGTCATAAAAGCCAAGGGTCGAGTTCGGCGTCACAGATGGCTTTCTGCCTACGCTCACTTGGGCTTGACAATCTCCTGGCCGAGAAGCCCTCAGGATGGCGGTGGGAACACTTTCTTCAAAATACTCTCTTTCTTCCCGCCTTCCTTACCCACCGCCTTCCTCGCGACCTTGCTCCCTAAGGAGGAGGTCGTGGGGGGCGGAGCGAACTCGGTCTGCACATTCAGGACTTTCCCTCCTCCTCCTCCTCCTCCTCCTCCTCCTCGTCGCAGTTTCTCCTGCCTCGCGCGAACCGAGTTATCGTCCTCGCTTCGGCCTTTGCCGGCGCCGAAGGGGAAAGTGGACGTCGGATTCTCGAGGGATATATTCGTGTGGCCCAGCGTCAGGGGCGCGAAAGCTGGGGATGGGAAAGATGAGATTTGGGGCTCCAAGCGTCCCGTCTGTTGCTGGGAGAATAAGAGCGGAACACCCGTGGCGGGTGTCAGTGGGGAATTGGAGTATGAATCTTGTGTAAAGGAGCGGGCGTATTGAGTGATCGGCATCGAGGAGTGAGATATGGGAGACACGGGGTCATGAGCATCTGCGGTGCTCGGTGGTTCTCTGGTCGAGGTTGGATGGTCCTGTCGCCGTTGTTGCTCCTGTTGTCGCTGACGCTGCTGCTGCGTTGCGTTCTGAAGGAAATTCTGGTATGCCTGGTGTTGTTGCGAGTTGAAGTCAAACGCGAACGTTGCCATTTCACTGCTGTCCCCCCTCTGTGCTTCTTCATCAAGGCTGGAAAAGGACGATGGTGACCCTTTACCTTTCCCCGCCGTCACAGTGATTGTTGACGCACTGTCGATCCCTTTTCCTTTCATGGCTTGTCTCGCTTGTTCCCGCCACATTCTTCGCTGCATATATTTTCTGAACAGCCAGAAGATGGCGAATGACAGTCCGATACCCCCAATCACACCCGCCAAAATCGCCCCGGTTAATCCAGACGTGCCGAAGCCTGATAGCTTGGTTTCTGGAGCAGGTGTGGGCATGGTGTTAGGACACAGAGTTCGAGTGAATACGTAGGGAGCATGCGGCAAGGCATTTGCGAGGTGGAATGTGGGTGGAGCGGAGTCGTAGCTGGCGATGAAATAGAGTTGAGAGAGGAACGCGGAGCCGAACAAGTTGATTGTCTCGTTTGTAGTATTATCTGGAACGCTGCCAGTAGAAATTGGGGAATAGTTGGAGGCGTTTTTGAGCCAGTCGGAGTCATATGTGATAGTCAATCCGGACTCAAGGGTAATAATTAGCTTCGAATCGAAATCGTCTGGGAGGCGGAAGACCTCAAGGTCATTATTTGAAGGTGTCGCGCCTGTTTTCTGGGCAAATTTTTGAGTAACGTCGCTGGGGAGGTTTAGGTGGTATTGCGACGTGGTGAGATGGGCATTAAAGCTCTCTGTAAGGAGGTCTGTCTTCGTCCCATCAGTGGCGGTGAGCGTCATCTGTTCGACGGAAACCACGAAGGGACTGTGGTGGGCATCCGGTTGAGCGGGGCTAATGGTGAAATTATGCACGTCGCCATCAAATCGACCCGAGTCATAACCGCCTAGGGTTAGAGAACCGTTGATTGCGCCGTTGGCTTGTTCGTAGGCAGTTCCCATGTACAGGCCAAAAGACCGTGAAGAGACCAATTGGAGATTGTACAAATGGTCCAGGAGAGTACTTTTCGGTCCGAGGCCGAGCAAACCTGCTGGACCAAACCACGGAGTCGTGTTACCTGAGTAATTTGACATTATCGTAACCGGGAAGTTCGGGATTCGAGTGATATTTGGTGGCGAAGGGTCGTAGTAGTGCGTGAAGAGGTTGAAAGCGTCGAATGCCGTCTGAAGAATACTGGCAGGGATTGATCCATAGGTATCGAGTGACTCATATGATGAGCCCGAGGAGTAACTGTAGGGCCATGTTAGCATCCACGGCGACAGGAACAAAAACTTGAATGCTCACTTTTGTGACAAGTCTGGTGAATAGAACCCATGGGCATGATTAAGACAGTCTTTGAAGGGGCCGTTTGTGCAGTAGTCAAGGCTGGCCACTGTTGTCTCGTTGTTCGAGAATGACGGCCAGTGCGACATGTTTTGCGATACCGGGAAACCAGCCCCGGTAAACAATCCATATTGCTCGTTGACCCCACCGTCGACAGCTCTGGCGTGGAAGTCGACGTAGATCGGGACAATAGAACAGTTGTTCTGTGCGGCAACAACGGAGACAAAGAGAAGAAAAGCTCCCAAAACCGCGGCCATGATTTGAAGCAGTCAAAGAAAACAAGTTCGACACGCGGGCAGTATGGGCCAACAGTTAGCGACCGCCGCTCTGGTAAGGCTGGTGAGCAGCAAAATGGCGAATGCATACAAAAGGAAAAAGGAGATAGAACGACGATGACCCCAGAACCACTTACAGAAAGAAGAAAATGATACAGATGGGATGAGGCGATACAAGAGGAAAACTGATGACCATACAGTTCGCAGGTATCTTCAAGACTTGCGGTGGTCAGCTTGGCCGACTTGAGCATTTACGAGCAAAAGCTGAAACGGACTGAGGTAGGACGGAGGCGTTACAAGAGACGCCGCACTGGGGAAAGGCCATTGATGCAGTGCGGTTGTCATTTTTGTCATTTTCTGCAGTAGGCCGCATCTTGGGCAGCCTGGGAATATGTCGAGAGGCGGGAAAGACACGTCGGGACCAGGGCTTGACCAGGGCCGACGGATGGTGTGGCCTGATGCAAGCAGCAAGCAGGCGTCAACGGCACCGAGAGGAGGTTTGACAGATCAAGTCGGGTTTCCATTTTTAGAGAAGGCAATCCAGCTTGGCGCCTGCCGAGGCCCAATCGGAATGTCGCTTGGCGGCTCACTGATCGCCGGTGATGCTTGGGCCAATGAGAATACAGAAGCATATGGGGCGGATCAGAATGCCGAGCTTTGTATAGCCACAATCTGGTCCGGCAGATGGCCACTCATACAACCCAAGAGCATACCGAGCCGTGCGCAATTGCCGCTCAGTCATATCCTAAATTTTGTCTCCAGGATATCGGAAATTTCGGGAAACCCTGCACAAGACATCCTCTCTATCCAACCAAGGTGTCTCGCAGGGTCCGGCCCTTTTATTAAGTATGCGACCGACAGGTCGTTGTCGATCCTTAGGATTTTGGCTTCTTTCTCACCAAGCTGGACAGCAATGTATTGGCGGTTGCTGCAGACGCTCCTAGCGTGCTCTCAACTGTGGTGGTGCCTTTCTCCATTGTGTCCGCCTTCCTCTTTTTGCGGATGCCAGTCAGCATGTTAACTTGGGCTGATGACACAATGTCCGGCACTGGGGGCTGAGCCAAGACCCGGGCGGCACGGCCATGTATGGGACGCCCAAATGAGGCCACCTGTGACAGTTCCAAAGCCTTGTCGATCCAGCTTCTCGTGGACTTTGCAGCGAGGCTTTCACCAGCAAAGTCAGTCTGCAAAAGATGATCCATCAGGGCCTGGTACTCATGAACGTTCATGACAAGCTCGCCCTGCGTGTCCTCGGTCGCGGATAACATTGACTTCTCAGCTAGTGCTGGCGCAGGAGCACCTTGGTTTGCATTTTGAATTTGTTCGAGGGTGTTCGATCCAGACTCGGGCTGTACAGGGGAAGAGGAAGGCGGTGAGCTGGGTTCTGCGATCATTTCGAGGGCCGTAGCAGTCAGCGGGTCTGATTCCGTCACGCCGGTCTCCTGCTGCTGAGAATTGGCAGGGGTAATAAGGCTCAATTGAGTGGGTGTCTTGTTGAGATTCTCTATCTGAACGGTTTGCGCAAGCTCGCCTAGAGCAACGTGTTTAGTCTGACCCCGGGAGAAGACCAACCAAAGAAAACCAACTAGTCTTCCGGCAGAACATTCCTGTCTATAGGACATCATCTCCCAAAACTGATCAAGACTTTTGACACTCCGCCAGTTTCCCTTCTCGTCGACAAAGTCGCCATTCAGGTCATCGAGAAACCGTGCTTTTGGGTCGTCGGGAAGGTGGGGAACCACGTGCCTGGGAGGTATCGATGGATCAGTCACCAAAAGGCTGGCTGGATATGAATTGACCCATTTCGGATCTGAAGACGAATCCGCTCGACTCGATGGCGGGAAAAAAGCCTTGGTTTCGCTCTTGTCGCATCCCGGGACCAAGAGATGGGCAGTAGCCATTGAATCATGCCTAGGATGCCGTAACACTCTATCAAGCACTCGACACCACCACTTGATGAGCTGACGGTCGTCCAAAATGTGTTTTCCCGCATTCTCGGAACTTCCCGGGAAAAGATATTGGTTCTGCGAGCGGGCGAAAAGAGACACGACAACCCTTGAACTGGCCAGACGAGGTTCGAGTAAGAACTCTACAAAGGTAGACGTGATGGCAGCGACGGCAGACGGAGAGCGTTTTTGTTGATTGAGACGTAAAGAGAATCCTGAAGAGTCGGCTTTGGAAACAAACAATGTGACCAGGGACCGGGTTGTGAAGATCAAAATCTCGATGGCGTAGACTAAGACCTCTTCATGGCCATGATGCTCGGGAGAGGACACAACCAGAAAATGTGACTCGCAGAGAGTGGCTTCCTCGTCATGGCCATTTAGAGGCGCGAACAGGGCAGGTGCTGGTGTAGGCGGAGTTGACAAATGATATGCCCGAAGATCCAGACCAAGTGGGAGGACGGCGGCAAGTCGCGACGGGAGAGACAGCTTTTCGGCCATGTCTTCCTACATAGGTGCCTAGGTGTCTAGGTGCCTGGGGTACATGGTGAGGCGCGAATAGAATCTTTGGTAAATGGAATGATGAGCCGAAGATTTGTCAATTTGTGGGCAAGGTTGACAAGGCCAGGCCGGAAAGATGAAGCCGGTGAACAATCAAGGAAAAGGAGAGAATACAGGGTCGAGACGCGCTGTCCCGTCTGGGTCTAGTGCAGTTTTATCAGCCAATAACAACCAGGCTACGCTGAACCCCACAGTCTCAGCCTCACTCCGCGACCCCAACGCATTCTAGCCTCCGGCTTCCCCTCCTCTGCCCTCCTCCAAGACCAGGCTCGCTGTCAATTTGCCTTGTGTCCCACCTTGCCTTCCAGCCTGACATATAAAGTCTGAAGTCGACTGAGCTCTGGAAATTCTCTACCACCGTCCTTGTAAGTGTCTTTGGTGTTTGCTGTGCATTTTCGTCCAGACCTCCTTGCAGAGCGGCGCCATCCACAATGGAACAAAATGCACTAGAGTATAGCGACAACGATATCAATGTAACTCCACAATCTACTGTCCACATCACGCTCTGTCTGAGGGGTGCCACCGGCCTCCTTGCACCAGAAGCCGTGCCGCCTCCACCACTGAGACCGCTTCCATTCAGAACAATATCGAATGCAGTGAGGCCAGTCGAAATGCCGTGCAACGCTGGTGGTCTAAACGCTGTCCGTGAGAACGTTCGGGATGGATTGGCATCGGGGACATTCAGCCGTACAACGCCCTACTGGCCGTCGACACCTCGTCAGCTAGAGATACCTACCTTTATATTTGGACGACCTTCTATGGACCAGACCGTCCCAGAAACTCAGCAACCCCGAGTTCCGGCAGGTGAAAAGCAGTCTGATGTGGTATCGGCTTGTGGTGGTTATGCCACCGACCGCTATGAAGAAGAGTCTGAAACGGAGTATGACGCGGCAACGAAGGCACATTTTAGCCAGCACTTGGGTGTCATCGATTGCAGCAGCGGGTTCCATTCTCAACATCAGAAAGGGCAGGAGGCGGGAAACGCTGCCCTATGGGACTATAACTTGCAACTGCGGTTGCTGGAACAGCAGAACAAGGAACGGTTGATGGCGTACAGGGCGAGCGCTACATAGGCGCAGAAATATACAAAACGGACGCAGGTCGACTAGCTCTTCCCTAAGGGCATATATGACGATTATTCAGGATATGGCACTCGTCCTTTTTCGCTGCGTGAATGACTTGATATGGCAACACCCTCAGGCGCTTGGTTTTTCCATTTCTGCGGTGGAAAATAACACGACGCCGGCAAACCTTCCTTATGTGGCGATGAGTAACGTGAAGGAAAGAACCTTCTCGCCCCTGCGACAACTTCGAGCCCAACCTTTGGAACTTCAAGATCCCACGCACGACTGCTCCATCCAGCCGTACTCTTCACATATCGTCGGTCTAGAGTCCTTCCTCTGGCTCCTCGGGCTACTGTGCCGTAGCTCACGCTTTTGATGCTCCGCGAAATCATTGTTACATGAGTATATCTGCGCTCTGTGGACAGGCCGTGTAACGAACCACCATGCTGTAGCTGACCTCCAGGCCGTTTTCGCTCTCCTACTTTCCTTGCTAATGTATCATGTCTATCACCAGTCCCGAGAAAGAAGAAACGCGCAAAGAGGGCAGTCCTCACAGTGACGAAAATAGAGAAGCGGACAACCATGATTCCTCGCCTGCAAAGCCCATAGACCAAGATCCAGAAGCCCGACATCCCACAGAGACATTGGCAGCCAATCCTCCTCTTCCTACCGAGGAAGAGCCTCCCCCATTGCCCAACGAGGCTCCACCCACTCAGCCAGTCGATGATGGCTGGGCACCGATCTGGGACGACCATGCTCAAGCATTCTATTTCTTCAACCGATTCACAAACGTAGCACAGTGGGAGAATCCGAGAGTACCAGAGGCATCAAGTCAAACCAGTCCACCAGGAGTTGGGAACCACGATAGAATAGTGGGAGAACGGGGACCTCCTGCAAACAGGGTTGGCGGATACGATCCTTCCATTCACGGTGATTACGACCCCAATGCCGATTACGCCAAAGCCTACGAGACCTCGTCGGTGGACACCGCACCCGGTGTTGCTCCAGGCACAAATCCCGCCGATATGTATGCCGCATCAGGCACCTTCAATCGCTTCACGGGGAAATGGCAGCGAGCCGATCTCAATCCAGAGAAATTCACCGACGAGCAAAAGAGCCGACGGCAGATGAATGCCTTCTTCGATGTGGACGCTGCCGCAAACAGTCATGACGGCAGAAGCCTGAGAGCCGAAAGGGCAAGCAAGAAATTGACCAAGGCAGAGCTTAAAGCATTCAAGGAGAAGCGGAGGGAGAAAAAGGAAGAGAAGCGGCGGGCATGGTTGAGGGATTGAACACCGGTTATGGCCAGGCCCAGCATTGCGTGATGGATCAAAGGCACGAGAGCAACAGGACAGCCAGTAGCTTTGCATTATTGTCACTGTTTGTACTTGGTACAGAGCATACTGTGTCTAGATGAGCCTAGGTAGTATTCTACAAGTACAAGTAGTACGATGGCTCACCGCGGTTCAGCAGAAAGCGGGAATTTCGGAACTCGACACGATTTTCTCGAACGAAATTCAAAACCCACCAAGTAAAAATCATGATTCTTGTTGTACCTGGGTAGACTCTCTTTCATCCCCTTGCCTCACGTTCCTTGCTCATTGCTCATTGCTCATTGCTCATTGCTCATTGCTCATTGCTCATTGCGTCCGACATGCGACACTCATGCTCAGAGATCATATCGCGGTGATTTGCATCGCTTGGTACATTTTCATAGCCTGCGTCTGCGCCATTGGTTACGTTTGTCTGTGCGTCTGGCGATTTTGTCGCAAATCCCACCCTCTTTCAATCACCTCCCGCTCTCTTACTGACTGCGGCTTACGTAGGTTTCTCTATTATCGTCAAGCCCCTTCCCGAGGTGCTGTCCTCTCTCCGTCGGCAAAGCAAGACATCCCCAATGTCACCGTCATTCGCCCTTGCAAGGGCGTTGAACCCTACCTCTACGAATGTCTCGCTTCGACGTTCCAACAAGATTACCCTCGGGATAAGATAGCAGTGCATTTCTGTGTCTCGTCGCGATCCGACCCGGCTTACGGAATCATCGAGAAAGTGGTTAATGACCACCGAGGCCACAATGCGCGGGTATTTATCGAAGAGGAAGACGACGGGGTTGCCAATGGAGATGAAGAGGAGAGCAATTATCGCCGGTCTCTGGGTCCTAATCCCAAGATCCGGAATATGAGCAAAGCATACCGCGAGGCAGGGGAGCGGGATCTTGTCTGGATCCTCGACTGTAATATCTGGGTGGGCCAGGGCGTTTGTGCGCGCATGGTTGACAGGTTATGTGGTTCCACGAGAGAAGGACTCCCACCAGCAACACCATATAAACTGGTCCATCATCTCCCCATATCGGTCGATGTGGACGTGGGCTCCGACAAGTCTGATGTACGGGTGGCAGACTCATCGTTCTACAGCAACGCTGCTGCCACAACACCCCAAACTGTCAGCAAATCTCCCATTGGTATCCTGGCTAGATTAAACCCCCTCAAGCAGAGTGCGGGTGGCCGCGTCGAAGAACTCTTCCTCTCCTCCTCCCATGCAAAGATGTACGTTGCCATCAACACCGTGGCCGTCGCGCCCTGCATCCTGGGAAAGTCAACCATGTTCCGCCGGGTGCATCTGGACTATCTCACGTCCCAAAAGGTCATCGAGGAAGTCTGTCGTGACGGGAGCAGCGACCTGAATGGCCAGAATGCAGACAACAAGGATTCGCAGAATACCAAGATTGGCATTGATTATTTCTCGCACAACATCTGCGAAGACCATCTCATCGGCGACCTCCTCTGGAAATCCTCAGTGCCACCTGCCCCTGGTGTTCCACGGAAAATGAGGAACCACGGACTGGTATATGGCGACCTCGCAATCCAACCAATCAACTCAATGTCACTCCAGTCTTACATGTCCCGGCGTGTTCGGTGGTTGAGGGTGAGAAAATTCACGGTGCCGGTCGCGACGCTGGTTGAACCTGGCACGGAGAGCTTTCTCTGCTCGATGATGGGCGCTTGGGGCTTGACAACTTGCAGCGCAACGAAGGGGTGGGCCGGGGAGTCGTGGGGGAGATTTTGGATGTGGTGGTGCGTGAGCATACTCTGCTGGATGGCGGTGGACTGGACCGTATACTTGTTGTTGCACTCGGGTAAGACTGTGGAAACATCCACGTCCACGTTCACATCCACGTCCTCATTTACAAGGTCCAACACAGACTTGGCAACTGGAGCCGAAAACGGAGGAGACGATTATGTCAAGGTACCTGCATTCGCCAGACCACTATCGGCAGCTATACGCTCGCGGCGGAGATTTACAATCTGGCTCCTCGCCTGGCTGGGCCGCGAATCCCTTGCCCTCCCCATTTGGACGTGGGCGATCTGGGGCGGGACGAGCGTGACCTGGCGCGAGCGGCGGTTCTGGGTCGGGTGGGATATGAGAGTGCACGAGATCCGAGACGGGAAGGACGATCGGCGGTGCAGAAATGAGGACGAGGGTGGAAGTCCGATGGAGAAGACTAATGGACGTGCAACGAGTATGACTGTGAATGCGAATATGAATGCGCATGTGAATGGGGCTCTGAGGGAGCGGAAAGCGCGCGATAGTATCGAGTGAGTGAATGGGTGACAGGGTGAGCGAACGACATGGCTGCGCAGATACTGCGTGACCAGCCCAGTCCTTGTTACGAAAAATCGTTCTGAAGAAAATACCCATGTACGAGGCCAGTGAGTGACAGACGGGATAGACAGATAGACGGACAGACAGACACGGAATCGATGATGAGCCGGCTGCGAGACGCAGGATATCACACAACAGTCAGACAGGCCCTAGAGTACATAGGTAGAATTGCCTCTTAATGCTACATAATATGCCATGCCATGCACGAAATCTCCACAAGGCTGAGAAAAACAACCCTGAAGCATCTATCAGCCCCTGCCTTCTCTTCCGCATGGCTTCGTGTTTGATTCATTTATGTGTCTTTGTATCTGTCATAGGCACCCTGGCGTAGGCAGGTACACTCAGTCCATACATACATGTTCTTGGACTCATCTTCCTCGCAAGACAGTTCGGTTCATCCTCCTTCGTTCACTCTCACGTCGCTCTTCTCTTCGAGTTCTAGCTAGGCGCACTGAGGCAGCTGGTGCTATGGAGGATGGGAAGGAACGAACACCACGCGGCCCTTTGATTGACTCTCTTCATATTTCGTTTGTTGGTTCGTTCCTTTACCTCCCTCTGTCTCTCAACTCTCTCATCTCTAACATGCACACATCCACATGTTAAAATCAGAACAGGTGTCTCCGCTCTTTTCTCGCCGTACACATACTCATCCCATCAGTCATGGAGTCAGATTGCCAAAAATCAACCTCTCATTATTACCCGCACATCATCCCATCATTAGAACAGCAGGTCGACGGGGGAGAACGTCAGTTCGACCAGCACAGCTCTGAACATGGTCGTCGCCGCAAGGAATGGGCCGCACCCAAGATTCCCCGCCAACTGGCCAGTGCTACCCTCTCGAGCCACTCTACGGTCAAAACCCTCGCTTTCCACCGTAAGCCGTTTCGTTCAGACATTCTAATCTGGAATGTCAACCCCTCCAGCGAGACATTGGAGTACTTGGCTTCCTGCCCTGGGCGGAAGAGGAACACGCCAGCCGTCACTCTATACTCGGGGACCGACGACACTAGTCCTGTCCTTGGAGCGGCCCATTTTCGCTGCTCTCACCAGACCATATTCGGAATAGGAGATCCTAAGACGGATCCAAATGGCGTGATGTGGGAGCAGATGCAAAGTTCGTCCAGGTGGCTGGGCAGGAGCAAGTTCAAGTTCGAATTCACTGACTGTGGGAAATCGAATGCTGTGGATAGTCGCTCAAGTCTCCCTTGCAGGCGACACCTCTGTTGGCAGAGAACTGTAGATCCTGCAGACGGCGTCGATAACGTTACTGCGAAGGTCTCAGTGAGGAAATACCGGCTGATGGATCAGGTTGATGGGCAAGTCCTGGCTGTGTTCGTGGCGAGCGATCTCAACTCTGTCAGGAAGGGGGGTGAGCTCCGGGTCCTCCAATGGCTGAGTCTGGGTCTCGAGACGGCGGTCATCTTGACTTGCGCCAGCATATCGGAGAGGTTGAGGCGCGACTAGTCAGGTACTTTACTCTTGGATCATTCCTGATCATGTTGAGTTGGCGGAAGATATCCACAAGCCTTCACCGCACGGGCGTCCGTGTGCATGAACAATTCAGTTTTCGAGGTTTGACTGTTGCTTGGAATCCATGCAGCTGGACAAGGCGTACCAAAGGCTGAACAAGTCGTTAGTTGAAGTATAGGAGCTCGCAAAGGTTCCTTACCCATTGCATGTTTGCTTCATGGTGACAGCAAGGCTCTGTTATCCTTGTAGTCACAGTATCGCCGTGAGTCCCGTCTCCTGGCACTTTGTGGTATCTGATCTCGAGGGTTCCGTCTTTTACACGATCAACACTGTCAACCTTGATACGCTGTACCCTCATTAAAGTCTCGCCGTATGCTTCTTCGATTTCAACAACTTTTTTAGCCACGGCATAAGCTACACAGCTATTCCAGTGGCCTTCGACGACCTGCAAGTCTTGTAAGGCCTGCAGCGCGTTCCGGCGGATGTCGCGAACTCGGCATAGTGTAGCGATAAAATACAATGGCGAGATGAAACCCAGGTGCACCTTCAGGACAAGGTTGCTGTCCTCTCCCTTTTCCATCGTAGTATAGCCACTGCGCAGGAAAGTGCGCAGTTGAGCAAACATGATCCGAAAGTCTGCGGCTGCGCGGTTGTAACAGCAGTCGTTATCTGGTGGAAGAGTCTTCAAGATAAGAAGAGCCATGCGGTGGTGAGCAAGCAGCAATAGCTGCCAGTCCTTCAAGAGGGGTTCATCGAGTTCCAGGCTTGCTTTCCAGCGACCAAATGCGCTCGCCCAGTCACCAACGTACTTGCGGACTCCTGGGATCATGGGTCTCGAATGGTGTGGCTTGCCAAGTTCGAGAAGGAGGACCATATACACAGCCTGTTGTAAATGCTTGTTTGCTTGAGCCAGATCTTCAAATATCTCCGGCATGTCTGGTATGGCATAGGTCGCACCTTCTGTTGAGTTGACCTCGGGTCCCGTCTCTTCTCGGAGCGCATAGTTTTCCGACTTGGCCATGAAGCCGCGTATTATGGGCTCAATGAATTCGGCAACTTCTGGAGCAATTGTGACTTGTCTTCTTCGGTTCTCCGATATAATTCGATGGCCAGATTTCAAATGAGTGAGTCCTGCAGCGGATGCGCCCATCAGGAAATCACAGTGGGCGAAAAGGATGCATGAGATCAGAATGATTTCGAGTGGCAAGGCGCTTTGGCTCTGATTAATCTCAGTGATAGCCTTGGTGTAGTAGAGAGTGAAGGTGTGGTTCTGCCAGGGCGTCCGTTTCGTGAGCTCGATCCATTCATGCAGACTGCTCAACGCAGCCAAGCTATGACGGACACAGGCTTGAGTTTGACTGGCTTGAACAACCAAGCGGTTCCAAAAGCTCCATGCCGAGCTAGAGGAGTAGTGGACCAAGGCTTTATCGTCGACGAAGGAGTCCATCATCTCTGCGAAGTAGGAGGAAATCCGAGGAGCAGTGCATTCCACGAAGAACTGGGTGGGTCGATTGAGATCAGGCTCATTGTAGAAATGGATTGGGTTGCCGTTGTTGAACCAAGGGGCGATTTCTTCGGTCAGTGACCGTCCACGGGATGAAGGCTCAAACATCCACGCCTTTGGTTGCGTGTAGCCTTCGCACACTCGGCCGGCTTTGGCACATCGGAGGCATCGTGGGTGTGTTTCGTCGCCTAGGACATCGAGGAACATGAGTTAGCTCTAGGGCAAGATGCAGAGGACGTTAAGAGACGAGGTTACGTGACAAATAGACGCAGTCGAGGCATTGTTGCTAGACTCATCCGGGAGATTCACCAGCATGGAGTTTTGGAACTATAGCAATAGTTGGGCGACACGTACATTTGACCCTCCGATGTCTAGCTTTAGGTTAGCGAGGGTACAGAAAAGAGGGAACAGAGGGTCAGGCAGAGCAAGAAGAGTGGTAGGAGAGGGAGATGGGAAACAGATGAAGAAGCCATTGAGAGACGGGGTCCTGGAGAAGGGGGACGAGGATGGAAGGGAGATTGGCAAGCAAGCAAGCCATAGTACCTCGTACTGCGCTGGGTACTCGGTCCTTACCTGCAAGTTAGGCAGCCGGTGCGCACTTTGTGATGGCTTCGTTTCAATCTCGTCGGTGACCTTTCTCTCTCTCTTTCTTTGGTCTTTTCTCGTGCCCCTTCCGCTCTTCTATCTCCGAGTACTACCAGTGTGGATTCAGCTGGTCTTTGGGCGTCGACAACCTCAGATGCTCTGGACGGTTTGACACCTCGTTCTCTCAGCTGCTCAGCAACCGGCAATGGATGCCTGTCAGCAACCACAAGGGCCCGTGGTACCATCTCGTACACACAGATGTGGACATCTGGGTCAGAGCTGAAGGTTGCTGGAAGCTAATTCAGATCTTGTCGAATCCCTTCAAATCTCTCAGCTAGGAAATGATGTGTTTAGTATAAAAACAGGATAAGAACCCGCTCCACGGCTTCTTAGATAATACAGGACGCTAACTCCTGCATGGGCCCGGGGGCATATCAGGCCGGCTAAAGTGGTGCGGTAAAGGACGACTGGGAGGTAATGAGCCACGAGCAGTCTCTCGAGATCCGAATGGATGGAATACCGCCTATACGCACCTTTTCAACGACGGAATGCGGGTCGAGTTTTATCAAGCCCTGCTCAACCGAGTCGACTTCGGTACTTCTCAGCTATCTCTTTCCGACTGGTAGTCAGGGCCCCATCAGGATTGCGTCCCCGAGCAGCAAAATTGGGGGATGGTGGTGATCTTGCTCCGCCTCCAATTCGGGTTATACGGGCACAAGTTTGACCAGGTAGCGCAAGAGCAGGCGGTGAGGTATAAGCAGGAACAGGAGGCAGCGCAAGACACCATGCCATGATCTCGTGGTTTCGCGCGCACGCACACTCACACACATGGTTGGCCAAGGTATGCAAAGCATCCACGATGCAGAATCCCAGCCGGTCGAGGCTTCGCTTGCACAAACTATTCTGGCCCGGGCTAACACCTCGAGTCAGTTCCCCTTTCCGCCCCCTTGCTGCCGTGCTGGCCACTAGTAGGGCAGGGTTGATTTGCCCCCCCCCATCATCTGGGGAGCACCTGGGTGCTGCAGTGGAATCACAACCCTCTGTCTTCCTGACTGTCCTCACCCGAGCCACGCCCATTGCGACAGTTCCGGGCATTGCATCAACTGGGTTGGAACAAGGATGATTTCGGGCATCGGCCCCGACCTCCCACTATCGAGCGAGGTGGCTCTCAGCCCTAAGGGATCAGAAAGGCATGGCCCCTCCCTGGCTTCCCCTGGCTTCCACTCTATTTCCATGCTAAGTGACTAATCAGCCCTAATTAGTTTGGTAATTGGCTACTATTGTGGTTGTCGATGTCGAGTCAAGACGCTGGCACCGCCGGGGAGCTTTTCTACATGGCCTTCGCCCATGTGGGCAAAGATAGACACCTACCTAGACGAGCCTAAGGTTGTTGTCCAGACTGGGGGAGAGCCCGCAGCACCAGCACTGTCTCCCAATCATGCACTTTGCCGCCCATCTCTCTCTGTGACCCCTTCCAAAACCTTGCAAGTCGCCAAACCATAACGCTACAAAAGAACATTGCGGCAGCTTACAGACAAGCATGGGCTTTAGTTTTCCGGCTCGGCAGTCGTGGTGAATATCTTAATGTGGGCTCTCCAGCCGGGTTGACTATTTGTTAAAGCCGCAACCGTTTTCCGAATCTGTGCATGAGGCCGATGTCGAAGGATGTCCGCCGTACGCATTGCCAATCGTGTCCACATGCCCCTGCTTAAGGGTGTCAGCTCGATAAGATGCAGTGAAGATCAACAAGGAGGAAGTAAATCTAGGATCACGCGTTCGCCCGGGCTCATTGACATCTTCCCATCGATCAATGTGTGAGCTTGTGTGAGCTTACTGCCCGAAATGCTCCTCCTGGGATTAGCAGTCTGTCATGGCGATCGAAACCTGCGCTGGAATTGTTTTCTAGACTCGAACAAAGATCGCTCGAAAGAACCATTGATGTCACGATCCACAACATTGTCGCCATCGTCACTTGAAAGGATGGCTGCAGCCGCCATGCTCTCAGCTCAGGCGGGCATATTACTGCGACCCCAACATTTCGTTCTGTCTAGGCCAGGCATTCCCATGAAAATTGGATTCAGACCGCCAGAAGCGGTCTTCGACGACTGTTGTCACTCTCGCAATCAGGTGATGCTCAGCGATTGACCGCCAGAAGCCTAACATTTCCTGGGGGTCAGCCTCGTCTTGATGTCAGCCTCTCGTCTCAAAGGATAGACAAAAGACCTGGCCACGCGGGACCACGCCAACGAGATGGTGGCGCTTCTCCCAGGGGCGGATGATCAAAGCAGCAGATAGAGGCGGTGCCTCTGGGCAGAGGTGCGCTTCTGGTCGAATGCAGGAGAAGCAGGATTTAGGGCTGACTGCAGGAAGTACGCCGACCACTCTTAACACGATGGCCCTTGCATATCACGTCTCGGAAGCCCGGCTATGTACTCTCCAAACCAATGATGGGAGAAACCAAACCCTCCCGATGAGTTTCTTGCTAGAGGACGGGATGGAGCTGTTTCACGTCAGAATCTCGGCGGCCACAATTTTCTCTATTAGCATATCACATAAGCAAGTCTTGGCGTCCTCGGCGGATGGTGGAGATAATCCCAGGGCGGCACCCACGCTCACAACGAACAATCGTAGACCTCACAGCGATATCACGTATATCTCAAGTCTGTGGGATATGCTCCCTGGGAGAGGGCTTTCTCGTCCTTGAATCACGTGGACTGCTGCAGATTTACCCCGACATTTTAGCTCGGCATTCGGACTCCGAAGGTAATGCTACGAGGATGGTGAGGAATTAATCGTCGAGCAGACCGTCATCCTCCGGGAAACTTGCAATATAGAGCTAGCTGGCAGCATGGTGCCCATACTCACACGTCAGAGTTGGGGGGCGAAATGACGATCATTGGGTTTGCTGTAAGAAAACATTGGTGAATTTAGGTAGACCACTGCGGCATGTTAACATCCCAGGTACCCCGGCTTTTGAACACCGTCGAATGCTTCGTTGGATAAACGCTGCGAGCCCAAGTCCCGAGAAAGACTAGACCGACCACCATAGCCACAGCAAGCCCTTGAGATACTCGACGATCTCCTCTCCGCCGAGTTTACTCTCACCATATAACCGATCCACAAATGTGATGGGGCACTCTTCCACCTTCAGCCCCATGGCCTTTGCCCTCACCATCATCTCCATCTGGAACGTATATCCCTTTGATTGCGTCTTCTCGATCACCTTCACCAGCGCCTCCTTCTTGTACAACCTGAACGAACCAGTCAGGTCGCTCACACCAGGGTTCAGGAGGAAATCGGCAAGGATGTTCGCGCCCTGACTTGTTAGCTTCCTCTTAGCATCCCATCCATACACGCCTCCGATGAGTCCGTTCTTTGACCGGTACCGTGTGCCCGTGACTATGTCCGCACCCGTAGCCTTCTGAATCCTCACAAACTCTGGGATGAACTTGGGGTGGTGCGAGAAGTCGGCGTCCATGATGATCACGTAGTTCCCCGACACAAACTGCAAGCCGTGCACATAGGCAGTTCCCAGGCCTAATTTGCCCGCCCGCGGCTTCAAGATGATATGGTCGGCACCGAAGGATTTTTGGATCTGTTTGGCCCGCTCGAGCGTGCCGTCGGGTGAGGCGTCGTCGACGATGATGATTTCCCAGTTGAGTTTCCTGTAAAAGGATATTGTTAGACATTTTCCTGGCCCCGCTCGTAGAATGGCGCAGGTGGTGAGATCGAGGGACTTACTCCTTTGTGAAGACATCAAAGAGCATCTGTACCAGCACGGGCAGGTTCTGGCGCTCATTGTAAGTGGGAAGAATGACCGAATATTTGTCGCCCTTGGTCCCCATGGTCGTAGACCTTCCTGTGTGTCTTGAAAAATTGTAATGTGGTGCTCTGTCGCAACAACCTCCAGCTGGATTTCGCAGTTGGAGTTTGTACGCGACAGATCATCAATGCGGCGCGACTTCCTTAATACTAGGGGTTCGAATTCCGCCGAGGTTTATCCGGTGCCTGAACTCCGACATCCATGTCTCCTCTGTAATCTTCATCCAGCACTTGTCAACAAAAATCAGGACACAGATCTCAAAGACCAGGGAGAGATGGGTGACCATCGTCAAATGTGAGAGCGCCACGTCTTGGACATGGCTTCAGCACACCACAGCCGTAAGCCGTCAAGTCGAACACTTCCTCGAAGAACCACCAAAGGCCCGCTGGATGCACCAACCGACCTTTTATCTCTATCTGCGACATCCGTGACATCTCCTCAGAACTCTACGGTACCTGGGTCGCCTGGAAAAGAAACCAATGAGGCCATAGCAGTAGCAACGGGTGCAGCCACCCAACGACCTGCAGCACCAAATGTCCAGCAGGAAGCCTCTCCGGCTCCAGGCTTACCTGCATCTGAGGAAAGGGACCTCTCATTCCTCCTCGATGCTTCAATATACCATCCCCTTTCTCAACTCGAAGTCCCTGGCCCCTTCCGAAAACCATTCCTCCCGCCGCCGAACGCAGAAACGCCCCTCAAAGCCTCCATGCAGCAATTAGATTCGCTCCTCTCTCAATGCGACTTTCTCCGGGCCGCCCAGCTAGCGGCTTCGATCTTAGTTTCCGGCACCGTGCGGCCTACAGACGCAAAGTCAATTTTCCGCTTGCTGGAGATTAGGTATTCGTGTCTCGAACTTTCAGGGAATTTGCTGTTTGCTGCACAAGAGGCAAAGGCGTTGGAAGATTTGAGTTCCGGGTTCTACTACGATGAACCAAACCCAGAGAGGGGGGCAGATGATGATCTAGTGGGCGGACAGAAAGTTCCGAGCCATATAATGCCCTTCCCGCTGCGCCTGCAAGCGCTCAGGCTGCAGAGCATCGGTTTCTCGGATCCAAGGAGGGGCGTCTCTACACTTTACGATGTTGGGCTAGAGTGCAGAGAACATTTATCTGCTCTTAGTACATCATCCGAGCAGAGGAGCCTGTGGACAGAGAGGCTTTGTGAAGTGTCAATTCGGGTCGTGAACGCTTTGATTGAGATGGGAGATGTCGATTGCGCTGCCAGAACGCTTGCGGGTATGAAACCCGCAACCGATGAGCATCTGGCACATTGGACATCCAGAATGATTCTGCTGAAAGTCAAGATGGGTGACGTCGCCGGAGCCGAGAGGTTGATTGAATCTGGAAGCCTTGGTCCGCAGGACAAGCTTGTGCTCAAATCTCTTCTCGCGATTGCTGACGGTCGATACGACGATGCCATGAAGGGCCTGTCCGAAAATGGAGCGACCGCCGATCCAGATCTGGCAGCGCTCGTGGAACAGAACCTCGCAGTTGCGTATCTGTATCAGGGTGAGGTTCGGAAGTCCAGGCAGCTTCTGGAAAAGCTCGTCAATGATGGACATTCTTTCCAGACACTGACAATCAACCTTGCCACTGTCTACGATTTGACTTCGGATAGATCGCGCGAATTGAAAACCTCGATGGTCTCGCAAATTGCTAGTCATCGGAGACATCCCGACCGTATGCGCGCGTACGTGAATGCCGACTTCAAGCTATAACGTGGGCACGCAGTTTTATATGCAAACGGACTCCATGGTCCCATGGCGGTAGTCAAAGGCTTTGAGAAGTCCTCTGAGATGGGACAACGCAGCCAAGACAATCAGGACGTGGAAGATCTGGTGTGAACTTCCGAGAGTATCAAATTTGCCCGGATACCAGGCCTCTGGGATTCTTGCCTATGGCGCTCTTCTCAGCACATGGTTACCATCAAACGTGGCTGCGTACTTACCGCATACAAACCAGCGCCCAAAATATACAGAGCTCCCTGCAATACCAGCCACGATAGGCCAATTTGCTTCTCCATATCTCCCAAGCCGAAGGCCCTGAGCCCATCGAAGACCGGAAAGACGGCGGAAATGCCCATGCCAACAAACATCAAAGCTCTGTACTGTCTCCAGGCTGGAGTTCGGAAGCGCGGAAGGATCGATGTTGTGGTACACCCTACGCCAAGGGTGCAGATCTGGAATAGGTCTCAGCAACGCACTAAGGTCGGATGGTTCCTGCTCACCATGATCCAATATATCCATTGCTTCACTGGATGGCACCAAAATCCATAATATACACTGGGGATGAATGAACCGGCAATCAGCACAGATATCCCGGCATAGTCCAGTTGATTCCAGAGTCTGGCAACGCCTGGAGAGTGGTTTGACAGAGTGTGATAGAATGCGCTCATTCCTAAACAAACGGCCGCGCCACCAAAGAAACAGCTCATTGCTATAACGTCGGCCACTGAAGCTTTCTCATAGCGAGGTTCCAGCACGCTGTAGAGAACTGCTGCAAAGGGCAAGCTCAGAGCGGCAGGAACCAAATGCGTCCAAATGTTCACGCTCTCGTTATGCCAGTGCAAAATGCTCTGCAGGGATCTTGCGTAGCTGTAAGACGCACGCCTATAGCTGCCATGGATAAAATGGTTGTCTTGAAGCCAGCGCGGTAAATCGTTCCAATGTATGAGGGTATGCCAAAGATCTTCAGCTTCATCGGATTGTTTGGTTGGGTTCGCTGCTTCAGTCGACTGGGGTATTGTGCTCCCTTCATCTTCAGGCCTATTGTCGTCCAAGTCTTTCGGTGCCATTGTTGCTTCCCGTTTCTGATTTTATTGATGGGTTGCTGGTGGTGATGTGAGAAATTAAATGTTGGGAACGGAATTGTAAGGAGAAACGGTTAAATCTCGGTCCACGAGGCTCGGCCCGCGCCTCCCTATCGGTTATAAAGATTCGAGGCAACGACCAGCATGACGCTCTGGGACCATCGGTCTTTCTCTCTTGTCCCCAGCTCTCGACTAGCAGCAGCGCATGAGGCAGGCTGATGGCGCAGTATCTCATCAAATTTAACATAATGTCCAATAAAATCGACTAGGACGGACCAACATGGCTCAAGCCCCTCCAGCTCTTGGAAGGAAATCCTCAGCTCCATGGGACAGGTTACGACCAGTGAAGCAAGATCCTTTGGAAGGCATGGGATTCGTCTCCAAGGGTGACAACAGGTACTGTCCTTCTACTCGAGCCCCCCGCTTCGTCTTCGTAACGGCAATAAGGCTGCTCGATCTCAAATCACAAGAGAGCTTCTACAATAAGATTGTTGCTCGCTACATGCAATTTTGCACACGGCACTCTAAGGATCTCGACAGCGCTTTTGCATCCTTAAATCTCGACGAGGGTCAGTCGCCGCCCTTGAATCCCACGAAAAAACCGCCCGGAAAGCCGACCATTCCTCAACCTGCACGAGCCCCTAGTCTATTGCAGCAAGACTTCATTGCCCCTACGAACGCTCAATCGACCAGTGCACCGACACCCTTACCGGCATCTGAGCTATCAATTATTCTTCTCGCGCTCCGGAAACTACGAGAGGGTCTGCTTGCCAGTTCTATATCAGCGCCGAACCCAGTCTTTTCCCAACGAGTCCATGTATTCAACATCAGAGTCGCGATCCTGGCGCTTCATCCGGAGGGCTACCATCCTTCCTTGCTGCACCTCCTGTCCGTCCTGCATACCCCCGAGCATCCCCTGCCTCGATCCGAGTTGGTGGAGATGACGACCTACTTGATCCTTGACACGGCCATCCGGCAGCACGATCTTTACCAAGCATATGCCTTGAAGTACAATAGTCGTGTCCGGTTTGGGTTCAGAAGCCGAGTCGTCGACAGTATATTGAAATCACTTATCATGGGAGACTGGGCCACGTTTTGGCGTGTTCGACAGAAGGTTGATGGCTATGTGCGAGCTATTCTCTATTGGCACCTGGAAGCACAGCGCAAGACGGTGCTCAAAGCGATCGGTCGAGCCTACTACACTTGCGACGTCAATTGGATTCTCCAGAGCGCCACTGGAAGCCAACTAAACTGGGAGGAACTCGTCAAGATCGAGGATATTGGCTGGATGCGAGAGGGTGATAAGGTCGTGATCCGGAAGCCGAAGGCCAAGACCAGCTAACCCTTGATGTTCGGTCTGTGCGCGATTGATGCAAGTCATTCGCTTCCCCTGACCCAAATCTGGATATCTGAAGAACGCTTGGGAGCCCGTGGAAGACTGCGAGACAGGTCTGGATCTGAGGTGGGCGTTTTGAAACCCGTTGAGGAGAGTTCGAAACAAGCTCGCAAAGCCAACCTCGCCACGTGGCCAAGCCAAGTTTGCGCGGTTTGCTTTTATTCTCCACCCCCAGCCTCGCCTTGGCGCGCTTGTCGAGCCGCCAGCCACGCAATTTCTGCCAATCATGAGCTGTGCCTCTGTTTACAGCCTGGTCTTGGCGTCCGCCTGCGCTCATCTGTTCCGTTTTCATGTCCCCTACTCTTCCAACCTCTTGAATTCTCTGCACGGCGCGTTTTACGCACAAGCAGCCACTGCAACCCTGCCAGACGAGGCCACACATGTGCACAATGCGCGCAACAATTTTCTTGACAATGACCAGCCCTTGTATTTCTGCTCTGACATGGATAGGTAGATGTCCAAGAGCCTTTTCCCTTCTGCTTCTTCTTTTCCTGTCTAGTATCCAAATTCACCACATCTCATCTGATCAACGGCTCTCGCTTAACTCTCAAACAGATTCTCAGAACTCAGGTTGACTTGAATAGTACTGGGTACACTCGTTGTCTCCCTCAGAATGAATTCGAGAAGAGTCTGTACCGTCCTTACTTTGTCTTCGTTCCTAGCCCTGTCCAACGCCTGGCCGCTCTTCCCGCCTGCGATCGAGCGAAGACAACCTGTCTCGTACTCAGTGGTCGCAGTGGACGGCGGAAGCACAACAGGCGATGTCTCACCGACAACAACAGTCACTGATGCCATTACTCAAACGGCAACAGTAATGAAGACACAACTCTCCACGATCGTCATGACCGAGTCTGAAACACCCATAACGAAAGTCGTGACGGTTAGCTCTCCATCACCGACTACTGTCACCGACTACCCGCCTGCCTCGCCAACAACACACATCGTCTCCCTACCACCAGCATCTTCGGCCTCATCGAGTCAACAATACCCCTCCGACGCATCCCCCTCGATAGCAACCTCCATTGCCGCAGCTACCACGACAGAAATTCTTTCACCAGTAACGGTGACTGTCACACAACCCCTCCCCTCAACAAGACCGTATGACGACGGCATGTGGCACACATGGTACTACTATACGGTCACCCCTGAGAGCCTATCGAGCTGGGCCTCAACGACAACCTCCAGCCCAGAATTGAGCTGGACTACAACAAGCACCACCACCACGTCAGAGTCCAGTTCCCAATAGTGCTTGAATTTAATCTCGTCCACAACTTCGTTACCGACATCTAGTTGGGAAACGACAAGTGAGTCGCCAACTACCACTAGTTCGTCTGTTGTCAAATTCGGGAGTGTGCGTTCATCGGTCTCAACACCTTCGTGAGGCAATCTCAGTTAATATTCCTTTCTGGGAGATCGACGCAATGTGTAAAAATGCAAACTGGGCTATTTCTAGGGGGTCATGTCGGGGATTAAAAAGTATGAGTATCGGGTTGGGAAAGCGGAACTCGAGTGTTATTCTGGATTTTAGCGAGGCGCTGGTGGTCACGTCTGAAACGTCTGGGATGTCTGATATACATGGCAGCACCAGGGAAAATAATAGCAATAGAAGTTGTGTTATTCATTCTCTCGCCTCTGGTGATCCCTATATCTCACAATCTTGACTTTGGCCTTGATGATCAAATGTATCTGTTCCGTTGCCTGGATCCAGACTGAGTGTCCCTGACGTGAGCCTGTTTGTCGGAAGACACGACTACGTGGCGCGTAAAGACGGGGTAAACCTCCCATGGCAGACAGAGTATTTCGCAAGGCCTGCCCTAAAACTCAGCCCTAGTTTCGCCTTTGAGTGATACAGTACCTGCCAAGTTATATCCATTACAGCCTCGTAGCTCAACCGAGATTGCAGGGAATTGTTCGGCCGAGTTCAGCCGTCAGTGCCGCTGCTTTGGGAGGGCATGAAATAATTCTCTAAATGGTTGGAAAGATCGCTCCTCTGCCGTCCTATGTATTACAACAGGCTAACTGAAGACGAAAAGCTTTTCGAACCATTGTCGACGCGCGCTCTAAGAGGGTATTTGTCCCGTCGCCATTCAGGCATAAGGTTCTATTTCGATTTGGAGCTCGATTCCTGGACAATCCAGTGACTGATGCCTGATAGATTGAAGCACGCCGAGAAGGGCTCCCGCTCTACGGTAGGTGCGTTTCTATTGACGTTAGGCAAATTTCGCGGAATCAAAATCCGTAACTCTTTCGTACACTAGTAAGCGAGCCCCTATTTCTCCAACAGTTAACAGGTGATGGAAACAGAGAGCCACAGGTCATATAACGACGACGGGGTATCCAGACGGGGAATAACGGCTGGGACATGGACCAAGTCGCCGGTTCAACAAATCGATTTTGGGTCAACAGCCAAGATCTCTCAACGCCAACAAGATGGCGGCCATCTGGCGCCTAGTCGGAGCGTCTCCCGCAAAAAGTCCACCGCCGGCGGTTGAGAGTGACGAGGTCTACCCGGTTCACATGCTAGACGACACACAGACACTCCGGGACATCGTCGTCACATGGACGCTGTGCTTTAATGATGTACTGGACGCGGACAAGTTGTACATGTCGCTGTCGAGACTGCTGGAAATTGGTGACTGGAGAAAGGTCGGCGGTCGGCTGAGGTTGAAGGTTAGCTTCTCATTTTGATCATGCTCGACTGGTCAGTCGCTGCTTGCTCACGCTCGCTAGGAGAATGGGGAGCTGGAGATTCATGTACCACGGCCTTTCACGGCGGAGCGTCCTGCCGTGTCGTATACCCACCAATCCCTAGCCATGGACATTGAAGACCATCCGCTGGCAAAGACCCTCCCCAAAGCAACCGAAGCCCCATCCATACAACCCGGGCCACAGGGCTTTCGAGTCTTTGCCGCTCGGGAAGATGCGCCGGCGACGCTCGAGGATTTCGTCTGCCAGGACACCCCCCAGCTGTCGCTACACATCACTTCGTTTAATGACGCGACGCTCGTGGCTCTCTCGTGGCCACATACACTGATGGATGTCATGGGCCAGCAAGCCCTCCTGCGCGGCTGGTCTCTAGTGCTAGCCGGCCGGGAGGCAGAAGTACCCCCTATGCTCGGTGCACGAGAGGACGCATTGTGTGCAGCCGCAGATGCGCCCGTGGAAAATGAAGAAGAGTTCAGGCTGGGGCAGAAGCGGCTGAGGGGATGGGCCATGCTCATGTTCGGGCTGCGATTTGCCTGGGATCTGCTGTGGAATCGGGTCGTCGAGACACGCACCATCTTCTTGCCCAAGAGGATAGTAGCCGAGCTGCGACGCCGGGCGCAGGGCGACCTGGCTGCACAGGATAGCGGACAGGAGAAGCCATTCATCAGCGAGGGCGACGTGCTGACCGCGTGGGCACTACGTGCAGTGGTTTTCTCCCTACCGCAGCCACGGCCAGTGTCGGTGCTTCACGCGCTCAACGCGCGGTTCCGACTCTCTTCGCTAGTTCAAGCTTCAGGTGTCTACGTCCAGAACATGGCAGTGGCCGCCTTTACGTTCCGTTCTCGTGAGGTCGCGACGGGCTCTCTAGGCGCCATAGCTCTGGAGAACCGCCGCCAATTGATGGAGCAATCGACCGAGGCACAGGTGCTTGCCTGCCTGCGCGAGCTGCGACGGGAGTCCAAATCGGGCCGAAGCGACCCACGGATGGTGTGCGGTGAGCCCGACGCCCTGCTGATGCCTTTCACCAACTGGACCCGGGCCGGCTTCTTCGAGACGGCCGACTTCAGCCCTGCACTTGTTCGCGCTGGCAAGACGGGCCAGTCAAGGAGCAACCCGCCCGGGTCTATGGTGTTCCACCACGCGCAATCAATGCGACAGAGCACGGCCGTGAGGAACGTGATTGTGGTGTTGGGCAAAGACCACGGCGACAACTACTGGCTGACCGGGATTCTGCTCCCCGCAGCCTGGGCCAAGATTGAAGAGGACATAAATAGGATGTCTCAATGGCAGTAATAAGATGGAAAACCGGGACGATCCACATAAATCCAAGACACTGGCCATGGTGAATTGTCAAATTTCATTCATCCAAGACAGAGTATAACGTGGATGAAAGGAAGGAGCATGGGGCGGCATCACTCTCGTCTTGAAGGAGGGTGAGCTGGGTGTCGATTTACCTTCTCTTGGTTTATCAATCAGTGGGGAGGATATTTCGTTACTGGTGTTAGAGGAGATGGTGAATGTCTACATACTTAAGGTTCATCATATCTATACCACCCACCCTCTCTCTCACCTTTTGCTATCAGAAAAGGGCGCATTGTCTCTTACACGCCGAGTTCTACTCCTCCTTCACGTTTATTCTCTTTTACATGCGCCGACAATTCGCCAGCCTCGCGCGTACAGTCACAAAGGGCGCTCCTCGCTGGACAAACTAAGCAGACTATAAGGCTATTATAATGGCTCTGCAATTTTGTCCATTTTGCCGATGCCATGAGAGGCAAGAGAAATATGGGTCGAAAAATATTCTGCTCTCTACTGTACACCGTGGTGCCACTCCGGGCTGCCCCTGGGGTAATTTAGTTTCAGACAGCACCCTCTTCTTTGAGCATCGCTAGTCACATTTAACATACCTCTACAAAAACCAAGTCGTTCTTGTGATTGAGCGTTCTCCGGCCTACCCAGGAACTCGACTATATCTTCAATGGTCTTCAAAACGCCTGTCAGTCCCTCTCAACGAGTATTCTGAATGGGATATGATCGATTGGATTTACATCAACCAAGATGATATGAAGGAACGGGAGTTCGAATCTCTCAAAATGGGCTCTATTTATGGACATGTCATTCTTGTAATTGCAGCAAGTCCTACGCCAAACAGTCGTTGCGGCATTTATGAACAACGGGAGCGGCACCAAGTACAGCTAAATTGGCGGCAACGAAAGATCGACGAGTGCGCTCTTCACAGATCCCCTCGTGGTCATGGCTTTCCATTGAAGGGGCAATAAACAGCTGGGGCGGTAATTTCCGCAGCGCTGTCGAGATACTGCAAATCGACTACCAAATTGCAGGTGACGATCTACATGGCCGCTGCCAGAAAGGCCAGTATCATGGTTCGAGGCTGTGTCGTATGAGTCCATCTCCATGAAGATCCCCGTGAAGCCGATGCCCAGCGATACAGAGTTTCCACAGAGTCCGAAGACCAGATTGCCGTCCCGATCCCAGATACCAATCCATTTGAGATGCAATGCTATGAGCTACAAGGTCTCGCATTGCTGGGCCTTCTTTTCAACATACCGCTGGTGAACCACTTTGCGAATTGCTTGGTCCTCCCACAGGCTAAGGGCACTTCAAACAAATTCAGGAGAATGGGTATTGCCGAACCCGCCAACGGACGGCTCCGCGGGTGTTTCGCAGAACGGCGTATTGAACTCGTCTGATGGAGTATTTCGAAGCTGAAGCCGGCAGCATTGTCCACGCCCATACTAGTTTGACTAGGCTGGATTTGCAAAACGTTATCAATTCGAGCGAGGGGTAACCGTTGTCAACACGTCGAGAGCGAATGTGCCCACCTCCTCATCCAAAACCTCCGTGATATATTTGCGCTTGGCATTGCTATCATCACTCGAGAAATTCTTGTGTAAGGGGTAGTTACCGCTGTGATCGTAGAGGATGAAAAAAGGGACTTGAAGCAAAGCATCTGGGACCCTAGCCAGTGCTGCTTGCAGTTTCATGGTTTCCTTCCAACCGCCGTAAAGCGTAGTGGAGATGTTTTGGTGCCAAATGCCATCTGTCGAAGCAATGGATGAATCCGCATCGACGAACGAAGCATTCTCGCTTGCTATCGAAGATGTAGACTCGAGACAGCTGTCATCGAATGCACCAAGCAGTCTCATTTGGAAGAGGTTCGAAGGAAGCCAACTTCTCCATTGACATTCCCTGATCAAAGGTGATTTGATCGCAGGCTGATTTTTGTCTAGTCTGAAACATCGATTTCTTTACCGACACAGGCCCGACGATCAATGCCTCAATCTCCTCTGTGACCTTGCCAATACCGTGATGAAGCACCATGGATTTCTCGCGTGGCAAAGCAACCAGAAGTCCGCTCACCCAACGCTCGAAAACAGCGGCGAGAGCGGCACGCTCAACCCCTAGCTGCACATCCATCTCGAATTCTTTGATCTTTACACCATCATCGGACTCTCTCGTATCCAGATCTTGATTGACGAGATCTTCTTCTAGAATGACCGCGGGTCTCGTGGATCCTAAAAGCTTCCCTCCGAGATGCCACGGGGCCGGCATCTGCCATTCTACTTCGTAGTGATAATCCCACTGCGCTGGAACCATAAACGAAATGTCCACAAGTAGGACGTTCATAGAGGGGTCTAGCTCTTTGAGAAGTATAGTGTCTCGACGAGCTAAGCAAAAGAAGTCCTCCCAGCTAAGACCAGGCATCAGTCCTGGAAGTTTGGCGTGCAAGCCTCTCGCATCAGCTGTCGCCAAGGCAGACTGGTGGACAGTGCTGTAATCGCCCCTTGTATCGAACACAAACGTCCGCGGAGCCCACCTGAAGCCGGGCTCCCGAAATGCCGCCTCCGGAGAGGCAGCGAAATCACTGCCTGATTGAGCCTCAAAGATGAGACCCTGGGGAAAAAGTTTCTGCTCCAAGAGGAAAGCCTTCATTCGCTTCGAGCACACATCAGGGTCGCTACGATCAATTGCGAGAATCGGGGTGAGGTCGAGTCCAAGCATGTTAGACAGACAAATCGTCTCGTCGTCAGCATTGCTGGTTGTCCTTCCGGCGAAGGCTCTCCATATCTCCCGACTCCGTTCCAGTCTTGGCAGAGCTTTGAAGGTTTCCATGTTGGTGTACATGCGCGAGGTCTGTTCAAGAATGGACTTCTCAATCTCAGAGAGGACTGCGCTTCTGTGATCGGGTGGCTTCATGATGAGTTCAGAGAACTTAATCGCTCTGTCGCTCAGCTGAAAGAGGCACCTTCGTGAGATGATGCCTTCATGTAATGTCCACAACCGACGGAACCAGGCTGTTCTGTTGATCCTTGCAGAGAGTTCCCACGAAGGCGTGTCCGAAGGTATATCGTTTAGCTCTGCGTTTAGAATCAATGTCATCGAGGCCTTTCGGTAAACGTGTACCATCTGGGAGATTGCGAAATTCCTCTCGGCCCTGAACGAGCTGCCCACCGGCACACAAATCGTGTCGATCCAGAAGAAAGTATTGGCTTTCTCTTCCGGTTTCGAAGAATAGTTCCACATCAGGGCGTTGACTTGATATTGAATTTTCCGTAGCTGGCAAGATGGAAGACTATTGTGATGCAGATTGCCGAGTCCATCTGACCATACATGTGATATGGCAACGAAATTATGCTCGTGACAGTCAGATGCGGCAACCTCCAGCTTGCCGTCAGGTCCACCGAGGCGGATGATAGGAATTTTGTTGGCTTGCAAGATCGTCGCTACAAGACGACTAAGTGGCTCCGACATATCACACTTACACCCAGGCTCTATGTGTCGAGTTTGATATGTCTGGTGATCTACCTGCAACGCCGAGCAAAGCTCAGGGTTGCAAGCCATATGGTCTTGAGGGCTCTTGACTGGACCTAGAAGAGAAACGCAGTAGCCTGATATCGCGTCACAACTTAGTGCCAAAGCATTGACAGCGACGGGGCACCAGCCGTCGTGCCTCGTTATTCGCTCCAATTTATCGTAGAATATTCCGGGGTGCCTTTGGAGAGGAGTAATGTCAGGCCAAGCAGAATTTCGCACAATCTTCAAGGTGTTGATCAAAATATTCAATGACAAAAGCAGTGATTGAGGAAGGACATCCCAGGCTTCAAGGAAATTCGAGCCTTCGGATAATTCAAAGTGACTCTTCTGTCTGTCAGCGTCATGAAGCAAGTAGTCAATAGCCTTCAGCTCTGAGACACGATTTTCATCGCTCTTGCCTTGGATTACCTCAACCCAGTGGTCCAATTTCGCCAACAAGCCGCAAGTCGATATGCGAGTCGTAGTTTTCTTTGCGTCTTCTTCGACGGTGCAGGGAGCAGTCCAGTCCTCAAGACGGAGATCTTCATTCAAGAACTCTTGCAACATCCCGAACCAGAGCCACGATTGTACAAAAGCCGCCAGACGAGGTTTAAACTTGTCTGGATATGGCTTGTTCTTTCGAGGATAAAACTCCTGTGGCGTGTAATACCCGTGCCTTTGGTGGTAGGTGGCCCATGGACCCTTGTACAAGTATTCAAAGTCATCGCATATATAGTAAGGCACCTGAATATGTTCCCACGAGCTTAGTTTCGGTAGAGGCAGATGGTCCATGAAGGATGGATAGGGGTGGAAAGGGGAACATACGACAGACACGGCGGGGACGAGGCTGAGGGAGTAGCTGCGGGCGACGTGGATTTCCCTGCCAAGCCATTTCCGCCCGCAACTTCCAATGTTGAAGTCCGTTAAAGGCGCAGGAAGATCTCCGCTGCCTGCCATTGACAACTGCCTGGGAAGTCTTGCACCCATCCAAAGTTTCGCCCGGTCTTTTGCATATTGATTGGCACAAATACTTAGATACTTTTCAATTCACTACCTCTAAGGCTGAACTCTAAGATTTCCCTCGCTCTCCCTCGCCGCTGGGCGCAAGCCACCAACGCCGTCGCAATATGGCGACAGGCACCCCCGTCGAAGACCAGGGCCGTTTGCTCGAGGAAGCTCTCGGTGTCGTGCGTCAACAATCGCAGCAGATGCGCAGATGCCTTGAGACCCCGGGAAAGCTCATGGATGCTCTGAAATGCGGGTAAGGATCTCGTCGAGCCTTGACTCCCTGCACATCTGACCACAATGCAACGCTATAGCTCGACTTTGGTCTCTGAACTGCGCACTCCTACCTTAGGGCCGAAGCAATACTATGAGCTCTATATGGCTGTGTTTGATGCTCTACGGTACCTGTCCGACTATCTCCGCGAGTCGCATCCCGTCAACCACCTTGCCGATCTCTACGAACTTGTCCAATATGCAGGCAACATAATTCCCAGATTATATCTTATGATTACGGTAGGCACCGTCTATATGGGAGTCGAAGATGCCCCGGTCAAGGAGATCATGAAGGATATGATGGAAATGAGTCGCGGCGTACAGCATCCCATCCGAGGCCTCTTCCTCCGATACTACCTGCTGGGCCAGGCCCGTGACCACTTACCAACGGGCAAAGAAGAGGGACCCCAGGGCAATCTGCAAGATTCAATCAACTTCATCCTTACAAACTTTGTGGAGATGAATAAGCTTTGGGTGAGGTGGCAGCATCAAGGCCATTCAAGAGAAAGGGAACAAAGGACACAAGAGCGGAGGGAGTTGGAATTGTTGGTTGGAAGCAATCTGGTGAGGCTAAGTCAATTGGTCGACTTGGAGACATACAAATCTACCATCATCGGCCCGTTGCTGGAACAGGTAGTCCAGTGTCGAGATGTCCTGGCCCAGGAATATCTGCTCGAAGGTAGGAAGATAGGTCTGAGTACGGGGACATGCTAACGGTGGTCTAGTCATCACAAAGGTCTTTCCGGATGAATACCACCTCCACACTTTGGATCAAATGCTCTCCGCCATCGCGAGACTAAATCCATACGTGGATATGAAGAAGATTGTTATCGGATTAATGGACCGTCTGTCTACCTATGCACAAAGGGAATCTGCTGAATCGGTGTCTGCCGAAGACAAGCGCAAAGCTGAAGAAGACGCTGCAGTCCGGATGCTGGAAAAAGTCGATTTGAACCAGGATTCGAAGCCTATTCCCCCTGCCACTCAACCGGATTCACCCACGACGAATGGTGCCGATGCCAAGTCACCCACGGAAACACAAACAACGGAATCGGAGCCGGCAACGCCGGCGACACCAGCGACAAATGGTGAGAAGGGAACTGGCGTTGGTGAGGTCAGGCTGTTTGAGATCTTTTACGAACAAGTCGTAAATCTTGTCAAAACGAGAGGCCTTCCAATCCAAGACACTATGGCCCTTTTGACGTCGCTGGCCAATCTTGCACTGTACGTTCGCATGATCTGATTCTGGGAGCTGACAAGCTAACACCAATCAGTAACATCTACCCAGAGAGGCTGGAATACCTTGACCAGATTCTGGCCTATGCTCGCGAGAAGGGTGCCGAATACATGGACTCCGCCGACCTCCATTCCGCCGCAACACAAGCCAACATGCTCAATCTTCTTCTTTCACCGATCAGAACATATATGTCGCTTTTCACCGCGTTAGCGCTTCCCAACTATCTCCCTCTGTACCAATCACAAACGTATGCTACGAGGAGGGCTGTTGCCGGAGAGGTGGCCAAGAGCATCCTTCGCAACCATGTGCTGATTACAACTACACAACATCTGGATGGCATCATGTCTCTTCTGAAGGTCATCATCAAAGAGGGCATTCAACAACCGACTGGCTATCCGGGGTTGAACCGCCAGAGAGGTGGTGAGTCGGATGAGACAGTTGAGGAGCAAGGCTGGCTAGCAAGGATAGTTCATTTCATTCAAGGACCAGACAACGACACCCAGCTCAAACTGTTACAGCAAGTTCGCAAAGCCTATGAGCCTGGCAATGAGCGGATAAAATATACGACTCCCGCTATCATTACCGCATCTATGAAGCTTGCGCGGAAGTTCAAAGCCCGTGAGCATTTTGACGACAACTGGCAAAACCAGTCGTCCGCCTTGTACCGGTTCATGCACCAGACCCTTTCTCAATTATATACCCGCGTTAACCCCGGGGCGGCAGAATTGTGTCTTCGACTATTTGTTTCCTGCGGTCAAATCGCCGATCAATGTGGCTTCGAAGAATTTGCCTATGAATTCTTTGCCCAAGCGTTTACGATCTACGAGGATAGTATCAGCGACTCAAGGGCACAGTTCCAGGCTGTTTGCATCATCGCTGGGGCGTTGCACATGACGAGGGGCTTTGGAAAGGAGAACTACGACACGTTGATCACGAAAGCCGCGTTGCACGGGAGCAAGCTGCTGAAGAAACCCGATCAATGTCGCGCAGTGTATCTGGCCAGCCACCTATGGTGGTGTGTTGAGATCCCTGGGAGGGAGGAGGATCCTAAGAACGTGAGTTTCAACAAGCGCAGATGTTGTGAGGGTTCCTGAAGCGCTAACAAGTCAAAAACAGTTCTACCGCGACGGCAAGCGGGTGCTAGAGTGTCTCCAGCGAGCATTACGAGTTGCGGATGCTTGTATGGATACCGCAGTCTCCGTCGAATTGTTTGTCGAAATTCTCAACCGATACGTCTACTACTTTGATCAGCAGAACGAAACGGTAAGGGCGAACATTCCTTGTACTCTCCAGCGTTGACTGATAATTCATGGTACAGGTTACGACCAAGTACCTCAATGGCCTCATTGAGCTGATCCATTCAAACTTGTCGACAACAAACTCTGAGGGGAACACCCAGGCCCTAGAGAATCCAAAGCGCCACTTTTTCAGGACGCTAGACTATATCAAGTCTAGAGATTACGAGGGTGTTATTACAGAGGCGAGGCAGTGATGTGGACGATCTGGAGTCAGGGGGATGCTGGTCAGAGAACGACCTTTTTTCTGAAGGTTGTCTGAAAGTGAGAACTCTTTGGAGTGGGTGGCTGAGCATTTTCACATTGCTCCTATCAGTACGAATGGTCTATCCCTTGCGGCGCCATCTTCCTTTGCACCATTGACACTTCCGAGAGGCTCATCGAGGAAGTTTTTCACTCGTATAGTACATGATTGCGTTGGCAAAAGAAAGCAGAGCGATATTTGAAGACAGCCCAAATGTAAATGTGGTCAAATCGATTACCAGTCCAATACTATGTATCCGCTGTGATAAAACCAGTGAGGAATCCATGCTCCATCCAGACTCGACGACTGCTGGTATTTATTTCCTACTCTCACCGCTCCTCTCTTTCTTCCTTGAACTTCCCTCCAACTTGTTTCAGACACGCGACTCCGGTTGACGTGTCATATGTAAGAAAGCTCTACAAGACGCATGACACTGGGCTTACTGCTTCTTGGGCGGTAATTGCCGCGGCTATTCGAATAACGATATTATGATCAGAAACTATTGATTGGGCCATTGACTCACTGATCCGTGGGGAAATGTGCACGTCTGATGGCGGGTGCTCTATCTGTTGACCCCGAGAATTATATCTGTGGTCCATTTTCTCCCTTTCAACCCACGGCTATACTTCCGCTCATCGACTCCTGTCCCTCATCTCTACCCAATCTTGGGCACTAAAGCTCCTGCACGAGGATTCCAGTAGCCGTCGCCTGAGGGAGTTGCAGTTTTGGCGTCAGCAACGCCACGGTCATCGAGGGACCAGCCGTGCCATTACCCGTGTTTGGGTTGTTACCCTGTACGGCTGCACGGTATTTGAAAGCAAAGTTCAAGATCAAAGCGACGGCCAAACCAATGGTGACAATGAATGGCCCAATGGGGTTGTCAAAGTCCTTTCCGCTTCGTTCTGTGATCAACTTTGTACGCCACATATACACATACCATCCCCATACTCCTGCAAAGATCGCGAAGCAGGTATACACAACAGCGAGGATGCGAGCAATGTTGTTATCAACACCTGCAGCATTGTACAGACCTAGGGAGAGGGTGGCCAGGAGGACTGCAATGTGCTGCCACTTGATGAATGTTCGCTGATTAGCAAGCCAGACTTTGGCTTCGACCTTCAGGTCACCCTGGTCTTTGATCCAAAAACTCGGTTCCTTGACGCCAGGCGGAAGCGGGGCATTTTCCCAGGCGCCTTTGCCTTCGCGGTGACGTCGAGCGTAACGAGAATTGGAGAAAGCGGGAAGAAAGGATCGGATGCCACCCCTGGAAGAGTCTTGAACCTCTACCTCTTCGGGAGGGTGAACACCCTCCTCGTCGGTATCCCGTTCCTCAGCGGTAGTTTCCAGCTGCGGCTCAGGCCTGCTGCGTAATTGGGATTGAACAGACTGGGAGAGCTGACTGGAGAGTCTCCTCTCTGGGAAAGAAGCTGACTTTCCTTTGGGTGTCATCCTGGACCCTGCAATGAAGCTCCCCACAGCCATTTCATCTTCTGCCTTTTTAGCCTCCTTTTGTTGTTCCTCTTGATAGGCTGTGACCGGGTCTCTTCTGATGTCTGTCTCGAGGTCACTCAGCCAGAACGGGAAACTGTTAACGTAGTCTTCAAAAAGCTCAGCCACACCATGGACAAATTTAGAGAACCTTTTCTCTTCCTTGACCAGGTGTGAGTTCATCAAGTCGTTAAGCCATGTATTATTCCTAGTATACTTGGATTCTTTGATCTTGATCTCAAGTACGGCGTGGGGAAAGCGGCTGATCTCCCCTTTCTTAATGGCTGTAAACGGGTACTCCATCTTGTTCTGGTCGATATCAGACCGATGCCAATCATCTGGGTCTCGACATGGCCGGTCAGGATCCATTGCGTCCTCTCGGATGAAGGCGAGATCGGTGTCGAGCGACACTCGGATCCTGTCGTCTCCGGGGATTTGGAAAGCAGTACGAGTATAGCTTGCTCGAAGAACTGGCTCGAGATCCTTCTCCTTGACAAATGATTGGATCTCATCGACATTGGCCCTGAACGCCTTGACATCCTCATGATGAGGTCCGAGCAGTTCCTCGAGCCTCTTGATCTGTTTTTCCATCTTGTATTCGCCCTTGAGGAAAGGTAAGAGATATTTGGGCTTCAGCTGAATTCTGATGTCGCTACTGTCGGTTGTTTCCTCGTCGACGAACTTCTTCTCAAGGACAACCTCAGACTCATCAAGCAGTTGGCCTGCCCACCTGACCCGAAGGGACGCGCCACCGGTGCCTTTCTCGACCTTACCCTGGTAGAGGTCGAAGTTTTGATTGTCGAAGTAGATCGAGGTGATTGTCGGGTCCTTTTGAGACGAATCAACCACCTTGACGGATTGAGGATTGTAGACCAAGACAGGCAGGCGACGCAGCAGGTAGGTCTTGACTTCCAGGAGGTTGTCCACATGAACCCAATATTTGAAGGCCTTGTATTCGTCTTTCGGTCGGACATCAGTGTCTGCTTCCTTGCCAGCCTGCTCTCCCTCGAGCTTCTGGCGAGCCCAGCTATACATGGTCGACAGGCGGAAGAGCAAAGGCGAGTAGTCCTCCTGGTTGAAAGGCATCTGGGAAAGACGAACTTGTAGTATGGGACGGACTCTGTACTTGAGGCCTCTCTTTCTGTCGTGTTTCTTTGCAGCTTTGAGGAACCCAGTGTAATTGAGCCTGCTGAACTTCCTAAGCTCATTGAGCTCCTTGGAGATGCTGTCAAGCTCAGGGAGTAGTTCTTTTGCCACAGCTTTATATTCTTCCTCGGATTTCCCTGCATCTTCACCTTCGGTAGAGGGGAGCTTAGCCTCGCAGGCAGCAGTTCGGTCTCGCAACGAGTTGAAGGTGTCGACCTGGTGCTGGTGGACCTTTTCCAGTTGGGTCACGGTTAGCTCATGGACGAAATTTTCTTCATCTTGTTCAGTCCAGCTGCCTTCGCCGCCACGGCCTTGTGGGGAGGTCTCATCTTCACGGAGGAGCTTTTTGATCTTGTCGTACTCGAGGTACTTGTCTTTCCATGGTGGATAGATGGAATCGGTGAGGGTCTTGCCGAAGCGCATGGTGCGTGCGAGGGCGAAGGTAAGGTAGGTTTGGTATTCAGGATGGGAGAGCTACTCCATACGGATGTCGATGTTGAGGACTGCAGTCGAAGATATTATGCAATGGGTATAGAACTGACAGAGCTTGGGCGAGCGAAGCTTTGGAACCGCAATGTACTCGGTGCTTGCATATCCCCACCCCAGCACAAGCAATGAACGGGGGGCAACAGCAAATCAAAGTGGCTCTTCCCCTCGCGTGCTCGGAAAATCTTTTGGCTGGGCCTAGGAGGAATTGTTCCGGTTGACCTTCTCTAATTGGCTGGTCGGATCGAGCATGACAGCCTCGGCATCAAAGAGGATACCGACGAGGCTGACTCCATTGACTCATATCGATACCATTTACCTAGTGCCGAGTAATATCTCACTTGGAAATGCTCTGGGCCGAATAGGACCTCACACGCTATATCGCAGCTATGTCAGAAGACTCAAGAGCCATCATAAAAGCCCTCGAGAAAGTCCTGATCCGACTCAGCGAGAATCCCTACCCGCATGTCGCCAATCCTCCCAATACCTCTCAAAAACGAGCCAGTGTCGCTGCCATTATCCGCGTCCGACCTGCCTACAAGCCCGTCCCTGCAAATGTCAACGGTTCCCTCGTAGCGGTTGACAAGCCATCTCCTCCCTCACCCCCATCTACCATCAGCGAGTTCTTTGCGCAAGAATGGGTCCAAGAAGGAGACCCGGAGTTGCTCTTCATCAAGCGTGCTGGCCGCGCTGGTGATAGGTGGTCTGGACACGTTGCATTACCCGGCGGCAAACGAGATCCCGAGGACGCGGACGACTTTGCTGCTGCGGTCCGTGAGACGAGAGAAGAGATAGGCTTGGATCTGGACACAGCGGATTGTCTGCCCGCAGGCAATCTTCCCGAACGACTGGTCACCACCTCGTGGGGAAAAGATGTTCTCATGGTGCTGTGTCCCTACATATTCCTCCTGACGGGCAAGGTCGTCCCTCCTGTCCAGCCACAACCTACAGAAGTCGCCTCAGTCCACTGGGTCTCTCTCCGCGCCCTGCTCACCCCAACTCTACGAACAAGAGAATCAGTGGATATATCCTCTCGAATGGCCAAGCACGTTGGTCCCGCAATCCATAGACTGATCCGTTGGACAATGGGCAAGATGATGTTCAGTGCTGTCCGCCTTCTCCCCACAGAATCCGTTTATGCCAGCTCAATACCAGGCTTCATACCCACAGAGGGTGGAGACAATCTTTCCAGCCTATCTGGATGGGCTCAAGCACCGTTCGGCATTCCCTCCTCAGCATCCATTCACCACTCTCTCCTAACTTTCCAACATCCACTCATCCTCTGGGGTCTTACACTCGGCGTGCTGGCGGACCTTCTCGATCAACTTCCACCCTACAACGCTGTAGCGCTCTGGAAATATCCCACCTTCACAGTCCCTGATCTCCGCCTGCTTGTGTATATTATGACCCGCTCGTTTAGGAAGAATACTGCAGAAACCTTCTCGTCGGGATCTTGGCCGAGTCGACTCCATCGACGGCCAAGCCAAACCGCCATAGACGGCGCAAGCGAAGCCATAGCCATTCCCGTGGCCGAACCTGGACCTGCTATGGGCCCTGAGTCGGCATCCGCGCCCGTGCCTGCAGCTACAAAAGCGCATTCCACCCGTTCCGCCAAGCGATCATCTTTCAATAAGCACAGTGTCGGAATCGGTGGGCTAGGTGTGGGTAAAGACCCACACCACGCCGTGGGTAAGTTATTGTATGGCTATTATGACAGGGTAAATTGGGCGATCGCCTTGTTTTTGGCCTACAGAACGGCGCTTACGGTGAGTGTGGCGTGGTGGATGGTCAGATGGTGGAGGAAACAAAGGGCCGCAGCTGCTTAATGTGTTGCTGGTGGACTTGGAAGAGCTCGTCTGGCCGTTTACCGCTGCATTTGATAAATAGTTGTGGCATTTTGGCATTGATCGTCCAAAGCGGGGACAGTTTTGTACATTGCACAGAGCTGATATATGGAACGCCCGTAGATATTAGTTTTGGATCTACTGTACCATGTTACATCGAGATACAACAAAAGATGTGGAGCAGATGAATTCAATAATCAAGAAGACACCAACCCTGACCAACCCTGACCTGAAGAACATTGTAGCGGAAGTCGTCAGCCTGCTTGCGAGTGCTGCCAAGCGCACACTGTGCTGACAGCAGGCCCGCAACCTTACTCCTCGTCCAAAGGATCAAACTCAGTAGGAATGAAAACAGTGATATGTTGCTGGAAGCATGCGAACAGTTCTCTGAGCCATGCTAGCCTGTCAGCAACGTAGAGACCTCGTCGCGAGAGAAATAGGAGTGTCATCTGAGGACCGGAAACTAGGTATGTCTTCTCCCTTGAGGCTTTTGCTGAAGTATTCCTCCTCCGTGGCAATTAGCAATGCGGGGACAGTCGAGCTGAGTTCGTCTTCGAGTTCAAATAATACCTCGATGGACTCTAACGCGTCACCAGCGCGCGTCGAAGTCCCCGCAAGGAGAATCTGCAACTCGTGCAACCTGGCTCGAGCGTACCGCATCATGTTCCACAAGAAGCATGGTCCAAATCCTGAATATCTGTGCACGAACATGGGGGCTCGTTGGTCCCGGATCAATGGTGTCAGCCAGAGCGGCAGCGGACTATACTGGGCCTTTGAGACAGGTCTATATTTGAACTGCGGTGGAATATTCGCTATCAATCGCAGCTACCGGAGGTCCGAGAGATGTGCCTGTTCTTGAGAGCTGCGTGGCTGCGAGATGGTATTCATATCCTGGTGATGAGTTCTCCCAGTCAATGTACTCCGCGCACAGCGTGGCCACTTCGGCGACCAAGAGGTGCACTTGAGCCGACAGATGATCGCAGACTTGCATTCACAAATGGTGGGTTATACCGAGGTCGCAGACAGAATCTTAGACATTTGTATAGCTTTGAACAATCAGCAGGAGTAAAGCATGTTGAAATGGTGTGTACAACCTCTTGAGTGTAAACAGCTTTGAAAAGAGTCGGGCCTAAGGGTGTGTCGAGAATACTAGATCCACGGTGTTCGAGAAGCGCCGCGGCTCCTTGAGTATGGGCGTACCAGCCACGGAACGCCGTTGCTAGAGATAAATAGATCTAGTACTCAATAAGCGATCCATGGAGCGTCGAGTCGTTGAAAGAAGTTACCTCACAGAACCCCAGTAGTTGGCAAGCTAGGAGCGTCTCATCTTTAAGGGCCAGCTTGGTATCTATTAGAGCGGCATTTGTGAGCCGAATCGCTCTGCCGTATTCTGTGAAAGCCGCGTCAGACGCGATGTTTGAGTTGCATTTCCTTGCAAAATTGGCCAAGGCAGTCGACTTGAATGCAGAAAGAAAGAAGGGCTAGTTGATCAATTTGTGGTACATGGCCGGAAGGTATTCTAGATACCCTGCCCTCCCCACTGGGGTTTTTATCTGGAAGACATGGTCAAAGAAGAACCTTTGCCTTGCCAACTCGTAAATCGGCTGGCTCAGGGTCAGTGTCAGATCGGTGGGGGTGGCTGCAGGGCTTTTGTTGGGCGTGGGACTTGATGCATCCCTTTTGTTTGGCTTGGTCGAGCGTTTCTGCCACAGTTCTTGGGCTCGACGAGAGGCATGGGTGGTCTCATCGTAGTGGAGCAGATTAAATGTCTTGCCCGAGCGACAGCAGCGCCCACATGTTGGTCGAGCTTCGTCACACTTGTCCGAGTCTGATTCGCTTAGAGCTGCATAGTGCCGAATGCATAATACCCAGTACATAATAATCCAAACTCAGCCCTAGCGAGCGCTGAGATTTCCGCATTCGGAAGGTAGATCCACATCGCTAGGTACTATTCATACACCGCGCAAAAGAAACAGCTTCAGCTACACGCGCCACGATTGCTCCTTTTTGTCCTGTTTCACGAGTCAGGCACGCTACGGAGGCTATCAACTCCTACAGACCCTTGATTGCTTCGCACGTAGGTTTTGAGATAGAAATGGCCAAATACATATATATGCTGCTCGTGCTCCTGGAGGTTGAGGTTGGACACATCCCCAAGCACTCCACGCATCTCCAGCATTCCTAGCGTATCAACTAGCACATTTGACTCAATATGGCCATATGTCCACCCGCCAGTGATGCCAGTAAGCTTGTCATCTCCATGGCGAACCAACCCAGAACTGACTCTACCTTAAAGACCAGGCAAAGCCCCTTGTTGGCGATATCACCTACCACACTTTGACGACTTATATTGCTGCGGGAACCATCATCTGCACATGGATCCTCTGTGGCATCCTGGCTTTCGCGCATATCACTAGATACGCAGAACCACGATAACAAAAGCAAATCGTGCGTCTTCTTTGGACACCGGCCATATTCGCCATTTTCGGCTTCTTCGGAGTCTGGCATTACAATCTTGCCAACTACCTCACTCCTATCGCCGAGCTATACAGCTGTTTCGCCCTCATAGCACTGTTCTCCCTCCTGATTGCCTATCTCGCACCAGAGTCGCTTCAGGCCCAGCTTGAATTCTTTGGCATTGATGTAGGGACTATCAAACCGTCCAACAGTTCAGATGGCGACTGGTTCCGCAAGGCTTGGATCGCGGTGATTCAGGTTTTACCAACCCGAGTCATAACAGTCATTGCCACAGAAGTTGTCGAAGCAACAGAATGCCACGGAACAAAAGCGTACCATTGGGCGCATACTATCATCAGCATCGTCCAAGGATTCCTCACCGCGATCTGCCTTGTCGCAATCCTCAATCCATACTTGAGATTTCGCAGCCAGCTTCACGCTGTCGACCGGCGCATCCTTTCCAATATGGCTGTATTCAAGCTTGTTGTCTTTGTTCAGCTCCTGCAAAGGATGGTCCTCAGCGCCTTATCACAAAATAACTATCTCAAACTAACTGAGTATGTAAGCTATCACGACTTCAATATTGGCCTGAACTCATTTCTCACCTGCATCGAGGCCTTTTTATTCGCTATTCTTTTCGTATGGTCTTTCTGGCTGCAACAAGCATGGTAAAATTCAAGAGTAGGGGTTGTTTCGGCAATTTTGGACGTAGTTAACCTTGGTGATATCATTGCTGGGATGGTCAATGCTTTATAGCTCTATCGAGAGGGTTATCCATGTACCAAGCCTCTTCATCGAAGCCGGTATGCCAATGCTGACGGCTCTGAGCATAGACAGCAGCAGATATTAGTAGGGAACAAATTCACGATGGACAACCATCACTCGGTGTCGATCTACCTGTTTCCTTTCTTTGAGTAGCTCTCTTTTCGGGGCTACGGGGTGGGTTGACATCTCATGGGAGGCTCTGGGTTTTGCTAGGCTTAGAACAGAAGCTTCGACCGCACTGTATTGGATAGCTAAAAGACTAACAATTTGCTTTGTCCATGGTCTGTCTTGTTCCTGGGAACGTACCCTGTCAACACTGTCGAATGCTTGTCACCAGGTGAAACCCAAGGCTGCCGGCTAAACATCGGCCCGATGATAACCTCCTCTGCACCGTTTGATGTAAAAGCCCATTTCTGTTCTTGTAATCTTGATCTTCCATTCAATTTCTCACCATTCTCCTCGTCCACGACTCTGGCGTTGCTGAGGGGGTCCTTGCTCTCTATATATATACATGTCATCTTTTGTTGCTGAGGCACGCATAAAGACAGTTGGCGTTATTATCTTTGACAAGTCGTGGCCAATCCCTTTCAAGATGGTTCATACAAGAGACAAGATGCGACGTACACATCAAACTTTATTCTGTGGAAAGAGTGAGGCTCCGGATCGATGCGGCGCATGTAATGTTGAACACACACAATCATGCTTACTGAGGATGTCGGCGCCATTCACTTTCTGCCAGTTTCCGCAAAACATTTGTCTTGGCTGCGAACCGGGGTAGGGAAATTTCTCTCCAAGAATTCCTCGAGCATCACCTTTCCTTCCACCTTATTCAGCTTTATACGCTTCTGTTGAGCCCGGAACTTGCAGATTCTATTCTCGATCACATCAGCTTCAGCCACTGCCATTATTGGGTAGGCCTTTACAAAGTTTGTCTCTCAGATCAGACTCTTCTCTATCAAACTCAAAATGCCTGTCAAGTGGAATGATTCAGAAAAGCTCACCGTAAGTTTCCCAAAGTACTCTGCTGAGAGGTTACGCACTGACCAGAAACAGCTCCTTCGAACTGCTATCCTGTGCTCGCCCAATTTCAAGCTCGATGCAAAGATGGTTGCCGAGATGTGGCGTAAGTATCAAAGGTCTTGGTTTCTTCCAGCAACTACTAACTTCGACTGTAGCCGGGGTTGATGAGGATGATAAGCCTAGTGCTCGCAGCATTGCCCGCAACTATAGCAGTATTATGAATCATGCAAAAGACCTTGAAGCTATCCGTCAGGCAAAGGAAGCGCAGGCCAAGAATAGCGAAGACGAAAAGGACGGAGCAGAAACGAAGACTGGGGATGACGCTACCACTCTTTCGCCTGAAGCTTCCACCATCAAGACACCGGCTTTGAAGAGCTCAATCACAACTCCATTACCTACTCACGGCAGCATGAGCAATCGTTCTGCTGCCGTCAAATCCAGCACCGGCTCTAAGCGTAAGCGCGCCATCAAACGTCCCTCGTCTGACGAGGATGAAGCGTCTCTCAGTGAGACAACCTCCGGCGACGAAGCCGAGGTTGTCTCACCAACCCAAATTGCCCGAAAGAGGCTGCCGGTACGCATGACACGCCGCACCACAATGACCAGGATTGACGATGAATATGGCGGCACTGAGGAGGAGATGGATACGGGTGCCAAGCACCTGGAAACCGAGGGCTCCGATGGGGAGTACGACCTTGCCAAAGAGCGCAAGGAAAAGACTGAACGCAAGGCGAAGCTTGCGAGGCGCGCTCGCAAGTGAGCCGCTGTGAGAGAAAAGGTAGTCGACTGTGTCATGTTTGACACGTATGTTTGTACAGCAAATCGTGCGGCGGGGTGCGCCGTGAGAATCGCTCGCAGAAGTGGACAAAGTTGTTTACACCGTTCTTTACTGCCCATGCGTCCCCTCTTCCTACTGATATGATGACTTATCTTCTGACAGGACGTTCGAAAACGGGCCAAATACCCCTTTACCAGATGTAAAGGACAGCCTGCTTTTCGGCAATCCTTTTTCGTCTAGACACAACCTCCCCATTGTCTCTCCAGCGCGTGCCCTTTTCACGGCATTCCTGGAGAGGCGGTCGATAACCGCTTACTTGTCTAGTATGGGCATTGATTCCACGGCGCGTTCCTTCACCCTTTGTCTGGGCGGAATGCGATGTCTTTGCCGTGCTCCGCCGCACCCCTATGGCTTTATCATGTCACACTGGCTAACAGCAAAATATTCTGTGTGAGGGAGACAAAAAAAGGAAAGAAGAACTCAGACTCCTCACTCATATTTCATTTACATCATATATGGGCAATGCGGTGAGGTCATCCATGATTTGACATTCTCAATGGAGATAGATACCGGTTCTGGTGTCAAAGTGCAGACAGCATTCTGCTTTGGTGCCTCAAATTTGTTCAATTTTCTCTGGTGTGAACTCTTAAACACCATGTTGTTCTGCAACCCGTGATGGGAGAAGGTGGGTTTCTTTTTCCCAAATGTGAATGCACTGCCCTTTATACAGGTTGAACCTATTTCAGTGCCTGGCCTTGCCTTCGCTACCGCCAAACCGCATTCCGTCCCAGCAGAGTAAAGAATCTTTGTCAAGCCAGTACCCGCCCGGCATTGCCACTCACGGCACAGCCATTCTGGATTTCACGGAGTCTCATGATCTGCAGCCTCGACAGGCTCAAATTTGAGTCCCTCTGGCAGCTCCATCACGGCAGCGTCGCCCGTTTGTGCTCGCACATTGCCACTCCTCATGGGTTTAGGTCCATACGCAGAAAGCCTCTTCTTAGGGCTGTTTTGCCGATTCCGCTGCAAGGCTCCGGAGTTGACAACCTTGATGTCAATGTTGTACCGCTTCCGGATTGCCGTAAACTTCGGCGGGATGCTTGACAGACTCATGCCAAGTTGCCGCGCGACCTTTTCGGCATCGACCTGTGATCACGTCAGACGTGGAAGGGGAGGAGTTTGGGACAGGGCTTCGCATACCTGGATCGGGCCAACTGAGCTTTGAATTGCGGCAATCAGCACCGCAATGTCGGTTTCTTTAACTTGATTTTGTGCCATTACTTCAGTTTCTCTGCTGAATGTGCTACGCAAGGCTAGGAAGGTCCAAAAGACAAGGACTTTCAGCAAAGTGATGGAGGCGAGAACAGAAGATGGTTTTTGCGACTGAGGTTTCAAACTGGACATTCAGCTTCGTGGCTTTTTATACCTTCCAGGCTCCCATGAGCCACGCACTCTAGAAGTTCCCTCACTATCGGGGGGTACGACTAGCGCGTCAACTGGTGAAGCAAGGACGAGGAGGAAAGTTCGGGGACAGTTCTGTCATTACAATCTATTGCATTCAAGTTACAAGACGCCGTACACTGAGACGCAGGGATCCAGCGCCCCATCAAGTCGCTTTTAGCGCCCTCAGAGAAGATTCAAAAAGGCCACTTTCCGGCGCTAGGTGCGTACATGGTTCTTGAGAAACGCAAGTTTGCTGAGAAAGCTTAAGTTGAGGGCGATTCGCGCCCTTAGCCACAAATATCAGCTCCGTCGACCCGTCCACGCTACTCACAACGGAAATACTGCATTATTCGTTGCTTTTCTTCCCGTTATCGCTCTTTGATCACGGGCCACATAGCTGTCTCGCGTTGACTCCGCGGCCAATCTAGTGCGATTGACTCGTATCCATGATCGAACTCATGCTAGGCTTCAGTGGCGGCAAATAGGTCAACGCGCCAGTGTGTCGCTGCTTTCTACGGACTTTCTCACTATATTTGCATGAGTCTCCCAGGTCTTTCTTCCGTCTTTTCCCTCCACTCACACCCTTCCTAAGTTCATTCTCGACGGTGTTGCTCCTTGGTTGTCCTAAAACATTGTCGTCTTTTCCACTATGCCTTATCAATGGACTGCTGAACGAGAGCGTCGCATGCTGCTCTTCGCGATTTTCTCTGCCAATCTGAGACCTTCCGCCGATACATGGCAGCGGGTCGCGGCTCTCCTGGGAGAAGGGTTGACCGCGTCAGCTGTGAGGTCTGTGTCGCTTGACCCTTTCAATGAAGCGCCCGTGGGATTTGCTGACGTGTGGCAGTCAAAAGTATTATAAGCTGCGACACGAAATGGAAAAGATGTTGAAGGATCAAGGAGCCCCGACCCCAACGACACCAACGAAGCGCAAAGCCGAAGACGAGGACGAGAAGAAGACGCCTCCATCGAAGCGAGCTCGAAAACCCAAGCAGAAGTCGTTCGACGGCATACCATTCACCCAGGTGCCCGACAGTCCTCAGAAGGTCAAGTACGAGGACATGGCGGTGAGCGGTCTGGACTCATTCCATAGCTACGACGCACACTTCACTCCAACAGCCTTTTTCCCAGCGGTGAACATGGGCGAGCTGATGAATGGGCAGAGAAGTGGGAACAGCAGCAGCAGCAGCTTCATGGCCTGAACATGGGGTCCCAGGGTTGCCGGGGGCACAAGGATTGTGCAATGGCTCCAAGGTTTGGCGGAAACACGCATGGAAGTGACTCAGAAACGGTGTGAAAAGGCCGGCAAGAACGGCTGGGGATTCGCAAAAAGCGACTTTCAATTGGCTTGTGTGGATGTTAGCTGCTGGATGATCCAGTAGCGAGACAACCGGGGGGGTTGGGAAAGACGGGAACGTGCGTGCATCATGCTGGAGGAATTCCCAGCCTCCTGAATTTCGTGGATATCAAACAGTGTATAAACATGTGTGCCTGGCGTTGTATATGTAGACTTGTCGTCCATTTTGCCTGGAGTTTTAGCTTCTTGGCCGTGCATTAGCGGAGGCTTGGCGCACCCAATAAGGATCTCAACAAGGCTTCGGGTGGAGCGGGGCTCGACCGCGAAAGTTGAAACCTTGCAATGACTCGTCCTGATAGGAGAGCAATAGACTATCCTGCATGTCTCCTCTTATTGGAGCCATCCTGGATAACTTTGTCTGAAAGTGCGCGGCAGAGGGAGGCAATGCGCGGATATCTCTTTAATGAGGAAATGGGATCGTCCCCTCGTCCTCAGCCCCGTTGGGAATCCACACCGTCTCTTTTCTAAACTCCCCTTGCAAGAGATATACCTCTTTGACCCTGGATACCGGCTCTGTATCCTCCAATGGACTCTCTCGATGGATTCCCTCATCCAGTGGACTTGCCTAAGACATGCAAACGCTCTGCATGGTTTGGTAAGACCAACTTTGGTTCCTCTGGGAAGCTTCCTTCCTCAACAGCAGGCAAATGCACCAACGGAGTAGCTAGAGTGAGAGCGAGAGCTGTCCAGGACTTGCGGAATATTGAAACGGACCGACTAGACTGTACTTTGCTCCAAGCTATTGCTGCCTGGGTTATCCCAGTGTCCATACCCTGTTCTCCTAGTCTCCTGACCATTGCCCGGTTGATGGTTAGCTTTCCCACCAGCGAGCTGCACGTACGGGAATTTCCTTTCTCGAAACTCCCAGCCTCCTTATTTTCTCTGATACGATTCTGACTTCTGATCATCGCAGCCCAAATGTACCAGTGATTCGGGGAGTTCTACTCTTGGACGAGGCGCCTCCAAACACCGCCCGCTCTTCATTTCAAAAGTCACCTTCCACTCATCCCGACTTCGCCACATTTGACTTTCTCTCCACCATTTCCTTGAAGCTCGCTTGCCTACTCGACCTCTTCGACTTGCCTATCCATCCATCAACTTCATCCCAAAGGGCCTTTAAGCCTACTTCAATCCTTTCGCGCACTAAATCACTCCGTGCCCTCTGCGAACATGGCGCCAGCACAACAGGCCGGCTCCAAGCAAGAGCTCAGTATCAAGGATGCCATGTTCCTCCTCGAGCTCATGCGTGATTCTCCTCAGGCCATCCTCGTAAGTTTTTGGCTTTATTCTCCTCGCTCCCCTCACTGGTACTGGTCAATTCACTGCCTCCTCGGCCACCTCACCACGTCCCGCTTTCATCAAACTCACTCACCTCACCTCACCTCACCTCACTACGGACCCCGTCCTTCTCACCACCTTACATTTTTCTCCTCCTTCTCAATCATGATACTAAATCCCTCTCTCTTGACAGTTCTACATCAGCCCTTACTGCCAAAAGACAGGGGCAAAGCCGAACACGGTGGCGAAGAGACTCAGTGAGATCAAGAAGCGTAATGGTCTGAATATCGTTACTACTACAAACCCATCAACCGGTAATAATGGTTATGCCGTTCCCAAGGCTGCATCTACCGCGAAGTGTGGGAGTGGCGATGACGAAAGCGACGCAAAACCAAAGGCCAAACGTGAACGAGCACCAAAGGCCGCTGGGAAGCCATTTGCCCCGGAACTCCCTAGCGCAAACTGGGTAAAGGTGGAAGCGAGCGATTCCCAAGGCCTGGGCGCTGCCTACAGTCTTCCTTCTCCAGCGGATTCGACTGCCGGAGCAACGCCTCTCGGCACCGCCGCCGTGGGAGGGATCAACGGCTGGAGCATGGCGCAAATTCCCTTCTACATGTCTCAGAAGAAGCGAAGCCTGGACGACTGGGACGAGCGCGAGCACCATAGCAACAAGAAGATAAAGAATGAGAGTTAGAGCTTTTCCTGCCAGTGGCGAGGGCGATTCTACTCTCTTCCTTGGTTTCAGGAAAAAGCTGGCTGTGCCACCCGGGCCGGAGAAGGGCCTAGAAGTGTAAAGGGCGTCGGTCGACTTTGTTTGGTTCGGGGATAGGTGTGGGGGGGGGGCACGATGGCTCTCCTTCCACTGACCGATGTTGGTTATTGCTGAGGAGGAGAGGTGGTAGCGGCGGGATAAGAGATGAGAATTATTCCATGTGCCTCAGAGAAATTGACGGGCACGGGGGGAAGTAAGACATGTTCGAGCTTAGTCAACAAAACTCAAGCAGAAAAGTACAGAGTCGGGGCCTCGCTGGGAACAAACAACCAAGGAGCTCTCTTGCTTAACGCTGTCGTGCTAATCAATCGTGTGGCTTGGAGCGAGGGAATAAGAACAGAGAGATGGAATATCATATTCGTCAGGGAACACTTAGTCAAGAACAATGACAGAAATTGGCTCGCCCACATCCTTCTTCTTTCCACAGCCGTTAACATGTTCACGTGTGACACCCAGACGTACTTTAATCCCCGGCCCTGATATCGTACCCTGCTCGTCATTTCTGCTGTTTGGATTCGAACCCCTTGGCGGACCCGCGTTATCCAGGGTCTCGAAGAGCACGGTCGTGGGAAGACCAGAGTTGTCGGTTGGACTGGCACTGTCCTCTTTAAAGAGAGGCTCAGAGGTTGGCTCAGGAATATTCGCTGGCCCAGACTCGAAGATGGTGTTGTTGGACTCGACCCAAGCGGACGCAGAATTCCGAAAAGCGTGCAATACGTCAATAGCGACGCCGGTTGAGCGCAAGATCTCGTTGATAGTGCTAGCTGAGATCTCAGGTGCTCCATCATCCAGTTTCGCCTCGAGGCTATGAGACTGCTGCGTAGGAGCCGAGCCAATGTATTGGGCTGGGTGAGGAGTGTTAAGCGTACCGATTTCAGTCTGAGCGGTCATAGAGCGCGTCTGTATCTCCGATGCCAGTGCAGGCGGTGCGTTTAGATGCGGAGTGGAGTCATCCGACAGAGACACAAGCGAAGCCGCGCGGTCTTTGCCCTTGTCACGAATCTGTAAGGGTCTAGCTGGTAAAATGGCGGCTGCGTGGTCAACGCTTTGTCGAATCGGCAAGGCACTGGGATCGTGTGGCCGTGTCTCGTCGACGTCCATTGGGGAATCTTGACGGTCATGACTTTGACGCACAGGCACTTCGTATTGAAAGCTGTTATCACTTTCCTCAAGACGCGAACGCGCGGCGGCCGCGGGTCTAGGACTTGATGCAAGTAGATCGGTGATACTCAGTCGGCAGCATTGCGCTGAGGAACCCGCATTCTGGCCTTCATTTCGCGCTGCAGTAAGCTTGGCCAGTCTCTCACGGCCTTCGATAACCTTTTGCTTATCTTTCAAGCTGCGGATGTGATCCTTGCTGATTTGTTCATGTAGCTTAAGGTCTCCTTCATTGGGCAGTTGCCTCTGGCAAAGTGCACACCGATACTCACCGTTCTTCGTAACGTAACCGAAGGATTCAAATCTCGGTGGCGCATTCAAGTGAGGATTGCTTGTGGTCTGGAGCTCGATTGGGTCATGAAACTCCGAGGATCTGCGTTTTCGGGTCTGGGTAATGGTCTCTCGAGCGAGGCAATCAGCGTGATTCTGCCCTGCGATATGCGAAGAAACACCAAGGGCTACCCCAAAATCGTTTGCCACAGTTCCAGTAGTCATCACCCGCCCATTTCCGGGCTCTCTTAGAGGAGCTGCCATGGCCTCGCTTGCTGGTATGTCTCCGGCGGGCGATGTTCGAGGTGATGCTTCAATAACTCGACGACGTTTTGCAGGAGCTTGGAGCGAATTGTCAGACCGAGCTTTCAATATTTCGACCTCTCCAGGGCTAAGGATGCTAAGACCCTCGTCATCAAAGTCGAGCAGAGGTGGCCGACGAGATCCTGCTATGCCTCTCGAAGGCCTCTGTCGGCCACAGCCGTGGCGATCGGCAAATTCGAGTTTAAGTTGCTCTGCTTTCGCGGGGACGTCCTTTGTGAAGAGGGCTTCGATCTCACGGTATGTTGCTCCCTCACCGTAATAAGTCGCGATTGTCTTCAATTGGCGTCTGAACTGCAAAATCGTTAGTTCGTACGCAACTCGACAGAAATTGAACTCTCACAGGTTCCTCGCCCATCGCAGCGCAAGCTGCCGCCAATGCCCGGAACAGGGTATCTTTGAAATCCCAGATTGAAGAAATATTGGAGATTCTCGATGCTGCCATGTTGGTGATGAGTCGAGAAGAAGAGAAGTGCAGTAAATGACATGGAGTTGAGAGCGGCATTGAGGAGGGTCTTGAGTCGATGGACTCTTCCCTCCACCAGCCCCATGCTGCTTGAACAGAAGCAGGACCAAGTCCCGCGCTCTGGACCCATTGAAAATTGGACTGAAAATGGCAAGAAAGAGCAAGGAAGAGCTAGCAGGAGCAAGCATGAGAGGGGCAAAGCTGCAGCGTCATGACGACCGGGCGCCTTTGGCTTCTTGGCATGTTTGCTGCTATTTACTTCGGGTGACAGTGTCATTACAACACGCATCTACACCCTCCATTTTGTGCCCTGGCTTGCCTGGGCCAGTGCTTGATTGGACTACATGGTCGCACACTAGCACAGAGAAGGGAACTTTGGTGTGCAAGAATGTCCTTCTCGCATGCGATTCCCAGGCGGTTGGCCGCTCTCATTTCGGACCGCAATGTCTGCATTGAAACGCCCACTCACTTTTTCTACCTCAATTTTCAGCTTTTTCCCCGTCAACTTCCCTTTTTACCTCATGTTACATGCCGACCTTCCTAGATATGATATATCACATGTGCTCAATGGTTGATTACGCTGACCCTAGGCTTATTGGGGGTCTCGAGCAAGTGTGGAAGAAGTGGGATTCGCCCACGTCAAAGGGATGAAGCACAGGGAACGATTCAGAAATACGAGGTAGACTGATTTGAGTCCAATTGCCCTTGACGATCAATTTCTTCGACTTTCTAGCGTGCTTTCAGTGCTTGGAGTGCGGGACTGATGCACTCGTTTTCTGCATGTCGATGTTCAGTGTTTTGATTCCAGGCACAAGGTTGAAGGTGCCTTGTTGTCGAGCCCCGTCGACGGAATTCTTTCTCATGCAAAGTCTCAGCTCAAGTAATATCCCCATCATGTCATACCACAGCCTGTCCAAGCCGATGCTTGCCATGCACCCCATAGTATCCAGCCGAGCGAAACCAAATCCTGCAAGAGAAATTTGCCGTTCCTCCAGGGACGTTGTGAGCGAGTAATATTACTTGAGGTTTAGGGGATCGAAGTACGTGAGCCTGATGAAGAGTCAGCAGTAGAACCCCTGAGTGAAGACAGCAGTGTGTACCGGGATAGAAGATGAACCTTCTCATTCGCATTTGCTCTCCTCATCCTCGGATTTGACAGCGGGTTTTTCCTCCTCTTCAACTTCCCCCTTGATTTCGGGTTCAGCTGGAGCGACATTCTTCACATTCCGCTTACGCTTTGTGGGCGTCTTTGGCTCTTCTCCATTGACATCTGCGACGTTTCGCTTGCGTCCAGATGTACCCTTGCTTGCGGGCGTCTTTGTGGTCTTGGCATCCTTGACTGGGGTCGCAGCGTCACCACTGACGGTCGCATCGCCCTGCTGAAGTAGCTTCTCACTCTCTTTCTTCAACTTGTAGAATTTTTGACTACAGATTCAGTAAGTTAACAAGATGGTCTGATATGTGGAACGACAACGCCTTGAAATCGAAAGAGAGACAAAAGGAAAACACCATAAAACAGTGAGTAAAAAGTGATGATACCTGCAGGCACTGGCGTTGAGATCATTGCCGAGTTTCTCAGCGACCCTAGACCAAATCGAAGTGGCTGGTGGGCTCATTTCCGCAATGGCAAAGAGGAGCAGGTTGCGCTCGGCTGCAGCATCCCACTTGAAAGGCATAGTGAAGACTTGGGGAAGCGAAGGAGGGATAGGGAGGCAGTCTTCTCGATGTTGTGGAGCGAAGAAGCTGTCTTGAGGGGTGGTGATGTTCAACCAGGCAAAGGAGGTGTGTGTTGACAGTGAGAGTACGAGGAAAGGGAATCAGGGATTGGTAAATGTGAATGTTTATTAAACCCCATATTTGTTAAAAAGAAAGCTGTGAGATTAGAGTGAATTGACCGACAGGCATTGTCACTCACTTCACAGCCGATTGCCTGAGCCACCTGTTCGAATTTTGCCATCGAGCAGTTTTCGATCATACTGAACACAGCAGAAGCTTTTCCGAGGTGTCATCCCAGGTGAACGACATCATTGTTGACGAAGAGCTTTTCACACGTGACGTAAATGAATGCGACGAGTGACAACGAGCTTTAACTGAGGTTCATAGGTTCACAATGGATGGTAGAGGTGAGAAAATGATTAAGTTGCGGTGGAGAGAGCAAAGAATATATCATGTTAACGAGGGAAAGGGGGGAAAGTTCCGGAAGGTCAGACAGTCCAGATCGAGCGCGATGGATAGGCCTTGGTTTTCTATGGTCTCTTGAGCACTGGGCTGATGGAGCCGTTGGCCTCAAATATGCCCATATTTTCCAGAATTCATGTTTGTTGTTGATGAGGCTAGCCCAACTGCTTTGGGCAATGGATGAACTTCCACGGGCAGCCTGGAAGTAGCATCATTCTCCAGCTAAGGTGATCGCTTGCAGCACTGGATCCTGTTGTTCTGTAACCGACCATGCCTTGAGTTGTGAACAATCCCATGGAAAGACTTGCGTTGTGAATTTCCTTCGCCACTTCTCATATTCGATATTATGACTTTCTATCTGCCGGAGCTTAATCCACAGGAGATATTGAGTCGCACACAGCTACCACAACAGGCCCATGAGCTTGTCGACAAGGTTTCTGATTGACGAGAATGCAGCGAGGTCCGAGAAGCGACCAGGACCCTGGAAAGGCATTGATCCTTGGCTGAAGGACAGGGGCGATCTTTCCAAGCACCATCGGAATCACACCAGGGGCACAGCGCTTCAACACGCAAAGCCTCCAGAGGCCGCTGGATGTCTGTCCCGCATTCACATTTCAAGGCAGAACCTGCGATCGGTGGTGAAGTATCGAAGCACAACGTCGTTTACCAAGCAGTCCACTTACATCCCGCAAGAGTATCGAGGCTGTCTGCTCATACCCTACAAACATCTACCTGACTGCGTCGTGCGCTCACCCAGGAGCAGCATCCCTGGATCGCGGAACGAGAGGTAGCGAGCACTTAGCTCGATGGAAGGCGAAAGATACTCGCAGGCACGACCAATCGTAGATACTCTGTACACCTGAGCGATATCGTAATCATAAGCACAACTCACAGCTAGAGAGCACAGGTTCTGGAGCAGCTTATAGCATGCTGGAAGGAGTGGCTACCTAGATAGCTGGAAGAGGTCCCAGGCACCCCGCAATGAGGGCGAGGGTTTATCAGAATAATACCGAATACGGAGTAGTATGTAGTTGATGTGAGGAAAGTATCGGTGAGGGAAACGCACTGGTGGCGAGGGCTGACCTGGATTTCTGGGCGTTCGCCTGCCAACCGCCAAACTTGCTGCTGGGCAACAGTCACCTGCCTGTCCACCGCCCAACCAGCGCAGCCTGGCGAGAGCCCCTCGTTGTGATTAGGCGCGTCGGGACGCAGTTCGGAGTATCAATTCTGGACCCCACCATTGACTCGCTCTTTTTGCTGCCACAGCATCCCCGTTATTATTGTTCCATCCCACCAAACACTCCCTTATCCTCTGCCTGCCCTACACGCAATCTGGACTTTCTTTTGCGTTGCATTGTCCAGTCTTGCACCACAATCCTTCGCCAGGTACGTAAGCCCCTGTCCTAGACAGCCCCCGATCGTCGGTGCGTGGCCTGTTCAACACTTTATGTTCCTATCTTCGCTTCTTGACGCCTCCATCGCTCCAAGCGCCATCTTACTCTCTGCTGAAACTGACAGCAATACCAGCTTGAAACCGAGTCGCATAGGTATCTGGAACCTCAATAAGCAGTCATGGTGAGTACTTGAATCCATCCTGGAATTCCGCTTCAGCTGACCCTTCCCTTCAGCCTGTGTCCGGGTATGTCTGTCCAATCTGCCTTAAAAGAGCCCGATGCCCCCTTGCGCGTCGGCGTGCCTCTCTAATTCCTTGATACCATTAGCCTCTCCGTCAATCCCGACTGCGTCTCAAAATTCAATGAGCTGAAACTCGGTCGCGGTGGTCCAAAATACATCATCTACAAGATCTCTGATGATCAGAAGGAAATTGTGGTAGACGAAGTCGGCAGCGAGCCAGACTACGACACCTTCAGAGAGAAACTCATTGCCAAGAAGGAGGCCAGTGGCAAGGACCGTCCTTCGTATGCCATTTACGATGTCGAATTCGAACTTGAGGGCGGTGAAGGCAAGAGGTATGCACGATGAGGTTCAGTCAGCTTGGAGGATGCGTATACTGAAATGAAGATCAAGATCCAAGATTGCGTTCATCACTTATATCAATCAGGACAACACCGGTGTCAAGGTATGGCTGCCCACGCTCTTCGGTGAGAACATCACGCCTAATCTCTTGCGCAGTCCCGCATGGTCTATGCCAGCTCCCGCGAGACCTTGAAGAACGCCCTCAACGGAATTGCCATGAACTGGCAAGCAAACGATCCTGGCGAGTTGGAGTGGGTCGACCTGCTCAAGGAAGCTAGCAAAGGCAAAGGCACAGTCTAAGGGTGAATTGACAGTGGAGGCGGTTGGACCACACTTCGCATACCGGCAACAGAACACACTTACCACAAGGTGTACGTTGATCTTGTGGCATCTGAGACGAAAGAGCCCGTCTTCCGACGAGCCGAGCATGGCAGATAGGTTGAGTATGCGCCGTTGGAGCACGCCCGATATTTGATGCTGTGACGAAGATAGAGCGCTGCGACGTTGATCGGCACGAGATAGATGGTCTCGAATCAAAATTGGAAGCATTTTTTCCTACCTCAAAACTCCGGGTCTTTCTGAACCTGTTGTGCTTTTCGGAGAGTGTTATGGACCGACTGTGGCCGAGCAGCCTGGGGCCGACATGTGCTTCATTGCGCTCGAATGACATCCTCTTGCTCAACAAGCACGCCTTTGCATTTCTGCGCGATATCGTCCGTATCAGTCCATTTGCCCTGATTTTTGGGCCGCAAGTCCATGACTACTCTGCGGCAGATCAGAATTGTAATTTTGGTATTTCTCAGTACTCGACTGTGACATACGTTGATGCTCCTTTCGCACACAGTAATGTCTGTTGACTCGAGTGCTTGTTCCGCTATCAGTAAATCTCAGAGCTGTAAAAATCATACTTTTTTTTCAAGGAGTCTCCCGTCGAGCCGTAGATGGTTGTCTCAGCCCAATGACACGATATACCGAGAGGGAACCCGTAGTACCTGTGGGGTGATGAAGGCTGATGTAGCGGTAATTTTACACAGCGCCAAGGCTAGGAGCTAGCGAATCCTCTGCAGATGTGATTGAACTTGGAACTCAAACCAACGACCTCAGATAATCGTTCTCGCATTCACCAGGTTCAATCCACAAGCAACCTGCTACAACAGCGGCCGCCGAGCTCCAGGCTTCGGCAGGGTATTGAACGGTCGACTTTCGTATGTGTTGATCCAACCTTCACACTCTTCCAGCAAGATGTATCTCCGCTCCTTACCCCGTGTAGCTCGTGCTTCCACCAGCACCTCGACAGCATGCACGCGGATCACACGTCCCTCAATTCGATCCTTCCGTTCCTCAGCGCGGTCTCTGGCTCCCACTTTTGCAGCTACCCAGCATGTGCCTCCCATGACCAGCCAGTCTCAGATGCGATCTGCTCACGCCATCTCCAACCCTACCCTCGCCGGAATTGAGAAGAGATGGGAAGCTATGCCTCCACAAGAACAGGCCGAGCTTTGGATGCAATTGAGAGATCGTATGAAGGTTGATTGGAACGAAATGACTTTGCAGGAAAAGAAAGCTGGTATGTACCGAACTCAGTCTCCCCGCGGAGGAACGCGGCACAGGGATGATGTGCATAATGAAGCTTGGATTCCCGCTGTCGAGCTGGAGCAGATTATAATATGAAGCTGGGGAAACTTTACTGATGTTTTTGACAGCGTGGTGGATTGCATTTGGACCTCACGGACCCCGTGCTGAAGCACCCCCGGGCGAATGGACCAAAGTGTGGCTTTACACAGCTGTGGGTCTTGGAATATCGTTGGCTATGTTCCTCCTCATCCAATCCTTTGCAAGACCGCCACCACGGACTATGACCAAAGAATGGCAAGAAGCTACCAATGAATACCTCAAGGTGAGTTGATCATCGCGAATTTCAGGATGACCTCGCAAGGTTTTCCCGCTGCTTAAGAGTCAAACTGATAAACCCCATCTGCAGTCCGAGAAAACCAATCCTATGTATGGTGTCAGCCGTGAAGGATACACCGGCCCAGGCTTCATTCAGAGCAAGTCTGCCAAGTCTCAGGGCATCAAGCTTGAACCAGATGAATAACCGGCAGTGGTGTGAAGGAGCAAAGACACACGTGCTTGCGCCTGCGCAGATGGTGGTCTTTTTGTACTGTGACTAGTATCTCCAGAAAGCAGGGATCTCATTGTGTTTTGTGAATACAAAAAAAATATCAACATCCTTCTCTGCAGCTGTGCTTTTCAGGCGCCTCTCTCTGGTTCGTGAGACTGTACATAGATTAACGCGGACGGTGATTGAAATCGATAGCCCAAAGCTGTTCCTCTATTTCCTATGCTTTGAGTTGCTGAAGATGCGCATTATCGCTCTTAAAATCTTCCCCCATATATCGTACGTGTCTGATTTACGATGGTGCAAGATGGTGGTGGCTCTCGAAAATTGGCGAGGCAACTCCGGAGATCCTAGAACCGGGCCTTGTCGGGCTAACAGAGGTCCCCAGTTAGGCATAGCGCAGAACCGAGCTCAATGAACCAGCAACTTTGATTCCTTGACTTCAAGTTTCTTCTCTTTGCTCCTGATCCCACACCAACTCTCCCCTCTACCTTTCCATCTTTACCTTCTCGTTCATCCGCAAACATGCTCAAGAGGTTCGTGAGCTTCTCATCATACACGTGCAGAGCTCCGCAAGCGCTTTCACAGATTGTTGCTAACACCGATTGAACAGCGGCATCGCCCGTAGCTTGGGCAGGTCTGCCCTTGCTCGACCTTCCATCTCCCGACGCGCCTTCGAGCCCCTACGGAAACAGGCCGGTCCAGCTCTTGCACAGCGATGGGCCTCGACAGACTCCCCAAGAGACGGCAAGATCCACCAGGTCATTGGTGCTGTCGTTGACGGTACGAGAAAAAAAATTTCCTCCTTTCCTGCGCCCATGAGGGCTCGCACAAAGCTCGACAATTACAAGAAACATGCGATAGCGGGCCGATGAATGAAGCTGATGGCTTTCGTCTAGTGAAATTCGATACCGAACAACTCCCTCCTATTCTCAATGCCCTAGAGACCGATAACAATGGCCAGAAGCTTATCCTGGAAGTTGCGGTATGAAACCATGATGAGATGACTCTGGCAGCCCGGAAACTAATGGTAAACAGCAACATTTGGGTGAGAGTGTTGTGAGATGTATTGCTATGGATGGTATGAGTCCTCGCACAAATCAATCGCCCAAGTCTGACTTCAAATTCAAGGTACCGAGGGTCTCGTCCGCGGTCACAAAGCTACCGATACTGGCTCTCCGATCAAGATTCCAGTCGGCCCTGGAACATTAGGTCGCATCATGAACGTCACTGGTGACCCTATTGATGAAAGAGGACCCATCAAAGCCACCAAACTGTCTCCCATCCATGCCGACCCCCCCGAGTTCATTGAGCAAGCCACAACTGCTGAGGTCTTGGTTACCGGAATCAAGGTCGTGGACTTGTTGGCTCCTTACGCCCGCGGTGGGAAGATTGGTCTCTTTGGTGGCGCAGGTGTCGGCAAGACTGTGTTTATTCAAGAATTGATTGTAAGTACGCCTGCACATGGTAGAGATACAACGGCTGACAAATCCAGAACAACATTGCCAAAGCCCACGGTGGTTACTCTGTCTTCACTGGTGTCGGTGAGCGTACCCGTGAGGGTAACGATCTGTACCACGAAATGCAGGAAACCTCTGTTATCCAGCTTGACGGTGAATCCAAGGTCGCCCTGGTGTTCGGTCAAATGAACGAACCCCCTGGGGCTCGTGCTCGTGTGGCCTTGACTGGTTTAACTGTTGCCGAGTATTTCCGTGACGAAGAAGGACAGGATGGTATGGACTTGTCCAATTGGGTACTCGGACACTTTTACTGACGCGAATCCTAGTATTGCTCTTCATCGACAACATCTTCCGATTTACTCAAGCCGGTTCCGAGGTGTCTGCCTTGCTTGGTCGTATCCCCTCTGCTGTCGGTTACCAACCTACCCTTGCCGTGGACATGGGTATCATGCAGGAACGTATCACCACCACTCAAAAGGGATCCATCACCTCCGTGCAGGCCGTGTACGTGCCCGCCGACGATTTGACTGATCCTGCCCCTGCCACGACCTTCGCACATTTGGATGCCACCACCGTGTTGTCTCGTGGTATTTCCGAATTGGGTATCTACCCAGCTGTCGACCCTCTCGACTCTAAGTCGCGCATGTTGGATCCTCGTGTTGTGGGACAAGAACACTATGACACTGCCTCCCGTGTCCAGCAGATGTTGCAAGAATATAAATCCCTCCAGGATATCATTGCCATCTTGGGTATGGACGAACTTTCCGAAGCCGACAAGCTGACTGTCGAACGAGCCCGGAAATTGCAGCGTTTCCTTTCCCAACCCTTTACCGTCGCACAGGTGTTTACCGGTATTGAAGGCAAGCTCGTGGATTTGAAGGATACGATAAGCAGTTTCCAGAAGATTATTAATGGCGAAGGCGACGATCTCCCGGAAGGTGCTTTTTACATGGTGGGCGACTTCGAGAGTGCAAGGGCCAAGGGAGAGAAGATTTTGGCAGAGTTGGAGAAGTCGTAACTTCTACAAGCGGAGAAAAGATGGAATGAGATGGTGATGCAAGAGCGAAAGGCTCTGGTAAAAAGCATTGCATCGAGTCCTCGGGGCGAAAAGGGAGAGTGGGTGTGAAGAAGTTAGAAGCTGAGAGTCGAGAGTTGATGAGGAGAGGCGGAAAACTTGTACATTGAACATCCTCCTTTTTATTCCAGAGATCACAATTTCCGCTTGTTTCCTACAAGGTAGTTCCCCTTGTTTCGTCCGCTCTTTTCCCCAACCCCCTAGCCTCCAGAAAAGAATTGTGTGGGTGTGGTATTGTGTAGGCTTGGAAAGGAGACGTGAGTGCCTGTAATAATTCTTCGTCTGGAGACATGAGAATTCACAACAATGTGATCTCCGATCTTATATCCATCCACCTTCCGACATCCAAACGAGACCCTACCCTGTCCTTGTGTACTATTCTGGCGTGTACCGGCCGACGTTTTGACAGGCCATGACATTTATTCCATGCATGGAGTGATGAAAAGCCAGCTGGGTCCGTCCATCCCAAGGCCCGACCTATTTTCCTTTCTCTTCCCCTTTCTTCTTTCCCTTGATCGCATTCTGGCATGGCACAGTACAGTGTGACAGGTCCCGCCGTGTCCCGACATGGGCGGTTCTCGTGTTGTCCTTCAGTCGCCTAACGCATCTGGCCTGTTTCGATTTGCGTCTGTACACCCTATGAACTCCCCATGCTGTTTTGTTGCTCTGGGGGAGAGATTCATTAGATAGCTCAATCTAGCAGATATATGTAGGCACTCCTATACCAAGGCGACATCGTTCACGACCTCGTCGCCGGTGCTCGGATAGAACTACCTTGGGGGAGTCTACACAGAAGATAGATCAATTATTAGGGTTAATAATAGATCGCCGTCGTCATGAATGAGCATCGATGGGAGACATGCAGGGTTGGCTTTCTTGATGCAGGCTGTAGAGGCTACATGCCTATATAAACGGGAAGGAAATCGCTGAAAGGCCAGATAGACACATAGACACATAGACATGGCTGAGAATAAACCCATTCTCTCTATCAACTTGACAGTCCTCAGTTTCACAGATATTCTCAACATGGGAGTCGAGACAACTACAGACGATACGCCAACGACGACCACCACTCCTTTCGCACGCATCTGAAATGCTGGTGGCCAGATCCCCGAATCCGTGTCTCTAGGTCTGCCGAAATAGCATTACCAAGAATACCGCTCACTTGAGCACTGTGAAAGCCTGAAACCGTCAACAACCCCTTCACGATGTCCGGCAGAATTGGAAGCCGACCGCCCGGGCCAGGCGCACACGCTCTTCTGCCACTGCACCTGGTTTAGAGGATCAAAATATTGCTCGGGCACGGCCATCAAGTGCTTGCCTTCACCCTTGCCAAGGGCTGCGAAAGCTCTCGAGACCAAAAGCACGGATCCACGAGCGAGAACTGGCGGAGCAAATCGCGGATCGAGTGAACCCGCGCCCTATCCACGGACGCGCCGAGTCGAGAGGGACGGGCCGGCATTGGTGTAGCATTTCTATTGCTTGTTCTGGCTTCGAGTGCAATCTCCTCATCGAATCTGGCTCCAATGTAGGATGCCACGCGCGAAACCTTCCATAACACCGGGTACCAGGCCTCCTTGGCCCTTGGACAAAGAACTCCAAATTCTCCTCTCTCGGTTGGGGCAATGCTTGAAAGAAAGTGTATTAGTCGTTAGTGGTGAAAACATTAGGCAAGGTAGTGTGTGCATTGTCATTTTGACCCGGGGGTTGTGGTAGACAGGTGCGTTAGAGTCGACAGGGAGGGGATCGTCATTATCTCTCGTAACTGCGCTGCCGACTCTGATGCTGTTCCTGGTTAAAATGAAAATCCATATCCGGCCTTCCTTCTTGCGATGCTGCCGTAGAACAAAATGTGGCCGCTCTTTAATTCTCGGCTCTCTCCATCATCTGCTCTTTATTCATGTCTTCATGCACCACCCTCGCCAGATATTTCCAACGCCCTTTGCATCGTTGTCCAACTGTTCCATTCTTTTTCATTTCCTTTCTCCTTTCTTCGCAGCGCTGCTCCATATATCGTACCAGCGTTCACGGCACTTTCTAGTTCTCGGCGCTCTGGGGAGGGCAACTGCAACGATTACGAAACTGGTGTTCGGGCGCCAGTCGCCGTGCCCATCTGATCTTCGTACAAACCTGGAAATCTCTCGCAGGGTTTCATAGACGTGATAAACACGGCCGTTATATCGAATATAATGGACAGCATAAGATGAATGACAGAGGGCAACTATTTCCAAAAGTAAACGGAATATTCATCATCAACGAAGGCCACCTCTGTTATAAGAGCGAAGGACTTTGAATGCACCACTTATCTTTCCATTCGGCTTGACCGCTTGCTATCCAGAATATATATACCTCGAGTTCCTTGACGATGCCTATGCCCGTACCCATGCCACTTGATGGAATACTTTCTTGTCTCATCGAGCACATGTCCGACGTCGTTGATGCAATTGGGAGTGGAAGTATCCAAGGGCGACACAGCAGATGAAATGATACTGCTGAGACGTTGCAAAGGCGCGACTGAACCTGAGCAGCAGCGTGCAACCTGCAACCTGCAACCTGCAACCTGCAACCTGCAACCTGCAACCTGCGTCTTTCATCTTTCATCTTCACCTTTCACCACTGTCTTCCAACCCCAGAATTCTCCACCCCTCAACCTTCCTCTTGAGGCTTTTCCAACTCAAACATCATCATCTTTGTTTCCAGGTTGACATTGCCGTTCTTTGCCTTGGTTCGACCGGTGCGCCTATTCTGTCCACTGAACGATCTGCGCGCCATTGCTACCACCATGGCAAAGCTCCGGGCTTGCTTCTGCGACGGCTCGACGGAAGTCGGAAAGACTTGCCTCTTGATGTTGAAGCTCTTGCACGGCATGACCGTCAGATTCCAAAATGAGACTTTTGAGAGGATAGCAAAGGAAATGAGCGCGGATGTCCAATCGCTCTGGCGGTGGCTGTGAAGGCTGAGGGCTCTCATTCCGCTACTGGCGCCAACGCAGTACCCATCGACGTCCCGAGTTTACAGCACGAGGACGACAGTGATGGAATCTCTGCTCTCGATTGCGGCGTGGATATCGGTATGGCAGGGGATGGCGCCGCTGGGCCATATGGTAAGGTTCAATTTTCGTCAGAATCACGATCATAACTAAGGAGATTTAGATTCTTCTCTGGTTGATCAACTCGAGGCTGATCTCAAGCGCAGCCTGGAGATGGTGTACCTGGAAGAGGACAATCTTCCATGAGCGGCAGCGACTTGGCCACGACAAGATTGAAGCCATCGGGACTTATTTCTTGCTCTTGCAGAGATATCCCCCAACCTCAGTGTGCACAATCATTTGTAGCCACGACTTACGAGCCCGAAGAGGGGACATGTTGAGGCGACGAAGTTTATTCACAATTCTCCTGGGTATGCATGGCTTCCACACGGATCTAAGAAGCTGCCAAATAGTGCGGGCCAGAGGCTCTTAGATCAAAACTTCTGATGGGGCTGGTTTCGACCCGAGGCTCCCGTCCGGTATGTCTTATTTGGTTGTAGCTCGCCTGATGAACACTTTACCGTGATCGATCGTGTACATCACCCTGGTTTCCTGGATGACCCCAGCATGGAAACACGCTCTATCAGTTAGACGGAATCCTACAGTGCCCGAATCCATTGCTCGGCCCAGCTTGATTGGAGAGCTTTCAACTCCATTCGTCCCATGCTCCGTATCTCTCCACATAACGTCTCTGTGCCGCTGCGGGATCGTCGCCTCTAAATGCAACTCTCGATAGTCGTGCAGCAATCCCTCGATCAACTGCCGCATGGCGTGCGAGTTGGGGCCTTTGCGGTACTTTTGACTACTGTCTCTCCTGGACCTGTGTCGAGTATTGTGTTACTTCATCGGCCGTTTCCCGCAGGTTAACTTGGCTTAAGTTCAACCTCCTGTTGTTTCGTCCTCTTAATCACCTTCACGGCGCTCGCCAGGATTTCATTCAACATGTCGGACTTCGACAAGACTGAAGTTCTAGAGACGGGGGATCCTGCAACGGAGTCGGGGGATTCCATCCCTCACGATGCAAAAACTCCAGGGTATTCGGAGAAGAATGCTGTGCAGGCGTATCCGTCCGCAACGGTTGATGGCCATGGTACCTCTCTGAGGGTACGATATCCCTCTCCAATGCCTCGGGGTTGAAACACTTATCGTCAAACCAGCGACTTTTCAGCTTCGCCCAGCTTCTGGCCTTTTCGTTGACGTTCATGGAATCTTGGGAAGTCATGGCTATGTCCGTCTCTCTGTCTCTGTGCCTTCCGATCCATCCTTTTTGAGTGAGGCTGCCGGGTCTGATATGTCTCTACATGGCAGCAACATCTCGGCCACCTTCTGGAACGGCGGCCCGCAATCCCTCATCTGGGGCTGTATTGCAGTGGTGATCGGGTCTCTTGCTCAAGCCTATTCCATGGCTGAACTGGGCTCGATTCTCCCCATAGCCGGTGCCCAGTACCATTGGACGCATATCATGGCGCCCGAGAGCGCGCGAAAGTTCATTACCTGGATGCAAGGTGCGCCCTCCACCATCAAGGAGTCTCTGTGCCAGACTTCGTCGTTGACGCGAGATTTAGGGTGGGTGACTTGGTTCGCCTGGGTGTCGGCCCTCGCGGGCAGTACCTCCGGCGAGGCGGCTCTCTTACAAGCCCTGATCGCCGAGAATGTGCCTGGATACACGGCGGAGAGATGGCATCTGACCTTCATCATGTGGGCGCTACTGATCAGCTGCGGGCTCATCAACACATACACATTCTGGCTTGTCCCATGGCTGGAACTGGCCTCGGGCATCTTGCATGTCCTCCTGTTCATCATCTTCGTCGTCGTCCTAGCGGCCCTTGCTCCAAAGCACGACTCGCACTTCGTCTTTTTCACCGATTCCATCTTGTCCGGCTGGGATCGGAGTAGCTTTGTCGCTTTCAACCTGGGCATGCTGGTGCCCGCATGGGGCTTCATAGGTTAGCTCCGCGAATCCCCCGTCCCGTGCCCCCGGTTGAGATTCTTCTCTGCTGACAGACAGGGCTCCGAAAGGATTCGATGGCGTCGTCCACATGTCTGAAGAAGTCCGCCGAGCGAAACACGCTGTCCCGCGATCCATGATCTTGACCATTGTGATCAACGGTGTCATGGCTTTTGGCATTATCCTGGTTCTGCTCTACTGTTTGGGGGACCTCGACGATGCGTTGGACGCTTCCTATCCCATCATCCCCATATGTCTGAACGCGACGGGTTCAATGGCCGCTGCCAATGCGATGGTTTCCGGGCTTATCATCATCACTTACTTTGTGGTCGCCGCCAGCGTCGCTTCGGTTTCGCGGATTACCTGGGCATGGGCTCGAGACGGCGCTCTGCCGCGATGGCTTGCGGTTGTAAGTTTGCTCAGCCGGCCGGCTCCTTTGTCAAATCTCGCGCGCTCCCCCCCCCCCTTCCCTTTTGCTAAAGCCCCCTGATTTATCCTGACTAAATGGTTGCCAGATTGATCGCAAACGCCACGTCCCGACGAACGCCACTTGGCTCCCGATCGTCATCGTGTGTCTCCTCTCCCTCTTTGAAATCGGATCAACAACGGGCACGGCCTTCAGCGCATTCACCGCCCTGTCGTCCCTGGGGCTATACACCTCATACATCGTTGCGATCTCGTGCATCCTGCACGCGCGCCTGACGGGTCGTCTGTCCGACAAATCCGGCGCGCCTGTCCACTACGGCGGCTGGCGCATGTGGAAGGGCTGGGGCACCCCGGTCAACGTCTTCGCCCTGTGCTGGACCATCTACCTGACTGTGTGGTTACCCTTTCCGACGACGTTGCCTGTCACTGGCACGAACATGAACTACGCACTGCCCATCTATGCGTTCGTGGTGCACTGCTCGCTGGGGTCTTGGTTTCTTTGGGGCGAGAGGCATTGGCCTGGGCTGAACCTGGCGGCCATCGGGATGGTTGAGGGGCACGATTAGCCCAAAAAAAAGGCCGAAAAGGACGGAGGTGTGCATGAGTGAGTTTGTGACATTGCACATTGCACAAGAAGAGGAGGGGGATCGACTGGTCAGGGAGAAAAGTAAGCGGCGCTCGTCTGGTCTGGGATTCTCTTCTGCTGCTGGGTTTCTGGTAGAGAGAGAAACGAAGCAAGGGATGAATATATGTCAAGGGGGAGATGGCGGGCTCCTTGTCAACCCAGCGCATTGGCGCGACCACTGGAGATTCAGCTGGTTCCCTATCATGTGCCTGCCTACGTACCATCTACCTACCTGTTCTCCCAGGAATAGCGGGTGCCACTCTCTTCGAGACTAGATAGCGTCCAAGAAGATGTCGTCGCATCGATTTCTGGCTATTCCTTCTACGACGGCGACCTGAGCACCGACCACCGGCAGCAAGCACAGTAACCGCATTCTCCACGTTGGAAGCTAGAGATGTACCCTCAAAACTCGTGCATCTCTGACAACTCCACCGAGGGGATTAATTATCCCGCCATTCGTGACCACGTACAGGTCTCTCTCGTCGGAAGCCGTGGTACCAAAAGCGACAGCTGTAGGCCCCGTCGTGTCTGGGTCGATCTCGAAATGAGAATCGGGTTTCGGAATCGACGCTTCTTCTGCAGACGAGCGGGTCCGGCGAAGGCCGAGAACGATCTGACGCTCTGGCTGCGCATCTTCTTGTCCGGGGGCGGCGGCGTCGAGAGGTGTTGCAAGTTGTGGAAACTTCAGCACCGTATTCATCGGGTTCGTCGCGACGTAGATATTCCCTTCTCCATCGAGGCACAGGTCGTCGCCACCACAACCGCCTACAAGACTCTGGATTTCAATCTTCTCGGTATCTGGATCGCGAGTGGCAACCGGCACATCACCTTGCTGATCGACCCTCACCCGTCCCAGAATTGCGCGATCTGAATTCGTGAAATAGACCCAGCCATCCTTGCTGTCGTGATAATACTGCACTCCATTCACGCCTGGCCAAGGTGGTCTCGTCGTCATCTTACCCAACAGTGGGTGCTCCAGCCATACGCCCACGGTCCCGGTCTTGATGTTGTAAGAGTACAAGCGCCCCTGATATGACTCGGCCATCAAGATTAAGGGTACTGTGGGATGAGGGATGGCGGTGCCTCCGTTGAGCCATGTCACGGTGGGGACGGGCGCGAGACGCCTGACTTTCACTTGGGTTGGCTCTGGAGCTGGGACGAATGAGCGCATATCCAGCTCGTAAACCCACCATGTCCCCTTCTTGCCATGGATGCCGGAGAACAGGTAGAACAGGTCCGGTTCGATCGGGGATTCGACGATTGCTTCCGCGGTGGGAGTGGACGCGTAGAATCCGTGACTATCTCCTTCTCCGGCTTCAACTTCAGCTTCAGCTTTACCAGCGTCACCATTAAATGACTCCTCAGTAAGAGTGCCCTCGCCTTCAAATTTGTGCACCAGCTCCACGGTTTTCTGTGTATTCCCGTCTTCAGCATGAGGGTCAATATACCAGATGCTCCCTCTCAGCATGTCAGATGCGAGGATCGAGCCATCGCGACGGACAGCGAGATTCTCGAGGAAGGAACCAGGGGGGAAGGTCGCTATAGTGGTATACCTTGGGGGCCGTTCGGGTAGTGTTCCTGGAACGTGGATGGGAGGGTTGGCGACCTCCGTGTTGGTAGAGGAAGCCATGGCCAGTTGGAATTTGAAGAGAGACACTGCAGTGTCGAGGGAGGACCTGATTGTCCCAGGCCGAGAGAGAGCTTGCAGGTTAAATAGTTGACATGGTAATTTGCTTTGAAAAGCCTGAATGGAGGCATCCTGTCAACCTTGAAGGTCTGTTGGGCTCGCAGGACCTCTATCTTCTTCCTACAACAATGCTCGCCCATGGGTTTGTAATCACGGTCAAATACTCCCTCTCCATTTATGGGCTGGTGACCCTCAAGCTTTGTTTCTAGGAATTTCGAGGCAACGCGAGCCGGCTGAAGACCAAACAAGATGAGCCGCGTTTGAACTTTCAAGCTCCTGTGATACCAATGTCCAGATGTGGAAATTTATTCTGTCCAACGGCAACGAAGATGCCCACATAACATGCACCAGGAGTATTATTGCAATTATCCGGTTCGGTTTTGTTATTTTGGGGTTTTTATTACACTGGTCTCTTCTGCACAGCTGGACGGCTAAACCACAACTATGATACAATGCCACAACCGCTGTAGTCGGCGCATCGCCATGCTACACGAACCACATGCCTTCACCATCCTACTTCTCGACGCAACCAACTCCTCTCGCCAGCATCTCTGCAGTGTAGCCATTCCATCTTTTTTCTCTAGGCCTCACGCCATCCCCTGAGCAAAGATCTGATGTGTAAGATAGACAAGATTTTGAACTTGAGTGGAGTGTAATGTAACAAGTCTCGTAGAATGTACAAAGAGGTAAACCAACCGTCCTTCCGGGCGAACAAATCTCCTTTAGATCGACACAAGGGATTCTCGAGGGTGGAGCGGTCGTGGAAGGAGGAGGGGGGAGTAGGTCGCTCGGAGGACGTGATGCTGCGGATTGCTGCGATACCCAAGGTGCGAATGGAAGTCGCTGGAACGCAGGACAAATTGCAAGTGTCAGGGACAACGCGTGAGGAGGGTGGGGATGTGACTTTCCTCATCCGGCTCAGGGAATGATGTTTAGAAGCCGCCCATTCCTCCCATACCACCCATGCCGCCGCCCATGGGCATCGCAGGCTTCTCTTCTGGAGCCTCGACGATCGCAACTTCCGTGGTGCCCAGTAGCGACGCAACACCAGAAGCATCAACGAGAGCCGTGCGGACAACCTTAAGAGGGTCGACAATGCCCTTGCTCAGCATATCGACATACTGTCCGGTGGCCGAGTCGAAGCCTTTGTTGAAGTCGGAGCCGAATTCATCCATCAGCTTGCCGACGACAACGCTGCCTTCAAGACCAGCGTTCTCAACAATCTTCCGAGCAGGTCGCGTGATGGCATTCTTGATGATACTGACACCGAGCTGTTGGTCGAAATTGGAAGGTTGAACACCGTCGAGAGCATTTGCGGCAGCCTTGATCAATGCCGTACCACCACCGGGCAGGATACCCTCTTCAACGGCAGCGCGAGTAGCATTGAGAGCGTCGACGACACGATCTTTCTTTTCGCCCACCTCAACCTCGGAAGCTCCACCGACTTTGATGACGGCAACACCGCCAGACAACTTGGCCAGACGCTCTTGAAGCTTCTCCTTCTCATACTCTGAAGTTGAAGGATCGGCCATGACGCCGCGGATCTGCTCACATCGTTGGGCGATGGCATCTTTGCTACCTTCGCCATTCAAGATTATGGTATCTTCCTTGGTGATTGTGATGCTACCCGTCGATCCAAGCATATCAGGGGTGGCCTTTTCCAGTTTGATGTCCAATTCATCCGTGAAGACGGTGGCGTTGGTCAGGATGCCAATATCGCCAAGGATGCTCTTACGGTTGTCCCCGAAGCCGGGAGCCTTGACTGCCGCCACTTGAAGTTGACCGCGAAGTTTATTCAGGATGCAGACAGCCAATGCCTCGCCGTCAATATCCTCGGCAATGATGACGAGAGGCCGGCGCATTTGCGTGGAAGCCTCGAGGGCAGGGATGATGTCTTGGACGGCCGAAATCTTCTTCTCGGAAAGGAGGATCAAGGGCTTCTCAAACTCGATCTTTTGCGACTTGGTGTCGGTGATGAAGTAGGGTGAAGTAAAGCCGCGGTCGAAGCGCATACCCTCAGTAACCTCGAGCTCGTCTTCAATTGTTTTGCCTTCTTTGACTGTAATCACCCCCTCTTTGCCGACCTTTTCCATGGCGTTCGAGATGAGGTTACCGACATGTGTATCACCGTTGGCAGAGATGGTCGCGACCTGGGCGATCTCAGCACTGGTGGTAATGTCCTTCTTGTTCTTTTGCAGGAAGTCGACGACTGCGTCAACTGCTGCCTGTGTGCCTCTTCTCAAGTCCATAGGGTTACACCCGGCAGCGACATTCTTGACGGTTTCGGAGAAGATGGCACTTGCCAGGACGGTGGCAGTTGTGGTTCCATCACCAGCAACTTCGTTCGTCTTTGAGGCAACATCCTGGATCAGGCGGGCTCCGAGGTTCTCGAACTTATCTTGGAGGGTGACTGCTTTGGCGACCGTCACACCATCTGATTGTGTTGTTAGTCTGGGCTTGTGGTGTCGAGGTCATGGATGCTCACCTTTCGTGATCTTGGGCGAACCATAGCTGGACTCAATGAGAACATTGCGGCCTTTGGGACCGAGCGTTGTTGCAACAGCTTTGGATAGAGTCTCGACACCCTTCAGGAGCTGGGCTCTTCCCTCGACACCAAACTTCAGCTCTTTATGGGCGAAGCGCAGTTGCTGTAGGCTCCTGCCGGCTGATCTGGTGTACGGAGAAGAGGAGGACAAGGAGGATCGAGCTGCGGAAGAGAGAGCGCGCTGCATGGTGGGCAAAGCAATTGACAGGTCGAGATGAGGGAAAGGGAAGGGGGAATAGGACGATTGATGATTTTCTGAGATGGGAGAGGTAGCAAGAGGTATCGAGATCGATGCCAAAAAATTTGGAGATTCTCGAAATCAACAGAAGCGCAGACGCAGCATGATTCCGTTTCGGGCCTAGTCGCTTGGCAACTCATCGGAGCCTTGCCTCCCACCGCCGACACTTCCGAGCAAACCTTTGGAACTCAGTTCCCTTGTATCTATCTGAACAGATCACAGAGAGGGAGGAAGTGGTGGAAGTGGACTTTGGATCAATATCCCCATCGTTGAACTTTTGTGCAACTCTCAGAGCTCTATCTGGTGACATTGGTGCTTGTCGTTTTGTACATGCAATACAGCCAGTGAGTATCATCCGCTCAGTTGCTTGAAATTTTTTTGCTGCTGAGATTTTGTTTGGCGACATGGCCTCTGAGAGGATTCAAGTCCACCAGTGTTGTTTTCCCAGCGAAAAACAAAGGAAAGAAAAGAAAGGAAAGGAGAAACCTATTGCGTGATTCTATCATGGTCAAAACTCCTCCCAGACTACACCACGAGTGCCCAATCCAGTACCGTGAGCCGTTAAGTGCTTCTAACTTGTGGGCGATGAGAACATTGAGCCACTGCCATCTCCGTTAGCCATTCCTGCTACAGTCAAGACCTTGACACTTACTTGAAATTCATACGTCGTCCACCTCATAGTCACCGTTGCCCCAGAAGATGTCTGCGTTTGCCGTGGTGTTCATCATGTCCTCCTCACTGATCACGTCTCCTGTATTAGCGTGCCCAAAGCCGGTATGTGCAGTCAAGAACTCGTCGTCAGACATTGATGGGAGAGTCGAGTACATCATGTCGGGACAAATCGAGTTGTTTCGGGACGAATCAGTGGACGAGCCATACATGCTCATACTCGGAAATTGTGGATATGCTTGTGGCATCGTGCCCATGATAGCAGCACCAGAATATCCGAGCTGAGGAGCGGAATAACTATTGTTGTTGATGATACCAACACCAATATGATTTGGAGGGTTGAAGTGGCCGAACGTACTCTGTTTCGTTGTCAGCGCAGCTATGAAGAACTGAAGGGGCTAACTTACCGTGGTAGGGAGACCTTCCATAGTGGGGATGATTTGACCGTATGGCACATCAGCCACGGCCTGTTGACCACGATCAAGGACCACGGTCGACACTTCGCTAGACGCTTCGTCCATGTCGTCGTCTGCAGTGCCTCCAAAATCGGCTTCGACGTCGTCGTTGATATACTCTGGAGCTTCTGGGGCTTCCTCTTCGGCTTCAGCTTCATCATCAACTTCGGCTTCATCATCAGAAGGAGCGGCCATGATCGAATAGTCGCGCTTGATACCCCGGGTACGACGGGCAGGGCCACCGAGCTCCTCCTCTTCTTCAACCTTCACCGCAATGTTCCCGTCAACTTTGGTGTCTTCGAACGCAGGCGATATGGCCTCTTCAAGTACAGTGGTGACTTCTTCACGTGTAGCATCCGTCTTCTTGGACCTAGTGTTGTTGCGACGCTTTCTAGGAGGAGGATACTCGTCATCCGAATCATAGAGCTCTGGAATAGGTTCGTTGTCGTCATCTTCGTCCTTTGCGTTGCGACGACGACCTTTACCCTTGGCCTTACCCTTTCCCTTTGAGGCTGTCGAGTCCTTCTTTGCAGGTGTTGCGGCTTTTGTGGCTTCCTTCTTCGCACGCTTAGGCTTGCCATAGAGCGAGCTTTTGTCTTCGCCTTCGTCCTCCTGTTTAGGAGTTGGGGAGCCGGGAAACATGGGAGGGATTGGCTCGACAACCTTATTGCCCGCACTGCCGTAGATCTTCGATGGTTCTTTCGTGACCATACCACGCTTCACGGCTGGTGGAACGGGGATGCCATGTTGAGCCATGAGGTTTCGAAGCTTTGCAAGATGCTGAACGATGGAGCCTTCGGTAAAGGTGGGACCCATGAGGGCAGCCACGCGAGACCCTGTCATTGTCACAATCAGAGGGTTTCAAACGGTTGAGCTTGTTGAATTCTGTACTTACATGGAATCTTCAGGCCGGCCTCTGCGCACGCATACTGCACGCACAGCAAGACACCTTTGTCGAGGTCATCTGGACACAGTCAGCAACACGAGCATTAATAGTTTGTGCAAGATCTGAACGAACCACTCCAGCGATTGAGAACACGCTTTGCCGGACGGTTTCTTGCAGGCATTGTTGGCCTATAGCGCGAACCAAGTGCTGTCACCCTGTTTCTCTCAGGTGTCAGTTAAAGGCAACAGCGAATGTTGAGGGAATTGTGTTCGTGTTCGTCCTAGGAAAGGACGCGGGGTCTCGGCGACGTTGTGAATGTCCAGTGATTGTGGACTAGCTGACCTTAAAATTGCTGGCGCAACGTCGTGTCTGAAAGGACGCAGGGCGAATCATGAGAGAGCAAATTCGTCACTGGCACTCAGTCGAAGAGCGGAAGAGTATAGAATGTTGAATACACGGGAATAAGATACAACGTCATGGGATAAGAGGTGGTGTTTTGTATGTGGGCAAAAGTTCGCCGTGTTGAGTGAACCAGGACGAGTCATGGGAGGGCAAATCCATCACTGGCTCTCAGTGAAAGAGAGGAGGAGTATGGAACAGTGAATGGAGCAGTGAATGCAACTGGATAGGATGCAAGCACAAGCGATGAGAGGTGCTGTTTCTTTGTGTGTGTGTGTGCAAAAGTGCGTTGTGTTGAAAAGGTGCTGGTTTTCCACAATGGCACTTACCAAACAGTCCACACCGCCAACAACAAAGGCCTTGACGGTCCTGAAACTCGTCCTGAGTGCGATGAACAGATGTAGAAGAGGTATAGGAGAGAGGTTTGATAAAGCAAGAGAGTTGTGAGAGATGTGAGATGGAGGCTTGGGAAAGGTCGAGGGCTGCATGGCAAAGAAGGAGAAAGAAGGGGGGAGGCTTTTCTGCTTGAGCCCATGTTGGTAGTGAAGACAACCGGTCCAACAACAATGTCGCCAACGCCTCTGTCTCCTGTCCATGTGCTGCTCTTTGACATGATGCAGCTATTTGAACTGAATTGATATTGTTCTCCTTCAGTCATCATCTTCCTGAAAGACATTCCAGTCTGGCTGTTCCCAGAAAGCGATATTTGACCGTACAATGGGCTTGGATGGCGTTCAAAGACACACTGTTGACCGCACAGTTCGTGACCACCGCCGGACGGAGAGGCACAAAATCGCCCTCTCCAGGCAGCTCGACAGTTAGCAAGTTACCTCCCTCGCACCTGATTGCGTCTTCTGTGGCGGCCGCTTCGACATGGGTTACTCCACCACAACAACATGGCCTTTATGCTCGGAGTACTTGTCTCCTTCTTCTGGCTGACGTTCGCCTGGCTGTTGAATCGGAACGACCTCCTGTGGCTGAGGTGGGAGCCTCAGTGGCATTGCTTCGTGCGAAAGAGGTGGCTGAACGGCCTGGTTTTGCTGGATGGCATAGTCTCGATTGGCATACTCGCCAAAACCACGGAGTGGTCTACCATCTTCCTGGCATGTGAATGACCATGGCTCTCTGAATGCTGGCGGAAGAGGAGCATACATATGGACGTCTGGTACCAACTGATGGCCAGGGCCGCATGCAAATGCCGGGAAACCAGCAAATGGCGATTGCTGCTGTGCCGAATACGAAACGGATTGGCAGAGCGAAGAGCTGGCACCCGGGTGGCTGGTGGCCAATATGGTAGGAAAAGACTGCTGCGGCTTGCCTGGTGCACCGAAAAGGTTGTGTCCAACAATGCTATGGAATGCTTCTGACTCTGTCGATGTAGGTCCACAAGCATCATCACCCTGTGGACTTGCTGGGGTCATCCTCATCGGCATGGGCACGTTCTCGCCTTTCTTCGGAATGAAGGCCGGGACATCCCTCCCCAGCTTCTGTTTCTTCGCTGGCGAGGGTCTCTCAACTGGACCCTTGGCCTTTTGCTTGGAGATAGTGGGCTTGGGGGGAGAGCTGCTGCCAGAGCCACCGCTAGGACTCATACCAATCGCTTTCATGAGTCTCTCGTATCGTTTGGCCCTCGTGTCCCGTCAGCAACGCCAACACACTCGCACCAGCAGGGTATACTCACGCTGCACCTTTGCTGACGACACCACATTCTTTGGCAACTTCCACGAAATCAACCTGATGCTGTCAGCTCAATGGATTGTTCTGAGGGGTTGAGTGCCCTCGCTCACTCGTCCATGGCTGGCGTGTTTGACGCAGCTCAACAGGAACTTCAGTTGGTCGTCTGACGTTGAGCGAGACATGGTCACTACTGTGGGGGTCTGGAGAGGATAGCAGGGAGCCTGCCGCTGGATGCTGTTCTAGGAGCTTGCAGATATGAGGTGAGTGGACTAAGAATCCTGACAGAGAAGACGTTGCGGGAAGCTCAGCATTCTGGAAGTGGTTGTCAGAATAAGTACATCCATGAGTCTTCCATCTGCAAGAATTCGTGCCAGCCATTGTCTCTGTTCCCTTGTGATGTCTTTGATTGCACAGGGGAGAGATTGCTAAGGTCAAACTGTTGACTTTTCATCTGACTTTCTGAGAGAGTCAAAGAGACAACACAGGCCAGACTGGAACCTTGACAGTATTGAAAGCAGGAATGACAAAGACATTGACTTTTGGTCCAAGGCCGGAGAAGCAATTCTTACTGAGAGCAGGTTGACCAGAGAGGATGGAGTTGGCAGAAGCAGAGGTTGTATTGTGTCACTTTCTGCGAGGCTGTGGCCACTTTCAAAACCGGAGTCTTTATTTTTGAGGTGAGTGTAGCGTCAATGAATCAACCTGCGTCGCGGGCGCGGATTGGAAGGTCCATTATCTATCGCCTCTCCAGCATCTACGCTTCGCTGGACTATTCTTTTATGCTTCTGCTGGGCGCAGAGCCGCAGTCGGCACTCTGCAAGTCTGTCAAAGTCGTGGTCATGTTGATCTTGTTCAGTCCGTGACCGCAGAGCTTTAGCCCAAAGCAGCGCCTTCAAAGCATTGGTCTCCAAGAATGAAAGTCCTATTCAGAGCATCAAGTCTGATCTGCACCAGCTTGAGATTCCTGAAATCACGAATAATAACAAACCCGGCTTTCTCAGCAAACATCGCAATGTGGAGGCGTTTCGCATCTGAAAGCGCCCTTGAAGGAGCAACCAAACCCATAAGTCTCGCCCTCTCCCGCCGCTTCGACCATCGTTCACAGAGACAGGCAAAGTCAAGAGTAGTACGCCACTGTTCCGACACGCTCATCCATGCCATGCTCCTGCGCTGATTATGCTGCTCAGCTCGAATAATGTGGTGTCTGTCTCTCCCCTCCTTCCGCTCTCTGAGATCAACCGGCCCAAACCGTCAAGACATCTTCTGGACCCATACAGACTCTTGAAGACTGCTCTTGCCTCGCTTGCTTCAGATACTATACCACAACCATTGGCGACCATCCCGCAAATCTTTGACTACGAAGTACCAGCCTTCTGGACGGTTCAGCGGCCGTTGAATCACTGGTCGATGGACCTACAAGCCAGCAACAAGAGGCGTGGAGAACAGGACAGCTGATGCAGCAAGAGCAGCCGTCGGCCATTGTCTGTCTCCAACAAACGAAGCAGCTATGAAAGTGGCGCGGAGAGTCGCCGCCTAGGACAAGGCTCACAAGTCAGGGGGATACACTGCCGACGCCGCGGAATATTATTCTTCCGACTAATATGTACAGACAGATATATACTTCGAGTCCTGGACAGCCAGACTGACCTGGATCAGCAGGGGCTTCTGTCATCTTTGAGCGCTTGCACTCATGGCTTTGACATTGCTTGTGTGCCTGTTTGTTTACTTGCTTGCTTGCTTGCAGGATCTGACATATACCAGGGCCGCCGGCCTCATGTCTTGTACATAGCTGCGTGTGTTTTCTTTGTCTGCTGCTCCAAATCCCGCACTATGTTCTTCCCTGGCCCTTATCCGGACACTTTTCCCTCTGTGCCCGCCGCTTTCATGTCTCATCGGCAGCAGGCAGTCGCCTCCCTGCGAAATGCTCTGCGGATAGTCTACCTCTGTCTCTCTCCGCGCCTACTGGCTCTCCTGGCTGGGAACGAGCATGTCCGGGCCACTGTCCATGTGGGCGTTCGACGCCATCGATGCTTGATCTGCGGCCATCTTTAGACTTCCACAAGAGTAGTAACTAATGTGTGTCATCCTCCTAGTCTCGAGCTGTGCGCTGACCTCCTCATTGTCCAAATTGAATTAGGGTTCTTCTGATCGGTTTGGCAAGATCGCTTTCTCAACAGCAGGGTAGCGTTGACTTCCGTCCCAGAAAGCTGTGGGATTGATCTGACGGTAGTAATACATTCTCGCTTCGTGTTGCAGATGGGTTTCCTGTCCAATTTTGCCATGAGGCTCAATCCACAATCCTCATCCTGCTGACGACAAGACGGCTCTAGAGAAACACGAGTACGATGCTTCTTTGCTTATCATTTCTCTACGTTTCATCTATCAGCACGGCGTTTGGTTGGTCCTTCTCATTGTACGCCTCTTTAAAACATGGGTTTCAGCACCGGCTGATGGGCCAAGAATTCCAAGGACGGAATGCGTGGTTTGATTCGACTTGGCTTGACAATAATGTGGGATGCTGGCTGTCATGAACCATGCTCGAAGTGCGTAGCCATTAATGTTTCAAACCATTCGGAGCCTTGCGCCATAAGAATGTCAGAGTAAAGGAAAGCGCGCAAGATCTGTCGCAATGTGTGCCAACTCACAATACCCAATGTAGATGCAAGTCTTACCAAGTGTACCGTGAACCACTGTGCCTCTGGGATGAATTCCTTGGACGCATTAGCTTGCTCAGGAAGCGCACCAACGTAAAACGCCCAGAGCCTGGCATTGATGTATTTCTTCCAGGAAGGTCGTTGTGAAGACACCTCACTATGCTCAAGCAAGGCTCGCAGGGTGTGAGCAATGATTGCTCCATCGAACATCGGAATTCCAAGCACAGTTGGATTGAAGTTGAAATTTGGGCCTCGCGTGAGGTATATTGCCGCCAGTGCCATAAATTGCTGAGCGAAGAGATGATCTTTAATTTCCCGTTTCAAGTCTGGGCATAGAAATTGCTCCTTGCTTCTCAGGTAGTGGTTGATCATCCGGCCATGAAAGATGTAGGCTTTCGATAGGAACCATGTCATCACAACTGGCACATCGAGAAATAGGTTTCCTTCGGCATTTCGCTGTCCATATATCTGCAGTTGCTCTTGTCGACTCTTAAACCAGAATTGGAGTTCTTCACTGTCAACAGACGGATCTAGGCCCTCAAAAGCAAACTGGGGGAGCTGTCGAGTCGCGTTGGACCATATTGGATTAAAAACCATTGGTAGCCAGTGGTGGACATCAAATACTGGCGGACAAAGGAACATTGAAGTCAGTTGACAGTCGTTGTAAATTTCGTACATTAGTAGTCGATAATCAACTTTACCCTGAACCCATTGTTCAGAAAAGAGGAAAGTGAGCATCTTGCCGTGCGCGGTTGCTGCGACCAGATTGCGGCCTAGTGTTTCAGCATTGAAGAGCATTGCGGTGTTGTTAATGATGGACGATGAAGAGGATTGGTGCAAATTGTGACCTTGCGCAACCTTCCCTCTCAGCGCCCGAGTGCTTTTACCCACATATTGTAAGGCCAGTTTTCTCAATTCTGGATTCTGCGGATATCTGTCAGCCCATTCCGACACGAACGGCACCCAATGGGAATACTCCTCCCGCAACAACATAGCCCTTTCTGGAGGAGAACTCACACATTTTGCTGCTACCATACCGTGCCGCGCAACAATAGCGTAGGCGGTCCCTTCATCTTCCAGATGGGACACATTGAATTGCCATTCACGAGCAGCAAGGGTCATGGTATTCTTGTTTTTGAAGTTTCTGTACCATATGCTGGGAATTATATAGTCTCGATAGAAAGTCATGAGATTATTGACCTCGGCAGTAATTGGTATGGGGTATGCGCCGAAAGGATCGGAATTGCCTTTGCCTATCGCTGTTGAAAGTGAAAGGGCCTTCGGTCCGCCCTCCCATGTGTCGGACCCAGGCGACTCGCTTTCTTCTGATGAATGGTTGGTTCGAGGAGAGCTGAAACACTGGTCCCGTCCGTCCTTGCGGTTGCGTTGTTTTGCGAGGATCGGGACTTTTGCCGAAGCTCGCAACGACTTGACTTCCTGCCCACGCTTCCATGGTCTATAGCTTTTCTGGACGTGAGTAAAGACTCGATGCCTATGGGGAAGGGCATTCATGTTCTTTGCATCATGGTTAACCCACAGCAGCGATTGACCCGATGGCATTTTCTATGACCGGCCCGCCGCATGATGATGATGAGGTGGAGAGGGAGTGGGTTTAAGGGTCAAGTTGCGAAGTAGTAGGCATCGAGTAGGTAGTCGGACAAGCTTTCTCCAAGCCAGTCAGAGCTCACCGAGATTGACAAGCGAAACGGTCTGGGCTCGACGGCGCGGCATCAAATGTGAGCATGTCCACAAGGGCCGGGCTGTCAAAGTCCGGCACCTATTCGACTGATCTCCTCATTCCAAGTTCTGAACTCTGCCCAGTCAAGCTGTCGGGATGGGGCGAGCACCATGCAAGTACCGAGCATTGATCCGTTCGTGGGTCAGGAAGTTCAACCCTGGTTCGCGTAGGGGTAAATGGAGAGGACTGGGAGCAGCACATTGATCCTCATTGGCGTCACCAACCACCTACCAGTGTCTGTAGGCATGTTAGATAAGCATTCATTGTCTGTTTCCGGCATGAAGCTGCCAGATAGAGAAGCACTTAGCCCCGCAAGAAGGCCCATGGTTGCCACACGGACAGACGGATGAGGCTGAGACACAGGCTCGCGCTGGCGAGGACCAGTGTCGGTGTACAGGACACGAGCTGGCCATAGACAGTGGTGCTCCGTTAGCAGGCCTTTGGGCGGTTCCTGAGAGGGTCTTGGGTCTTGACAGAGGTCGAGCGGGTAATATGAGCTGTGCCGTCTAAACTGGGGAGCTGCGAGAAGGAAATTTTGGTTGATGGACATGGTTTGCATGGTGCGGGCTGCTGCTGCCATTGGCTGACGTATGTATGTACTTTTCTGGTGGTGAGATGTGCAACCTGCAACCTGGAACCTGCGCCCGGAACCTGTCTCCATAGCTCTCTCTTCGTCTTGAGAATATTCCTGTCGTCCACAAATCCCTCGAATCTGTCGAGTGCTTGATATCTTAAGCATGCTTCCTCCACCCAGATGACCTCCGGGCCAATGCGCAGACTTCCTACTACCACCCCAAAGTGCGCCGCTCCAGCTTCAAGATGGGCTTCTATTCATCCCAACCAAGTCCAGCTGCTTCGCAGGCACAAGTCGACCGCTTCCGGTGGGGGTTCCTTGCGCCAGGTCCTGCCGAAGAGACATCTAGCACAAGTCAGGCCTGAGCCCATAGCCGAAGTCTGGTTTACCGCTGCCTCTCCCAGATTTGGCCCGGAAGACGACCTCCTCAGTCCTCCTGCGCCTGGTAACAGTAGTGACCATAAACCTCCGGATGAACGCTTGATCAGGCTAGGGAAGAGTATGCTTGTCACGTAATCAGCCAACGAGGCCATGGAAGTGCTGACATGCTATAGCGTTGCGAATATTGTCGCCCCTCCTCCCCGACATCCTTACCAAACCGCTCCCACCTGAGATCCTGTCCCCCAACATCTCCCTTCACCTCTTTCCCTCGACTCATCCTCATCTACCCGCTGTCAAAGGCCGTGTTGCTTACCGCGCATCCCTTTGGACTGCCCCGGTCGCCTGGGGCTGCGTTCCGATCGTGGGCAATGTCAAGCTGAGAATCATCTCGGAGAAGATTGTACGGACAGGGTTTGCATATGCCACTCCTGCATCCGAAGACGAGCAAGATCTAAGTGCAGAGAAGCTGGTGGTCCGGTGGAAGACGGAGCCCAAAGCAAACGGCAACGGCAATGGCAATCTCGAAGCCGCTGCATCTACCACGACCGACTCGAACATAAACCGCGGCCTATCGAAACTGCTCGGCGGCGATAAACCCATCTTCAATCTTAACAAAGGCGACGACTTTACGGGTCTGTTCATCTTTACATTCGACTCCAAAGGCCGGATAGCCAGCCATACTATCGAGCACGCCGAGGAAAGCAATGGCTTTGATAAGACGAGCAAAGTTGTCACCCTAACGGAGTGGTTGTTGAGCAAAGCAAAATGGGGCAGAAATAAGGAGCAGGACCTTGTTCCGGGGTTGGCAATGAGGGTGTGTCGGGACGAGTGGAATATTAGGAGGGGATTGCCTCCCAATTCTTGAAGTCACCGTCATCGACCCGACCTGAAATCATAACAGTATCGTTGAAGCTGGGGTCGACGCCGGCCAAGATTCGAGCTCACAACATTATCAACGTCTTTGAAAGATATCGATGTCAGGGCTGAGCATCCTCCACTCCTCTCTGGGGAGCAATGCAAGACGAAATGGAACCGTTGCTGGAAACGAAACTGTGTGCTTGCAACAATGTACGGGGTACCCCTCCTTTGAGAGCGATACCGATTTACCACGTACAAGGCCATGCGGGCGCAGATGTTGTCGGAAGAATCAAAGCAGAACACAGAACACACCCTTCCTGGTGCATGGCCGCCCAACTCTACTCATCCATAGGTTGTATACGTAATTTGTGTGAGAAAGGTGTTCCAAAGAAGAACTACATTGGTGATGAAAATATTGAACACCCTGGACCTCTTTTATGCCCTAGGTATGTAATCGTATATTTAAGAGACGAACTACTTCGTGTAGGTTTGGCTGCCCAACTATCATCGGGCTGAATCATTTAATACATGTTGAATCTATGAAATATTAATACCAATTGTAGTTTTATATGAAAGTCGTCGATCCGCCTTTTCCGAGAATGTTTTTGATGGGTCGTCCTTCCCCTTCTTCATTGCTGGACTGCTCAGCTATCAAGACCATCAAGCCAGAGGTCTACATCGCATTCCACAGCAAAAGTCCATACACAGGGACCTTTGGATCAAAGAGTCGATTCAAGAGCAAGGACCTGTACATGTCAAGTTAGTGAGGCTATTCAAGCACAGAGGATAAAGATGTAAACTCACCAAAGCCGTCCTCGTAGGAATATAAACCTGTGTGAAGTTCTTCCTGTTGTTCCACGGCAAATCAGTGGTGAAAAATCTGGTTTCCTTTGCATTCCTGCCATGCCCACCATACTCAGGGGCATCGGTGTCAATGACGATCCGGTAAACGCCTGGTACCTCCACACCGACTCGATAATCCGTGAACGAGTTCGTGGGATGAAAATTGAATATCCATAAGAGACCTGCTCTTTCGAAGACCAGCACTTTGTCGGTTTCGTTTTTCAGAGAGATATACGCTTGGGGGCTGTGGAGCCAACCATATTTCTCTTCGGTCCACTGCATGGTACGGTCAAACTCGTTCAAGAACCTGTACCGGAGGAGATGGTCCTCCGTCAGGTTCAGCTGTCGGCGAGCGTACCAGAAGGAATTGTCATTGCCTGCTCGGGGGAAGTCGAGCCACTCTGGGTGACCGAACTCGTTGCCCTCGAAGTTAAGATAACCTTCGCCGCCCAAACCATGGGTGACCAGGCGGATCATTTTGTGGAGAGAGAGCGCACGGTCTATGGTCGGCGTCAAGGGGGTCAGGACCGACATGTGGGTGTACATCTCTGCATCGGCGAGCCACATCATCAGTGTCTTGTCGCCCACCAGGGCTTGGTCGTGGGATTCGGCGTAAGCAATGGTCTTCTCGCCATGGCGTCGGTTGGTCAGGGTGAATGCGATGTTGCCGATGTCCCATTCATCGTCTTTCTTTTCTTTGAGAAGCTTGATATACATGTCAGGGACCGCCATGGCAAGGCGGTAGTCGAATCCTATTCCCCCTAGTGAGAGTTTCAGACACAGCGCAGGCATGCCAGAAACATCTTCAGCAATGGTGATGCAATTCGGGTAGATCTCGTGGAGCATTTCGTTCGCAAGCATGAGATAGACAACGGCTTCCACGTCCACGGACGGGCCAAAGTATTCGTGGTAGCCCCCCGAGAAGCCTGTGCCAATACCATGATGCACGTAAAGCATGGATGTGACTCCATCGAATCGGAAACCGTCGAATTGGTATTCCTCCATCCAAAATCGGAGGTTAGATAGGAGAAACCGTAGAACTTCGTGATGGCCATAGTTGAAGAGCCGAGAGTCCCACAGCTCGTGTCGACCTTTTCCCCCTTCATGGAAGTAAAGGTGGTCGCTGCCGTCGAACATATTGAGGCCGTCCAGGACGTTCTTGCTTGCATGGGAATGCACGACGTCCAGGAGCACAGTGATTCCCATACCGTGGGCTGTGTCAATGAGCTCTTTTAGATCCTCGGGCGTGCCGTACCTCGAGCTGGCTGCGAAAAAGGAGTTTACCTGATATCCGAAAGAAGCGTAGTAAGCGTGCTCCATAATTGCCATCAACTGGATGACGTTGTACCCGAGATATTTGATCCTTGGGAGCATGTTCTTGGTGAATTCCTTGTACGTGGCAACCTTCAGCTCGGGGGAAGAAATGCCCACGTGTGCTTCGTAGATGCGAACGCTCTTTGGATAGGGTGGGCGAGAATTCTTAAAAACGTAACGCTCCTCTTTGGGAGGATTCCATAGCACTGCGTCATAGACCGGGGATACAGCAAGGTTTTGTGTGACTCTGGTGATCCATGCCGGTATTCTTTCAATGCGCTCTCCTCCCGGAATGACCATGGAAATCTTCAATTTGGTGTCATGGGCAATTGCTGGGACGCCATCTTTTGCAGGGAGCCTCAGTTCCCATACACCGTACTCGTTCTTCTTCATCGGATGGGACTCTCTGTTCCAGTTGTTGAACTCGCCGATCAAGGATGCTTGCTCAGCGTTTGGGGCCCATTCGCGATAAACTATCGAGCCATCGGGTTCGAATGTGAAGCCGAAATTTTCATATCCACGGCTGAATTTCTCCAAACCACCTTCGGTTTTGTCAATCTGCTTTATCCACTCCTTGGCCTTTGCAAATCTGTACTTCAGATCTTCTCGAAAGGGTTCTAGCCAAGGGTCGAGCTGTATAACGCCTGATGAGAGAGTGAGCGAGGTTCCAGGAGGGTCCAAGAGGGATTATAGTACCTGTGCCATCAGGCGCAGCTTCACCGCTGGCAGGCGCAGCCATGACCGAATTCGCAGAGGCCTGGTTCAATGCCATGAGGGGCAGTCGAAGTAACAACAGAAGCTGGGGGAGCGTTGCAATGGTCAAGCAAGTTGGGTCAAGAGAATAGAGGAACTGAGCAGGGAGAAATGGCAGCGTTACGTGCTCAGAAGTATTTATACAGGTGTTCCAGGGCGGCCGGTTTGTTGTTGGAGGGGCTTTGCTGCCGCGATGGGAAAAAGTGTTGAATGAAGTGTTTCCCTGTGCAGCTGCGGCGAAATTGTGGTTTGACCAGGTCAATGACATCAACCTCAACAAGCAGCGTTGACGTGGGGAAGCTCGCAGCTTGCCAGTGGCCATGGTCCCTCGAGCCAATCAAACACTCCGGCAAACTCCGTGGCCCCACTTATCCGTCCCGACAGTTTTTCCGTTCCGAACAGTCTTCGTCGCCAGCATCACTAGGAAAATTCAAGCAGTTCGAGACTTATCAGGACGTTTGTACTACTTGACGTGTCTCGCTGTCGCCATCTCTATCCCGGTCTCTGACTCGCTGTATGCATTGGGCCAGCTCGCAGTTCTACTCGACGCTCTCACCCTCGAGGTCTCCGCCCTTCTTCATCAGTTCTACCCTTTCCTTGCTGTCCAACCATGGCTTCTGGATGACCTTCTCCTCCTGATTGTCATCTATCTTCACCCCAGCGCACTTCACAATGAAGTCGCACAGGAGTTCCTCTGCCTTAAGCGCATTTAATGTTAACGCGTGATCATCTCCCTCGAAGAGCTTCAACTGCCGATGCCCTTTCGCGCCATATAATTCGTAAAGATTCTGGGAACAATACCAGCTCAACGTCCGATCGCCGGTACCATGGAGCAAGAGAAGATGCCTGGGGCTCAGTTGCCTGATCCCGCCAGTCTTTGCCGTTCGGCTTGCAACTGTCGCGCGCCCTACCACGTGTTCCGCCAAAATTATACAAAGTGGTCAAAAAAAAAGAGGTCTGATGCCTACCTTTCTCTCGCCCACTCACCGTGAACTGGAACTCATGAGTTAGCGTGTTCTGACATTGAATACCACCAGATGCTCCTTCAAATACGAAACCGTCTCCCAAAGGTAAGGGCAACTCACGACTGGTGCGCCTCCGAGTGACCAGCCAACCAAGACGAACTTGCGAATAGAATAATTCTGATCCAGATGGTCCATTGCCGCCGTCACATCTTCCACGCAAGGCATGTTATCGGCAGGGTAGCGGTAGTCTAGTCTGAGGACGGGAATGCCCTGTCGAAGGCTGGCGAGTTTGTCCACGATCGAGACATGCATCGATGAGGAACCGATGACGCCTCCACCCGCACGCGAGATCAGTATCGCAGCAGTTGGCAGCCTGTCCTTGTTCTCTGTATATCCTGCGGGAAGATGGAGAAATCCACGCACGCTGGTACCTCCCACAGGCACTGAGAGATGAGGGCGCCGATCTTGGTCGCATGGTCCAGTATGTTCATTCCAGTTGAACTCGTTTTGGATGGCAGTCACTTTTCGCTGTTTCAGTACATGTGTCGGAGCTTGTTGGCTTGGATTTGGGAGGTCTTCTAGGCGAAGCACGCAAGAGTTCAACCTTGGCACAGCACATTTCCCCGGATATATGTAGAGACCATGGGGTTCAGCTCGGCAGCGTCATTGCAAGAATCCCATCCAGTAGATTTATCGAGGCGGATTGCCAATGATGTACTCCTTACGAATCCTCTCTAGACATTTGACGTGACTGCCGTTCGTCGGCGCTCCGAATTAAACCTGGCTAGTAGGTCCGGTGTAGAGCACAGGAGCACAGGAGATAGGACCGCAAGAGCACAAGAGCACAAGAGCACAAGAGCACAAGAGCACAAGAGCACAAGGAGCAGTACTTGTGGCGGTGAAACTTCGGGACAACTCTCAAAGGCTGTGGCGAATTTGGATGAGGGGCGCTCTTGGGGGCTGCAGCCACACAGGAAAGACAGCTTCGCTTGCTATCCCAACTCCGAACAAGTGGTTTGACTCATACCCCGTATTGCTCATACAAACCACCACAAGGACCACCTCCCCCCTCATTATTGTATCGAGATTGCTGCATGCACACAGGAGGCGGGTATACTATATCCTCGGGCGCTGGCACTTGAAGCCCGCCCTCCGCGCGCACAGCATCGATGCGCTCAATACCGGCCCTCCCCATCTTCCTCTGCCCTGCCCTTGATCGGACCTTGGCCGCATCAACAACCTCTATGTCACAGCGGCTCCGTTCGTCTTATATGACCTTAGGCAAGCGGTCTCTTTCGACCACATCGCAAAGGCTCTCCTCTTCGCAATTTCATCGGTCCGACTTTGCCAATCAACCCTTCACCGGAACCTATGAGCCAGGCTTGCCGACATCTGGACCATTAGGCGGAGCTTCGATCTATGGCACCCCACGCCTGACGCCCAAGATCCTCAAGCAGCATCTTGACCAGTTCGTCGTCGGTCAAGAGCGTGCTAAGAAGGTTCTCAGTGTTGCTGTGTTTAACCATTATCAGAGAATACAAGAACTGCAAAGGCGTGAAGAGGAAGAGGAAGAGCTGCTTGCACAAAGAGAAAGAAGAGAGCGACACCCTATTGAAAATGAGTTCCCTGGTCAACAGCCCACGATCCGCATGGGCGGACCCTCCTCATCTACACTCAATTCGCGAACAGGCGGCGCGATGTTGGTGGATACCAGTCCTCTAACTCTGGAGAAGTCAAATATCCTGCTTTTGGGGCCTAGTGGTGTGGGAAAGACACTGATGGCAAAGACTCTTGCCAGAGTTCTTTCAGTTCCCTTTTCCATGTCCGACTGTACGCCCTTCACCCAAGCCGGTTATATTGGCGAGGACGCTGAGGTTTGCGTTCATCGATTGTTAGCTGCTGCGAACTATGACGTCGAAAGAGCCGAACGAGGCATCATATGTCTGGACGAAGTCGACAAGATAGCGACGGCGAAGGTCAGCCACGGCAAAGATGTGTCTGGGGAAGGCGTCCAGCAAGCACTTCTGAAAATCATTGAAGGGACCACCATCCAAATCCAGGCAAAACCCGAGCGGAATGCCCCTCGAGCAGGTGGCCAGTCACAGACCTACCCTACCAATAGTCCCTTGGGCGCCGGCTTCTCTTCTGGGTCGTCAGGTGCCTCACCTGCGCCGGCGAAAGGCGAGATCTATAACGTTCGAACAGATAATATCCTCTTCATCTTCAGTGGCGCATTCATTGGGCTTCAAAAGCATATCATGGACCGGCTGACAAAAGGCAGCATTGGATTTGGAGCCAATGTGCGATCAAGCTCCAATCTCATCTCCTATAGTCGCGATCAGAAATCCACCACCATTACTCCGGTCCCTATCCTACCGGGATCTCAAGAAGAGGCCCTCTACAAGAAACATTTACCCTTTTTCACCCCGGCGCCAGCTCCTGAGCAGACACCCATCGATGGCTCTGCCCCAGAACCGAACTACTTTAACCCTTTGGACTTGGTCACCCCAGCCGATTTACAATCCTATGGCTTCATTCCCGAGCTTGTCGGACGTATTCCGACGACTGCTGCTCTGTCTGCTCTCACCCACTCCCTACTGCTACGCATTCTTACAGAACCACGTAACTCGCTAGTTGCGCAATATATCACACTGTTCTCACTCTCGGGCATCGAGCTCCGCTTCACTACCCCAGCTCTTCACACAATTGCTTCGAATGCCCTCGTGATGGGCACAGGAGCTCGCGCTCTCCGAACGGAAATGGAGACTGTTCTTGGTGATGCCATGTTCGAAGCGCCCGGAAGTAGTGTTAAGTACGTTTTGGTGACCGAACGCGTCGCAAAAAGAGAGGAGGGAGCCATCTACTTTGGGAGGGGTCAAGGTGGGAAGTTTCATGCTCTTATCGCTCAAGAAGAGGGTGACTGGGAAGACAAGCAGAAGCGAAAGGAGTCTGATCGGAAAGGCGAGGCTGCATCCGCCAGCTTTGAAGATTGGAGAACGAAGACAACAATTGCCGCTGGCAGCGGCGGCTGAGACGGACTGCGATTGTCTGTCCTGCTGATGAAATGATGACGAGACCATCAAGCCACCAACGATGATTGACCAATATATTCAGTTAAAGGGACTTCCTGGATTTGCTGTAAACCACGTTCCTCCGAAGGCCTAGACTCGATAAACGACGAACATGATATTAGAGATCTCCGTCCCGGCCGAATCTCTCCAGAGTCGGATGTTCTTCGGCCTCCTCCCATCAGCACAGGATTGTACCTCACCTTCGGCAAGAACAATTCACGTCCTCTCCTTCTGCCTCGCCAAGCAGTCGACCTAAGTACAAGCGGGTCTCTTCGCCCAAAAATCCGATAATATATTTTACAACTGCGGATTCCCTATCGCCTTCGGGCATCAAATTGAGGGTATCCGGGGAAATTTCGAGGGCAATTTTAAGGGCAATTCCGAGGGCGTTTCTGATGGTATTCCTGGGGGCATTTGATTACACTTCGGTGACTGTTAGCGTGACCACCTACGGACGAGCTGATTACAGCCATAAAAGTGGACTCCCAGAGACTGTCGAGCCTTGCTGGCTACAAGGGGATGGGCAACCTTGTGGTGACAGCGGTACGGCCAGGACACATAGGGTTTAAACTCCGAAATGATCTGACCCCTAGAGGGCTGTCTGCAAACTTCCGGGAACTGAACTTCTTCAGTTCTGCGGGGAGGCACGGTTTTTGCTCTTTGTTGAAAAGGACGGAGTTCAATTCTTGCTGCGGACTTGAGAACCTTTCATTTCACTAGTTATTTTTGCACGGTTAGATTGTCAGGCTCATGTATTTAGTTCGTGGGAGAGGGTGTAGCAGAAATGGATGTGACACTGAGTGAATTACGTTGGCCCATTCGGAAAGGACAAACACAGCCACAGACAGCAGGAAAAATTCGAGATCACAAGTTCGAATTAGGCCTTTACGGCTGTATAAGTCAACGACTTATCAGCGATGGCAGCTTCAGCCATCATTTCGTCAAAAGAGGAAGCGTTCTTACGGAACTCAACGACCCTCAGCTAGGAAGGCTCCCCCTAGGCCTCACCCAGCTGCCTGGAAGTAGACTCCGTCACCAATTCAGCGTAAAGAGCGTTAGCCACAGGGCCAAAAATAAAGTCGCAGGGATCTAAATGAGGATAGAGAAAGAATCCCCTTCAACATAAAAACAACACCCAAGAGCAGAATTACACTCTCACGTTTAGTCCCAGCTTCGATGAGGATACGATCAATCGGAACTCTCGGCAGAGCCCGCGGCTCGATACATTGCTAGTTTTGGGGAGGCCATAAAATTGGATCATGGGAGCTTGTAGGTGGGTAATATCCGCATCAGCGGTTCAAGAAAGGACTATCTTGCCCATTCTAAGTGAACCTTGAACAATCCTTCACCGTCTGGCTCAACCACCGCGATCATAACCTGAATGAGGGCACAAAACCTTTTGAAAAGAGAGCAAGCGCAACAAGGAGCGTTACCGATGCACAGGCAACCGCAAAGAATGAGGAAGCCAACTACTACACCTGCGAAAGAAATACAGATTACCAGTCTCCACGAATGCAAGAGGAGCCGCTCGGCGTTTGCTTAATGGTTCGATGCGGCGGGCTAAATGATCCGCAAGTCCCCAATACTGCTTGCCTTCTATAGAACTTCCCTCGAGGGTGTTTACCGGATTTGCTTCGAACCGAGATTCGTTCTATTGACGGCACGACCGCTGTGTTTCAGAAGTATTCGAGCTAGCGTGACGAGGTCATCGAGTCTAAAGGTTGAACGAGGAGAGGAAGAAGGCTGCGAAGCGTTCAGTCAATTGTGGTTGTTCTGTTTTGTTAAGTTTGATATTACAGATATTGGGGGAAATTAACGGAACGAAAGATTGACTGGCTCAACCCTTCTTGCGCAAGGCAGGCGATCCGCTCAAGTACCAGTGTTTGCGGGGATTGGTTTAGCTGGCGGAAAATGCAATTTACCTGCGAGAGTCTGCAGGGGAGGCGGTCTTGGGCGGTCTGCAATCAGGGTACACGTTTGTCGATTGATGGAAGCTCGACTCTCGAAGAAGAGGACAATACAATAGCCTTGAGCACGGATGTCTTCCCATCAAGACCGAAATACGAGGATATACTATGTCATCCAACTTCGACCCAAAACTGACCTATCTGCTTACCAACACGATAAATTGAAGGAAATGGAATCCATATGTCATAGATATTCCCTTGGATCCGCAACGTCGTTACACAAAGTCATCAGTATCAATCAGAATTCTGATATGTCAAAGGTCTCACAAATGTGGCAACAAGAGGAAACAGGCTTTGTCATGCGTCTCTCATGTGTACCATCTGAAGTCCCCCTGGAGCTGACGTGCGCCGGGTCTCTCATGGCTGTCCAGGTAGTCCATGCCGTCAACAGCCTGGCCTGCAATTCCCGCAATGAGGCCTGGGCAGTCCGCACCGAGGCTTGCTTACCTCATGCGAAAAAGGCCAGCGGTCAATACTCGCGAGAGTCTGGTTGACTTGCCTGGAGGTGTCCTGAGCACGTCGGTTCTGAAAAAAGTTTAGGCATTCGTTGACCTCGCTTCAGCAGCTTCGGAGCCGCTGGGACCCCATCGAGGTATATAGTAACCATACTGGGTAGAGGCTAGAGCCCCTGAGTGGCTCGGTGACGTAGAGACTCCGGCGAGGCTCGGATCTCGTTTTATTGGCTAGCGTCGGCTCTGCTCCCCTTTCTATATATACCTATCCTGACAATCTGCTTGCAGGTCTGCTGGGAAACATCAGTGTCAGTGTTTCAACCAAGTAGGATCCAGAAACAATTTCAAATCATGTCTACCGCACCGCGCGTGCTCGTCCTCGGCGGACACGGCAAAGTCTCTCTCTTCCTGCAACCCCTCTTGCTCGCCAAGAAATGGGATGTCACAAGCGTCGTCCGCAACCCAGCGCACGAGGCTGAGATTTTGGCGCTCGGTAAGGACAAGCCGGGAAAGATAGAGGTGTTGGTGGATAGTCTGGACGATGTCAAGGAAGTCAGCGATGCACAGAGGGTACTGGAAAAGGTGAGGCCGGATATTGTGGTCTGGAGCGCTGGTGAGTGAGCTGCCTGGTTCATGTATCATCCTGGGGGTCCCGAGTTGTGCTCCTATCACTTTCTGCAAAGTTCGAGGTGCTGATATGGGATGTTGATAGGCGCTGGGGGAAAGGGTGGCCCGTCTAGAACGAAAGCTATAGATATGGTTGCTGCGAAATGCTATATCTCTGCGTCGCTGGCGATACCCAGCGTCAGGAAGTTTCTTATGGTTTCTTACCATGCGGTAAGTGTTTGAAGTTCCTCCACTCTTGATCCGGCCGTGCCTTGCCTGCGAATCTTTGTAGAAGGTTGCTAACACCGGCAACCGTGCAATTACAGTCTCGCAAGGGCTATCCGCCATGGTGGACCGACGAAGACAGGAAAGCCGCTGACAACATCAACCAAAACATCCTGCCACACTACTACCAGGCAAAGGTGGAGGCGGATGAGCATCTTGAGGCCCTAGCAAAGAAGAGGCTGGACAGTGGAGATAAGCAATTTCAGGCCATCAACTTGAGGCCCGGCACCTTGTCGGACAAGCCGGGCACGGGCAAGGTTGCGCTGGGAAAGACGCCGGTCAACGGGAGTAAGTCATTATTTTCGCGATCTTCCACCCTTGGACAAGCCATTTGTTGACGATTCCAAAAACAAGGTGTACCGCGGGAGGATGTAGCACGGGTGGCCGCGGCACTTTTGGACCGCAACGATACAAGAGGCTGGTTTGACCTGCTGGAAGGTGAGGAACCCATAGAGGAAGCAATCGACAGCCTTGTCAAGACCGGGCATAACGGTCTTGAAGGAGAGGATATGGAACGGATCTGGGGAAGAGAGACATAAAATCCTCCATAAAATGACAGGGACTGGCAAATCGTGTTGGCCGACTTGGCCACAGGCTCACTGCTGCTCGGCTTCTGATTGATGAGTTTGAGAGCGCTCTTAATGGACGCCTTCACACTCCTGCAAAGAGACGGTACAGACCAGGTCGTCCGTCGCCCTGGTTGATATTTCTTATCAATGATGGACTCTCTTCCAGACTCGTGGTTGCCGAGAAAGGTCTGTGGGCTTGCCCTGCCGTCACTGCTCAAGATCCATATTTGCCGACAAGGCTGATGGGATAACCTGCGAGCTGGAAGGTGAGTGGTGGAGGCAGCCTCATCGGTGTTCCGCTTGGTTCCCCCGCCCACGTGCATCAGCCTGATATTGCGTCACGATGCAACTGTCTCCAAATCTGACAAATGGAATGATATCGAGAGACCCAACTTGACCAAACCCAGGACTCGTTGTGTAATTGAGATAGAATTCTCTTAGCCTCGAAAGCACCTCGAAATCATGGGTTCAACATCACATCCTGACGCAGATATCTACCCGGAAGCAACGGGGCCTGCGGCCAAGATTGTTGCCGCACACCAGAAGGATGAGCCCATCACTTTGTACTCGGGTTGGTTCTGTCCCTTCGTTCAAAGAGCTTGGATCACCCTTGAGGAGAAGAAGATCCCGTACAAGTACGTCGAGGTCAATCCGTATCGGAAGGAGCCTAGGTCTGTATAAGATCATCGCCGCACATGATTTGACGGGTCTTTGTACCAACTGCAGACAGTTTCCTCGAGCTCAATCCCAGAGGCCTGGTCCCCACATTGGGCTGTCCTCAGGAAGATGGAACAACCAAACCACTGATTGAATCAAACATCATCTGCGAGTATGTCGTGATGGCGATCTGGGGCTCTCAGCTGCCAGCGGCTGACAACACCAGATATCTTGACGAAATGTATCCAGATCAGACGCCCCTGTGGCCACGCAATCCTTATAGGAAAGCGGTCATGAAAGTATGGGTCGACCACATAACGACCAGGATCCTCCCTGCGTACCATAGGTAGTCGTCGACGAACCTTATTTTGAGCTCAACAACTCATAGCTTAATAGGTTCCTGCAACATACAGAGAAGAGTCCATATACATTGGAGAAAGCGCGCTCTGAGCTTCTCAACGCCCTGAAGACATGGATTTCTAACGCAGATCCAGAAGGCCCGTATTTCATGGGAAAAGACTTCACCTTCGGCGATGTCGCTCTCGCTCCCTGGGCAGTGAGGATGTGGGTGCTCGACCACTTCAAGGGAGGCCTGGGAATTCCTCCTCCGGGCCAGGGTGGAGAAGACGAGCAACTGTGGAATCGATGGCGGAAATGGTCTGATGCGGTGACGTCGAGGAAATCCGTGACGGAGACGTTGAGCGACAAGGAACACTACACGCCTATATACCAGCGGTATGCGGAAGACAGGGCTATGAGTGAGATGGCTAAAGCGATTAGAGAAGGAAGAGGAGTGCCCTGAACTGATTGAGTAGAGGAGCATTCTCTAGGGGATGGGGCTTCGCCCTGGAAGAGTTGCCCGCGCCGTGGATCATGATTTCACACCAAGGAGCGCCGTAGCTTAAAGTATAAGACTGAGCCGTTGAGAAGTCTTTTCATTCAATCGGAGCTGGCAAAGCTATACAACTGCAGGGGCATTGGCGGTGAAGTTCAAAGACACTTCCAATAGTTGGGGGCGGCGGAAAATTCCTTGGCGTGTTTCGCGTACAAACGTTGCACATGGCTCAACGTCCACTCATTTCAATCCACATACCTATATTTCCACCAGCCTCACGCCATTCTTCCATACTCTACGGCAAGACCCATCGAGGTATGGCAGAGGTGCCTATGTTCATCGATAGCGGTTGAAGTAGGGGCGTTCTGTTTCCGACCTCTGAACCAAAATGCCACGCGCTCCTCGAAGAGCAGCGCGTCAAGCCGGGCACAATGAAATCACAACGACGCCGACTCGGAACACCTTGACTGCGGAAATCCCACCCTTTATGCTCGAAACTCCTCCTCATGCTCCCTTCCTAACCACCCCTGTACCTCCGTCGAACAATCCAGGCAATTCTATTGTCCCAGCAACCAACGCCCAGCGCCGCCGGCAAGGCCGAAACGAACCGACACCCACCACTAATGGCAATGGAAATGTTCAGAATGAGGTTTCGGATGAAACACAGATGTCGCAGAATGCACTTGGCTCCACAGCTTCAGAAGGTGGTCACGCAGATGACCAGTCGCTCCTTGAATCTGTCCACCATGATGTCGAAGATGCCAGACAGCTCAAGGGTCTGCGGGATATCTCATCGTTGGCAACGTGGACATTGTCCTCCGCAAAACCGGGCTGTGGACTGCCTCAACTTCGAAACCCGAGTCCTACTCTCTTCTGGCAGAGTGACGGGCCGCAGCCTCATACTCTGACATTGCATTTCTTCAAGCTTGTCGCGATTGTTAAAATGCGGATCTATCTGGACTTTGAGCTTGATGAGTCGTATACCCCTACGAAAATGAAGTTTTTCGCGGGCATGTCGGAGGGCAATCTGGTTGAGTTTGGCACGTGGGAAGTCAACGACAGTGTCGATTTGGAAACAGGCGAGGCGCACAGCAGTCTCGAAAGTTTAAGAGGTTGGGTCGACGTGCCCCTGAAAGGTGTGGGCGGAAGAGAACCCCACCACCATAGAAACTCGGCTCTGGTGGACGGCCAGGGAGAGCCGACGCTTTATCCCCTCCGATATGACCTTGAGGAGCAGCCAGGAGGAGATGTGCTGAAGGCGATGGTGGTACAGATTCGTATCTGCGAGAACCACCAAAATGGCAAGGATACCCATGTTCGGGGATTCCAGGTGTTTGCACGAGATTACAGCAACCATGCAGAAATGAAGAGCAATGTGAGAAAGGGAAAAGGGAGCAAACAGACGCAGACGCTGGAGGGTGATGAAGATGTTGGCAAGCTTGTTGGCCTCCAAGCAGCGGACTGGATGGGTGATCCAGAGGTGCGATAGACGATGCATGACTTTGATGACTTCTGCTACGACAAGGATACCACCGGTTGAAAGCATGGAATGGGCGTACAGGGACGGAATCACTACCATAATTCTCCAGAGTTGTTTTGAAAGGTGCGCTGCAGTATTGGCACAGGAAGAGAGCTCATTGAGTACGATTTATGAGACACCACGCATACACACCTCACACCTCACACACCTCACATACCTCACCTGCGGCCTTCTTCACCCTTCACTCTTCTCTTCACTCTGCATTCTTCAAGTGCAGCCACACCACCACCCACCTCTCCTGCGGTTTCATCTCACTTGTCTATCACCACTCAGATTGCAATTCTCACCCTCGGCCTCAACGCCTACCTTCCTAAATAGCGTACGAAATGATCAGCCTACGTGTATCTATCCTACTTCTTCTTTGCCCCATCATTTGTCTGCCGCTATGGGTTCTTGTAGATAAGATTCCTCAAGGTCAGGATCACAGGATCAGTTGGGCCCCTTTGGCCTTCGAAACAATGCTAATGAGTGATATCAGATGCCTGGGTTGAGGAACGATGTGATAATCTTCCCTACCAAGCTCGATCGTCGTCGGCAGCGGGTCGAGTCTCAATCCCTATGAGTTGCATGCTCCAACCCTACGACTCGACCAAGCTCGAGTCCTGCCTCTCCGTGCAGCACCTCATATTCTTCGGTGGTGCCAAAGCTCGTCAGCTCTTTTGGACTGTCGCCGCAAAGCTGGATCGCCATCAAGCTCAAAATGCTAGTCAAGGTCTGGAAAACAGTCTCGAAGGCGCTACAACATTCAAGTCAGCCGGGGCGGGAATCATTCATGTCTGGGACCCTGCGTTCAACTCAACTCGTCATGCCCTGCTTGGGACCAGACCAACAGACAACGACGAGGCCCCTGCAGACTACCCGTGGATGATGGACGACATTCACTTCTTTTTCGATGAAGACGGTGTCCATCTCACCGATGAGGCTGCACCTTTCCATGCCGACCTCGTGTTGAATTATTTCTGCAACAAGTTTGTCGGCGTGCCATCGAAATTTTCTCAGGCATACTGCTGTGCCCCGTATGTCGGCCCAAATGTTGTGCAGAAGATGCTGCTTTTCATGGGTTCATGTGGGATTGTCCATCACCTCCTTTCGCTCTTTGTCTGCAGAAGGCATGCCACTAGCCATGAAAATGACTGGCTGTCGTTCCCAGAAACGCCCAGAGTCGCTGGGGCAATAGCTACAATTTCAGTTGCTGTACTATATTGCTTCGTGGCCGACCGTACAGCCTTGTTCGACAAAGCTCCAAAATTGCTTGAGCTGGGCAAATTCATGTGCTTCACCGGTCTCGCTCTGCTCGCAGGTCTGGTCACGTTCAAGCCAAGTCAGGCTCAGCATGAGACTGCCGATGATTGCATGACTGCACTGCCAAACTATCGTCGAGTGCTCTCTAGGCAGCAGACAGAGGAGTGGAAAGGGTGGATGCAAATCGTCATCCTTCTGTACCACTACTTCGGTCTGTCGAAAGTCCTTTGGGTCTATCAATTTGTCCGCCTGTTGGTCGCTTCTTACTTATTCATGACTGGATTTGGACACACCGCCTATTTCATCACCACGAACGACTTCACATTTCGCAGGGTCGCGAGTGTCTTGCTGAGGACCAACTTACTCAATATCCTTCTCGCTTTTGTCATGGGAACTCGATATGACTTGTACTACTTCCCCGTGTTGACCAGCTTGTGGTTTCTCATCGTCTGGGCAACAGTCCCGAGGACTGTGGCACCTGGCGTAGACATGCATTGGTTTCTCCGCCGCACTGTCATATCTGCAACACTGGTCAGACTCATTCTAGGAGCCAACAATATCATTGAGCCGGCGCTGAACGCCCTCGGCAGCCTCGGCTTGGGCCTTCCTGAAATCGATGGACGTGAGTTGTTCTTCAGATTTGGCCTCGATGCGTACATTGTCTTCGTTGGTATGATCACCGCAGTTCTTTATGCGCGGTACGACACTTGGCACGGCCTCCAGTCTCATAAAACTGCAGGGACGCTCATCCATTGGTCGCAGCTGGCTTCGAGATTGACAACACCGGGCGCGGCATCTGTCATGTTAGCATATTTGATATTCTGCGGCGCTTTTCCAGACAAGTTTCGCTACAATGAATGGCATCCTTTTGTCTCGCCATTGCCCGTGCTGGCTTTCATTGTTCTCAGAAATTCGACTCGAAAGTTATCTGCGTCCCACAGCCGACTCTTTGCATGGTTTGGCCGCTGTTCTCTAGAAACCTTTGTCTTCCAGTATCACACATTGCTTGCCGCCGACTCTCGCGGCTTGCTACGTCCGAGACTAGCCGCCTGCAAACTAATCGGTCGACAGACCTGCCGAGGCGTGTTTGAAATGTTGGAGACTGCAATCATGGTTGCGGTGTTTCTCTGGATGAGCGCTGCCACTGCAAATGCTCTGTCGATAATCACCAAAAGTCTCGTCGGTCTCGGAGCTAAGGCACTGGTCGCCTTTGTTGGCCTATGGATACTCAACTTGGCGTGGAGTTCATCGGCTGCTGGAACCGCATAATACTGTTGGGTCCTCTTGGTTAATTCCGCCCTTGAAGATCCACCATACCAGAATCAGAATCCTTCTCCAAATTCGAGGCTCGTCTACTCCACACTTTCGGCACGTTGTCTCGTTGTGAGCTGGCGGCGGAGAAGAACGCAGATCAAACCGAAATTCAAGATGACCTTGATGCCATATGAGTCAATGATCGAAAAGAGAAAACATATTGTACTGACCAGACTATGGTTTAATCCCTAGGTTCCCGAACGTAATGGCGTGTTCGTACGTCGGACATCGTACCTGCCGATCTCACATTTGTTTCAACACGAAGGTCCATTGTCAAATGGGATGTTACCCCGGCAAATCTGTGCCGTGCGGTCTTCGGAGGCGATGTGGATTTGAACTTGCCTCCACATCTCACTACTCTCTAGACCCGAATATCTAGATGTCCCGGCCCCGGAAATTCCTTGCTTGAAGGCATACTGGTTGTTTGTGTTACATGTACCGCACAATCTCTCAATTAAATCGAACCTCAATCAAGGCGGTACGAAGTCTTGCGGTCAATCAAAATGGGTGAGGACAAGCCAGAAGGAGACAGCGAAGGGGTTGCCGTTCAAGTTCCCCTCCAGCCGGGAGAGTCTGTTGCAGCTTTCGATGCATCTTTTGAACCGCCTTACGGATGGGTTGTCTGCATAGCCATGCATTTGATCAATGGCTTCACCTGGGGAATCATTGCGGTATGGATACTTAGCCCACAGATCTATCCTACAGTGACTTACTTCTAACCATTTGACTAGTCCTATGGTGTTTACCTCTCATACTATATTGATCATTCCATATTCCCTGGTGCCTCAGATCTGGACTACACTTTTATCGGCGGCGTCAACTTTGCTTGTGCCATGCTGTGCGGGCCAGTCGTCAACTTGTTTGTCCGGAGACTTGGGACGCATGTGCCTATGTACTGCGGCTGCATCATGTTTGCAGGGGGATTCGTTGCTGCGTCGTTCGCCACAGAATTTTGGCATCTTGTTTTGACACAGGGGATCCTGGTCGGGTACGTGGCTGAAGCGTTCTGCTACGTTGTGTCATGCTAATGCCTTCCAGACTGGGAACTGGCTTTTCGTGGTTACCTGCCACTCCCATCCTCCCCCAGTGGTTTAATAGGAATCGGAGCCTAGCACAAGGAATCGCAGCAGCAGGGAGCGGCGTTGGGGGAATCATCTTTTCTGCCGCAACGACACCCATGATCCACAATCTCTCGCTTGCTTGGTCGCTTCGGATTACTGGCATCCTTTCATTTGGGGTTCTATTCACCGCATGTTCGTTGATCCGAGACCGAAACAAAAAAATCCGCCCAAGCTTCAAAGCCATAGACACAGATCTCCTGAAAAGGTATCGGGTCTGGTTGCTTATTGTGTACACGTTCTTCTCGGTTCTCGGATATATCGTGGCCATCTATTCTCTAGGTAGACCTTCCTCTCATCTCATCAAGTCTCACGCCAACGCATAACTTACCTACTTCTAGGCGCATTCGCAACATCAATTGGATTGACGCAGGATCAAGGCGGGATCGTGATTACTATCATGAATGTCGGAACTGCAATCGGAAGGCCTTTCGTTGGCGTCCTTAGCGATCGATTTGGCAGGATGACAGTGGCATGCCTCCTGACCGCGTCAAACACTGTGCTAGCATATGCGATCTGGATTCCTGCTGACTCTTACGGCGTGCTCATCTTCTTTGCTCTTGTTGTGGGCGCCACCAGTGGTGTATATTGGGGTGTACGAATCCAATATCAATACTGTTTCCAGTTATGCTAACCTGTCTTTAGACCATTGCACCTCTTTGCGCCGAGGTCGTCGAGCTGAAAGAACTCCCATCAGCACTTAGCCTAATGTGGGTGACTGTGTCCATGCCTGCTTTATGTGAGTTTCCCCGTCGATTGTTAACCTGGTGGAGCACTAGCTCATTCTGCGTGCAGTTTCAGAAGCAATTGCATTGGAAATCCGCCGACCTCACTCGTCTCGTCCATATCTATGGCCTCAAATCTATACTGGCTTGGTGTTCCTGATTGCTAGTCTCTTCATGTTCGAACTCCGCCGGCAAAAATGGGGCTTCAGCAGGGAGAGGCACAGATGAATGCTTTCTACACAATGTTGGAGTTAAAAGGTGATTCACACATTCACGGACTTCGTCCTGTCCACCGACATTTGACTTACGGCTTCGTGTTGTGGGGAGTGTGTCGGATCCACAGCATGTCCTTCATAGTTCAAAAGCAGGTCGAATATAAGGGCTTGTTATGATCCAAGGGTCAATTCGCTAGACTCTGGAGATTACCTACCCTTCCACCTATTCAGATTTCGCGCTCGACAAGCGTCTTTCCTGATCCGATCTTCACGCATTGGGTTGACCAGTCAAGCCAGAAATGCTTGAGTTGTCACTCCAGTGGCCGAATACAAAAGCCGTCTGCGACATATGATGGATCGAATGTGGCGGAACCAGGAGGCGAGGATTTTCAGCGCTAGACCGTGTCAATCAAAAGTTAGTCTCCTGATCCATGCCGACACTCTCAGCGTTACCTCGATGCTCTGGCCCAAAGAAAGTTGGTTCTTCCGATGGAAGCTGTACTTCAACAGTTCCACTCCAGCATATTCTACACCACAGCGCAAGGTATCGGAATTCTCGCACCAGTTCCATAACCCTCAGAGCGTACAGCAAATGATTACCTTGACAGGTCAATTGAAAATAGTGAGGATTTACCTGTGACGCTCAAAAAGGGCCACTGTTTATGCGACTCGGTATCGTAGTCCGCCATCGAGACTGTTTATGAAAATGCATATAATGGTGCTGCTTAGCGGCGATCAATTTGTCCCGTGGACTGGGCGGGCCATTCCTCCGACAAATCCAACCCCAGTTAGATGATCACGTTTGTGTTGCTAGTACTCGAGTACCGGAGTACTCGGGCAGATCATGTCTCGTGCGTCCAGTCCAGGCGGAAATACCCCATAGGTGACGTGGGAATGAGGGATGTTGATAGGAGGGTTATACTGAGGAAAGTCTCAAAGATCCCGCCGTAAGGCTACCAACCGTAAGGCTACCAACCGTAAGGCTGCGAGGCTCGACCTAGCCTGCGCCAGGGAGATGCCTCGGCAATATCCACCCACGGATACACATTGTAGGGTACATAAGTATGTAACTAGTCCTATCTAATCATCAAAAGCCGAAACGTTTTCGACATTACATACTGTAGTAGTGTACGTTCTTGTTGTACATATCTTTGTTGTTCTCTATACCATCTGCCACTTTCGCAGTATACCGTCGAATATGTCACGATAGTGGCCGGCTTGCGCAATAAAACATGCCCGTGACCGAAATCTATATCCTCCGGCATGGCCACCGGCTTGCCTGGTCCTTGAACCCGAGAACGGGCAAGTACACTTCAAACCACCCGTTCCCGACACGCCTGCCAGCAGATCCTCCTCTGGCGTCGCATGGTGTTCGTCAGGCGCAAGAGACTGCAGCACATCTCGGCGAAGCGTTCGCCGATATGATCAAGCAAGACCGGTTGAGGGTATACTCGAGCCTCTTTTATCGATGTCTCGAAACACTACACCCGGTGATGGAGGCCATACTTGCACAAGTGCCGGCGCCTGATGTCAAAAGGAGGAGAAACCTACAAGTCCGCGGCGAAAGGGGGCTGGGCGAGTGGTTCGGCCGGGCCTGGTTTGTCCAACCTCGACCCGCGGATCCAGAGAGACTACGGAATGAGTTCTTCCCCTGGCTGGACGAGTCATACTCTTCGCGGATTATCCCTCCGGAGAATGGAGAACGGATTCACGAACTGCACGACCGCGTGGCACGCGCGTTGGCAAGGGTCATACAGGATGTGGATGAGGAGTATTCGCGAGCTGGGAGGGGCGACGAAGACGTGGCCGTGTTGATTTGTGGACATGCTGCCCCGATCATTGCGAGTGGGAGGGCTTTGACTGGTGAGGTGCCCGAGGACTGGGATGAGGAGGACTTCCGGTGTTTTACGTGCGGGATCAGCAAATTCGTGAGACGGAAACTGCCCCCTCCCTCTAGAGATGAGAAAGGGGCGGATGAAGATTACTGTTACCATGATGAGGACTGGAGGAATAATGGCATGGGCGTGGCCGGCGGTTGGGATTGCATCTGGAACAGCGATTGCCGTCACTTGAGTCAAGGGGAGGAGAGAGGATGGCATTTCCACGGTGACGAGAGTTTCGATTCTTACGAGGATTTACAGGCGAGACCGATCAAGACGTCGGACGGGAGTGTTCCTCAGTCGAAGTTATGAAGGTTGTCTCTGGTGGTGCGCTGGGACGGAGGGTTTGCATGATCGGGACAAAGACGAGGGTTATCCCCTCTATAGAACGATAGAGGTAGAACATAGAGAGGCATCGGGTTGTGTTGGGTTTGTGCACTGAGGCGAGCACGGCTGGTGGTGAACGTGTGGCTTGAATTGTCCTGTTCAATGCTCGGTTTGGCGGACCAAGCGCAAAATGCGACTCGCCTCCGCAAAAGGACGAAAACCTTGGAACTTTCATCCACCGTCCAGCCGCGATTTCATCATCGCTTCTTGTACCCGGTCTTTTACGCGACGACAAATTCTTTTCTGCTTCTTCTCCCCGGCCTGCCGTGTTTGCCATTCTTCTGCTTCAATAATGGCCGCTCCCTCTCAGTAGGACGATGGCGGGTGTGAAGGGCCTTGTTCTCAGCCATGTCCGCTCCCGGCAGCAGAACATTGCTCCATTCTACCGATTGCTATTATGGTAGTTTCCCCTTCCCTTTCCCTCGAGGCCCTGGTGTCCTGACTACTGGCAGACCTTCTCGCGACTTTCATCCGACAGACTCGCCCCCAAACACGAACCAGCCTCCGAGACGTTCAGCAACAGCGCCGGCATTTCCATGATTACTTTGTCACCCATCTCCCTTCGTCCTCCCTTCATCCCGACTCGCGTTCTCTGACCGGCCTTGCCCACAAGTTTCCGCGGCAGGCATCCACTCCGCATACTCCTGATGGCAAATCTGCTCCCGCTACCCATCCCTCGGTTTCTCGAGACACCACTGTGGTGCGCATCCCGCTCAAGAGTGCAAAACATCATTATGGCGCCTCGGTCTCCCGAGGTAGCAGACCCTACAATGAGGATTCCCATCAAGCGGGCGTCATCGAGCTCCCCGCGTTTGCTAAAAAGGCGCCGCAGTCCCTCACCTTGAGCAAAACTCCAGGAGAGGGCACTTCTGCCCATGGGGCGTCCGGCGATCCTCAGATCTTCTATTTTGGCGTCTTTGACGGACACGGGGGGGCAGCGTGCAGCGATTTCCTCAGGGAGTCACTGCACGATTACATTGAGAAATCGGCCGAGCTGTTTGAATTGAGGTCGAGCTTGAAGAAGCTCGATAGGAAGCGATGCGGACAGGCGCCGATAGTTGGGGGACTGGACGGAGACGAAAAGCAGCAAAAAGAGGGCAAAAAGGCACTAGACATCTTAGAAGTCAACAGTGACGACCGCAAACTAGATGGGAACGCCCAGTCGGAGGACGGGAGGAATAAGCCATACCCGGGTGATCCTCCTCTCATCCAGAGCGCCAACAAACAGAATATCCGACAGCTGGAGAAGGAGCTGACAAGGAATTGGAAAGACCTCGTGGGCGGGTACTTTCGCCGTTTCAAGCCTGCCTATTTTTCCATCTACAGCGGCTATCAGAAGTTGGGCGAGGAGTCGGATCCCATGAGACAAGCGGGTGAAGACATCAACTGTGGCGTCGGTATTGAAGAGGTCATGACCTATGCATTTCTCAAAGCCGATTACGATTTCGTGGCGGCTCAAGCAGCAAAGAATTCTGAAAGCGCGGACAACACGAGAGCCGAAAGGCCACTGAACGAAGGGGACATTCTGGGTGAACCTAGCAAGGTGGCCGCACACATCGGCGGACCTAACAGGTTTAGAGGCGGAAGCACTTGCAGCGTGGCCATGGTGTCGACGCCCTCCCCTACGCCATTTTGGAATCCGGCGACCACATCGACGATCCTGGTGGCTCACGTTGGAGACACAAGGATCGTCCTATGCTCTACAGTGACAGGGGAGGCAGTACCCCTGACCACAAACCATCATCCATCGTCGCCAGTGGAGAGCAACAGACTTAGAAGGTATGCAGCGTCATTTGTGACCGACTCTTTTGGCGAGGAACGGATCTTGGGCCTTGCCAATACTCGAGCATTCGGAGACATCTCTTCGAAGAGGATCGGCGTCAGCGCAGAACCCGAGATCAAGAGAGTCGAATTAGGACCAGCCGAGTATTCCTTCATGGTCTTGATGTCGGACGGCGTGTCTGGCACACTGGAAGACCAGGAAGTCGTGGACATTGTCAAAGAAGCCAAAACCCCCGAGCAGGCCGCGCGAGACGTGGTCAATTTCGCTACGGAGGTGACCACCGACGGGGACAATGCCACTTGCCTTGTAGTAAGGATGGGTGGATGGGAGCGGCGACAAGAAGGGGGTAATGGAAGCCTGGGAACCAAGGAGATGCGGGACTTTAAGAGACAACAGGCTGCTGATCCCAGGAGTCGACAGCAATAGAAGGATGGATGGAAGCCCTGTAGGCAGACTATTTATTTATTTGGTGTAAATACCTGTCGAGCCTATGTACATGTCGAGATGCTGACAAGCAACTCCATCCCCATTAACCATTTGGTCATCCGAGCTGCCAGTCCGTACTAATTGTCCACTTAGGGAGCATAATTACTACGTAGAAGGGGAGAAGAAGAAAGCCGGCGCTGACATTGATTCGTCCGTATTCGCATCACTCCATCCGCGGTTCCGGAAGCCGCAGCGACCAAAGAGACGGAGATCTCAAACCAAGTGCTCAACACGAAATACTTAATGGCCCTCTTCTGGCCCGCCTTCTTTCCGAGTTTGTTCTTGTGTTAATCTGTCTTTGTTCATTGATCCTCATTCGTGTGTCTGTCCATCTGTCCGCTGAATCAGCGAGTTGATCACGCCTCCAAGAATCCACTGGAGCGAGCAAAGCGAGAGAGACACAACGCGACTTGGGGGCCCATCCCGCGCCCGCCCGGCAGCAAAAGCAACAGTCTCTTCGATACAGGCCTCCTTATCAGACCGGCTTGTCCCATTGCTGCTTTCTTCTTCTTCCTAGACCTGATCGAGCAGGTGTTCACGAGACTCAACGTTCTTTCCTCCTTGCTCCCAGTGTCTCCCTACCTAGATCCCACTCTCAGGAACGCGCAATTGTCTGCTGCAGAGCCCGACTTATCATGGGACAAAAGGACGAAGTCGCGGAAGCGAACGGCCATGCTGTGGGTGTAAACGGGCACGCAAAGGCAAATGGCACCGCCTCAAAGAGAAGGAAAGCGGAAGAGGACATGTATGAGGACGAGAATATCTTTCTCTTCATCCCCAACATAATCGGTATGGACGATACACATTGAACGGAGATCTTCCTGCGCCATGTCTCTGGTGAGAACCAAGATCTGACCAAATCTGCTACTGCGATAGGTTATGCCCGAATCATCCTCGCCGTCGCCTCTCTCTACTACATGCCCTTGCACCCTCGCACCTGCTCCGCCCTGTACAGTTTCTCCTGCATTCTCGACGCCGCAGACGGCCTTGCTGCGCGCCGATATAACCAGTCCACAACCTTCGGCGCGGTGCTGGACATGGTCACAGACCGCTGCACCACCTCTTGTTTGCTTGTTTTCCTCGCCTCCGCGTTTCCCAGATGGTCGATTTTGTTTCAGGGACTGATCAGTCTTGATTTGGCGAGTCACTATGTCCACATGTATGCGACTTTGACCATGGGCGGGCAGAGTCACAAGAAAGTCGAGGCGAGTCGGAGCTGGATTTTGCATTTGTACTACACGAATAAGGTGCGTATCTGGGGGCAATTAGTTTTCGGTCTCAACGGTGATGGCTGACTCATGGCGGTGGGGATGTGACAGGTCGTGCTCTTCATGTTCTGCGCCCTTAACGAACTGTTCTTCATCGCACTCTACCTGCTCTCCTTCTCCTCCCCTCTCTTGTCTCCCTCGCTCCTAGTCACCAGCGAGAACGGCATGTCATCCACCCAACCCGGGTCACCCGCACATCCCAAACCGAGCGCCATCTTCGTCAATCCTTGGAGCGCAGGCGCAATGGAAATGGCGCGCGCGAACAAGATGGATAGCACCATTCCTTGGATCTTGGCAGGAATCAGTTTCCCCGTCATGTTTGGAAAGCAGATAATTAATGTCATTCAGCTGGTGAAGGCCAGTAAGTGGTTGGGCGAGGGAGACGTGGCAGCGAGAAGAAAGGCGGGGATCACAAAGCTGAAGAAGAAGAGGGCGTAAAAAAGATGGCCTGCGACATCCTGCAGAACGAAACTTTGCTGTGGGCTATGTCCGAGCGGCTTCGCACACCCAATCCGCCGATAGAACTGCTCGGGCAGATGGGCGTGGTGACTTGAGGACGGCAGCCACCGCAACTGGTAGACGGAGCCACACACGGCAGGCCATCCGGCATCGACGAACGTCGTCGGATGGACTGTTGTGTTTGAGAGGCCGCGTTAGAGGCGCGAGAACGGCAAATGTCGCTCGGCTCCCACGAGAGTCTGGTGGGAAAGCAGCAGAGGAGGATTTCAATTTTTGGCGATATCAATCATTTCAGCAAGACGGGGGCATGACGGGCGACCGAGGCGGACATGGACAGTGGCGAACGGACCAGAATCGGAGTTTCAGCGCCGAGATAGGATAGGGACACTGGCGCGAGAGGGATGAGGTGCGACATCTCATCCCGGTCTTTCTCCAGCGATCTTCTGGGTTGGAGTCTGGTGGATGGAATGGAGCAGATGGGATTGAGTTCTCACGGTCGAGAAATGTACATGTCAGAGATTACCTATGCATGGTTACATATATATTTTAGTATTTCTACATATTAATTGGAGGATAAACAGAATTACCACATGGATTTCGCATACCACCACATATTGTCCGAGTAGCACTGTTGACAAGGTGATCGGACACAGGTTACGTATGAGCACCATTGGCTCACGTATCTAACTACTTCGTGTATAGCTACGAGTTATAATCCGCGGGGGCATATATATATATATATATATATACCGCTATAGGAACTAACATAAACACCTATCTTCCCATCTCTCTCGCCAGTGCTCCGTCCTTTTTAAAATCATTCTATCCACGAGGTAGGTCGCTAGTCTTACTAATAAAATTAACCTAGATTTATATATATATATATTTTATTCTTCACTATCGATGCTAATTCCCCGCACTAGGTATTTCGTAAGTATTTTAACGCGTACTTATTCTAATAGTGTGGATCAAAATATAATATAATATATTAAATACTTCCTTACTTTTTCTCTTTCTCTAGAACTCTTTATAGATTTCTTTTTATTCCATCGTATCGAATTAATCACCCAGGGGAAAAGGGAAAAAAACAGCAAAAACTTAGCATTAGACCGTGCCTAGGACATGGTCATATTGCTAAGAAACTGATCCTCATCTACTGTTTTACAGGGCGCCCACAACGGTAGATTAAGGCCGTTTTTGTTTTCTCTTTGAGTCATGGCAGCCTTGCAACCCCCCTTCAAGAAGTCCCGTGCCAAGAGACCCAGGGTGGGTTGACAAAGGGCACTGGCCAAAGTGCCTTTTTGCTCTTCCCCAGGGGGTTGGTTTTTTGTCTCAATCCGGCGAGAGAGAGAGAGAGAATGAAACCCGTCGGTTTCGAACTCAGAGCCGGTCCCCTCAGTGTCTTTCAATCTCTGTATCTCTCTGCATATGTCCCAGCGCCGGGATGTCTGCGGAGTATCATACGGTGAGAAGGTCCTTGTAGTCTCAGTGGTCATTCTGAGTTCTTTTGTACCTGGTCAAGGGTACATCCCTCGGAGTGCCGACCAGAATTGTGCAGGTGTATCTTACATTCTGCTTTTTTCCGCATTCACAGGGGTCATCACCTTGGCGCATGGATGTGGAGGTGGTATCGATGTGCAGGGAGGACTCCCGGAGGAGCGGGCGCCCGCTTGAACAGGTGCCAGTGAAGATGTTGTCGAGATGGTCGCTAAGGCAGGTACTTCACCTTCTTTGGGTCCGTTGAGAGAACACTTTTAATTCTGCTCATCCACTGACGGTCGATTCTCTCTGGCTCTGTGTTCCAACTCGATTTCACGCGACAATTCTCTGTGCCACGCCGCCGACACCCAGGAACGAGGTGAGTCCCAGCGAGGATGTCTTCTCGAAAGCGTGTCTGACTGGTGTCTGGTTGTTTTCTAACCGGCAGCGGGTGCCACATTCGCTTCTCTTGCGCACTCGAGTAAGATACCGCTCTAAATGCGAGCGCGTGAGCCTCTTTTCTTGACCCGTGAGGAGATCTTGCGCGGACGAACGCAGATCCCAAAGTGCCTTGCTGGTCAGCCGCTGTCGAGAGAGCAAGGGGGCAAGGCGAAGGCAGAACTTGACGTCACACGGTACATCTTCGACGAAGAGTGGTTTGCTGGAAACCTGGACGTTGAGAAAGACAAGGGCGACAACAGGACGAAATGTTTGTGTGGAGAAAAGATCAAAAGACAGCAGAGCCGCTACACACTGCGCTCCGAGGATATGAAAATGGATGCCTATCCCCCTTACCTCAAGGTAAGTGGGGCCGAGACCATACTGGTGAAAGGCAGCACATCTCAGTTCATCATGCAGCTGCATGAGGGAGCTCTCTCTGCCGACAACATTGCACATATGTTGGCCACACAATTCCAGACGGAAAACTACTCTCCTGCCGAGGTAGAATCCATTATCCAGCGTTGCACCAGGCTGGGTCTCAACTCGAGATCACCGTCTGCTGCGCAAAGCTGGGAGAACGAACCGATTGAAGGCTGGTGGTATAAGGAGGACGGTTACTGCGAAGTACTGAGAAGGCAACGCCCCGTGGGACAGGATATCTGCGGTTATGACTGCGAAGATGGCTGGTGGAGGGACAGGCAGTCGGAGGAGCATCGAGACTGGGAGAGATGGGGTTGTCGTGAAATTGGCCAAGAGCGTTGGAGAGGAGAGTAGTGTCGCCCATAATATCTCTATGTACAAAGCATAGATTCCAGGCGCTGGGCCCGGGGGGGGGGATGATTCAAACCGCACATAATGGCAAGAGGATGGCAAGGCTGGAAACCTAGGGGAAATATTGACGAACCGATGGCTCGGCTTTCGAAAACGTATCGATTTGATCGATGGGGGACAAACGACTCGCCCCGAACTTCCCCATCGTGGCGAATGTTGCTCACGGCAAGCCTCCCTTTCCCATCTCCTTGGCCCTAATCCAGAGAGCATGTATCTTCTCTTCTGGGGAAAGGGTATGAATGTCAGCATGATGATAACTCAAAATCCTTCGTTCCCAACAACTTCCGGGCAATTCCAGAAATTCTCCAGTGGCAGGGTCATAGGCTCAGAGCAGGAGTCACTGCCCTCACAGGCCAGTCCTGATTTGATTTGGTGTTTAACCAACGCTGAAGTGCTTATGGACAGCTGCATGCTAATAGACCAACTGACTCTTTGTGAGACTTTGGGACTTTCAATCCCAACCATGGGATGACGAAGGGGGCCATGGTGCGAAGCGGAAAGTTCCTGCGGAAATCCCTTGGAATGAAGAAATGGACGAGGGGTCTGACAGTCAGTCTCGATGGCGCTTAGCTGGGATCTTACTTGCTGCGACATCCATGTTGAGAGAAAGTCCCGCGTCAGACACGGCAGTCCTGCTGCATCCTTTTCGGACTGTTTGACAGTTTGGCGACTTGGCATGGGCAGGATATCCGCAAGGACACAAAGCATAATACCCATGTAGGAAGGGAGGGGGAGGATGGATGGAGGATGGAGGATTGAGGATGGAGAGTCGGGTGGGAGGGTGAAGGGTGGAAGAGGGGGCAGAAGCAGGCGGCCCACTCGCCCATCCTGCCCATCCTGCTGCCCATCTTGCCCATCTTGCCCATCTTGCGCACCTGCGCACCTACTGAGCGCCCAGCACACACCCCATCCCTATCCATCCACCCTCCACCCTCCACCCTCCACCCTTTACTCCCATCTCTCATCAATTCTCGCTCTTCACCATCTACGGACTTCAAATCCAATCACATCCCTGCTTCCTCAGCCGAAACCACCATCGTCACCCAATCACTCCGATCTCAGATCCATAAAAATACTCAGCTCTTCTCATCTTTTGGCAACACCCTTGAGCACCCTTGAGCACCCAGCGTGCACCCAGCGTGCACCCAGCGAACACACGCGAGTGAGCGAGACCCTTTTCCCGACTGCCCTCGGTCATGCGCCCAGAGAACCTGCTCTATATCTTGTGATTCTTTCCCTTTGTATCTATCCTTCCATATCATGGACATTTAGTCGAAAAAGCGTTCTGCTTCGCTGCGCCATTCCAGCTCTTCTTGCGCATCCCCTCGAGACGGTCCACAGGACAACCCGTGCAACTGGATCATGCGGCGGCGACTTTCAAGATGAACACCACCCATGATATCCGCATGCATGATGCCCACGCTCTCCCGCACGAGCCAACAAAGTCGCCCGCCGTTCCTCTTCGCAATCCCATCCACCCCTCCGTGATTGACAAGCTCGACCCTGCCTTTGTGAAACTCTACAACGATTACATCGCGAACGACCCTCCCTCATCCACCGACTTGACGGTGGTGCGCCAGAACTATTCAGCCTTATATTCCTATGCGGCGGCACCGCCATCCGGAGTAGGAGGCATTGGGGAAACACAAGTGCCCGGTTGGAACAAATATCCGGGGGACATCAATGTGCGGGTCTATGTACCACCAGGTGAAGAGCCCGGCCAACGCAAAGTGTGGCCCGTCCATTTCAATTTCCACGGCGGAGGTAGATCGGCCCATCCAACATGATGTTTACGGCCGTCCTTGCTGACACTTCGTCCAGGCTGGGCCGTAGGTGACCTCGAGACCGATGCGCACGTCTGCCACCACATCTGCGCCTCTGTCCCTTGCTGCGTAATTGATGTTGAATATCGACTGATCCCCGAGTATCCCTTTCCCATCGGGATTATGGACAGTCTCACAGCCGTCGCACACATCTTGGCCAATCACAAAACATTCTCCATCGACTCGACAAACATGACCTTCGGCGGTGAATCTTCTGGCGCCACTATCGCTCTCATCCTCAATCATTTGTTCCGCGACGGAGGTTTCGGCGACAAACTCAAGGGTGTCATTGTTGCGACACCCACCATCAGCGACGTGAGGAAGTATGCAACACCCGACATGAGCCCTTGGCCGAGCATGAGAGAATCCGAGTTTGCCCCTCTCCTCAACTGGGAGAAATTGAAATGGTTCGACACATTCAAATGGATGTCTTTGTCCAGCCAGCACCCGGGAACAAGGCCGAAGGAACAGAAGCGAGACATCTCCTGGTTCGCCGATGCGATGAATGCTCCGGATTTCAAGAACCTGGCCCCCTTTACATATGTGGCCACGGCAGAGGTCGATCCCCTGAGAGACGAGGCTGAAGCATATGCAAAGAAAGTTGAGGAGGCGGGCAACAAGATCGTCCTGAAGAGGTTCAATGGCATGCCGCATCACTTCATGCACATGGATAGAGCGCTACCTCAAGCCCGAGAATATGTCCAAGATGTCATATCCCACGTTCGGCAGTGTCTCTATCCACCTTCCGAGCCGCCTGCCATGACGACGCCACCGGAAACTTGAGACGAGATCTCGTGAATCTGCTAGGCGGATTAAAACTCGACGCGCACGCTTTCAGTGATGCCTCCAATCTATCGCTGTGCGCTGATCGATCGTTACCCAGGGTGTTCCGAAGAGATACCCCTTTTCCGTTGCGTCTCCTGCCTCGCAAGCATTGCTCGGAGACAGCCCTTCCGGACTGGAGGTGGCAGGGGACTGCCGTGTTGCATATTGCCCGTTCTATGGGTTAATTGTCGCTCCACATACTTCCTGGTCATACCAGCTGTTGATCCCTGCAGAACCGGCACACTTGTGGTCAGTGGTTCCTATTAGAAATAACCTGGGAGATGGCAGAATCGCCGACTCAAAAAAACAACAAGGAAGTTCAGTTTATGGCTTCTGTCTTTGCGGAAGGGTCCTCTGCTAGATGACTGGTTCGTCCGACGCCTCCTTCACTCCCGCCTTGCCCCGGCGAAGGTCAAGCGCTTTTTTTGAGGGTCCAGACAGGAAATCAGCTCCGACCAGATTTCGTGAAACTAGGCTAGCAGACAGTCATCGCCTTGACCAGTCACATTTTGCCCACCCAGTGAGCCTATGTGAAGCAAGATGGAAATCCCAAACTGCAGCTCTCTCCTGCATTTCATCGCAGAAAAGACAACTACTCGAGAACGAAGACGCTTCTTTGGTGTAGATTCAGTCATATGTGCACATAGCATATGGGTTGGAATCTGTTCAGACTCAACCGTCTTATGTTTGAACAAGAAGCTAGATTTTACTTCGGCATATTGTATTAATGTCAATATTGGCTGTAAATGACAGTGTCGCACATCTCTTCATCAGCCTGTGTATTCCCTCGTGTGGTAGATGCCCGCCGTCATCTGTTGACTTGAGTTCTCCTCTCCATACGAGCCCTCCATCTCGAGCCCGAACACTCACAGTCCTGCAAAATGCGGGGTGTGCAGTGGGGATCCGGTTCAACTTCGGAAGATGTCGAGACGAGACGCGTCGAACGCGTCCTGCGCGTCTCAAACTGCACGAATAGATAATTGCAAAGTTCATGTCCATGACCTCCAATCACCGCCAACTGTGAGTGAGTGAAGATTGTTTCGACATAGACAGTCAAGATGCCAGAAAGACCTCCGTTCCCAGGCCGCCCTGCCCAACCTCCAGGCCATACCTACCTTCAGTACTCTCCCGATGGTCAGAGGTTGACCGTGGCAGGCATTGGAGACTTTGCCCGTTCCTTTAGGACCAACGACAATGGCGAGCCCGACTTACTACCCTCGACTCATGCAGAGACATTTGCTGTTGCTTCAGGAGTATGGCACCGCTTGGGGGAAGAGAATTTGGCGAGATGCAGCCGGCTGACGTGGAGCAGAACGACTACGCGATTTTCGGCTGCGAAGACGGTACAGTCTGCGAATACGCTGTCCCTTCCGGGGACTTCAAGCAGATGCTCGTCAGAACCACCCTTCCTATCAGGGACGTTGTGCTCTCCTCAGACGAGGAATGGGTGGCGGTTTCCAGCGAGTAGGTCAATATACCCTGGTGCCATGTAAACACCTCTGACTTCCCTAGCGAGCTTGAAATCAAGGTCGTCAACCGAAACGATATCGAGCGAATGACCATCCTACGTGATCATCCCAAGCCGATAAAACATGTGGCATACGACCATTCTGGGAAATATCTCGCCGCATCCTGCACCGATGGCGTTATCTACATTTACGACATGATCTCCCCCGAGCCCAAGTTATTCCGATCGATCGACGGAGTCATCCCTCGACTCGAGACAGCTGAAACGGCTACTTCCCGCTGTGTTTGGCATCCTGATGGAAGAGCTTTTGCCTGCGCAACAGCAACAAGAGATATTCAAGTCGTCTCGGTTGAGGACGGTGCACATCAACGGACATTCTCGGGAGAGCACATTGCGGAGATAACATCGCTGGCATGGTCACCAAATGGTGCCTTGTTGGCCTCGTCAGACTCAGATAATCTCATCATCTGGGACACGAAAACACAAAAGCCATTGAAACGTTTCAACTATACGAATATCCTTAACGTCGCCTGGCAGAACCACGGCGAGAACATCTTTAACTGGACGACATCCAACGGTGAAGTCTTCATCATCCCTGAGTTTCTCAGAGACGAAGCCCATGTCAAGCTGCTCAAAGGCCCCAAAGTCGGTGCTCCTTTCTTCCACGATCCGCTTCTCGAGAAAGCCGCTGTTGGAAATGGCCGGAAACCACTGACCGGTGGTCAAGGAAAGCGAGCACATAGTCCTGATAGTCTGGACGAGCTCCTCGGACCAGAAGAAGAATACGATTGGATTGAAGACGACGATGGTGCGGGATACATCAATGAAAATGGGAAGAGGACAAACGGCCATCTTGGAGACGTATTGCACCCTCTACCAAAGCGGAATAGGCAGGATGTCTGGCAACCGCAGGTACATGAGCCGTTTCAACCAGGAGCCACCCCTTGGAGGGGCAACCGGAAATACTTGTGTCTCAATTTGATTGGCTTTGTCTGGACGGTTGACCAAGACACCCACCATACGGTTACAGTCGAATTTTACGACCGCGAAATGTACCGAGACTTCCATTTTACCGATCCCTTCCTATATGACAAAGCATGCCTGGACGAGACGGGGACGTTGTTCTCTTGTCCTCCACGAGATGGCCAGCCCGCTGTCATCTTCTACCGACCCCACGAAACTTGGACAACGCGGTCGGATATGCGTATCAATTTGCCCGACGGCGAAGAAGCAACATGCATTGCTCTCAGCAGCAAATACATTGTAGCTGTTACTAATAAGAACTACGTCCGGGTATGGACATTGTTTGGTACGGCCGTGCGGATTTGGCGTATGAAGAGTGCTCCAGCTGTCACTTGTGCCGCGTGGGGTGATTATATCATGACGGTTGGAAATGGACCTGTCGGCGCTGACGGCTGCACACAGCTTAACTACAGCATTGACAATGTGCGGCGAGACGAGAGTTGTCAAAATGAAGATGTCCTCGCGCTCGGCACGCTTCCGCCGGACTCGGACGATGAGGAAGTAACTTTGAAGAATCTCTTCTGGAGCGATTCAGGAGACCCGTGTATCTACGACAGCAATGGTGTGCTCTTGACTCTTCTGCACTGGCGTACATTGGGGCAAGCAAAATGGGTGCCTCTGCTTGACACGAGGCTGCTGGATCGATTAAAGGATGGGAAGAAAGAAGAAACATATTGGCCCGTTGCCGTGGCGGACCAGAAGTTCCACTGCATTATCCTCAAAGGCGGAGATAAGACTCCATACTTCCCGCGACCTTTGCTCACAGAGTTCGAGTTCAATATCCCAGTCTGCAGGCCAGTGGACGATAGCAGGGATGTCGAGGAAGACGACAGGGAGGAATCCAATGCTGCCGCCGCAGCGAGGCTGGAAGAAGCATTTGTCCGCAGCTCCGTGATCTTGGGATTGCTTGACGACCACGTTCAGAGTTTGGAACAGAGGGCCGGCCACTCGCAGAAGACGGAGGTTATGAGACGGGAGGTCGAGGTAGACAAGATTTTGCTGCAGCTTTTGGCGGTGGAGTGTCGCGAAGGGGAAGAGAGGGGTATGAAAGCTCTCGAGATTGTGGGGTTGCTCAAGGACCGCAGTGGCAAGATGCTCGAGGCTGCGGCCAAGGTTGCCGGAAGATGGGGCAGGACTGTGCTGGAGGACAAGATCAGAGAAGTGGCGGAGCGCCGGTTAATGGGAATCGAGGAAGAATGATTGGGACATAGATTTCGGGAAGTGAGATGATCGGCTCAACTCATGACGATCCATAGACGCTATGCTGCAATGCGATGGCGTCCTGTTAGATTGGTGCTGAAACAAGGCTGAATGAAATAGGGGCGTGTGGCAATGGCTACACAGATACCTACGTCATATAACTACAGGAGCCCCTTTTATAACAAATATGATCGTCTGAACCCGAGCAACTTATAAATCCTTGTCTAGCCTTCCCACAAGAGCACGTTCCAGCTCTGAGTCTCGCGAAAAGGGCGACTTGAGCGTATAGGGATGGTAACTGGATGGTATTCGATTTTGAAAGACTACAACTACCAATCTCATAACGCAATCTCGCGCCTTTCACCTCATCCCTGGTACAAATTTTGATACTGGTTCAAGCTGCAGAAGGTGCTGCGTACAAATAAAATCACTGCCTGGTTCCTTTTGCATACTTGAGGGCTGGCTTAGCGAGTCGCTGCCGGTTATGATGGTGGGGTCTGAGTGCGCTCTTTATCTCCTTCACTCATCTAAGCCATGCTTTTCCTTTTCCATTCAAGCTCCTCGTAGGGCTTTCGAAGTTTCATATCAGCACGATACGCGCTTCGGAGGAGAGCAAAATCTTCTCTGGCATCTTGATAAATGATCTTTCCTGCTGAAAGACGAGATATATTTTCCGCAATCATCTCTTTGAACCCTTTCTTGATCTGTTCCGTGCAATAATCCGTGATGTCTTGGAATATCGTGCGATCCCCCAGGTGGGAGGTAGTAAAAAGGTGAATGTCTCCATGCCAACAAGGAACGTCATCCGGGATCTGTCCACGTCCTCGAGACCTTGAGGCCATTGGATAAAGGAAATAGTAAAAGTAGAATATATGGCTGTGACCAAGTGGTAAGAGATGTCGACTGAGCTAATCATGTTACGGTTAGTGTTGAGAGATCCTCTCGCGAACGACTCTGGTGTGGGAACGGAAGCCCTTCCACTTATCATTTCGAAAGGGTTCGGATTCGAAATGTCCGACCTGAGCTGGCTATATACTGTTTAACCTTTCCTTAGTCAGCCCGTAAGCGGGCTAAGTATATGGATGGCTGCGAAAAAAGACTCGGGGGTGGATACTTCGTACAAGCAAGGCCCCGGTCGAGGCCAGGCTGGCCAGCGAAACAGAGTAAGGCAGCCAGTAGGTACAATCCTTGGGCGCCAGTGCGCTTCGTCTTCTTCTATTGTTAGTTTTCGCAATAGGTGGTCAAAATGTGCTCGGCTGTCTCGGGAGTGATTCTAGCAGGGCGCCGGGGATCAATTTCCTACTACTTGTACTTAGGCAGCCCCCTAGCCGGGGCGAAGGTCCCTGGGAGTGGGGAAGCGGGGTGAGGCTGTGACAACGTACCTGAAAAGCTTGCGGTGATCGCACCCAGGAACTCAAGAGAAGGTTATGGTAAAGGCTAAAGGCGAAGATGAGAGGGAGGAAGGGGTGGCTCATGATATTAGCGGCACATTGAAGCTGGGCCGCACGCGAGTTTTATAAAGGCAACGACAAGGCTTCAAAACTAGGGGCACCAGGGGTGACAACTCTGCGTAATTGCGACTGACAAACTCAAATCGATCTCCCCACAAGCCCCTTTTAGCTGAACCGATGATATATTTCAGCGCAATATTATAGGGCGTGCTGGAAAGTATCATCTCCACTTAAGATGGTTGTTTCGGAGAATCGATTCCGGCTGTTGGCAGTAGACGACATGCGGCTTTCTCTTATATACGATCAATGCCAGGGATCAACATCGGGTTGAGATACCAAAAGAAAGCACTGCTGAGGCCATCGATATCTCCGGACAGTTCCAGAGATTTCAAGGACCACCGTCATCATTACCAAACCTTACCATGTCATATTTATTTCGGCCCGATGTCAACAACACGGTTGATCAAAGCGAGATTGTCTTCGATATACCAAAAGAGTGTAAGGCGGGCGTCGTGGTCAATGAAGGCCCCGATTTCCATATTGAGGTTCAGATGGTTCCGGTCCCAGAGCCAGGTAAGGGAGCACCTGATGATCTTCTCATACGAGACACAGTTCTGTTCCCTCCATCCACCTTGGTCCTAACCAGAATCGTCATTATTTTAGGCCCAGACGAAGTATTGATCAAGCTCAACGTAACCGGCATCTGCTTTTCCGATCTGCATTTCGCAATGGGTGACCTGGGTACTCCACCCATGTCGACGTTCGGTGTGCGATCTCCCGGCCACGAGGGCGCCGGCGTTGTCGTCAAAGTAGGCTCCAATGTGAAGAACTGGAAGACAGGCGATCGGGCGGGGATGAAGCCGAGATGGTCAGTTTGCGGCGACTGTGACCTGTGCCTGGATGATAAGGAGTCTTACTGTCGAAAATCTGTGCTCTGTGGTCTCCATAAAACAGGGTAAGTTTACTCTTTTCTGAGTAAAGTGTCCCCGAGTCAATGCTAACGTTCAATAGGACATATCAACAGTACTTGATCTCCAAATTCACCCTTAGCTTCAAGAACTGCTAATCTATGAAATAGATATGTCACTTCCCCTGCGCATTATACACAAAGGATTCCTGACGGAGTGGACGATTACGCCGCCGCACCCATCATGTGCTCGGCGGGAACAATGTATCGCTCCTTACGTCTGGCGGGACTCAAGGTGAACAATTGGGCTGTTTTCCTGGGTGGAGGTGGAGGAGTGGGCATTCAAGGCGTGCAGCTGGCAGTCGCAATGGGACTTAAACCTATTGTCGTGGACACGGGAGACGAGAAGGAGAAGCTGGCCATGTCTCGAGGGGCGAAAGCCTTCGTCGATTTCAAACGTGTCGATGACCCGGTTGCGGAGGCGATCAAGATCGCGGATGGAATCGGAGCACATGGAGTGTTCGTGACAGCAGGCAACTCCTATCCGTCCGCAATTCCGTACACTGGTACACGCGTCGGTGCTGTTGTATCGTGTATAGGGCTCCGTAAGTGGCTGTCTCTCCTCTCCCGGCTTAAACGAGGCTGAACAAAAATACAACTAGCGCACAACAAAGAGCTCAGTATCGGGGCTTCGCCCGTCAAATTCATCACTCAAGGACTGACTGTGCGCGGTTCCATGGTGGGCAGTAGAGCTGACATTGCCACGGCCCTTCAATACGCCGCGGCCGGCAAACTCTCCGGTGATCACACGGTATATTCAATTGACCGACTCCCAGAAGCCGTGGAAAGGATCAGAAAGGGTGAAGCGGCCGGAAGAGGCGTGGTTGACTTCAACCTTTAGTGATATAAGTCCATCCTTTTGCATGCTAGGCAACCCTACTTAAGATGGGCAGAATGTTGCACCACGTGAACTTGCTAGGTATGTAGAGCGATTGTCTGCGCCGGGTATATAGCCTTGAACTGGCAATGGCTGCCAAGGCGCTAAAATACCCCGCAGGTTCAATAGAGGCAAGATCTCTGAATATCATTGGCGCTGGAGATATGTCTAGTCAACTAGCTTCGGTACTCTGTATCCGGCTGCCGATACCGCTCTCGCGCTCTTCGGGCCAGCCCATGCGGGGCCCCATGTTTGTCAACTACCTTACCCATACACGCAAAGGTCGGTGGATCGGCCAAGATCGGTCTACCTCCGTCGGGACACGCAATCAAGGGACGGGGGAACATTTCACACCGAGAAGGGAATCAATCAGTCCCGTGGATTCTGATTTTCAGCTCTTTGCCACTGCTTGCAGCCTCCTCCATCTCCGCCTCTAGGCTGGCTTGTCCATAATCCCTCATTTTGGGAATTATAAACATGTCGCAAAGAAACAGAATCGAGATTGTAATCGTCACGCCGGTGGCGTTCCATGACATGCCTTTGCTGAACAGCGTCGGAGTGCACGAACCATTTGCATTGCGCAGCATTGTCGAGGTCGTCACAACGGATGGAACCTACGGACTGGGCGAGTCATACGGCGACTCAACGCACCTGGACCGCCTGCAAAGAGTGGCCGAGCAAATCAAAGGTCTCTCGGTGTACGACACAAATGCTCTTTTCCAGACGTGTGTCGAGTCTCTGACAGACGATGCCGGCACGGGTGGCGATGGTATGGCCGGCATGGTCACCACGGCATCTGTTGCTGACAAGGTCTTCTCCCCCTTTGAAGTTGCATGTCTCGATATCCAAGGCAAGTTGGCAGGGGTCCCCGTGAGCGATTTACTTGGTGGCCGCGTGAGAGAGAAGGTCCAATACTCGGCATACCTCTTCTACAAGTGGGGAGGACATCCAGAAGACCCAGACGATGAATATGGCCCGGCCCTCGATCCGGCCGGTCTGGTCAGGCAAGCCCAGAAGATTATAAATGAATATGGGTTCCAGGCAATAAAACTCAAGGGCGGTGTTTTGCCACCGGCTCAGGAGGTCGAAGCTGTCAGAGCCCTTCGTGCAGCATTTCCTGGTATGCCACTGAGGCTGGATCCGAATGCTGCGTGGACGGTTGAAACCTCCAAATGGGTCGCGAAGGAGCTGGAAGGTATTGTCGAGTACTTGGAGGACCCAGCCCCAGGAATTGAAGGCATGGCCGCTGTCGCAAAGGAGGCTCGGATGCCCCTGGCTACGAATATGGCCGTGGTCGCCTTCACTCACCTCCCTCCCAGCATATCACACAACGCTGTCCAGGTGATCTTGTCCGATCACCACTTTTGGGGCGGCCTGCGCAAGTCTCAAATACTAGCAGCCATCTGCGCGACGTGGGGGATGCGGCTCTCCATGCATTCGAACAGCCATTTGGGCATCTCACTTGCCGCCATGACGCATCTGGCGTCCGCGACTCCAAATCTTGACTATGCCTGCGACACTCATTGGCCATGGAAGCGGCGCGATGAGGACGTCATTGTTGATGGCGCTCTGAAGTGGGTGGACGGCGGCGTGGTTGTACCCACCACGCCCGGGTTAGGTGTCGAACTCGACAGAGACAAATTAGCACGGCTTCACCGGCAGTATCTTGACTGTGGGCTTCGCAAGCGGGACGACACCGCTTACATGAAGTCCTTCGACCCAGAATTTTCCGCCAAAATTCCAAAGTGGTGAGACGCGAACGAATGCCAGGAACCTGATTTTGAGGACAAGGCCATCGCTAATTGTTGACAAGCTCCTCTTTTCAAGAATGTTATGACGAAATATAGTCTGGTTTCTCAAGGAAACTTTTGTGCATCTTCGGGGCTGACACGTTTGCGGCTCCCATGTGGAGGGCTGTAAGCGCGACTCAGGATTGAACGATGCCTCCAATGGAAGCCCAAAGACCATGCACCCACCCCATGCGGGGATCTCACAGTTTGTACTTGGTAGGCAGTTTCACGCTTCAAGCATGCCATGCATACACATGCATCTGCCGACGGAGTCAGGTTGCTGCGTTTTTCAGAGCGGATCCTAGACCGAGCTTCTCTGCGCTTCAGTTGAGTAGTGATGCGCACGGCATGAGTGAGACTGTACCGGAACTGAGCCGGATGCTGTTTTCACTCCATAGACGCCAGGGCATCCTGAGTCATGTGCTTAGAGAAACCTGAGTCCCTTAGACTTGTAGCTCGATCCTCAAGTAAGCTTTCCTGTGTTTTTGGTGTTTAGAATCGTTTGGAGAGACCGAGGTCGATGAGAGGTACGCACCATCGAGTCGTATAGGAAGGGAGCCTGGTCTTGATTCTTTTCGGTCATCTCTGTATCTGCGGCCTTCTGGCACTCCATGCCAACCATGCCAGTACCATTGCGCCCTTCACACCCGTTGCAACCCACAACGCTCCATCATATTGGAATGATGTCTTAAGCAGGGCTCCGGAGACGGCAGCGCCTCCAAACAATGACACCGCCCCTAACGCCCGCCTGTTTCGGTCCGGATCCTCAAGCAGCCCGGCCGTGAATAGGTCGGGATCACTCATTAAGTCACAGAACAGGCTCGTCAAGACCACGGTCGGCAATGCGTTATATTTCAGGGTCCTGCTCGCCACAATTTGACCCGCGCTCTGAAAAGCCAGCAAAGCAATGGGACACAATTCGTGCCATGGGAAGCTCCCCCGTCCGTCAGCGACCACTGTCTCTTCAGTTTTCGCAACAATCCCTCCAGAAATCAGTGATGCAGTCAAGACCATGAACGACGTTTGAATCAAGAACGATGAGGCCATCACCCATCGCTTGAGACCGCCAAGGTATCGATGGTATCGTGAGAAGAAAAGCGCACCCAGACAGAATGATAAGATGGCGATTAATGATTTCGTCCAGGTATGCTTTGGCACGTTTGCCGGCAGATCACTGACACCGAGACCGGCGAAAATGGTATTACCTACGAGCATGAGTTTCAGTGCCAAGGCTAGCCATGTAGAGAGTCCAATTCTTACCAGTCTGCATGCCAACAAAGCAGCTCCAAGTATCGAAAGCGACAGAGTCAACCATCCCTGTCACGAAGAAGCAACCCAAAAGGATCGTGTCTGCCCATCTTGGGTCAATGTCAGACGTCAACCATAGCCGGAATCTCGTTGACAATGGTAGGCTAGAAGGAGAGAAACCCTTTTCAAGGTCCATGGCGTGATGCTCTTCGTCTGTCGATAGGGGGGTTTCCATATTTTATTGAAGATTTGTCGAGGTGGCCGTTTCGTAGCTGTGATGATGACGATGTCATAGAGAAGAGAGATTGAAAGAAACGATCCTCACCTCAGAAACATCGATATCACTGTGTGGAATACTTAACTTGTAAATTTGTGTGCCGTTTCGCGAATCACGCCGGAGACGGACTTCCAGTAGCAGAGTCTTATCGTCCTGTTTGCACTCCATTTTGCGGCTGCAGGAAAAAAGAATCACGGACAAAAGAAACGCGTGATAATTTTCATCTCTAGCCTCGTTGGTATGTATTGAGAGATTTACAGGACGACGTCGGGTGACGACCAAAATGATTAACCGGCCAGCCCGTAGTTTTTCCGTTCCTCCGGGGGTGGGAAACCTTGGCAAGAACTCCGTCACGGTGCCATCTCCGCGGATCAATATTTTTCCCTGAGATGGTTTGTCAGCCTTACAAGCGAGGTCGGATGAAGTTGTTCTCGGTGTCTCCCCCTAATCAAAGGTGAACATGCTCAAGCATGCTGCACAATAACACCAACCGCATTGACAGGCGACATTCCAACAAGGCTGTAAGACAACCAGTGGTTGATCAGGCTCCAAAATATATACTCGGTGCTGGGTATGCTATTGCACTAACCATCTAGGTACGAACGACAGTCTCATGCATACAGTCCCTTTTGCCACCACATACACCTCTCATTTGCAGCGTTGTCCTTCATTGGCCCAATCTTCGTCAGATTCAGGTTTTGCACTGTGGTAGTCGCCCCATATGTTGGGAAAGGCGGCAATCCTGCTGCATTCGGATTGCCCGTCATGACAAAGTTCGTGAAGTACCTCTGCATGATGACCGCCAACGTGTCATTCTTGACCAAGGGGTTTGGACCATTGTAGTATGTATATGAAATGTCATCTCCGTGAAGGCTTGGTGGAACACTGAATATGTAATTGAACACATTGTTGTTGTACGCGCGAGCCAAGAAGTTGGTACTGCATGTGAAGAACGCCTCTGTGATCATCAACTCGCTTCGCCCTGTGGGCGTGGTATAACCAGCAGAACCGTCGAAGACAGGCGGATACAGTGTGTGGGAGATGTAGTTGACAGTGGCGTCGGTAATGGTGGGGAAGTATATGCGAAGGTCGGCTTCAAAGACGGTTTCACTTTGGGCGAAAGGATCCATGAATCCGAGACCTTCGTTGAGGTTATGGCCAGCCATAATCTTCAGAGATTTGTCGAACCCTCCGTGAAGAAGAAGCTGGCCAGGGAGATCTGGGGCAAAGGCCCCGTCAACGACAGGGTTGAAAGTGAATGTGCCGTAGGGGCTTGACCCCCCAACAAGCTTGTAGTTGGCGAGTGCAAGTGCTTCCGTAGACAGATTTCGTGCGTCTTCGAGTGTGTTGATTCCTGCAATAGCCAAGAAGTGGCTGTAGATGGCTTCTTGCAATGTAACGCTAGGCGACATCTGAAACCCAGGACTCTGGACTATGGCTTGCTGAAAAGGTACCTTGCCCTGCAAGCCACCAAATGCCGTGATTTGGTGCATCGTGCTGCCGCCTCCAGCTGATTCTCCAATCACTGTCACTTGGTTCGGATTTCCGCCAAACTTGGCGATGTGTTGCTGCACCCATTCGAGCGCTAGGCGCTGATCGTGAAGACCTGCGTTTGCTGTTCCAGATTCTTGGAATGTTGGACCAGATAGAAAGCCCTGGCGGTAAATATCAGTACACGGCAGGTTTGAAGATTCGGGTCTCAGGGCATACGAAAGCTCCAAGGCGATAGTTCATTGCTACCCAGATTATGCCCTTCCTGCCTTGACTTTGGCTAGCCTTGATGAGCCCTGCAGCAGATGGGCTATAGAGTGTCTTAGATCCGAGCGTATATCCTCCCCCGTGAATCCACACCATTCTAATTAAGCTGTCAGCTGGGCCGGGCAGCCTCTCCGCGATCAGATCTGCTTACACTGGTGCCCCTGGGCCTTGACCAGCCGCTTCAAAAATAGCTCGCGGTACCATCACATCAAGGAACAAACAGTCTTCCGTGGCCGTCGGATCAAATGGTGGCGTTGAAGCGAGTTTGGGGACCTGATAACCTGCGGAGATATTAAAAGCAGCTGTGCCATTGGCAATCCAGTCTGCAGAATAAATCGCCCAGGCTGGTAATACCTGGAAGCAGGTCACAGCTCTAGATCCGTTGTTGAATACCTTGGTGCCATTCGTACTAGGAGCTTGAGGAGCAGAAAAGCGCAACTTCCCGAGCGGAGGCGCACCGTAGCGCACATTGGAGAAGTTGTAGTATTGTCCAGACTCCTAGAGAGTCATCAGTATCTGTGCCAAAGGAGACTCTGGGCAGAGGTCATTTCTTGCTCACATTGTAAGTTGCCTGGTGCAGTTCATAGCCCAGGTCCACTGTTGGTAGGGAAGGAGCTGGAGTAGCTGCACTCCCGAGGGCGCTTGCAAGAAGCAAGACTGCCACACACAACATGTCAGCGACTGTTTGAGATCCTGAATCAGTACTGAATGGACGTAAGGAAAGCGCCACAGCCTGGACTCGGTTCAAGAGACAACAGAACTGGACAGGAAGGGGTTTTATACAATTCTTGGACGCGTGTTACCCCGGCTTTGTAGTCGCTCGATGCAAGGGGCAGAGCGGGGTGAGGAAGCTGGACAGAAGCGGCATTTCGCTTCCTTCTCCATCTCGTTGCTTGTATCTTCGTGGCTTCCCCAAGTGTAGACGGAGTAGAGATTGAAGCCTTCAATACATGCACGCGAGAGGTGAACCTTCAGCCTTCCTCATTAGGGCTAGACTCTCCGGCGGAGAACAATCCGTCCGGTGGAAGTGAAACTCCTGCCAAAGTCGAAGCGGACCCATTGCCCGCTAGATGCGGAACAAACGCAGATGGATTCATAGCAAGAAGTATGTATCTGAGAGGGTGATCAAGGGGGGTCAACAGCTCGGTGGCTAAGCTCACAAAGTGCCGATGGTGCTGAAATGCAAATGATGACGTAGCGGGGCGCATTGTCCCAATTTGGTTTAGTGCAACGGCTATGCCGTATTGAAAAAGAAGCTTCTATCCTAAGCTTCATTTAATAATATGATTTTCCCAGGTCACATATTCTGAATCTGGAGGGCCTCAAAGAGCCTCCAGACATAGGCATAGAGCAAATCTGGTACCATCACGATGCCTGGCATTCTCCTGCTGAGGCTGAAACGACCATCGTTGTTGCAGACATCCATCCAACCAAGATTGCTCTGGCACCTCCGCCATAACACCCAAATGCGTTGAGCGGCAAAGCTGTTCTCTCATCTACACAAACCAAACCAAGTCAAATCAAGAATCTCAATCCCATCTATTCAAGTGTGCATTGTCATGAGGCCATCATCGACAGTCTAAGTAGCAAGACTGGTCAACAGGATGATATTTCGCCAGTTCAATCACTCTTTGCCAGACTCGGTCTTTCACACGTACCTACTTTCGTGAACATGTCTTCTTACGGCACATTTCCCAGGACGAAGAATTTTGACACTAGGCCCTGACAGCGTCGAGCAGAACATGCTTAGCACATCCCAAGGCAGCATCAAATCAGGGATGAATGCGGGGAGACGCATCTCCAGGTGTGCTTCATCCGCGTCCACCGGACATGTCACTCCACTTAAGCTCCAGGCGAACTCTCCATAGCCCCAGCGGAATGTATCCTGGCGTGTGCCCATGACTATCTAGTCGATCATTGGACTAGGTTGAGAACTTAACTATATCGGACGCGACTTAACAAGCATGTCGAACTGAAGCCTCAACTGCCGATCGTGGAATTCTTTGCGGTGAGGACGTGCTGCGGGATCAAATGAGCAAACAACCTACCACGATTGCGAACCCGAAGGCCGTGATAGCCGCATGCTCATACCTTGCTACCTTTACCGCCGCATATTAGGATTTCCGATAAGAAAGGAACGTGTTGCATGGCGCACTTTCGGAGTCAGCTCTGCAACGACCCGGTAGCGCAACATGACAAGGCTGAATCTGGGCACATCAAAGCCATTTTCCGCGAGGCCGCCACAGGACCGTATACGTAAGATCAGAGGCCGAAGGTCCAGATTGGTCTGGGACTGCAGTCGGGTTCTGGAAAATGCAAACACTGTTGCTGCGAATGGCGCGCTCAGTAATGGCCCAATATTTTCAGCGATGTAGTAGCAGAACCCGTCTTTCTGCCCGATCCTTCGATATAAGGACCCGACAGATATTTCCCAGTGATAGGTGCGGTGGCTGTCCAAGAAAGACAGATGTCACCGTGGCTGACTATTAGTCTATAACAGAGGGGGAAATCCCAAAGTCTAACATTCGAGCATCCAGTACTGCCTCCATATTCCGTTCTGCATCCACATCCCCGCACTCTGCATGGCGACCTCGGTTCGCCACCAATCCATCTTAGCGAGGACGAGGCCACTTGGTAGTCGGTAGCAGTTGGCAATTTCGTGGGAGTTGCCCCGATTGCAAGCGGATCGGCTCGCGGTCAGGCCACCAGGCTGAGAAAGCTTGCTTTCAGAAATCATCGACGTCCTTTATCGACGTCAACCCATTTAGAAACCGAAAAGCACTCAGTCAGGCATCTCGCAAGCCACTAGAGAAGTCACCACTCAGTCTATGGATCACACACAGCGCTCTAGCAGGCTTGCATGGGCGTGCGACCGCTGTCGCCGGCAAAAGCTCAAGGTATCTGCATATCTATCCCTCTGTGTCTCCCCCACCGCGCAACCTTCGTGATGAGCAAATACTAAGCAAAATCAAAACTAAAAAATGTAGTGTGATGTTGAGAAGCCATGTATACTATGCGTCAGAGCCGGCGTCGCATGCGAGCCGCAGTCATCAGCACAGGATTCTCCGCTAAAGCGCAAGAGATCTGTTCACTCGGATGTACCCCGTCGCCCGAAAGTGACGGTGCCATCGACATCGGCCGCTTCAGGTTATATCCAACATGGCGCCCCGCAGGGACGGAGAGATACCAGCTGCAGCGCGCTGAATGATATCACGCACCCCGCGGGTCCCGCTCCCTTCGACGGTGCCAGTCTAGACATGGCGGATATAACGAGGACCAGTCCCGAGGAGAGCCAGCAGTTTGGCGCCAACGACTCGTCGATGGGTTTCGCAAAGATCCTCCTCGGGGAAGACGACGACAGCGACTCGCCGGCCAGCGGCGCCATCCCTGGCGATGCCGGACACTCAACCACAGATCCGCAGTCTTTCGGCTGTATTTTGACGCCCTTGCCCTCGCAGACAATCCTCCAGGTCGCGGTGGACGCCTATTTCGACCGAGTGAATTGGTACATCATGCTCTTCCACCAGCCGTCGTTCGCAATTCGGACTCAAAACATCCTCCGACGATCTGCGTGGAGACGCGATGAGCTGTGCGATGTGCTCCTCGTGGCGACAGTCGCGGCCGTTGGATTACGCTGTGTCGAACACGACAAGACGTGGAAAGGCCATCACCTGCTGGAATCCTACTCGGTGACGGCCGAGTCACTTGTCTCGGACCTAATGTCGCAAATCGGATCGCGCTTTTACGAACTGATGCTGGAGTCGCGCATCGAGGTGTTTCAGATTTGCATGTTGCTGACCATTTACCATGTATATTTTGGGTCATCGACCTTTGCCTGGAACGTGTCCGGTGTTTCCACACGAACAGCGTATGCACTGGCTCTGCATTGCGACAAAGCACGAAACACGGACGAGGTTGCCCGGGAAGTGAGCAATCGATGTTGGAATCATTTAGTCGTGTCGGACCAGTTCTCTTCAATGATATTCGGGCGCCCAGCGAGTCTTGATCCCGCATTTGCTCAATTCAAGAAGCTTGCAGACTTGGACGACACCGACCTGCCAGAGGGGACAGCGGCTCTGCCGGTCTTGCAGGAACCCTGCGGACCGGTGACATTTCTGACTTACCACACGCTCAAGTTTGAGCTTTACGATATCATCCGCCAAACCCTGCAGAGCTTCAGGGTCCTGCAACTCCAGAGCCCAGTCTCCGTCCAGGATCTCAAGGCGCTTATTCAAGTCGTCAATACCACGGAACTCATGTTGAAGCAGTGGCACGAGAATCTGCCGGCGGTCTTCAAGTCCTCGCGATGGCCGGCGGACGATCCGTGGAACGTCCTTGAACTCGACCAGTGCAGTGCGGAAGAGCACAGTGTGAGGAGGAAAATCGGCTTGCAAGGCTTCATTCTGCAGCTGTTGTACGACGCGGCGCGAGTGTGGGCACACCGGCCGCTGCTGAAACTCCGAATCTCCATATCTCCGAGGGAAAGCAATGTCAAGATCGGTCTGGACGACATTCCCGATTCCCTGGGCACTTCGGTCCGGGCGGCGCTGCGGATGTCGCGGGTCCCAGTGAACGAGTTCGAGGGCCATCTAGCTCAGTCGTTTGTGCTCATGCACCTCTTCACGGCCGGAGTCATCCTGTGCATCGCGCCGACGTGTCAGCCGTACAGCCAGATGGCTGGCGAGGCGAAGGCCGGGGTGCTGAGGATCATTGCCGCCTGCAGAGCCATCAAGGATGAGAGCAAGATCGCCCAGCACACAGACCAGATGCTGACGAGGCTCTACAAGAAGACGATGCAGCGCGAGATGGACAATGCTTTGCGACCGCCCGACACAGGCATAACTAAGGATCGGCTGGGCCCGACGCTCGCCGAGAGGCAAACACAGGACAGCGCTGACTATCCCCGCGGGCCTGGACACGGGGAAACAAGCATGATATCCTCCAAGCTGACTCCTTTTCAAGTGGGCATGGAGACACCGAGCGCGGCGGCAGGACGCGGCGCCGTGACCCTTGCGGCTCTGGACTTTGATGCCCGCCGCGCCGACGAGTTTCCCGACCAACCTGTCGTTTCGTACCTGCAGTTCGAATCGCTCTGCCACAACGACAGGATGCTCTCCCACGCCAACGAGCACTTCGACGAAGCCTATGGTGCTTTTGAACAGAGTATGTTGAGACAAAGTCATTTGCCCCTTTCCCCCTCCCTCCCCCCTCCCTCCCCCCTCCCTCCCTCCTTATGTGTATCCGGAAGAGATCAAAAGACGTCATGGGTTTCCTTTGCTGATTTTTAATGCTCGTGTTCGCAGTGTCCAATCTCGACTTTGGCGACTTTTCCTTCAAGCCTTACTGAATCAATCAATCAATCAGTCAGCACAACTGCCACCATGCCGTTGTCGCCGGGAAACCGATATGACGCGTCCTGGATACTGCGTACAGGGAGCTACTTTTCCCCGCAAAACCCCCTTTTGGTCTCGCGCAGCCTCGCGATAACTAACTCGACCTCTGTCTTGCTGCTGGTATGGAAACTCCATAGACGTCGAGCATGCCTCAACAAGCCCTAAGAGGCGCGTACAGTTTCACATCGGAGCTATCACTTCAAACAGTGGGAATAAAACCGAGAAACAACAGCAGAAGACGAGCCAGAGCGTGGATCTGGACACACGCAAAACATGTGGGCGTCTACCTGAAATGAAGAGGCATCCTCTCTCATTCCAGCACTATCCAACGAGTTAAACCCCGAAGCAGCCTAGGCGGACGGTGTGTCAGTGGTGATGACCTCTGAGATGAGACATGAAGAGTCTGTGTCGAAAGACTGGAGAGGGAATTTGAGCCTTGTCACAGCCAATACTTCAATCCATCAAATCCAAACTATTGACCTCTCTTTCACCATTCGGACCCGCAAGCCCAAAGTCCCAGTTCCCATAATCATGTTCTTCCCAGACTGGGTCGTATTTGAATCCGGTCATCTTCTCCCACTTTTTCTGCCTTGCATGATATTTCTCCTTGACTTTCCTCCTATCTTCATCACTGTGACCCTTGACGATCCTCTCTACGGACCTCTGTATGCGCCGACGAATCGCGAGACTCTCTTCCTTCTTCTGCTTGGCTTCCCGCACCTTGCGCAGTTCCTTCATGCGCTTCTTCAGCCTGTAGCGCAGATACGCCTTCGCCAACTTTTCTCTCCACCCAGAAAATACACGTTTCGCCATGTAAAAGCAGTCACAGCCGAAAAGGACGCTCACTTGTCAGGTTGGTATAAGAGGGAGCGGATGTGTGACGGCAAGATCAGGGAAGCAGTGTTTGTTACTGCTCATTCGGGCATTGCAGTTTGGCCGGATACCTGGACTGCGACTTCCTGGTGGCCGTCAACCGAGTTCTGAATCGTCTCAGCTGCGCTTGAGGGATCGTTTGAAAGCGTTGTATACGGGATTCATTAACGGTGGGATTTTCGTGTTTAACGGCGGTTCGAATCGAGTTGGTCCTTGCTTGGAATCCAGTCTTTGCCAGGAAAACACCGCCACTGGACCTCTGTATCGATGGAGAGGCGCGTGGGAGTGAGCGAGCTTGGAGATGAAGGCACCGTATGTGCAGGCGCGCGAATCTTTTCCGTGGCTGAAGGAACGGAGAGTGTAGTCGAGGTTTCTTATAAGGAAGGCGCGGTTGTGTCGGGTTCCAGTTCTGGTGTAATGAGAGCGACGACTGCCTCAGGATGTCAAAAAACATGATGATGTCGACGCGGGCAACCAAAGCAGTTCATGAAGAAGGCAGTAGGGCGGTTTCGAAACGTTGGATGGAGGGCTTGCTTACCAGGTGATGGACGCAGTCCTGCGGCAGGGTGAAATCTCTCAATCATGTTGGGTAGCGTCCATGAGTGAAGTGATATACACAGTGCGACAGATATGTGGTTGATGTAGTTGATCTGATGCACGCAAACGACACTGGAAGCAGAAGGCCCGATTCGAAGCTGCTCCTCCTCGTTGCTGTAAATGACAGCAATGCTGTGTGGTGAAGATGAAGGCATAAAGGCGATTTCGGTAATGAGCAGAGCACACTCATCACACCTTTTTGACGAGCTTTGAGGGTCTGAGGACCTGAGCACCTGGCTTCAAGGAACAAACTTCTGCTGTTGACTATTTCCACACATCAAACTTTTTCCACCGCAACCACAACCATCAACAAAGCAGTCGAGATCCGCACCTCAACCCACTTATGTCCTCTGCCGGGTGACGCGCACCCTGGCATTCAACAACTGTCTCTCCATCTGCACAAACACACCCTGCGCCTGCGACCGCACCGCAACAAAGTCTGTGCAATGAGGGCTCATCACCGAGAGCTGGCGGACGTTAACCACGAGTTTTTGGGCTCCGCTAGCCATCACATCTGACTGGCCGCGAGGAAGATGCGGATTCTCAGCTCCCCAGTTACATCCCTGCCACATATTCTCCTTCTCCGTCTAGCATTGTGACCGTAGATGGCACCTTTTGCTTCTGCTTTTGCGCGAAGTTTTCCCCTGAAATATCGGTCCCTGAACCTTGCATATGATTTTTGCAGCTGTCCAAGTGCAACCAGGAAGTGCTCTACCTTGGCGCTGGCCGCTAGGCAGATATTTTCTTTGCCGATTGTGAGCTTGTGTTCAGAACAAGAGGCCCAGATGCAAGCGGCAATGCCCGCCTCGTGCTTGTCCCCAAAGGTCCGCGGCAGAGAGATGGGCTTGAAAACATGCCGAAACAGTTGTTGCGCAAATTCCTCCGCGCGAAGAGGGATTTTCAGCACGGCACATGCTTGATGTAGCCTAGCAATGGTCACGTCGTGTGCTTTGGCTGGCGGGGGAGTGTCTGGAGGGTCCTTTTATTGCAAAGTTCTTTGTGTTCGCGGTGGCGTTGCGGACGACGGACAACACGCGGGGAAAGGGCATCGATCTCCGTGGCAGCGGAGTCGCTCGACTAGACGCGCAAACTCGAGTTGATACTACTCGCTCTCACTCGACATCAGGTTGGTTGGTAGTGGGTTACGGTTTCTTCAGATCGACAGCGTCAGCCATAATCTTTTCCAGACGTCGTGAACCAAGCGGGACGCAACAGGTACGCACGATTTCCCAGCACTTTTACGCGGCTAGGAGCCCGAGATTTCGATATTGTGATGAGCAGCTGACACTCATATCGGATATGTCTAGATTGCCGGATAAGTAATAGTTCAGACGGACTCTCAAGATTGTGTGTAGAATGAGCGGACTAAGTCGACTCAAGAGACTGTCGATAATGCCGTTTCGAGGGAGCGCGAAGTGAGAGAGTGAACGTGATGAAGTTCGGCAGCACGCAGATGCCAACTAGATTGATGTTTTCGAGGGAGTGAGTGAAAAGACTGACAACTCGAGGTCAGCAGGAGAACGTAAGATGTGAAGTCAAAATTTGTGCGTGAAGACGCCGCAGCTCGGAGCAGGAAAGTCGAGAGTTGAACCACACAAACAGTTGAGCTCTTCATCTATCATTCTGGATCTTTTTGTATCATTTTACATCCCATTCCCACCCAACCATTGTATTTCCAGCGTCGGTCACATCATGATTTTTTCTTTTCAATTTTCGGGGCCTTCAACATGGTGAAAACCAAGACAGTGGTACCCAACATAGCAGTGCCGCCTATCATATAGGCCGTCTCACGACCAGCCCACCAAAACAGACTGCAAAACACAACGGGCCCCAGGGCTCTTCCAAACTGGCCCCAGCTCCGTAGCGCTCCCAAGACTTCTCCTCTGTTGCTCTCTTTCGCCTCAAAGCTGCCCAGACTGTTCAACCCCGTCACAACCGTGGCCGAGGTGACCGCAAGTAATGCGCCCGCGCAGTACAAGCCAGTCATGCTGTCTATACGAGAGAGCAGGAAGAAAGCCAAAGTGCTGGAGACGACACCCAATTTTACCACCGTCAGTGGAGGGAGGCGACGCACAATTGACCCCTGAAGCATCGAGGCGATCAAGCCGACAAACCCCAGTAATCGGCCGTTGATTTTCGACGGGGACGGATGGTCCGGGAAGATGACAGAGGTGATCAAGAAGGGCAGGGAGAATTCCATTCCGGAAAAGGGGAGGAGGAAGAGCAAATGGATAATGTTTAAAACCATCGGGTGGTTCGTATGTTCCAAGGTCGTCGAGCCGGACTTCGCAGCCTTGGACTCGGACGCCGCAGTCTTCACTGGTCTGGTCTCTGGAAGCTGGAGATAGAGGTAGAGAGTCTCCAGGACAATCAATAGCAGGGAAACCCCCGCGGCTGTCGCAAATGGGTTGGCGATGACGGTGGTAATGCTTGCGAGCGCAGCCCCCATGGCCGGACCAAAGGTAAACGCAACACTAAAGCACGCGCCCACAAGGGCCATCGTCGACCCCCTTTGCTCCTCTGTACTGATATCCGTCGCAATGGCCGTCGCCAGCTGGACATTCCCTTCACTCAATCCTCCCACGATGCGGCTGAGCAGAAAGGTGCGGAAGTCCACGGCGACGCACCAAAGCGCCACGCTCGCAATGTTGCCACACATACTCCATAGCAGCGCTGTTCTTCGCCCATATTTATCCGACGCACGGCCTATAATGGGGGACGCAATGGCCTGCAACAGCGAGAACAGCGAGCCCAGCGCGCCTCCGAGCAGGACGATGTCGTATTTCTCGTTGATAGGCACGGCGAAGGATGACTTGTACGCATTGAGGTAGTGGAGGATGCGGTTCAGGGCCGAGAAAGGGTGTGTTTCGAGTCCGCGATAGAAGGTCAGCAGGGATGGGAACAGAGGAAGGATGAAGGTAAATGAGATCTAGTAAAGCGTCTGTTAGCCTGGGACATTGTTGGATATGTTTTTTTGCCTGGATCAGCTCACAAGGTCGAGAAGCAGAGAGATAAACAGCACGCGCAGGATCTTTTGCCGCTGTTGAGGCGTAATGGTGTCCATTTCGTCCCAAGACCAATGGCAGTAAGATCCAAAACGTCGACGAGCTCAGCTCTGTAGAGGAAAATGGGGAAGAGACAGACAGACAATATGGGAGAGGTTGTTCAAATATATGCGACCAGCGCTCAAGAGATTAAAATTAGAAATGCCGTAATGCAGGAACAATGCGCGAACATCAGCTCATCACATCGTCTTTGGTTTGGTGGATGAAGGGTTGCGCGGCTGCGGTGGCTCGAGAGATGCTTCTTCTTTGAGCATGGGCTGGGCAACTAGTGAGGCCGAAAATGATCCACGCTCAGTTGACAGTTATGCCTCAGGCCACACCTTGGGCACCTAGCATGCTATGTTGGCTATGTTATACTTGTACTCTTGGTTGACCGCGTACTGGGTACACAACTGACAGATGTCTCTCCTTTTCATTCTCTTCAAATGTCGTCTTCCAGTGGCATTACCCCCTCGCCCTGCATCTCCCTTCCCACCTCCTCCACCCTCTTCCACACGCGCAAGAGATTCCCTCCTGTAATCGCCCCAACTTGCTCATCGCTCAATCCTCGTCTCAAAAGCTCCTTCAGTAGATCGGGAAACTTGCTCACATCCTCGAGCCCTCTTGGCGTGCTCTTGGTCCCATCAAAGTCGCTCCCTATCCCAACATGCTCAAAGCCAATCTTATTGCCGACGTACATTATATGCTCGGCAACGTGTTCAAGCGTCGAGTTGGCGGGATAGAACGTCGGTAAGCCACCAGGAATAGTCGAATTGACACAGGAGATGAATTCTGGAACAAAAGTCACCATGACAACAGAACCGGTCTGCTTGACCAGTGGAAGGATATGGTCGGGCACATTGCGTGGGTGAGGACACAGTGCGTATGCTGACGAGTGAGAGAAGATGACCGGCGCTTGGCTCCCAGGAAACGATTTAGTCTTGTTACCCGCCAGGACGTCGTGCATTGTCGCCGGATGGGTGTGGGACAGGTCAACCTAGACGCCGTGGTCAGAGCGAGTTCACCATGGAATCATGTGCCATTACAATCATGCCGAGACGATTCATCTCACGGATGATCTTGGTACCTAGAGTACTCAGCCCATCCCAGTATGGGTTTGCAGGTCTAGCAGCGCTCAGATCAAGCGAGTCATCAACAACCGTAACCTGCGCCGCGTCTGCAAAAGCATTATGGCAATTCCACGTCAACGTAGCATATTTTGTACCGAGTCTGTGGAAAAGGCGGAGCATCGAGGCATGCCTACCAATCATATGGAGCCCTTCAAGCCCAATTGGGGAGAGCAACTTCCCATGGCGTCTGAATGCTGTGAGGGCTGCACTACTGTCAAGGGTGGCAGGAGAGAATATGTCTGTGTGGGCGGCCTGCAAGCGATGTATGAGGTCCATTTGCGCTAGCGCATCGATGACAGCTGCACACATGGTAAGGAGAGGTCATTGCCTTTGCCATTGGGGGACAGAACTTACTAGGAGCGTAGTTTGTGTTGGAAAAGTCGAAATTGTTGGCCGGACATTCAACGAAGCAGCTCCAAAAGAATCCGCCCTGCTTGCCCTTCTTCAGCCGGGGCAGATCCGAATGGTCCGGCATCCCGCCATCCCCGAATTTGGACGAGAAGTCTGGGTCGTATATGTGATTGTGGAAGTGAGAGCGTACACTCCATGCTAAATCATCGTGTCCGTCTGGTTGTGGGCGTCTCGGTCAGTTGAAACTCGTACCTCTCAGTAGCATCCTCCCTACTAGGTAAATTGTTGACTAACCCATTAGAGGCGTTACGGCCATAATCCTAGTGACGCGGTGATCCAACGACAGGAGGGAGGAGGGGACCAAAGAGAGTAAGAACAAGTCGGGTCGGCGAAGGCCATCTTTGAGTGCAATGCCTAGCGCGACGGCGGCGGCCAGGAAGACCAACGGCCGCCATTGAAGCCGCTTGTTACGGTCGTAGCTTTCATCCGCGTCCCAGCGAACCTTGGGCCTCTCGCCGCTGTTTATTCGAGCCATAAGTGATAACCTTGTCGCAGTGATATCCGTACAGGGTGAACGACGAGGTTTGGAGGCTGTAAAGGCTTCGCTAAACTGTGCGAGAGAGCTTGACGGTGCTCACGTCATATCCGATTCCAGTCGAGGGTAAGTATCAAACAAGAATCGAAATGAAAAGGACGTGGGAGTTCTATATTGTTGGTGGGAAAGTGGAAGGAAACGTGATCCTGATCTTTTTTGGAAAGGGCGGGAGATAATCGGCTACTGACTGATTGGATAGTGCACCGACTGTCGATGGAGATGGCCTGTTGCTTCATGCTCCATAGATGCAGAGCTGACATAATGGGCGTGGCATGTATATATATATAATCCCCAAACAATCGTCCTTCGCGCCCACTCGGCTGACTAATAACCCGCCGCTTTGCTCTCCCGCTAACCACTATTTAGTCGACTCGCTCCCTCGTCCGCTCCCTTCTACTTCCCTTCGCCTTCGGCCTACTTCTACAGCGCTCTCTCACCTCCCTCTCTACTCCATCAGCAATTTTTCCCGCGACTCACGGTATTCTTGTATACCCAGGGAGCCCAGGGAGCCCACAGTCGCTCACAGTCGCTCACAGCTCTTATATCTAGGCTATGAGCCCTTATAGACCATCTATTTTTAGTAACTTTTATAATATACTTATTATATAATATTATTAAATTTAAAAAGGTCTTTTCTATTTCGGAAATAAGGTTTACGCTAAAAGCGGATAACTCGCTAAGTCTTTAACTTAGTGAATATTAACGCTATTAAGCTAATAATTTAAGATTTAGTTCGAAATCTTATATTTTATATGTATCTACTTTAATTTTAATATAATATAATCTTAGTTAGTACTAGTTTAAACGACTAGTATAATTATATTGTAACAAGGCGAGGTGGCTGTGCTGTAATGAGCTGTACTGGGCTGGTAGAGCGGTGGCAGGCAGAGATCTATTAGGTCATATATCAAACCTAAATAGGCTGGCAGAGAAGGGGGTGCGGAACAGTCTATAGTGCTGGCAGTGTGCCATTCATTATAGATTGAACAGTTTAAGCAGAGTATCATGAATTTCATGGCTTTTTAGCGCTATCTACCTAATTCCTGAGTGTTTTCATTAGTCCTATCCTGTTTCTCGATGCTACCGCTGTGCTAGGCGTTCGTTACTTTAGCCGCTACCTCTCTAGGTGGTGTTGGTGGTGGTGTTATCTTATTAGTATTAACTAAAAACGCGTTCTCGATTCCCGATCTACCGGATAGGCCTCTATACGTTATTATATGTATACGTCGAACCCTAAAGTACTCTATTATAATTAGCGACCGCGGGAAGATAATTTATTTATCGAAGATTTAAGCTCTTTACGACTATATCTTAATAAGATACTATATTAAGAATTACTAAAGTTAATATTAAAGAGTAAAGAATACGACTAAATAGAAATTCGAGATTAATAATTAAAATTCGCGTAAATATCGATTTAACTCTAAAAGATAATAAGACTACTTATAAAGATAAAGTTCGCTAATTATTTAGAAAATCTTTTTTATAAAAGAGTTTAAAATTAAAATATTAAGAAGAATTTAAGATAAATAGCTTTTTAAAGAAGTAAATTAATTAATTATGTTTAGAGGACTTAGAGAACTATCTAATGTATAGATAGTAAAGCTCATATAGATCGTAAACCTTATAGGTAGGTAAGTGACTATTAAAGAACTT